GGGGAAGGGGGGGGGGGGGGGACGGAAGGCTCGACATGGCCAGTCAGGGCAGCAGCACAATGCGACAAGACTCTAATGCGCTAAATTTTAGGTGGATAGAAGGATGAGCGAGTGGAAGGTGCAAAGGGGCGGGATTACACCTAGGCCTGCGAGGTGCCTGCCGTTCTTTCGAGCTCCTTATTCTCGTCACAATGAACATACAGAGATCAGGAGTTTTGATGGGCGTACGTGTGTTCTGTAGTAGTAAGTATTTCGTAGTATTCATTGATCTGACGACGAACCCTTCGATGTTCTGTCCTTAACGGGCCGTTTTGTGATTGGCTCTTTCTGTCCTGGGAGCAGGGGTCTAGCGCGAGATACTTAGCCAGGGCCAGAAGGAGCAAGTGGATCCTTGCTCCATACCCTAGGGCCGCTATTTTAGAGATGGACAGGCCCTGTGAGGAAAAGAGCAGCAAAATCAATGCATGCACAGGCTCGGCACTAGGCGAAACGAAAGATCAGGGGGAATATTACCCAGGAAGTCAGGCCGCCCCCAGCCGGCAATCGATGGGAGAAGACGTGTGGCAGGCTGTGAAGCGTAGCACGAGCATGCATGTACATTTGGCCGCGGGTGGTAGAAAAAAAGAAAAAAAAAAGGAAAGAGCAAAGGACAAAAACGACGAGCGAATCTGGAAATTCTGGAGGACGGGAGCATTAATGGCCAGAACAATGCGCTTGTACGGCAGGATGTAGACGAACGCAGACTGAGAATGGAAGTAGCAACCGGGCGACCAAAGAGAGACCAGAAGAAGGCAAGAAGCAAAAGACATAGCGGCCGGAAAGAGCGACAGGAGGCGACGTGACTTGCGCAGGGTGTCCCGACGCTCTGACCTTTTGATGGACTCCAAGACACACCAAAACATAGCACAGAACGGAATAGAACAGCAACAGGAACAAAAGGCACACACGGAGCCTGCTCGACGGCCAATCGACACCTGGTTGGCTCGCAAGCACTTTTCTCACGACACTTCAGTTCCCAATTGGTAATCGTTCACAGCATGACGAGGAGGTGAAAAAGGTGTCCGTTGCACCCGGCGGCATGACCTGTGCTTGGGGGCGGCACATCTTGCTTTCGTGACGGCTCAGCGGCTCTTGTCTCTATTTGGGGTCGCGGGTGCCCAGTTTGGCCATTTGTTGCCGTCTTGGTGTCCCGATTATTCCATATTCTCCCACTTTGTTTTTGCGCACAAGCCGCCTGGCCGCTCATCCAGCCGCACAGAGGACCAAGAAAAGGCAAGCGGGCGACTGTCGATCGAAACAAAAAAAGGCAATACGGAGACCGGATAATGGGGTATGTTTGAGCAGGAGGAAGGAGGGAATGATGCGGGGGCGCGAGGTATGGAAAAGTATCGACATCGAAAACGACAAATGAGGCAAGGCGGCGACAGGAGCCCAGATGCGGCTGGCAGCGGTGAGTGCTGAACGACGAGTGTTGATGCCAAAGAAGCAAATGCCTGCCGCTCCCTAAATCCGCTGAAAACTTCAAAAGCTGAAAAGCAGAAAGAGACGACGCGAACGAAGGCCCAGAACCCACAATAGGGAGAGCCTTGTCTCGCACGCTATTTCTATACTTCGTCTCGCTTGTTGGCTGTCAAGAGAAACAACCAAGACAAAGGCTCCACCGAGGTGCGTGCCCTCGCGGCTTTCCTGTTTGTCTGTTGTGCGTCTTTTACCCTTCCTCACCTCTTCTGGCATCTCTTCTGGTCGCCTTCTTGGCTTATCCTGTCGACATCGTTGCCCATTTGGGTTTGAAATGTCTCGCGCTGGCCGTTTTTCGAGCTGTTCGAGCACTGGTCTCTCGGCAATATTGTGAGACAATACAGGGGTATGCACCCAGCGCATCGAACAAGCGCAGCGAACCAGCGTACTATTTCCGGAGTATGCCGCAGTTTTCAAAGTACCTTAAAGCATGAAGAGGACATCGAGACAACTCTGCCGGGCCCCAGACGACATCTCGCCTTCGCTGCAGTCAAGTGGACGCATGGTGGACGAACAGAAACATTGTTTGATGCGACAGCCGAATTTCCGTTAAACAGTCCATAATGAGACGAGGGCGTCGACGGTGCATTGATGGCGATTCATTGACGACAACTATCAAGACGGCCGATACTGTACACTGGCGACGACGCATCCTATATGCCCACCCAAACCGGGCCGCAGACGGTGGCCGACGAACGAATCCCTTGGCACAGCTATATGTCGTATGTCGTACACCTTGCGACGTATCTCCCACTCTTGTCCGCTAGTTTCATATCATCGCCTCGTCTCCTCCCGTCTGGTCATGTTGCTACCAACCGGGCTGGAGGTGCTATTTGGGATGCGGTCGAACATCGCCTTTCCCCTGAACATCAGTCACTGACTTTCCCAGCGGCATTGTGTTTTCTTTTGCAATCTTCTTGTTCTTACTCCATTATATCTCACCTCTTCGGCACCCGGCCTCCACACGCTGCTGCGCATAATACAGAGTTCCTCCTACTCCTGTCCTTCTATTGGCAGCGCTGCTGCCACCACACCCTCTTGGTTGAAACAGCCTGTTTTAGCCGCAGTGCGGGCCTTATTTCTGGAGACTGCAGACAATCTCTCGGCCTTGCAGGACAGCGAACGTCTACTCCGTATTAAAACTGAGTACGAATTAAGAGTTTCCACTATTATTCTGGATATCGAATGGGCGCGCCCATTCCTGCGGTTGACTGGTCCGGCTCTGTAGAGAATCCATCCTGTTTGGAATTCTTCCCTCGGACAGTACTTTTGTATAAGCCTCATGAAAAGAGGCGACCCTTTCTTTACTTCTTTCCCCCCTTGTCTCGTCGCACGTCTCTTTTGTCATATTTCTCCGCCCGTCACACAGCCAGGTTCAATGCGGATCCCGACGTGATCATCTTTCCCGAGCAGTGAAAAACGACCGGTTAAGATATGAGATGACGAGATGATGAGATGACCAAATGACAAGACGGATGGTTCCAAAGGATGCGCAAGGACCTACGTCGTATTCTTCAAGATCAGGAATGCCCTGTGACACTGTGACACAGCTCAGCACAGCACACTATTCCAAGAGGGCAATGCCAACGTCGGCACATTGCGGACACCAGCGGGACTCCAAGCGAAATGCATCTTTGCCTAGCGGGATGAGCGAGGGCCTCAAATCTAACGAAATCCCCGGCCATGGCCATGTGGCCAGCGAACCCACTCCGTGGACAAAGTCAGTTTTTCTTCTTCTTCTGCCACCGTTGTCCCCCCTTCTTATAGTTCAACTTCCGGACCCAGCACCCAATCCGCCCCGAACGGCCGGGCTGGACCGGTAGCTTGTCTGTTATTTCTTTAAACGCTGAATTTTGAAAGACGAAGGGAAGAAGAAATCCACCCCTTGCTTCCCCAAAGTTCTTATGCTTCACGGCGCTACCTCTCACCCCATTTGTATTGTCTTGTCACGAAACAGCAAGCCTCTGATATTGGGACCACAGTCGGTTAGTTTCCTCATCGCTGGACGTCGTGGCGGAGTAAACCCACAGAACAGAGGCAAAGAAGCCCACGATTGGAAAGGGGTGCTCTCCGCACGCTTTGGGTGGAGTTCATCTTGGCGTTGAGAGTGCTCCCTTGCCTCTTACACAGGGCATAAACTGCCAACCTCATGGATCCTATGCCTCTTCTGGCATGACGGACTGATGCATCACGTTTCTTGATCCTGGTCAAAAACGAAATGTGTTTTGTGCGCGCCAAGTACGATGCGGTGGGGGCATGCTTGGAAATTGGAACTGTGCCACATGTACGAGGTGAAGGCTGAAGGTGAAGGCTCTCCAGAAAACGGGTGCAAGCCTTCAACACAAAAGTGGCATGGTCATAAAACTCACAGCGACTCATCAGATTGCAGAGAAAACGACAATGTGGACAGTCTTATGCACTTTATAGCCCCCGTTATTACGGCGTATCTCTGGGAGTGCGTCGACGTCGCATCTAACAGGCACATGCCGAAGAATCAGTGAATCGGGATCAAATTGTGCCTGGTCAGTGCAGTTTGTTAGCCTGTGCCTGTCCTGAATTGCATGCCTGGGGCAGTTTCTGTGGTTCCTGAATATGGAGGAAGGATCCTTGGACGTGAGGTGAACAGTCCTGGAAGAATGAAGAACGGCATGCCCCTGACAGGCCTTCCTTTCCCCTTCCTCACGATGCTCCTTGCGTCTTGTCGTTTTGCTATTGTCAGGGTTGTATCTGTTATTCGAACAAACTTCGAACAGAGAAATAGACACTGCCACTGTCTCCCTTGTTTGCACTATCTTGCACTCTCTGGAGTTTTTCTCACAGCCTTGGACATTGACACCACGATCACGACGCCACGAACCTTCCCAACCCAGGGCAGCCAAAATGAAATAAACATGACTGGTTTTCACCCGCAATATGCATGGCCTACGACGTACTCTGGATGCCACCCGCAACCAAAGTTCTGCTGCAGAACACTTCCGCCCTGGCCGGCTTTGGGCAACTCGGGAAGCGGCTGCCCGCATATTGTCATATTTCATTGTCACATTTCACCTGCTTCGTCCTATGCTACTCTGTTCTTATGTTTATCTTTGCTTCTTTTCTTCTTTCGTCTTCTCCCGCTTCGAGGCGGGATACCCGGTCACCCACAGTCGTCCATAGTCGTACGCCGTATCAAGATGCAAATACCACCATCCCTTGCCACCAATGGCTGAGACTTGGACGGGGAGAGCCTCGCCGACAACGACATCCGCCTTGTGCAGCCATCCACCTTTCGTGTTAGAGAGTATTGGTGTCCATTGGATGTTGTCCGCCGATGCTGTTCGTCGGCTGCTTCTTCTGCGGCTTTCCAGCTCTTTTCTGGTGTCAGTTTTGTTGTCTCTACATTTGTCCTCCCAGCCTGTCCTCCCACACCACCGTCGTGGGACCGCCGTGGTGCACAGAGCAGCCACTGACGTATAATCAGAACGCATCGTGTGCTCCCAGGCCCCATATCCAAATATATATATGCATACGTCGTATTATTTCATGTGCATCTCGGTGGTCGATTTGCATCGTAACACAACATACAATGTATATGCTATGGCCACTCCAGCGGCAGGTACGCCAGCCTGGTGCGGCTGCCTTTTCGATACTTGCCGCCGATCCTTCTCTTTTCGGCGACACGGAGCACCAACTTGATTTGGTTTCGGCGCTGCGCTAGTGTTTTTCAATCATCTTCTGTATTACTCGGTATCTTTTGCACCTTTCATCTCATTCTCCTGACACCGGCATTTCCCACTTACACTCGCGCTTTTCAGCTTGCCTAGCCCAATTTCCCGTTTTCGTTGCTTCTTCTTCTGCTCGTCGCATCGCCCATCGGCCACTAAATCACAGTGGCTGTATGCTGGTGCAAACTGCCATTGGGCGCTCAAAGCAACCAACCGTACCTCGTCTGTAAATATCCACTTAGTCTCACAGGAACTGCAAAAAGGATTTCGCAAACCGGCGCGCAAACGAAAATGAACTAACGACTGTGCGTCGTTTGTTGATGCCCCCGTAGATCGGACTGGCGCTTTGGCGACAGATCGTACCTTCCTCACTAAAAGCAACGCGGCTTCACCACAATTTTTTTCTGCCGCCTCAACCTGTCTTCCTTCCTCGAGCCTCGTGCCCGCCTCGCAACTTCCTCGCCCCGAACCGCGCCTTCCTCCTGGCTTTGTGTGTGCTACCCTACGGTCGCAACTTCCCGCTTGGCGACTCTGGCTCTGACCTCATCCTCTCAGTGTCCATCGCACCTGCTTGTCGCAACTTGACGCGCCGCCTTCCCTCGCCCCGCGCACCACAGCTCACCCCGTGAAGCCTTCCTGCACTCCGACTTCGCCATGGCTTCCTCTGCCATTCACATGACCCATCTCGGCGAGCGGTGTACGTCTCGCCCCCAATTGCTCTCTTTAACTCTCGCTCTCTCGCAGCCTTGCACCTCTTGCTAACGAGTCAGCATTCAACCACAGCGCCGGCAACGACGCCGAGGCCGAGTATGACCGTCTCCGCGACCTCGCCCGCAAGGAGGCAGGCAAGCGCTCGTCCTGCATGGACCGCTCCCACCAAGCCTACCAAAAGGGCGACGGCGCCGGCGCCAAGGCCCTGTCGGAAGAGGGCAAGAAGCACGCCGCGCAGATGGACATGTACAACCGCCAGGCGTCCGACTACATTTTTCGGGAGAACAACGCCGTCGGCCGCGTCGCCGCCGACACCATTGACCTGCACGGCCAGTTTGTCGAAGAGGCCGAGCGCATCCTGACGGACCGCATCCGGGCTGCCCAGTCCCAGGGCCAGAACCACCTGCACGTCATTGTCGGCCGTGGCAACCACAGCGTCAACCACATCCAGAAGATCAAGCCGGCCGTCGAGCAGCTGTGCCGCGAGCTCGGCCTGCAGTATGCCACCGAGCCGAACGAGGGCCGCATCTACGTGAACCTGCAGGGCGGTGCCGTCAACGGCGCGCCGCCGCTGCCGCCGCAGCCGTCGGGCCACCTGGGCGGCTACCATGGTGGTGGTGGTGGCGGCGGCGGCTACCCGAGCCAGCCTCAGAACAGCTACGCCGGCGCGGCGCACGGCAACCAGTACCCGTACCAGCAGCAGCAGCAACCGCACTACCAGCAGCACCACCAGAACCAGCACCAGAACTACAACAGCAACAACAACAACAACGACCAGATGGAGCAGCAGATCGAGCAGGCCGTGGTCAAGTGCTTGCCGCGGTTGCTCAAGAACTGCTGTACGATCATGTGAGCTTGCCTGCGGTGTGGGCGCGGGTAAGCGCTGTTGGGTCGCTACGTGGTGTTATTGGGCGTGCGCCATTTTTATATCCTGGCAATCTTTTTCTATCTGTTTTCCCTATTTCTTTTGGGATATCTCCTTGGACACAATTGTGGATAACGTCCAGGACAAAAGCCGGGGTTCTAAGGCTGTCATGCGCTGGATCGGCCCCGCGGTCAGGCGCTTTTGCAACATGTAGTTATATTGTTTACATAGATCTCGTTTTCATGAATCTGTTCCTTCGTATATATGTAAACGGGTGCCTTCTATTCTGTTCCGTCCGTCTCCTGTATAGCTAGATAAGACAAATAAAATGTAACAAAGTTATTAAATGGGTGATACAAAGGTACGCGGTGGGCTTGTACAATCGAGAAAAGTGAGCGGCGTCCGAAAGAGAAAGGGTGTGACATCCTCTCTCCCCTCATCATACCGGCACTACTTTTCGTCTCGCTGTTTTACATGCAGAGCTGCTCTCTGCCCCAGCTCCGGGTTAAGCAAAGCCTCTCGTAAATCCTTACGCCTGCGTCCGGATGTCCTTGGCCGCCTGCTTCAGCGTCCAGTTGCACTCCTCGTACGCCCGGCCCGCGCCAAAGCCGAGGCCCACGACGGCCGGCCACGCTCGCCGCTTGAACAGCAGCACCGAGAACACCACGCCGAAACCCAGGCCGAGGCCCGACTTGATCACCAGGTTGGACAGGCAGTGGTCCCACTGCTGTCAGTTAGTAGGGAGTTTACAGACAGAGAAACTCCCGCACGGAGCTCATGGGCATCCCACCTTCTCATTCAGAAGCGCCTCGCTGACGGGGCGCGCGACCACCCGCTGTGATGGTGCCGGAGCCGATGCGTCGGACATGGTGTGTAAAGGGGAGGAAGAGAGGAAGGGAGGAGTCTTTAAGGTAGTCGAGGTAGCCGGAAGCCGGGGTCAGTTCAATGTCATGAACGGAGACGATGCGCTGGACAAAGCAAAACAGGTCAGCAATCCGCCAGCAAGCTTTCAGCATAACCAATTCAATGGGCAGACAAACGTTGATGCAGTCGCTGTTAGAAATGGATGTCGATGGACGTAGGTGGTGTGATGGAGGCTGCGATGGATGAAAAGGGCTGAGGGCAAAGATCAAACGGATGTTCCAATGGAGACAAACGTGACGAGAACAGAGTGCTGGAGCTGTTTGCGACACAGCGAAACTATTAGCGCAGCGAACGGGCAGGCGATTTCGTGTTTTCCGCGCAGACGCGGACTAAACCGGCTAACAAGTTTTTTGCAGGGAAGGAATGGGACCCATAGGGGAGGAAGGTACGAAGTACGAAGTACAAAGATGCGAAAGCTCGCCTCGGTCCAAAGGCGGTGAAACAAAGTGCAGGTACTACCTTCGTCGCCGCTGCAGGACCAAAACCGGCAGAATTCCTTTGGCATAACTTTTTTTCTGCTATCAGAAGGAGCGATGCGAGCCACTGCGTAGAGACGCATGGAGAGAGGAAGCACAACATAGTAAACGCCCCCTTTCATATTTTGGCCAAACAACATCGTCAGTCCACACGGCACCACGATCACGACGTCACGCAACCTGCAGCTTGGCCAAAGCTGCTGTTGTTAGCTTGCCAAGAGCGAATTGGTGCCTTGCCAGCACCGTTCCCGCACGGAATAGAGTCGTGATAGTCTTACGGTTCGCTCGCCTCCACCTCTCGCCCTTCACCTCGACGACTCTTTCGTTCTGCTGAACAGCTGCCATGGCTGAGGAGGCTCTCCTCAAAGCTGCCCGGTCGTTGGACCAGGGCGGCCCCGAGACAGTGGTCTCCAAGCTGCAGCGTCTCTGGGACGCCTTGGCTGCCACATCCGCATCCACATCCGCCGCCGGCCGCTTCCATGCCTCCGAAGAGGTTGCCCTCCGGTGGCTTCTCAAGAACATGCACTCGTCAAGCTCCGGCCCCGTCAGCCCCGAGACCGAGACCCTGCGTCGGTGGCCCCTCACATGGCGCATCCTGGCGTGCATCTTTGGCCGCATCCCGCTCTTCTCGCTGGCCAAGTCGCTCGCCGACCGCCGTTTTGTTTCTGTCCTGCAGCAGACTGCAAAGGATCTGGCGACACCGAATGCAGCACTGTCTTCGTCGGCCCAAAGCTCCCTCAAGCGGAAACGGTCACAGGACGCCCGGTTCGACCTGGCCTCGCTGCGAGAGCTGCAGAATTGCGTCGTCTCGGCTGGCGCTCTGTTCGAGGCCCTGCGTGTTCTTCTGACTCGTCTGGACGATGGCCACGACAGCACGGCTGCGAGCGCCTCCTCGTCTGCCTCCATTTTGTCGCCGTACGATCACATGGGAGCTGAGCACATCAAGTCCTTTTTCAACGTGCCGGCGTCCGACGCCAACGCCCTGCTCGAACCTCTTTTGAAGATATGCAGGCTGGCTCTGACGACTGAAGAAGGAGTTGATGTTGGCGGTTGGGACTCTGGCGACGACAGCAAGCCGAGTACATCAACACCCATCGATGGCCAGGCCTCGTGGATTTCTACCTTCTCGACACTATGGGAGCTGCGTCTACAGGGCCCCAACGACGCTTTTGACGTCGCAGGCCGGTTGTCGCTTGATGGCCTCAGTCTGCTTGGCCGTCTGCTTGATGTTGTGCCGTCCACTACCACTACCACTACCAGATCTGCGCACCTTCTGGACCCTGCATTGCAGCGTCGCTGGACTGCCGGCCTTTTGCGCTTCTTCACAAACAACCTTGTGCTCACGGCTCGGTCGTTGTTCGTGAACCTGAAGGACGTCAACGCTTTATCGATTGCGACGTCCAACTCCGCCGCGAAGACCGACGCTAACGATTACATCGTGCGGGCCACCACTTTTTTGTACTTGGCGCTTAACGCACCGCGCCTCCTGGCCGGGAGCGGCACGAGCAGCAAGGACAACGAACTCTGGCTGCAGACCGTCTTTGAGACGATCCGGGAGCCGCTTATGGCCAGTATCCTGTCTGCTGAGCGCAAGAACACAGCACTGGCTGGCCTGCTCGACATGGCCGCACAACACAGCATGGCACCGTCTATCGACAGTCTTCAGCAGGTGTGCCAGAAATGTGCACTTCAAAACGACCTACCGAAATCGGCACCAACCACCGATTGGAGGCTACTGGCATCCATTGCACGCTGCGATGCCGACGCGTTCCTCCTGGCTGACAAGGGCGCCAGCCTGCTCAACGCCGCTCTCGAGCAGCTGAGCACGCCGTCGACCGCGCCGCAGTCGGCAGCCGACGCACAGTTCGCCTCCGCTTTCCTGATCTCGCTGGCCCGAGGCTTTGCCGGAAGCCGCAACCTTTCCGGGTTCGTCACACGTTGGCAAGCCGGCATCATTTCTCTGTGCCTCGCCAACGGCACGGCACCACCGGTACAGAACGCCTGGCTGGCCAAGGACCTTCGGGCGGCGGTGGCCGACACCGTGCAAACCGCCCTGTCCAAGGAGCAGCTGTTGTCAGCGATTGCTGAGGTCGAGAATTCGTCTAGCAGCGGTGGAGGTAAGGACACGGCGACTGCAGAGGCGGTGGCTCGCCTTGTCATCTTTGATGCCCTCAGTGCCGGCATCCGTAGCGAAGAGTTTGAAGACGCAGTTCATACCAAGATGCTTGATACCATCCTGAGCCTCGAACTGTCCTCGTCCTCATCCACGCTGCCACCTGAGATTCTTGCCATCCAGTGGCGCCTGGTGCGCCGGACTCTCGCCTGGGTGGGATTCTCGGATGCCGAGCGCATCTGGACAGCCGTCAAGGCATCCTTGAAGAGCCTTGCGGCCAGTAGCAGCAAAAACAAGAGTGCATCTGTGCTGACCGAGGACAAGTTCGAGGCGCTTGTATGCAGCTTTTCGCTGTGGATGGCTGTCAAGTTCGGCGACAAGAGCGAGCAGGCGGCCCGTGAGATGACGTGGGCTTTTTTCACTCCTTTCAAGGAGGAGCTGTCGGCTCTGGTGAAAGATAGCCAGAGCCGGGTGGAGCTTCTACAGGAGGTTGGACGCCAGACGACGGCTGTCAACGGGGTTGCCGAGTCGTTTGGCGGTTCATTCGACACAAAGACGGCCGCTGTGGCGACTTATTTGACGTGGATGCTCTGTGGCTCTTCACGATTTATTGAGTTTACGTTTTTTTTTTTTTTTTTTTTTTTTTTGCGGGTAGTAGGGGCCCTTGGATGGTGCCTCTCACCACCCATCGTTATAGATGCTAACTATTTATCCCAGTGAAATGGTCAAGAGCAGTGACGAGTCGTCTGCCTTCCTCGATGCTCTGCTGGCATGGCAGACGGGCCTGCCCGTACAAAACGATACAACACTAGCCGCCAACGCGCTCTCAACACTGGTCTACAACAATGTCACAAATCTGCAGAACCAGAAGGTCACGAGCAACATCACCGAGGCCCAGGTCAAGCGTCTCGAAGAGGCCGCTGGCAAGCGTAGCCCTGGCCTGAAAGAAACTACCCTCACCTTGTTGCAAACCCCGTCTCACCTTCTCTCTCGGTCCCAGCGAGAACGTATTGTGGCCACCTTGCTGCCTTTACGGCCGCCATCCAGGAAACCAGCTGTGTCCTGGACCGTGGAGGAGATCGTCCTAGCCCTCGACCTCCTGACCAAAGTCACGCACGAACGAGCCTTTGGCGAGATCATATTTGACCGTCTTGTCTACTTCGGCGAGACTGTTGCCGCTACCGTGGAGAACGTGGATGTCGCGTCGGCTCTTGGGGTCTACGACCGCTTTCGGCAGGTGGCCAGGGCTGTTATAAAATCGCCGGCATGCAAAGACGACTGCGCCATTTCCAAAGCGATCCCCACCAATCTGCAGCTCGTTCTGTACGGTGCTAAGCTGGTGGCCCTCAAGGACGTTGTGGCGGATGGATCCGCACAGCTACAAAAGACGAAGGAGCAGCTCGCATCGATTGTCGTCAAGCAGCTTCTCAACCAGCTGGAGAGCAAAGACGAGGACGTGGCTATGACGGGGACAGTCGATGCCACCAACCAAGCCAGCCATCTGCCTCTGCAGCTGCTGCTCACTTTTGACGCCGCCATGGCTGGCGACATCCAGGCGGAGCTTGTCGAGCTTAAGAAGTTCAGCTCCCTCATCAAGAAGGCCACGAAAACGGCAGATGCGCTGTGCGCCAACCACCAGAAGATTGGCTGGAAGTGGAAGGCATTCATTGCGCGGTATACTCGTGGTCAAGAGAGCCGGCCAGCTCGTGACGTCCGCTTTCAGGGCCTCTTCTTGGGCGGCGACAATGGCGAGGCTGCCTCGGTTGCTGCCAACACGACTGCCGCTGTTACAGCTGCATCGGTCCTGCTCGATGGCGACCTGATCCGGGACTACCTCGCCGGCGAGACGGCAGACTACGACCAAGCATCGCTGCTGTCCTACACGGCAGAACTGATCGACGCCCTGGACACGAAGGAGGATCGCGAGACGTCGTCGTTTTCGTCTTCGTCTTCGTCGACTATCGGCCAACTCCTCGCGATTCAGTACCTGCTCGTCCGCCTCTTTGAGACTCCTGGCGCCGCCACAGCAAAGACCCCTGATGGCTTCTATTTTGGTGTCGTCCACAGCAAGCTGGCCCAGAGACTGCCACGCGCCAGCAGTGTCACCGAGTGCAAACTCGTCGCCCAGACCATCCGCACGCTGCTGATGGACGACAAGGCCGCCGGTGCCATGGGCCAGTGGAACGTCGATGCGACACTGGGTGCCGCGGCGTCTGTCGTGGGCCTGAAGCGTGCGGGCATTGCTCTCGGCAACAACGACATGGTGCGGGCGTCGATTGTTGCGTTCGACGGTGCGTGCCAGCTCGTCGAGGCCGTCCTCAAGCGCCACCGTGTCCGGCTGGAGGGCCGGTTTCATCTGCTAGTCGGCACTCTGCAGGCACTGTTGGCCCGCCTGGCGGCCGGTCACCAAGATGAGCTAAAACACAAGTCCGGCCACAGCACCAGCACCAGCACCAGCACCAGCAGCAGCTGGAACAGCGCGAAAAACAGTGTCGCCGTGTCCTGGGCAGCGCAGGCCAAGCGCTTTTCCCGTCTGTTGGAGCTGATTTGCGAGCCGTCGACGGCGGCGGTGACCATGATGACGTCGCGTAAAGGCAGTACAGGCATACCGGCGGCGCCACTGCACTCTGCGACGGATGCGGCAAAACGCTCGGCCGGCCAGCACATGTACCTTGTGCTGATGACGTACATCAAGCTGCAAATCGACGGCGCCGTTCTGTCACGTAGCGTGCGCGAGGCGCTCGAGCCGGGCCTGTTCTCGGTGCTGGCCATCACCCCCGACGGGACGCGACGACTGCTCAACGACGCCGTCGATGCCAGCGGAAGAGCACTCTTCAAGGACCTGTACCGTAGGTGGCTGCAGTTTGGCAAGTGGAAGGGTGTGTAAGGCGGAGGAGGGCATACTTTGTATATATACTCATGCATATAAGAGACATTTGAGATTTTGGTTTCGCATTGTACGCCAGGAAAAAGGGTTTGCTCCTTTTTCTTATGGACACGCCGTGCTGTGTCCTCGTTTTTATGCAGTATTGCAGAGCCGCTAGTAATTACGATGAAAAGAAAATGTTGCTATAGCAAAAGACGTCACGCCACACCACCCAGGCCTATATCTTCTTCTTGTAGGTCGCCGGGTGGCCGTTCTTCTTGCCCCACGACTTGATCTCGCCGTGGAACCACCACAAAATCAAGGGCATAATGAGCGCCATGAGGTACGCGCCCAGCATGTCCAGGAGCCCGTTGCGCGGCGCGCCACCCAGCACGCCCCAGCGCATCACATCGCCCAGCATCGACACCGTCACAAAGTGGTCGCCGCGCTGCAGGCCCTTGATGGCCCTAGCGGCCACCTCATCCGGCGTGAACTGCGGGTCGTCCTTTTCCAGGTGGATCGTCACGTCGGGCTTTGTCTGGGTCTCGCGCGCAAAGCCGGGGCTCAGAATCGTGCCGGGGAACACAATGGACACGCGCACCGGGTTGGTCTGCTCGTACAGCATGACCTCCTGCGTCAGCGTGTCGGCGAGGCCGCGCAGCGCCCACTTGGTCGGCGTGTAGGTCGCATAGCCGGCGACGGGGTACAGCGCGAGCACGGACGCTGTGAAGATGAGGTGGCGCGGCTCCTTGTAGGGCCCGGCCGCGGGCCGCAGCCACTCGCGCAGGATGGCGTGGGCCATCTCGGCGGCGCCCCAGTAGTTGACGTCCATGGCGCGGCGGCCGGCGCCAACGGCGACCTCGGGGGTCTCCTCGGCCCACAGCATCGGCGTGGACATGCCGGCGACGCACCACACAATGTCAATGGGCTTGTCCTCGTTCCAGGCCAGAGCGTCCCGGATGACGGCCGGCGCGTAGTTGGGCACGGCGACGTCGGCCGAGATGTAGTGGAAGCGCTGGGCGCTGGATCTGGCAGCGGCCTTGTGGCATACGGTGAGCATGGGGGCATTATAACGGTAGGATGCGTGGATTTGGATTCTCCGTCATCCATCATCATCCATCACCCACGGGGACCTACCTTGATCTCGGCCACGGTCTCGGTCAGGCGCTCGACGTTCCGGGCCACAACAATGACGTTGGCGCCCTGAGCGGCCAGCAGACGGGCAGCCGAACGGCCCATGCCCTCAGAGGCGCCGGTGATCAGGACGGTCTGAGGAAAAAAAGACATGTCAGCCAGAGTCATGTCGTCTCGTTTGCGAAACAAAAACGCACCTTGCCGTCGACCGGCATCTGGTTTCCTCCGAAAAGGCCCATGGTTGTAGCGGCCAAGGCAGAAGCTCCGACAATGCCTGCAGATGTGAGAGCAAGTGAGCTGGGCATGTCCGAGTTGCGTCTCCGTCAGTCGTTGTTCTCTAAACGGGATAGTAAGGACAAAGGGGTAGAAGTGAGCGTTCTCTATATTTCCAGGACAAACATTGCAGGCCCCTGATAAGCCCCCAATGCCGCTGGCAGGCAGGAGCAGTGGCAGGTTCGCTAACTGGAAGGAACGTTCTGTGTAATTAAAAGTGGGACCGCCAGAGCTCCAGTGACAATATCGCTGGCCAAAAGTGCACGGAATGGGTGAGAAATACGGCTTCAAAATGCGAGTACCCAGTCTCACATTTGGTTGAGACTTCCTCCATAGTAATTGAGGCCCAAGGACATTGCCTACCCTAGCAGCATCTTGGACGCGTGTTTGTGTAGTCGATCCGCAAATGATTCCATATCAGATTACTTGCGACGATGGTGCTGTAAGTAGGGGCGACTACAGTGCAGTTTAGGACCTGTTTAGCTGGCAATGCGCTAAATTGAGGGTCGCTCGACTGCTAAGACTGTATCCCCTGAGCCCATGTTTTGTTGCCAGTGAGGATCAGCTGACAGGATCACCTAAGCTGTCAAACGGCACCCATTTTTATGGGTCTAGCCGATAAGGCGAATAATTTTCTTATCTGGCAGAAAAAGTTACTTGCGCCTAGTAGGGACATCGTCCCAGCAAAATCTCATCTTTTACGCAGGGCCTGCGTCTACGCTGGTTACTTCAACGTCTACCGCCGAAACGCTTTTCCCCTCCCGACCTTCCCTCCCCCTTACCTCTCACAGCCCACCACTGCACAATGGCAAAGAAGAGAAAGGCCAGTCGTGTGGTCGAGGCACCTTCAGGGCCCCGCGACTACGACGCGAAAGATGCTCGGCTCGGGCCCATCACGACATACGAAGACATTGCCGACGAGCAAGAGGAGTACTTTCTCGACAAGGATAAGATTCTGCTGGGCGACGAGCAAGGCACCAAGCGCCAACGGCGGGAGCAGCAGGAAGACGATTTCTTAGAGCTGTCGGACGACGAGGTGCTCGGCCAGGACTCGGACGACTCGGAGAACGAAGCGTTCCAGCAGGACGCGAGCGATCGCCGGAAGCAGAAGACGAAGGCCAAGAAGGCCGCAGCCAAGAAGGCAAAGGCGGCGGCGGCGGCGGCGGCGGCGGCTGCACGACGTGGTGACGACGGCGATGACGACGACGATAACGGCAGATCGAAAAAGACCGGCGACGACGAGGATGGCGACCAGGGCTGGTGGGGTACCTCCAAGGAGGAGTACTACGACGGCGAGACAATTGAGACCGAGGCCAATGCGCTGGAGGAGGAGGCCGAGGCACGGCGGTTGCAGAAGAAGCAGCTGTCGCGGATGAAGGCGTCGGACTTTTTCGACATGGACGAATGGACCGAGAAGAAGACGGATACAACACCGGGCGCTGTCGCAACCGCAGCAGCAGCAGCAGCAGCCGGTGACGGCCACACGGTGACGCTGACAACCAAGACCAACAAGGAGGAGATCGACTCCATGACGCCCGAGGAAAAGGCCAAGTTCCTCAAAGACTACTACCCCGAGTTTGACCCGCTGTGCGACGACTTTGTCGAGCTGGAGCCGCTGATGCACGAGTACAAGGCGCTGGCCGAAGGCAAGCCCAGCGAGTCGCTTGAGGTGGTGCAGTTCCGTGCGCTGTCGTGCTATGTGGCCACCATCTGCATGTACCTCTCGCTGTTCATGTCTCCCTCACGCGACAACCCGAGCGGCAGCCGCTACATCATGGACGCCGACGAGCTGCACGACCACGAGGTCATGCAGTACCTGGTCGACACGCGCGCGACGTGGGAGCGCGTCAAGAATCTGCAGGCGCGGCGGGCAGCCAAGGCCAGGAAGGCGGCGGCGGCGGCGGCGGCGGCGGCGCTGGCCGTGGAGAGAGCGATTGAAGAGAAGGCGGCGCAAGAGCGGGCAGCAGCAGCTGAGGCGACGGTCGACAAGACCAAGAAGAAGGCCAAACCCAGCAAGATGGGAAAGACGGACAAGACGGACAAGACGGACAAGGCCGACAAGGCCAAGAAGAAGCAGAGCAGGACCACTGCCGCGTCACGGGAACTCGAGGCGTCCATGGCCGACCTGTCGGAGCTGCTGAACAAGAAGCCCAAGAAGGCGAAGAAGGCTTCTGCCGCGGCACCACGCGGCGGCGACGACGACAGCAACGATGGCCTCTCGGACCTGGGCGAGGAGGAGGCCCTGGATGCGCGGACGGCCGAGGAGAAGCTGAAGCGCAAGAAATCGCTCGGCTACTACACGTCGCAGATCATGCAAAAGTCAAACCTGCGCGCGGGCGCCAGCGGACAGGCCGGCGGCGACGCCGACATTCCCTACCGTGAGCGCTTCCGTGACCGCCAGGCACGTCTCGAGGCCGTAGCGGCGAAACGCGGCCAGGCGCCGATCCAGCCCGGCGAGGAGCTTGGCGGCAGCGACGAAAGCAGCGACGGCGGCGACAACGAAGACGACAACGAGGCCGACAAGGAGACCAGCCTGGCGTACTACAACAGCATCGTCAAGGCGCACGAGGCAAAGATGGGCGTCAAGGCGGCGCGCAAGGCAGCCATGGAGGCCGGCAAGCTCGACCGCATCCTGCCTGAGACGTCGCTCGACCAAGACGGCCGGCGGCAGCTGACGTGGGAGATTGAGAAGAACAAGGGCCTGAGCCACAAGACGCTCAAGGAGAAGAAGAACAACCCGCGTGTCAAGAAGCGCGTCAAGTTTGAGAAGAAGAAGAAGCAGCTGGCCAGCATGCGCGCCGTCTACAAGCCCGTCGACCGCGACAACTACCAGGGCGAGCGCACGGGTATCAGCACGGGACTGATCCGGAGTATCAAGCTGGACTAGGGGGCGGTAGGGGGCGGTGGGAAAAGCGTGTGATTGACTTTGTGCTATTTTGTCATCATAGAGGGTTTGCATAGCATCACCATTAATTGTAAACTTCTGGCGTTCCTCAAAGAGGGCCTGCCGGCGTTTTGGTCGATAGAAAGTGAGTGAGTGGAGAGAAGTGAGGTGAGGTTGTTCCCAAGTGGAACGATTAGTCATCATCCACTGGAAACAGCCAACCACGTGACAGGAATTACGAAAACGCCAATTCTTTCCGCTTGCTCTGCCGTTTTCTGCGCCCGCGGCCACAATTGAGCTTAAAATCCTCCCCCAGTCGACCGAACGACCACGCATTTCCCCGAGCCGACACGAGGTCAATTGGATCGCTGCAGCGGACACCCGATTCGACGAAGCGCAGACGAGAACATCGAGCGTCCTTTTTTCTCCCCTCGTTTTCCTTTTCCACGCCCGCCCCCGCCCCATAATGCGCACATCCCTCCGCCTGCTGGCCGGCGTCAAGCCGGGCCGGTATCTCCAGAACGGCGCCCAGACGGGTCTCGCAGGCCTCTACACGCACGACACGCCGCGGTCGACGCTTCTGTTCCTGTACTCGACGACACTCGACAAGCTGAAGGCGGCGCCGGAGCAGTCGGTGTACCGGCAGTCGGTCGAGGCCATCACCAAGCACCGGATGGCGATTGTGCAGTCCGTGAAGCCCGAGGGCTACGACGCGTGGCTGGCACGGGCACAGAAGACGGTGGCGGAGAACCCGGAGCACTTTGGCAGCGTGGCGAAGCTGGGCGTGGACGGCGAGGCGACGTGGCGCGTGGAGAAGAACGGCCGCACCTTTATCATCCAGGACGTGCCGGACGCCGTGGACCAGCGGCTCAAGGAGTGGGACGGCGAGCAGAATGAGGGTGCCGAGCGCGAGGGCGTGCGCACGCTGGAGGAGCGTGCGGACCAGGCGCTGTCGGCGTCGCGGCAATCGCTCGAGGAGGTCTCGTCGGTGACGTGGGAGCCAGAGCCGCAGCTGACGGCGGATCAGTACGTATCGTAGGAGGGAAGGAGAGGGAAAGAAACAAGAAACAAGAAACAAATGGAACGGCATGCTAACCAAAATCTTTCTAGGATCGAGGAAGTTGAGGCCAAGATCGGCGCCGGCCTGATCGAGGAGGTCATCCACGTCGCTGAAGGCGAGGCCAGACTCGTTGACGTGATGATCAAGGCCAAGGTGTAAGTATTGCAAGGTGCCGACGTGGGAATTCTGTGTGCCTGTTTTATGGACGCCTGCTAACAAATCAGCTGGGAGAGCCTAGAGGAGAAGCCCGCCGAGGGTCAGTGGAAGTACTTTGAGCGCAAGTCATAGAGGACGGCTTTGCCGGGCCCGGACAAGGGGTGAGACGAGCGAAATGGCGCGAGATATATCCGAAGAAGAACATAAGAAGGCAAAATTCACGACTCAGGCCTGGAACCTGCTGCACGGCCGGCAAGGAAGTACTCCATTACTACAGATGCATCCAAACGACGAGTCGAGTCCAAGGACAAAAAAAGAGCGCTGAGAGGGTGACTGGTGTACAACTACAGAGGAGGCTGTGTATATATTTTGTGATTTTCCAATCAAACATTTACAGCATATCAAGAGGAACAACTATCTGCGTGTTCTTGAAGATTACGTAGACGAATAATCGTTGGTTCTAAATGCTGTGAATGCTAGACCGTACAACGTACGCTGCAAACCAACCACACAATTTAGAGTGGGGCCTCCAACACTCACTTCACCAAAACCTTTACAACTGTACATAGAAGCACATTTACTTCCAACCTAACACTTCCAACCTTCTTGTAATGGCTTTTTCACTGCCCCAAGACCATCAACCTCGCAATGTCGTATATTGAGCCACCCACGCTCACCAACATTCGAAAGCGCAAGCGCTCAGTCCGGTCGGCGTCGGTGGCGTCCAGTGTCGTCTCCCATCTGCCGCGCGATGCCATTGATCCGCACAGCTACGGCCCGTCTGCGCGGCGACAGCTCGTCGTCGCCGGCCTGACCCACTCAGATCGTCTGCCGTCCGACTATGTCGAAGGTTTCCCCCACCGGCCGCTGCCAGATGGTGTCGGTGGCGACGCAGTGGACGATGCCAAGGGGGACAAAGACAAGCATGGGTTTGGATCTGGATTCGGGTTTGACGGTGACGGCAGCAACGACGAGGACGACAATGACACAGACTCGGACAATGACACTGAAAACGAAAACGGTTCCATCCATTCCGATGCGGGCCTGTACGACACGACAGAGGACGACGACGACGGTGGCGGCGGCGGCGGCGGCGGCGGCGATCCAGCTGAAAACGCAGCACGCCTTGCCGTCAAGCAGCGCCGGCTCCGTCGTCGTGAGGCCCGCCGCCGCCGCAATGCACTCCGCATGCAGCGTGCCTACGACCACAACGTGGGCGTGCTGGCGACAATCGTGCAGCGGGGACTGCAGGAGGCCGCGCACGGCACGCTGCCGGGCGTGTCGACGGCCACGGGCGAAGCAGGCCAGCTGGCGGCGCCGATTGGGCTGGCTCGGGCCAAGCGCGCATTTGGGCTGCTTTTGCGCACAGACGTCAAGGGCCGGCGCGTGGATCTGCGCAAGAACGATATGTGGGCCATGGGCGCCGAGCTTCTCATGCGGGAGGGCGAAGACGAGGGCGAAGACGAAGGCGACAAGGGACGTCCTCGTCGCTGGGGCTCAGCGGCCAATATGCCGCGTGTTCGTGCTTTCTACGAGGACTTGATCCAGCAGCACCCTTACAACCGGCTGTTTCCACGGTCTGTGAACGCGCTGACGTTTTGGCCGGCACTGGCTGGCACCGAGCTGTACAACATCCACACAGAGGTGCAGCTGGCGAATGAGCGCCTGGATGCCAAGGCGAAGCAGAGACGGAAGACGAGAGAGACGAGAGAAAGGGCGGCGCACGGCGACGGCGAGGATGGCAGCAGCTCTGAAGACGCTTCGCATTCGACGTCGGACTCGGACGCGGACGCCAGCCATGACAGCGACAGTCCAGACGCAAACAGCAACGACAGCGATGGCCACAGGCGTCGCCGTCGGCGCAACCATCCCGACCGGCTGGCGCGCGAAGACGTCCGGCATGCCGCTCTCGAGCAGCTCCGCGACCTGGCCCGCCGCATGGATGCCATCATGGCCGGCCCGCCGTATGCCACAAGTCCAGAAATGCTGCGGCTGCGCGGCATGGTGGCGCTCTATATGGGCGACCTGGCCATTGTAACGCCGCCACGAACGCAGCCGGAGACGCAAGAGGGCGAGCGCGTCCGTGCCCAAGAACAGTCGCGTGCGCGTGCTCGCTTTGCGCGGCTGCTCGAAGTGGACCGAGATGTGCAGTCCGGGCGGCAGCACAAGCGTGGAGGTGTGCCGGATACGGTGGTGGATGCGTACATTCAAAGTCTGGCGCGAGGCGGAGGCGACGTCCATGGCCACCATAGCAGCAGCGAAGAGGACGACGACGACACGGTAGGCCATGGTATGAACAGGCCGACCTTTAGTTCCCTGCCTTTTCGGAGTCAGTAACAGCGTGTCGGAGGCTTCCATGATACCTTTTCGGATTTTTCCTTTCTTTTTTTCCCTCCCTTTGTCCCTTCTGCATAATTTGATACCCAATGGCGCTTAGTTGCTTGGAAACGATTAAAAATAAAACTATGGTATTCCATGCTGTTTTGTTCTTGAGAAATAAAACGTAGAATCGTTGCTGCATCCTTTACTCTTATCATCCCGGGCCGTCACGTAGTTCATAACACAATCCACGGCCTACTCGGCCTCATCGACAGGGTGGCTGGGGTCGCTGTTCGCCCACCGCTGCAGGATCATCACGCGGCTGTTGCTGCCCACAACCACACACCACTCGCCCTCAGGACTCCAGGCCGCCTGTCGTCCGACGGCTGACAAGCCCTTGGTGGTCTCTGCCTTGTGGGCTTTGACGAGCACGTGCGGGTCGTTGGCGTTGTACTTGCTGTTCCAGTCGTCCAACGTCTCCTGGTTGTAGAGGTCGCTCAGGCGGTAGCCGACGGCACTTCTGCCTTTTGGCGTGGCACCGGCGCTGGCGCTGCTGGTCGCCGTTGGTGTGGCAGCAGACGCTGCACCTGGGACACCCGGCGCACCTGACACGACAGACGACTCGCGGTCGCTGCCGTCGCCGTCCCGAGCCACGGCACCCAGCAGTCCCGGACCGTTGGCGGCGTCTCTAAGCCGACGTCCTCCTGGGTTGTTGGTGCCGATCGTACCGCTGCTGTTGGTGTTCCCGCCGTTTCCTATAGGTCGCTTCCTAGGCACGACAATCCGCATCCACGGCGGGCGTGGTACCGGCCCCTCATCCAGCTCGGCCCCGCCTGGCCGCGCCCCCTGGCGCTCGCGCCGATAGTTGGCCGTCATAAACTGCCGGTAGGCGCTGAAACACGTAAAGTCCCAAAAGAAAATCTTGGCGGAGGCATTGCAAAAGGCCAGCATTGGGTGGTGTCCCGCGACGTTGAAGAGACCAAACCGCATAAAGAACTGGGGCCCGCACCCGGGCGTGTGCAGCTGCAGGAGCCGGGTGTACTGAGGCGTGGTGCTGGCCACCGCGTTGGCATTGGCGGACGCAACGGCCGACGGTGACGTGATAAGTGGCACGTGGAAGGCGGAGCGCGTGAGCTTGGTGGTGTCCTGGTTGGAAGGGGCTTGCTCAGGTGAGGGCGGCTCGGCCGTGGAATCAAAGCCCTCAATGCGCCAAAGGACAATGACGTCCTCCAAGCAGGCGCGAGAGAGGATGAGGTCGCCGTAAAAGGCGACGCAGTCGATAAGCCCGGTGTGGATCTCCGAGGTTGAAAAGTGCGGGAAGTGGACAATGATGGGGACCTCGACATGCTCGTTTGGGATATCAGGCAGTGTCCACTAGGGTGAGGTCAGTACCGAGGCCTGAGGTAAATTGGCTTTCCATTCCGTTTGAAACTCACAAGATTGATGACTTGATCATGCCCTGCCGATATGACATAGCGACCGGTGTCGTGGAACGCCTATACGAGAGGAACGAGAGAACATCCATTAGCAAAGAGGTAGCAATCAAAGCTGCGTAGCACTGTCAACCACATATAAAGACATACCACGCTCAGCAGATTCCACGAATGGCCTTCGCCGCCGAGCAGACACACACAGGGCTGCTTCTTGTGGACAGGATCAAGGCTCCATAACCGGACAGTCGTGTCATCCGAGGCTGACACGATGAGATGGGGGTTGGTTGGCGACGTAGCAAGATCGTTGATTTCCTAACAGTGTCAGCGACCTTCCTTGTCTAGAAAGTCAACACAGGCCCAAGGTAGGGTACATACTCCTCCATGGCCAACAAAAGACTACCGTACACAAGTACGAACTGGTTAGTCAACAGCTTCAGCAACAACGGATGTCAGAGGGGCCACGGGACAGACTGCGGATGTGAACATACGGTCACTGCCTCGCCGTCGTGAATATTGTAGACCTTGACTTTGGCATCGCGGCCGGCGACACAGAGCAATGCCCGCTCGGTCTCCGGATCTAGTGCCCATGTACATGAACAGTTCAATGCACCCTCCTGGTTGTCGTTAGCAGTGGACTGGGGCAGCACCAGAAGCTCGTCCTAGTTCCCGGTGGGCAACATACATCTTCATCGCGGATCACGCGGATGATCTCACAGGGATTTGTGTCCTTGGTCTGTATGAGCCGGCAGACGAATATCTGAAGAAATTTAGCGACTCACACTCTGATACCAACGTGACGCAGACGTCTCGACACATTCGTATTTCGTCTTCATGGCATACTTACATGTCGTTTGCTCACGGCAGCAAATACCGGATTGCTGCCGGGCGGGTTGTAAGGATAAAACTTGACATCAAAGAACTCTGTGTCTGTTAGTAGCTGTCGACCAGCGCATTTGAATTGCGGACGGTCCGCCGTACCTGTGTCCGAGTTGGCATCGTCGGCGTTGCTCTTGGTATCCTGCAGCGTGATAACATCGTGTAAGCCAACGGCCAGCTTTGATGACTTGTGGAGTAGGCAAAACAACAGGCGAGGCCCCTACCTCGAAATTGAGCGAATACCGCAGCCGGGGCATGTCCCACTCGGACGGCACTGCAGGTGCCATGGCCAGTCGCGCCCGCCCTGCGTTGTTGCAGTTTCCTCTTTTTATTTTTCGTTTGCCTTCGGTTGCTCTTTCCCCCCTATGGCGGTTCGTCCCCGCCTGCAGCTGAAAGAGGCAAGCACAAATTACCTCGTTCTGGCAGGGACTCCTAAAACCCAGAGGAAAGGACTCAGCAAGGAAGGAGCAGTGCGCTCACGCTGGCCTTTGCTGGATGGGGTCAGGAAGGGAGTGAGTGAGTGTAATGGGGCTGGACAGGACGTGGGCCTTGCTTAGGGCCCGTGGAAAGCGCAAACGGGTGCAGAAGCCGAACAGTCCGTACGGGTCGCACTTGCCAAGTAGCAAAGTGAAAAGCAGACAGCAGTGAGAATAGCACACAATATGGCACGAGAGTACGAAATACAACACACAACATGGCAGTTTGTCGTTCCAAACAGTGTCTTACGCAAAATGGCGGGGCAAGCGCTGGTCAGCTCGGAGCTTGGACTCAGCTTCGCTTGGTTTGGCGCCTGCTGTCACGTCCCCTCAGACAACCCCCTTCTTGCTGTGTCAAGGTCTAGCGCCCATCTTGGAGCGCCTTTTGGGCCCTGCGAAAGGGCCCAGTAAAGACCCGCCCCGGCGCTAAGGCAATATTGGCAATTAAGGAACGGCCAAAAGTACTGGTTTCAGGGGAGAAGAAAAAGAAACGAAAAGGAACAAAGGGGACCACAGCACAGACACCGCCGAGAATGATTGCTGCAAGGGTTTAAACGACTAGGGAGAAGGAATCCTGCCGCGTACAGGCCAATCCCCTAGCAAGGAAAGACCCCAGAAGGCCCAGAAGCCTGGAGGCCGGAATTACGTTGTCATTACGGAATACGGTGGGCATCTCTTGGCTGTTTTGAGTTCTTTCTTCTCCGCGGACATGTCTGGAATATAACTCCTGGTGGCAGGAAATTACTGACTGTCGTTGACAGCTTTGCTAGATTGTGAGCTTCTGGTCCGGTTGGTTGACTGTCGTTGACAGCTTCTAGATTGTGAGCTTCTGGTCCGGCTGGCTTGGACAACGATCCATGAAAGAAACCTGATTTTGCGAGCTGCGTCGGTCGACCAAAACCAGTGGGGACCGAGCAACGCACCTTTTGTGTCTTGTCTGTTCAGCTAGAGTGGACAGCGGAAAAGCCGGCGGAAACCCGGCGGGAAATCGTGGAAGGAGATCCATCACCGGGCTGAGAAGGACCTCGCGAGTGCGGTTCTGTAATGCAGTGACAAGGCAAAAGCAAAGAGGGATCAATGAAGATGGGCAAGTGTGGCAAGTGTAGGATGTGGAACGAAGAAGAAACAAGAAAACAAGACAGGCATAGACCTTGTTCTTGCATGCACGGAGTTTGTACTTTCGTACTTGTTTTCCGTATACCATCACACTTGCCTGCGTATTTTGTATCCTTGAAATCCCCAGTCTCGTCAATGGATGCATGGTCCTGCTTTGCCTTGTCCGTCGTCTTGTCTCTCATGCATGCCTTTGTAGTCGTGCATGCGGCATGAAGCGAATTCCACTTTCTTCTCTTCTTGTTGCTCCTCTTTTTGTCAGTGACCTTGTCCAGTGCCCAGCGCATGCCTCTGTGAGCCTAGAACAAATTGGCCTGTCTGAATTCCTCACACTGACTGGTATACTTGCACACATTCATAAACGCGAAAATAGGTCCACAAACTGTCAACAAACAAAGATTCAAAAACCCAAGATCATTGCAAAAACAACCTGCTGTTACTCGCTGCCCCATCTTTGCCCGCCTTTCTTCTTCCTGATGAGCGCGGAGGTCGTCATTGATAACCGCAGCCAAACCAAACACGGAACATACCGTCTTCCCAAGTTGCACATGGACACATTCCTAATGCGTACGACGTCCTTCTCTGCGTACCTTAAAAATGAAACGAGAAAAAAAAAAGAAAGAAAAAAACCCAAGAGGGAGACGACAAAGAAGAAGAAGAGTAAGACATACATGGTGCCACAGGTTCGAAATCAGCCACCAAGTTAACGGGCGGAGAACAAAACACTTCCAAACTGCAACATCCTGCGCATAAAGTTGCCATCTGAGCTCGTACTAATTAGTCGTGGGCCAAACAGGATGCAGCTACGACGTACCGCCACGTTGGAATACGGAATATTTGAAAGTCGTAATCACACCTGAACAACAAAGCCCCAGGATAGCGCGCAACTTCCGAGCGTCGTACCTCGCAGTGCTTTTACATGTTTATTACACGCTAGCCTCATGAATCGGACCTCCAATGAGACTTCCAAACAGCCTTGCCACCTGACCAGCAGAGTGCCTGGCGACAGGGGGAGGTATCTTATGCTAGGCGGAGGGTGAGCCTGGGCGTCCGGTAAAAATGGACGCCGAACAGACATGATCGACCACCTTAAATTAGGACCCAACCAAAGGGCAGCTAGGAAGGGGGGGGGGCCTTTTAGCGTCCTTTGGCCCTCATCCCTTTATCCTTTTGATTCTTCAGACAACCATCTCATATGAAGTACTGCCGGGGCGCCTTGTTCCAGCAGACACCGCCCTGGTTGAAGTGTGGTTCGGCGTGTTTTGAGTGGCAACCACGATGGTGCGTTTTGATATACAGAGCAATTACAACGTACTCCGTACCAGATACGAAAATAAGGGCGATGGGCGTCTGACAACATTAAGGTACCACGATGTTAATATATCCAGACACGCAGATATAGACAGGCTACGCTTGTGGCATGTAAGAGTAAATCCAAGTCCAAGACTGCCGGCCCAAAACAGACGTAAAAAAAGAGTGGCAAAGCCGGACAGCAAACCAGATCGATGTTCTACCCAACTCGGCCAGCTGTCGGACAATGGGCAAGTTTAATCAGTCCGGCTTGGACCCTTTTCCATTCCGTTGGCGGCATACAATATACTGTCTCCATGTTGAGATGCACACTGCCCAGTTCCAATGCTACTCTCCTTCCTCTTTGATGTTGGAGCTGAAAACTCGCAAATACGTCGGGGGGCGGCCGAATGCAACATGGGCCCGCAGAGGCGTTCCGGCCACCAGGTAACCAATCCACAGCCCTCCGTCTTTTGCCTTGAATGTCGAATATGAAGGGAGAAACGCCAAGCCAGACAACCATCCAGTCCAGAAACAAGAAAGCGAGGTGCTGCATAACCTTGGCCTTTGGACTGAGACACGGTGGCTCGCATGCGATCCCCCCACGACCAGCGTTCATTTGGAATCCTTTGCCTTTTCTGTGCTCGTCTTTCGGATTCAAACGCGTAAGCGTTTGGCCGGGAGAACGTGGAAAGGGCCGTGGTATCGACGTAAACTGCCATGGGTTGAAAACCGGCTGCCAAAGGCGGCTTGTATCTGGAGAAAGACGGCTCGTCCCCTCAAGAAGTGCACGGCGACTGCCTCCCCGTCCGTTGACTGAGTATTCGCAACTGCATTTTTATACAAGTAAATGTACGACGCAGTACGACGTTCGGAGACCTGAACGCACCTTCCAACTTTGACCCTTGCTCGTCCTGCAACCTCTTTCGTTTTCTCATTCCGCCCCACTGCCCGTCTGAACCAGGTGCGCGGGATCTTTCCTTTTCAGCACACACCACACAATACACACAAAACACACAAAACACACGGAAAAAGAACAACACTCTCCGCCCTCATCAACCTCGGGAGGTCGGTTCACGGCGTATTACACTCTAGCTCGAATTGGGGAAGACACGATATTCGACGCCTGTATTGCAAACGAAGTAGGCTACAGTCTTTTCTCTCTGCGACGCGTGGCTTCTGGTTCTGACGTATCTTCTTATCTCGTTCGCGCTTTCCTGCTCGGACTGCACACCTCCGTACTCAGTACAAAATAGTTATTGATCCAATTGCCCCATTCGGAACATTTCGACAGCGAGCTCGATCCGGTTGCTCCTGCCGTCTGTCAGCAGAAAAAACTGTGTATCTCGTCCCCTCCTCGCCATCTTACCCAGCGGTTGCGGCTGGCCTGCATAGCACCGGCCCACGTCCCATGTGCAGCTTCCCTGTTTAAGAGTGGTTCTTTCTGGCATTGCTACAGGTCGCGCCTGCCAACCTCTCCTCCCCCGTCATCCCGACCTCACCGCCCCTTGGCACGGCTTTGTATATGTACAAAGTAAAATCGACTGGCCTGTTCACTCCGCCCAGACGCAATGCAAACCTGCAGCAATCACTTGTCTCCGAGTCCTGGAAGGAAACGTACAAGTTAGAACACATGGATACTCCAGCAAAGCCTAGCTACTTGCATTAGTCTTCCAAGCTCCCCGTGTTATTTTCCTTTATTTTCCCTTCTTGGCACCACCTCCGCTCTTGTTCCCCTTTCGCTACCCTATCCTCCGTTGAGCCTGCCTTACAGAGTAAGCACCCCGCTCCTTCCCGTTAGTCCAAGTCGCTAAAGCATGCAAATGTACCGCTAGCTTTATCAACACCCACAGACTCCCCTTGGATGTGGTCTGATGTGCGAGGGAAGGAGCATTTTGTATTTTGATGTGTAGCTTCCTTCTGATGAAACTTGCGTTTCTTAAGGGTCAGTTTGACCAGCTGCTTTGACCAGCTGCTTTGACCAGTTTGACCACCTACTGCAAACCGCCGCACGAAAGTCATGCAGTGAGACCTTTCACGTAGCTGTTAATGAAGGAGTGTTACATAGACAAAGCAATACTCTGCACGACGTGATTCCCCTTGTTCCTTCTTATGTTTTTCTGATGTTCTGATCATCCTTTGCTCTTTCCCTATTCTTCGAACCAGGTGTCTCGAGCGGAAGGCAGGGAAAGAGCATTCGACAACAGAGCTTTAGGAAACAGCAAGGAGGGTTTTTGAAATCTCGAGAAAGAGGCGGCCAAAACAAAGACTTTACACTTCCAGAGAACAAAAAGCAATTTTAGCTTCAACAAGCCGATGCAGCCGGCCTCGTCCACGCCAGGGCCACTTGAGTGACACTCGCTATTTCTGGACATCCGCTCATTTCAGCCAATTCAACGCCAGTTTCAGCCCCAAGGACACTTCCCACACTCACCCACACCTTCTCCGCCACCCTTCACACTCGTACACCCAACGGTACGCCATACACCATCCCAAAGTCAAATCCCCGTCATTGACGACGCAACGCAACACAACACAACACGACTGCCCATTGAACGCAACGCAACGTCGCTACCAGCAAACCAAAGGTTGGGGGCCACAGGTTCACGCACACCACCTTGAAGGCTGCAACCGCGACTGCCACAGCAACATCTTGACGGCCTGCCACAGCTTCGAAGCTCTTCTTCTTATGCTTCACAGCTTCATCTCCGTCGTGTTATTATTTCTACCTGTTGTGTCTTCGTCTTTTCGGCGTTTCGTGTCTTTGTGTCTCTCATTTCTTTTCCTGTCCATTTGTGGCCAGGCCCGACGTTTGCCTCTTCTTCCTGTTGCTGGCCCATTTCTTCGTCCTTTCATCGCTACCTCATTCTCTTGTTTGCTCATCCTTTCTCCTTCAGGTCCTCCCTTGCCTGGGTGATAACCGTTCACTCTGCTCCATTCACTCCATTCTCATTCTTTGCAACGGCCGAGACCAGGTATCTGGTCCCGTCCGACGGGGTCTGTGTTACCCCTCGGCTCGCGCAAAGTCGCTGTTTTTGCAGCGCAGCCTCCTCCGGCGTCGTTTCTTTCGTGTCCGTTACGCTCTGTGTCTCTCGCGTATCGCTGCTTTCGCGCCGAAAGAAACGAACACGGCCGCAACAGCCACAGCTCGCAGCTCACATGTCACAAATCAAAACGCTCACAGCTCGCTCGGCCAGTTTCCCACTCACAACCCTTGCCTTTGCATGCCACTTGGGTTGTCCCAACCAACGGCCTGGCATAACGTTGGCACCCGACCGTTCATCACCAACTGCTTGGTCGTCACCCACTCCCCGCAGCTTTTCATTTCTTTGGCCATTGGCTTTTCTGTCAGCTCTTCTGCCATCTTCTGTGTTCGGAAAACGGCTTCTTGCAGGCAGCTTGCTCGTCTCTTGTCACGGTCTCTCACATCGCGTGCTGCAGGGCTACTTTAGTCTAACCGGCGTTCAGTCGATCATTTCTGACCACGTTCTTTTACTCTTCTCTCGGAACAGGGGCCATTTTCGGTTCCCTCTCCTTGCCCAGTAATCACGCCGTACGTGCTACCCGTTGCTTGACTTTTTGCCTCCCGATGTTCTTGAACCAGAAGCTTAAGTATTTCTTCTCTTCCTCCTCCAAAGATCATCTTGTCTGAGGGGTTTGTGCATTCGTGTATTTGTGCATTCTGCGCGATTTCTTTCCTTCTTTTCCGCCTTATTGAAGATTCGTTACGAACCATCACTAGCACGCCGGTCTATTCTGGGTTCTTTTACCTTCCTCTCGTTTTGTGCCGCATGGCATAGGCCGAGATGACTTAAGACGCCATTGCCCTAACGAGTAAAACAATATTGCTCTGCAGTTGTGCACTTGGCGTCACTGGTCGACGTCGCCGGTTCCTGCCATGGAACAAACATTTATGACGATTCACAGTGAGTCCCCCCTGTTCCGAGTATTCCGCTACTATGGTATTGGTATATCTGATAGATGACGGGATGTACTGACATGCCGTCTCTTGTTTTTTCCCCTTCGCCGTCACAAAGACCTCAGCCCAGATGCCAACATTCTATTTGCGTCCGAGTCCATCGTCGATATTTTAGGCTACCAACTGGCCGAGGTGCAGGGCAAGTCATGCTTTGACTTCTTTCACCCCGAAGAGGTACCTTCTGCACGCTCCGTCCTCAGCCGGGGCGTGCTCCTGGACAAGGCTGCAGTGCTTCATTATGCCCGCATATTGTCCCGTGATGGGCGCTGGGTTGGCTGCGAGTGCTGCTTCACCGTTGTCCATGACGTATTGGTGGCCTCCATAAGCATCTACCGGCGAAACGCAAAGAGCGAGAGTGCGTTTTTATTTCCACTTGTATTCAATCATACTGTACCCTATCAAGAGGGACTACTGACACAGCTAGGACGAGCCATTGAGGCTCCCCAAATCCGGCGCATATTCTCATGTTCACCACGCGATCCACGGTACCATATGCTGGAACACCTATCGCCAAAATTCAAAGTGCCACCAATGGAGCGAGAGCCAAGGGCCGCTTTGATTTTGAATCGCTTCACACGGAATCTCACAGTCATGTTCGCCACTACGTCCATTTCTACCGTCCTTGGCTTACGGCCACACGAAATCAAAAACAAAGGTTTCTACCGATGCATCCAGGAAAGCTGCTTATCCGAGGCGATCGAGTGCCTCGAGAGCGCAAAAGCAAATGACTCTATTGCGTACCTACGCTTTTTCTTCCAGGATCCACGAGAGGACAACGAGCTAGCCGAAAGCATGGCCAACGGCAACATCAACGTGAACAATACCGCCTTGGCCGAGGACGCAGAAATGGCCATGCCCGGAGGCGCGACAAGTGACATGGATGCGGACGAAGCTAACGCAATCAACATCAAAGTCGAGGCAGAGGACGACGCACACTTCTCTTTGCCCTCTGTGCCCCTTGTGTCTGAGGCTACGACATCCGACTCGCCAGGAAGGCTGCCTTCGATCGAACTGGAAGCCGTGGTCTCCTGCACGTCTGACGGCCTCGTGGTCATTCTTAGAAAAGCGCGACCGCCAATCCCACCAGCGCATCCCCCATTGGTGGCTCCCGACTACGGCGACGGGCTTTTTGCCGCACCCTGGGGCCAGCAGCCCATCCAGCCACACTTTCCACAGGAATCTTTGTATACATTTCGGGCCCCCTTACTGCCGCAGTACATGCCCCTACGACAGAACGTAAAGGATGCCGGCGGGCCGCCACTGGACACCCTTATGGGGTCGATACGCGATGTGGCCGTATTTGCATGGGGCGTCGTCGGCATCAACCCTGCCTTGGCTGCGTATGGCCGAGGCCTGCCGTCCGGCGAGGCACGACCGACTTCCGGCTCACGACCAGGCCGTCAACAAACCAGACATGGGACAACCAATGACAACACGAACACCGCTACCTTTCCCAAACAGGACAAAGGAAAAGCTCCCGAGAACGAAGCGACGAGCCAACCACGCACCTATACAGCAAGACGAGTACCGGCCGATGCCAGCCATAATGCCCTTGATCCAGTCAGGAGCAGCATCGTGAGCAACTCATGTGGCTACCAGTCGATGCTGCTGCCGTCCACGGGCTCGAACTGGGGCTATACTCACTCCCGAGAAACGACGGCGGCTCTTATGGAGCAACCCCAAACTGCTCGAAGCCTCCAACAACTGCCTCAAAACTACAGTTCGTCCTTCCCACCAAGCTCGTCTAGTCCCAATGCACCGTTCCGACGGCATACAACTTCGAGAGGCACCGGTAACCAGCCGCCGTCATACGGATCACCAGTTGCACAAGGTCCTTCAGCGACCACGACCGGCTCGATGCAGGATCGCCATTTCGGGTGGCGCTAAACTGAATTCGTCACAACATGAAGATCATGAGTCGTGGTTGTCATCCTCGCAACCTTTCTATTTCGGCATTCCGGCACTCCGTTTTTGACAAACGTCTTCTCGACATTTCGGTTTTCGTTTACATTATTATGTTTCCTTCTTGTCATTTCCACTTATCTAGCTAACCAGTGCTCTCACGGTTGCGTCGTCTTGGTCGAAATTACATCAGATGACGCGGGGGTGGTTTTTTCAATATTCAACTCAAATAACAGCATAGCGACAGCACAATATACCCACCAAGGCTCGGGCCTGACCTCAGAGTCTTTTCCCAGATACTTTTGATAGCTGAAATCGATTTTGGTTGATTTTATAAGACTCTCCGTTTGTGGATCAGATTGTAAGTACGTAACGTGTGAGGTTGCACTATTCGCTGCACCTCGCAGAAGGTCCCATCAAATCGTAAGGCGTCGAAACTCGGTGAAAATAGCGTGTGAGCGTGTTATTGAAATGCTGGTGCCTGTAATTTCTCCGTAGAGGTTGGCGTCCACAGAGTAATTGTGGGGCAAAGGGCGCGGACGCGGCAGCCCCAAATCGCACCTATGTTGGCCAATGAGGTCCACCAGGGCAAGCTGGCCTCCTTCTGAATCCGTTCACCCTTTTCCATCATCGCAACACATCGTCGCTTTCAGTAACTACGCAGTTTCTCGAGCACGCCTATCACCAGCGACCACTCCCTACAATAAGCCGATAAAACGGGCTACCTCTCTTCCGACATAGTCCTTTCCTTGTTCTTACCACTTAGCACGTATACGAGTGACTGCACGCGATGGCGTCCGTCAACCGCAAAGACTATGGCCCTGCGCCGCAAATCGAAGACGACGACCTCATCGATCCGGATGATGGTACATCACCCTTCTCTATTCTGCACATTTTTTAGTCGTACCTCTCTAACAGTGATCTACTCCAGCCGACCTCGATGACCTTGACGACCCCTTGGCGCCCGAGGCGTCCTCGTCACGAGCTCCCTTGCGCGGCAACATCGGCTCTTCCTCAACAGCAGGCCCCAGCAGCGGCTCTGGCTCTGGCAGCTTCGGCCGCTCCATCAGCGGAAATTACCTGACCTCCCAAATCCCTGGCGAAGACCGCTCGGCACCCACCAACACCATCGACGAGAGCGTGTGGGCGACCCTGCGCCGGGACCTGCTTGCCGTCTGGGCCAAGATGCGCGAGGTCCTGTACCCGCGGTACCTCTTTGGCGGCTCCATGTTTGACGCCGACGGCAATGGCGGCAGTGGTGGCAGTGGCGGTGGCGGCCTTCGTGGTGCCTATGCGACGCTGCGCAACGCAGGCCTGGCCGGCACGCGCGACGAGCTGGCCGGCCTGGCCGGCCGCATGCTCGACCCAGAGTCTCTGCTGCGCCAGAGCAACATGACCCCTGGACTGCGCGACTGGGACCTGTGGGGCCCCCTCGTCTTCTGCCTGCTGCTCAGCATGCTCCTGAGCTTCAACGCGCGGGAGAAGCAGCGCGAGCTCGTGTTTTCGGGCGTCTTTGCCATGGTCTGGATCGGCGAGGCCGTTGTGACACTGCAGATCAAGCTGCTCGGCGGCAACATTTCCTTTGCACAGAGCGTCTGCATCATCGGCTACACACTGTTCCCGCTTGTGATCGCGGCGCTGCTCTCGGCGCTGAGCCTGCCGACGGTGGCGCGCATTCCCGTGTACCTGGTGCTGGTGGTGTGGGCCATGGCGGCGGGTGTGAGCATCCTAGGGGGCAGCGGCGTGGTCAAGAACCGCGTGGGCATTGCCGTATACCCGTTATTTGTCTTTTACCTGGGCCTGGGCTGTCTGTGCTTCATCAGCTAGGCGTGTCGATTGTTGAGACAGCGAGCAGTATGATGGGGGTCGACAACAGCTGAAAAGAGGAGGACGTTAGAATCGAGCGAGGGACAGCATGCGAGCTACCGCGTTGTCTGATATTTTCCATGTTTCTTTTTTATTTTAAATTTCCGCCTGTATCACACGGCTATCTTCTATCTCCCTTGGTAATTGGGCACTGGTTCATGGTATCTTTAACGGGCGCTGTCTGCTTTTTTTTTGTAAGATGTCCCGGTAGAGTAAAGAAGCAACTACAAGTACTTGATTCGTTCGCGATGCTCAGCGTGCTTTAATGGCGGTCCATGTCCACAATGGCGAACAAATAAAATGAGAAATTCATTACTACGTCGCAGTTATGCGCATATATTGCCGACCCAGTCAACGACAGTCAACGACAGCCAACCAACTACCGTCAAATGTTAAATTGGCTTAGTCCAGCCTCGTCTTGTCAGCGCATCGCCATCCAACAAATCTCCGTAGACTGCGCAGCAAACGAGCTGTCCCAGTATCGTGCAGTATTTCTGTACCAATAATTTGTGTGTGTGTTAATATTATTGAAATTTTTATTTTTTTAATTTCGGTATTTTCGTTACTAAGCTGTCCACTTACTGAATCGCACCTGCCATGCTGGCATAGGCCCTTCGTTGGCTCTTTCCTTCACCTTTCACGCGCTTCCAGCTTGTCAGTGGGAGACGCACCTGCCCCACTACAGCGCACTTCCCCTGCAAAACCCAGACCCGCACTAGCCACTGAGCAGCCAAAACGAAGCAGTCGCCCCTCCTCGCCCGCTCGCGCATTTGTGTCGCTCCTTCCAAACTTTCAGCAATCTCAACCCCCGTCCTGCCGTTTTGGTCAACCGCCTCACATATCGTATTCCCCATTGCAATATATTGACATCGAGCCGTCGAATCTTTTCTTTCCCCCTTTTCGTCTCGTCGTCTCCCGCCTGCACGACACACCCCAACCCAGCTCGCCAACCTGATCCCGCACCCTCGCCTGGTACAGCCTGCAGCCAGTAGCTCATTTGTTGTCCCGCCTCGGCTGCGTATCTCTGGGAACAGCCGCATTTGGGCATTTCTCCATCCATTGTTTCGGGCTCGCTCTTTGAAGACAAACCCCCGCAACCTTTAATCTATACAACACAACAAACAGAGGCAGATCCAGCCCCTTGACCAAACAAGCCTGCATATGCCTTGCATCTGCAATCGGCACTGAACAATTTGCATACACGCGAACCTCGACGAAAGCCAGCCCGCAGGTGACAGCACCCAAGCGCCTTTGCACGACCCGCTTGCTCGGCAACCGCCACACCGCAAAAGGCCCAAGAAAAAACGACGCCTTGGAGCCATTCGCGACGTGAAGAAAGAAATCGAACGGACCTCGGGGAACAGGAAACACGAACAACACTTTACCGCATACACGTGCATACACAATACCCGCACGACCGCCGAATCATGACAGACACCGATCCGGCGTCCGCAGTGCCCTCTGGCGCCGGGTCTCCTAAGGAGGATGCGGCAACCAAGTCGGCAAGGGAGGAGCTCAGGCACACAGTGATCTCAGAGCGAGAGGATGCGAATGTCGACGACAACAACGACAACGACAGCAAAGTCAATGACAACAGCAGCAGCTCACGGCGAGCGACCACGCCCGACAAACACGACACCCTCAAGGAACAGGTGTCGTCTCCCAAAAAGAAGCGCGCCCACGACGAGCTCGACAACGACGACGACGACAACGACAAGGCCACCGAGGGTAAGAAGAAAAACAAGGACGAACAGAGAAGTGACGCGGAGGCCAGAAAGGCGGTTGCAGCCGGCACAGCCTCTCTCGATGCCCCCAATGGCGATGCTCCGCGTGCAGACGAGCCCGAGAAGAAGCGTCTGCGCGACGGAGAGTCTGCCGAAACCTCTTCGTCAGGCACCCTCTCTAAGGAAGAGAAGCCTGCCGCTTCTGCTGCTTCTGCTCCGGCCTCGTCTACCTCCACCGCCGCCTTTGCGTCGTCTGGCTTTGCCAAACTAACCAGCACTGCGTCACCGTTTGGCAACCTCGCGGGAGGTGCGTCTGGCAAACCGTCTTTGTTCGGCTCGTCCTCGGGCTCGGCCTCGCCCTTTGGCGCGCTGGGCGGTGCCTCTGCTTCCCCCGTGACTACAACTGCCTCGACATCCGCCTCAACAACGAAGCCTGCCGCACCAGCTTTGGCCTCGCCGCCCACATTAAGCTTCGGTGGCAGCAGTACGGCGTCTCCATTTGCCGGTCTGCCTTCTTCGAAGGCTGATTCGAGTGGTGGGGTGTTCGGCAGCGCATTTGGCAGTGCTGCTGCGGCCGGTTCGTCTGGGGCTACGAGCAGCTTCGGTGGCGGCTTTGGGAGCGGTCTCAGCAGCGGGTTCGGAGGCAACGCGTCTACAGCCGGTGGTGGCAGAAGTGCCTTTGGCGCGGCCCTCTCTAGCTCGGGTGGACTCACCAGCTTTGCCAAGCCTGGCACAGCCTTTAAGAGCGACAAGCCGGCACGGCCATTCGGTGCGCCCGAGAGCGACGACGCTGAGGAAAGCGACGATGAGGACTCGGCAGCAGAAGAAGACGAGAACGGCGACGAGGACAAGGACGAGAGCGGCGGTGGCGACGGCGACGATGCTGCTGAGGATCAGCCGACCAAGGGTGGAGCAGACGCCGACAAGAAGAAGCAAAAGCTGCAACGAGTGGCGGTGGACGACGGCGAAGCCGGTGAAGCCACATTATTACAGGTCCGCGCACGCATGTACTACCTCGACAAGGATCTGGGCGGCTGGAAGGAGCGCGGTGCCGGCATGCTGAAGATCAACGTGCCCGAGCACTGCGTCGAGTTTGACCGCGACGGCAGCGTTATCCCCGCTTCTTTTGACGCGTCAACGCTCGGCGGAGACGAAGAGAACAAGGAAGCCGCCGAAGCGGCTGGCTCGGAGACCAACGGCAAGACAAAAACCGGCGCCGCCGCCCTCCCGCGGCGCACTGTGGTCCGGCTGATTATGCGGCAAGACTCAACGCACCGTGTCATCCTCAACACGGCCGTGCTGCCGTCGACTGAGTTCAAGGAGCGCCAGACGCTCAAGGCTACGACGGTGCTCTTTACGGCCTTTGAAGGCAGCGAAGCGAAGCCCGTCAGCATGCAGGCCAAGGTGAGTTTCATTTCCCCTGTGTATACAACTCGGCACACATCCTGCTAACCCCATCGCAGATGAGCATTCCCAACGCCAAAGCTTTGATTGCTGCCCTGGAGGGTATCCAGAAGGAGCTGCGTGGCGACTGAGGAAGTTTCGTGGTCGGTCCTCGTCGGATATTGGTTTGTTGCCGTCACTTCACTTCCTTTTTTTTTCGTTATTTCTGCTATTTTGTTCGTGTGCCCTGGACGGCCACGCCGGGGTTTCTTATTATAAAACGGAAAAAGGCGTGCAAAGACGGGACGAAACTCGTGGCAACGTTTTGTGCATTGCGAATGCAACTTGTGTGGGGAGGCACCGTGGACGGGTGTCTGGGAAATGGCGAGGTTGATCCTATAGGAAGGGGTGTTTTTGATTTTTAAAACGCGTATATCTGCTATGTTTTAGTCTTACGTTTAATTTCTTTTGTATGTCCAGTTCTGATCCATCCCAGCCTCGTGTGGGATGAGGACGTAAGACTGATTAAACATATAAATAAAAATAATATCAAACCCTGAGATATATAAAACATAAAACCATCAAATAAATCGGATAAAACACCAATAGAGAATGTCTTCTATTCTTAAAAGAAATCTGGGCATAACAAAAAAAGTAACACACCAAAAGAATAATATCGTGACTGTCTCATTGGATCACTGAATTATCGATTCATGCATCATGAAGCTCATAACAATTATGAGAGTGTCTGTGTCACGTGAATATACGACGGCTACATTCAAGTTGCCAAAATTCCACTCCAAATCGGCCCCGACATAATAACGACGTATTTACTCTTTGCCCCGCCTAAATGCGCTGGCGGAGCCCCAGATAACCCCATATGTGACGTAGGTTTGGCTCGGCTGGGAGCGCATCACCGACGTAAACTGGGCCATGCCGTCTCCTTGGCAAACGCTCACGTTACCAAATTCAGGGCACTTGACCAAACAGTTGTAGCATTTCCGCGCTCGTCTTTGTCGCCAAGTAGTTGACTCTGTCTTTTCCCTGGCCCTGTTAAAGAACAATGAACCGCACCTGTCTGCGTCTGGCCAAAACAACGACCAGAACAACGACAACAACTACCAGAACAGCAGCTGCCCCTGTCCGCTCAACCACATCTGCATCACACTCACCTCGCCCGTGCCACTCACAACAGCGTACGTCTCGGCCTTTTGTGTCCACATCATCGTTGCCGGTCACAGCCTTCTGCCCGTCCGCCCGCACCATGTCGGCCGCAGCAGCCCCGCCCGAGACGATCCTCTTCGGGCCGTTTGACGTCTCCACCCAGGTCTTTTACTCGACCGAGCACTCGTTTGCCATTGTCAACATCAAGCCCCTCATGCCGGGGCATGTCCTCGTCTGCCCCAAGACGCCGCACCGCCGCCTGACCGACCTGGACGCCGCCGAGGCCCTCGACCTGCTTGCCTCGGTGCAGGTCGTCCAGCGCATGCTGGCCGCCTACTACTTTGACGAGACGCCACCACGCGCCCACGACACTGAGGCAGTCCACAAGGGCAGCTTCAACATTGCCATCCAGGACGGGCCCGAGGCTGGGCAGACGGTGCCGCATGTGCACGTGCACGTGCTGCCGCGCATCCGGGGCGCCACGGCCAAGATCGCCTTGACAGAGGCGGACGAGCTCTACGAGAAGATGGCCGACGAGCCAGGCAACGTGGGCGGGCAGCAATGGGACGCTGCGCTGGCAGCGGCGCATGCATCGCAGTTTGGTGACCGGCCACAACCCGGCGGCAAGTTCCCCAAGATCGAGGACAGCAACCGCCAAGCGCGCACCATGGCAGAGATGGAGGCGGAAGCGGCTGAGTTCCGCAAGGCACTGACCAAGGTGCTGGGCCGGTGACTCCGCCCGAGGCTGTAGTATAGAATAGAAGGAAGCACCAAGCATGTCTTGACATTTGTTGATATTTGAAAGCGTGATACAATTCTTAATGCCATAGATATTCAAAAAGCCAACGCATCCATCAAAAGTATAGTAAACTCGGCAATAACTCCAATCGGTACGCCATGCGACATCCTACTGCCGGTATTTCCAAAAACAGAATCCTGTAAATCATCTAAATTCGCGGCATGTCTCCGCGGATTCCACATATATATATACGTGCAAAAGTACGAGCATATGCAAGCCCAGAACGTACAATCATATCCGCCCGCAAGACCGAGCATCTAGACAGGCCCAAGTCCATCCAGGTTTCCGCCCGTCGTAGCTAGACCGTCAAAAGTCATATCGAGATCGGAGCCTTGCGGGCCCCGAAACATAAACAAACTGCTGTCCGAGATGGGCGTACTGTTGTTTTCCGTGCTCGTCGGGGTGTGGTTACGCGACCGCGACATTTGCTGTTGCGGGTGTGCTTGCCGTACACGATCTGATTGCTGTTGTTGTTGCTGCTGTTGCTGCGGGTTGGTTGGGGACACGGGTCCTTGCTGTCGTTGCTGGGGGAAGCCCCACGTCTCAAAGTTGTGCTGCCAGCTGACGCCCTCCTTCAAGAACCAGTCCTGCCCGTCGACACCGTACATGTTGGACGGCATGTCCGGCTGCGACGTCGGCTGATGGTATGCCAATTGTGCATGTTCATAGCCCTGCATGGACTGCGTGACAGCAGGGTCCATAGACCAGGTACTAACACTGGGCACAGAACCGCCTACAGATACAGCCGACGGCCCGCCAGAAGGGCCGGCCGTGTTCTGCGAATACGACGGCTGCTTCGAAACAGGAGCGACGGCGCCGGCTATGGGAGAGTTCGCCTTTGGGAGGCCGCTGAGGTACTCTGGTGTGACGCCCGGTGTTGAAAAATCCTGGTACGTCGGTGACTGTTGAGAGAATTGCTCCAGCAGACCCGGCATGGCCGTGATGGCCAGGCTACCAGCGACAAGCTGCTCCGACTTCACTGCCGCATTGCGCGCAGCTGCCGAGGGAGAGGTACCGCCACCACCTTCCACGTTTGCGCTTCCAAAGGCTTGGATGTGCTGTGGCGAGTTGCCGGACCCATGGGGACCAACGGCGGAGCCCACAGACAGATTTGGAGACGGGACATCGGCCGTGCTGACGGTGCCGTACTTCTCATCAGAGCGCTGTAAGACCTGAGAGGCCTCGTCGGGCAGCTCGACACCCCACTTGCGTGCGAGGACACTGATGATACTGAGAGTGCGGCGGGCACAGAGCCAGTCCTCAGCCATCTCTTCGAGCTGCTTGACACCGTGAATGATGTTGCGCTTGGCTGTTTTCTCGGGGAGGTTAAGTAGATGAATGGTGCAGGCGGAGTGGATCATGTAAACAGCAATGTTGCAGATCTGGCGAAGGTTGTAAACCTTTTTGTACAGGCGCATCAACTTGGAGATGGCACTGGCATTTGACGTGCAGATACGGCGGGGAGATACATGTGCTGGCAGCGGTGACGCTTTCGGGGTGTACTTGAGGAAGGGGCGGAAAAGATGAATGTACTGGAGATGGAAGAACATGCTAGAATGCGCGTAAGTAGCATATCTTTTATTTTTGGGCAGAATGTCTCCGGTAGCAATGGCACCAACTTACTGTGTTAACAGCACATTCGGAAGCTGTCCCTCTTTAGGCTCGAATTCAACAGGGAGTTCGCGGCGCCAGTCTTCCAGACGACGGTGCAGTTCGCTGAGCTTCTTAAGCTCGACTGCCTTGCCGTTGGAACGGCCGATGTGATTCGGGTGGTAGAAGAAGAGGAGAAGATCGCTGCTGATCTCGCAAAGCTTGGATAGGTGCAGACCAATGGCGCGGGTCCGGGATGGCTGCCGAAGCGATACGTCAAAGCCAGAGTCGGTGAAAGGTGACCAAGGCTCCGCATCCTCGTCGGGGAAGACATCATACTTGGGCACGCTGTACGAGTTCTTTGGAAGCTGGGGCAAGCGGCCGAGATAGTTGGACCACGCCTTGTCGAATAGGAAGCAGCCCCAAAAAGTGATGCGGCGCGCATCGATCTCACTGTCGTCCATCTGGTGATGAGCATCGTGTTCGGCAGCCCCTATTGACGAGCCCGTACTGGGGCTGGAGTCGAAATTGAGGCCAATGTCCTGGGCCATGCGGAAACTCATGCCGCTGTATACCCACCCCTTGGCTTCACGAGCACAACCAGCTTCGCGGACCGACATCAGAGCCAAGGCTTGCACAGTGGCAAGCTTCGGCTTTTCGTATTCGTCGTTCTCGACGATAAGGCGCTTCGCCTCTGCGAAGAAGTGGTCGCCCTTCGTGCGGCTGTCTCCAGGGACGGCAAAGGCCCCGACGGCACCGGTGAAATGGCAGCCCAGGGCGAGCATGGCGTTGACAAGGAGCGATGTGCAATAGACGGTACGCTTTGGCGGCACCAGTGGCCGGCCTCGAAGAAAGTCACGGTAAAAGAGGCTTTTGGAGAGGGTGGTGAAGTAGGTGTAGTGCCAGTTGAAGTACATATTCATCAAATGGATGATCAACGAAGTGTCGGCGGTGACGTTCGTCCAGCTGTTGATGGCTTCCTCGGTCGTGGTATATGGTGACTCGAACCGAGATTCGCCCTCGGCTGCCGAAGCGCCCTCGGCGCTGTTTTCGGGGCTCGAGACGACGTCGTTGTCACCTAGAGAGTCGCCAATATATATTAAGTGGGAGGTGCCGCCGATGAAGCGAACAGAGCCGTTTTCAAGACGCAATTCACCCATCTTCCTGGCTAGTTCGATCTCGCCTTCCGCTGATTGGTCTGCGTCGACTGTCACATTGTCTGACACGGTGCTGGCGTCATCTCCGCCGTCTCCGTTGTTGTTTTGGTCGTCCTTCATGATCGACTCGGCCACCGCATCGAGGCTGTCACACGTGCGAATCTTTCTCACAATGGCAAGCACATCATCCTCATCAGCATTGAGGATCGACTCAATGAGGATTTGCAAGGTCGAGTTTTGTGCTTTCATGCTGTCCACTTTCTCACGATAGACGCCTTTCCGCCGATGGTCCGAGTTCGGGTCGTACACGCACTCGGTACAATAGACGCTGGCGCAAGCCGCACAGCTCGGCAGTGCGCCGTCGCACTTGGACTTCCTCTTCCGGCATGCGACACAGGCCGTGCTGACGCACCGTCGCTTTTGCGCTGCAGGGTCAGTATTGCGCCGCGACTTTTTCTTCGGTGCGGCCGCCGATCCTCCAGTCGATGGTGCCGACGCCGGCCCGCCCTGTGAGGAGACGGCCGGGAGAAGCGCGGCTGAGGCGGAGGGCATTGCGGATGGTGGAATTGCAGTGCTGAAGTTGGAAATCGGGAGTGGCGCTGACGTTTGCCCGTAGGCAGGCCGGGGGTCGTTGGCGCCCATGGCGTCACAAGGTAGAGAGGAGTAAGCTGCAAGACGGACAAGATCGAAAACTCAAAGCTAAACGCGGCCGACCAACAATGGAGTCAAGACCGCAAAGCTGCAGAATCTTGCATGCATAAGGGCTGGTGGTGCGACGTCGAAAGAAGACAAGAAAGAAGTGAGACAAGGGGGGGTGCTCAAATGGGAGAGTGCTGCGGCGTTGAAGAGGAGAAAAACCGGAATGCTGAAAGTGTTCAAATGGGAACCGAGAATCTGGGAACCGAGAATCTGGACCCCATCAAAGCCGGGGTATTGTATTGGGGTGATGATATTGCCAATAGAACAATGTTTGCGAACAAAAGCGAGAAATTGACGTATCCAGAGTCACAATGTCTCACAGTGTACGATTGGTAATAGATAAGCCTCGCAGACAGCCACCGACTTGCCGACTTATTTCAAGTGGCCTGTTTGATGCAAGAGTGTTGCCGACGAGAGGCCAAATGAGAGTTCGATAAAGGCTGACAGAGTTAGCCAAGAGAGCTGAAGTTGCCGTCCGGCGCTGTCGGTTGCCAAACACAGAGTAGTAGGTCTCAGAAGAGCAGGAGAGCAGCAGCGTTTTTTGAGATTTTTTGTGAGTGCTTGTTGACGGTGAAGAGTCGATTCTCGAGAAAAAGCCTCGAGATGCGCAAAAGTCGGAAAAATACGTCGTATGTCGTACGAGAATTCGCGCGGGTACCGGGAGTGGAAAAAGGTCGTGCTTCAATTTTAACAAGACATAGATGCCAGGTCAGTAAAAGAGCGCAGCCACACACCCACATCGTTACGCCGAATACACATCTGAGAGAGAAAAACGGCGGTCGAAGCACACTTGTTTGTGAATAAAAACGTAATGGGGCCTGGGCAAGGAGAGGGGAAGGGCGCAACACATGCGGGCTGGTCTGCTGGTATGGTGGGGAGAGGCGCCGAGATCAAAGGGCTTTGCTTTGTGCCCAGGGCGGTACGTTGATTGAGAAAGAGGCCCAGCCCAGGCCGGGTGGTCAGGCTTGGTAGTCCCGGGTCTTCAGCTGGAACAGCCTATTCACCACGACCACGAGTTTGGCCCGACGGATCAGATGGCGAGAAAAAGCCGACCCCACCCAAACCGACGGTCTCGAAGAACGCGACGAATGCAGTGTGGTAAGGGACGATGACTCGCAGGAAGTGGCGGGAATGTTCCAAGCGTGGTAGATGCCCAGGCAGGAGGCAAAGAATACGTGGGCCCAGCGGGCGATGATAATGTGCAGCCACGGGCGTCGAAAATTATGGACGAGAAGGGAATAAGAGACGGATGAGGCTTCTTACCTGAACCTGAAAGTGTGCAACCGCTACTGGGACATCGTAGGTTCGGTAGCAAAAGAGGTGCCCCGGGAGTATCAATGGCCAATGAAAGCGTAAAGGTTAACTCGACAGATCGCCAGATCGCCAGATCGCCACGACTTGAGCCTATGTCGATGTTGGTCTCGAGTCTTGGAGGAACGGAATACTCCGTGATTGGGCGGCGACAGGGATAGGAGTTGAGGAAACGTTGGACCTGGGACTTGTGGTACAGAGGTTGAGACGGACGACAGTGTCGGAGCTTCTTAGACGGCCGCCGTATGATATACGATGGGGAAGCAAGATGGAAGAGGTTTAAAACGAAGACCAGTCGCTTAGGGAGACAGAGAATGAGAGACAGAAAAGAGACAAGGGGTACTTTGGCTTTGGAGGATCGCCTTGGTGTGTCTCTCCTTCTTCAACGGGGCAGCCGCATGGAAACCGCGCCTTCCCACAAATAATACCTTTGCGGAGAGCAAGTCACGAAGCCCCAAAATATGGTGTGCAGGGAAGGCACGATGGGATGATTACCTCGAAGGGCCTACAGAGGTACAGTTTCTCCAGTTCCACGGCAGTCGCAGCTGGCAAGTATGAACGCCGCAACAGCAGCGTTGAGACTTGAGACGGAAGGTGCTACGGCGTGGTCCAGGTGTGTAATTACTGTTGGATCGGCAGGTACGAAGGTGGTGGGCACATTGAAGCCACACACAGGCTACAGTGGTTGGTTTTGTGTGGGGTTTTGACCACTTGAATTAACCAAATCCCCAAATTTGGGGAAGTCGCGTTACAACGCATTGACAGGCACGTGTGCCTGGACGGAGCAATAAACATTGGCTGTACGAATGTACTGATGGGCAGGAGCAATCCACTTCAAACCCCGGGAGGTGGAGAAGCTTAACCTGGACAAGATTTGTTCTGCATACTTCTTTCCTTCTCCCTTCTCATCCTCTCCGTTTCTCGTAGCAGTGAGACTACAAAAGTCCGAGGTCAGAGATATAGCGACAGCGAGAGGTGGATGGAAGACGATGGGATGGCGGTGGCTTGGCGAGCGGCTTGATATTGCCTGATACTGGCCTTGCATTGCTTTGATCGAAAAGCACCTCTCCACCGGGACAGAGTCCGGGGTATGAGATTATTTTTCTTTCGTGGCCAGAAAGTCTGACGATCGCTGTGCAAGCCCTACGAACTATGATCACGATGCTTGCGTCAGCAGTTGTGATAGCAACGATGCTTCCTCTAGGCGTAATGGCCTCGGGTCTGCATCCTTTTGCGATGCTCCAGCCACGAAGCCCTGCTGCAGATGGCAGAGTTTGTGTTGTCACGCCGATCCGGCAGCAGGCCGAAACCACTGGCTTCGGTGCTGATGTTGTGGATGACGTTCCTCAGATCCTACAGGCGTTTGCTGATTGCGATGGCGGCGGCACGGTCGTTTTTCCCAAGGGCGCGAGGTACACCATAGCCTCTCGCCTCAACCCAGTTGTCAAGGATGTAACCGTGCACTGGCATGGTGTATGGGAGGTGAGCACTCTTCCGGATCCAGGCCATATGGTCACGGAGGGGCTCTCCCGGTATTGACCGTGTGCTACAGTTCTCCACCAACCTCACGTACTGGCGTGCCAATGGGTATCCCATTGCCTTCCAAAACCATCAAGCTGGCTTCGTACTCTCTGGCGAAAGAATATCAATAAACGGACACGGGACTGGCGGCATCGATGGCGGAGGAGACAGCTGGTATGCAGCCGAACAGGGCGTCACGCAGGCTGGCCGTCCTATGCCATTTGTCCTTTGGAACGTCAGCGACGTGGTTGTCCGGCGCTGTAAGTGATCGCTATTCCGGAAAGCTTTGAAAGAGCAACCAGTGGTCTGATGTCTGTCATGTCTGTCGATCATCCCTCTGCTTGTCTAACAGCTTAGTCTCTGTGGTCCAGTCGCCTCTGTGGAGCATCAATGTGATGAATGGCAGCAATCTATGGTTCGATGACATTTACGTGAACAACACCGCGACTACAGCTCCACCAGGCAAGAACTGGGTTCAGAACACAGACGGTTTCGATACCATGGACGCACACAACGTAGCCCTGACCAATTTTGTTTATCAAGGTACGTGAGTTTGGAGAAATCTCCACTTTGTTTTTATTTCTGCCGTTGACCCGCGCTTGTGTCTGCTTCTTTTGCTGGCAGACAGTTGAGCTAACAGAGCCTCAAGGGTACCATGACGACAGTTACATGTATTGTATATATGTTGGCTTAGGCGTTGTTCGCTGACAATGGCATTCCTCTAGAGGCGATGATGCAATTGCAATCAAACCGAGGTCCTTCAACATCTGCTGTCAGAATGTGAGGCAGCCCTTCATCTGCTCCCTTGTGTTCGGTTATACACGCACTCCAGAATGTGCGCAGAGGAGCATCCGTATCTGACACGGCGTTGTGCAGTTGACAATACACGGAGGCAATGGCGTGGCCATTGGAAGCCTTGGCCAATATCCGGAGGAAGACTCATCTGTTGCCAATGTGGTCGTCAGAGATGTCCGCCTCATTGCTCGAAACAGCGACATGCACAACTCAGCCTACATCAAGACCTGGGTGGGCGAGACCGTCTTTCAGCCGCGTGGAAGTTATGAAAGCGCTGGAAAGCCGAACGGCGGTGGCCGAGGAAGCGTGACCAACGTGGTCTTTGCTAATTTCCACCTCGACGGCGCAGGCAGTGGCCCTGCTATCGATCAAGACAGCGGAAACAATGGTAGGGACATGGACAGACGGAAAAGAGCGAGGCTATGTTCACTCCTGCATCACGGACTTCTCTCCATATTGACATATCCGGGACTCATCTAATGTGTCGTGCCTAGGATCGTACCCGGGAACATCCAATATACTAATAAGCAACATCGCGTTTAGCAACTTCACGGGGACTTTAAATGCCGAAAACAGTCGCTCGGCAGAAAATGACAGCAGCAACGACCGCACTGCTCGGATATCGTGCTCAACTCGACAGCCTTGTTATAACATCGACTTTCGGGATATTGCCCTTCAGCCCGCCCCGACGCTCTCGGCTGTGGGTGCACAGGGCGAGTGCAAGTACGTATCGCCTGGAGCTATCCATGGGATGATTGGTAAGGGATGTTGACGTTGGCGATGACCTGAACGCCTTTTGTGGCTGTTTACTGTCGGCCGCTGGATTTACTGTTCCTCAACGACCTGGCCTACCTGTTTTGATTTTCTCGTCTCGAACATTCGTTCTATTTCGTGCAGGTGCTTCTTATTCTATTAACATTAAAATGGTATTATTCTGCATTATCATTTTACACACGGTTTGTTTCCCGCCGTCTAACAAATTTTAACCAACCACGCCTCATATTGCAAGTGACTTTCGAAAACGAAACCAATATGTGACAAAGGTTCATCAGCTCGCTTGTTGTTATTCTTTCTTTCACACACCCTTCAGCTTTTAATATTAGGGAATTTTGAAAGTCAATTTAACCCTGGAAGCTGGACTTCTTTGCCCGCAGATATGGCCCATATTTCCAAAGCAGAAACGGTGCCGGCCATCCGACGGCAATGCCAATGGCCGCCAGAACGGTGTTGCCCTTGCCGTAGCCGAGGCTGGAGTATAGGTTCGGGGCAAAGAGGGGAAAGCCAAAACCGGCAATCGAGCGCAGAACAGTCGTAGCGCCCACAGCGCTGGCCGCATACCGCGTGTACGTGTCGACAAGGTAGCCCTGGATGCACTGGAAGCCGATGATGACGCCGCTGGCCAACAAGGCGGCGCCAATGTTGGGTCCGATCCAGTGGGTTTTGTACTCGGCCGTCCAGCCAAAAATCAGGAGGCCCGCGGGGACGAGGATCGAGCCGGGGACCATGATGGGCACACGGAATTCGGGGCGGCCGACAGACACATTATACCGCCGCTTGAGGTATGCATAGACGCGGTCTTGCAACGGAGCCATGACCTGGGCGCCCGCGGACAAGCCCACGCCCAGCGCGATGTAGTTGAGACCCGCGATACCCTGGCGTTCGTGGTAGACCTCTGTCCACAGGGACGGGAAGGTCGCCAGGACCAGGTACATGATGCCGTAAAGGTACATCATATACAAGGCAAGGACTTGGATGATAAGCTGGGAGCTCACCATGACGAAGGGGCGGCTGAGTGCGATGCGCAGGGTGTACCAGACGCCGCCCGCACGCGCCTCGTCAAACGCCGTATAGAGCGCGTCGTTGCCCGTCTCCTTGCGAAGGCGGTTGCGCTTCCACGTCAGCAAAACCGGCGCAAACGTCTCGCGCAAGAAGAACAGACCGGCAAACTGAATGATGCCGTCCGCAATGGTGGTGGAGTAAAAGACCCAGCGCCAGCTGGTGTTCTGGGCAATAAAGGCACCGGCGATAGGTCCCACGGCCGGGCCCAAGAGTGGTGCCAGCGAGTACATGGATAGAGCGCGGCCACGCTGCTCCGCGGTGAAGAGATCGGCAAGAACGCCACCACCGATGGCGAGCGGAGCTGAGCCGCCAAAGCCCGACAGGAAGCGGAAGGCAATCATCTGTCCGCGGGTCTTGGCCAGGCCGCAGCCGAGGTTGAAGAAGAGGTACAGCAGGTTGCTGAGCTGCAGGACAATGACGCGGCCGTACAGCTCACTCAGGGGGCCGAGGAACAACGGACCGACGGCATACGCTAGAATAAAGATGGACAGCGTCAACAGCTGCTCGACGGAGCTGGTGATGTCGAGCTCGCGGCCAATATCCGGCAGGGCAGGTGCGACCATGCTGGACGACACGGGCGAGATGAAGGTGAAGAGGCTGACGACAAAGACGGCCGCCCATTTTCTGCTAATGGTCCAGTTCTTGGGGTTTTCCGGGTCATCGGGTCCCTCCCACTTGACCAAGTTGGGATCTGCATCATCACCAGCACCACCGCCCGCACCCGCGCCGCTCTTTTCTGCACCGCCGCCGCCGCCCGGGCTGAGGTTGCTGCCGTCGTTACCGACACCCTTTTCGAGGTCAATATTGCCTCCAGCATTCGAATGCGACAGGCCGGCACGCTCGCCCTTTTCCTCCCGCTCGATTCCGTCAATCTCAACGTCGCGAGTGAAATAGACGCCGCCGCGGACTTCAGAAACTGTCCGTGTGACGGGTGCTGTGCCGTCGGCTATGGAGTGCGTCCGTGACCGGGTTCGAGACCGGGTTCGAGATAATGAGCGCGAGATAATGGAACGGGACCGGGACTTTTTGTTACTGGCCTGGGTTTCTTTGGCACGGTAGCGGCTGCCGTTGCTGCTGCTGCTACTGTCATCGTCGCTGCTGTCGTCGGACTCGTGGAGAGAGGCTGCGTCGCCGGTTTCTAGAAACTTTTCCTTTTTCTCATTGGCGCCACCGTCGACGTTTTCTAATGAAGAAACTGCGGGTACTGATGATGACGCCAAGTCTGTCTTGTGGGATGGGTCGCTTGACAAAGCTGAGGCGCCCGACGCCTCTGGTGGTGAGGCCATGGAAGGTGTGAGATTCTAAAGTTGATGTTCTAAACGAGACGATCCTAGAAACGTTCTGGAAACAATCGTGGCTCGTCAACAGATCGCTGGGTAGATTTTTGATTTAAATAAGCAACGCCGATCTTACGTCGGTGTTTCTGATTGTGTTGCTGTTGCTTTTTGAAGGCAGATTAGAGGCGAGGATTCGATGCAGGAGGAAACTCGCTGTATTTTGGTTTGAAAAAAAGAAAAGATGTCAAAAGATGTCCAGCGTAACAAAGGGATAGGATAAGATGCAAAGAAAGAGAGCGTGTGAAGCGCAAGATATCTATGATGAATTGATTTCAAGGTATAATAGAAATGGTGTGGAGGCGTAACGGTGACGGAGGCTGAGACTGGAGGAGAGGCGAACGGCAAAGTCAAATACGACGTTGAAAGCGTCACGGAGCCGACGAACGAGGTAGGAGAGCTACTGGATAATCAAGGAAAATAGAAAAAGAAAGAGGCCTGGAGATACTGCGAAAGTCGGCCAAACGTCTGCCGATATGGACGGGCTGACTGTTGCAAGGCGAAGAGCGAAGAAACTTCAAAATGCTCTCCAGAGAACCAGAAAAGGGGAAAGCAAAATTATGGATGCTGTGGGTGGGATATTTGCAAGGAAAGCAGTCATCCGCAATCGTTACTTCCTTTTCTTTCGTTGCGCTCCTTCCTTTCCTGTTTTCCTTGTTCGTTCCTTCCCAGCGACCTACATTGTGGAAACGGCCGAACTCCAAACCAGGAAGCTGCTGGTGTGCTAGGAACCGGCAAAAGCATGCCGATTCGGCAGGCCCCACACCGCGGAGAACTACCTAAAAAATGGATAAAAAAACACAAAACGTCAGAACCTGAGTGGACAATGGCCGAGCAGTGAGAAAACTCAAATTTACTAAAAGAGGAGAACGAGGAGGCACTGACTCGAGCCTGCACTCCTGGCTCCACGAGGACGGTTGCCGAACTGAAGTGGCAAAGCGTGAAAGACGTCCGCCCAGGGAGGAGACGTCACAGGACGCGCTTTCCCTTTCTACTGTTGGCTGATGGTTTGTTCTTGCCGCGTCTGTCAAGTGCCTAGCGAATGTCGGGTTTGAAAAACGGCTGCGTAGGGAAAGTATCTAGTGGTATCATCCCTCCCAAGGTCCTTTTATCGGACGCGCCTTCTCCAGGATCATGAGCATGCGCCTCTTTCTAGGAGCACTCCTTCCCTTTTTGTACTTTGACGCTCCGCAACAGGACGAATGGCAAAGCATCACTCGCATGGGAAGGAGCAAGTAGTGGGTGGGCCAGCGATCATCGCAAAGAGGATCATGGCCTTGATGTCGTTTGCTTGCACGACTCTCCAGCCGGATTTACGGAGTGTATTTACGGAGTATATTTGCGGAGCCTGAGCGTTGTTAGAAGCGGGTGTCTGACCCGCTAGCTCCTTTCCCCTAATTACCAAACGCTTTTATTTTCCTAAACTCTTTCGTCCCATCGGTGCAATACGTTGCTCCCCCGGATTCGCATACGGTATCCGATAAGGTAGGAGAAGTCTTGTGCAAAAAGAAATGGGACTGGAAGAGGCAAGGAAGAATGGACGAGGAAAGGAGCCGGAAGTTGAACAAGCAGCTATTCAAAAAGAACAGGACCCAGTGGTCTTTTAGAGTTGTGTTTTCAGTGGAGATCGGAGCTTTGAGCTGCCGACTGTCTCCATACGACATGACCAGTGATGCTTGTGTTGTGGGCCGTATTAGTCGGTCCTACAGAAAGAAGAAAAGGAATGAAAAAGTAGCCAGAGATTAGCAGACAGGCGAAAACACCTCGAGATAACAAGACGTTGCAGACTGCCTACGCAGTGAGTACGTCATACTCCCACAGTCCCATGAAGGCGACACGGTCCCGAAGACGGCCTTGGCGGCCGGCTATCGGCTGTACCACCGATTGGTGACCGCAGTAACTTGCCATAAGAAGAATGATAAACTCCGCCCCCCGTTCCCATGTGGCTTTCGGTGTGGTAAGAACCATGCAAAGTCAACAGGACAGACGGCCTTCTACAGGTACTTTAAAATGCAACGTACGAAACTAAAAGTGAGATACCAACCCTGATAATCCGACGACGGGGCTTCGCGCACAAAAAACACAGCGATAACGCAATGGATTACGGACGAGGCGCATACAAGAACCAGCCGGTTTTAGTATGTTTACATTGCCTTGCGAGGCGATGCTTTGGTATGAAGCAAGCACTCGATGTCTGACTGTTCGAATAAAGCATTGTCTGGACCCGGAAAACCAAAAAGACCGACTGAGAATCGAAATTCGAAAACAATTACATTTTGGACGCCGCCAAGCCCACATTTAGTCGTCTTTGTCTATAGCTTAGCCGTCGGGGTCGAATCGTAGTCGCCCGACGACCGGTTCCCTCGCGCGGCCTCGACCGCGACCGGTTGTACCTTGCTCCTTCTCGGAATGCATATAAGCGAGCGCGTACATCAGGGTGAATGCCACTGTACGACATTTTGGGCAATGTTAAATACACAACGTCTTGCTCCTCTTACACCAGACTTTGTAACTCGGACAAAGTAAACAAATAAATAAGAAAAGAATGGAAAAAAATGAGAGAGAACCTCTTAAGTTTTTCGAGATGCTGTTTTAGCATTTCGTTCACTTTAATGGCCTTTGTGTCTTGTTGTGTCTTGCTATCAAGCTCGCTCTCTGTTATCTGTTCCTGCCCTTCGGATGTGACTCCGAAATAGTGAGCACTTGACAACCGGTTGCGCCTTCCTTTCCCGCCTGTCCACGTAGCGGTTAGCGGCCACTCTCTCCCTGCCGGGGTCCAGGCCCGCTTTTGACGGTTTTAAAAGTTTCCTATACCAGTCCAACTGCTATCCTTGGCTCCTTCCCGATGCATCGCAAAGAATCCGACGATGGGTCCGGTTTCCAGCGGCTTCCCCTAGTCTACGTATCTGACCCTGTGCTCTGACCGCGGTCAGCCGTGTTTGTATCGGCCTCACGGTCAAGCGTAGTCTCAGGTCTGTATCCGGACATGACGCTCGCTCTTACATCTACACTGCCAGCTTGTTCTTCAACAGATCCTTCTGCACAATTTCATCCTTTTGGGCCTCCAGCTCCGTGAGGTCCCATTGCACGCTGACATACCGCCCGGCCAGCCACAGCTGTGGGCTGCGCGTCAGGTACACAATCGAGTCGCTGACAAGCGCGGGCGTCTCGGTGATGTTGGCGTGGTACACCTTGGGCAGGCTCAGGCTCATGTCGGAGGCGACGCCGCCAGGGTGCACGGCCATGGCGACGAGCTGCTTGTCGGCGTACTCGGCGGCCAGGTACTCGGTGAGGCGGCAGACGGCGAGCTTGGACGTGTTGTAGCCGCTCATGGTGGGCATGACCAGAAGGCCGCCGATGCTGGTCAGGTTGACAATGGTGCGGCCGCCGTTGGGCGACGAAAACAACAGGGGCAGCACGGCGCGGCTGACCAGGTACACGCCCTTGATGTTGACCTCAAAGGTGCGCCACCAGGCGAGTGGGTCGCTGTCGCCGAGCAGGTTGACGGGCTCGAGGACGCCGGCGTTGTTGACGAGGATGTCGAGACGGCCAAAGGCTTTGGTGAGTGTGGCGACGGCGGCGTCGACCGAGGCTGCGTCGGTGGTGTCGAGGGAGATGGCCAGGAGCGTAGGGGCTGGTCTGCCGGCGGCCGCGGCCGCAGCGAGGACAGCCGCCTCCGTCTCCTTCGTATCGCCGCGGGCGGCAATGGCAATCTGCGAGGCGCCGGCCTGTGCGTAAGAAATGGCAATGTGACGGCCAATGCCGCGCGAGGCGCCCGTGATCAGCACAGCCTTACCGGCGAGGTCGATGTTCTTGGGGCTGATGGCGTCATAGGTGTCGTGGTGGACGTGGGGTGTCACCAGCAGGCCTGAATGTGTTAGCAGTGATCCATTTGATTATTGGGAGAAAACGCCAGCTCTACGAGAACGGACCCGAGTGTGGCATCGCCTTGAGGACTTCGGGGAGGCTCTTGTCGTCAACGGCCAGCATTTTGAGGAAGTTTCGGTGAGCATTCAGGAGATGAGTATGGAGAGGAACGTGGGCAAATAGGTCAATCAAACATGCCGGCCATTGGGCAGCAGAGAGCTTTATAGTTTGCCATGCTTATTGATCTCGACGCGAAGCCGGATGTGCTGCAGCACTGACGCCAGTCTATCCTCGTAAAGCGCTGGGAACGGCGCAAAAGGGCGCCGGAAAAGTACGCCCGCCTGCATGAAGCGCTCGATCTGGTTGATGGGGCCAGAGCCACCACAATTCGAACTGCACAATGCGTTCGTCGTAAATTAGTCTGCATCTTGTGTCTGCGCAAAAGGTCAAATGATGAGGCTTGTATTCAGTGGATTTTTCAGCATCGCGGGATTTGCTTTGAAAACATCAGAGCGGTCGATCCCGTTAACAGATGCCGGCGCATGTGAATGGCGTCAGCAGGCGTTGGACTCGGACTGCGGACCGACTACATCCACCGGAATGGGCCGACGGAGCGGCGCACGGCACGAATACAAGTGCGCATCGAGCCGGCTTTGAATCGTGACCTTTGTTCGGCAACTGGTATCTTGTTTGTCTGTTTAATTGTTTGTCGCGCCCGATATTATGTCGTATCGGGGGCATGTGATGCTATCTCTTTTGCTTTTTTTCACTTTGATTCTTTCCCTGTCTCGTTTTAAAAGGTTCCTAAACGCCGAATGATCCGAACACAAACACAGCAAGAATATGCCAAAAAACAAACAAAAGAAAGTCAAAAGAACGAAAAACAAAACAGGATGTGGTACCAAAATTCATGGCGGCAGGTGCAATACAAAATGGAAAAAGAAGATTACAGCACAGCCGGTCTAGCACACAACTGACGAGTACACAAATACAGAAAAAATAGGGGAAAAATCAGCCAAGAAGGAACAGCGCACTGCAGGCACCAGGTCGTGCTCATGCCTCCTTGGCATCGACCTTCTTGGCGGGCGGCGCCGCGCCGTCGTCCTCGCGGGCGCGCTTGTTGCCGTTGGCGGCGTCGACGACCTCGCCCTTCTCGTTGGTCGCGTGGATCACCGGCTTGCCGCCGTTTGTGGTGTTGGCGGCAGCGGCAGGCGTAGCAGCAGCGGCACGCTCGTCGTTGCGCTCGTTGCTGCGCTCGTTGCTGTTGTTCCAGTTGTTGCCACCGCGGCCACCGCGGCCACCGCGACCGCCACGGCCGCCGCGGCCGCCGCGGAAACCGTTCTTGCGGTCGTCGTCGCGGCGCTTCTTCCAGTCGTTCTTGTCGCCACCGTGGTGGTGGCCGTTACCGCGGCCGCGGAAGCCACCGCCGCCACCACGCTTGCCGCCCAGGACACGGCCCTCAAAGAAGCGCGGCGCGCTGTTGGTGTTGGGCTCGATCTTGCCCTCGCGGATCAGCTGGGACTTTTCGGCGACGTAGGCGGGCTTGGACATGATCTTGAGCTCCTGGTCGCGCCACCGCGGCTTGGGCTCGAGCTTGAGAAAGGCCTCGGCCTGCTCGGGGTCCTGGAACTCGACAAAGACGGAGCCCTTGAACAGGTTGTCGGCAGTGCGGCGCAGGCGCACGGCGTTGACGGTGCCGTACTTTGTGAAGAAGGCCTCGAGGTCGAACTGCGTCGAAGGCTCCTCGTCGCCAAAGCCCTTGACGTAGACGGTAGCGGCGTCGATCTTGCTGCGGGGACGGTCTGGGTTGTAGGCGTGCTTGCGCACGACGACCTCGGCGCCGGCAGGGCCGCTGACGGTCAGGAACTTGCTGTCGCGCAGAGCAGCGACCACGGTCTCGTACGACTTGAAGCGACGCATGCGGCCAAACTGGCAGATCTTCTTAAGCTCCACCGGCTTGTTCTCGGCGCCGCCTGTCAGTTCCCACAGGAACTTGTCCGTCGGCAGGTTGCTATCGCTGAAGTAGAAGTGGACCTGGAGAAGGATGGGTTAGCGGATGGAGGCGGGTCGAGGGGGCGAAAGGGCGAGTGGGTGATGCCGGGGATCGATTGCTGTTGACTCACCTGGGTCTGGATGGCCGAGTGATCTTCGGACTCGGGCAGCACGCTGGGGTCGAACTTGCTGCTGTTCTTGGTGCTCTTGCCGTCGGCAGCCTTTGCGCCAGTCTCGGCAGGAGCGTCTGTGGTGGTTTCGGCAGGAGCGTCCGTAGCAGTCTCTGCGGGCGTCTCCTCGGCGGCAGTGGGAGCCGCAGTCTCCTCAGCCGACACCTCGACGGCCGGAGCCTCGACGGCCGGGACCTCGACAGCCTCGACGGGCGCTGCTGGTGCGTCGCTCATTGTTGATTGTGTGTGTGTGCTTGTGGCGGTGGTTGGAGCAGAAGAAGTGGTTGCAGATGCTGAGAATTATGCGCGGAGCGATGCTCGTGCGAGAATTGGGACGAACAGCGGACGGTAGACAGAGACTTCTTTTGTTACAAACGAAGAGACGAAGACAGAGGCAAGACGAGAGCGCGGAAAGGAAAAGTTAAAAGCAAGGTGAAGAAACGCGACGCAGACAAAGCGGACGAGTAGCTGCGAAAGTAAAAAAAAGTAAAATAAAAAAAACTTAGCGGCTGGTTTTTAAATGCGGGACCGTTTCTCTGCATGCGTTGATGCTGCAAAGTGCAGGAGCGAAGGTGCATTGAGCGACTCAAGTGCATGGCTTAGTGGGGCATAGTCCAATTGCACGGCTGACAGGCCATGGCAGGCACGACGTACCAGTGGAGATGACCCATCCGGCGAGAGCAACCGCGCCTTGTATATTTCTGTCAGAGAGTCACGTGCGAGTCATTCAATGGGTGGCCACCTCCTGCGACGACAGTGACGCCCGTCAACGGCTACGGCCGCATTGTTTGCACACCGACGCAACATGTAAACAGAGCTATGCATGTGTCAAAGACGTGGTGCGTCGATTGATCGCATATTCAGACGGGAGATTGGGGGAATGGTGACTTGTTGGTCGTACGCGGTCACGTGCACTCCCGAAGTCAAGCCGCGCTCCACGCTAGCGTTGTGATTCGCGGAATGCACATTTTTCTTCTAGCATCCAGGAGGCGTGAGCTTTTGTGAGTGTCGTCCGACCAGCGAGGACTAAGAACTGCACACGACAAAATAGGAGTGACGTTCGCACCAGCGCCACCACGACCACTTGCCGACAGACCGATTGACGATCTCCCTTAAACGAAGACGAGCACGGTGGCGGTGCTATTGGGGACTGACCGACTCGAGGCAACGGCCAATTGATCCCCAAAACCGCTGTCACCATGAAGAATAGACGATCCTTCCGGTACCACAGCCTGCGGCGCGTGGTAAGTTGCAATGGGAGCGGGAGACGGGCGATGGGAGACGGGAGAGACGTCCGGTAGCCGACGTCAACGAGACAAATCAGACCTCGCTAACAACAGCACAGCGCCTACGGCAAAACTGGAACAAGTACAACCTCTTCAACATGCAAGCCAACTACCCGCAGCTGCCGTCCCTCGGGCGCACCTTTTTCCAGCAAAAATGGGCGGCCAAGGCCCTGACCCGCGGCTACCACGGCGAGCACATCAAGGAGGGCAAGTGGGAGCGCATGTTCAGCCGCCGCCTGCAGTCCGTCACCAACTTCGACCCGCGCTACATGGCCCGCTTTGACGGTTCCGAGCAGGCCGCCGGTCGCGGTCGAGGCCTCGCGACGGACCCGGCCCTCGGGAAACCACAACTCGACCCGGAGGCCGGCACGAACCAGGTCACCCAGCGGACGACGCCGTACATGCAGATGGCATTTGCGCCCATGGAGCGCCGTCTGGACATTGCCATTTTCCGCGCCATGTTTGCCAGCAGTGCCCGCCAGGCGCGCCAGTTTGTCGTGCACGGTGCCGTCACGGTGAACGGCAAGAAGGTATGTGAGGAAGCTGGTGGGAAGGTGCTTAGGGGTTGTGTCACTGTTGTGCCACTGTTGTGTCACTGTTGTGTAATGTCTGGTGGTTGTCCCCGCTAACTCTGTCCGTAGATGATCTACCCTGGTTATCTGCTGAACCCCGGCGACATGTTCCAGGTCGATGTGGACCACGTGCTGTTCGGCACAGGTATGAAGAAGAGCTCACGGAAGGCGAGGCGGGCCAGAAATCTGGGTGTAGTTGGCGCGGCCAAGGAGGCAGAAACAGCTGCAGAAGCCACGGCAGAAGCTGAGACAGCCCCGGCCGAGGTGGCGGCCGCAGAGGGCGACAAAGACTCCGACTGGATCACCGAGGACCGCTCTGGCCACTTGATATTAAAAGTCCAGGAAGCGCTCGAACAGACAAAGACGGCCAAGAAAACGTGGCCGGTCCTCGCAAGGCTCTTGAAAGAGGCTTACCGTACGCCCAACGACCGGTCCAGAAGGCCCCCGCCCAACGCGCCCCTGGCCGACAGCCTGGCAAACATGCTGAACAAGCTGGAAATCACAAACAGCCACAACGAGGACCTGAACGCGCCGCAGCTGACGGACAACGAGCGCAAGCGTTTCAAGAGGCTCCTGGCTGAGGAGGCCGAAAACCCCGTCGATCTCTCCAAACCGTATGCCACGCCCTGGCGCCCGCGGCCTTTTATGCGGGCCTTTGCTTTCATCCCGCGCTACCTCGAAGTCAACCAGAACATCTGCGCCGCCGTCTACCTGCGCCACCCGGTCTGCCGTCCCGGTTACTCCGAGGTGCCGACCCCCTTCCCTCCGGAGGTCTCCCAGCTGGCCTTCAACTGGTACCTGCGGCGAGGCTAGAGGGGCTACAACACAGTCAGCTTCGTCGAATACGGAGTCCTTCTTTTTCTGTTGTCGTTCTCTTCCGCTTTCTACAGCTTGTGTGAATAGTATGTCCCGCAAAACAAAAAGTCTGTACGCATATATGCATGCCACTGTAACATAGAATACACTCTCTGATTCACATTGTTCGTCATTCGATAAGCCATTAACGGTGGAGCGCCCGGATGGCATATGTCGATGCAAGTAGTTTTGTAAGATTATGCTACGGATAAGGAGGCAAACTGAGGAAATAAGACGACAAACAAAAAGCAATGAGGAGATACACGGTAGAGCAAAGCACGAAAGACAAAAACTAAAAAAGAAATAAAAATAAAAAAAAATGCAGGCAATACGACGTACATACATACAGTGCCTTGATGACAAGACCACAACCTCCTTCAAGAATTGCATGGGATATACGGAGAAAATAAAGGTGATATTGTGGTCTGTCCTCTCTACGGTCCAACTCAAAAGACACAAACACAATCCGACGAAGCCTAGCCTAAGCATCCCTCGTACGAGCACGGTATATCTTTTGGTGACAGCCACAGAACTCCAGAACAACAATAAAGACAATCAAAAGACAGTCGACAAACGCATGGTACGTCCCGTCCAGACAGCTGTTTTATGCCCTGCCCGCTGAAAGCAGTCCCGATCCCGACATTATTACAAAAGTTGGGAAACTAGGAGAGCATCAGCAGAGGCAGTCATCAACCGCTCTTCGGGTCAGTCGAGGCACACAGATGACATCCCAGTCCACAGGGCGCGTTTGAACAGAAAAACGACGAGATAACAAAAAGTGTTGCTAATTCCTTTTCTTTCCATTGCCCATCCTCTCCATAACCGTTACTCTGTGAAAACAATTTTGCTGCACACCGCCAATAAAACACAGGGAAAAGGTGGGTTTTTGTTCTCGTGAATTAGAAATGTGATTAAGAAGAACACAAAAGAACAAAAGAACAAAAAGACACAAAAGAAATAACAAGGAGGCTTGGAAATAAAAGGGAATCTGATGACATAATATAAAGACAAAAGAATAGCGGCGGGATGGTACCGTATCGCGACGGCGGTGAGCGTCGCGTATACCGAGACATAGGATCGTAGAGGAGATAAAAGGAGCGCAAGAAATAAGAAAAGAGACAAGAATAGTGACAAGTGCGCATGCGCCGTGCCGCTGTCGCGCCGGGTAGACCAGAGCGGTGGGCCGTGTGGTATCGCAGAGTTGCAAAGGCACCGTCGAAAGAAACGTGGTCGCTGCCGGTTTAACGCAGGGAGAAGCCCTTTCTCTTGCCCTCCTTCTCCAGGGGACGGCCACTCTCGAGGCGCGACTTCTTCTCTTCCAACTCCTGGCGTTGGCGCTCGAGCTGGTCCTTCATCTCGCGATGACGAGCATACAGCTCCTCCTCGCTCTGCTTGAGCTTGGACTCCTTCTCGGAGACCTTCTGCTGGAAGACAAGCTTCATCTCGGCCTCCATCTTGGCCAGCTTCTGGTCGTGCAGGGCACGCTCCTCCTCCTGCTTCACAGCAGGGTTGACCTCCTTGAACACGCTCGGGTCCTGCGAGACGCCCATCTGAATGAGCTTGTCGGTGCGGTAGTTCTCGTAGAGGATGTTGTTGGTGTTCTCCTTGAGCTCCTCCATGTGCGTGCGGATGAGCATCTGGCGCAGCTTGACAAAGTCACAGTGCTCTTCGTTGTCGACCTCAATGACACCCCATGGGTAGCGACGACCACGGACCTTGCGGCCATCGGCGTTGGTGATCTCGTTAGTCGCACCAACAACGGCGAAGGGAACCTTGGACAGAATCTCGTTGTTCTCCGCAATCGTCTCCTCGTCGTCAAGCTCGTAGCGGGGGCCCTCGAAGATCTGGACCTTGTGGTACTGAATGTCGGCGAGAATCTAGCGGACAGTTAGCGAAAGGCCTTTGCCATCAAGGCAAAACCATAAGCAAGAACACCAAGTCACTTACGCGGCGCTTGAAAGCAGTAATCTCCTCGTCGGTCAGAGTGTCCGACTTGGCAATGACCGGGATCAGGTTGACCTTGGTGTGCAGGCGCTTCATGACCTCGATGTCCAGGGGCTTCAGGGAGTGGCCGGTCGGCTGGATGAAGAAAACGCAAGCATGGATACGGTTGTCGACAATGTTCATCCGGTTGACCTTGTTCTCGGCATCGAGGTAGGCGTCAAATCGCTGCTCGATGTTGTCGACAATCGGGCGCCACGACTCGTCGTTGTTAACGAAGTCGCCGAAGCCCGGGGTGTCGACAACGGTCAGGCGAAGGCGAACACCGGCCTCCTCAATGTCGGCGCTGATGGACTGAATCGTCACGGTCTTGGGAATGATGTCCAGGCTGGGGCCCTTGCGCTCCTTGGGGGGGTACAGGGAGGTGTTGAACAGGGTGTTGACCAGAGTAGACTTGCCGAGGCCCGATTCACCTGAAACCAACGAGTCAGTGATGCCGCGAATGGAAGAATTTTTTTAAAAAAAATAACCTTTGAAGAGTGAGCAACCTACCAACGACCATAACATTGAAGTTGAAGCCCTTGCGGACACTCTTGCGGTGCCACTGGTTGGGCAGGTTCGCAAAGCCAACGTAGCCCGTGAGTTTCCGCCGAACAATGTTATGATGCTCGCTCAGCGCTGTGAGAATTTGTTAGTGAACACGTTTTGAAGTCACACAAGTTCCAAAAAAGGATAGAAAATCACAAAGTAGCTTACCATTCGGGGGAGCTTGGGGCGCAACGGCCTCGGGAGGGGAAGGGATAGAGCCGTTCGGATCTGAAAGGGAAAACACAATGTTAGCCACAATTCTTTCAATGTTTGTAAAGTGTAGTGTGTCACGAGAACGCCGTCTGTGCAGTGCTTCGATTATAGCGATGCTTCCAGGGTCCAGAAAATTCCAGGACCGACGAGGCAAGGATGAGCGCAGCCGAGGGGACGCAGAGGGGACAAGGACAGCATCTAACTAGTCAAATCCAGAGGTTCTGGCGTCTCGTCTTCGTTTTCGTTGGCGTTCTCCTTGTCGTCCTCGACGCCCTTCTGTTCGCCGTCGTTTTCGAGATGTTCATCCACCACCTTGGCGTCTTCAGGCTCATTCGCATTCTCGATCTCGGGAGCTTCAGCTTCGTCATCGACAGCGGATTCAGGGCCGGCATAGAGCTCATCGTAGGTCATCGGAATGGCGGGCAGTAGCTTGGGCGGCTCCTCGTCAAAGCGGACCATTTGCGCGGAAGTACGCTTGCCACGAGCGGTGCTCCGGAGGCTGCCCCCGGCATTGGCCATATTGTTGTTCTCCGAGAGAGGAGCGGCTGGCTGCGGGGCGACCAGCGGGGCGACCAGCGGAGCGCGTGAGCGTTTGCTGTCTGTGAGAGACATGGATCCCATGCTTGCGACGCTAGTAAGGGCCTTTTCCAGCTGTGCACTGCGAGAACGGGGTCTCATGTGGCTGCCGAGGTCGAAATGCATGATTTCGCGTCGTGGGACGAGCCGTGAGCAGAGGAGACTGGGTGTATCGCGTTTGATGGGTCGTCACGTCAAGATGAGACAAGCGTTCGACCGAGCAAGTGAGCTTGGAGCAGGCGAATTTGACTTGTTTGTTGGAGAGGAGTGGTTGGCCTGGAAGCTTCAATGGTCGACGAAAGCTCGCAAGGTGGCGATGTGTTGTTTACCGCTAAAAACAAGACGAAGCAACCGCGAGCGTCCGGGAAAGCGCTGCTCGTCACAGGCAGCCACCATCCAAGCACGAGGCAAGAGCATGAACGAGGAAAGCACGGCACATATCGGGCAATTCGACAGGTGGAAAGCAGTAGTTCTTACCCATTTTTGACAACCTCAGGGGCTAGACCAGGTCGGAATTTTGGAATATACGGAAGGCACAAGTGCACGAACGAGGAAAGAAGGATCCTAATGGGAGAGAAAAGACGGTGCCTTGGTTAGCACTTTCCACTTTTGGCGACAACGCGATGCGCTCGATGAATGAAAATCGACGTGTAGGTTGCTAAAATAGGGGATGGCAGAAAAGGCAGGCGCCCGTCACGTTGCCCAGGGAAAGACCGGAAGAGTTGTGAAACGGCAGGACCAAGGGGAGCGGCTCTGTCAAGATTGCGAGGACACCGCCAAAGAATGGCCAGCAAAGAAAAGAGAAGCTGCGAGTGGGCGTCCAGAGACACTGCACAGTGGAATTCCTCGAGGAAGGCGCAGAGTCGATGCACATCTTGTCATGTCTCTTTCACTGGCTCCTGCCGTTTCTTTGTCCACCGTCGTCTACCGCATAAAAAAGGGGGTGTCCTGGTGGCAAGGGCGAGGATCACTGGTCCAAACCTACCTAACAACGGACGAGATTAAAATAAAACTATCGGCAAATTGAGAAGAGAAGTTGAACGGTTCGAGGTTCCGGGGAGACGTCGCGCAGTTTGTGACGACGGTCGGTCGAAGCTCTCGAGGAAACGAGAGAACGGGAAGAAGGATCGTGAGATGTGGTGTGTTCCGAAGGGAAGTGGGAAAGAGCGAAGGAGGGAGAGGGATAGCAGCGAAAGTTCCAAAAAGAAATGGATTAGGGGAGAGAAACGAGGCCGATGCCTTCTAGAAAGGGAAATTGCGAGAAAGAAAAAAGGGGTTAGGTGGAAAGCAAATGGAAAGAAGGAGTAGGCCAGAGGGGACAAAAAGGCGGAAAAGGGGAGCGAAAAGACTGGGGGACCTTTTGGGGACAGTCGTGGCAGGGGACACACTCACGCAGTAGCACAAACGTTCCTTTTGGGGACGGAGTTGGCAGCCCTTGGATTGACTGACCGTTGGGCGGGATAGCCCCCCCCCCCCCCTGGCGATGCGAAAAAGGGGTTCGTGCTTTAGCACCAAAAAAAATAAAAGGAACCACGACTGAGCCGTGAGGCAGGTGCAGCCCAAGGAGAAAGGGGTGAGCGGCCAGCGTGTGGGGACGTGTTCTGCGTAGCTGCCATTCTGGCCTATGGCTGGTTGTGGTGGGCTGGGACTCGCCAGGGAAGCAAATAAGGAAAGGACGCTAAGAACGGGGGTAAGCCCCACTATACAGAGCTTGTCATTGGCTGGGCCAGGTTCCCGAAGCACAGATCTCACGCTAGTGTGCTTGGTTGACCGCGACAGCGGGCAGGACCTGAGCGCGCACTGTTTTACGACTGTGCGATGAATCGCACGATTCAAGGAAAATGTTTTTAACGGTGGACAGATTGGGGAGGAATGGAGGAGGTGAAAGACGTTTCGTTTCGTTTCTAGGACCCGCTGAACGTCAAACTTCATGGGCCGGAGGGAATGACATTGGCCAGTCTCGCCAGTCTCGTATTCTAGACACAAAAGTTACATCGTGTGATATGCAGCGCATGACTTGTTTCTACTCCGTGTTCCCTCGTTTGCTCGAAGCTGGATAAGTAGATTGTAATACCTGCGCCGCCGCAGTGAGTGACAGATGCTGCTGCCGTTGTCTCGGCACAACGAGTGCGCACTTTACCTGGCCAATTGCTTCAATTCTTTGGTGTCTGCGACAAACGGAGCGTTGTCTCCTGGCTTCTGCGAGAGCTCAAACCAGAGGCGGACACGTTGAATCCATGGGGCTTTTGGACACTGTGTGGAGACACCTGCACACACGGTATTTAGACGTCGCTAGGAAAAGGGGCGAACAGCCTGCAGCTCACCTTGCAGCACATCGATCGTTGTCGTTCAGCTTTGATCCCTTGTTCTGCCGACCGAAAACGAGCGGACCATCGCCGGTTGAGCCCAGCTGTGGCCGTGAGATGTCCAAGAAGGAGGCCAGCCCTCACGATGCCCTATGCTGACAAGATTGACGCAGCACTGGCGCGCCGTGAAAGGCTACTGCATGCTGTGCATCGCAGCTCATCTCCTTGCTGGGATTTTCATGTACTTCGTAGTCACGTGCAACCCACCGTCCCCTTGCATCCTCCCAACCCCTGTTAATTGAGAGGCAGGCTGTGGGAACCAAAGGCTGTCGTGCTCAAGCACCACAGCTCTCACAACGCGGTCGGCAAGCCTCCTTGAAATTCTGTTTTTGTTTATTTTCCTGTGCCGTCGCTTCGTCTCTCTACAGAACAGGCCGTGGTTATCATTACAAGCCGTGCCAGCGAGCCTCTCCCAGATTGGGACAGGTCAACATTATACCACCAACCCCAGCCGTTTGGGTCTTGCTGCCCACCAGCGCGGAAAGGATATTAAACTCTTTCGTAATGAGGATTGTCCACGGGCTGGCCCCATTCGGCCAAGCTGCGCGTTCCACATACGATGTACGACGCACGACCCGTTTGGAGTTTGCTTCTCGCTTTCTCTCTCTTCTTTAAGTGCGTCTTGTCATACAAAGCCCGGTGAGCAGGTGAGACGACAACAGTGATTGCAGCGCGATGCCCGTAAATTGTAATATAGGCCTGAGATGTTTGTGCAGTAAGCACACATTCCGTATTGGTGAAGAGACAAAACAAGCCAGATCACTGGGATCTGGGCACTTATTGAAACATGACAGGCCACGGTCTGCAGGGCAGGCAATTGTCCCGAAGAGCCGTTGATATAAGGCACAGGCCCTGCTGAAACTCGAGCTTTTCCGGTCACACAGGCCTCAGACCAGCCCACATGGTATCTACTCTCATAATCATCCATATGGGCGTGAGCTATGTCGTACTTACAGAATACATCTTCCCTGTTTGGATCGTTTAGCCAGGTACAGATTACACGCATCGTGGTTTCATATTGCGTTTGCAAGGCTGGCGATCCCGGTCAGCCCTCGAGACCGCGCAATGGGCGCATTGCCACGGGCGAGGCCTGTGACCCGATATTTAAGTATACTTAGTATGCAAACGTGAAGAGTGAGAAACGCATTGGGTGATTCTGTTTATGTAAGTCAAAGTCGATGAGATGCTGGCCATTGTCATTCGCGCTTTCCAATTCTGAGCGTGGGAGCTCAACTGCGCCTGCGGAAAGTCTGGGGAAGGAACAGTTGCGAGAACGTGACTTTAGTGGGCTTGCCGTTTTTGGTGTGTAGCATTCGCTCCCGTAGCAAAGCATGTCATAGCTTTTCCGCACTTAAGCCGAGGCATCTGCAGCGGCGGAATTTCAGCAGCCAGCGAGCCAAAACGGCGCCAAACCCCACAGAAAGATGTTTGCAATTGTTGCTTGGTTTGCTCATGACCGCCTTCCAGCTCAACGTTCGCTGGCAATCTGCATTGCACCTGCCGACAATTAACAGACGAAGCGCACATCCGGCAGCAACGACTCATCGTGAGAACGCCGAAACGGCAAGAACGAGGGACCCGACCTCCCCGGCGTAAACGGAAGGAAGCTCCCCTTCGCTATCCAGCGTCATCGGCCAGCGAGCACCTTTTTGTTCCTCCGCCCGCACGGCTGCATCCAGCCAGCCACTTCTGCCCCTCTCAACTGAATACGCCGCTCCTCGTCCCCTCTCCTCTTTCCATCATGGCCGCTCCCATGCTCGAGTTCCGCACGCCCGGGTACAACCCGTACGCCGTGCAGTACTCGCCGTACTACGACTCGCGCGTGGCCGTGGCGTCGTCGGCCAATTTTGGCATCATCGGCAACGGCAAGCTGTTTGTGCTGGAGCTGACGGCGGCGGGCGCGCAGATTGGCAAAGTATGGGACACCAACGACTCGCAGTTTGACGTGGCGTGGTCCGAGATCAACGAGAACCAGCTGCTGGTGGCCTGCGGCGACGGGTCGCTCAAGCTGTTTGACCTGTCGGTGGACAACTTCCCCGTGATGAACTTCCACGAGCACAAGCGCGAGGCGCTGTCGGTGTCGTGGAGCCCCGTGACCAAGGACTCGTTCCTCACGAGCTCGTGGGACGGCACCGTCAAGCTGTGGTCGCCGACGCGCAACCAGGCGCTGCGCACGCTGCCGATTGGCACCTGCACCTACTCGGCCGCCTACTGCCCGTCCAACCCGGCGATCGTGTCGGCGGCCTCGAGCGACTCACACCTGCGCATCTTCGACCTGCGCACGCCGGTCTCGGCCAAGTACCACCTCGTCGCAACGGTGCCGGTGCACGCGCCGCCGACGCACGCGGGCCACCTGCCGCACCTCGCCAACGGCGGCGTCCCCCCGCCCGGCGCGATGGGCGGCGCGCCCGCGGAGATCCTCACGCACGACTGGAACAAGTACAACGACACCGTGGTTGCGACGGGTGGCGTGGACAAGGTGATCCGGACGTTCGACATCCGCAACCCGGCGGGCGGCGCGCTGTCGTACATGATGGGCCACGAGTTTGCGGTGCGGCGGCTGGCGTGGAGCCCGCATGCGCACGACATTCTGCTGAGTGCAAGCTACGACATGACGGTGCGGGTATGGACGGACGGATCACCACCGCCGCCGGCCCCGCCGCCGTCGCAGCAGCAGATGCCCGTGCGGATGGGCACGGAGCTGGGCGTGATGAACCGGCACACAGAGTTCACGACAGGCGTGGACTGGTCGCTGTTTGGCGAGGGCGGCTGGGTGGCGTCGACAGGCTGGGACGAGCGCGTGCTGCTCTGGGATGCAAACGCATTAATACACCGGAGGATGTAGATGGATGACGAGAGCGCAGTTGTTGACATAGACGGGCATCCGATGTAGGGCGTACTGGCGTTTTTACGGCAAGATAAAAAGGTGACATGGCACTGGGCTTTCTTTGCCTTACATTATCATACAGCACACACGGGCATTATGCATTTATACAAGTTTATAATTTAGTTTGGATACAACAAGGTATTTTCGTACAACCAAAACAACAAATACACGCCATCGCATCCCGCCAAACTAGCTGTCCAGCATGTCGACATCGGCCCCGATGAGGCGTGCCGTGCCGTCTCGCCGCGACACGTCTCTCTGTCCGCTGCCGTCGTCGCGTGCCCGCTGCATGTCTTGCTCCAGCTGGGCATCGGGCCCCGAGTCGTCCTGCACGGCGCCCGACGCGGCCGCCGCTTGCGCCAGAGCGGCGGCGGCGGCCACGCCGGACGAGGGCGCCGCTGAGCGGAATGTCAGCCCCGCGCGACCGCCGTGGTTGTTGTTGTTGTTCTTGTCGGTGTGGGTGTGGGTGTCGTCGTCGTGTTCGTCGTCGCCGTTGAGAATGCTAAAGGACAGCACCTGCTGCCGCTTCTTGCCTGGGCCGCTGCCGCCGCCGCTGCCCGACTCACCATTGGCCATCAGGGCCGAGATGGCCGTGGGTGGTGCACCGCCCGTCGATGACCGGGCCTTGCTCCGCGAACCGCCACCGCCGCCGCCAGTAGCAGACTCAACACCACCGCCAGCTGCACGTCCCCGGCCTTTGGGTCCTGTGCCGGTCGTGTCGCCGCCGACGGTGCCGCCGCTACGCAGCTTGGCCTGCGCGGCAGCCGCGTCGCGCTTGACACGGCCAAAGGGAACGGTGACGGGGACGGTGTCCTCGAGAAACTCGAGGCGGTCGACGCGGTTGACGGCATTGGCGAGGTCGCGGTACTGGACGTTGCGGCGGGGTTTGCGGTCGAGCTTGACCATGTTCTCGGCCTCGGAGGAGATGTACTGAATGAAGAGTTCCTGGGGGGGCATTAGCAGTCAAGGGGCGTCGAGAGAGGAGGCCGGGCGGGCCGTATAGAAAGCACGTACGGTCGCCAGTGTGATGACAAAGGCTGCATTACTAGAGCAGATGGACACATCCGGGTCGAGGGCAATGATCTTGCGGACTCTCGAGACTGGAGACGTTAGCGGCGAGGCCGTGGCCCGAAATGATGGCACGGCACGTACGCGGTAGCTGGGTCTGGCCCGTAGGCTCTTTCCGAGGCGGAATGGCCGTTGTGTTGTACGGCATGTTGGCGATAAAATAATAAAGCAACAAGACGTAGGGAATAGGCGGGCAGCAAGAGGCGGAGGAGACGGTGGACAAGAACGTCGTATGTGCGAGGATCGCAATGAATCGTGTAGCGACGCAAAGAGTGCCACTGTGCCAGGATAGATGGCTCGGCTGGTCAGTATGGGCGTCGTCTACGTGGTGATGTCGAGTCCGACCGATGTCGTTTTGGGTTGAGTTGGGACGTGCACTTTCTATTCATAGGCTGAGGCGCGGTTAGTGCGACGCGTGCTGGGCGTGGTATTCATTACTGGTGCGGTTTACGGGAGGCACGACCGCTAAAACGTCATTCTGCAGGCAATTTAGCGCTGAACAATTGGAATTGCCAATGTCTTGGAGTCGTCTCGACGGATCCTGTTTTGTTTCTGGACAAGAGATGATGTACAAGTAAAGAGCATTCTCCGGCAGATTTGCCTTGGTATTGACTGGTATAATTGAAAACTGTAAAGTACCATCTGTTTGACAAAGAAAAATGAGACAGGAAACGGGAAATTGAAACTATGCCATGAAACCCCGACAAACGAAAGAACGAGCAACAAATGAACGGCGAGCAGTAGATACAAGAGACAAAACAACGGGCCGTCGAGACACGATTGCCAGCAGCAAGCCGTGGGCTCGTAGACCGGGCCGTGCTTACGACTTCACCGACAGGACAATGGTCAACAGCACCAGCACAAACACCAGTCCCATGAGGGCCATGAGCTTGACGTTCTTCCACCACATTTGCCGCTTCAGGCCGCGGCTGCGCACACGGAAGTCGCGGGCGCTGCCGCCCAGGCGGTCGGTCTGGTCCACCAGCAGGTCGATGCGCTCGCCGCGCTCCAGCAGGGACTCGATGTTGCGGCCCATGATGCCGCGGACGTCGTCCATGTCGCGGCGGACGGACGACAGGGCGTCCTCCTCGGACGACGTGCCAAACTGGACGAGCAGGGCCTTGAGGGTGCCGTTAAAGGAGGCGCAGCCGTAGTTGGGCAGGTCGGAAAAGTCGGTGTGGGCGGGCGGGAAGTCGGCAAAGAACTGGGCGCGGACGGCGACGAGAAACGCAAAGGGGATGCGGCGGCCGAGGCTGCCGTCGGCGACGACCAAGAAGGTCAGGCCGCCGGCGCTGCTGGCCGTGCTGTCGGCATCGTCCGGGTCGGGCGCCTCGGCGACATAGTGGATGTGGTTGGAGCCGTGCGTGAATGTCAATTTCTGTGGTGTCTTGTGGTCGATCTTGGGCAGGACGAGGGAGGCGAGGGCAGAGGTTTGGCTGGAGGCGGAAGCGATGCACTCGGCGAGGATTGTGGTATTGTGGGCGACGCACGCACTGGACTGTTAGAGGAGCGGAGCGAGCGAGAGAGAGAGAGAGAGAGAGAGAGAGAGAGAGAAGAGAGAGAGAAAGAGAGAGAAAGCAACAGATAGAGGACTTACTAAAGCAGCGGCGTCGTCGGCGCGGAGGACGTCATACTGACGGCCGGGAGATGGTGTGCGTGGGCGCGAATGGGCGTATGTTCTGCAGTCAATCGCTGGGTCGATTTAGCGTGTCGCGGTAACGTCGGATGCCAGCCACGCCGGCGTGAAGTGTCTGTGGATATATCGTGGGCGTGATGAGCAGATGGACAAGTTGTGAGGCCAAGGGGAAGTGACGATGTTTGTGTTGGCAAGCGGCAGGTACGTACCAGTGGTCGATGACGAACTGCCACCGCCCCTTCCCCAACAAGGTTGCACTAGGGCAAGGCTTGTGGCGTGGCGCTGGGCGCTGAAGGGGATGCGGTTACAGGCTGTGAAACGCGGACTACAGCACGTGCCGCTTGCACTACGGCGTCATACGGCATACAGCAATTACGAGGATTGGAATGGCGGTGTTCTTCGATGCCTCATAATACCATTAGATTATGTTTAGATTATGCCAATGCTGTAAAAGATTGAAAGCAAGCACGCCTCGAGCAATGCGACGTATATATACAGAGATAAACTGCCGCCCACGTTTCGTTTTCGTCCACGCATCTTCTGTGGTCCCCTCACCACTGTTACAGCTTACTCCCAGTGCCGACACCGACCGGACGAGCTCGTTGTGCTATTGGCCAGGTCGTGTTCTCGCGATAGATGTAGCCGTGGGCGACCGGACTGCTCGCGTGCGGCAACGGGGGTGCCGGCGGTGCAAGTGGAAAGGCCGCAGGGTGCGCTTGGTACGGTGCAGATGGCATAAAGGGCGCCTGGTGAGGGTTGTGGATGTGGCGAGGCGCGGGCACGGGCACGGGCACGGGTGGGACGGCGACCGGCACGGCTGGCTGACCAAAGGACCGCCGCCGCTGCAGCTTCTCGGTAAAAAAGACGGGATGGAGGACGGACGGGTTGTGCATCGCCGGCGGTGGTGGCACTTGACGGTGCTGCGTTGGCTGCTGCCGCGAAGGGGGCAGGAGATGTGGTGCCAGGATGGCTCGAGGGATGGCGTAGTCGGCCGAGACGTCTGAGAAGGAAAGCGCCCCTGCTATCGGCAGTGTAGGAGGTGCAGCCGGGGCCATGGAGAGCTTGTATGCAGAGCCAGCAGCTGGACCGGAGAAACACAGACGAAGAAGGACTGGCCGAAGGAGCGGCGAAAGGGACAGGCCGTATATGGACGGCAAAGTGACGAGCTCAGATCATGGAGGATGGTGTTGGCGACGGCGGACTCAGTCTCGAAGGGCGTCGAAAGGGATGCGCCGGAGTGCAGTCGCCGTGTTTGGGTTTGTCGATTCGAAGTTTTGGTTTGGCGTTGTGCGATTTCGCAGCTAAGATACCAGCTACCGTAGATATGGGGGTTGTCTAGGCGTCGCGCAGCCGCTGTCGTCATTTTTCACGTGGAAAGGCCGCTAAAGCGGGGTGCCAGTTGCGAGTTCCGGCGCCTCGGTCCGGGCTGGGCAGGCGCCGCCAGGCAATGGCAATGAGCAGTGCGCTAAATGGCATTCGTTATTAGCTACAGCATGTACGAAATACTGTGAGTTTTGTCATCGCAACAAATCTATGCATATTCCATGCTTCCATGTGTCTTTTGTGCGCCATACAAATCCAGGCCCGTGCCCATATCAAGCAAATGCAATCCCACGCCTTGTACGTCCGTAGATGCCAAATAGATACGATGCCAAACAAAAAAAGAGCCAAAAGCAAGCTGAGCCTCCACCCCCCACCCCCCCTATGCCTTTCGTTTCGACTTCTTCTTGTCGCCCTTCTTCGCCGCCGCTTCCTTCTCCTTCTCCCGCTCTTTGCCCTTCTTGATCGCGCTCACCAGCGCCTCGATTTCGTTGACTTGATGTGTCTCCTTGCGCACGCGCTCCTCGTTCTCGGCAGCCTCTTTGGCGGCCTCCTTCTCCCGCTGGCGCCGCTCGGCGGCTCGCTTTTCCGTTTCTTCCACCAGCAGATCACTGTCCTGCCACAGCGCCTTGGCCACGGTCTCGTCCTCGACGTCGCGCCGCGCCGTGTCCATGACCCGGCACTCCTTGATGATCTTGTGCGCCAGCGGGTCCCGGGCCGCGTCGTCCGCCAGCGCGTCGCCCGCGGTGCCAAAGTCGCGCATGCGCCGCAGCTCGCCGTCCATGGCCGCATACAAAATCGACTGTGCGCCGTCGTCGGCGCTCTTGATAAACAGCCACCACAGCGGGTACAGCAGCACATAGCCCAGCACGAGCCACAGCAGCGACCCCCCTGTCAGCCAGTGGCGGAACCCGGGCGTGCGCGACATGCCCGGGTCGACCACCAGCACGCGCACATTGCCTGGTAGGTTGTCCGGCCGCTTGTGTGCGTCGACGTGCTTCTGGAAGGAGCGTGCAAACACCATGAGCGCGAGCTTGCTGCGCGCATACGCGCGCGCCGGGGACCAGTCGGGGATGTCGACGCCGTCCGGCGTCGTGGAGGCCGCTGCCCCTGCCTTGGCTGCCTTTTTCTTGCTACCTCGAGCGTTTGTTGTCGTTGATGCGGTGCTGGCAGGAGCCGCAATCAACGGCGGCGAGCCAATGTAGGACGAGCACGTCGTGATAATGATCCGCACGTCGCGATCAAACGGCTGCGACCGCAGCGCGGGGCTCAGGATGCCCAGCAGATGGAAGTTGGCCAGGTAGTTGACCATCCACGCTCGCTCAATCCCGTCCGCCGTCGTCACGCCGCGTGCCGGCGCCAGCGCCTTGCCCGTGCGTTCGTCCGTCTGCGCCACGCCAGCCACCGCCGCGCACAGAATGATCATATCCAGCCGCCGCACCGGCAAGTTGTCGATCCACTGAGTAGCAAATGTGCGGATGCTGTGCAGGGACGTCAAGTCGACCTGCTCCGCGTAAATGAGCTGGTGGCCCGCGAGCTCGCGCAGCTCTTCGACATAGTCCACCACAAAGGGATCGGACGACGGTTGTTGGGTCAGAAGCACAATATGGGCGCCGCGCTTGGCCAGGTCGAGCGCCACGGCTGCACCCACGCCCGATGTGCCGCCCGTGATCATCACGACGCGGCCGTGCATGCTGCGGTCCGACCGATTGGACGCGCCGCTGCAGTACACCTTGGTGCCCACGAGCACGCCGAGCGTGCCGAAGAACTTGACCAGCGTCTCGGGCTCGGGGAACCATTCTGGCAGCCCATAGAGATACGCGTTCGTTATAAAGTCGAGAGGCATGGTGGGAGACGGGAGACGTGTGCGAGACTCTGCGAGACGACGTTCTTGTGAGATGTATTGAGGTCGAAAGTCGTGGGCCTTGGAAAGGGGGTCGAAGAAGATGTCGTGGTAGTCGAGGCAGGCGCGTCCGCTAAAGTGGCTTTTAATAGCACGTTTAGTGGAATGGAATTCAGGGAATGGGCGGCTTTCATTGGCTACATTGGCGACAGGTGCCGATAAGATAAGGAAGCTGCCCCTGGAGCATGACGACACCCAGCGCACTTGCCATCTTAAGTCTACAGATGTATAAATGTGGGGCCCAAGGCTGTGGCAAACTTGCGCCTGCCTGATTTTGAATGTATGCGAGTGCATCTCATCCGCCTTCCGTCTCTCAAAACAAACACATCTCCACGACGTCGTACAATACAGCCAAAAATGGCACACAGACGCCAAAGTACGACAGACCGCAATGGCGGACTCAACGAAGACGGCGCCTCGGACACGCCACTCCACCGTCTGCCCGGCTTCGGCACGGGCCTGCACCGTCAGCGCGTCGCATTTGTCCGGGCCGGCGAGGCGCCACAGACAAAAGGCAGCGGACCAACCGGCGCTCTTCCAGGCGGTGCCGTCTCTGATCTCTATCTCAGCATCGTCATAGGACAGACGGAAAAGAGAGAAGGGAGTGCCGAGTCGGTTGCGAAGGCGGACGAGGCCTCCACCACCGCCCCCACAACGCCCGCCTGCGACGTGTGTCGCCTCCCCTTGACAACGCCCTCGTCGGCCGCCGCCCATCACCACGAGTCCTGCCTCGTCCATCAGGTGGCTCTCGACCACTCTAAGCCACCGTCTTCGCTCAACCGCGGCCGTTTGGGCCTCGCCATTATGAGCGCCCAGGGCTGGGACCCAGACAGTGGCAGGGGCCTCGGCGCCGACCAGCAGGGCATGCCCTATCCGATCGAGGCAAAACTGCGGCCAGAAAGACAGGCCCTCGGCAACGGCCCGGCGCCGTCGTCGTCAGAATCTCGGTCCCGCTCGTCTGGCTCGGCGGCATCGGCGCCGACACGCAACCGCAAGCATACGCGAAAGCAGCTGCGCGCCATGGAAGAAGACCGCCGACGACGGTACGATCGCCTGCGGGAGCAGATTATGGGCAACAAGGATCTCGACAAGTACCTGCGTCCCCAAGAAGGGGAGTGAAGAGCGACTGAAGAGTGGCTGAAGTCATCGAAAGCAGACACAGGAAGCATCTCGGCGCGCACCGTATTGTCTGTAAGTGTGTGTTGGAAGGCTGACTCGCTTTGAAATATTTCAATCATATGCCCAATATGTACGTTCTATCGTCTTTTCTAACAATGTACCAGATGTGTTTATGTTTATTGTTGTTAAACCGACGGCTTACTGGCCCTTTTCTTTGTCGATGCCGTCGACAACGGGTGCCTTGGGCACTTCTACGCCCAGCACGCGGTACTCGAGGCCCACATAGCCGTCGCTCACAATGAGCACGTCCACCTTGCCGGTTTGGGCAACCGTCTCGGGCAGCTGCACCACTGCCCGTGCTGTAGGCTGCGATCCACCGGGGGCACCACCGCGACCTCCACGGCTCCCGCGTCCGCCTCGGTCGCCGGCACCACCACCGTTGCGACCAGGGCCGGAGCTCCAACCAACCCGCTTGATGGCATAGACCTCGTCGCGCGCCAGGTCACCCACAATGGCAAAGAACCCTTCCGTCTGCGGTTTGGGGAACTTGGGTGCGTACATGCGGGCCTCGCGGTCGACCAGCGCGTTGAGCCGCTTCATGTTGATTGTCACAGACGACGACGTCACGGGGCTGACCGATACCTGTACGTTGGGCAGCAAGGACACGGCACGGTTGAACTGGTTCACACGGCTCGCGGGCACCTGCAGCGACTTGCTGAGCTGCCTCTTCTGCGCCTCCGTCATGGCACTGACGGCCTGCAAGCGCGCGGACGCACCCTTGGATTTGCCGTACGCCTCGGCCGCGTCGCCGTCAACGCCCGGCAGGATCGCGACCGGCGGGTCTGTGGGCCAGACGGCCGATTTGACACACTGCAGCAGCGTAATCATCTCGAGACAGCTCGACAGGTGGTTGAGCTCGGCCAGCACGTCAATCGACGCCTGCATGATGCGGATCGCCTGGTCCAGCACGCTCGTCTGGTCGCCCACGTAATCCGTGATCGGCAGCGTGATGCGCGACATGTGCGCCTGCAGCAACAAGAACGACTTGACGTGCGGATCCCACATGGGCAGCCCAAACGACGTGCCGGGGAACGTCAGGTTGGCCGACAGCTCCGCATTCACCAGGTCCTCGTTGTGCCGCACGGGCAGCTCGTCGTACTCCGTCGCGTGGCACATCCACGAGAGCACGTCCAGGAACGAGGCGCGCGCCTTGGCGTGCCGCACCAGGTGCCGGATCGTCTTGTGCGAGAGATAGTAGTAGCTCATAATCTTGCCGAGCGGCGTCGGGTCCACGTCCCCGTTGGGGTACACCTCGACGCACTTGGACGTGGCCAGGTCGTTCAGGGCCTTGTCCACCATGTCCACCATGAACTCGTTGGCCAAGTGCTGTGCCGTCATGCCGCCGTTGTCCTGCTGCTCCTCGGGCAGAATGTCCAGTCCGTAGTACGACGGGTTCTTGTGCAGCCGCCGGAAGAAGAAGGTCCACGTCAGGTAGTCGAGCGCGTCCTGTTTGCTGACAATCGTCTCGGCCGACACCTCGGCGCACAAGTGGTTGTCCAGCACCGTGTGCAGCGACGACTCGACGGGGAAGCCCGTGTGCAGAAAGTGCTTGTAAAAGTCCTTCTTGGCGTCCTGCGTAAAGATGCGCGCCACGCCCGAGTTGTCAAACTGCGGCCGGCCCGCACGACCCAGCATCTGCAGCACGTCCGTCAGGTCCATGTCCTTGTAGCCCTCGATCTTGGCGTCAAAGAACTGCGTGCCCTTGACAATCACCAGGTGCGCCGGCAGGTTGACGCCCCACGCCAGCGTGCTCGTCGCCACGAGAATCTGGATCTTGTTGTGCAAGAACAGCTCCTCCGAGAGCTGCCGGTCCGACTCGACGAGGCCGGCGTGGTGCAGGCCGATGCCAAAGCTGATGGCCTCGCGCAGCGCGTCGTCTTTGACGCGCGCCAGATTCGCCTGCAGGTCGTCCTCCGCCATGTGCAGGAAGCGGCGCGGGTTGTCTTCCATGCCGCAGAAGTTGACGAGGTCCTTGGCTGTCAGGCGGGTCTGTCGGCGCGACGGAACGAAGACAATCACCGGCTTGTCCGGGCTGTGGTTCTTGATGGCCAGGAACGACGGGCGGTTCATCGCCTGCATCAGCGGGCAAAACCCGCGCATGTCGGGAAACCCGTCAATGTAGAGCTCGAGCGGGACGGGCCGCACCGAGTGGCGGAAGTTGAAGAGCGCACCCTGGCTCTGTTTGACGCCCAGCCAGTTGGCCAGGTCGGTTGCGTTGGCGCAGGCCGTCGACATGCCCAGCAGCCGCACAGGCACCTTGGTCGAGGCCGCAATGTAGTTCATGCGCGACACGATGATCTCGAGAATCGGGCCGCGGTCGCCGGCCAGCAGGTGAATCTCGTCGATAATCACAAGGCTGACTTTCCGCACGTAGTTACGCGTCTGCCAGCTGCGCGAGATGCCGTCCCACTTCTCGGGCGTCGTGATGATAATGTCGGCGTCCTGAATCGTGCGCGTGTCCGGCGTGTTGTCACCCGTCAGCTCGACCAGCTTAAGGCCGGCAGGGCCGGCCAGGCGCCCGCCCCAGTCCTTGATGCGCTCGCGCACCAGCGCCTTCATGGGCGCAATGTACACGACCTTGGAGCCGGGCCGCTCGCGGAAGGCCCACCACATGGCCAGCTCGGCCGCCACGGTCTTGCCGCTTCCCGTCGGCGAGCCCAGAAGCACGTTGGCGGGCGTGTGGTACAGCGTGTGAAAGATTTGCGTCTGCATGGGGTTGAAGTACTGGAAGCGCTGCGCATAAATGTCCTCCAGCACCGGGTTCTTGAGCGCAGAGATGGGCAGCGGCTGCAGGTCCAGCAGGTCCGTGTACACGCTTTCCGTGTCCGGACGAATCAGGTGCTGGAACGAGACGGGCGTGACAGTCTCGGCGCCCAGCCAGCGGTCGGACACGGCTCGCACGTAGATCTGGTCGGGCAGCGGGTCGGACAGCGGGATGGTAAAGTTCATCTCGTGGTCATCGTGCAGCTTGCGGCGGCTCAGCACAAAGTACTCGTGGTGGTAGATCTCCGAGGTCTCCGAGTTCTCGACCCAGATGTAGTACGACTCGGACGTGCCGTGGGTCTGGTCGTTCCAGCGGAAATCTGGGTACAGGTAGAGCTTGATGCGCAGGACGTCGCGGTTGAGGGGCGCAATCTCGGCCTCGACGGTCAGCGTCGGAAAGCTGCTGAGGATGCGCGAGATCTTGTTGCCGGCGCCGTGGTTGCGCACCAGGCTGCCAATTTCGCCGGGCTCCATGTCGCGCAGCGACTCGATGGACGCCACCGTGCCCTTCTCGTCCAACTGGGCGAGGACCGGCCGGGGCAGCTCGAACTGGCTCAGCGGGTGCTCAAAGGGCCACACGCGGCGCTCAATCGATTTCGAGAGAGACAACAGCACAAGGCACTGGTGCCCCCAGCGGCGGTTGAGCGCAATCATAAAGAGCGCCCGGCAGATGCGTGCGGACTGCTGGGCGACGTAGTTGAGGTCGTTGCCCAGGGCAAAGTCGTCCGGCTGGACTTTGGAGATGTACGACTGCAGGAGGATGTTGGTCTTGGCCTGGGGGGAGTCAATGGTGCCGCCCACGTCGCAGACCGTGCCCGTGTCCTTGAGCTTGGCCAGCTCCTTGTTCTCGCTGTCGCGCGACGAGATGTTGTCAAACTCGCTGCTCTTGGCGATCATCTGCAGCACGTCGGCCTCGGTGGCGTGCTGGCGCATCATGGTGTTGAAAATCTGGATGCTCGAGTGCAAGATGTAAAACTGGCTGGCAATGCGCCCAACGTCCTTGCTGCGCAGCTCTTCGGTCGCCTCGTTGTAAATAATCATCTGGCTCTGCTGCAGCGTGCGCGCCGCCTGGACAGCCAGCTGGCGACGGCGCTGCACGAGCATGGGATCCTGCGCGAACTCGGCCCAGTCGATGCCGTAGGCCATGGGGTTGCGGCGCATGCGCACAAAGAGGTACGAGTAGCCGATCCACTGCACGGCCTCGGGGATGGAGGTGACGGTGCCGAGTGCGATCTCGGCATTCAGGTTGTCGACGAGCTTGGCCGAGAAGCGCGACTCGATGGGCAGCTGCTCAGTCACGGCCGTCAGGTAGTGCGTCAGCTTGTTGTGGGAGGTGCAGATCATGCCGATGCCCGTGTCCTCAAACTGCGGACGGCCGGCACGGCCAAAGATCTGGAGCACGTCGAGGATGCCGAGGTCGACAAACTTGCCGTCCTGGGCGCTGTACACCTGCGTGCCCTTGATGATGACGGCGGCCGCGGGCAAGTTGACGCCCCACGCGAGGGTCGCCGTACAGCACAGGACCTTGAGCACGCCCTCGCCGAACAGGCGCTCCATGAGGTTGCGGTCGGACCGGGCCATGCCGGCGTGGTGGATGCCCAGGCCCTTGGGCAGCAGGTCGCGGATCTCGCGGGCCTTGGACGTCTTCATGGACGCCACGGCGGCCTCGTAGCGCGGATGGGTGCTGGGGTCGAACAGGTCGAGGCACATCTCGTCTGTGGCCTTTTCGTGCAGCATCTTGGCGGTGGCCATGGTGTCGCGCCGCGAGTGCACAAAGACCATGATCTGGTGGCCCTGCTCGAGCATGTCCCGTGCCTTTTCAAAGGCGACAGTGTCGAGGTTCTCCTTGCCTTCCTTGCTGCCCGCCTTGCCTTTGACGCCGATAAAGTGCTGCTGCAGGGGCACGGGACGAAACGAGGCGTCGAAATAGAAGAGACCCGCGTAGCGGTTGACCTTGAGAAAGTCGGCGACGTCAATGTAGTTGGGCAGCGTGGCGCTGAGGCCGACAACGCGGATCAGCGACTGCGTGCTCTCGACCTGGCGCTCTGTCCGCGCCACCAGCGACTCGAGGACGGCACCGCGCTCGTCGTGCAGCATGTGCACTTCGTCGATGATCAGCAGGCGCACCTTCTGCACGAGCTCCGTGTCGCCGACGCCGCGGCGTGTGACGACGTCCCACTTCTCAGGGGTCGTCACGATGATCTGCGTGCGCACGATCTCGGCCTTGGTCAGCTGCATGTCGCCCGTGTACTCGCGGACCTGGATGCCGAGCCACGCCAGCCGCTTGCCCAGCTTCTCGGTAATCTCGGCGGCCAGCGCCTTCATGGGTGCGACGTAGACGATCTTGAAGTCCTCGCCGTCCACCGCAAAATCGTCCACAGCAGCGTCGTCCACGGGACTGGGCAGCGCGTATTGCCCGACGGTGTGCAGGATCGTGAGCATGGCTGCGTCTGTTTTGCCGGCACCCGTGGGCGCGCAGATCAGCATGTTCTCGCTCGTTTTGTACGCCACCGGGTACACCAGGCTCTGCATGCGGTTCAGGGTCGTGTAGCCCTTGAACGTGCCCCGACACAGCCCGTCGAGGTCGCTGATCTTGACCAGGCTCTGCCCAGGACCCAGCGTGCCTTTGCTGCCGGCGGGGATGTAGTACTCGGTATACTTTTCCTTCTCACGCACCGTGCTGCCCGCAGGCAGTGCATAGCGCTTGCCCGTCACGCTCAGGCTGTTGCCGGCGTGGTAGGCCTTGTAGACGTGTGGGTACTCGGCCTCTTTGGCCGATGCGGCGCTGAGGACGGCCGTCTTGTGCTCGAAATCTTTCTGGCGCAGCTGCTCCTCGCGCTGCGCCTTGGTCAAGAGCCGCGAGCCGCCGACCGACGGCCCGTTGTGACTTTCCGGTGGTGGTGCTGCGTCTTCTGCCACGGCTGCCGCCACGATTTCGTCGCGGTGGGCGAGTAGCTCAATGACAAAGTCCAGGTCATCAAAGCCCACCAGGTCCGTCAGCTGCGACTGCAGCTCCTCTTCTGGCCGGGACGACTGCAGCACGTCCATGATCTGTTCCTGCAGCACGTCGGGTGGTATCGGTGCGGCCGCTTGGCTGCTTCGCGAGGCCATGGCCAGGCATTTTGTAGAGAGCCAGGCGGGTGTGTAGGAGGAGGAGGAGGAGGACGAAGGAAAAGACTTCGCACCGCCGGCTGTGCTGCTGCCGCCACGGCCTAAACCGCCGACGTCACTCGGTGCCAGACCAAGCTCCTCGAGCTCGTCGTCCGAGATAAAGTCCCAAATATCCTGGCCAGCACCACCACTGGCCGAGCTGTAGTAGCCGTCGCTGTCGTCTGTGTCGTCCAAGTCGTCGTACTGGTCGTCCAGTTCGCTGACGTCTGATGTGGGAGGGAGCTTGAGAGCTGCCACGGCGTCCTTCATGGCCGCCAGCTGCTGTATCCACTGCTCCTCGGCAGAGCTTGGTGATATTGACGCCATCGTGAGAATGTGAGACGGGTCTCTGAGAGAATGGTATGAGATGCGATGTGAGGGTATTCGTGGAGAGGCGGGATAAATGGAGTGTCTCTATACGCTCTCAAGTTGCTTGTCGCTTGCCACTGGACACAAAATGAATTCGCAGGAAGCGAGGGGAAAGAGAGACTGGACATGAGCAGCGCAGGCCCAAATGTGCTTGAAACAAGCTCTCTATTATGATGCCCTTTCAACCCAATTTGTATCACAATGCTGTATTTGTTGTTATCACCACCAGTATCTTCCTGCCTGAATAGCGGGGGAGTCATTCGGGATGACAAAGCTGGCGGAAAAGGCAGGCGCAGTGGGCGAGCTAGCGCATGGCCGGGTCGCGCCTGCCGCTACAACAAAGTCGTACTGTAGTGCGTGGGGAGCTCGCATCATGGCACCGCTGTCTTTTGTGGTTTGTTTGTGCTTCATCTGCTTCTTATCGTGCAAGTGAAAACGGCCACAGTCTGTACGACGTCTGTTTCAAGAAGCAGACGTCTCATGGCTCTGCGCTTTGGTGCATTCTCCATTTTCCATGACCAGGATTTGGTGCAACTGCCGCTTCTGGTCCGATAAGCTGGACGAGCTGGGTTGCTCTTTCCAGAACGGCCCTCGACGCAAACAGCCAATCGCAGCACACAAAGCGCCTATTTTAGCAGTGGAGCCAGCCGCGTGGAAACCACCGTCCAGTTCAAAACGATGATGGCTGGCTGGGCACGCCCATCCCTCTTTACGCGGTGTTAAAACGACGTAAGATGCGTGTCCCAAGGCCTTGAGCCACACGCCGCTAATACGAGTAAGTTAGTGATACGCGGTACACGACAGGGGCTTTCAAGGGGGGCTTAGAAAGGAGACGTGTTTTTTGGGCAGTCGCATCCGCCGCTTTGTCTTGTTCTTGCCTTGTCTTCATCCACATGCTTTCCGCTTTGGTCGCTCCTTCTTGCTCGGATCGAAACCTTTCCCAACAAACCCTGGACCGGATTCCCCTTTTGGAGTGCGCAACCTAAATTAACAACCACCGATCTCTCCTTCCTTTTTCAACGGCGCAGACTGCGACCCTTATTTCGTACTATTCCCCCACTCCCAAAAATACGTCTGAGCAGCTTCACCGACGACTTCGAGCAACGCACGAACAGCTTCAGCGCTCTCCCTTGACTCGTCTCTCCGCTCGGCTTCTCCCGCTCCCCGCTGTCACGATATCTGCGACCATGCCTTCCATGTGGCTAACAGACTCCCAGAGTGCGTTCTCCAAGCTCCCCTCCAGGGCCAGAATGCCCTGGCGCAGGAGCTTTTGCGACACGCGACCAAAAGGCTCTTGCAACCCCGTGGAGCCGGTCGCAAGCTCCAGCTCGTGCGCCAGGTGCTGCCGTGGCGGCCGCATCCGCTGTGCCAGACAATTATGCTAACGTGACACTTTTCCCCAACTTGCAGAAGTCGGAGTGGCTTTCTGCTCCGGTGGTACGTTCATGAAGCGCCCGATCCGATACCTTGGCCAGGCAGAACGGCCGAGTTCTCCCCTGTCGTCCGTTGGTGAGCAACCTCTAACTCGTTCTTCTAGGCGGCTTCTTCCTCATCGGTGGCGTCATGCTCTTCTTTGACCGGGCCATGTGAGCATTCTAGTTCCCCGTCGACCGTGTTGCTTATCGCAGCCTCGCAGTCTCTTCATTTTGTTTTGAACCCGTTACTTATGTTTTTTTTTCTCCAGGCTCGCTATGGGCAATGTAAGCGAAGCCGTTCCAGGCCCGTGAAGCGCAAAGCGCACGGCGACATGTACCTCCCGCCTGGCACTCTTCGATAGGCGCCTTAGTTTCTAACAGTCTCGCTTCCTTTTGACAGATCCTCTTCCTCATCGGCCTCACCATCATCATCGGCCCGGCCAAGACGCTCCTCTTCTTCGCGCGCAAGCAAAAGGCCAAGGGCACTGCCGCCTTCTTTGGTGGCCTTCTCCTGATTCTGCTGCGGTGGCCGCTGATCGGCTTCTGCGTCGAGCTGTACGGCATCATGGTCCTCTTTGGCGACTTCCTGGGCACCATTGCCGCCTTTGCACGGAACGCGCCCGTGGTGGGACCGTACATTGGCGTGGCCGTGGATCGCGCAGGAATCGGCCGGCGCAACACGGACCTGCCGGTGTGAGCGTGGCCGCTCGCGGGCGACGTACCGTGAGAGAGAGAAAACGAATGCTTGTGTGATGTGACGTACGGCGTGCAGGTTTCGACCTCGATTTTCCAACGTTGATCTCAACCGTCATTGGCAACCAACACGTGCATATTTCCCGGGACAAAAAAACAAACACAAACAAAAACGATGGTGGGACGGACGGGTGATGACGGGTGGCTTTATGGGCCACCCACCACCGGGTCTGTGGTGTATTGCTTTATATTTTTTGGTATTAAGGGCGTCTTGTACACAATTATATAGAACCCCGAGGGTGAAACAGCAGGAACCAAGGACACATTTTATTCGGCGTTGGGCTGGAAGGGAAACAAAATACGAAGACAGCGGACGGAGAGTGGTTTCAAACCAGTGTGCAAAATACCCTTTCTCGTTGTGTTTTCGTCTTACTTTTTTTAGGCGACATGGGGCAGCCACAAGCCTAATCTGTCAAGTTTTGGGATCTTTTGAATAGTATCTCTTTTTAATTCAATAATCGGCACTTCGTGGTAAAGATTGTGTGAAGCAAAACATATACATCAACGGATCTTGTCCTCCGCCACATGCCCACTCCAATTGTTTGATATTATGGATTCGTTCGCTTCACATCACCGTATAGGCGCCGCCCAGGCGTGCAACCTGCCACCAAATCTATCTTACTATGGCTCTTGTCGCTTCGCATTTTATGTACGTGGCGACCTAATTCATCCAAACTAAACGAAGCCTTTTGTCTAGGCCTAGTCAAAATGCGCATCTCTCTACCGTCTCTCTGTCTCCCTGTTTCTCGTCCGCCACATCAACGTCGTCCACCGCTTTAGTATCCCTGTTTGCGGAGGTAGTCGGCCAGGGCCTCGACAGTTGCCCGCGCGTTGCTCGCCTGTGCGTTTTCGCCGTAGTGGCCGACAACAATCGCCTGCTTCGTCTTGGCAATGGCGACACCGGTCTTGCCCTTCCGGATCATCGCAATGTTGTCCTCGGCGCTGACAATCGTGGCGACGTACTTCTCGCCGGCAACGTGCAGGCCCTCGCTGTAGGCCTTGTCGATCGCGGGCTGGCTGTTGGCCTCGAAGATGGCAGCAATCGCCTTCAGCTCCTCAGGCTTGAGCTGTAGAGAGAGAAAGAAACGTGTTAGCCGGTCGCACGGTACGTATCATCGAGGCGAAAAGAAAGGTTGCCGCATACAGAAAACTTGGGCGAGGTTGCCCAGACGCTGTCGCCGGCGGCGCTGATGATGGCGGCCTCATCAATGTGACCGCTGCCAACCAGGCTAGAGGGTTGCATGCGCGTTAGCTTCGGATCTCATCGTATCTGTTTCCATCATTGTCGCCATCACCGCCATTGGTTTGCCCCACGATCCGACGACGCCCCGGCAATGACCGGCCCAAACAACTCAACAGGTAGAGGTTCGAGATGGCGGGATCAAGAGAGCCGTTCGGCCGAATCGTTCGTGTCGCCACGCCGGGTCAGAAAGCTATGGCGACAAACTCAGAAGCGCGGAGGAGCAGGTGTTTACCTCGAGTCGATGTAACCTATGCCACCAGGGTCAGCCAAACCGTTCCAAATCCGCTTCAGACGAGCAACCAAACAAATGCAGGGCCAGGGGCGTTCTCAACTGACCTTGCCAAGACATGGTGAACGTGTGTAAAATGTGTGTGTGTGTGCGGTACGTGGCGTGTCTCGTTGCTTGTTGGCTATCTCAGTAAGAAGATAAGATGACGGGAGCGGTTTCGAGAATCTGCACAAATAAACAGTAAGCATTTGCAATGTCACAGGCGAGTCGTCGATGGGGAAACTGATGCATCGTACGGCTTCGGAGGGCGGTCAGGGAGTTGAGAGAGCGGTGCGAAGATGCGACGCTGCGGAAAACGTACAGTTCAGGGCGCAATGCAATCCTGGGTGAAGAGGGACGTAGTAAGGCAAAACAGACGTGTGACGTTTGCTCGTTTGAGAGGGCGTTTGTGGGAGAGAGGGAGCCGACAGAGTAGAGAAAGGGGAAAAGAATGGGAAGTGGGATGGGAAAATAAGACGTGCAGCACAAGGATTAAGACCAACAGTGCTGGCGATTATTATCGGACCGGCAGGCCCCAGTAACGAAACCACTGCAGGAAGGCGCCCATCGAGCAACCCCAAGAACACCTGCCGAAAGAGGGGTACTGTACCCACTGTAACACTCAACGCCAGGGAAAGCAGGAGGCAAGCTCCAGGCAAAGAGGAAAGAACACCGCCCCGCTAACGACCAAGCTCCGGCCGCTGGGGCGAGCTGGCCAAGCTTCAGGCGGTCAACCAGAAACAGGCGTGTTCATGGCTGCTGTGTTGCTCTTTTGTTTGTATGCATTATTGTGACTATGGCATCATTTCTTTGTGATACTTCTCCAGCTCAGGCGGTTTCACTGGTCGCGGAGAGGAGGGATCGAAGCAAAGCAGGGTCGTTCCTTCCGGCGCTGAGTTTGAGCTCTGTGCAGGCAAATGCCTATACCCCGCCAAGCCCCGCTTACACATCATTTGCGCTGTAATTACGACGTAGGAGAGAAGCTGGGAAGGAACTGGTACGCGTTGAGAGAGCGTGTCTCTGCCAGCACAACAGTGCAGCTTCGCACCCGGCCACGCGGCGGCCGATCTGACGGCGGGATCATTTGAGAACCTGAAACGCATTACGGCTTGACCATCTGCATCTCACACATGCGGCTTTATGGCCCGTCCTGGGTTCGCAGAGACACTTACGATCACGTGCCAAAGTTGGAAACGCCTTCGCAAGCCGACGCTTCAGAGATCTCTTTTTTCTGTCTTCTAAAAATCCAATTAGACGTCGATAACAGGTCACGCCATAGTTCGTGCTTGAAACATTTTTGTTTGTTTTCAATGCAGTCGCGATGTTCGAAGTCCTGCTCTAAGCTGCCGGAGCTTCAATAGTAAAGTGTGGCTAGTGTATATGTATTATGTAATGTATGTGGCGCTCGTTTAGCGGCAGGAACGCCCTGCTCATCGGTCTCCGTCAAACATCAGGAAAGAGTCGAGAGGCCAGAATCGAGACGTTTTGTCTCTCCTCCATCCCACTCCGAGAAACCGACGCGACTTTTCGGCGTGGCACGTATCTCGCAGGCATATTTTCGAGCTTTACTGTGACGTCCCGCCGTGCCAACTGCCGCAATTGCTGCCGTCGCGTACGGCCAAGTCGCGAATCGACGAAGTTGGCTGCAGCTTCACGGTGACTTTTCTGTCGACCACATCTCTGCTCGCAACACGACTCTGGCGAGGCTACTTCGCGGCGCCCAAAGAATCTCTCCTTTCTTCTACCACCCACCATGGCGCCGACGGCCATCGACGTCGTGGAGCCCATTCCGCGGCGCGAAGCCTGGAAGCTGCTGCCAGAGCCGACAATCTATCCGGTCAAGGACGTCACCCTCGAGGACTTTGTGGAGCCAAGGTCTGACGGCTATGAGGCCGCCAAGAAGCGCTCGGACGGCGACGCAGCCATTGTGATCGACAACGGCTCATCCGCCGTCCGCGCCGGCTGGTCGTTTGAGAAGGACCCGCGCTTCACCATCCCACCGACCATGGCCAAATACCGCGACCGCAAGCTCGGCAAGACGTTTTCGTTTGTGGGCTCCGACTGCTACGCCGACACAGCCGCCCGCGGCCACATGCGGAACGCTTTTGAGGCCGGCACGGGCATCGTGGCGAATTGGGACGTGATGGAGCACATTCTCGACTACACCTTTGTCAAGCTGGGCTTGAACGGCAGCACCGATGGCGCCGTCGACGTCCCTATTGTCCTTACCGAGGCCGTGGCCAACTTCCCCTACTCAAGAAAGAGTGCGTACGGTCATTTTGTTCGGCTTTTATTTTGTCTCCAGCTTGCTAACACGTTGCTCCTACAGCCATGACCGAAATCGTTTTTGAATGCTACGGCGCCCCGTCCCTCGCCTACGGCATCGACTCTCTCTTCTCCTACCGCCACAACAAGGGCGACACCGGCCTCGTCGTCTCGTCGTCCTATAGCGCCACCCACGTCATCCCCGTCTACAACTCCAAGGCAGTCCTGTCCCAAGCTATCCGCTTAAATTGGGGCGGCTCACATGCCGCGGACTACCTCCTGCGGCTTGTGCGCCTCAAGTACCGCGATTATCTTAGCAACAACCTCAAATTGCACCAGTCGCAGGCGGAATACTGGCTCAAGGACTTTTGCTACGTCTCCAAGGACTACGACAACGAGCTGCGCGGCATCCTGGACTGGACCGGCCTCGAAGACCGCGAGCGCATCATCCAGTTCCCCTACACCGAAGAGATTGTCGTGCAAAAGACCGAGGAGGAGCTCGCCAAGATTGCCGAGCGCAAAAAGGAGAGCGGCCGCCGGCTGCAGGAGCAGGCCGTCAAGATGCGCCTCGAGCGGCTCCTCAAGAAGGAGCAGGAGCTCGAGTACTACAAGAGCATCCAGACGCAGATTGCCGAGAGCCCCAAAAAGGAGACCAAGCGCCTGCTCGACGAGGCCGAGGTGAAGGACGAGGCCGCGCTCGAGCGCCAGATCAAGGAGCTCGAAAAGGCCCTCCGCCGCGCGCGGCAAAAGGATCTGGGCAACGACCCGGAAGAAGAGGCCGAGGCCCCCGACTTCTCGCTGCTCGAGGTGCCCGACGACCAGCTCGACGAGGCCCAGCTCAAGGCCAAGCGCCAGCAGCGGCTGCTCAAGTCGAACCACGACGCGCGCGCACGCGCCAAGGCTGAAAAGGAGGCCGAAAAGGCCCGTGTGGCCGAGGAGGCGCGGCTCGAGGAGGAGCGGCGCACCAACGACTTTGAGAACTGGCTCGAAGAGAAGCGCCAGGCGCATCTCGAGACGCTCGCCAAAATCAAGGAGCGCGAGCGGCTGTCCAAGGACATGGGCAACCGCAAGAACCTGGCCTCGTACATTCGCATGAAGAACATTGCCAATCTGGCGAGCGACGCACCGTCGGGCGGCACGACGGCTACGGGGCGCAAGCGGCGGCGCGGCGGCGGCGGCGGCGACGACGACGACTTTGGTGCCGACGATGCCGACTGGGGCGTGTACCGCGACATTGCCGTCAACCGCGACGACAGCGACGACGAGGAGCGCGAGGAGAACCCCGACGTGCAGCTGAAAGGGCTCGAGGCGCTGCTGCTGCAGTACGACCCGGACTTCACGTACGAGCACACGCGCGAAGCGCAGGACGACTGGAGCAAGAAGATGCTGCACGCATTTGAGCGTGGCCCGCGTCCGTTTGACCCGGACAGCCCGGCCGAGCGCCACCAGATCCATCTCAACGTCGAGCGCATCCGTGTGCCCGAGGTGCTGTTCCAGCCGAGCGCCATTGCCGGCATCGACCAGGCCGGTCTCGTGGAGATTGCGGGCGACATCCTGACGCAGCGCCTGACGGGCTTGGTCGGGATCGACCGCAACGACTTTTTGCGCGACGTGTTCTTGACGGGCGGCCTGACGCTGTTCCAGAACTTTGACGAGCGGCTGCACGCGGGGCTGCAGGCTTTGCTGCCGGCGGGTGCGCCACTGCAGCTGCGGCGCGCCAAGGATCCTCTGACGGATGCCTGGCGGGGTGCGGCCGAGTGGGCCGGGTCGTCGGCATGGCGCCAGGCTGCTGTGACCCGGGAGGAGTACCAAGAGAAGGGTCCCGAATACATCAAGGTGAGTCGGCTGCCTTGTCTCAAGTGCTGCTACGATATAGAGCGGGATCGTTTTGCTAAACATGTACACAGGAACACGACCAAGGAAATGCATTCACTTCGACGAGTTAGGAGACGCAGGTGCAAGCAACGACCGACGTGGAAGCCAAGACAGAAACAGAAACTGAGGTAAAGGTGCAAACGAGGCCCAAAGGGCGAAAGAGGTGACACGCATTGTTGCGAAAGAAAGCAATCAAGGGTCTGCAGGAACCAAAATCAATATAAGCAATGCAGTGGCAGCAAGGCGTTATCTGATGATTTTACTGCTTTTTTGTGGCGAGGGCGATTTGGACTGCAATAAGGAATTTCATTTCTCACATTTTGTCCTCTTGAAGTGATGTCGTTGTCGGTCTAGGTCGATTCGTCTAGGTCGAAGAATGGCTTAATTGGAATGAAAACACTTCATCACGACAATCAGAGTAACATATGCCGGCCTGAATAGGGCAGTGAGGAGGTAGACGCAAGGCTAAAGTAAAGAAAACTAAACAGGCAATTTATGTCGACGGGACATGAAATATATAAAACAAATCTACCGAGCCACACCAAAATAATAAACAAACAGAGAGTCATGGAAACCAACACTATAAACCAGATTATGCAAGTCGAAATACACACCATGTGTAAGCAACGATAAGTACACGGGCACTGTCCCAAGTCGGCATGCAAAGAAGGTAGAGAATAAATAGGAGACAGAGTCCTAGTTGTACGCATTTTAAAACGACTAATAAAGCAGCGGCACGTGAAGAGCAATAAAAGCATCTTTTTCTGAACGCCGCGAACCCAAGTGTGAAAAGGAAAACATAAACAAAAAACTAGAAGGGGCCTCTTTTCTTCCACCTCCCACCCGTCGGGGAGAGCGAACAAGCCAGAACGGTCTTGACCACAGACAGCAACAGAGACCTAAACGAACAAGGACTAGAAACACAAGAAAAAAAGAAAGAAAAAAACAAATAGCATAACAGCAAACACCCGTTAGGAACCATAAAGAGGATAAAGCAGAACAGAAGCAAAAATTATCGGAAACAAGGGTTATGTAAAAAAAAAAATAGAATAAAAAATAGAATAAAAGGTTAAAAGAAGAGTGTGCGCAAGAAGCGAAGTGAAGGCCGCAAAGAAAGCGACAGTGGTGAACCGTGCGCCCGAGGTACCGCACTCGGCCCATTTTTACATGGACAAGACAGGCTCCGACAGCTTCTGCAGCTTCTGGCTGATAGCCTCCTCGGACGTGTCCATGGGCTCGCCGGCGTCGTTGCCGTTGCCGTTGGTGTTGCCGTTGGTGTTGTTGTCGGCCTTGATGCCGTTAGCAGGGTCGTCGCGGCTGGTATCCATGGCGGTGGCCGGGGCGTTGCCGTTGTTGCCGAGTTGGGCGACAGCCTGGGCCACGCGCGCAAGGGACGAGTCGTTTTTGGAGTCTGAGCCAGCGGCGGTGTTGGCTTCGCGCGATGAGGTGTCGGCCGCAGCAGCGGCGGCCGCTGCAGCCGCAGCGACAGCCTGTGCCGCAGTGGGCGTGGCGGCGGGGTGTGCGGCGGGTGATGGCGCACGCGCCTGCTGTTGCTGCTGGGGCTGCGGCGGATCTGGGTATTGTGATGGCGGCTCCTGCTGCGCCAGTGGCTGCTGTTGTTGCAGGTGCAGCTGTTGTTGGCGCTGGATCTGTGCCTGCTGCTCGTGCTGCTGCTGCTGCTGCTGCTGCTGCGCAGCAAGAGCCGGCGACGGACCGATGCCCAGGATAGGTGGCATGCCGGGCCCGGCGAGGTTCAGGTTCGCAGGCGGTTGGGGCAGCTCAGCCTTGGCGTCCAAGAGGCGCGACTGTAGGTGGATGATATACTCCCGCAGGGCGTAGTTTTCCGATTGGATAATCTTGAACTGGGTTTCCATCTCGCCAAAGTCCTGCACCTGCTGCTCGAGCTTCTTGATGTAGCCCTCTTTACGCTGGCGGAAGGCCCTCTGGAAGGGGAGTTAGCAAAAGATTTTACGCTTTCATTTGTCGTCGTAACGCAAGGTGACTGACTTGAGCGGCGCGGTTTTGCGCAGCGCGTTTGCTGGTGGACAGCTCGCGCCGGGGGCCCTTGCGGCCGTCCGTGATGACTTCGGTGTGCTCCTGGGACCCGGCGGGCGACAGAGACTGTTGCGGCGCCAAAGGCACCGGGGCTGTGTGAGATGACGGCTGCTGTTGCTGCGGAATGGGCGCGGGCGCTTGCTGCGGCGATGCGACCGGAGCAGCGGGCGCGGCAGACGGAGGGGCGGCCGACATTGTGGCGGCAGGATACAAGGCGTGCGACAAAGAATACGGAGACAACGGCGGCCTCAAGTCAGGATCGATGTGGGCGTCGGGGTCAGACGAGCCCAGCGCGGCGCCGTAGATGTCGGTGTTGACGTCGGAGTTGACGTCGGCGTGATGCGCGGCTAGCAATGCAGTAGACGCGGTGTACGCAAAGCTGCTGTTGCTGTCGATGATACCGTCGTCTGCTGGCTGGAGGTCGTGCTCGAGCTTGACGGCTGTCTGCGCGTTTGCGCCGCTGTTTGCATAGGCTGCGTCGACGTGTTTCTGTGGAGCCGAAAGGTTGGCTGCGGCGTTGATATCGTCAAAGGCGGACGACAAGGCGGGTGTCACGTTTTCTGACAAGACAAAAGCGGCACGCGTGTTAGTCAGAGGAGTGTGAGCGTCGAGCAAGCGGTGTGCTCTTGTGTGTCATATGCAGGGTAGTGGTGTATGTTGGGTGGGAAGAAAAGGGTTGCAGTTACGGCGTACAAACAGAAGAAGGAAAAGTGGGAGGCTCCGTCCTGCACAAATGAATCAAAACAGTCGGACGTTGTTGCAGGGATAAATGAGGAAGGAGCAGCAGGACGACTTGAGCCAGAGAAGGAACCGAAAAAAGAAAAAGATTGGGAAAGCAAAGCAGATAAAAAGGGAAAGCGAGAGGCGCAAGAGTAAAAAAGAGGAGGAAGGCGCAGATGGGCAGCGTGGTATAGGCCGGGATTAGAAAGAGCGGGTGTAAGTTGGAAAAATGGGGGGAGATGAGGTAAGGAAGGCGATTTCGTAATCACAGGTGGAAGGGGACAGGCGGGTGCTTTTAAAGACGGCGGAGGCAATAGCCACTCCGTACCAACAAGACAAGTAGCGCCAGCCGCACTAGCGCCAGTGCGCGCAGCGTGAGTACGAAGTATGAGCACTGAAGCACTCACTGTATTTGGGAAGATCCCGGGACGGGTGGACCAGGGTGTGAAAGCGGCCGTTGGAATGAAGCGTGAGACAAACAAGGCAAGAGAAAACGATGGGGGCAAGAGAGGAGGCAGGTACGGGGTACGGTCGCCGTACACAGCTGCCTTTGCAGTGTCCAGTGCGCGGCGCCTTCCGTTTTCTGTTCTTTCTCATCAGACGAGTCACAGGAGCAGTGCGCAGTTATGTCATGGCAGGAGCGCGCGGCGGCCGCGAGAGCGTATGGGCTGACACCACAACAGCAACAGCGACTATTCTAATCAGCTCCCCGGTTCTCTCGTTCTCTCGAGACGCACACAAAACGGAGAACATGCAAGCGACCGGGTGACTTGTACGCTTGCAAAGCGCCGGGCCTGCGTGTAATTAGGTAAGAAAATTAGGTGGAGGAGAGACAAGATGAAAATTGCGCCGCGGAATCGGAATTCGCCTGCCGCGGACGAAACGATGTTGTCTCCGTACGCAGTACATGTAAGATACGTGCAGGGTGCTTTGGTGCGTGGGTAATGGAATCAAGCGCGGGAGCGTGCGGAGAGTAGCGTTAGGCCCGTCACCTAACATTTAACATAACGCAAGCGGCAAGCCGAAGCATGACAAAGCTTCGCTGGTCTGGTCATACTTTCGGATTTCGATGCCACTGGGGCACGCCTTCTGTCTATTTTTGGCGTCTGCAGCAATGCGAAGACAAGGGACGTAGTCGACGGAAGGCAGAGAGTACAACAGCAGGGTATGTATATTGTAGTCGCGGGCAAAAGACGGTAAAAGAAACCAACGAACAAAATATGGATGACTTACCGTTACTGGATGCCGAGGCGTTGGCGGCGCGTCTCCTTCTGGCCATCTTGAGATGTGTTCGCAATGGCCGAGTTGTTTCTGTAAATGTTCTGACTCAGCTAAAGTCGGGGCGTGAGTCAAGTATTTTGGGGCGTGGCCAAATTGGCCTGGGGTTCTGGAAAGAGAGGGGCCAGAGGAAAAGTGTCTCTCCTCGTGACGCGAAAAATGGCTGGGCACAAAAAAAACCCAAAAAAAACCAAAAAAAAAAAAAACAGCGGACGCGCCAGATTATCGAGGAAATTACAGAGGCTACAGAGACGGAGCGGCGGAAGGGGGAAAAACGGGGGGGATCCAAATCGCGTGGCTGGGCATCGGCCCACGGTGGTATGCTCAAAGTGAATGAAAGCACACTCCGTCATAAGCAGCGTATTTTCGTCGTTGCTTTTTGGTTTATGGCTGCTTCCATTTGTGATCGGTGATGGTGAGGCAGGCGACAGTGTTTTGCTTACCTACCCGAATGCGAATGACTGAGCTCCGAGGAGGGAAGAACACCGGATGACGGCGGTCGTTTTTTTCCTCGTCAGCTCCTCTGGTCACCCAACGACCAGCCCGTCAGAATCTGCGGCAAAAAAGCAACACCGATGGATGCCAGAGGCAGCTCACGCTCTCGCTCGCTCCCAATGTCGTCTCGGTCTGGATGTCTCCGACGTGAGAGACTACTGACGTTCTGGGATTGGCGTCACTATGGCGTCGACGTTTGTTGGTGTGTCGCTCTTTTTGGGCCGATACTTCGGGTGTTTGTAGTCAGAACAAAGTCATCATGGGCCAAAACATCCCAGGCTCAGTCAGCATGAAACGGAGTGGGTAAAGAAGAAGGGGCAGCGGAGTTGTGCTCGGAGCACGGAAACAAAAATGAATACCAAAAATGGACTGGCAAGAAGAGGCAAGGAGCAACTGCGAGCCGAAAGCACCTGTGGAGAAACTGAAGAGAAGGCAGACGCGCTATTTTGCTGAGCGGCCTGGCGGCGTTTGGTGTTGTCGCATGATTTGTCAGCCCAAACAACGTCTTGCCAGTGGGCGTCCAATTGTAGTCGTAGTGCTGCAATTCCTCTGTCCTCTGTCTGCATTCCTCAATCCCAATCCTCATTCCGTCCGGATTTCTCATGCGCTGCCAGGCTGCTTCCTTCCCCTTTCCTTCCCTCCTTCCTTCTTCCCTCGTGTCGGAAACGTCGGCAGTTCCACTTTTGTCTTGTCCAGTTTCCCAATTTGGCCGTCGACGACGTACATGGGATGTTCTGGCTTTATTGACTAGCACAGTCAGTGAACACTGCAGAGCGAGTTACGCGCAAGGTCCACGACAAGCCGCCATAAGCAAGAGAGGGTCCAGGATCCGTACGGACAATACGACATTGGCAATAAGGAAATCAAAAGTTTAGACGGTGGCAGGGGCCATCCGTTACTGGATCCCACGCTGATAGTATAATGTCGTACACGCCAAACCGTACGAGGGGAGAGGGGACCAAGACCCTTTTCGAGAAAAGTCGCAGCCTCGAGATTGCCACTTTTTGGATGGCCTTGCGGTCTCGCGTCATGTTTCTTGGTCATGATGGTGCATGGTGCGTGCTTTTTGTGGCGTGGGAATACGTAAGCAACGCCAAGTATAAGTGGGTCTTTGAAACAACTAATATATTACGTAAACTCTTCGCCTTCCGCTCGGGCACGCCAAGCGTCCAGGCGGTTGTGTTCAGACGCCGACGCAGCGGGAAACGACGACCGTAACGGCACGTGACAGGCACGCCAATATTTATGCACTTGTTTTTGAATTAATTTTATTCGTTTTCAGTAGACGACAGTGTGTGAGGTGAGCTCTGACTTCTCACTTTTCACGACGGACATCCAGCAGCTATTTTATTTTTATGGCCAAGTCAAGTACCCTTCAACTCTAGCGTTCTAGAATGTTTGTAGCTTTGTGTTCGGCCGCTTGAAAGAAGCAGAGTAGGCCATTCAGCGCAGTCGTATTCAACATAGAGAATCAAATTATGCGACGGGTCAATCTGAAAGACTTGCCATGCAAGAGGGCTAATTTTCTGCTTACCTGTATTGGGTCACATTGGCAATCATAGTATCAGAGCCCTAGAATATAATGGTGTCAACATATTTTGCCGTCGCCAATGACATGAGACTGGCTCGACGAAAATGAGAACGCGCGACAAGAAATACACTAGGTTCTCACAATCTTCAGGCGAATACGACATGCATTGTTCATACTATCTTTCCTGCTGATGCAGATGAGGAGGTATCTGTTGTGGGTCACGTCGACCGAGAGAGTCGGGACGGTTGGGAGGAGAGACGCTGGGAAGCCCACGATATGAGAGACGGATACCATACCTGGTGTAAGAAACTGTCGTAGGGCGTGTCATTGGCCAGGCCGGCGTCCAGAGGTCAGCGCGGCCGCCGGTCCCCATCGCCGGGGACTCTGCGTGCCCGTCTTTTACGTCCAACAACTTGCATACTGCAGTTGCAATCAAACACCCACAGCTTTCAATTTGCAACCACAATATCTTATCAGAGTATTCGCCGTCCATTTCCTGCAGGGTTTCGTAGTATTTGTAAGCTATGATCGGTGTTCACAGGAGGAGGGCCATGGGACCGTTAGGCAGCTCGCCGTAGGCACTGATTAGTGAACGGTAACAGCACCAGCAACGTCATGCCGTGCCGTTCACGATGCGGCGTATCTGTTCAACATGGAGAAAACGCAACTTCTCGAACATAAAAATAAGACGTCAGTCATTCATATGGAGGTTCCGATGTTGAGTTACTGGACCGACCGCAACGGCGGAAATGGCGGCGGCGGCGGTGTCATCTAATCCACTCAAAGTGATCGTATGCCGTTATGTCTTGTCTAGCATGCAAGATTGGGGTCTTGTTACTTTGACTAGCTTGGGTTATTCAACTGTTGTGTTTAAAAATGATCTCTATTCTGTCGTCTTGGTCATTTTATCCGTACGGGTCCGCAATACCCCGACGAGCGAGTGCGCATGACACGTTGTTAGAACAAACGCTTCTGTCTTGATACACCACGGAACGACGTTGTTTGGCATAAATGTCATCAAAGGCTGTGTGCCAAAGACGGCCATATACGTCAACTTACTCCGTATATATACCCATTTGAGATACCGTGGTGCCGTGGAGTGACTGTCGACAGGTAGGCGAGGTAAGAATTACGCTCAAACATAAACGTGAGAGACACATCAATGTCGTAGTATGCTCGTCCCGGGTAGCACCGTCCGTCAGCGACTTTAAAACATATCAATTTCGTTTGCTTCGCTGTGCATTCGCCCGACGGCCGTTGTGTGTATATTTGATTTGGCATAAGTACACGGCGCATGTACCACCACGGTGTTGATACCAAATAAATGACATACGGCGACATTAACTGAGCGTAGTACCTCGCAAATAACGACATGATCTCGTCTATGCATTTGCCCTGTCATTTTCTGGCTTCGTTTGTCACGATAGTCTCATACAACTGATTTCTAGTATCTCATCTGTGTCTGTCACTCGTCGACAGTGGCGGTGGGCTTGAATTGTACTCCTCCAAACAACTTGAGACGCTCAATATGAACACTCTCACAAGTATAATGAGAAGGGGAATGCGCAAAAGCAATGAGACTGCACTGGCTTTGCACTGAAGAGTGGTTGCCAGTTTACTGATGTGAGGTGGTGAGCGTCTTAGCGGTCAGCCACTAGAGTCTTAATACAGTGCGATGGCGACCTGAAAGTTTTGGTTAGTGGTGACGAGCCCCCTGTAGCTCTCCACAGAACGGTGGCTCGGGTGGCTCACACCCTCTATCGAGTGGATTTTAGTGTGCTCAACTGGTAGCTAGCCATTCTCACAAAACCAACGTGCATCTTGACGTTATCAGACAGGTTCAAGTCGACGACAGCCGTCCGCGCAACACTGAGCCGGCCAATAGACACCGAGCAACATTACGTCCTCCCGCCTATCGCACAAAAGCTCTAGTAACGACGACAACCGGACGAAACTGGACCACAGAATCAGATACGCTGCTACGCTCAGGAGTGGCATCAGCAGTGTACGATTACCCTCACCTCGCCAAGCTTGCTTGTCGTCTGCTATTGGAGACCTCTCCGGTTGCAGGTAACCATTTTCCTATTCTGTCCTTCGCATACGAACTCGTACCCACCCCTCGCTCCCCTGACCCAATGCTTCGTGGTTCGTGCCGGGCTGTCACCAAGCTCGTTGCACTGCCATCGTCGCCATCTTCAAGAGTCGGATGGATCACGTCCTCACCTGTATCAAGTGCTCCTGTTTCCTCGGGTTGCACTGTGGCCACACGGCCCACCTGCCTAGACGGCGCACCACACACTCCCTTGCCACAAACCCGGACCTTTTCGATCACAGCGAAGACCATGACGGGTGCACGGCATCCCCAGATCGTGGGCAAGACGGAAGCCGACGAGGCCGCGGTCCGGACGGCACTGGAGACGTTGGTTGCGGTCGACGGCGCGGCACAGTCGCCTGGTGCTGGCCGGTGGGCCGTGACAGCCAATGGCCTGGGCATCGAGCGCTCCTTTAAGTTTAAGAACTTTACCAAGACTTGGGTAGATGAGCAGATGAAACCTACTCCCCCGTGATCACTATAATATGCACTGGCACTGGCTAACTCAGTTTCAGGACTTTATGACGGCCGTGGCACTGCAGTCCAAGCTCAAGAATCACCATCCGGAGTGGTCGAATGTAAGATCTAGCTCGCCGTGATTCATTTCCATATGGATATGGACACGATATGGACACGATATGGACACATGTACGTTTTGTATTGACTTCGGCTCCCTACAACAGGTCTACAACACGACGTTCATCCGGTGGACGACCCATAACCCTGGCCCTGGTTTGGCTCCTGGCCTGACTGTCAAGGACACTGAGCTGGCCGTGCTGTGCGACGAGCTCGCCCGCGCCTTTGGCGAAGTGGCTGAGGCACCCGCTCCGGAAGCGAAGGAGGCGAAGCCGGCCACTGCAACCGCTGCAGAGCCGACCTCGGTGGACAACGCGGCGGACACACTCTCAAGCCTGGCCAACAGCGCGGCAGGCGTAGCCAGCTGTGACTGCACCACGCGCAGCTGAAGAAGGACTGATCGGTGTGGTGCTGTAAGACGTACGGCGGAATCATATTCGGGCATAGGACCAGGGTTTCCTTCACTCATATCGCGATTTCATGAAGATAAAAAAAGCTTTGTCTCTTTTGAAGTCAATTAAAAATATTAAGTCTATCGTTGTGTGTCTTGATGTATAAATGAATGAGTACAACGGTGTGGCGAAGGGTCGCCACTTATGAACCCCTACCCGTCAACGGCAATATGGACATTTGAAAAAGAACAAAATGCAGGGCTTTCTTTTGATGATCCCATACGCATCCGAGCGCCCGCCCAAACGCCCGCATAGAAAGAAATGAAATGAGGAAAGCGTCCAACCAAGAACACTGTTGCAGTTTCTGGGTAAACGTATGAGTGGCTAGACACCGGTTGTGACGTAGGGAGTCAACGGACCGTCGTGGAGGGACGTGTCTGCCAAAGAAGGCGTACGCCGTGGTCGAGGCCGGTCGGTGATTGGCGATCGGCAGTCGCCTTGGCGGCGCGTCGCATAGCAGATGGATTGGCTGGCTGCTGCTTGCGGTAGTAGCAGGAAAAAACTGCAAACCCATCTTTACTGCGCCTTCTTCGCCTTGAGCTGGGCGAGCTTCCTCTCGCGACGCTTCTTGCTGGCCTCGAGGCCAGCTTCGGTGTCGAGGCAGAAGTCCCACCAGCGGAAGCTCGACGCGTAGTTGCCAATGAACTTCTCGTGGTGCAGGTCGTGGTGGTCGGCGCCCGCCCAGAAGGGCAGAAGATGGCGCAGCGACCAGGGAAAGTCGTAGCCGCTGTGCGCGTCAATCGCCTGGAAGAGGCGCAGGATGATCCAGATGTACATGGTCACCAGGTGCAGGTCGCCGGACAGCGACACCCAGATGATGGGTGAGCCCACAATGCCCATGCCCAGCAGCATGACCTCAATGGGCGACGCGTACTCGGCCGCCAGACCAAACGGCGCGGAGTACGTGTGGTGCAGCTTGTGGATCGAGCGGTACAGGGGGCCATAGTGCAGCGCGCGGTGGAACCAGTAGTGCCAGGCGTCCTCCATCACGAAGAAGATGGCCACCTGCATGGCAATCTTCCACGCCGGGGGGAACGGCACGCCAAACTCCATGCCAAAGTAGGTCGCGACGGGGTGGAACAGCCAGATCTGCGGCAGCTCGACTGTGAAGTGGCTCAAAAGCACAAGCACGGCGCAGTCAAACTGCTCCTTGGCGGTCGGCACCTTCTGGTTCTGGATCTTCCACTGGTTGAAGTACGGGATCGAGTCGAGGATGATCCAGGGCAGCGAGCGGCCAAAGTACACAGTCTCGTGCATGATGAAGCTGAGAATGCCCGTCGCGAGAACGTCGTTCTGCATCCAGAGGTACCACGACGCCCACAGGCGCTCGGCAATGTTGAGCTGCACATTGTACTTGGACACCTCCTCGAAGACGCCGTAGAGGTCGTTGGCGCCGCTGGCAATACCAGCAAACGTGCCGTTGGCGAACGTCGCGTTAGAAAGACTATGGAGTGACAATGTCAGCACGTTGGCAAGAAGCGCGTCACAGTCAGATGCCAAACCGGGTGCAAGAGCACATACAGTGAAGCCATGTTTGGTGGGTGTGATGCAGTGCTGAACAAAAGGGGTTGGTCGAAAAGAAAAGTCAGGAGTCCCCAGCAATTGGCAGCGCGGGACCAATTAAAACGAGATATGCAAAACCAAAAACAAAAAAGGACGACACAAGGAGAGACAGCCGGAGAGATAACTGGCAAGAGGGGGATCGAAGAAGAGACACGCCCCAGATGGTGTTCCACGAAGAGAATGGCTCTGGAAAAGGGTCAATCGAAGAGGAGATGCGTTTGCGAAAGCGTTTTATTTTATTTTCCCCAATGGCCCGTCAGTCGCCTCCCTCTTTTGGCTCTTTCCATCCAGGGGTTAAAAAACGCCAGGCAAACGGGGAAGGCGGTGGGCCAGTGTAGAGCGGGTGGATAGAATTGTTGAGTGAATGAGCCCATGTCAAGCAACTGCGATCCGTGTCCCGGGCCAATCACATGCTGTAGTTGCAACGGCGTGGGGCTCGCCACGCACAGTATGGGCCACTTTTTATACAGTACGGATAAACTGTGTTGTGCCTGGCAGAACACAGACACCGCAAATTGGTGCTCTAGTGGTCTCAGTGTGCAATTCTTGCAAAGTGCAACGGTGTCGGCCTCTGCTGGCAGATTACATCTCGTTCTTGGGCGAACCTTCGCAGCACTATTCGCAGTCAGACGTTTCTTTCATTGTTCTAGGCGAATCGCTGCCGGTCGCACCTGCATGAGGCTTGACCTTGCCACCTGCCAGCTTTTCTGCCAGGCGATATTGCTCTCATCGCACCTGCCGTCCAAAAGCAGGTTGTTCTTTGAATCGCTCTTTCTTTGTTTCGACGGAATAAAAGCTCTGTCCGCCTGTTCCTTCCTCTGGCGCTGTAGCTCCTTCTTCTTTCCCTGTGCTGTATTTTGCGTCTTTCTGCTTTCTGGAATCTGCATCTCCGAATATCAACGACGCACGAAGTAATAGATACTCCTTTTCCCACCACCCCTTGTTTCAAATTTCGCCAATGTTAATCTCAACTTGCCTGTCAAGTGCTGACGATTCCTCTCCCTCCGCTACAGCCCCCCCAAAGTTTACGCCAGCCCATCGGGGGTTGGTCGTTCAACTGGCATTTGTATGTGCTTGCGAATCGCATGTTTTCACACAGCTCACACTCGCCACCAATACCACTTGATTTCAAGCCCGTGAGAAACTCGACGTGACGTGCAGCGAGGGACACTGCAAACCCCGAAGCCGTCCTGTGGCCGCCCGGCGCGCCCCGCGTTGTGCCCCTGTCCGAATACGAACAAGAACAAGACGCACCCACACCAAAAGCCATCAGGATCAGTAGCCACCAGCAGAGCATATCGGATTATTCTGTGAGTTGGGCGCTCGCCGGATCGAAGCGCTTCCGTCTTTGGCGTGACTTTGGAAGGACAAAACCGACCAAAACAGAGAAAGCTGCGTCCAACTACCCCACAACGGATGCCGGGCAAGCGGACTTGAGAAAGCAGCCCACCTTATTTTGTGCCACATATCAGGCAACCTACTTTTTCAGACGGATCTGGCGGACAAGCTTGAGGAGCTTGCCGCGACACGCCTTGCGCCTTGAACCGTGACGACACACCGCCTCCTCCAAAGCACACTACCTCTGTCTTTTGTGTGTGCTTTTACGTCTTCCATTCTTTCTGACGGACCTCCCAACGCAGGCTGCCGTCTGCCCCCCATGTCGATTGTCGTAGAGTGCGTGCCTATCCCTCCCTTCCCCCCAGTTCCGTCCTCTTGGGGCCATTGGCCAACCGTTTTGATTCAATTTGAAGCTTTACACCCCAAAAGCAATACTTGGGACTATGGAGCACATGGTTGATTCCTTTTTGTTTGCCCGAGCACCCTCTTGGCTAACGTGACGCGACCTTTTTCCTCCCGCTGTGTAGCAACGTACGTGCCTGGGAGGCCGACATTGACCGAATTACCCGTGGACCACTTGTGTCCTACGAGACCGACGCGGCCACCAACACCGATGGCTCCGTAAACGAGGCTAGCATCGACGCCCTGTCGTCGCCGTACGTCAACGACCTGCTCAAAATTGTCAAGAATCTAAGCTCGACCTCGTCCGCTCAGCCCATTTTGTCCACAACCCGCATACGAGGCCTGTTACAGCAGTCCGGGCTGCTGCAGACCGCCAAGGAGATCGAAGAGGAGGAGAAGCGCCAGCAGGAGCAAGAGGGCTATCTCGACCTCCACGGCCCCCGGCGGATTGGCACCGATGGCGCAGAAGAAGGCAGCAGCGAATCGGAGAATGGCAGCCTGTCACCAAGCACCGGCAGTGCTGTGCCAGGGCAGCTTCCCAGAGGAGGAGGAGGAGGAGGAGGAGGAGGAGGTGACGGTCCGGGCGACAAAGGCGAGTTGGCAGCCGAGGTCGAGTGGCTCCTGGTCAGCAAAGCCACCGTCCAGGTGTATGGTGTACTGCTCAACACGTTGCTGGAGCGCATCACACCCTTGCACGACGACATTTGGTACTGGGACGACATCCTGTCCTCGTACGGCAGCCTCAGCTTGTACACGGTGCAGACATCCCCGCTGCGGTTCTGGAACTGGGCCAAGGAGGTCAGCCAGGTTGTCGTCGAGAGTCGGACGCGCTTTGCTGCCGCCACCCACACGCCGCTCGGCGCCATCCGGTCTGGCAGCGCCTCGCTCACGCAGCAATGGCAGCAGTTCTATGCCATTGTGCGCCGGGGCATTGCCCAACGGTCTTTTGCCGGTCTCGAGCGGCGGCTGCTGTCGCCCATTGCACGGTGCCGGGTCGACGCGCGACACAACCAGAAACGCTTGAGGCGGCTGCGGCAACTGATTGCCAGCGGGCTCGGCATTCTGATCGACGAGGGCCTCCGCTTTGACCTGGACGAGGGCACGGACCTCAAGGCTATTACGGCCGACAATGGCCGGCGATGGAAGGGCGTCGTCGAACGCAGCGTGTCGCTGATGGACCAGGTCACCACGGATGTTCTGGCCGTCGAGTCGTCTGTACTGGACTTTGAGGACAAGGTGTTCAATGACGTGCAGGGCGACCCCATCCTGACGGCCAACCAGTTCGACGCCAACAAGCCTGCGCGCCTGGCCCGGCGCCTCGACCAACTGCTGGCCCAGGGCATCCCGGGGCTTGTCGGCGACCTCCAGTTGGTTGTGAAAGACTATGGGCGCCCGCCACGGCTGTTGCGCTACTGGCTGCCGGCCGGTATCCTGTTGCTATCGTCGTCGACGCTGCTGCGCATCGTTGCGAACCGCCAAGAGGACATTGTGCGGTGGATCCGCGACTTTGGCTCGACCGTGCGTGACTTCTGGTTCAACTGGGTGATTGAGCCCGTCACGAAAATCATTGGTACCGTCCGCCACGACTCCAACAGTGAGATTGCCATTATGAGCCGCGACAGCCTCCGGTCCGACCGAGAGAGTCTCGAGCGGATGGTGGTCGAGTTTGCTGTGGACCGCCCCGAGTTGGCGGGCTCCGCGTCGGCGCTGACCGAGGTGGAGCTGTCGACGATCCGCGCCAAGGTCCGGGAAGGCGATGTTACGCCCGTACTGCGGGCGTACGAAACCGGCCTGCGGAAGCCGTTCCAGGGCGCCGTGCGTGGCGATCTGGTGCGGTCGCTGCTCATCCAGGTGCAAAAGACCAAGGTCGACCTCGAGGTGGCCATTAGCGGCATTGACGCGCTGCTCAAGAGCCAAGAGCTCGTGTTTGGGTTTGTTGGCTTGACGCCCGGCGTCCTCGTCAGCATTGCCGCGTTGCGGTACGTCCGTGGCCTGCTGTATGGGCGCAAGGGTCTGCGCCGCGGCCAGCGCGTCGAGCGGTGCGTGCGCGTGCTGCGCAACATCGACCGCATCTTTTGCGATGCCACAGTCGAGCTGGCCACGATGAACGGCATCCTGTCATACAAGCACCGCGGGCTACTTGTCTGCGAGGTGCATGTGCTGCGCAGCTTGGCCGTGGGTCTGTTCCCCGGTGACATTGAAAAGGAGTTTCTGGAGGACGTGGATGAGATGGTGAACGGCAAGACGGTCGACAAGCAGCGGCTGGCGCTCGACCGTGTGCGGTGGGCCTACGGGCGGTATTTGGGTTAACAGTGACGCGACCAACATGATGGATCCCGGAGGGTCATAGGAGCATTGGAAACGGTTCATGGCACTGGGAACGAGCAGAAATTATTTTACTTTTTTTTTTTTTTTTTTTTTTTTTTTTTTGGTCTGTATAGTTTACGGAGCACACATCTTGACATATAGTTTTGTGATTTGATTTTTGGCATAGAGGCATAGAAGTAAGAATATGGGAGAATACAACGATTCTATACGAATCGTAATCATCATATGGGTGCAAGATATGCCACAAGACTGCAATGCACATGGAGTCTGTGTAAGTCAGAGGAGGTGGTTGGTGTTGAAGGAATGACGACACAGGCTATGACGGCACACAGCTGGAAGCCAATGCGGACAGCACTAATGGGGCCGTTCCGGCGGACTGGGAGGGCTGGGCGTATTGGTCCACAGCAGTGCAACCTTTCGTTCACATTTGGAAGGAGGCAAAAGCGGTTGCGTGGACAGCATCTACGTCTTAACCTTTGTTGCGGAAGGTTCGCTGGAGGGCAGGAGGGCACAGGAGGGCACCTGCCGTCAGTGGCCAATTTCTGCCGACTCAAGATTACATGGCAAAAGGCACATTACTGCAGGGGCCCGAGTGGCCTACATGCTGTTCCAGGCGTCCGGTTCCAGATTAACACGCACTGTCTAAAAATCCAGAAGCCTGGCGAGGCGCTTCCCTGTCACTTCGCCTGGTAGCGAACCTCCCAACCTTCGTGTTCCGGCGTCGAACAGGCACCAACTATTCGCACCGCCGACTTTGAACGTGTCTCGACGGGAAAGAGCGCTGCGCCACGCCTTCCTGTTCTTGCTGCCTTTCTTTCGGCAGCACGTGCGTCAGTTGCGAAAGTCACTCTGCACCAATGTGGCTGGACCTGGTACTTCCTTTGTCTCGCCTGGCCGGCTTCAGCTACGCTAGTCAGCCATAGAGAGTCGGCCAACGGGCAAGTGGCAGCCAGGCCCCGTACTCAGTAGGCAGTCGATAATAGTAGGCTCTACGTCGTAAATTGCCAGCCAACCACCCCTCTTTCCTCGTTCTTCCATTCCAGCCAACGAAACGGCGAAGCGAAGCGGAAGGGCAGGAACGACCCAGGGCCGAAAAAAGGAAAGCAGCCTACATAGTAGTAAACTCCGTACGACAGAGACATACTTCCTTCTTACTTCCCCTTTCGTCTTGCCAGACCTGCCACGTTCTTCCCTCCAAGATCTTAACTCCATACATCGCCACTTTTTGACCTCACGTCTGTTTTTGGCCTGTCACAACGACTACGAGCCATTGCCCGCTGCTCTTCTCGCCCGCCACGCCTGCAGCCAATCGCTCTCGTCCGCCTCTCCTCTGACACCCCTCTCAAGCGCCAAACAGCGAAACCAACCGCCTTTACGTTAGGACACAGCTGCGTCTGACGTTGCGTCGCCTGAGCGAAACTGAGCATTGGAATTGTCGTCGTCGACTCATCCTGTGAACCTCTCGACATTGCCCCCTTGTCACCACCGTCGCCAGCCGCCCCGTCTATGTTTAGTACACCGACATCACCACGTCACCGCGTTCTCCACGTCCACGAGTCTCCACGTTTCGTACTGTCCCCACTCTTCTGCAAATAAAGGAGAAACGAAAAAGAAGCAAGGGTGCTCGACAACTGCTTCGTACAGAAAGGCACCAGGCCATACGACTAGAAGTGCACCAAATTAGGGGAACCCGTCAAACGCAACAAGCCCACGAGCGCACTTCGACACCGCCTTGTGTGTTCTTTTGCGGCCACGAAACGCGCGTTGTACCATCACGAACGAAACTCGTGCTCGACACGTATTCCTCCCGTCTGCTTTGTCTTTCGATTCTGTTTCTTTGCCCTCGACAACACACTCTTCACAATGGCTGGCAACAGGAATTACGACTTTCTCGTGCGTGGCCCCTCTTCGCCGCCTCGGATTCCCCCCCTTCTTCGTTTGACCGCGTGCTGACCTGCTGACCTTTTGCCCCTCTTCTAGATCAAGCTGCTCCTCATCGGCGACTCGGGCGTCGGCAAGTCGTGCTGCTTGCTTCGCTTCAGCGAGGACTCCTTCACGCCTAGCTTCATCACGACCATCGGCATCGACTTTAAGATCCGCACGATCGAGCTCGATGGCAAGCGTGTCAAGCTGCAGATCTGGGACACGGCCGGCCAAGAGCGCTTCCGCACCATCACCACGGCCTACTACCGCGGCGCCATGGGCATCCTGCTCGTCTACGACGTGACCGACGAACGGTCGTTTGAGAGTGAGTCTACCCTGGCCCCCCTGGCCCCGCATGTACGCCCACACCGTTTCGTTTCCAAACAAACCCTAACAACGCAGACATTCGCACGTGGTTCTCCAACGTCGAGCAGCACGCCACCGAGGGCGTCAACAAGATTCTGATTGGCAACAAGTGCGACTGGGAAGAGAAGCGCGTCATTTCCACCGAGCAGGGCCAGCAGCTGGCCAACGAGCTCGGCATCCCCTTCCTCGAGGTCTCAGCCAAGAGCGGCATCAACATCGACAAGGCCTTCTACAGCCTGGCGGCCGACATCAAGTCGCGCATCATCGACACCGCCAAGACCGAGCAGACGCCGGCGTCCGGCGTCAACGTGTCTGGCCAGAACGGCGACAGCAGTGGCTTTGGCGGCAAGTGCTGTTAAGAAACGCTTGATTTGTCATTTACCTCGTGTACCTCATTTACCTCTTTTTTTTTTTTTTTACTTCTCTACCATTTTAATGTCCACAAGCAAGCCCCACACCAGAGACGATATACACGAAAAACGAACCAACGGCAGACACTCTCCTGCGAAAACAGAACACACAACATATTGTCACTCGCCTCGGGCCTTTTCTGGTTTCAAGACAGGGAGAAGAAGACGTGCCGCAGGAACAAAAGGGAGAAAAAAGAGAATGGCGGTAGTAGACACATAGACGCGGAAGGTGGACGAGGGCTGCATTGGTCGAGTTTTGTCGCCATGGCCGGTGCACTGCACAAGCCGACGCGAAGAAGGACAAATGGGGGATGGCAGATACCTGGGCGGTTTTTCTCGGAGTTTTGGTACCATTTTTTGCTTTGCTTTGCTCTTCTTTGCTCTGCATGTTCGTGCCTCTTGTTTTCGTTCCATTTTCCCTCTCGTATTGCCCATTGTTTCTCCGTCTTTTCATTTACCCTATTGTATCGAAGTTCCATATATATTTTTGTACTCTTTGCCGGTTTCCTCGTCCGTGGCACACCATCTGTTCTGCGTGCAGTACACAGCTTTTATGTAATTGCTCTCTCCTTCGATCTCGGCATACAAATACACTGTTTTGTGATTTTATTTTAGCAGATGGAAAAGCAAGTTGCAAGAGAACCATGTCAGTATGATGTTTTATCCACATTATTTATATACATGTCCCTACGATTGTGACTCCAAATTACGCTTTGTAACATAAATAACAAAAGCCATGCTGTTCCTCTCAGTTCCCGGTCTCACCACAGCACAGTCGTATCCACGATGGCCGTCTGCTCGTATGCTGCAGCGCCCCCTGTGCCTGGCACGGAAACAGCCCGTCGGTGCCAGTTGCGCACGAACCGCCGGGCTTCGACAGAGTCTGCAAACGCCACCACAAACCGCGAGAAGCGCGCATTCTCGTTCATCTGGTGCGTCTTGGTGACCAGGTCGGGTACGCGCGAAGCCCAAAGCGCGACCGGCGGGTGCTGTGGTCCCGGGTTCTGTTTTGCCTGTACCTCGGCCTCGGCCTCGGCCTTTTTGCGCCGCCTCTTGGCCGCCGCCCGGGCATTGGTTGCCTTGACAGCTTCGTGTAGCAGCCGCTTCTGCTCGGCCACCAGCCACTGGACGGGCACCACGCCATTGAGGCCGTCGGAGACCGCCCACGGCAGGTTCCGGCGCACGCCATCCGCCTCAATGAGGGCGCGCAGGCCGTCGACTGTTGTGACGCCGTGGCCGCTGCTCGAGCCAGCAGCGACGCTTTCCTGCCAACCGTCATCGTCATCACGGTGCTGTCGGCCAGCGCCTCCACCGCCACTAGAGCTTGTGCCCTCGAGCACCACGAGCACCTTTGTCGTGGCCGTCGTGGTGGCCACGTCGTCCAGCTCTTCCTCGTCGTAGAGCGTAATGGCCGACGTCGCGTTGGGACCGACGCTGCTACCTGCCGGCATCTGCATCACGAGATCGAGCTGCGCCGTCGGTGCCAGCAGCGAGAAACTGCGCAGAGCCGCCACCTCTTCTGGAGTGGCGCTCGTCGCCAAGTACGCGTCGCTGCCCGTGCCGGAGCCACCGCTGCTGATGCTGCCCGGCAGTGACGCGTACGCATTGCCACCGCCGCTGGTGCCTCCACCCATGCTGCTTCCCCCGCCGAAGCCCACCTGGTCCTCCTGTTTCCGCTTATGGCGCCGTTTGGCGCTGGCGGCGTTTCGCTGCGGCTGCTGCACGGCGCGGCGGGCCAGCACATGCAGCTCGCGCACCTCCTGTGAGTAGGCCAGGGCCGCGGCAGACGAGCCAAAGTAGAGAAAGTAGCGGCCACGTGGAGCGAGCGTCGCCGGGTCGCGGTCCTGCACAATCTTGTAGATGCCGCCGTTGCCGGCCGCCCAGCCATCAACGAGACGGCGGCTGCTGCCGACGGCATTTTGCTCGGACGACGCTGGTGCCGCCCTCGGTGCTATGCGGAAGAAGTCGCTCGGAAGCAAGGACGGAGTCGTTCCGGATAGCACAAGCACTGTTGGGTTTGTTTTTCGCTTCTTTGGCTTCCCTTGGGCAGACGTGTTCGTGCCCGGGGCGGCATCTGCTTCCCTGCCGTCCTCGTCGCCTTCGGCAGCCTCGCTCTCGTTCTCCAGCCATTGTCGTACGTCCTCAGGGATAGCGCTCCCGTCAGTTTGTGGTTCTCTTTTGTCATCGACCTGCTCTTCCGCGTTGTCTGGTATTCTGTTTTCTCGTGAAGAAGATGCTTCGTCGGGAAACAGCTCTGCAAAGATCGATGGCTGCTTCGCCTCCTCCCGGCGCGGTGTGGTTGCGCTCGCCCATGTCCGGCAGCTCCCTGTGCGTCGCCGGCTACACCATGTCCGGCCCGTCTGTACTGTTTCCGTTGCTGGTCTCGACACGCACCCTACTAGCTGACGCTTGAACTGTAATGGTGTTGTCTGTTTTGGCGGCAGCACACGCGCCACCCGCTGCGCCAAAGGCATTTAGGACGCAGCACAGAGGGTTGTGACTGCAGCCACCCGGTCGTGAGGAGGCAGAAAAGAGAGCTATGAGATTCGTGCTGGAAATTTATGACTGTGGTGACCAAAATGCGAAATGACAGCATACTGTGAAAGATTGTGTATGAGAAAGTTGAATTTGGTGACGAGATGTCGTTCAAAGTGACACTACAGCGCTCTACCCAATCAGATTTGCAGCGCAGGCGCTAGGCCGGGCTACAGTGGGTTCACTTACAAGTTTGCAGGGGCGGTGGCAGGCGGCAAAATTAGTACTTCCCGCGAACGCCCTAAGAAATTCGAGAAATTCCTACAACGAATCAACACACTGCCGGGAAAGAGCGACCTGGTGTGGTTGACTATGAATGAGAAAGAGCGACCGATTTACAGATTTTCACAGGAAAGAGCATCCCACGGTTGGTTCGTAGGGGAAGGAACGGCAAGCGAGGGACAATCCCAAAAGCAGAAGGCCCAGTTCTTGCCTGTATTGTCTTTCCTGCGTTTTGCATTCCACGCCCCTTCACACAAAACAAAACAATGGGCAAATCCATCGAGGTCAACGTGGCCTCGTTCAACCAAGAACCGGCGGCAAAAGCAGCAGCACGCATTGCCGTGAGCAAGGACAACCTGCTCCAGCTCACAGGCACGCTGGACAACGACCGCCTCTGCACCATCGAGACCCTCAGCATCACCGATGGCCAGCCCGTGTTGCGCGAGGCCAGTCTGACGGCGTCGCCTGAGCCGTTGAAAAAGGGCCTCGCCCGCGTTTCCAAAGCGTTTCGTGAAGCCTGTGGCATCAGCGCGAATGAAAAGTGCCGCATCACTGTCGACGGGCGCACCCTGTCCGCGGCCGCTGAGGTGGACGTGGAGGACATCACGAACCGGGACGGCCTGGCGCCCGTGACCTCGTCGACACAAGCGATCGAGCTGTCCGGCTGGGCTACCATCCTTGAGGACCAGCTGGACCTTGCCGAGCTCGTGTACCCTGGCATGGTTGTTCGCGACGTGTACCACCGGCGGACGAAGCGAACGTTCCGCATCAAGGCTGTGGACGGCCGGACGGATGCCGTGGCCCGGTTTGCGATGGATCAGACGAGCGTGCAGTTCACCGGCGTAGCTGGGTCCTCTCGCGCTGGAGTGCCCTCTCCAGCACTACCGCAGACGCCCAAGACTCCCAAGCCTTCACTCACCACCACGTTGCCATTGCGCTCGGCTGCAGCAGCGACAGCCTCGCCGACCGCATCGCCGTCGAGACGACTACAGTCCCGCACAGTGCCATCCTCGCCAGCACTTAAACCAGCATCCAAGCTGCCGCAAACGCCACCCGCAGAAGCAAACCAGTCGTCACCACCGCCACCACCACCACCGCCACCACCGACAGCCATCAAGCTCGACCAGATTGAGGGTCTGGATACGGCCGTAAAGGAGCTGAACCGGTTCCTGACTTGCTTTGACCCGACCGTGAGCTACCCGCGCACTGGTCTTTCTTGTGCGGCGGTACTGCAGGGCGACAAGGGCACAGGAAAGACGATGCTCCTTAACAGAATCACCTCGACTGGCTGGGGCACGGTGTTTCCTATCCGGCCAAACGACAAGTTGTCCTCCATCCAGGAGACGTTCCAGAAAGCATATGAGCAGCGGCCAAGTATTGTTACTATTGACAATATCCAGAAGCTGCTCATTGAGGAGCGGAATAACCGCACAGCGGTCATACAGGCGCTCTGCGACTTTCTCGACTCAAACGTCTACAATGGCGGACAGAGCACGCCTCCAGGCCAGCCTGGCTCGGAAGATCCGCAGGTACCGCAGCTTATCGTCCTCGTCTCCTGTCTGGATTACCACAAGGACATCCCCGCCGATTTGCGGGAGCCTGGCCGCCTGTCCCACGTTATCGAGCTCCCCTTCCCGGACCCTGCTGGCCGCCGGGCCATCTTGCGCTCGTTCGACATGCCGTTGCCACCCGACCAGGCCGATCGCATGATCAAGGAGCTGAGCCACCAGACACACGCCTTTAACGGCCACGACTTGCTGAAGCTCTGGAACGAGGCGCTCCTTTTCCGCCTGCACAAGGCCGCCCTGGCGAGAGAGGAGACAGAAAAGAAAGAAGGCCAAATCGATGAAGCTTCTGCCAACGGCGAGGGAGGTGCGGCCCTGCCACAAACACAGGCTGAGGAGCCTTTTTACGTGACGGAAGATGACTTCAAGGACGCTCGGAGGCGCGTGCGTCCCAGCCGCATGGACGGCATCGACGTCAAGCCGCGGCCGGTGTACTGGCACGACATCCACGGCCAGACCGACCTCGTAATGGCGCTGCGGGAGCGCGTGGATATGATGAACCACCCGGAAAAGTACCGGCCGCGCATCAAGCCGTTTGCGCGCGGCTTCTTGCTGTACGGCCCGCCGGGCTGCTCCAAGACCATGGCGGCACAGGCGCTGGCCACGGAGAGCGAGCTCAACTACTTCTCGGTAAAAGGCGGCGAGCTGCTCAACCAGTATGTGGGCGAGACGGAACGCAGCATCCGCGAGCTGTTTGACAAGGCGCGGCGCGCGTCGCCCGCCGTCATCTTTCTGGACGAGATTGACGCCCTCGGCGGCCGGCGGGCCAACTTTGGTGACGGCAGCGCGTCGTCCAGCCGCGGACCGCAGATGGTGCCGGCCCTGCTGTCGGAGCTGGACGGCTTTGAGCCACTCGACAAGGTGCTGGTGGTGGCTGCGACGAACCGGCCCGAGGCGCTAGACCCGGCGCTGCTGCGGACGGGGCGGTTTGACAAGCACTTTTACGTGCCGCCGCCAGACGAGCTGGCGCGGCGGGCCATCTTTGCCAGCTGGACCAAGGACATGCTGGTCAGTGCCGATCTGGACTTGGACCTGCTGGGCCGGGAATCGGCGCAGCTCTCGGGCGCCGAGATTCTGGGCATCTGCCAGAAAGCGGGCGAGAGCGCCAACCGGGCGTTTTTGAACGGAACGGGTCCCGAGTACATTACGACGGACGCATTTTTGACGGAGATCAAGCGGGCGCCCAAGACGATCACACCACTGATGCTGGACCACTTCGCCCGCTGGTCACCGTCTTTCAAATAGAAGAAGAGCAGGCTTTTTTTATTTTATTTTTTATTTTTCACATTTTATTTCCTAGATAGATATCCCTAGGCATCGGCATTTTGCTTTGTTTGCCATAGATGACCCGTATATAGACCTTGACGATTTCTACACTTTTTGCATGCATCGTTCGTCTCCCATAAAGCATTGCTTACTTGTCTCGTCGACATCCCGCTCAGCACCCGTCTCAAGTCAACCGCCGGCGGTACACGCCCAGCATCCAACTGGCGCGCAGCACGGTCAGACCCATGGCCATGCGGATGCTGTCTTGGACCAGGTTCATCTTGCTGCCGTCGACCTCGTGCCAGCCCACGGGCACCTCGGCGACCTTGATGCCCGCGCTGGTGCCGATGATGCTGCCGTCGTGGGCCACAACGGGGGTCGCGGGCGCCGACTCGGCCAGCATGAGCATCTCAATGTCAAAGATCCAGCCCTCGGTGTGCATGTAGGGCACAATGTGGGGCAGGGCGTTGCGGCTAAACAGCTTGAAGCCGCACTGGGTGTCGCCGATGCGCGAGGTGGCGGGCGGCGTCAGGATGGTCAGGACAAAGTGGAACGACTTCATCAGGAAATTGCGCAGCGCCGACCGCTGCACGACGGCGGCGCTACCGACGAGGTGGGCGCGGCTGCCTATGGCGACGCCGCGGTCGGACGCGTCCACGACGACATCGCAGCCCTCAATCAGCTTGTCCAGGTCGCTGAAGCGCGAGGCGCCGTCGGCGTCGGCAAAGACGACGTAGGCGCCGCGGGCGTGGCGCAGGCCGTGGGTGACGCCACCGCCCTTGCCGCGGTTCTTGGCAAGGGTGACGACGCGCAGCACGTCGTGCAGGCCGCGGTCGCGGGCAAAGTCCAGGGCGACCTGGACGGTGTTGTCGCTGCTGGCGTCGTTGACAATCAGAATCTCGTAGCCAGAGGGCAGCTCGGCGTCGAGGGACGACGACGTCGACGCAGTGCCGTTGGAGTCGGCCCGGTCGGCGGGAAAGTCGTAGAGCACGGCGGCAGACGGGGCCTTTTTGCGCTTCGGTGCGGCCGTCGGCCTGCGCGTCTGCTGGCCCGATTTTGACCGGCTTTGGGTCGACGGCTTCGGCCGGCCGAAGCGCTTGTCGCAGTAGTCAACCATCTCCTCGAGGGCGGGCAGGATGCGCTTGGCCTCGTTGTAGGCGGGTACTACAACGGTCAAGCCCACCTCCGCGGGCTCAATGGCGCCGAGGCTGTAGGCATTCTTGTCGCTGTCCTTGGCCGTCTCGGCAAGGTGCCGCTCTGCTAGCCACTTGTCGTACCAGCAAGGCAGCGGCCGTGTGACAACGGCTGCGTCCTTGCTGGCGCCGGTCGAAGGAGTACTTGTCTGGTAGGTCTTTTCGGAAGGAAAGGGTAGTCTTGGCTTGGGCGCAATGTGGCAGAGGAGCAGATAACCGGCGATGCTGGCGACGGCAACGAGGGTCGTAAAGCCCAGGAGCAGCAACGGGATAGGAATCGAGAAGAGGGCGGCGAGGAGGGAGCCGACGAGGTCAAAGACGCCGGCCATGGCGGAGGAGGGGGGCGAAGTCGTGGGGTGAGAGTTGTATATGTCGTGTTTACTTCTCGGTCGTTTATAGCATTCTCGATTCGTAGAATCGTTGGATCGAGGCCGTGAAGTCGTGAGAGTGGGTTGTGCCCCGTTCTTATCCCTTCCTCGTCTGGGCGATTGTCTCGGCCGTGCTGCTCAACAGCGGCCTAGCATCTCGAGAGCGCGAGAAGAAACAAGGCCGGAGAAGAGAGATTGAAAATGAAGAGAGAGTGACAGAAAGAAGGCAGAGAACGAGCCGAGGAAAAAGAATACAGGAGAAGGTCGCAGTCGTAGGATACTGGGACACTAAGAAAAAGAAACGACAGTGAGATCTGTACTTCGTAGGAAAGACAGTCAGATTGGGTGTGGACCGTGCTGGCCTGTCTCCCTCGTCGAGACAATGTGCATTGTTGAGAGAGAGGACAGAGAAGCTATTCCGCGTTTTGGAGACGAGGAGACGTGGAGTTGTGTTGGAGCAAGGTGGCAGCTTCTCTAGGGCAGGTGCTAATTACGGTGCGACTTTGCGGGCGCCTTCCCGCGTAATAATACGAACCAATTATGGGAAGGTGCGGACACGGTTCTGGGTGGGCACGCCCTGCCGATCTTCCACTGTATTTACAGGCACTCAGCACTTCGTACTACAGCGCTAAAGCGCACCGTAATTAAGTGCCGTGATTACGTCGTATGCAATTTTGACAGTTGTCAAGGCTTCGACGATTTCGTCAACAAGCAAGCAAAAGCCGTGAATTGGTTGACGTATCGTACGGAGTACACAGTACTCTATGAGAAGGTGAGTACGGTAACATACGAGGCCGACGTTGATCACGGCCACCGTCGAAACCTCCAGTGCATCGCCAACGTACGGAGGGATATCTTGGAAGACTACGAGCAGCAAAGCATCGAAATCTTTCAATATTGTAACATTTGTCTCCCTGTCTACGACACACAAGGTACTCAAATGCAGATATGAGGGCGCACACTCGTCACAGTAGGGGCAAACGCAAGATTAGCAAAAAAGTGCCGCTGGGGCGGTTAAGGTCCGAGAGTTGACCAAGCCTGTCGGCCTGGCACAAATCCGGACACTCACGCTCCCAGGCCGTTCTTTCTATTTTCTCTTTGTTCCTAGTTTCTTGTTGTCCTATTCTACTCCTGGCAGTCCGACATGGGTATCTTATGATGCCACGGCGCGTGCTTGGCGACGAATGTGCGGTGATGGCGAAGCGGTGAAACGGGATGTTGGGTAGAGCTCCTGCCGGCCCTGAAGCGTCCCCCATCCGCGCCACTTAGATGGCCAGACGCTCGACCTTGTCCTTGAGGGCCTTGATCGGGCCAGCCAGGTCGCTGGCCTCGTTGGTGCTGATGCTGGCAGCAATCACGGCGCGGCTGACGCCGCAAGCGCGGCCCAGAGCGACCTTGCTCGGCACAAACACGTAGGGCGTGTTCTTGTCCTCGCACAGCAGGGGAATGTGCAGCAGGATGGCAAGCGGGTTGGCGTCCGCGGCGAGGATGGCAATCTCGCAGGTGTTGCGGTTCAGGGCCTTGGTGACCTCGTTGGCACCCTTCTTGGCCTGGCGGTAGTGGGTGGCCGACTGGAGGAGGTCGAGGATCTCCTGCGAGAGGGCAGGGTCGGCCAGAGGCCAGGCTGGAAGAGGAGTTAGTTCATGACGAAGAGAAGGAGGGAAAGACGTGTATTGTGTACTGGGCATTGCGCGCAGCTTGAGAGACGGAAACGTACCAGCAGATTCCTTGTTACCAGACATTTTTCAGGTGGTGCAAAGAGCGTCGGGACGACAAGAAAAAAGAAAGTTGAACGACGTTGATGCTAAAGAGTAAAAAAAAAAAGAGTGATGTTTCTGGTGGCTCGCCTGTGGGAGGTTCACTGCCGTTGGTTGCGAGAAAATGTGAGAAAAGTGCGTTTGCGTGATGACGAGAGAGTGTGAAAAGAGCAAGCGAAAAAGCTTCACTTTTTTTTGCTGAGCGGGAACTTTTTTCGGCAGAATCTCTCACCGCTTTCAAGCCAGCGCTGCCAAGATTTTTTTCGCGATTCGTGAACTGCACGAGTTGAATCACGTGCAGTACTCATCTGGTACCCACTTATTTTGGTCTTACTTAAGTCGTGGCAACGGCCAATCAAAACACCGTCACAACTAACACGCCCAACTAGGAAACTCAATTTTGAAGCATCAACATGTATGTTGCAGAGAGCTCAAGCTTCAACAATGATCGAAATGGGGCAACTCCTGATATGTTACTAGAGAGGTATGTTTTCAAGTCATATTGTGTGCTGAGATGAAACTAGAAGGCTTACATCAACCAGTACATGTCAAATCAGAAACGGAAATATCTTATCATATTGGAAGAGTCGAAAATGAAGATTTGATCTATAGCAAACGATTCGAAACAACCGGAAACACAGATATTCCCCGTATTGTGGCTCATTTATCGAATGTGTCATTTGCGTGTGGCACATTGGGAGACTTGTTTCGGACCAAAAGTTTCCTGGTCGGTGATGTCCATTTGTTCCGCTGGTGAGGAGGATCTCGATTCGTTTTCACCACTGTCCGCACCCCTTGTGGATGGAATAGTTCACCAGGTGTATGTGCAGAAATAAGGCGTCCAAAACAGGTGCGGTTGATGGCAAGTTGTCGTGTCATCGGTCAGGCAATGTTAGGAGAAAATATATTGAAATTTTTCGCCGACCATGGGAACGAGGCCAAGTACAACGATGGATGAAAAAATATCGAATCGGCAGTCGTTTTAGTAGTTAGGAAAGCGACAGTACCATTTCGTGCCTAACACATTTCTGCAGCATGATGAGGACATATCCCACGAGCTCAAATCTTATCCCTGTCCTGAATATCCAATAGTAAACGCCAAATTCAGTGAAAGAATATATTATGGCAACATGTCTGCAGAACCAGCAGGAGAGACAAGAAAAAGATAACTAAGGATTAGTAAAGGTAACGTCCAGATAGAGCGCCAATTATCATCTGCCAATGCGATGCAACTTATAATATTCTCCAAGGTGCGGAATGTGAACCTGACAGTAGAAGGAACGACGTGAAAAGTAAAGGGCAAAGGATATCAAAACGAGTGGCAAAGAAAATAATTTCAAATTTCAAATTGAAGCTGGTTGGAGGCATGCTGCAAGGGGCTCCTCAAGTTGGCACGTTGTTGGCGAGTAGACTCGCTCTTCTGCAGTAGACGCTATCTGGGCTTCGCGGTTGTCCGATTTTGACAGCGGATTCTTTGATGCCGCAGTCTCGGCCATGACCAAACTCAGGGTCGAGCAGGAGTCGATGAACGTATAGGCTGGTGAGGGACGGGCCGAGCCAATCGTGGTAGGTACCAGGGTGCGCTCTGTGGACAACCGAGAATGGCCCACTGGGTGCTGTACGTGTGGCATGCTAGGCTCACCGATCCTAATATGTTGTCCATAAGGATTCAGTTGCCTCCTGCGTTTTTAAATACCCGTTGATGGAAGATCGTACTGGCTGGGCATGATGGAGGTGGAGCTGTTGGAGTTGCAATTGTGGGTACTCTTGGATTTTGTTGTGCCGGACGGAAATACTCTCATCTCGATAGATTCCATGCTTGAAGGGCCGTGCTCTCCGCAAGTCTCTCCATAGTAGCCTAAGTTGCCGTCTGGGTACATTGGGTGAAAATAAGTGGCGCACTGTTAGTACGGAGTCGTTTCTGAATGCAGCATGACGGTAGAGACGTTGCTGCAGTATAGGTACAAAGAAGACGTGCAACGCTCTCAAGACGACTTGAGGGTAATTTTGGAAATCACACCTTTGTTCGTGGAGCTCTTCTGCGGTCCAAAAGACGCGGCCGAGTATGTCGAAGGTGACGTGGATGGAGATGAAGAAGGCGAGGATCTGGAGGTCGATGATTCTGAGGAAACAGCTTGTGATGCTGACGACGTGTGGGCACTTTGAGAGTGGTACGGCCCGTTTTGAGAAGCCTCAAGATGTGACATGCGGGCACGGACAAGCTCTGCATCCAGACTACTCAAGCTCAGCTGGCTGAATGCGGCTGATGTGCCCGGAGTGGTATGTGAGCTTCTCAGAGAGGCCCTGCTGGGAGAGCTAGACCAGTGGGAGGCTCTCGCGTTGACCGCACTGCTACTGGCGTTTCCAAGACGGCGGCCGTATTTGTTGCTGCTGCTGTCCACGTGCACGTCGACATGCAGAGGGCTCATCATAGCCGAGCTTGCCGGCCGTGGTGGCCGTAACAGTTGGCCAGCTTGCTTGGCGTTGCGTTTTATGTTGTTCTCTCGGATCCGCTCGGCGTCGTCCCGCATCCAGCCGGCCGGAGCTCCCATAAGGGCGTCTGCAGCTGCGTGTGTTGGAACATGGACGTATCGTGGCTTGGCTAGCTCATCTTTCTGCTTTCCAAGTTGCTTTTCGGAGGGTTTGCTGACCGACTGCTCTTTAGCCTGTCGGGCTTTTTTAATGATGGAGAAAAAAGACATTGCGATCGGTGAGGTTGCGTGTTACTTTCTGTAAAAGAGGACAGGAGGTGAGTGATATAGGGGAAACAATGAGATGGGGTGAGTAGGTTTTTCGTGGTTGAGAAAAAGGAGTAAAACAGCGACGGTGGAGAGTTCGTGTTCGCGCAGATATCGATTCAAATGTCCCAATGCAGGAGAGAGAAACAAAGAAAATCAGGTGTTGTGCTTTGTTTCTGGAACCTGTTTGAGACAAAGGGCTGGTTTAGGAACGACCCGATGGAAGAATTGGAGATGAGGATGTCTGCAGCCTTTTAAGGAAGCTGGCGCGCAGGCAGTACAGTTCTTGTGAGTAAAGAAAGGCGTGAGGAAGAGATAGGTGTACTGAGAACAAATAGAGCTCACTGAGATGGGACCATGTAGTTGAAGCATTTCCGTTTTTAAAATAATACAGAATGCCTTGGAGGTAAAAAGGAATCAAAAATATGACCAAAAAAAAAAAAAAAAAAAAGAAAGAAAGAAATAAACAAGGGTGCTTACGAGGCGAAAGGGAATACACGTCCTGGAAGTTCAACTTGGCCGGAAGGAACAGGGGTAAGGTCGAGTTAGTGTTGTCGTAGGCGGACGGTGTGAGGGTGTGTAAGAAGCGGTAGGCGTTACTCGACTCCTCCCGGAAACTCGGACAGGGGTGAAGGGCATCTGCGGCTGACTCGCTCCGTTAGCGGATTGTGAAAAACAGAAGAAAAATAAGCAAAAGAAAAGAAAAAAAGGGACGATATGAGAAACCATGATGGCAACAGAAACTAACTGCAAACGCCGACCAAATCAAGAGTTCTGAAACAATAAAACAGAAACCATTGGAAGAAAGCATTGTCACCGGAACAATCTAGTTTTCGTAGCCACGAGGATCGAAATCATTGCCGGATTGTCTGTGCACTTACGAAGAACGACAGCGTTGTCAGAAATATCGGTTCGTCCCGAAGGCCAGGATCAATTTCTCTTGCAAACCGGTTAGCGAGCCTAGACAGAGACTGCAACAGACAAACAGGCTTTTGATCAACCCGTCTCATAAAGGGCTGGTAAAAATACAATTTCAAAAATTCCGATAATATTGTGCCAGCCATTTACTGTCGCTGGTCAATGCATACTGTACAAAGGAAATGTCCTAGATGGATTAGTATTAATGGAGCCAATGTATAGCTAGGTTAAACCGAAGCGGCGGGAAGGTCTCACCCGATAAGGAAACTTGGGGAAACACAAACCAGTGACAGAGACAAGATGGGCGCCGTTGGAAGAACGATCCAGATTCGGCGATCGTCACTTGAAGAAGCAAGTGCACGGCTCAGAGCAAAGAAGACAAAACAGACTCGAATAATCGGAGCAGCTGAAAGCAAAAGGCCTGCAGATTCGAATTGGGAAGCCGTTCGCGGAAGTATTTCAGTGCTTTTCGTCTTTTTGTGTCAAGTTTGGAGGGCGTGGCATTATACGTGTGACTTCGGCGGAGAACGACGGGTGAGTAAGTCGTTCAGCTGGTCCTTTGCTAGAAACTGTCAAAGCACGGGATATTATGCGGTATCCGTCGAAATCTAGACTTTATGAAAACGAGGCCAATATGTGTGATTCCATCTTTTCGTGAGTGTTGCTCCCTAATCGGAGTGTTCTCGTCACGTTTCCGCTTGTGCCAGACTTGGCAGTCTTTGTTGTCGCACTCGGGGGTTTGTCACGTCCACGCCAGCGGAGTCCAAACAGTCGTCGTATACTTTACGAGATGCCCGGTTTCTGGCGTCTCTAAAATAGAATGCCGTGGTATTAGTGCCTCCTCGGACTGCCTACATCCTTGCCCTCGTGCGACAAGGGTAGCTTGCCGCTAGGGTTTGCAAAGCTCGAGACGAAATGAGCGAGGCGGACAAAAGTTGAGTGTCTCTTTGTTGTGGCTGTATTCGCGTGGTACAGGAATTTCGTTGCTCTAGGATGACGGAGGAACAATGTATAGGTATACAAAGGTGGAAAAGTTAAAGGCGTACGTTGGGTGACATGCTTTTCGCCAAGATAACAGGCCTCGACACGACAAGACGAAAAACGAACGCCACTCGTCGTCTGTTTGACTCTGTGAGATCTCCTCGTCAGTCTCCCTGATCCTAGTCGTGTTCTGCAGGGGGCTAAGAGGCGCTTTGCAACGCCGACAGGCGCAGATAGGATGGATGAGAAGGCTTTTCGCTGGCGAGCAAAATAACTTTGATACTGGCTGCCAAGGCTGTTGTCTGCTTCTTATGTATTGCTGCAGAGGTCCGCGTCCGAGTTGTCTTCACCTTGCCGGAAGCCACAATGTCGGGTTGGGACCCGGAAAGGTGGAGATTTATTGACAGCTGGGCAGATTTTGTTTTCGTTTCGCTGTCGCAGGTCGCGGCGTCGGGCGTACAAGGTCGAGCTGTCTGTAAAAATGAAAGATAAGAAGAAATGAGGCGAAAAGGGATCAGAGGAGGAGAAAAAGAAATCTCAAGATGAGACAGGAAACAATGCTCCGAAGATACTGACATAACGGGAAGTGGCAGGAGTCGTCACTTCGAAATATTTGGAAAGAAGGTGCCTGCAGACAGAACAAGGCCGAAATAGGAAAGTCGCAACCCAAACAGTGTAGCACCTGCCTCGTCCGCCCAAACTGGCAACACAAAAAAGGAAAGAGCAATAAAGTCTCCTTACACGGCACAGGGCAGTCACGTCTTTGCCCTGCCTTCCCCGACAAATGGTCGTATGGTGGAGGATCTTCCTTTGCCGTGCCTCCTTCCGTGCATGTCCAACTTTGTTCCTGCCGCCGTTCCAAGGCCCTGTCAGTGACAGAGTACTGATCCATTCGACTAGTGACAATAATAGGAGCGCAATATCTGCTGAGGGACTTGTCAACCAGCACCCACGGCGCAAATTCTCACTCCAGGCCTATCACCAAACACAGACCTGGGTTGAATCAATCTATCTTTTATGAGTCCTTTTGAGTAGACAAGGCCATGCATTCGACAGGGGCACGTTGTTGTCGCCTTTGCATGGTCGCCAGTGCCTCTCACGGCTCGATGTTGTACAAAAAGGAGACTGCGGACCTCCGATACGTCTATTTGTTGACTCTATGTTCGAGTTTTCATATTCAGCCCTCTTTTGTTGGACAAGGCTGGCCACGAACGTGTCCGAGAGTCGCTATTATCCCTCCCCGACTGATCCTCTGCAAGCGCAGCTCTGATTGGTTTCTGATCTCAGGCTGCCTATCTGCTGCGTTATACGAAGTGCAGGGTATATTGACCTCCCGTCTCTTTCTCGCCTCTTTTAATTAACTTTTGTCACCTTTTTCTAGACAAAAGGCCCGCTGGCATCTGTGACGTGCCGCCCAAAAGCAACTTAAAGCTGTGCCACGAATATGACGAAATCCGGGCAGAGGGTGCTTTGCCAAACCGTATCTCTCAATATCCTCCTTCCTCTTGGGTTTCGTTACGAAGAACGTGATATTGGTTTGCCGAATCACGAGCCGACGAAACATGCGTCTGGACGACATGGTCCAGCTCGAGAGAGTCGGGTTGCGGCGCAACATCCCGCACATTTCATATGAACTTATCCAAGTACAACAAACAAGATGAGAGGTGCAGCGTGCTACCTTTTCACCCGCACCTTTACTGCTCGCCTTGGTTGCACACAACTTACAACGACAACCCTGGTTTTGGGAGATGGCTTTTGTCCCCCTCCCCGGTTTCTTTAAAGCTGCATTAGCCTGTTCCTTCGGGCTTACATACCCACGTTGACACTGACGTCCATTCCAAGTGAGCCAAAATGCATCATCTCAGGTGTTGAAATAAGGCAAAAGCGCCGTCTTGATTGGAAGACGAGAAAGTCGAGTAAAACGACGAACGTCTTAAGTCCCAAATCCTACCATAAGCTTCAAAGATTTAAACGGCATCATTACGAACGTCAGGGAACGAGGACGTCGCAGGCATCAATACCGACCGTCGTGCTTGTGGAGAGGTCATAGAAACCTGGCGAACTGAAGCGCGGGACGTCTTCTAGCTTTCAATTTGGCTCCTTCCGAGGTGGGTTCTTGGGACTCACGTACTTGCATGGTTGCTTCTAAGTCTTATTTTTTGGTTCAAAGACTCTTCTTTAAGGTGACTTTAACCGGGCCCGTACCTTGATGATGTGACTAAAAAGGCTTGCTCCTGACACTTCATGTCCGGTCGCCGCATTGGCCTATCACATTCTCTTTTACTTTTCCAGTCAACACGTGTCAATGAAAAGGCAGGGTTCCGACAAAAAAAACGACGAGTATCGCGAGAACCGTCTTAACTAGGATTATACGACCAGCGACGAAAGCGGTCAGCCGAAATGGATAAGTTCTCACCTGCCAGGTAAAAGAATGGGGGGTGTCGAGTGACAGAGTCTACGAACACATTACTTTAACATGAGCAGCCATAATGTGTGAAAGGGCCTTCAATTTTTCCCCTCGTGCTCATGTTTTGACTCTTCCTCCAACCAATTGACTACACTTTTTGGCTTTCCGATCAGAGCAGGAAGACAACACCGGTTTTCAGGAATGGCTCTCCCAGATTGACCAAAGCGCTGAGGAAGAACGCCACGTACATCAGCCCTCCTCTCGTCGTTCGATACGACTTCGGCACGGGCGGCGAGACTAGCCAAGACTGGTTCGTGCTGGGCCTGTACCGATGGCCCAAAAGAGTTTGGGCAGATTGGAGGAGCACACAGATATGACGCCCTAGCATTGTTATTGCCGACCGTTGCTTGTTGCCTTGCCGTAAGGTTCTTGCAAATGCCAAGGCCAGCCCTGGCCATGGCAGGCCAACCTTTAGGAGGTGCGATGAAAGCTTGGGCGGTGTTGTCATAAGCTTACACGGATGGACGTGGTTGTTTCGCTGTCGAAAAGAGTATCTTGAAAGAAACCAATTCAAAAATGGAGGGTGTTTAAAAAGTACACTTAATGAACGGAAAGGCGCGCAGAAGCTACCTTACAACACATATGAGAATCAAAACGCTTACAAAGGGGTTACCATACAAAGGATCGCTTGTGGCTCGAATATTAAGAAATGGGCGTGAAAACGCTCGCAATGCCTAAGTGCATTAACGGATAGCAGAGATTGTCATGGATTGATGTGTAGTAATAAAAAAACATGTCTACTGCAAACGTATCTATTTATTTTGTAAGGTAAGGCCGAATAAACGAAATATTATCACTTCTTGCTGGTTATTTTATTTCATTAAGAAAGGATCATATTTAAGATCATATTTCCTATTTTGATAAAACAATCTGAAGAAACTAAGTAATAGCATGTATAAATAACGTTTAAATAGACGTATTAAAAATACCATGAAAATGAAGACGGCGAATAACTTGAGACTATTATATCGGAAATCATTAAATTATTCCCCCCCGATCAAACCAAGCACGGCGCCCCGTCCAAGTGGTAGTCGGTGCCTGAGGTTGGACTGAGGCGCGGACAGTCAATTTTCTCATACCAAATCTCGATACAGCTACCCTCCACCTCAACAGCCATCCGAATTATATGACGATCCTTATCTATATTCTTGCTTGCAGATAGAGGGCGGAACTAAATGTCTGGAATTCATTCACCGGCCCTGATACTGGAGTCAACACCATTGCCAAACCGACATCAAACAAAACGATCAGATTATGTTGCCCGGCCCTGCCCATCCAAAGGGACCTGTCTCGTCCTCATCAAGGCGGCCACGTTCCCGGTCATGTTTCTTTGGCGAGTGAGGTCCGAGTGACTCGAAATGCGAAAGGCTGACGCCCGTGTGTCATTAAACTCCTGATAGGCCTTTCATTCACGACCTGGGTGACCTAAATTTGGTGCTTCAATATCAACCTGCCACTGGCCGGCGATATGTTCATTCTTTGTTTTTGTTTATCTACACATCACAAGCCGACAAGGTGCCGACGGCGGCTTGACCTTCGGACAGAACCTTCCCAGACGTTCTTCGTGAGTTGCTGCATTGGTGCTCACCGGGCAATGATCTGTCGGTATTCCGTCCACAAGCAACAACATGCCAGGATGAAACTTGGAACAGATAAGATTGAAATCTGGCTGTCAAGTGTACTATGTCGTCGACAGTGGCGTTCATCGACACCGGTGTGCTCACCAGCCGCAACGGCTACTACATGCTTCGGTGCGGCTTTGATGTTGTTTGGCCAGACGCGATGTTGACGTGAAATTTTCTGCATTCGGGAACGCCAGCTTTCGGTTGAAGACGTTTGTAGGTATATGAATGTTGGACTTGCGTCAATATGGTAAAGTGTATATAGTAGAATGTCCCTGTTGTACCAGAAGATGGTATATGTTGCGATTTGGAGGAATCAAACAGGGAAAGGGGCTGGCAGTGTACTTTGTCTTCCGACCAGGGGCACTGGCGAGAGCCTCTTACTTTTATCCTGTAGGTTTTCATGGGCAGCTGAGCCGGATACGGTTCTCTCTCGTTGCTGGTTCAAGCAAGCTCAAAGCAAGGCAGAGGATAATGGAGGATACTCTTGTTACCGTGAGGGCTTAAGCTCTGTTGGTGTAGTAGGTACACCGTCTTCTGTATTCAATATCAAGAACAACTCAATGTATCGTGATGATGGTGGCGTCATCGATTGGCGTCACGAATGACGAGTAACTGAAGGCCGCAGGTATGTGGATAAGAGTGCGGTTCTGCCGTGCCAAGAGTGCCGAGAGTGTTTCTGGCGATAGTCCGGGCGGGTCGTTTGCAGCATCCAGGATCGCGGGTTCATACCGATGTGTCTTCATCCATAGACTCGAAAGTACCACCGTGCTTATTTCGCAAACACGCATTAGAAAAGCACAAGATCAAAGACGAGACCCGAGCCATTGGATTAGCCACGGCAACTCATATCCTCCAGAACTGGTGCTAATCAAGTCGTCTGTATGGGCTGTATGGTCCTTGTTAAGGGTTGGATCTACCGTTCTCACCCAAGCCTATACTGAGGTTGGCACAATATTCTTTATTTCTTATCTTTTTTTTTTTTTTATTCGTTTTTTTTTTTTTTTTTTTTTTTTTTTCGCGGTTTGATAAATATTTTTTACTTTCCGGCTTCTGCTGAAGAGATAGCCTGAAATCGGCTTTTCGCGATATTTACATGTGTGTTGGAATCGGCTATTGGGGGGACGGCGGCGTTGACGGACGAGCAATAGGACAAGTTCATGTGTGCAAGACGGGAAAGGTGTTTCATGCAACTCTCATGATCGCCGTTTAACGCGTGGTGGCCGTTGTGTTTTCTGTGAGACATTGGGCAGCCGCGACGGAGAGAATCGCACCTGCTGTTTTGGTGTCTTGCGCTTGTAAGTCGAGGAACGTGGAGGTGGTGCTCCGTGCCGGTTACCGTTTTGTCCACCCACACCCAACGGACGAAAGAGGGAAGCGCCCACACAAAAGCCGGGCGGCTAGCAAGGCGCATGCTTAGGCTAGGCACAGTGCTGAACTACATAGCGCACTGTACAGTCCCCAAAATCCGAGCACGCGCGCTGGGTAGGAGCGCCCAACTGTGCCTGCCTGATTTGCCGATGCTTGGTGTTTCTTGCCTATCGTGGCAATTCACTGAGCTGCTGTCTGAAAGTATGATGCGCACTTGCCCGCTGGGGAGGGGCTTCTCGAAAAGGAAAGAGCAGCCCACAGACTAGGCTTGCATCGCCAAACCGGAAGCATCGCCAGCATTTTTCGACTTCTTTTTCCTGGAGTCCTATTCAAGCGACACATCATATCAACGCGCCGTTCCTGGGCCGCACCACCCTGCATCGCGTGGTGCTAGGCCTGCATTCATACTGTGCAAGACGCCGGTTAGGCAGCGCTAAAGCACTGCAAGCTCCGGCGCATTGCGTGAACGGTCTTAGCACACATATTATCTATTTTCCTTCTTCCTGGGCCTTCTGGACCCTTTCACCTTCACCACCCCTGCTTGCTGCCCCTTCTTCTCTGCATGGAATTGGCCAGGTGCGGTCCTCGGCACCCACTACTTTCTTGTCGCTCTGCCCAACCCAGCCTGCCAGCGCCCCCAACGGTCCCCAACCCACGAACAAACTTTCGTCGTTTCGTCGTTTTATCGAGAACCGTGCGCGTGCACCTGCATTCTCACACCCAGCGACGTTTTTGACATACCAGAGAGACGAGGCCAGCCCGGCTCAAAAGCGAGCAGGAATCGCAATCCTCAAATCCTCACCTTGCACCATCACATCATCGCAGCCCACTGCACGTGCGACGGCCCCTGGACAACCCCGTAAAACGACGCAATCAAGTAGTCTCCGTCGTTTTTCGCCTCACGCCTCCCTCACGCGCCACCGACTCCCGCCAGACTCTTGACTGCCGCTGGCCTTTGCGTCGCTGGAGCCACTACGATCGCCAACCTTGGCCTGGGGAAAAAAACTAGGTGTCGCCTGCTCCTCTGCATTCCCTCCCTCTTTGTGGCCCACCTGCCATTGTCTCGCTTGTCACCTTTTCTTTCCAGCCCATCCGTCCCTGTCCCGTCCGGATTTTCGTGACCTCGACTTTGCGCCTGGCCCACTGAAACTCGCGACATCTTTCTTTCGTATCTTGTCCCCTTGACTTCCCCTCCCCGTCCCCCGGTCTCACCACATCCTGTCGCCGACTCGCATCGCGCTTTTCTTGTTCTCATTCGCTTTCGCCTCTCGCCGGGCCCGACTCCTAGTCCCCTGCATCGACGACGGCGAAACGCAATCAAGTCTCGACAAGCATCCTCGACCACGCCCGATTCCGACGTGACAGCGCCGGCAGCGTCCATTCGTTCCGCCTTCCTCTCGTCCTTTTGTCATTGACTGTTCGTCTCTCATTGCTCCCGACTTTCGTCCAACTTGTCACGGACGGCCGATTGATCGACTACGCTCCACTCGTCGACCCCCGTTTGCCAGCCTCTTGTGTATCGGTGCTCGGAACGAATCGGACGGCCGTCTTTCTTTTGACGCCCTGTCACGAGTCTGCGTGTGTTTTGTTTCGTTGCCTTCGCGCAAGACTTGCCATCCGGTCTTGAGGCGCTGTGCGACAGGAAAATTGCGTGCGCGCAGTTGTTCCGCCCCATTACCGAAAAGCTGGCGACGGTTACCCTTGTCGACTCCGAACTCTTGCCTCTCGACCAGGACTACGATATTCTCTACGGCCGTCTCCCCTCTACTGACGGCGAGGAGCAGCACGACACCTCGATGATGGCACACAACGTGCCTCATCAGATGATCGACCGAAAGCGAGTCAAGGTCTATGAACTACGCAATAATGACTGGTTCGATCGTGGCACCGGGTTTTGCTCCTCGGCCTTCGTCACTGTACGTGATTTTGTTTTGTCTCTCCCCGATCGTGCTTGCGGCCGGTCGCGTGTGCCGTGTCGCGTGCCGATGGCGACAGCCGGCCGGCCTCCGCGTTCGGCGCCTTTCCAATGCTGACATTTTTTTTTTTTTCCTTTTCTAGAATGACGACGGCGAGGTGAGCGAACCACGCATCGTCGTGGAGTCCGAGGATGCGCCTGACCGGTTGCTCCTCGACACGCGCATTCATCACGACGATGGCTTCCAGAGACAGCAAGGCATGTGATGGTCCTCCTTTCCCCGGCTGATACGACGAGAAGTCATTCTGTTGCTGACTCTGGACGCGCCTTTTTAGACACGCTTATCGTCTGGACAGAGCCGACAACCGGTCTCGATATGGCACTGAGCTTCCAAGAAGCCGAAGGTTGCCTCGCGATATGGTACGTTCCAACTGGTTTACTGTGGTACCGAGACACGCATAGAGAAAAGCAGCTGCTGACGAGCATGCAGGAACTTCATCAGCGAAGTTCAGCAGTCCATTGCCGCTCCGCTTGGCGAAGACGCCATGTCTGACGAAGCCGCCGTCGATATTCCCACGGCAATCACCCTCCCGCCGGCTGAGCTGGCCAACCTCGAAAATATCGAGACCAACATGCGCATCATGAGCACAACGGCAGGCGGCCGCGACGCCTTGTCCAGGTGCATCATCTCCGACGAATACATCCACAAGCTCATCCCCCTCGTGGAAATTGCCGAAGAGCTCGAGAGCCTCGCCGACCTCCACCACCTCTGCAACATTGTGAAGATCATCCTGCTCATGAACGACACGACGATCATCGAGTACGCCATGTCCGACGGATGCTACATGGGCGTGGTCGGCGCCCTCGAGTACGACCCCGACTTCCCGAGCCACAAGGCGAACCACCGCGAATGGCTGACCAAGGGCCGCTTCAAGGAGGTTGTGGCGATTGGCAACGAGAAAATCCAGCTCAAGATTCACCAAACATACCGTCTGCAGTACCTCAAGGACGTCGTCCTCGCGCGCATGCTGGACGACCCGACGTTTTCGGTCCTCAACTCGCTCATCTTCTTCAACCAGGTCGACATATTGCAGCATCTCCAGAGCAGTCCGACCTTCTTAAAGGAGCTGTTTGGTTTTTTCACTGACCCCACCGAAAAGATTACACGAAAGAAGCAATCCGTCTTCTTCATTCAGCAGTGCTGCTCGATCATCAAGAATCTGCAGCCGTCGGCCCGCTCGTCGCTGTACGCCAACTTTCTCTCGCACGGCCTGCTCCACGTGATCAACTTTGGCCTGCGGAACCCCGACGTCACTGTGCGTATCGGCGCCACCGACATCCTGGTGTCTATGATTGACCACGACCCGCACATGGTGCGCCAGACCATCTACCGCGAGATGCACGAAGACCACGTGCAGCTGACGGACACTTTAGTGGACTTGCTGCACGTGGAGGTGGATCTCGGCATCAAGTCGCAAATCTGCGACGCGCTCAAAGTGCTGCTGGATCCCGTCTCGATCCAGGTGACCGTCGAGAGCAACGTCAACGGCAACGGCAAGGAGCCGCAGCTCACACGGAGGCTCCAGGCTGACCCTCAACAGGAGGTCTTCCTCAGCCACTTTTACGAGCAAACTGCCGCGCGGCTATTCAAGCCGCTGCTCGAGCTCGAGAACAGGACGGAACTGGTTTTCACTGTTCTCCGCGAGGGCGTCTATATCTACCTGTACGACATTATCATCTTCTTTGTCCGTGCTCACCATCACCGGTGCAAATTCTTCATGATGCAGCACAACCTCGCCCACCGGTTTGTGCAGCTCTTGAGCTGCCCCGTGAAGCACCTGCAGCTCACGGCCCTCCGCTTCCTGCGCCAGCTGGTCGCGACGCGAGACGAATTCTACACACGCCACATTATCGAGAAGCGCCTGATTGAGAGCGTCTTTGACCTACTGGACCGCGTCCTGCCCCGCGACAACCTGGTGGGCTCCGCATGCCTCGACTTTTTCGACTTTTTTGTCAAGGAGGACGTCGTCGACCTCACCAAGCACCTGGTGACATCCTACAAAGACCGCATCGAAAAGCTCAGCTACCTCACCACCTTTAACGATCTTCTGACGGGACGCTACCCGCAGCTTATACCGCAGCTCCCGCACCACCAGGTCTTGGCCAGCAACGGCCACCTCGCTAGCCAGGAGCAGTTGGGAACGGCGAGCGAAGAGGACGGTGACTTGACCGCTGCCGCCGCCTCCCCGTCGCGAGCCCCCGACGGTGCCCACTTGTCGTCCCTGGACTCCATTGCCATGGACCCAGAGGAAGAGGCGTACTGGAACGGTGAAGACGACGACGAGGAGCTGCACCACTCACTCGGCTCGCCCGACGAGGACCAGGTCAACGGCGACTCGTCAGTTCTTAAGCAGCTCGTGGACTACCCGTCGGACGAGGAGCTGGATGAGAGCGGCGAGGGCAACAGCGACCCTATGGAGCCCGAAGCGGCCGATGCCGCCGATGAAGGCGCTGATGAAGCGCCTGCCAGCGAGAACAACAAAGAGCCGGTACCGGCCGCGCCGACAGACGGCGGCGAGGAAGATGTTGCCGATGCCGATGCCAACGGCAACTCGGACTCGGAAAACATCGAGCCGGCCGCCGTGAAGAGCGTGACCTCCTCGACAACAGCCCTTAGCGGTCCGCCGCCGGAGCGGGTGTCAGAAAAGCGCCGGCGCGAGGAGGACGAAGAGGACGATCTCGCCAAGATGATGCTGCAGAACAAGCGCCGCAACAGCCGATCCAACTCACTCAACGCCAACACGTCTGTCCTCAGCAAGATGAGCACGGGTGTCAATGGCAGCAGTGCCGATACAAACGGCGACACAACCGCCACGGCCACACCAGCCAAGAAAATCTCGATCAACATCTCAACGCCAGGCCTGCAAGCCTTAGCCGCCACGGAAGCTACCGGCCCTGGCTCGAACGACGACATGGCATGAATGAGCTTCAGGGCGTTGGTTGTTTGTTTTTTTGTCTTCTCACCAGCCGAAAGGAATCGAGCGATGCGTGTTTTGCAACTGATGAACAACAATGTAAGCTATTTTTTACGATGCACATCTGCTGGCGATACCATACACAGTCTTTGTCTCTGTGCTTTGTTTTTTATCTCCAGCACGCCGACGGCCTCTTTGTCTCTTCTTTGACTGTATTTTATTATACCTCTTTTACCGAACCCATCCGCACCCATTATCTATTGAGGGACGGCGTGCTGCGTGCGACGCAAAAATGAACACACAAACGAATCAGAAATGCATGGGAATGTGCAGCGTCGAGCTGTATGCCAAGACAGAAGCAGGCGAGCGGATGTAGCTCCTCGTGATGAGGCGCCGGACCAAAAAGGACAGGAGAACAGCAGGGCGGGTGCGGATGTTGTGGAAAAAGAAGAGCATGCATTTGATGTCGTGTGATGAAAACCTTGCGTTTTTAAACGAAATCCTCATTGTATTTGTTCGTTTTGGGCGTCTTGTTCTTTTATTATATACTTTATATCCTAGGTTCTGTTTTGATATTACCGGGTTACAAAAAACGGCATCCCCTCCAGGGTTTGCTCGATTCACAAGTCATATCTAAAAGGAACGCAAATGAAAGCGAAAATGCCTATCAAAGCCCGTGAGTATGATTATATTAGAATGCCGCGAAAGCAGAATGTATGTAATAGGAACGCCCTCGTCGCTTTTATTGATCCAAAGCATTCTTTTCATCTAAATGATAATACAACGTTGTCTATATCCCATATCCGTCGAGTCCTACCGCAGCTCGCGCCAGAACACGGGCAAAAAGACAACGCACGCCGTCCACAGCACAAGGATGCCGTCGGCAATGGCCAGCGGCAGCTTGACCAGTCCCAACACGGCCGCGCCGGTGCTCGACGAGCCACCCGTGATGACCTCGACGGTGTTGAGCCAGATGGCCAGGAAGGCGACGCTGAAAAAGTGATACGCCAGCACGAGCGGCTTGCGGATGATGCCGCCCAGCAGGCCCATGGGCTGCGCAGCCCAGCCCCGGCGGAAGTACTGGAAGCAGCCCTGCTGCAGCATGCGCAGGGGCCGGCTGTTGGCGGCGAAAAGCGAGTAGAGGGCCTGGGCGAGAACGTTGACGATGGAGGTGAGGCGCTTGCGCGTCCAGTGGAATTCGCCCATGGCGCGGGCGACGGCGGCGTGGTCGCCGAACCGGGGCACGCGGTCGGGCGCCAACAAGCCCGACAGAACAACAGCATCGTTGAGCGCGACCGTCATGCCGCCGCCGGTCAGCGGGTGGCGCATGTTGTAGGCGTCGCCGAGCAAAATGACGCCCTGGCTGGCCGCCTTGGTGATGGCGGAGCGCGGCGCGGGCGGCAGCCACGAATTGGGCATGCTGCGGGGGATCTTGCCGTCCGCCAGCGCGGCCTCGACGCAGGCGTGTACGTTCTCGGGCAACGAGGGAATGACGACGTTGCGGATGTAGCCGCGCACGCCGCCATTGGCAACGGAGGCGGCCGGCAGATTGTTGGGCACATCGATGAGCGCGCGGGTTTCGTGGGAGCCAATCTGGTAGAGCAGAACGGGGAAGGCCGACGAGTTGATAAATACGTGGCCAAATCCTTTGGGCTCAAGCGGGCAGTCGATGAGCTCCAGCGCATAGAACTTGGACTTGACGATGGGGCTGGTGTCCAGGACCTCACTGCGGAAGTCCGACTTGTAGCCGTCGGCCACGACGGTCAGCTGGCCGAAAAAGAAGTCGGGCTTCTTGGTGGTCGGACACGACGGCACGGCGGCGCCCGACTCCTTGTCCTTCTTGGCGGCCGCCGCCGCGTCCTCGCGGGATATTGGCGAGCCGTCGAGGCGCACTGTGGTCTCGGCGTGCACGCCTAGCACCTCGTTGGATAGGGGCCGGGCGCGGATTAGGCCCGTGGCTTTGGTCTCGAAGACGGTGATGTTGGGATGGGCGAGACATTTGCGCCGCAGCTGCATGATGAAGCGGCCGTGGTGGAAGCTGCGGCCGTTGGGCGCACTGCTGCCGTCGGCGCGCTTGCTGTCCTTCTTCTTGTACTCGTCGCTACCCGGCACATACGCATCCATGGGCACGTGGCCATCGCCGTCGACAGGTGGGTAGGGAATGGCAATGTCGTCGCCGTCGTAGACCACGTGGTAGCCGCGGCAGGGGATGGCGTCGATGTCCTCGATGCAGTCCGCCAGGCCCAGGTGACGGAGGGACGCAACGCCGCCCGGCTGCATCAGCTCGCCGACAATGCGATCGGGTTCGTGCATGTTGTGCTCGAGCAGCAGCACGCTGCGGCCTTGGTTGGCGAGCGCATACGCGAACGCACATCCCAGCACACCGGCTCCGACGATGACGACATCGGCCTCATGGTAGACCTCGCGGCGGCGCGTGCGGGCGTCAACGGCGGTCCCTGTTGCGTCTGCGCTCATGCTGTGTATATATATGTGTCTGTGTGTATGCGGTCCCTTGGCTGTGTCACCAGAATGCCGTGGTGGTCGGCGGAGGGGGATGGATGTCGAGAAGAAGTTTGAGATGCGGAAAATGAGATGTGGTGATATTCACGTGCCGTCGGGACTCGATCGTCGTTGGGTGTGAGGTGGAAGGTCGAGGATCGGAGGAGAGCATCAAAGCCGGTTCTAGCAAGGCTGAAGAGAAGGCGAGAGGCGAACGGAGCAAGATAGAAAGAATTAGGGGAGAAGAGAAGAAGAAAAGTAAAAAGAACGAAGTAAAGAAAAGGAGCAATTGAGCCTCTGTTAGGAAAAAGGAGTGGATAACGAGTCAATTGAAAGGAAAAGCACGTCCTAAAAAAGAAACGAGCACAGCTGCCACGTAAGGACAGGACGAGTCCTTCGAAAGCAACAGAAATCAATTCGCCGCTGCGGTGGTGGTGGTGACGAGAAAGTAGGATGATGTCGAGAAACAAAAAAATGGTTGTAATAATATTAGAGTGCTGCTCCAGAAAAGGGATGCGAGCCCAGGCTGGGAGGCTCCTTCTCCGGCGCCAACCCACCGCGCCTTCCTCCCCAAAGTCGTTCCAGAATCGCAGAAAATGGCATGTGCCTAGCCTGACCGCCTGCCCCTTCCCACCAAAAATAGGAGTCGCGCCACTTTGGCTTTGTCGAGCCTTCCCCTTGTAGAACGCCCCCTGTCGACCACTAAAACGGGAAGTTGCGACTGAACGGTTCTTGCGAGAGACTCTCATGGAAAGAGCTCCCCAATACCTTATAACAAACTGCCGCCTTTTTTCGTTGTTCCTGCCCATCATGCCACTTTACAGGCCACCTTTTTTGGGGACTAATTTGCGTGTCTTGAGTGGCTTCTCTTGCCCTTTTCTGTCTCATCGCAATGGGGAAGGAGCTCTTTTGGCGACTGTACGGGAAGGTGCCTAGCAAATCCACACACAGCGCATGACGTAAGACTATGAGGAACGTAAGACGTACGGAAACATAGACGGATACAGGACTTGAATATAACACTCATTTTGAATTATTTCGTTTCATGTACGTGTCGCTTATGATGCGACTCTATATGTTCATGGACAGCCAGTGCGAGTCTACTAATAACCACCTGCCGCTATTGATGCAATTGGAAAGGTTGACGGCATGAAGAAATAAAAAGCAATAAGAAATAATAATAAAGAAAGACATAATCGAAGATCGTAGCGACCACACGCTAGAACGTAGCCGCTGCGGCGGCGCGCGGCGCTGGCTCCTCCGCGTGGATCAGCCGGCCGTCCTGGTCGACGGGCATGTCAAGCAGGTCCCAGCTGCTGCCACTGCTGACGCTGCCGGTGCTGCTGGAGGTGTCGTCTTGATTCTGGCGTAGTTGCTGCTGTTGTTGCTGTTGCTGCTGTTGCTGCTGTTGCTGCTGTTGCTGCTGTCGCTGCTGCCGCTTCTGAAGCCTTTTCTGCCGGTGCTCGTCAAAGTCAACGGGCGCATGGCCGGCGTCGAGCGCCGCCTGCTGCATGATGGAGATCGTAGCCGCCTCGAGCGCGCGGCGCTCCGAGCTGAGCTGCTGGCGCGCGGCCCGGGCCTGGTGCAGCGCATCCTCGACGGCTTCCAGCGACGCCTGGAGGTTGTCGTCGTGGGCCTGGCGGGTGTCTGCCGACATGTTTGCACGGCCCGGCTCGTGGCCCGGACCGTGGATGGCGGTCTCGCACTCGAACTCGAGCTGGCGCGCCAGCAGGCGCCGGCGGGCCTGCTTGAGCACCTTGTAGCCCATGAGCTCGCGCAGGACGCCGCTGGCAGCGGCGCCCTCGGTGGCCAGACGGATACCGGCAGCGTCGGCCAGGCGCGCGTGGGCGGCGACGAGCACCGAGAAGTTCCAGACGTTGTAGCCCGGGCGACCGCCACCCACGGATGAGTTGGCGGCCGACATGGCGAGGGCAATGGCGCCGGGCATGTGGCCGGCCTTGAACATGTGGAAGGCGGCGCGGTTGAGCGCGAGGTCGGTCATTTGGATGTCGCAGGCGTCGAGCCGCAGCAGGACCGACTTGACGGCGGCGGCGACGCTGGCTTTGGCGTTCGACTTGCGCGTTTTGGCAGCCATGGCAGCTTTACGGCTGCCCAGCGCGTCAATGTAGGCGATGGCGAGGTGCGCCGTGGCACCGTCAATGTCTTGGCCGGCCGTGTGCGCCGTCTTGAGGAGGTCAACGGCGACGTCAAAGTCGGGCGCTCTTGTCGTGGGCCATGCGGACGTCGGCGTCGACGTGGGCTGGTCGCTCTTGACAGCGGCCGCCACGGCCAGCTTCAAACACTTGTCGCTTGGCGGCAAGCCACCGCGCACAGCGTGCTTGTACATGCGGACCGCCTTGGTCGGCGCGCCGGATGCAAACGCCTGCTTCATGGCCACATACAGGTCATGCTCATCCAAGAGGTGGCGGCTGGCTGACAGCGGCGATGTGTAGCTGTTGCCGTGTTGCTGGGCAGCCGCGGCCAAGGTAGCCATGTTCGCCGCCGAATGAAGCGCGCTGTTGTTGTTGTTGTTGTTGTTGTTGTTGTTGATCCGGAGCGAGACGACGCGGTGCTTAACCGCCATGCCGGTGGCACGCCCAATGGCCTTGGCATCCGAAACGGCGGCGTGCGTCATAATCGTCTGCGTCACCTTGTCCTCAAAGTTGGGGCTCAGCAGACGCAGCTTGCGGTACATTGTGCGCAGCTCGCGGAAGCCAAACTTCCAGTGCTTGCGGCAGTTGTGCAGGATGGCGTTGCTAAACGCAGCGTCGACGGCAAAGCCGGCCTGGACGCAGTAGTCGAGCCAGGCGATAAACGACCGCACCTCGCGCAGGGCGCCGTACTCGTTGGCGAGCAGGGTGACCATGTGGCGGCCAATGGGCACGCCGACCTCGTCAATATAGAGCTTCAGGAAATCCTCCGTCTCGCCGATCGTGTGCGTTCGCACGTACTCTTTCGCAATGGGCACGAAAACGCGCTCCGTATCGCGTGCGGCGAGTCCTCCCTTGGACGCTGCAGTTGTGGACGCCCGCTGAAAGTCGGCCTGGACGCCGTGCCAGTCGCCGGACTTGGCTTTGGCTAGCGCAAAGAGGCCGAGCAGGCGGATGTCGTCTGCCGCTGCCGGTTGAAGCGCGGTCAGCTCGTCGAAAAGTGCCTTTGCCTCTGTCGGCTTGTCTGCCTCGAGCGCAATCTGCACCATGACGCGATAGATGCCGTCGACATGGTAGGTTGCCGACTGGCGAGGACCAGCCAGTTTGGTAAACAGGCGCTTGACCTCGCTGTAGTCCTTGGTATTCTGCCACTGGCCGTACAGCAGGTCCGTGGCCCATGCTGTGCGCAGGCGGTGTGATGTTGGGGCACGGTCAATCAGGGTCTCGAGTACAGAGCCGGCTTGTGTGTAGTGGCTTAATCGTGTGGCTTCCACAACACGGTCGCCGATCTCGAGGAACGCCGCCTTGGACAAGGAGCCGGCCTTGGGCGGGCGTGCAACAAAAGACGATACGATGAGCGTCTGGTCGCCCGTCGTTTGCAGCTGGGTGTTGTACCACTGGGAGAACTCGGCAATGTCGCCCGGGTACTTGGCAATCGACGAGTATATGGTATGGATCGACTCGTGGTGGCGGGCGGCAAAGGCGCACTCGAGCAACTGCTTCCCGACGACTACAAGCTGGGCGATGGGCACATCCGCAGCGTGCGGCGCTGTGAGAGTCGGGAGAAAAATACTTGCTGCGTCCTCGAGGCGCTTTACGAAAGCACCACGGCGTACCTCTGCGTCGGCGTCCTCCATGGTGGGATCGGCCAGCTCGGCCGGCAGGGCATCAAGCGGTGCCAGGGACTGCACCACGGGCAAGGGGCTGTGGGCGAAGTAGGTGGCCTCGTCCAGCTGGCCAAACTGGACGGCGAGCTGCAGCACAGCTTGTGCCAGGTCCATGCGGCCAGCCTGCTGGCAAGATTGGCACAGCCCAGCTGATGTCTTGCGCAGGACGGCCTGGTCCCCAGAGGCAGTATCGATGATGGGCCAAGTGTTGAGCAGCGTGCGCACGGCGGCCTCGAGCTCGGCTTCGGTCTTGAGCGGCTTTGCCAGCGCCTTGACCTGGCTGGTCATAGCTGCTGACAGGTCTACCGCGGGAACACTGTGAGTGTTCACTCGGCCGATGGGGACGACGCTTCTGTGCACGCGGCCCCCTTTTCGAGCTCGCGCCCCGTATGCCTCTGCTTGGAGGGCAAGTGATGGGATGGATCGCTGGATGCGTTTGGTCGTTGGTGGAGGGTATGAAAATGGTTGTGCTTGTGCTTCGGCTGGTGCTTGTGTTTGTGTTTGTGATGCTGATGTTGGTGGTGACGATGATGGTGGTGTCGAGGAAACTGTAGGTGACAGTATGTGTGACGTTGATGATTCCGCAGCACCGGAGGCCGTGGTCGCTGTATTTTGTGTTGAAGATGCAGCTGCTGTACGTCTCGACGGGGAGGACGACCGTTCTTTTCTTGCTGGTACCGCCACTGCATCTGGCCAGTCCATCGCTGATCTCTGAGATGATCTCGTCGTCGTCGATCCATGTTGGCCGCTGTCGATTCGTCCCTGACGTGTCGGTGGCTGCCAGCGAATCACACCCGGCTCGACCGAGATACTCTCCTCCTCGAGTGCAATGGCAAACGCAGTGCCGCCAGGGTGGTACCGCCGGGCAGACCGGATCCTGTCGCCGTTGCGGATTGCCGAGCGCGCGGCATTAATGCGGCGACGGCGGTCTTCGGTGACGAGGGCAAGGGTGCAGGTCGTGCCGAGGATGAGGCCACGCAGGGCGCGGATGGCAGTCTTGGACGGCACGGGTATCGGCGGCCCGGGCGGTGCCATGGTTGTGGACGTCGTATCGAAACGGGAGTCCGGATGAGGGGTGAACGAAAACAGCGGGTAAAAAAAAAAAAAGAAAAGAAATTTAGATTGCAAGCAAAAGGACAGGCGACGACGCCATTGCCGGTACCACAGCCTTGTCGTGCCCAGGTGCAAAGAATGGAACGACGATAAGCTTCCCGGGTCAAGGATGCTGAATGGCGTGGCCAGGAACAATGGCTGTCGATGGCAGCTCGCGAGGTGTGGTCGATTGTGTTGATGGTGGGACTGCCAAAAAAGTTGCTGTTAGTTGTGGCACGACTTCGGCTCGGGGCAGGATTGAGGTGCCCACTTTTTGGCGGGCCGTGGCCAATCATAATAGTTTCTTTTTGCACAGGAATATTGAGCTGTGTTAGTCAGCAAGTGCTCTGGTATACGCATACACCTCAATAAGTGCATACTTTGTCGACGTATGTCGTTCACTGGATTCCGCTCAACTGCCATGCTTACGACGCTTATCATTTTCCAGAATTAGTAACAGACGATGCTCGATGTGTTGTGATGTTGTGGTGTTTCCGTGACCGGGGTTGCCGCGTTGACATTGCTGTCGGGCTGCGGACTTCGCTATCCAAGTTGGTCCGAATAGCTTCATTTTCGGACCACGCGACACGCGGTGCCTTTCGACTAAAGAACGGGCCCATGCGGCATTGTCCGTTTTGGATGCGCTTCCAGTGGCGATTCCGTGATTTGACAGCACGACAAATCAATAAGTCGGACAAAACAAGAACGCCGGAGGACGCTGGTGAAAGTGAAACCAGTGATGCAGAGGCGGAGCTAAGAGGGTATAAAGTAAGACATGCGCGCGGTTCTGTTCTTTCACGATGTGATTTGGAGCTTCCAGTCACCTTTGCTTTGCGAAATCAGTCGGCCATCGATCAGTCCACGTCCGATTTGTCATGCATTGATCTTCTATATTCAGAACCCAAACCTTTTTTATCTTCATCGTGTCACACAATGGCTTCCTTCTTTGAAATGATCGGCAAGCCGCCTGCAACAGCGTCCGTCCACGACAGCACACTCCTCATCGTCGATGCGCAAAACGAGTACGCCGAGGGCCGCTTCAAGACGGTCGGCGTCGAGCAGACGCGCAAGGCCATCCACGAGCTGGTCGAGGCCTACCGCGCCGGCGCGACGTCCACCGGCAAGCCCGCCAGCATCGTGCACATCGTGCACCACCCGTCGGACGACACCAAGTTTTTCGTGGCGGGCACGACGCTCGGCGACATCTTTGCCGAGCTGACGCCGCTGCCGGGCGAGGTGGTCGTGCACAAGCGGCTGCCGGGGTCGTTTAGCCAGACAGACCTGCACGAGCAGCTGCAGAAGCTGGGCCGGCAGAAGCTGGTGATTGTCGGGTACATGACGCACCTGTGTGTGTCCATGACGGCGCGGCAGGCGCTGGAGCTGGGCTACACGAACCTGATGCCGTCGGACGCCGTGGGGACGCGGGACATTCCGGGCGTGTCGGCAGCAGAGTTGAACCGCGTGGCGCTGGCGGAGCTGGCGGACTCGACGGCGACGATTATCCTGAGCAAGGACGTGGCGAGGGCGTGAGCGGATGGGCCGAGGATGGGTGAGAAAACGACGAAACAAATATGACGCCAAAGGCTGAAAGACAGCCGGGAAATTCTATAAAAAGAGTAGATTTTGGTGTATGTCACGTCTATGTCTAGCAGACCGTTTCCCGCCAGAAACCTGCTGTCTATGATAACAAAAAGTATAAAAACAAAACCATTGGAGGAAATATGTACTGCGAATATGAAGTTTGCCGTTTGCCGTGTGCCGTGTGCTTGTGCTGTGAGTGATGCAGTGTGTGGAGATACCAGATGTCATGAGCACCGTCCCAATTGACAACGCTACCTGCCACCGGCGTGCCATGCCCCCAAAACGCCAAAAGAGCCTGCCCGATGCCCGACTATCCCCCCGTTTTGTCGTTTGTCTTTTGTGTGTGCAAAAGACGTGATTATTAGTACATGAAAGAGGTGTGTGTCTCCGATTCTATAAGTAGTGTGGTGGTATGGCGTCGTGATGCCGCGTGGTGACGTGCAAAAGTGCAAGGGAAGTGGCTGCCCCTTACGTCACATCCTCCAGCTCTTCCGAGGGCATCATGACTGCAAGTTGGCGCAGGATGGTCTGGTACAGCAGCAGCATGCACCCGCTTTGGATGCTCGTCCACACCACGCGCGGACCGACGCCGCGGAACCATCCGCCAATGCCCTCGGTCTGGTAGATGAACTTGAGGCCCTTGATGACGGACGACGTCTCGAGATGGATGGCGCCGGGCTTCGGAGTGTGCGTGGACGGCGACGACGTCGAGATGAGCCGTTTTTGTGGCGGTGGCTGGCTGTTGGCCGTCTCGGACGTGTGCTTGCTGGGCACATCGGGCGGTGTGTTGCTGGATCTGAGGGACGCGGAAGATAAAGAGGAGGAGGAAGAGGACGCCGACAGAGCGGCTGCGCTTGTCCCATTGGCCGCGTCTGGCCGGACCTGGGTCTGCAGGCGCGTCTTGACCACGTCCAAAGGACATGTCATAGCACCAGCGAGACCGCCGGCACCAGCGCCGGTGAAAAAGTCGAGCGGCAGGCCAATGTCGCGGCTCTGCTTCCACTGGCGGGCCCAGCTCTGGGCCTGCTCCCAGAACATGAACTGCAGCGCCGAAAAGGGCAGGTCGCGGTACAGGGTCGCCTTGTAGCCGTGGAACAGCGCCGCAGTGCCTTCGTAGCGGACGATTGTGCGCGCGGCATCGAGCGTGCCGCGATAGTTGTACCCCGAGTGGAAATATGGGTTCTGGTAGCGGCCCTGCAGCTGGAGGCGTGTCTTGAGCACCTCGGAGGGCACGTAGACGACGGACGCGGCGAGATCGCCAACAAAGCCGCTGGTCAAGTAGGCAATGTGCGGCTGGACCCCGGCGTCGATCATGTGCCGCTTGCTAAACTCGTAGGTGCCGAAAAAAATGACGGTGCCCGGGAACGACCCGAAGAGAGCGGGCAGCCAGCCGCCATAGAGGCCGCGGCGGATGCCCTCCTGGCGCAGGATGGTGTAGTAGGAGGATCCGAGGGATGTGTATTTAGGCGGGACATGGGGATCGCCTTGCTGTCGTGTCTTGACTGTGTCGAGGGAGTGCATGAGCATGTCGCCGAACGTGCCGCCGAGGCCACCGGCGAGCATGGACTGCAGCAACGCTGTTAGCCATGATCTAGGCAGAACGAGAAACGAGAGAAAATCAAGGCTATATCTTACGTGGAAATAGGGCGGCCGCCCCTCGAGGCCTTCGTCGCCACCTGCGACCATGGTTGCTTGTCGTGCCGCGTGGGAGCGGCCCAGCGCATCGATTGAGTCCGTCAGTTGGCCAGTCGCCGGCCGCAAGCCATGGTCGAGTGCAGACGAGGAGGAAATGGTGTTGGTGAGATCGATTGGAACGGATGGTGATTGACGAGACGAGTTTGCGGGCGCAGTCGTCGGAAGCCTGACGGCGCCGTCTGTGGGCATGAAAAACGAGTTGATGGTGGTGCCTGGCCCGAGAATATTTCTCTTCCGGCCTCTGGAGACGTATCACAGACTGGACAACTCGGTCGCGTGGTGTGAGCGCTGCGGTGCTCGGGTTGGTTCGGACAATTCGCAGGCGGTAGACCGCAGCGTCTCGGATGTGTCAGGAACGGCTGTGAAAGTCGTGACAGGTCGTCCGAGGCGTGGCAGGCGGTCGGAGAGAAGAGGAAGGAGCAAATGCGGCCAGGATGCACGGGTGCGCCTTCCCTTTGCCACTACCGGTCGCCAATTTTTTTTTCTTGCTTATTTTTCCAGGGCCGTGTTTTAATGCCTTGGCTTCCGGCCCTGCCAAAATGCCCCAACAGACCCGGCCTCTGTGCCGCCGCCAATCAAAATACAGTTAGCATTTGGTGTTCCTGGCCGGCGCAAAGGTTCTGGAATATCATCAGTACAGGGGCATACTCACCAAAGATTAGCGGCTGGGCCAAACCTGTGCTGTATGCATTGTGCTTATGTAAGAAAATGCCCCTCAGTGAGCTTCGTGATATACGAACGTAACAAGCACAAAACGGCATATATAATTATAGCCTTTGTCTATTCAGTCATTTCGTGATTTGTACACCCCAATGGACTTTAAACAGGATGACAGATGGTGGATGTTTATATTCTACAGGCCACAGGCTTGCCCCAGCTTCCCAAATTCATGAACTCCCAAAACGCCAGTGGCAGCTCTATTTAATGCAGAAGACCGTCTGTGATGCAAACGTTGCGAGCACAAGTCGCAAACAACTGTCTAACCTAAAATCCCGGTGTAGCCGATATCCGGTCGTCAACGGGATACTCCCACCACTTCACGCGGCCCGCCTTGTCAAACGGCAGCAGCACGTGCGTCAGCTGGCCGGTGATCAGGCCAATCGACACAGGGCCGTAGGTGTTGCTGTCGAGACTCTTGCCCACGCCCGCGTCGCCTTCTACCCACATGTGCCCGGCCGGGATGCGCACGTAGGCCGTGGGGTACGGCTTGCGCGTCTGTACGACGTCGCCTTCGAGGCCAATGATGCGCTTGACCGACACCACTTCGGGATGATACGGGCTCCTTGTTTGGTAGTTTTGTTAGTCGGCAATTGGCAATTGGTGTCCATGGACAGTCCAAAGCAACGGAGAGTGCTCACTTTAAGAAAACAATCATGCCCCGCTGCAGTCCTTCCTGGGCGTACAGCTTGCGGTTCACCACCCAGTCACGCTTGAGCGACTCGTTGAACCGGCTGTTGAGGAAGGGGTACATGGACGGGCCCTCGATGCGCGTGACTTCGGCGACCGTCGTATTGAACCAAATGGCCACTGGCAGCCACGTCGCCAGGCCGAGCAGGCGGAACACAAACTGGCGCGCAAAAGCCGACCGGCCCGGCCGCGGAGGTATTGATTCCTTTGTCGAGGCAGACGTGGCTGCCGGTGCCGACGTCGAAAAGGCTGCTCGGCCGGTCCGCATGCGCATCCACAGCGAGCGAAGTGCCATTCTGTAGTCGGTCTACAACGTCACGCGCTGCTATGAGATGCCGGTCATGGAGGGCTGACGTGGTGTTGCGAAGTGAGGCAAGGTGAGGTGAGGTGTGGTGATTCCCTTTCACGGCATTCGCTGGAGCTAAAAAGGCAACGCACCACGCCCCGCTTTCCACATAAACCCGACTCATGCAAATCGACGAGCACGCGACAAACACGACAGCGAGAACAAACATCGTCCGACTTCTGTAAAAAGCCAACTTCTGATTGCTATGTTCAGGTTTTCGTTCTTATTGCTATTTTTTCTCTATATAAAGAGCGGCTCAGTAAAGCCTCATTGTCAAAAGCCCCCGATACGCATTTGACTCGCCTGTAAGAAGGAGAATGAAGTCAACGGCAGCTTGAACAGCTTTTACAACATACCCTCCTCACCGGTGGCCATACTGTAGCTCCCTCATATCTCCATAAACTTGTTGCCTTTCCATGTCCCGTCCGGCGATATGCCCCCGCTACCTTCATGAAACCAGCCGCAAAAAGCAAACAGACTCGGGCTGGATATGCAGAAAGAACTAGGCAGATGATAAAAAAAATAAACGTATCGGATGGTGAAAATTTTGTCTAAACAACAGTTTTTCCCGTTGGTAAGTCCCCAATTGCCCTGTAGATCCTCACTTTTATCTTCCTTCGTATCCATCTCCGTGCATGCATCGTCGTTTTTGCTTGTTGGGAATTTCAAAACAAAGGGAAAGAGAAGGCGAAGACGAAAATCGTTGTACACAAAGAAAGCATACGACAAACGAACACAGTCATGTGTTCGTCCCTCATGCAACCTCTGGCAGGTCGTCGCTCTCGCTCTGGCTGTCGTCGCCGCTGACCTCGGCGTTCTCGCGCTCGCGCTTCTCCATGAGCGCCTGGAGCTCGGCATCGTCGCTTTCGGTGACTGCCTTCGGCTCCATCTTGACCACCAGCTTGCCGCCCGACGCCTCAATGACCGAGCGCACGTCGTCGATCGCCTTTGTCAACCGGCTGATGCCCGTGTTCTTGTCCAGGCACGTGCTCGTCAGAACGTACAGCGGCGGCGATACTAGCCGCACCTTGACCTTGTTGTCTTCCGTGTTGTCGGCCTCGGCCGTGCGCAGCGCCTTCTTGATCGCCTCGATGCCCTCGTACGAGAAACACGTCACCTCCACGTCGGCACGCACTTTTGTCGGCTGCGGTGTTAACCGCTTGCCAATGTACGACTTGAGCTCCTCCTCGACGACCGCGCTGGGGAACGTAATGTCCTTCCAGACATCCGGGTTGCTGTGTACAATTAGCAAACGTCCACAGACAAAATCCTTTGGGCTTTGAGTTATGGCAGGATGCCTGGCACAGGCCAGTACCATGTCGGGAACAAGACAAGACTCACGTAATCGACAGCTTGAAGGCGTCCAGGGAGTGGCCGTACTGCTTGTTCAGCGGCCAGCCAATGGCCTCGTACAGCGACTCGATTGGCGTCAGCGTCTTCTCGGCCACGTGCCGCAGGATCGAGTGCACCATCTTGCTCTTGTTGTACCGCTCCTCGCACTTCTTGACGTCCTCCGTCGACACCCGGCGCTTCGACAGATCAATGTAGCCCTTCTCCTTGTCCACACGCAGCACCACCACGCACTCGTTGCGGCCCACGCGGATGAGCTTCTGGATACTGCGAATTCGCCGTCTCGACAGCTCCGAGAGCAGGATCATGCCGTCAATGTCGTCGTACTCGAGCAGCTTCACGTACGCGCCCATGTCGGCGATCTGGCGCACGTTGACCATGACATAGCTGTCAATCTCCGGATACTTTTCTGTGCGCGCGCGACCATTGTTAGCAAACTAGTACCACCGACCAGCAAGTCCGTCCCTGCCCATGGGAGGCCGATACGACCGGGGCGTCAAGGACGTCAGAGGGGGACAACGAACCCTCGTAAAATCTGCAGTTGCTGTACGACATCGTGGCGGTTGGGTGCGTCGCCGCTGCCTATATCCGTTGTGCAGGGGCAACAAAATAAGACAGAATCTGCGTATTCGATCTGCGACGGCACAGTGGATGCGGCAAAAACGGTGCGATCGAGAGACGTCGGGATGTTGTATTGGGAGGTGGCTCTGGAGGGGCGTTCTCGTCTTCGCGGTTGATCGTGGCGTTGCAGAGCAAAAGACAAAAGGAGCGAAAAAAAATATACAGGCGGGGCAAAAAGAAGGTGCTGGCTCTTGCCTTGGGTGCGTAGTGGTCGGACTTTGCAGTTTATGGAGCCTAAGCTTTGTTTGCTGTTAGAGGCCAGGCTAGTTAGCTGCTGCTAGGGCCAGCGCTTTGCCATTGCTATGGCGCGACGTCTACGGAAAGTACAGTTTGCGCTGCAAAATCTGCAAAATTACTGAAAAGGAAAGAAGTACTTTGCTGCAAAGTACAAAGAGTCATACAATAGAACGGCGAAACAGTTGGCAAAGCAGTTACGGCGCTGTTGCGAGTCGTTCTTGCCTCCAGTCATAGCAAGGCAAAGTATTTTCCAAATGCAGCAGGCGACTAGTGGGGTTGGGCAGGCACTGAGTCGTGGTAGCCCTTATTTTGCGCCTGCACTGGATCAATAGAAAGTCCGACCCGGATGCGGCTGCTTTCGCATGTGTGCAGGTGCGACCTTGTAATTGCAAGCCGAAGCAGGGCAGTCAGGAACAGGCCATAGGGGCTCCACAGCATCCAGGTTCGCTGGCTTATGTAACTCACGAGATCCACCTGCTCTTTCCGTTTTGATTCAACGGCGGGCGTTATATGAGCAGGGGAGATGAAAAGCTTAGTTTTCCCCCAAGCAGCTTCCCATTCCTCTCCTCCTTCCGTTTTCACTTCATCCGTCACTTCTTCACTCCCCTCCCTCTCTCGTCTTCTTTTCATCTCCTCCTCACAACACGCGCTCCTCTTTAATCCCCTCACTGTTTCCCTCCCAACCACCCCTCGTCGACCGCTTGGCCTCCCACGCGGCTTGCACGTCCAACGGGAGACCATAAAGCTCGACGGTAGCTCTTTGGCCCTGAGCCCGACGCGCCGCCCACCCACAATGCAGACCTCTTCACCCGCTGCATGAGCTCTGCAGCCGAAAGGATGGGTTCCGTCGACACCTCCACTATTGTCAGCGGCACCAGCACGGCTGCTGATGCTGCTGCCTCCCTCAGCGTCGCCCTGGCAAAAAGCTTGTCGGCTGGCGCTGGCGGTCCGCAGGCGGCCCTGTCGTCTGCGGTTTCGACTGCCCATGACGTCGCGGCCACCCATGGCTCCTGGTCGTGGGTCGGCCTCTTTGCGAGGCTGGTCTTGTCCATCCTCCATGTCGTCTCTGTCGTCTTGTATTTCGTGATCAAGCTGGCCACATTTTCGTTGCCCACACTGCTCTTCACGCTGTTCTCGACGACCCTCACCGTGACTATGAATGCCACGACTTTGTACGTCCCCTGCTCACCCTCCTCCTCATCTCTGCGAGCCATTTCATTGCTGTGTGTTCTAACGTCAAGCTCAGGATGGTTATTTTTGCTGCATTTTTCTCCACTGCCAGCTGGTTTGTGCGGTATCGCTACCTCAACATGTACGCGCGTCTTCCGCCAGAGCCGCAGCGCAAAGAGCCGGACATTGACTTGTTTCCTGACACGCACGAGGAGGGTATCAAGTCGGGCCTCTCAAACTACCTGGACGAGTTTCTTAGTGCCATTAAGATTTTTGGCTACCTCGAGCGGCCCGTGTTCCATGAACTCACCCGCAGCATGATGACGCGGAAGCTCATCGCAGGCGAGACTCTGGACCTTGAAGAAGAGAAAGGATTTTGTATCGTTGTCGACGGGCTAGTCGAGATCTTTGTCAAGTCGTCGAGCCACGGACACCGCCACAACGCCAACGTCGACTCACGCCGCGGACCCTTCTTGGAGACCGCCTCGAGTGACGACGACGAGGAGCCTCTCGCTCATGGAAACCAGCGGTACCAGCTCCTTACAGAGGTTCGCAATGGCGCTCCCATGTCTTCTCTCTTCTCTCTGATGTCTCTCTTCACCGAGGACATCAACCTGCGCGTTGAAGACGACAGCACACCAGCGACCCCTGCCATGGGCGGTCGTCCAAACGTACCTCGTCCCCCGGCCAGTGCGAAATTCCGCGGATCACACGACTCGCACACCCCGTTTCCAAAGACGTCTGCATATGGTACAGACGGCGCAACTGCTGAGCCGATGGAAACAGCAGATGCGACCGCCCAGCAATCGGCTAGTTCCCGTCTCCCGCGTGTTCCTCCAATGACCTTGGATCCTCTTCGCGACCCTCCTCGCCCCCAACGACCGGTACCGCGACGGACGGCGACCAACTCGGTCCACCCGGATATCATTGCCCGGGCCACCGTGGACACAACGATTGCTATTATTCCAGCAAGCGCCTTCCGCCGCCTCATTCGCATCTACCCCAAAGCCACATCGCATATCGTGCATGTGATCTTGTCCCGCTTCCAGCGTGTAACGCTCGCCACCGCGTACAACTACCTAGGCCTCTCGGAAGAGGTTTTGCAGACGGAAGAGAACATGATCAAATACACCATGCGCCAGTTGCCCAACTTCTTACGTGGAGATGCCTTGGAGCGCCTGAAGGAGAAATTCCACCGAGAACGCGAACGGATCGGCGAAGACGAGACAGACAAGGGCATCGCTCTGCACAATCCTGCCACGGGTCGCCGCAAGAGATCAACGACGACCCTGCGCAAGGAGGCCGCCCTGCACTCGCTGGCCCGACAGCGGCCTTCTTCCTCGGCCACGTCATTCAGTCTTCGCCCACAGGACCACAACTCTCGGTCGAGCAACAAGCCTGGGGATCTTCTCGCTAATACGTCGCTGGATGTGACCTCCGGAAACGTTGACCTCGCCGCAGACTCTCTTCCTTCCTTGGCTGATTCACCATTTGGCTCTGACCCTTTCCAACTCGATGCCAACTTGGCAATGTCGCCACTGGCCCAGAGGTCGTTCAATCCTTTTGCGACGCAGAAACAGAACCGTATGTCCATCGACTCGCGGGAAGGCCTGGACGAAGAGAATGTTTTCCGAGAGTCTGTCCTCGAGTGCATGTTCAAAGCCATTGGTCTCAACTCCAGCACGGCTACACCCAGGGAGGCCGAGTCGATTGAGGCGTCTCCTCGACTTGGATCGTACGAGAACTTCCGCCAGAGAACCTACAGTTCCAATGCCTTTGGATTTATGGATCCGTTCGGCGGCTCTGCCGATGGTGATGCTGACTCGATGGCCTCCGGTACGACTGCGAACACCCCTCCTAGCGTCCAGAGCCTGGCCCACGATATGCTGGATGAGGTCGAGATTGTCTTTTTCCCCAAGGACTCAGTCCTTGTGGAGCAAGGGGAACGCAATCCTGGTCTCTACTATGTCATTGACGGGTTTCTTGACGTCTGCATGCCCGCTGGAGCTCCCACGTCTGGCGACATCATACAGTCGGCCACAGCAACCGAGTCTCAGTCTACATCCTCCTCTTCAAGCACACAGAACGGAACCGCCAAACCGACAGGCAGAAAGAAGGCCAAGTCAGCTCGTCGAAGCGTCGGCCTCATTAAACCTGGTGGCCTTGCTGGTTACATTGGCACCGTCTCTTCATATCGGTCGTTCATCGATGTCGTTGCGAAGACAGATGTGTATGTTGGCTTCTTGCCTCGCGCGTCGCTTGAGCGTATTGTGGACCGGTATCCCATTGTCCTCCTTACCATGGCAAAGCGCCTCACGAATATATTGCCCCGGCTGATCCTGCATATTGACTTTGCTCTGGAGTGGTTGCAGGTCAATGCCGGCCAAGTCATCTTCCACAAGAATGAAGAAAGCGAGGCCATCTACATCGTTCTTAATGGCCGTTTGCGCTTGGTTAATGACCGGAACGAGGGGCGGGTTGGCGTCCTGGCTGAGTTCGGCCAGGGCGAGAGTGTTGGCGAGCTTGAGGTGCTCACCGAATCGTCTCGTTCCGGAACCCTGCATGCCATTCGAGACACGGAACTGGTCAAATTTCCCCGGACTTTGTTCAACAGCCTGGCACAGGAGCACCCCAACATCACGATCAAGATCTCAAAGATCATTGCGTCCCGCATGCGAAATCTCATGGAGAATCCCAATGCCGCCCTCAGTCTCATGGACGGCAAGGCGACAAACTCCATCGAAAAGGGCTCCTCCACTGACAATTTACGGACGGTTGCGGTCCTTCCCGTCACCGCGGGTGTTCCAATTGTGGAGTTTGGTGACAAACTTATGAATGCCCTTAGCCAAGTGGGAACGCCCAATGGAGCAACATCGCTCAACCAAGCCGCCATTCTGAACCACCTGGGAAAGCACGCTTTCAACAAGATGGGCAAGCTAAAGCTTTCGCAGTATCTCGCGGATCTGGAAGAAAAATACAGCCTCGTCGTTTATGTTGCAGGTAAGGCAACTTTGCGTTTTATCATTTTGTTTTGCATGTTCTGTTTTCTGGAACTTCCAACTCTGTCTGCATTGAATGATGAGAGAAACTCAGTCCCATAGGCGAGCTTCGGCCGTCGATGATGGCTAACTAAACTCTAATTTTTTCCTGACTCTTTGCATTTTGTCTCACTTTAATCCTTTTTGACTTGCAACTATGGTTTCTGTTCCCATGCTAACTGTGATGGTACCATCATCAGACACCAGTGTCAACTCGCCTTGGACACAGACCTGCATCACACAAGCTGACTGCATTCTTCTCGTTGGTCTCGCAGAAGGCTCGTCGGAGATTGGCGAATACGAGCGGTTCATGCTGGGCATGAAGTCGACGGCAAGGAAGCTGCTGGTGCTGCTCCACGCGGAGCGCTATTCGGCCTCAGGCACGACTCGATCGTGGTTGAAGAATCGCGTGTGGATCAATGGTGGCCATTATCATGTGCAGATGCCGTTCGTTTCGCAAGCGGTGCCCATTCATCAGCCACCCAAACGACTAGGGCCTAGCCTCAAGGAGAGAGTCCAGATCATACAGGCCGAGATTCAAAAGTACACCTCCCGAAAGGTGCGGCGCAGACCCTTCTATTCCCCGGATGCCCCATTCAAGGACGATTTCCATCGTCTGGCACGGCGCCTTTGCGGGAAATCTATTGGCTTGGTTCTTGGCGGCGGTGGTGCTCGCGGTCTCGCGCAGATTGGCATCATTCGTGCGTTGGAGGATGCTGGCATTCCGATTGATATGATTGGCGGCACATCGATGGGCGCGTTTGTCGGTGCCCTCTACGCCCGGCATGCCGACGTGGTACCCATCTTTGGTCTGTCCAAGAAGTTCGCGGGCCGTATGGCGAGTGTTTGGCGCTTTGCGCTGGACTTGACATACCCGTCAGCGTCGTACACGACCGGCCATGAGTTCAACCGCGGCATCTACAAGTCGTTTGGCAAGGCACAGATCGAGGACTTCTGGCTCGAATACTACTGCAACACAACGAACATCAGCAAGAGCCGGGCAGAGTTCCATACAAGCGGCTACGCCTGGCGCTACGTCCGCGCTTCGATGTCTCTAGCGGGCTTGCTGCCGCCGCTGTGTGACGAAGGCAACATGCTGCTGGACGGTGGCTATGTTGACAATCTGACGGTGTCCCACATGAAGAATCTCGGAGCGGACATCATCTTTGCTGTCGACGTGGGCGCACTGGACGACGATACGCCGCAAGCGTTTGGTGATACGTTGTCGGGGTTCTGGGCATTCGTCAACCGGTGGAACCCCCTGTCGGCGACGCCCAACCCGCCGACGTTGGCCGAGATCCAGGCACGCCTCGCGTACGTGTCCAGCGTCGACGCCCTGGAGCGGGCGAAGACACTTCCCGGCTGTCTCTACATGCGGCCCCCGATTGACGACTACGGCACGCTTGAATTTGGAAAGTTTGACGAGATTGTGCAGGTCGGCTACCATTATGGACAGGATTTCCTGCAGAAGTTGCGTGATGATGGCCGTCTCCCGTTGATGGAGGAGACGGAGGAGAAGAAGGCGCTGCGGCGGACGATGGCGCCTCGGAGAGCGAGTATCTGATTTTACACGAGTTTTGGAGACTCTTGGAGCTGTTTGTTTATTGCATCTTGTTTCTAGGCCTCAATTTTGATACTGTGATGGCGTTTTGGGTTTCGGATCGGGAAGCGGACCTTCGACACAACAGCGACAGCCATTTTAATGACAGGCCATGAATGAACATGGAAAAATGGATATTCTTATTTTTCGCTCTTATTTTTCGTACTTTTTAAATGACATTTCTGGGCGTTTTGTTGACTCTCTTGGCTATTTATTTGCGTATTTATTGAGGAATATGTACGAATCTATGTGAGACATTTGTATCTTTCTTTTGCAACCCTGATGTTGATGTTTGTCTAACCTTCTATATTTAGAATTGCTTATTCAAACTTTCGGACGACTTGGTCTTTTCCTCGGCCAGCACTTTCTCGGCGGTCTCGACAAAGATTTTGCTCGCACCGTCGACGTGCTCGGTGTGTGTTGAGAAGTTACCAGTCATTACGCGGATGGCGGCAGTGTTGCCCTCGAGGGTCGTGCCCGTGACCCAAATCTTGCCGCCGCCGTTGACCAGCTCGCAGACCCGCCGCGTGCGGGCCGACGTGACCTCGAGCGGCTCGTCGGGCGTGCGCTTGGCGGCGCGGAACACGGTCAGGGCAAACTGCGGGCCGGTGATGATCTCAAACAGATCCGGGCGCGCCTTGAGGGAATCGGCAAAACGCTCGCCGAGCGAAATGGACCGCCGAATGTAGGCGCGCAGGCCCTCGCCGCCGTAGGTGCGCAGAACAAACCAGGCCTTGAGACTGCGAAAGCGGCGGCCCAGCGGCAGCTGCCAGTCGCGGTAGTCGGTGACGAGGCCGCCGTCGCTGTAGTCGTTCTTGTAGTAGTGGGCGTCGGCACCGAGGGCATCGACGAGCCAGCGGCGGTCGCGCACAAAGGCGCAGGAGCAGTCGAAGTTGGTCAGCAGCCACTTGTGCATGTTCATGTTGAAGCTGTGGAAGCGGCGCAGGACAGCCGTGCCCGTGGGCTCGGAGTTGGGGTCGGCGGGGTCGCGGGGCGCGGGGCACATGGTGGCACGGGTCTCGGGGGCGACAAGGGCCGAGCCGGCGTACGCACCGTCGACGTGCACCCAGATATCGGACGCAGCGGCGTCACGGCCGGCGGCCACCTGGGCCGCGAGGTCGGCATCGAGCACGTCGGCAATGCTGGCAAAGTCGTCCACGGCGCAGGTGTCGGTGGTGCCAAAGGTGGTGCTCAGGAAGAAGGGCTCGAGGCCGGCGGCGCGGACCTTGGCCAGGGTCGCGCGCAGGCCGTCGCCGTTGATGGCATAGCCGTTGGCGGCGGGGGCCGGGATCGACCGGTAGCGCAGGCCCAGGACCTGGGCGGCCTTTTTCGCGGACGAGTGAGCGGTGCCGCCGCCGAGAGCAACGAGGCGGGCGCGGCGAGCGGCGCGCAGATCCTCCTGCTCCTCGTCGGACAGCGTCTCGAAGCCGGCGTGGTCGGCTGCCAGCGCAGCGCGCAGGTACTTGTCGGCGGCTGCAGTCATCATGGTCATGACGGCCTCGGAGGCGGTGCCGTGGATGACGCCGCCGCCGCGCGTGGGACCCGTCGAAAGGTACTCCTCTGGCAGGCCGAGCAGCTGGGCGAGCCAGTCGAGGACGACGGTCTCGAGCTCGGTGATGGCCGGACTGCAGATCCAGTTGAAGGCGGCGGCAGCAAAGGTCGCGGAGTACAGCTCGCCGAGGATGGACGGGTAGCTGGAAGGACAGGGGAAAAAGGCGAAGAAGTTGGGCGACTGCCAGTGGGTGAGGCCCGGCACGATCTTGTCCTCGACGTCCTGGCGGATGACGTCCCATGCCTCGCCCTGCTCGGGGGCGGCATCGGGCAGCAGCTTGCGCAAGTAGCCGGGCTCGACAGTCGAGACGACGGGCCGCCCGCCGAGGCTTGCATAGTACTTGATGACTGGGGATGTTAGTCGGGGTCGGCGCCGAAACTCAATCCATTCCACGTGTGATCTTACTCTCGTCGATGGAGGCCGTCGCAGCCTCGCGGAAGGCGTTGTCATCCATGGTGTGTTGGCGGGGAAATCGAGGGGATGAGGGTAGACCAAGCACGGAGTACAATCGGGGTGGAAGACCTTTCGCAGTTGGCCGTTCATATACATCCGTCGTCGGCCGCCAATGACAAGAAGGCTGTGGTCTGTAGTCTGGCGCTATAGTGTACTGTAGTTTAAAATTCTTTCTTTCCCCGAAATGTTGACAGGTGCCACCCGCCACCGTCGCCTTCCTAATTCGTTATAAGGCGGCCCGCTACCCCAACGTCGCGGGTGTTGTGCGGTGCCTGGGGAAAGAGCGATATAGTATGTTGTACGGCAGGTCCAAACAAGCAACAAAAGGCAGGTGCAGCCGTTCCTTTAGCGGGTGCGCACTTTCCGGGGCTCTGTCAATCAACCGTACCTTCCCCTGTCCCAAGTGTCTCTGTGGTCGTACAATGTCGTCCAACTCCTCCTTTTGCACTCGCTTACCTCTCTGAACTTCTACCACCTCAACTAACGCTCAGAGCCGCCGTCTACAACGGGAGGCAACGCCTCGTTTTCCGGCAGATGTTGGACTGCCGGCTGTCCAGTTTTGTCTCCCGACCGCCGCCGCTGTCTACGGAGTCCACGCCCAACCGCAGTATTGCTTTCAACCGGACGTGCGAATGCTGGGCGGAGCAACTCATCCAGAACTCCATAGTGATCGTCAAGCCTCTCGTGTTGCAGCAGCGCTTAAAATGCTCTGGTAGTCAGAGATGCATTTCGACACGTTCCTGGCCGTTGATATTCGTGGTCAATGGCATAAGCCTTATGTTGCATCCTTCATACTTCATGGAGCGCCTGGGAAGAGCAAAGCGCGGTATGTGACCGGGAAAGGATTACGCTGCCAAATGAGTACGGAACAGCCGCAACTAACAGGCATAGAACAGCGAAAAGCTCATAATACATTATCGACACTGAAACATGGCGACGGTGTTGGCAAAAACCTCAACGACCGTCGTACAGATGTCTTGTGAGGTATCTTCAGCCAGAAGAATCATGCATCTTGGTGATTCCACAGTCGACGGGCTATTCACAGCCCAAGTACTAAGGCGCCCAACACATCGGCGAATACCACACATACGTCCATGTGCTCACACATCGACTATCTCCAGTGCGTCCTCAATCCACTGCCACAACCTCTTATCAGCTACAAAATTGGCGTTCCGCTCCGACATCAGCGTCAACTTTCTTGCCACAGCATACCTCACTGTCACTCTCTCTTCCCGTTTCCTCACTGCTGTCAACATTTGCTGCACGTCACCATTGTCCGCCTTCCCTTCTTCTCGTTTCCTCACAATCTTCTCTCCTTCTTTTATTCGTTTTCCTTCCGTTCCTCTGCCTGCCATCGTTTCCTGTCCCGCCGTTTCTTCTTGTTCTTCTTCATTGTCCGCTTCCTCGTCCTCGCGGAGCTCAGCCATCAACTGTTTGGCGTATTCTTCCTCGCGGTGCTGGCAAAAAAGCCGAGGAATGTCCCGTCGGATGTCGTCCGAGTCTTTGTCATACACGAGTTTGTAGAGGTTTTGGAACAGCGTCAAGTCTTGCGTCGACAATGTTCGCACAAGGGGAGTAAAATGGCGAATTCTCTCTGCTTTCTCCCATTGTTCAGGCTCAAAACTCCGTCCCCGCGCCGTTTGCTGGAAAGCCGTCTTAAAAGCAACAATAAGTGAATCTGGAGGCGGTGCGAACGAGCCATTGAACCCTGGCGTGACGAGCAGCTCGGTGACAGGGCCGACCGATGCAGAACCCCAGTCGATGACACTCGTGATGTTAAACTCGTCGTCCACAAACAAATTACCGAAATGAAGGTCGGGGTGAGAAAGGGCGAAATGGATGCCTGTCGAAGCGAGAGACGGAATCATGTCGCGCAGCAGCTGGCCCGCAATGCAGAAAGAGAGCCTGTTTTCACTGCTCTCTATCTTGTCGCCAAGGGAACAGAAATCATTCCACAGGTCTGTTGCTTCGCGATAGTCGGACCAGTTGCGATACTCGAGCGGGTCAGGAATCGGCGCAAAAAAGCTGTGGGGGCTCATTCGAAGCTGCTTGGCATGCTCTACCATGGCAGAAATCTGAGAGCCAAAGTACTGGCTCTCGTCGTCGAACGGACCTCGCTCCATGACCTCGAGCCGGTCCCTCCACTGCCAGAGCAACGTCGGACTCAGACATTCGCCAACGAAATAGTTGCCATCGCTGTCTTCGAACAGGGATCCAATCTTGTTGAAACGAAGCTCAGAGAGACGACACATAATGGACCCGAGCTGGCTCATAATATTTTCTCGGTTCTCGTCGGTCAGGGGAAGAAGCTTCACTATTTGGGGGTACCCTGGCACGCGGAGGGCATCTTCAGTCCAGTCGTACTCAGACAGCGGACGGCCAGAGGCCTTGCTCATGAGAATGTATGGTACCCCGATGTCATTGTCGGACGAGCCGCTGAAACGCTTGGTCAGCACCCAAGAAACGTGACCGGCTGGACTTGACTTCATTACGAACCTGAACGAATATACGTCTGGGACGGGGATCGAGCTGTGTGTCCGTATGTATCTCAATGTGGCGGCTTCACTAAGCAGTATCTTTGAAGCAGATTCGGCCGAGTAGATTGTGTCTGCGCCGGCGCGCGGTGAGCGAAACACCCATTCGGCCCCATCGTCAAATTGAAGAAACACAACCCAATTTTGGCTTCCCGATTTGGGTCTCCTCGAGACGTCCGCTGTACATGAACACGGCAGGCCTCGAAGTTTTGTCGCGAGAGACAGCAATGCTTCGAGGTTGAAATCGGCGTACGCGAAGATCTTCTCGTGCTTTTGGCGCTTTCTGGGAAGCATGGTGGGAATCATGGTGGACAGAAAAGACGGCGTTTGACGACTTTTCATACGCCCATATTAAATAAGCACAGTACTCACTGCTCGTGTACTGCGTTTTGCTTGATCGTATCTTATTTCTTGATACGAACCACGTGCGGCGTCCACACACGTTTTCATTCATAAGCTCCCGCGTCGCACAAGACGTTGGCAGTCTCGGCTCCAACACCAAAGCAGAAGAAGCGGACAAGGCAACAAAAGGTCTCGGCAGGTAACTCGTTTTGTGGCTCGATGCGGTGGCACACTGACCCCTGTTGGGCGTTCTTCCTAATCCAATCAGGAGCCGCCTGGTCACAAGAAGCGGCCTGGCCCGATCCGCCCAGAACCTCAAATTGCTCAACAAGAAAACAGGAAACACTATGAGCAAGTGTCGTTCGGCGTAGGATTGGCTCGTGTCATCTGAAGCACGGTCGCTCATTGCTTCTATGGGCTTCTATGGAATCGACAAAACTAATACGCTATACACAAAAACAAATGCAATCAGCCACAATGACCGGCCTCTACCGCGCGTCCATCTCGACGCCCTCATCGTCGACCTCTTCCGTGCCGTCGAGGATGCCGTGGTCGCCGCCGCTGTAGCCGTATCCATTGCCGCTGCCCAGTCGGATGCACCCGCCAGTGACGCGGCTCACGCGCTCGGCCACCCATCCTGCCAGCCACACCATTCCCTGCCACAGTCGCTCCTGCTGGTTCTCGGCGCCGTTGCCGTTGCCGTTGCCGTTGTCGGTGCCGTTGATGCCGGCCGTGCGTGTGTTCTCGGCGGCCTCGGCCTTGAACTGGTACTTGAGACAGTCCTTGACGGTGACGAGGCCCACCAGCTTGCCGTGGTGTTCGATGAGGATGACGCGAGGACCAATCTTGCGGAAGAGCTCCATGACGGTCTCGAGGGGCAGGTGCGGGTGGGCCATGACCGGCGTGCGGTCCACGTAGCGGCTGAAATCGACCGCCGTCGACGACGGTGGCGGGTGTGCTGGCGATCCGCCCGGTCTGCTAGTGTCGTCGGTTCGTACGGCCGCCATATCCATATTCGGGACAACGGTCAGTGCCGGTGTCATGGGCGCCGTTAACAAGGCATCATCGCCCACGGCGGCGGCGGCGGCAGCAGCGGTAGCGGTGCCAGGTCCGCCGTGGGTGGAGGCCGCAGCAGCAGCCAGCTCAGACGGCGGCAGGAACACGCAGCGCGTGTCTGGATTCACTGGCCCTGCATTGCGCCGGAACCGGTCGACAGCATAACGCAGCTCTGTGCGGCCCACGTAGCCGACGAGCACACGCGACTCGGCATCATCGACAACCGGGTAGCCCTGGTACTGGCCCTGGGCCAGAAGGCGGTCGACGGCGGCCAGCGTCATGCCGGCCGCGGGCAAGGCCGTGACGTCGCTGTTCATGGCCTGCGACACCGGCACGCCAAAGTTGTGCTCCTCCTTGTTGTCCAAAAAGGGAAACCCGTTGAACCAGATCATGCGGTCGGCAATGCCGCCCCCTCCAAAGAGGTCGCTGACCGCCTTGGTGACGCCCACCACGATCATGGTCGGCAGAATGTAGGTCAGGGCGCCGGTCAGCTCAAACATGATGACGACGACACAGACCGTCAAGTGCATGATGCCGGAGAGCGCGGCGGCGGCGCCCAGAAAGGCATAGGTGCCGGGCGTGATGCACGGCACGTCGGGCTCGCAAGCCGCAAAAAACACGCTCGACGGGTACGCATCGTGCAACGCCTGCACAACGATGCCGACGGTGCGGCCAAAGGACGCGCCAATGGCCATGGACGGCACGAAGATGCCCGCGGGCACCTTGCAGCCGTACGAGATGATGACCAGGAACGTGCGCAGCAGCGTGGCCACAACGAGCGACGCAATGTTCCACGTCCGTTTGGACGCCTCGCACAGCCCCTGGTAGTCTTCGGCGCCCTCGCACTCGAGAAACAGAATTTCCATGCTCTCCGTCATGTCGATGCGCAGGAAGACGTTGGGGTAGCACACGAGGGCCGTGGCGGCCGCCAGCAGCGTGGCCTCGAGCACGGCGTGCTGGCCCAGGTACTTTTTGCGGAACGCCTGCACGCGCAGGTTCCATTTGATGACAAAGGCGCCGTACAAGCCGCCAAAGATGCCGATGATGACGTAAAAGACCGTCTCGAAAAAGTGCCACGACCGGTCGTAGTGCACCTGAAACATGACCAGCTGGCCCGTGCGGAAGGGGTTCATCGCCGACAGCACGGCCGTGGCCACCAGCGCGCAAAAGTAGCTGCGCCACAGCGTCTTGAGGGGGAAGTAGCTCGACATCTCCTCGAGCGAAAAGAGCACGCCGCCAATGGGGCTGCCAAAGGCCACGGCGACGCCGGCCGCGGCGCAGGCACACAGGATCTCGCGCGTCTTGGACGCGTTGCGGCGGTACTTGGCAAACAGGCGCGAGATGACGTTGCCCGTGCACACGGCGTAGTGCACGCTGGGGCCCTCCTTGCCGACCGACAGGCCCGACGCGATGGCGAGCGGCAGCGCGACGGACTTGATGGCCAGCGTCCAGAACCCCAAGAAGCCCTTCATGGTGAAGCCGGCAATGATGCACTTGATCTCGGAAATGCCGGATCCGGCCGCGTACGGCGCATAGGAGCGGACGAGGATGGCCGACGTGAAGGCCAAGGCCGTCGCAAAGGCCAGGTACAAAAGGTAGTTGGCCGGCCCAAAGCCCGTCCAGCGGTGCCAGTCGGCGCAGCCGTTGTCCTCGCCCCAGCAGCAAAAGTTCTCGTTGAGGTAAAAGGCCGTCGTGCAGTAGCCCAGCTTGATGTCGGACAGCCACTCGGTGATGATGTTGAGGAACGCCGCGTTGAGGCCAATGGCCACGCCGATCAGCGTCACCACGATCCAGCCCTGCGCCGCGTCGTACGACTCGTACAGCCTGTGCCGCCAGCCGACCTGGCCGTGGTCGTAGAGGTCGGCATTGTGCCGTCGCCGGGCCTTGCGCCGCAGATGCTCGCGGGCCGCGTCCTGCACCCAGTCTGGTGTCGTTGGTCAGTCCGTGTCCAAAGGCGCCCCTCGAGCAGCCGAAACCAATCACGCACCTATTGTTGTAAAGTCCTCGTAGCGCTTGATCTCGGCAATCTCCTCCTCGATCCGCTGGTGCTCGGCTGCCGCCGCCGGAGCGCCCTCGTCGTTCTCGCCGTTCTCGCCGTTCTCGCCGCGCTCGGCCGTCGAGACGGCAAACGACAGCCGCGAGCCGACCGACGGCCGCCGCACGCCCACCGCCGTCGACGACAGGAACGACGACGACCGGGACGCCATTGTGTGTGTGCTGCGTGTCGCGCCCTCCGTCGACCAACACAGCCGCGCCGTTCAAGGATCGGTGTTTGGATTCTTCGCGTGGATGGTTCGTCAGCCGCTTCCGTTACCGCCGCTGTCTCGTCATCTGTTTTGGGTCGTCCAGATTCGTCAATCTGTTGCGATTTGTCGTCTCCGGCGTCCCCGTCGTCTCGTCGTTGCCGGCTTTGGCTAGATACGGGGTCGTTGGCATGCGATTGCGTCGTGTTCTTGGGCGTTTTCTTGGCCTTGGCCGATGTGCGCTAGAGGAAGCTTGATGCTGCACGGAGCAGCTGCCTAATCGACTGTATTACAGCGCAATTACTTGGCGCCTCTTTCATAGTCGCCAGGGCACTTGCGCGTCTCCACAATTGGAGGACAAGTCTCACGTGATAAAATGTGCTCAGCCACGTGCACGTGTCTCAGTGTCCCATTTACACAAAGTGTTTCCCAACAAGGAAGTCGCCCAAGACGAGCTCTCACATTCACTTACAATCACAGGCATAGATGACCACAATATTGCGAACAACACGATACAGTCTGCAGCCAAGCGAGATGCAAATCAGTAGGAGCATGTCTTGCGGCATCTCCAGGGTCCAATTCAACTAAGGGCAGACTACGTAATACAACATGCCAGCCCAAAGGGCGACAGTGGGGTATTCAAGCGCGCAATTGGGAAAGAAAATCAAAAGAAATCCAAAAGAAATCCAAAAGAAATCCAAAAGAAATCCAAAAGACAAAGTCATGCAACGATATGCAAGAAACCCAGGAAATAGTCCGTTTATTCAGAGGCAAATGAGGCAATATGTTGTCGCAAAGCGAACCCGGCGGCAGCTGCCACTATGTTCGAACGGCCGCTGGCGCTCAGAAGTTGTTCCACAGCCGCTTGTACCAGGGCGCGGGACCCAGGTCGCCGCGGACCACCTCCTTGTCCTCCTCGAGATCGCGACGGCGGCCCGTAACCAGGTCCATCTCGTGGGCGCGCCAGAAGCGGGTCTTGAAGACGAACTTGTAGCCAAAGTAGATGATGGCAAAAAGCGGCAGCAGGATGTAGGCGTCGACAAAGTTGCCGGCGTCAAAGGGCGACAGGTACGACCAGCCCTGGACCAGGGCCAAGAAGACGTTGGCAAATAGGCCAAAGTAGGCGTTGTACGGGTACCCCAGCGACCGGAAAGGCAGCTCGTCGGGGGTGTGGCCCTGGGCCTTCCAGGCGGAGCGGAAGCGGATGTGCGTAAACGAAATGCCGCCCCAGACCAGGAACGTCGAGACGCCCGACAGGTTGACAATGTAGCCGTAGGCCTTACTGGCGCCGGTCGAGACGTTCATCATGCTCAGCGCGCCGCAGGCATTGGTCAGCACAATGGCCGGGATGGGCACGCCGCGCTTGCTGGTCCAGCCCAAAAACTTGGGCGCCTTGCGGTCCTGGGCCATGAAGAGCAGCGTGCGGCTGCCAATATAGATGCTCGAGTTGACGGCGCTCAGGCAGGTCACGAAGATGAAGGCGTTGATGAGGTTGACGCCCGACTGCCAGCCGGCGTTCTGGATGGCAATGGTCATGGGCGACTTGAGGGCCTTGGTGGCGCCGTTGACGAGGCCGTCGGCGTTGGCGGGGCAGGTCAGGCCGAAGAAGATGGCGGAGCCCATGTAGATGAAGATGATGCGCCAAAACACCTGGCGGATGGCCCGCGGCACGGCGACGCCCGGGTTCTTGGTCTCGGTGGCGGCGACGGCGATGGACTCGACGCCGGCGTAAAAGGTCGAGCAGAACACAAAGACGGTGGCCACGCCACGGAAGCCGTGCGGGAACGCGCCGGGGTCGTGCCAGTACGCGCCGCCAATGGCGGGCGTGCCCTTGATGCCGCCGCTGACGTAGACGATGGAGAACAAAAAGTAGGCGACCAGGCCGCCGAGCTTGATCAGCGCCAGCCAGAACTCGGCCTCGCCAAAGGCCTCGACGCCGAGCAGCTGGAAGGCCATGAAGGCGGACCAGAACAGCAGGAAATACCCCCAGATGGGCACCTTGTCGCTCCACAGGGAAAAGATGCTCGTGATGGTGTTGTACTCGTTGGACAGCACCGCAAACCAGATGATAAAGTAGTTCCAGCCCACGGCGACGCCAAAGGCCTTGTCGACAAAGCGGTCGGCCAGCGTGACAAAGGCACCGCCCGAGGGGTACAGCGTCGTCAGCTCGCCCAGGCTCTGCATGATGCTGAATGCGATGATGCCAATCACGCCGAAACCGATAATCAGGGCAGCCGGGCCGCCCGAGGACAGGGCTCCGCCGGAGCCAACGAGCAGGCCGGGGCCGATGATGCCGGCGAGGGCCATCATGCTCAGGTGGCGCGTCTTGAGGCCGCGCTTGACACCCGAGTGCGGGTCGATGGCCTGGAAGTCGCCCACGGAGCCTTCGTCGGCGGACGTCTTGTCCTGGGGGCTGCCATTTCCACCATATGCGTCGGCGTGCTTCGTCTTGTCGGGGGCGCGGTAGTCGATGCCGATGTCATCGTTGAGCAGCCCGCTGCCGTAGCCACTGGGCGTGGGTTCGTGTGACGCCATGATGAGGCCAGGCGCGTAGACGGACGGAGAAAGAGAGAGAGGGAGAGACGAGAAACAAAAATAAAAAGGAGAAGTAGGGTGAAGAAGGAAGGAGCGAATTCGGATAAATGAATATGTCTAGTGCGGTATCACCAAACAAATGTGCGCAAAAGTCGTCCAAGCACAGGTCAGCAGCACATTCCAGTTCCGGTCTCTGTTGTGTCTCTGGTCGTCCGGATCGGCAGTCCTGTTATAGCACACAGCGCAGGTCTTTACTTCAACGGACTTGACTGCGATCTTTGCCCTGCGCCAGCGCACAATCGACAAGGTTCAAGATACGAGCTCTGGGCTGTCGCAAAGGCGTGCTTCTTCTGGGGTACGCCAGATCCGCACGTCAAAAAAGCAGCAGACGGCGTGCTCGAACAGCGTGCACGCCTATCAGCAAGACGCCGTGGGCGAAAAGAGTGCGCGGATTGCTGGTATTGGGTGTGTTTGGGCGAGATTCGGCGGTATTCTCTTATTCTTTTATCAGAGCAGAGGGACGGAAAGAACGAGGCGGCGCCTTCCACAGCGTTATCTCCTTGCTAAAATCCGTTCTGTGAGGAGACCGGCGGCGCCAAGATCGGACGCGATACCAAGGCGATCAAGCAGGAGGGAGAGGAAGGGAAAGGGAGGTGAAGAAACGTGGAAGAGGCGATGATCGGGGACCGATTGGCAGGGGGAAGAGAAAATGAAAAGGAAGAGATGGCAGAGTGCCCGCAGAAAATTAATACAAAAAAAAATCAGAAAATAAGGGCCAAAAGAACAGACGAACGGTCGAGTGCAGATCGAAACAAGGAAACAAAACGCCAGTCCGGTGCCTTGGGAGCGACCCTCTTTTACATGTGCGCCAGGAGAACGACAGTAGTCGGATGGCGTTGGGTTTCTGTTCCTCTTTCAACTTTTGGTGCGTTTTTCTGCTACGTTTCTAGTGTGTCATTTTGAAGGGTTCGTGCCTTCCTGGTTCGAGAGCATTAGTCCTCCTGTTCATCGTTCTTGCCTTCCAGCACGCGAGTGATGCAGAGACTTCTTGCCATTCGGCGTACCACTGCTCCGTAACCAACGGCAGCTTCTCGGTCGCAAGGGCTCCACTTCGCACGAGAACTCCCCACGCTCGCCCCCCGTCGTTCTTACCCTTCCCGTCAACTGCTTGAAGCCACACCACATGATGCACTCGTGGCGCCTGGTCGCTCCTTCCAAACCCGCGCTCGCCACGTTCTGGCCGAGGCCACCAGACGTCTGTAGCTGAGCGATAATAACAACAAAATAGGAAAATATTGATTTGTCGAATGCCAGAAGAACGCAATAAGCATATCCCTCGGGTGGTCTGGACATGCCTAGCGGCCAGCCCGTCAAGGCTCGTCATCGGCGGCTGCTGCCATTGGCTAGGGCCGCTAGGGCACCTTTTGGCAGGCGACCAAAGGGTATTACGTAAATGCGCGATGACGCCTTATTGGACCCCCATGCGCTGGGGCCATTCACTTTAGTGGCAGCCGTGCGAGACCTGTCAGGAAGGCGCGTTCCAGGAAGTCGCAGGTCGGGTGGTTCTTTCCCGCTCTTAAGCTTTCGCTGGCTCACTAGCTCTTACCCTGTTTGGCAACGCACCACGAACTGCGTTATTGGTGCCATTGGCGGCAAGTTGGAGCTTCTTCTTTTTGTTCTTTTTGTTCTTTTGTTTTTGTTTTTTGGGCGTCTTTTGCGAACCTCCAAAACCCCCCTTCGTCTCATTTCCCTTTTCTGTTGGGGTTTCTTTGTTTGCCTTTCGCCTACCTTCAAGCACGATCTTGGCAGTGGAATGACCCTCCAATAGAAGAGCAGCCAAAAACGCAGGGAATGCCCCTGTTGGAGCAGTCGAGAGATTGCTTCATACTAGGGTCGATGGAGCAATAACGCCACAGCGGCAGTCGTGCTGGCACGGCGCCGACGAGGCCAGGTCGGGGCGTGTGATGCACAAAGAAAGAGGTTAGGCACAGCGCACGCCAAAATGAAGACGATCGGGGATGGTTGTCATTTCGTTGCCTGACAAGGAGGATGTCAGAACTCAATCAGCTAACTCGATTCGTTTCCGACAAAACGGACAAGATGAGAAAAACTAGAAGCAAATCAGACACAAGGAAACGCCATCCATTGGCACCAAGCCTGGACATCCCTCGAAATCGGGCCAAGGTCGCATCACGACATCGCGGCCTGGCCGAGTACGTCCTCGTGACACTTCGCTCGGCCTGCTGGCTGCTTTGACATGTCGTCTTGTCGTCTATTTGGCATCGACAGCCACCAACGGCGCGTGTCGCTTGAGGAACGCTGCCACGCACGCCACAAACCGCTGCAGCTCGCTCGCAGGTGTGCCCAGGCACAGCGCAATGCTTCCGCGCCGCGTCGTCCAAAACCCGTCCTCCATCATCTCGAACCAGAAGAGCTCCTTGAGCGTCCAGTCCTCGGCCGTCTCGCGCTCAATCGTCTGCAGGCCGGCCGCCGTAAAGTGCGACCCCAGCACCGTGCCCACGCCCGTGAAGCACATCTTGGTGCCAGCCGTCACGGCCGCGAGCTGGCGCAGCAGGTCCGTGCCCTGGGCATTGAAGGCCGTGCACACCTCGGGCGTGTAGACCTCGGTCAGGCCGGCGTGGCCGACGTACATGGCGAGCGTGTTGTTGTTGAACGTGCCGTGGTGCGTGAGGAACGGTGCGGCTGGCGAACCTGCGGCTGTCGTTTTCGTTGGCAGCGGCTGCGGCCGCGGGTCGTACGACGCCATAATATCGCTGCGGCCGCCAAACGCACCGAAGGCCAGGCCACCGCCCAGGTACTTGCCAAACGTCTTCATGTCGGGGTGCAGGTCGTGGAGCTCTGCAATTCCGCCGGGTGCCACGCGCGATGTCATGACTTCGTCGAGAATGAAGACAACACCAGCCTAAAGCAGGTCAGCAAGTTGAAACAAGACACAAGCACCACGAGCACCACGAGCACCACGAGCACCGCAAGCACAAAGTCTGTTGCCGGTTACGCACCTCCTTGGCGGCCGCCTCAATACCCGTGAGAAACGCCCGCGTACCTGGCACCGCACCGGGTCCGCCCTGCATGCCCTCCACCAGCACCGCTGCCACGCCCTCTTGCGCAATCGCCGCCTGCGCACTGGCCACGTCGTTGTAGCGCGCCACCACAAAGTCGTCCCGGTCCACATTGTTGGCCGCCGGCTGGCCGCCGCCGAACATGAACACGCCTCCGTGGTACCCACCCGCAAACACCACCACCTTGCGCTTGCCTGTGAACGCCCGCGCCCCGGCCAGCGCGTGCAGGTTGGCCTCCGTCCCGCAGTTGGTGAACCGCACGCGCTCCAGGCCGAACCTGGCGCACATGGCCGACGCGTGAACGTGCTCCTGCGCAATGGTGGCACCTAGATTGAGGCCCACGGTGGTCACCGTTTTCAGCAGCGACGCCACAATAACCGGGTGCGAGTGGCCGTAAACGGCCGCCGTCAGCTCGCCGACAAAGTCCGTGTACGTCGCGCCGTCCTCGGACGTTAGTTGGTAGTCCTGGCCGGACTGCATGCACAGCGGGAACGGCGCCGTGTGCAGCTGGGTGCGTGTGTTGCCGCCGGGCATGCTCTCGGTGGCGAGCTGGTGCAGTGCGTAGGAGCGGGGGTTGGCCGCCGTGTAGCGGCGAATCGCAGCATCGAGTGCGTCTTGGGCCGTGAGTGGCGTCGTCTTTTCCTCGACTGTTACCGTCGCCGTGGCGACGTCTGTCTTGAGGCGGCCTGCCGTCACAGACGGGATGACGGCAGCTGTCTCGAGTACTGCGCCGGGTGCCATATCGGTGATGTGGTGGGTGGGTTGGTGTGGTCTGAACGGCAAAATCGTTGATGCGACTCTCAACGCAAAGAATAGGTACGTCCAGATGATTTCCCGGTGTTCTTTATGATGGCAATCGTCCTTGAGGATGCTGCCCCTCTTGTTATCTCAACGAGGGAAGCTTAAGATATATGGGAATCCATGTCCCGTATTATATTTTCGACAAAGGGACCAGATCAGTCAGTCAGTTGGGCTTTGTCTACCGATAGAGACATGGCAGTTGCTGTAACACCGTTCTCCAGTCTCATGCGCCTGTCGGCCGTCTTCTGTCGGTCGTTTTATCGGGACCTTCCATGGTGGTGTCGTCGTTCCGTACTCTCGCGAGTCCTTGGCCGCTACCGAAGGGCCGCCGTTCGCCTCTGGAGCACACACAGCTCGTGGGTACATTGTCGTTGGTGACTCCTTCGGTATCTCGTTATCCCTTGGTCGCTGCTGATAACGGAACCACGAAAACGGCGAATATCCGGGCGGTTGCATGTGTCTTGATAGAAAACGACGCGAGGCTGAGAGATAACAAACTGGACAAAAGGAACAGTGTGAGAGCAGGATAGAAGGAGAGGGAGGAATAGCGGGTGTCAAAGGCGAGGGAGAAGAAAAGAGGACGAAGGGGTGAATTCGCCGTCTTCGCCTAGCTTATCGTCTGTGTGTCGTTGAACGCCCTTTCTCGCTGGCTCCGTGTAAGTGAATAAAAGCGTAGTGGTAAGACGCCGTCTTGGCGGACGGCGTCCGATGGGACCTCTTTGGCCCTCTTTTTCACTGGTTCGTGCGTTCTCTATGATAACAACCATCGTATAAGTTCATGACGCCTATTGGCTGCCGTCATGTTTGGAATTCATTTGCCATATTATTGTGATACCATACCTTATTTTGTGCATTTCTTCTCTCTTCTCGTTGTACAACTGTGACACCGGAATTCTTCCGGTGGACAGTCATTTCGGGGGTTCAAACGCAAAGAGCGGACCGCTAAGCGGCCCGAGAATCGGCTCGTTTGACAGAGAGCCGTAGAGGTAAGGGATTCTAAGGGCATTAACTTCACATCGCAATCGCTAACAGCAGTTCACTCAAGATTCAAAAACGGAAATTCGCAAATTATCCACAGGATACAATTCTGAAACCTTTGATATCAATAAAAATACATCGCGTTACATCACGCATCACACACATCAAATGCAATCGTGCACATTACTAATGTAGGCCTCTGTAAAACCTCCATCGTGCCTTCGCCCTTCCCCAACCCCACCTCCAACTTACTGAAACATGCTTTGGTTGAAACCGACACCGTCCGGTGCGTCGGCACTGTTGCCGCCCGTGGCCGACAAAGATCCCAGGATGGGCTGCTCGGAGCTCAAAAAGCCCATGTCCATCCAGGTAGTCGAGTCCAGCAGCCCGCCGTCGACCGTCTTCCACCAGTCGGCCAGCAACGAGTCCTGGTCGGGTTCGATGACGCGGTCGAGGGCACGCAGTGATGATGAGGTTGTGGAGCCGTGCTGTTGCGGGTGCAGTGGCTGTTGCTGCTGTGGTTGCTGCTGCTGCAAGAGCTGTTGTAGTTGTACTTGCTGCTGCTGTGCCTGTTGTTGCTGTTGTTGTTGCTGTTGTTGTTGTGTCTGATGCTGTAAAAGTGGTTGCGGAGTCGTACCTTCGCCGCCATCTGCCTCGCCACCGTCCTCGTCGTCCTCGTCGTCCGAGTCGGCGGCTATGCTGCGGTCGTCGGTGTTGTTGACGCTGCTGGCGCCAGCAGCCGAGCCGGAAACGACCGCGCCATACCGCTCTGCATTGTTGCGCACAACCTTGTCGAGCTGGGCCACGAAAAATGCCGACAGGCTCGCGTACAGGTGTGCAGCCGACGTCGTGGGCAGGCGCGCAGCGATGCGGTCCAGGTGACCCGGGATCGCGCGCACTTTCGACGCAGCCTGGTCGACTTTCACGAGCGAGAGTCCGCCGCGCTGGATGGCATATAGAATCTCGGTGGCAGCGTGGCAAACCATGATGAATTGGTTGTTGTGGAACCCGACCATGAGCTCGAGCAGCACAGGGTCGTGCAGCATGGTGTCAAGCAGGCGGCTGGCAATGTCGACGTTCATGGCCGACAGGTGCAGCAGCTCCGGGGACGTGCCGGTCAGGTCAATGGAGCTCATGTCGCGCAGGGCCTGGGCATTGAGCACCATGATGCTGTGGTCCATGTAAAAGGCGAGAACCGACAAATAAGGGCAGTGGGGCGAGGGGGCGCAGCGCGCGTTGCGGGTCTGCTCGAGGACACGGTACGTCTGAGCATGCCACTGCTCGACGGCAGCCAGGGTGTTGGCAACGCGTTTCCGCTGCTCCATGGCAGCCAGAAAGAGGCCGCGCATCTCAATGATGCCGCTCACAATGCGGTCGACGGGCCCTGTCATGGGCTTGCGCCACCACTCGGACGCGTATGCAGGCATCTCTTTCCAGGCCACGCCCATGGAGCGGCCTGTGATGATTCCAAAGCTCTTGTCGGAAATAAACGTGTAGAGCCAGGTGCGCTCAAAGTTGCGAAACAGGCGCTCACGAAACTCGGGTGTGGCGCCACCGGGGATCTGGGCCACCTCGTTGTTGACCTGCTCGGCAATGGTGGCCGGGCGGTGGATGCCGAGCTCGCGGCCGAGCTGGACGGCGTGGCTGAGGCGTAGCCAGTACGGGTCGTCGGACTGGCGCTGGCTGACGGGGGCCCAGTACTGCATAACGATGATGGCCTGGATGGTCTCGAGCGACTTGACGCAGACGGCAATGGCCCACTTCATGTTGCCCTCGGCGAGCGACAGCAAAGCTGGGTAGACGACGCGGTCGCGCGGACGATCCGAGACGGCACAGCCGAGCGCACAGAGCGCGGAGAAGAGAACAAAGGAGGTGGCCCGGACGTACTCGGGCGTGTGCAGGATGGGGTCCAGCAGGCCGACAAGCGGGCTGCGGTATTTGAAAAAGCTGCACAGCGGGTTAGTAAAAATCCGAGTATCAGACTAACGAGAAATCTGCCGAGAAAAACAAACTCAACCTACAGTTTAAAGTACCACACGACATCGTCCTGGTCGATGATGCGCGCAGCGACTGGGTCACAGGTAGTGGTCTCGAGTTTCAGAGGGCTATCAATGGGCTGCGTGGCCAACACCTGCCAGTCCCGCTGGTGCGTCGTCTGCGTTGCGAAGTAGCGTGAGAGGCGCTCGTCGATGATGTTTTTGCGAGCCTTGTTGCCCAGGAACGACTGCGCCATGGGCGAGTTGGGGCTTAGATGGTACGGGGCCGTGTCAGCAGTGATCGCGGCGGCCATGATGTGCAGGGGCGAGACAAGCGAGGCCAGGAACTCGGGCTCGGCCATGGCGACGGCGTTGGCGGCGTTGACGGTGTTGGAGCCGGTGGTCGTCGTCGTGGCGATGCTGCCGTCACCGGCAGTCGTCGAGGGCCGCGTGCCCAGTGGAGGCGATGCGAGAGACGCCAGAGAAGACGGCGATAAAGACGAGGAGCCAGCCCCCGCCACGGCGGACGAATCGTGGTGGGACTGGGACTGGGACTGGGACTGTGTGTGGCGGTTGGCACCAGCAAAGTTGAGCAGGGCGGCGACGACCTGGTCGCGTTCGGCCGTCTCGCCGATGCGGGACAAAAGACGATCGACAGTGGCCGAGTTTGTGTTGTGAAGGCTGGGGAGGAGAGGGGTTAGTCAATGCGGACAAGGACAAGACGCCACAAGGAAAAGGGAGACCATGGACCTACAACGAGTTGCCGTGCTTGCGGCCACGATTGGAGCCCGACGGGTATCGACACGGCCGGTGGCGCAGGGTGCAGCGTGAGCAGGGCATCTTCCGATCGCACTTTTGGCGCAATGCTCGGCAGTTGAAGCAGGCCGTTACCGGCTTGGCCGTGCCCGCACCGGCCACAGTCCCGGTCGCTGCTGTACCCCCAGAGGGTCCAGCTGCACCGGTAGCCTCTGCATCGTCACCGGCGTCGTTCCGGGGCGGCATCTCATCGGCGTTGTCGTGGCCACCGTCGTCGACCGTCTCGGCACGGGATTCACGGCGACCATCGCGGGGACGGCTGTCGACCGATGGCCGTGGCAGCAGTGCCTGGTGGCTCTCGTGTGGTCCTGGCCTTAGCTGAGGCGTAGTCGGCGGCGGTGGCTGCCGTGCATCGTGGATGGTTTGCTGCTGTGACGACGGTGTTTGTAGTTGTTGTTGTTGTTGTTGTTGTTGTTGTTGTTGTGGTTGAGACGATGTTTGCAGTATGTTCGTCTGTGGCAGGGGCTTGCCGCGCACCCGCGAGTACACGGGGTTGCTGCTTCCGTTATTGCCGTTGTTGTTGGTGCTGGTCATGCTGCAGGTGCGACACACCCAGGGAAGGCGCGCACCCGTCAGCCCGTCAAAGGCGGGAAGGAGCAGAGGAGGTTGGCCCGGGCTCGGCCCAGTACTGGTCACGGCCGTTCTCCCCCGCCCTATGCTAAGGCAAGGATGGACCGCGCGGCTGGGGAGGGTCAGGCCGCTTGGGCCAGGCCAGAACACTTGTTGTGTCCTTCTTTGCCACAGGGAATACGATGGCAGTGTGCGCGCTGAACGGTCGGATTCGGCAGTGGAATGGAAAACGCCGTCTTGGATTTGCGCCGTTCAGCGAGACGCGATGGGAAAGAGCGTACGACAGAAAACGGTGCCAAGGCCCGGGAAAGAACGAAGGACGGCGAGGGGAGGCTGTGGTTAATGATCCGCAAATTGCGCGAAAGAAGGAGGAGCAGGTGGCTTGCTAATATCGTTTGGTCGCAACCAGCATGGGCGTTCTTTCTGAGTGTGGTGGCACGGTGGTGCTTTGCGTGGGATGGGGGGAAAGAACGACCAGGACCTCTTTGGTCGCTCCTGCTTAAGAACGGCGTTTATTCCAACACCGACAACGAGTAGCTATCTTTGCGCTCGAGACCCACTTTAATTGACCAGCTTCTTCCGAGGACTAGGCCGACAAAAGTACGACTAAGTGCACAGTCAGACTTCAAATTTGTGAGGCAGCGACAACGGCTGCACTGGGAAAGTACAGTGTAAATAGCCTGTACGAGCCGCCACCAAACCGGTCTCCAGCAAACGTCTGATAATTCATAAAATCCTCTGAAGTGCCAAGGATAGTACTCGAATTGAAAATATGACTATAGTCTTGTCCTTCACGTGCCGTTGGCCTGCTTTTAACGTCATAGTCGCCCAAGCTCTTACTGTTTTCGAGGAGACTACGACATGGACTTCAGGGACTTCTGGTAGACGGCGTCCAATAGATGGATGCATCGAATGTGTAAGTGAACAAACTTGGGCACTTGATGTAAGTTGACGTTTTCCATCATGACGTTTCATGAAGAACATAAAGTCGCCGTCTTTCACAAGCAGGGCCTAAACACGCCATGAGAGTGTCAGACGAAACACAAGAAAGGGATGTCCGTCGTCTCGGATCATGTTTGGATTTTATTGTCTATATCGCCGTCTCCTGGCCCCGGGTTCTACTTCGGAGCGCCCGGCTGTCGGCGGCTGCTAGGCGGCTTGGTGACACATATTGGCCATTTTCTTGTCGATGCAGGCTTGGCTCAAATTTGCTGTGCGTTAACAACGGGAACGACGTGCCATTTTTGCTCTGCCATATGTAAGACGGCGACGAGCTCGTGCTCCGCAGGAATCGGAGCCCGTCATCGAGTTTCATCAGTCATGATTATTGTCGACATGTCATCCAAAATATGTGGAAATACTTCACGAGGATAATTATTACCACATCGTAACTCATTAATTTTTTTTTCAAACTGTGTGAACGGCGTATAGCTACCAGCAAGGGGCATACAATGGATATTGCCAGAAAAGACAATTATCTGGATGCTATATGAATGAAGCCTGTAGTTCTTTATGTTTTGCTATATCACTTCCATGGACAGGATTCCAGAATACGCCTTATTTTAATTACCTCCCGCCAATACATATCGACAACGAGGCCACTTGAACTCTTATCTTGTCCAATAATTCTTTGTTTGATCGTTATGGCCGTTCCGGAAGCACCTACCCAACCACATCCAGATGATTTCCCTAATGCAGGTTCAGATTCGGAGCAGAACAGCCACAAGACAGTCCAGGGAGCCGATGGGGGATACGCTTGGGTCATTGTTGGGGCCATCCTAGCTTCGTATTCAGTATCATGGGGTGAGTGGCCACAGTTATTCGACTTTATGCTGCTAACTGCTAACCACGAGACAGGAATTAATACAACCTTTGGGGTCTACGTATCATTCCTAATTGAGCATGACTACATCCCGGGAGGGACCCCGCTACGCTATGGCTTCGTCGGCGGACTTTCGATTGCTGGTGCCCTGCTCTCGGCGCCTCTGATGCATTTTCTGATCAACAAATTCGGCTTCCGCGTGCCCTTTGTCCTTGGTATGTCTGCTATCGGCCAATACGCCAGACCGCTGAACGGAGCCGAGTACTCATGTTCCACACTAGGAATTGTATGCGTCGTTCTTGGCCAATGCCTTGCTGGCCTTTGCACATCATTTGGTGCCTATCTCGTTTGCCAAGGCCTTGTCTTCAGCATTGGTACGTTTGCCGCCATACAATGTTCCTGTAGACTACAGTGTTTTGTTTTCCCCCCGCATACTTCTAACACGTTTAGGCCTCGGTGCAGTGCGTGCCTCCGAATAATCAGTCATCCCCAGACCATGCACTCACTAACAGAATAGATCCTTCTCCCTTCGCAAATCATTCTCGTCCAGTGGTTTGACCGACGACTCGGCCTGGCACAGGGCCTTGCCAATGCTGGCTCCGGCTTGGGCGGGCTGGTCCTGTCCAACACGACGAGGCTCCTCATCGAAACACTGTCCTTGAAAAAGGCCCTCATTGTGAATGGCGCCATTTCAGCCGCCGTTCTCATCCCTTGCCTCTGTCTCCTCCGGCGCGGGCCGATGGACACCAGCCGCCGATTGGAGCTTCCACAGCTCCGTTGGCTGTACCACCCAGGCTACATCTGGGTCTGGACATGGGGGTTCTCAGCACGTACGCGTCCCTCCCCCTCTTTATGTGCCAGTGGAACCGTCATCGCAGCCACCGCTAACACGTCTAGTCATGAGTTACTGCATCGCCATGTATACCATCGCGTCCTACGCCAGTGGCGGCCTCGGTCTCTCACAGACCCAGGCTGCTGCTCTGCAGTCGTTGTTAGCCGTCGGGTTTCTCGTCGGGAGACCTTTGACAGGCCTCCTCCTTGACGTTGGCGGCCGCATCAATGTGGCTATTCTTCTCAACATAGCAGCTGGTGTGTCCTGTTGGGCCCTGTGGCTGCCCGCACGCTCCTTTGCGCTCATGGCGGTCTTTGCTCTCGTCCAAGGCTGCACGGGTGGTGCCGTCTGGGTGGCTGCCGCGCCCGTCACGGTCGAAATCGTGGGCACAGGCCGGTCGGGTTCGGCATTGGCCATGTTCTGGCTGGTCGTGGCTCCGTCCGCGGCCTTTTCGAGCCCGTCTGCCATTGGACTGCTGACCTATGCGCGAACGCATCTGCACAAGGACGAGGCGGAAGCGTATGCCATCTCCATTGGATTCTGTGGTGCACTCTTCGTGCTGTCCAGCATGTGCCTCTGTGGAGCTAAGCTTTATCAGAGAAGAGCATCGAACGTTGTGGGCGAGAAAGCTGAAGTGACTTGAAAAGAGTATAGAGTACTTACATTGGCACGAAAAGCGTGTTTTCTTATTCTTTCTTCTTTTTTAAACACTCTAAACGAAAGCATAAAACCAGGTTTAATTGCAAATAGAGAAATAGACTTTAATAAATTTAGAGAGAGTCATTGGTAAAGCACTACGCAGCCTAGAAGTATCCTAAAATACGGTAGAATCAATAAAATATAAATCCTGGGATAGCTTGGAAGATGGTCAACGAAAAAATGTTGTAAGTTGACGTTGAAAGTTGATGTTGCGTCCTGTAGTATGGCCCCACACAATTGTCGTGTGCAGCCTGTGATTGGTCCACTGTCTCCAGGCGTGGTAGGGAACTCCAACCTGGGCCCACTAAAAATATCAGACTGGTCAACTGCATCGTTCTTTCCTCGCCAACGACTCGATACGTCTGGCAACTTCCCACGTTAGAAGACAAAACAAGCAGGCGACAAAACAGGAAGGTGGATTGAGTCAGTCACGACACTCGTCCACAAACCTTCTCCACGACTCTCCTTTCTTCCACTCACCCAGATTGTCTCTCGACACTCGACTCGACACTCGACATGACTGGATACCAAATCCGCTTCCGACACACTCCTCTGCTCCTCCGGCGATGAACGCCCTCTTTGACGCGGTGCGGGCGAGGTCGCCCTGCGCCCTGCGCCTGGTGCGCGCCTACAGCACTTCTCTCGACGGACTAATAACAAGGCATCCAGCGGTACGTACTGGAGAAAACTGTGCGGAGCCGAGACGCTGTTGTTATATAATGAACATCCGACAATGCGACTGCAAGACAGCCAGCTAACTGTGTGGAATGTCCACAGAGAATACGGCCGCACGAAATTACTGGCATACGACGCGATCTCGAATACGGTGCCGACATGGACAGAAACGAGGGATCTGGGAGAAGACACAGCGATTCTAGTAGGGATAACAGAGACAGGAGAGACAGCAGCGACACCAGGTCACGACGTGGTAACGATCGAGGCAGACACGACTTCCGCCGGAACCTTTCAGCCTTTATGCCCACTGGGCGGGCCAACCGGCAGGTCACACTCAAAGGTGACCCGCGCAAGTACCGTCTATTCGAAGCCCTCGTCGACAGCCGCTTTGGCTACGTGTTGAAGAGCCTGGGGCCTTGGTCGGCCGACAACCGCGAAATGCACGCGTTTGGCCTGCACAGCCAAGGCGAGCTCGACCGCCAGGCCAAGCTGTTCCGCACAGCGCTGGCCCAGAGCATGCAGCTGGCCAGCACCCGCGGCGTCGTGAGCCGCCTCGACAACCCGCTCTTCTGGAGCCTGCGCAACGCCTTTGTGCGCGGCGACACGGCTGGCCTGCACAAGGAGCTGCGCTACGCCTTCCAGAGCTTTATTCTGCGCCCGAGCCTCGCCCCGGCCGTCAACACGCTGCAGGAAAGCATTGCCGATTTCCGCTTCCCCTACGAGTGGTACCCATCCACTCGCACCATGCAGCGCACCATCCACCTGCACGTGGGCCCCACCAACTCGGGAAAGACGTACCGCGCGCTGCTGGCGCTCGAAAACGCGCAGACGGGCATCTACGCGGGTCCGTTGCGGCTGCTGGCCCACGAGATCTATGCGCGCTTCGTAGCCAAAGGCCGGCCTTGCGCGCTGATCACGGGCGAGGAGCAGCGGTTTCCCAGCACCGACGGCACGCCCATGGACCCGGCAGACCCGGCGAGTGGGGTCGCGGCCATGGGCGGCGGCGGCGCGGCGGACACGTACTTTCAGAGCTGCACGGTCGAGATGACGCCGCTGAACAAGCTCGTCGATGTGGCTGTCATTGACGAGATCCAGATGATCGCCGACCCGGATCGGGGGTGGGCGTGGACGCAGGCGTTCCTGGGTGTGCAGGCGCGCGAGGTGCATCTGTGCGGCGAGGAGCGCGCCGTCAACCTGATCCAGGCGCTGTGTGCGCGCATCGGCGACAAGTGCATCGTGCACAGGTACAAGCGCCTCAGCGGGCTGCAGACGATGAAGGAGAGTTTAAAGGGCGACTTTAGCAATCTGCGCAAGGGCGATGCCGTCGTGTCGTTTTCGCGTGTGGCCCTGCATACTCTCAAGGCCGGCATCGAGAGCAGCACGGGTCGGCGGTGCGCGATTGTGTACGGCTCGCTGCCACCGGAGACGCGCGCACAGCAGGCGGCGTTGTTCAACGACCCGGACAACGACTACGACTTTTTGGTGGCCAGTGACGCCATCGGCATGGGCCTGAACCTCGAGGTCAAGCGCATCATCTTCGAGACGTCCACCAAGCACGACGGCATCAACTTCCGGCGGCTGTCCGTGCCCGAGGTCAAGCAGATTGGCGGACGTGCGGGCCGGTACCGGACGGCGGCGGCGGCGATCAGGAGCGATGCGGCCAGCGAGAACAAGGACAGCGACGCCAAAACCACGACGCCCGAAACGCCTGCCGCTGGTGCGGTGCAGAAATGGGGCACGCCCGGGTTCGTGACGACGCTCGAAGACGAAGACCTGCCGATTGTGTCGGCAGCGTTCCAGGACGAGGCGCCGCCACTGCAATGGGCCGGCATCCAGCCTCCGACGTTTGCCATTGAGCAGTTTGCGCGCTACTTCCCGCCGGACACGCCCTTCAGCTTCATCCTGACGCGCATGCGCGAGCTTGCGCAGGTGTCTGATCTCTTCCAGATGTGTGGCCCCAAGGAGATGATTGAGGTTGCCGACATCATCCAGCCCTTCCGCATGACCATCTACGACCGCTGCATCTTTATGGCGGCGCCGACGTCGCTGCGCGATCCGGGCCAAAAGGAGGTTTTGCAGGCATTTGCGCGCTGTGTCTCCGAAAACAGCGGCGGCGAGTTGCTCGACATTCCCGAGATCAACCTCGAGATCTTGGACGTGACCGACGCCAACGACTATCCAGGCGGCCCCAGCAAGTACCTGCTGGGTGCCGAGGCCCTGCACAAGGCCATTACGCTGTATCTGTGGCTGAGCTACCGCTACGTGGGCGTGTTCAGCAGCCAGCAGCTCGCGTTCCACGTCAAGGGGCTCGTCGAGGCCAAGATCAAGGACTATCTCGACAACCTGACGTTTGTGCCCGAGCGGCGCCGGAAGCGCATCGAGACGCTGCGCAAGATGGCCGACTTGCGCGAGAAGCACGACGGCGACAAGCGACTGCTGATGGAGGACGGCGACGAGGCGTTTGCGGCGGAGGTCGCGAGCGACGAGGCGCCGGCCAGCCCAGTGAACACGGCGTCGGCGGCGGGTCGCTAGAAAAGTATTGGTACGGCTGGATATTCATGGCGTTTTGGGTGTGACGCAACAAGGATTTTCGTTGCACTCTGGGCACGTCCGGAAAAAAGGGCAACATTGTACGATACATTTCACTTTACAGTTTAAACACTGGATCATAATAGATATGAAAAAATGTACATCACGAAGCGTTCAAACTTGATGGCAACGGCTGAAGAATGGGAACATGATAAGCATATCTTGGGGAAATGGTCGCCTGCAGTGGGTGTTGTTGAAAAACTATAAGGTACTCCGTGTAGAATACAAAATTAGTCTAAAGGAGTATTGAAGAAAGCAGACAATGTGGAGGGAGAATCTAAAATTTTGAAAAGAGAAAAAAAAACAACCCAAAACAAACAATACGGCCTGCATCACTGCGCGCCTATGACGTGAAGACGGCGACGTAGTCGACCTCCATGCCGGAGCCCGTACCGCCGACGGTGGCGGTGGTCGGCGTCGTCGTGCCGGCCACAGCGGTCGGGAACGCGCCGCCGACGGCCACGTTGAGCAGCAGATACTTGGTGTTCTGGGCCAGGGCGACCCAGGCGGCCTGGTTGTTGACGGTCGACGCCTTGACCGTGAAGACGACCCGCTCGTTGAGCAGCCACGTGATGGTCTCCGACTTCCAGGTCGATGCCGACGTGGACGAGGACCGGTCGATGACGACCGCCACCGTGTACCAAGCGTTGCGCGCGAAGCCGTACGTGCTCGAGATGCCCGTCGGCTCATTGCAGGGGCCGCCGTTGGCCGTGCCGCAGTGCACGGTCTGGTACGACTTGGCCTGGCCGTTGATGGACTCGAGAATGTCGACCTCGCCGACGGCGGGCCAGTTGTTGTAGTTGCCGCGGTAGGCGGAGCCCAGCGACCAGAAGGCGGCCCAGATGCCGAGCTGCGACGCGGCCGAGTTGGCGCCCAGCTTGAGGCGCGACTCGATGCGCACCTTCTTGCCGACGGCGCACGAAAAGTCCCAGGCCTTGACGGTCTCGATGCGGCCCGACGTCCAGGTCGTCTTGCCGCTCACCGTCGTCTTGACGGGCGTGATGAGCAGGGTGCCGGACGATGTGATTTGCAGGTTGGACGCGGTCTTGGTGTACGTCTCGACCTCGCCGGTGCCCCAGTGGGAGGCGCCGCCGGGGTAGGCGGTGCCGGTGTCGATGGTCCAGCGGTCGGTCGACGGCAGCGAGCCGGCGGTGCCGGCAAATCCGTCGGAGAAGAGCGTTGTCTTGTAGCCGGTCGGAATGCGGATGTTGCCGACGACGCCGACGCTGGAGCGGGAAGCGAGAATCGAGCGGTAGAAGAGCGGGGAGGCGGCGGCCTGGTGGAAGGCGAGGGCCGCGAGCAGGACCAGCACCTGCGAGAGAAAGGTTGACGGCATCTTGGTAAGTCTGTGCGGGGAGGCGCTGCCGGAGTCAAAGAAAATCAAAGAAAATCAAAGAAAATAAAAAAGGAGCGTGAGAATACAAAGGAACGGAACGTCGACAGAGTCGACTAAAGACACACAGAAAGAGTGATTGTGTGTAGGTGTTAAAACATGAAATCAAGAAATGGTCCACGAGCGAAAGTGAAAAGACCAGTCGAGACGATACAAAAGAGTGAATGTCACGGACGAGGCCGAGACGGTGTGATATACAACGGGGAAGAGAAGAAAGAGAGGGGAAACAAAAGGGAAGAGAAGGGGAGAGCCAGGAAGAAAAGGAAAGACGACAGCTGCGGCCCGAGCTTCTGCAGCATCGTCGTTCTTCGTCACGACGGAGCTGGGACGGCACGTTCTCGTGCCACTGCCCTTGCATCGTGGTCCCTACCAGTGCTCTTCGGCTCTCCCTTGTCTCCCTTGTCTCCCTTGTCTCCCTTCAGAGGCCTGGAACGCCGTGGCAGGCTGTGGAGGTTCGCGCATTGGCAACATGTCACGCTCTGACACCCCAATGCCTTTTGCTCTGGTTCCTGTTCCTGGCTGGTGAGTCTTCGCTTTCCCCCTTTCCTCATTCGCGTCCCGCCCGCCCCTCGCTCTCCATATTATTGCCTCTTTGGGTGTCGTTGCAGTCTCCTATTTCCCTTCTTAACTGCTTTGAGGCACGAGCGGCTGAGATGTGGCACACGCGATTGGCCAGACCTTTGATTGTACCTGGGACTAACCGCCAATAAAGCGCAAAATGCGACAGGGGGGCCCGAGTAAATCGGATAGCCTGGAACCACAAAGTCTAGACCGTCTCGCCCCATGTCGACCGGCAGGTGCAGGGCAAACAAATAACACATGACACGACACCCCTGAAATTGATGCAAGGCTTGGGCATAAGTCAGACGTACACGGTATGCTTCCAACGGCCAGCTCCTGTCAGGCACAGAAACTCTTGCCAATGGGCTCAATGGCACAGGTGGAGAAAGACGCGTTTCCGCGACGAGTCTGGAGTCTGGGCGTTTGTGTGCTTTGCGCTGTTCGTATTTTCTGCTCACGGAGATGACGGACCACCTCAACCATAGCAGCAAAGCTGAATGCCCATTACCTTGGATCAAGAGAATACGACCTGCAGGCTCGGCTGACATGACCCAGAAGAGGGAAAAGAGCGTGCACATCTCCAGAATGGGGCCAGGCACCAGCCGTTCCGCCACGAGGGGGCCAGGGCTTGGGCAATCGTCTGCAGGGGTCAAGACAAGCATAACGACCTCATACGCACCCTGCTTTCTTCAGTAAAATTTTGAGGCGAAAGAAACACAAGGCGCGATCCCATCGTCATTCGCAAGGGATGCCGGGCAGAACGGGCGCAGAAGGTTCCCTTGGGCAGAGTCGGTCAATGCGAGTGTTCCTGCGCTAGTTCGGTCCTGCGATGTGGCTAAATTTTTTTTTTTTTTTAAAATTGAGGCCAATACCAAGAAACACAAAACGCGACTTGAGGCCGTCCAACGGAAGGGCACGCTTTGGGTCATTGGGAGAGGTAAGATGCGGCTCATGCCAAGATATGCACCCATGTCGTACGATTATTTCCTCGCAGAGCTTGCCTTTGTTATTTTCAAATGTTTGGACTGGACGGCGTTGCTGCACCCCTGAGCGGTGTTATGATTTGTTAGCAAGCGATATTGGATGGCGTAGAAAAAATATGGCCAAGAATAGAACGTGGTTTTGGTAGGGGCAAATCACTCTACTCACTCATTCTGGGCCGCCGACATTTCGTCAAAGGGAGACGAGACGGAAACAAAGAAAAGCAAAAGTCGAGAAAGGAACAAAAAAAAAAAGAGCAGGGGACGTGCGCAAGTGCAGATCCACTGCACATCATTGCACATCTTTGATATGCCTTTTCAACTCATCGGCAACGTCGATCGACACGCCCGTGGACGAGGCTACCTAAGGCGGATGAGGCGGAACGCTCTTGCAAGAACAAGCAAACGCCACAACGCCACAACGGCCATCTCTGCCGCAAATGATGTATCGCGTATCTGCACGGCAGGGTAAGGCAAATTGTGAAAGCGGTGTCCAAGACGTACCCGGGCGGGAAAAGGCGCCCGCCAAAGTTTTGGGTGGCGATTTAGGAATGCCGTCGATAAAGAGGTCAACCGTTCTGTCGTGTTTGCTTGGGGAGGCGCTCATTTACATCCTACGCCATGATGGCATTCCAGACAGCAACGCTTTTTGATTTATTGGCGAGAGAAACGGGTGGGACGTGGTGAGGAGCCGGTTCTTCCGTGTCGCGCCTCAAGCCGCATGGTACTGTATTTTTCTGCGGTGTCTCGGTTAGCTAACATATCCCAACATTCGTGCAATCCATTCTGAGATGCCGTCCTTTCTCGGAAACCACTTGACTAGGTTTCCATATGTAGAAGTAAAGAATATCAAAATTGGCAGAATATAGTAATAGCGAGTGGAAGTGAGAGAACTGCACAGAGCAGTCACAGTGAAATATGTCAATATCCAAAGCAAAACAAAATAGTCCAAAGTCCCAGAGTCCCAACTGTCTATGCATCTTTTGGTATCGAGAGAAACGAAAAATGTCAGAAGCCAGTGCCAAGAAACACTACGTGGGATATCTTTGAAAACAATCCAGCCGCCAAATAGAAAGAGAAGGAAAACATGCCAACATAAAACCAATAAAACCATAAAGGTTCCTCCCCTGGCGGCCGTGACAAGTCACATGCACCGCACGAATTGTATCCAAAGGAGATGTGTCTGTCCAAAAAGAAAAAAGAAAGAAAGAAAAGAAAAAGAAAATAAGAAAACGGCCGTGGTTCATTTCATCATCGTAGAAGTAGTCGTTGTCGTTGTCGCACGATTTGCCAGCGCCAACGCAAGCCCGCGGTTACTCGGCAATGTTCGCCATACCCGACGGGCCAAAATTGGCGTAGTCGCCCTCGTCGCTGCTATCATCATCGGAGCTCTTGGGGCTTTGCGCGTTGCTCGCGTCCGTGCTGTGGAGACCGCTGAAGCTGTTGCCGTATCCGCCACCGCCGCCAAACGAACTACTTGTTGCACCGCTGCCGAGACCGCCCGTGCCGACACCCAGAGCCAGGATGCTCTGGCGGCGGGCCGCGTCCATATCGACAACGCTGGCGCTGCGGCTGAAACTCGGCTTCTCGGGAAGCGTCTTAAGCAGGCCGGTGCTGATATCGAGCATGCCCATGGCAAAGTTGGTCAGACCCTTGCCCTCGCCAGGCTTGGAGCTGACGGACAACGTCCACCGGTACTCGCCTAGCCGCCGGCGATACCAGTCGGCCTCTTCGCGGCCCGGAGACGTGGCCCATAGCAAACTACCAAAGGTACCGATCAGAGCAAAGTTGGTCTTGGAAGCAAAGTACCAGAACGCACGTAGATGGCTTGGGGTGAGACGGTTGACAAAATCCATGGCCGAGATGAGGCGTGCTTTGGCGGCCGAGCGACAGATGTGCTGCACGTACGGCTCAGCACCGCCGACACTCGCCGTCAGATTAGCGGCGCTGCTGCTGTTCGACAGCATAGTCGGAGACGAAGCCAGTTGCGGTGTGCTGGACTGCGAGTCGACCGGCGACGTCATGGATCGGATGATGCGGCGATGCAGGGTAATCTCGGCTGCAAAGTACGCCAAGTGGAGGTAGCCAATGCTGGACAGGCGGAGCCCGCTGATGTTTGTCGATCCGCCTGCGGACACCGACGAGTCCATGCGCACGGCCGCCGGCAGCGCCGAGTACCATTCCTTCAACTTCAACTGGATCGGCTTGGCGAGTGTCAACACGAGCTGCGTGCCCTGTGGGCCGGCAGCCGTCACGCTCTCCATCGCCTGCAGCGTATAAAACGTATCGAGGATCTCCGCCATGACCTGTGTCAGCTGCACCATTTGCACAAACAACGTGCGACCGCGCTCGATCTCGATGCGCTCCTCCGTATCGTCTTCGTCCCACTCAACATCCTGGAAATCGTTGGGCAGCAGCTGCTTCACGGCCCAGTTGTTGGCAAAAATGTGCGACGGTCGGCCGTGGACGAGTGCACCCCATTTGTCCTGCATATACAGCGCCCACGCAAGTCGTTTCCGCGACCCGCGCTCCCAGGGCGGGATCTTCCAGTTCGTGCAGTCCAAGTGCAGACCGAGCTCCTGGGCAATCGCCACCAGCTGGGCTGTCGGCGCCCATTGGTCACCCTCGGGCCGCTGTGACAGCAACAGGCCAGCCTGCACCGTGGACAGCTTGGGGCGGAACATCGAGTCGGCCAGTGTTGTGCGGACAAGCCGCTCGAGTTCAGGGACATCGGGGCGGACCTGGTTGGACAGCTCCTCGTCCAGATCCCACCAGTTGATTGCGAGGATATAGATAGCAGCAAGAAGGGCCGGTTGTATGTCGCGAAGTGCGTTTTCGTACTTTTCGTAAAACACCGTCTTTTGGATGATCGGAAAGCTCGGATGAACGACGCGGAAGTAGAGGTCGACGAGTCGCCGACCGTTTGGTGCGACGATACGCTCGATCTCGTCGATATCTTCGTTGATGTGCTCGAATCCTGGTGTATTCTGGTCGGGTAACAACAGGAAAGTCTCGACATCGCTAACCTTTCGCAGAGTGCCACGCGACAACAGACTCTCATCGTGAGGATCAAAAGAAGAGAGATTGATGAGTGAGGGCTCAAAGTCGGTGGTTGGTCCAATGTACTGGGAGTAACGGTCTTGCTGCAGACCAAGCGTGCGTTTAAGCATGGTCACGTCGCCAAAGTTGGCCATGTCCTCGATGAGCGAGTTGCTCACGGCGGTGCTGGACAGACTGCCGTGTTGGCGACGCCGTCTGTTATCATATCTTCCTGACCTAATTGCCAACAGATATCGTCAGTATATATGTTCCGTACGTCATAAAGGAGCCTGTATACATCCTGTACTACTCCATCGACATTGCGAATGACGAGAACTCTGCCACGCCGACGCTGTACCAACAGACGTGTCCACCTGTCCACTATAACCGCCTATAAAGCGCGCGTTTTTTGGTGGGACGCAGATGCAGCCAAATCTGACCGCACGGAGCCACAAAACGACAGAGTTGAAGAGGAAACGCGAATTCGTTTGCAAATAAAAAATGCAATACGAAGACGTGGCACAAATTGTAAAAATAAAACAAACGTATCTCTCGCGCGGAGTCATGTTCTGTACTTGACATGGAGGAATCCGCAAAATACAAGACAAGGCTACTGGGGTGGGGGAGGGGCGAGGGACGGGGGGGGGGGGGGGGGGGACGCATTTGAGGGTTTGAATGGGGGTTTCTTCAGTGATAGGGGGCCGGACTTCTCAAGACCACAAGTAGGGGATATGAAAGGGGCAAGCCCTCCTTAATCCGGTATGAGATTTTGCACGAGCCTCCTTGCCTGTAATGGCAGACGTGGAAAGGAACGGTGGGACGAGGGTGACGAGTTATTCAAGTTCGATATTCAAAGACACTTCTGACTTACCCTCGTTTGCTACTGATATCGTCTAAATCTCCACCCAGTTTTCTCTTGCGAGGCTGGGGACTTCCGGTGTGGGAGCATTCGATGCTGTTGACCTGGCACGAGATGCATACGTCATCGTCTTCGCTCATGACGCACCGGATCCTCCGTCGTTGGCAGGCCTCGCACGGGATGGTGGCGTAGTTGTTCCGGGGTGAGTCGGAGTCCGGCGAGTCTAGGCCGGCGAGGCTGGCCGGATAGGAGTCGACGTTGATGCTGCCTTGGCGGCTAGGGGGCAGAGAGCGGCGCAGACCAGAGAAGCCTGTGGCACGGCCGACAGTATCGGAAGTTGTAGAAGAAGAGGACGGTTTTGGAGCAATGGGAATTGGCGCCGTCCTGGCCATGGCGCTTGGGTTGGACATGGTGCCAGTAAAAGAGGTCTTAGGAGTTAAGATACGCGGGACTCAGACCCAGATACAGCCGGTTTACCCCGTAAAAGCACTGAAGCGAACGGCGATATGTCGTCCGCGCAAGACGGGGAAAGGGGGCGGTTCGTAAAGGTGGTGTGGGTAATAAAGTGTGCTTTGTGCTTTGAAGGGAGGCCTGGAGGCGATCCCGAACAAAGGCTTCAATTGTGAAAACGGTGGCTTCTCCCAGAGTGTTGGGGTTGGATGGGATGGAATATGGGATAAGGGGTGTGTAGATAGGGGATGGTGTCGATGCGTCCAGGCCCAACTGATAAGGACAGCAGAAGACAGTAATACACCCTAGATCAACAGTGATAAAGGGACGGAAGTGCTCCAATCTTGGGCTCACACCCTGGTTTTGTGTCTCTTCGCCTGCTTGAATGTCGTACAGGGTGCTGAGTCTTTCTGCTGGTATTCACGTACAACGGACAAGTGACATTCGGCTGCCTTATACAATGAAGCCGGGCGTAACGTTCAAGTGCTTTGCTGGACAGCAAAAGCTGCTGAATCGAACAAGACGAAGAGAGATGCAAAGGCTGGGGGTGCGGCTGGTTCCGTGAACATAAGTGCACTATGTGTGCCTCTTCTGACCCCAATGAGGCAAGTAGACCTGTCCGTATGGGGAAGACCAGAAAGAAGGTGGACAGGCTGTGGTCCAATCCACTTGCGGCAGATGATAAGACTTGTACAGATCAAACGAAAAGAAAGCTGCCGCTGACTCGCCTACTGTGTCGTGCACCGCACCCCGGGTGGTGAGAGATAAGGGCCCCGGTCCAAGAAAGAGACGTGAGTGGCTCAGAGCAAAGAGTTAATGCGAAGGTGGCCGTGCGTCAGTGCAACTTGATGGATAGTCGTGAAAGGAGATGAGAGCACTGTGGAACCCACGGGCGTGTGTGATTTTGTAGGTTGTAGATAGCGTCCCTCTCTCGTTTTTTGCTGGTCGAATGGCGGGTGAGCGGAACACCGTTGAGTACCTGGATCGGGCCTCGTCGCAGCTTCGATTAAAACGTCCCTGGGACGTCCCTGCGCGATGTGCCTTCGTCTCTTTCACCCGTGGGGATAGATAGGAAGTTGACCAACGGCAATTTGTCGTGGTCGTGATGAAAGCTACGGAGGACCCGAAAACGAAGAGGCACCCGCGGGGGTGGGACGGTGAATGTACGGTTGAATTGGACAAGTGTCTCTTAAAGAAACAGTGCGAATGACGTAGGAGCCAGCAAGAGAGATAAAGGAGGCCGTGACAAGATGCCGTTTGGTGATGAATATCCAAGAGACGGTGAAACGATGACAACAGGAAGAGTGGCGGCGGGCAGGAGAGGGCCAGTTAGGTGACGATGGAGGCGAGGACGAGATAAGCTTGGCTTATCGGCGTCATTTGGCTGTGGGTGATATCAAAGAATAACGGAATGCGTCTCGAACAGCAAAGGTGTTTTGTTGGTGGGAAGGTGTCCTACGCCCTCATTGAAGCTGATGACCAGGGCCAAGGAGCTGACGAATGAACGACGTTGTAGACGAGACGAGCAAAAACATAAAGCACAACGGCCACCGAAATGAGACGAGAAAAAAAAAAAGCAAAGATAGCGATATCGTACCGGATGGGAAGTAGAAACTGCAAAAGGTGGGGAGCAATGGGAGAGGGGTGTGAAAGGAGTACAAGACGGGGGATGAAGCAGTTGGAGACCCGGGGACAACGAGGGTTTTGTCAGAATAGGAACACTTGAAGAAAGAAAGAGGGTTGGGGATGAAGATGCGCAATGCAGGTTGACAAGGACAAAAAAATAGGGCCGGCGGCGAACAGACTTGTCAGAAATAAGCAGATCCAGCAATCTAGAAAGCGAGATGCCGGTTCTTGGATTGGTCCAGAGATCTGGTAGTGCGAACGGGTAGTGGCCGTGTTGGTGCCTTTTGCCCTCTCCTCTCTTTAGTCCTTTTGTCCTGGGGAAAGTTTGATGGCAGCAAAGGCACTGGGACTGTCGCGCCGGTGGTGGGTGACGCCTTTGGATCTTGGAGTTGAGTCAGATCCGCCGGGTCAGACCACCGTTGTCAGTCGATGGGGATCCTCTCGTGACGTCGACTGGGACACTGGCCGTGCCTTGCTTTTCTTCTGTTTGCAAACTGCCTCTCGAGTGCCTCTCGTGTTTTCCGCCCATTTCATCCCTTGAACCTTTTTTGGGGGTTGTCGTTGTAGGGCGTGGCAGCCTCTTTCTTTTTCGTCAGTGTGGGGCCTGTGGACAAACAGACCCGAAGCTAGCGCGGCTGTTTTGCACGGCTTGAGAGATATCTGGGCAACGTCGATTGTTTCGGGGGGGCGGAGATGCTGTGAGGTTTGTCGCAGGGGTCGTGATAATTCTTGCAAGTAACGCAGTAAGAAGTCCTTTGGATGACAATGTGGTGGTTGTGTTTTTTGATGCTAAGTTGTAGCCGGTCCCCTCTTTCTTGGGGAAGTCATCCGAGGCTGGCTTCCTGCCCGTCCTTTGTTCTTGCAACAACCCTTTTTTGGCAAGCGCGCCCTTTGCTGCTACCTTGTGAAAAGAGAAGATATTACGTGATAATAAAAGACAGCCGTACGAGTATTCTGTACACAGGCACACTGGTGGCACCTTCCGTGATCGATGCCCAGCGACATACGCACAGTATTGATTGAGATGGCAAACGCTCCTTCCTTGCGCGGCTGTGCTGAGTCTGGTCGCACGCTGGATATGGCAGCGAGGCAGGTGCGACAGGGGCCCCTGGTCTGGGTCCGTCGTCCGTTGTTAGTGTCTTGCGAGTCTTGGTACTGATAAGGGATGAAATGCAAACATAACAGAAAAGAAAGAAAAACGGGTCTTATCGCGTTTTGTGAGCATCAAGAAATACATAATAGGAAACCAGGAGGGTGCTCGGAGGGGCAATATGGGGAAAGAGCCAACTGCCTGGCAGCGTCACAAAAGCGTTGGAAAGAGCCCGAAACTGACGTTAATTGGGAAAGGACGGCCTCTTATTGGACGGCGCAAAGGCAAGAGCCTTGGCTGTGACTCTACTCCGTAATACCTCTGTTGCTCTCGACCTCCGCGTTCAGATGCTCTGCAGCACCTAAACTCCGGGGTAGGCTGGGCACCGCCGACCAAATACCAAACTGTTAAGCCCGCAAGTCCGGTACGGACAGCATGGGACACACGACATTATTGCAGTGCACCGGAGGCACGACATTATGGCGAACAATTCTGCGTCCGGAAAGTTGCGGGTAGCAGCTTCCCTGGGATTGCCCCCAGGGAGGCCAGCGAAGGCAAGTGCAGCCAAAAGTGCAGACAAACTGCAGGCAGTTGCGCCCCTGCAGGCAATGGAATACCCTGATTTCCCGGCCGTGGTTGCACTCTTGTTGCGGAGCCCGTTAGTATGACACGGTCTAGCGTGGTACTTTATGCTGTGTGGAACACACGCACGAATAGATGTATCGCTGCGCTTCCAACCCAAAGGGCGGGTCAGCTCTTCGCTATGACGGCAGGCACTACCCAGGGACTATTACCACATAAAATGCTAAGGAAGGACAGCATGCGCGAGCGACGCATTCGCTCCCTGGCTCCTTCCTCCAGCAGCATGTTTATCTGTAGGCGGGACCCATTTCGACAACCAAACGATTTAACGTAAGGAAAGTGCGAGCCGCAAGGCACGCAGCGAGTCACAGCGCACGACACGCCGCGGCGCAGAAAAGGGAAGGAGGGGTCTAGTCATGCACCGTAATCGCAGCCTTCTGGATGGACCAGATTTATTGACATCATAGCGGGCCTTTTGCGCACGTGCAAGAGGGAAAGACAGTGGTGGGGAAAACGGGCGTGGATTCTCCAGGCGACAGGGGCCAATTTGTCGTGTGCACAACAAGCAAATTGCCAGCGAGAGGCAACAATACCGCTTCACGACGACAAGAACACACGAACGAGAATCCGAAAGTATGACCGGAGCAGTCCGCGACTAGATACAACCCCTGAATTTGCAGAAAAGCCACGGAAAAATACCTGCGGCTGTCGTGACAAGCGAAAGGTGAGCTGATCAGCAACGTTGACTCGAATAACGTGCACCGGTGCGCTGTACAGAACGGAGAATGAAGGTATATTCCTGGTTCGGGCCAACGCAAGTGCTCCTTCTGTCGCCCAGTTAGAGTGCCGCACTGTCGCCGGGCAGCTTGGAAGCAGAAGAGGCAAATGGGAAAACGGGGGTAGCGGTGGGACTGTGGGGTCTCCAGTCGTGAAGCAAGGCCGACACACCCTTTTTATGCAGTGGGGGACCGACTAAAAGGTAGACTGGTGGGCGAAGGAGTGGCCGTTGCGGCAATGTTTCGGGAGAGAGGCTGTTGTCGAGATGGATACGGACGCAGCGTTGCCCATTAACCCGAATGCAGACGTCAGGCTCGACAAGAAATGGAAAAAAAGAACGAAAAAAAGGTGTCGAAGACTGGTCTCGCAGCCCGTCCTGCAAATGCAAAACGCATGCAATGGCAGGGAACTGCGGTTTCTGGCGAACCACCTGGCCTGCATTTGGCTCGACACGTCAATTTTTAATTGCGCTGCCAAGTCGAGTTTATCGAGGCAAGTCGATTTGTCAGTCGGCCCCAGTTGTCAATGAAGCGTTTCTCAAGGGCATGACAAAGAAGAAAGACGAACGTCTTCCCATGCCCGAGATAAGATACGAGCCGCATCGGTTGAGACGGTGAGAAGGACGGAGCTCCGAGGCCGAGAGGGTGGGCGACAAGACGCAGAGCACTGCTGAGCCCAATGGCACTGCACATCGACCAGGAATGGCATGCACGACCACGCACGTGAGTTGACGTTGTGCAGATGGCCGAGCAATGGCCAATACTGGATGCGGCCGATTGACACCGGTTCGTGTATCTGGTCTCGTGCTTGCGTCTTGTGTGTTTACTTGTTTTTCTTTCGTTTCTCTTTTTTTTTTGGCTTGTCTAGTTTCATTTTTCGCCGCACGCTCCCAAGTGGACGCTAATTCTGTTCCTGGGGACCCCCGCGTGTACGGCTCCACGTGGGAGGAAGAGAGGAGGCGAGCGAGAGACATGCCGTGCGTGAGGGGAAAGAGGAGAAGGTCACGATGCTTCGGTTTGGCTGACCGTAGGTACCCGCCAACGGCCTGCGTCCAACATCGTGGCAGACAAGACATGCGAGATCGTGTCTGTCCCAGCCCACCCCTCGCTTCGTCTCGTCAGCTATGCCGTGCCCGTGCACTTCGTCGGCATCGTGGCTGGCTAGAGAAGGTCTCGTGCCCCCTTTTCAGACAGTTTTTCTTCGACGTCGGTATTGTCTCTTTTCTTCTGCCTGGCTGCCCCTCTTTTGTCTAAGCCGGACCTGTTCAGGCTTAATACAAAACGTCGAGCAGCCCCCAAGATCTCTCTCGATGTCGGCGTGCACTTGCTCTATTATATTTTTGGTTCAGACACGAGTCGTCAACCAGTGAAGGCATCGCCATTACGACCAGTTTAGTTGCCAGTGTGTCATTTCTCGGGTCAATGAAGATGCAGCAAAACCTGACTTGAATCCATATTACCATCTATCCAAGCTGGATACGATGGTAATCGGCGACCAACCTCAGCCAAGTGGTACTTAAGAACAACGAGCCTTGCAATTTATACAACAGTTCATACCGCCCTTTGTTTTACTTGACAAGTTTAGTGCATATCATCGGCAACCTATGACGATATCGACAAAAGAAAATGACGAACACACATTGGATATAAGAAAAGGAACTACCATACAACAAAGCAGAACGATGATCAATCCATAGGTAACGAGGCACAATTTACGAACAAAACCAAATGGATTTCTCATGAAGACCGCGGCGCCACCCTACCCGCCTACACCTCCAGATCTAGCGGCTTCACCGAGTAGGATGTCACGGGCCCGTACTTTGGGAACAGATTGTCGGCCGACATGGGTGTGTAGCTGCGCTGCTGCACGATTATGTTCAGACTTGGGACCGAGGACACGAGCACGGCGCGGCCTTCGGGCGTCTTAATGACGACACTGATGCCGCGGAGTCTGGCGAGGACATCGTCGTTGTTGTTGAAGACTGCAGGCGGCGTCCGCCGCGTGGCCTCGTGGACAAGCGTGCGACGTACCGGCGTCACCGAGTAGCTGGTGCCGGTTTGGGGCATGGACAGGATGCTGGTGCTGCCGATGCGGGTGGTGTCGCGGTGGTGGCCGGCTTTGGTTTTGCCGCCACCTTGGCCATTGAGGTGCAGCTCGATGGTGCAGGGCAACGGCAGCTGGGCGCGGTCGACGCTGACTTCGATGCTGTAGTCGTTCGTGCTGAGGGCGCGGGCATTGGGGATGACGGTGGCCGGGTGCAAAGCAGCGGCTGCAGCGGTAGTGACGGCGGCGGTGGGATCGATGGTGCTGCCCTTGTTGTCGTTCGTGGCGGCACGCACCCGGCGGATATGCGGCAGTTTCCACCACCCGAGACGACTAGCGCTCGCTGCCTCTCTCTTCGATTTCCTACTCGCCGCAACACCGCTCGCCCCCGGCCCGTACAAGTTGTTGACGGAACTGCGCACCGAGTTGGCCAGGTCGGCAGGCGCCAGCGACCAATCGTCGATTTCTGGATAGGTGTACCCAAAAACGGCCATGGCCTCGACGGATCTGCTGGTATAGAAAACCAACGGACTGCTGCTGTCGCCCGCAACAGACGGACCCATGAACGGCTTCAGTGGGCTGTTGGCTGTCACGGGCCCGCTGGGCGTGCCGTACAGGGCGTTGCCGTGCTGGCTGGTGGTGAAGACGGGGTCGTTGAAGTTAATGGCCTGCCACATGGCGTAGAGGCGGTCTACGTTGGCATGGTGCAGCATGAAGATGGGGTCGAAGCCCGACCAGTTGAGGTCGCCCATGTGGCCCGAGTGGCCGGCCACGGAGAAGCAGGCAATGTCGTTGTGCACCACGTTGTGCGGCTCCTCGAAGCTGGCGCCTGCGTTGGACATGGTCGCCATTGCCTCGAATGTCGTGCTGTGTGTAAAGACGGCATACTAGAGAACGTCAGCTGTGTTTCTCGCTTCTGTCCCCTGCTTCTTAGTCCTCGCTTCGCTCCGGATCCCACTCGCTGAACTACTCACCACTTTATCTTGCAACTGTCCGCCGTCAATCCCCATCACACTATTCGCCTGGTCCTCGTCGCTCACACCCGCCGCCGCGCCCGACACCGTCGTGCACCGCTTCGTCTCGTTAAACTGCGCCAGCGACCCGCCGAAGCCGCCGCCGTGGAACGGGAAATTAGGGAACTGGAAACTGACGAGGGGGTTGCGCATGGTGGCTGGACCCGCGGGGCCGTTAAAGTTGACGGTCGGGCCCACCACGGCGGGCGGCAGGCTGGCGTCCTGGGCCCAGTCCCAGTAGGGGATGCGGAACGTCTGGGCGGCGGCCGTGTAGGCGTCGACGGTCTCGACTGGGTACTGCTTGGCGGCCTTGAGGACATGGCGGGCGAGGATCTGTTCAAAAAGGGCGAGGTAGGGGCGGTGCCAGCTAATGAAGGTTGTTTGCTGTGCACGTCAGTGGCCCTGGCTGCAATGAACGACGAGGACGAATGGGGAGAGATACAACATACGCCATGGGGACAATATCCCGAGTTGGCACCACCGGTGGTCTGGTTGACGCCGTTCCATGGCAGGAATGGGAGTCCGTGGATGCCTGCTATCTGGTAGTACGACTCGATCTCGGTCATGTCGTCCCGCTGGAACATGTCCAACGCCTGGACGTAGAGATCCCTATCGAGTCGGTCAGCGGTCAACATTCGACGACACCGATGCCAGCGTTTCCCTCCCAACTAACCAATGTGGACCTGCTTCATTGTAGAGGTCGTTGATGTTGATGCGTGAGGGTCTCTGGCCTGTGCTGTTGTTGATGCCGTTTGAGACGCCGACGACGATGCCCGGAGGCGTGGCTGAGGACTGCGCCGTTGCCGCTGGCAGAAGCTCAGACAACAGCCAGGATGAAAGGGCCACTGCCAAGAGCGGCCGCCCGAATGACGAGATGGAGATGGACGGAAGACGCATGGTGGTGGTTGGGCCAACAAGCAAAGGGACGACACGTTACACGTTAGTTGGACATGAACGAGAGTTCCGTGGAGAGAGAGGAAAGAGGAGAGAGACGGTGATTGAAGACGGGGACAAAAAACGAGTGACTAGGTGCGGACCGGTTTGTCGTTCAAAGCTCTCCCTCCATCTGCTCATCTGGCCCAAAGACAAACTCGAGGGACACGACTGTCGACGGCGTACTTGTATATTTATATGATTTATAGGTTTTAGATGCTTTATGTGTTTTATATATGCATATTGCCCGTCTTCGCATACAAGCACTTCCGGCCATCGTTTGTCTTTCCTTTACATGTCTCCAGCCCGCTTTGTTCAGCTTCAGCGGTGGTCTAATTGCTCTTTTCATGCTTCATGTTGTAATCCCCGTCTTGCGTCACCACAAGTGGGAATACAAACTTTATTCAATATTGACTACCCTGTGGCTTCCAGGGGATTGTACAGAGTCAATACGACCGACCACACGGCAACACACCGAAAAAAAAACACCAAAGACAAACGACAGGCTCTCCAAACTCCAAAAGTGAGGCTCCTCTTCGGCTCGTTACACCCAGCCCAGGAATACGCAGGCCAGGCAACACTCTGCCATCTTGCTCAACTGAAAGCCACTGAGACCAGAAACACGGCGTCCCTGTGCTTGGAGACGGCCCGTTCCATGTGTTCCTGTGTGCTCTTTGAAGTGTCCTGCATACTTGCTGTGCTCCTGCGTCCTGCGTCCTGCGTCCATCCGCATTACGCTTTACGCACAAAACACTCGCAGCATGTGCAGATGGACTCTGCAGCTGCATACTGGTGGTTTCGGTGGTAGTAGATTGTATGGGGTTGCAGCCAGAAATGGTGTGGAATACAAAGCTAGAGCATAACAAAATGCGTATCTGCCGATATGTATGGTGGCGGAGGCGGTCGACAGTGGACTGAGCGAGAAAGAGCTCCAAAATTGTAGGAATTGGCTGGATGAAAAGACGTAACTCGACATTGACAAAGTCAACAAGCAGCTGCCGATCTCAGCAGGATGTTCTAGAAGCTCTCTAAGCTCTCGAACAATCTCGAACCTCATACTCATGGACGGATCCAGGGCGTTATTTTCCGACAACCTTTCTCTAGTCAAAATCGTCGCTCGTGGATTTTTTGTCTCCGTCTCCTCTCTGTGGTTTTGTCTCTGACCTGTCCTGGTCTGTCTCATACCTGAGTCTGTCTCGAAGGCGTATCTCTGTGACCTCAACTTACATCGCCTTGATATGGGACAGCGCATAAAAACGCCACATTGCAATGCACTACCTCTGTATATATGCTCCCCGGTGTAGGACAAATTAATCATAGAATAAAGGTACAAGGCATTGTGCAAGGAATGCGAGAGAAGCCAAGTTGCCAATGCTCTCATCCTCGAGCGTGCCTATTTAGAAGTATGTCTTCTATCCTAACCAGTTACAATTAGCTGTCATATTTAGTTTTCGTTTTGCTCCCTAATATCCATGCAAAGGTATGGTGGAAAGATGAAAAGAAGCACTCTGGAAGACACAAGCTGACTGTGTGAAAAGCAAAATGGGACTTGGAAACGGAGGGTGGGAAATGCATTGGAATACGAACCATTCCCCTATTGGGCTCGACACAAGAATTGTGCTCGATGCTTCAGCTTCTTCTGTGTCTTGCCTCTGTTGTTCTCCAACCTTTATGTTGTGAAACTGGCGTTGTACGACCGCCGTATTTGGATACGGAACGGGCGACAGCAGAAGACAGAGATACGCGCCGCATTGTTGTTGTCTGCCCCTGGTCTGGAACACGCAAGGAAAGCAGGCGTCATCCTGGAAGCCGTGTGCGTTGTTTCGTCTCTCATTATCGCCCATGTCCTTGTCATTTTCTTGGTCTTGTGCCTGGTCTTTTGTCTCTCTAGTTTGCTCCTAGAACGACCAAAATAGAAACAAGAGCCGGATTTCGAGAGCAATTGTCTCTCCCTGTTCTTTTGTACACCACTGATTGTCCTTCTCCGTGAGGCTGAACATTGGCGGCAGTTTTTTCCAGGCCATTCGAGGGCCATCGTCAGAGAGATTGGAAGCAGCAACACAAAACGTCGTTTGCAGGACGCCACAGACGCGGTGGACACCGACAACAAATTGGATGACAGTTGGCAACCTTCAAGGGACAAAACGGTACAAAAGAGGCGAACCGAGGAGACGTGGCACTCACCTGTGGCTTTCTCGTTCTCTTTCATCTGAAGTCAGTTCATGAACGTATGCGAGTGAGTGGGTTCCAAGAAAAGTGCAAGAGGGTGAGAAGGCAAGCCCAGAGGCCCTTTGAAATCCATTCAGTGGCCTGGCAAATGTATTGAACGGAGTGCCCGCCTTGTCTTGCTTTGGATCTTTCCGAGCTGCTCTGTTCCCGCCTTGTCTCGGTGACCATGTTCGGTCGGGACCATATTAAGGTTGTAATCGAACGAGAAAACAAGATTGAGGAAAAGAGACAAAAAGAGGACACACCCGATGAAGAGTCCAGCATAGAGATCCGATTCGTACTCGACGGTTGTGCGACTGTTGTGGGACGTGGCACAGAAGCAAGTCGAGGGAGGTGCAGAATGCACTGAAAGGGGAGACTCTCAAAGGAAAGATAATGGCCTTTTAAATGGACGGCTATTATGGCAATGATAATCGAGCAACTTTCAGGGCAGCAATCGGTTTAAGGGGGACAATAAAAGTTCTTGTTTCAAAGAGGATGGCAAGCAGGTCGTATCCAAAATTGTACAAAATAATATTAGGAATGTAAAAAGTAAGTATCATGGTATGATGCCAGAACAAAACGTCATAAGAGCCAGGACGGCTCTTGTATCCTGATAACTCCTTCGTGTACCAAAACCAAACTGTATAAGTCGCGTCTATCGTGTTGTCGTTTCAATCCCATCAATTTTCGGTCGCAGCAGTGAAAGCTCCTTTGCATATCTTCAATCATCATATCATTCACCTTTTCAAGCTTTTTTGTCGCCCCATAGCGTCCGCTCTACAGAGACTTCTCTAGCAGCACCAGGTCCCGGAAGCCCTCTTTCCACTGCTTGGACTGGTCTGCTGTGGGCTTCGGCAGTGGGCTACGCGCATAGCCGCCGTACCCGCTCCATGCCTCGAGACCGGCCTTGACACCGACAACACCGCCCTGGATTGCCGTCCAGTCGCCCTGCGACAGAGTCTCTTGCATGGCCTGAGCCTCGGCCAGACGGCCCTTGTTGAACAGTTCGATGGTCTTGACGCAGGCCTTGGGCGCAATGTTTGCCAGGCCGGCCAGGATGCCGTGGCCACCAGCAACCAGTGTCTGGACGGTGAAGTCGGCCGAGCCGCCAAGAACAAGGAACTCGGGAGCGTCATCGCTCCCGGAACCCTCCTTCTTAGGGAACATCTTCCGCGTCGCCGCGGCCACTCGGTTCAGCTTGCCCGTGTTGCCGCACGTCAGCTTGACGCCCACGATGTTGGGGTGCGCGGCGAGTTTCACAATAATGTCGGAAGACAGATCCATGCCATTGACGGCACCGGGGAAGTTGTAAATCAGCAAGGGGATCGGCGACGCGTCCGCAACGGCGCAGAAGTAGTCCAGAATGGTCTGTGACGATGGTGCAAAGAGCGGGGCGTAGTAGGATGGTGGCAGCACCAGGGCGAAGTCGCCGCCTGAGGCCCAGGCATCCCGGCACAGCTCAATGGTCTCTCGCGTGCTCTGCGTACCGCAACCCACAATGATGGGCATGTGTGCAAATCCAGCCGAGTCAAGCGCCACACGGGTAGTCTTCGTGACGAGGCGGCGCTCCGCGTGGGTTAAGTGCACGGCCTCGCCATTGGAACCCTGGGTGGCCAGGCCCATGACACCAGTCCGTGCAAGACGCACAGCGTGCTGTGCGATGGTGTCCGTGTCAACATTCTCGGTGACTGGGTCGAAGAAGCACATAGTGGGGACGTAGACGCCCGGCAACAAGCGGCGCTTGCTGTTGTGAAAGTTGTCAACAACAACGTCGCCGTCATCGAGAGACGATCGGCTGTCAAAGGAGCTGCTGAGTGGCGACGAGTTGGTAGCAGTTGAGTCCACGAAGCCACTTAGCCGCAGGCCAGATGATGCTACCGCAGCCGGGATCCGTGGACCGAAGCGAGTAAAGCCAGCTGTGTAACTGCCAGCTGGCGAGGGAGCATCGTTGTGAGGTGACATGATGCTTGCGTGTGAATATGGAAGAGAGATGGTAACGAGATGAGGGGGATGAGAGGAGGAGGAAAAAGGAGAACGGAGAGCTTTGTTCTTGGAAAATTGATGTGTATCTCGAATGCACTCGGGGGAGATAGAAAAGTGAAAGTGGACGACGAGTGTTTCAAAGAGAGAGTGATGGGGGATGTGTTCAAGATAAATACTTGGACTACTCGTGCAAGTGACGAGAGAGGAAGTAGAAGGTAGCGCAGTTTAAATTGAGTAGACAAAGAAAGACATAAATATAAATAAAATAGCAACGAGGGAAGAAGAGACGTGTGGCCCAGCCGAAGGGGGGGGGGGGGGTGTGTATGGAACAAGAGTACGAAACTAGCAACTGACGCTTGTCGATAACTGGTGCTTGTAAGGAGAGAGGAAGTGGAAAGAAGAAAAGTGGGCAGAAAAAGACGATGGAGAAATCCAAACGAAAGGCGCAGTAGCGCAGTAGCGCAGTAGGACCATGAAAAAAGAGAAGAAAAAAAACATATTAGAGTCCGACATAAAAACAAATCAAGATTTGCAAAAAGGGATCCCAAATCATGGCCAGGCCTCGAAGAACTGGTCGTGGCACTGGCGCACCTCTCTCCCAGCCCTGTGGATCCGCCGCCCGGGTTTGGGACAGGATGGATGATGAATCGGCAAACCACGCGGACAGTCTTGCAATATTTTCTTCCTGCCCTGTGTCTTTTCGGTGATTATATTCATGTCGAGGTTTTTGACTCGTCAGTGTCTCCGATTAAGGGTCAGAGCTTGGCCTAAAACAGACAAGCTGGTGAAGCAACGTTGGATAAGAAGGAGGGCGGTGATCAAGATGAAGCCAGGGGTACCGTTGGTCAAATGGGGTGTAGATGGGGGTGGCAGAGGGGAGTTGAAAGGAGAGGCAGCAATAGCGGACAACGAGGGACAGCTGTGGGACGCGATGCTTGGAAGAGAGGACAAGCGGTGACGAGGGCGATGCTGTGGCTCTTGTTACTGGTCACCTTGTCGTCTGCTCGTTGGTCTTTCGCCTTCGTTTTCGTCCTGTTTTCTTCCGGGTTGTCCTCGGGTTGTTTTGCACGTATGACGACATGACAGGCCAGATTATCGAGTGAGTGTGCGTGAAGGCGCTGAAAACAAACACACAAGAATGCAAAGCCGGTGTAAGAGTGTGTCAGGAGGACAAAATTTTGGGGCTTTGCGAAGGAGGTTGGACTAGGTGGAATGAGTGGGTGTGTTGTTTCGAGGAAGTGTTCATTCGGCACCGGGCAAGGCGATGAGCAGAAGAAGTAGCTGGCGGCGGAGTGCAGTCCAGAGCTCGTATTGGTCTAGCTGGCTGAGAGCAGGACAGGACAGCCTCCTGTTGCGTCTGTCTCATTGAAGCGGAACCGTCCAAGAGGTCCTCTGGAGAGTGGATATTGGAGGCGACAGGGGCGAGGCCCAGGACAGAATTAATGTGGTTCTGTGTGGGGGTTAGCGTGGCCATATGATGCGAAGACGACAATACCGGGGCAATGCGAGGCGACGGGGCGTGCGAGAACCCAGATGCTGTGGAATTGAATTGAAGCGAAAATGGTCAGAAAAGGAGGCGGAAAAGTAAAAGGAACATCGGATCGACGGAGGAGGGGAAATGGAGGAAGGGGAGGAAAGGGAGGAAAATACGGGTTTGTTTTCGGAATTGACCATCGGAAGAAAACTTCAGGAGCAATGAACAACAAGATGCAGGAGCGAAGGGTCACGAAAGATGATAGTGGCAGTTGCAGATGACGCACGAAATAAGTGTTGCGTTTTTGTTTTGGCAGAATTGGGAAGGAACCAACATTGGTCATGTTCATGTTACCAACGCTAGCCCAGGAGGGGAAATAAATTCGACTTGTTCTGTTCGCTCTTTCCTCCTTGTTGGACCTGTTGTTTCTGGCTCTTTCCTTGGACACAATAAGCCATGAGAATGGGAAAGACCAGCCCTGGAAGGGAACGGATCAGAGCAAGGCAAGTACGAAATACTTTACGGCTTGGGGAACGATCACAAAAAAACGCGAAAGAAATGAAGGGGGAAAAAAGAAGAAGAAAAGAAACAAAAATAGGAAAGGAAAAAGAAGGAAAGGCCTGCAGGATCGTGTGTTTGCCTGCCCGACGCCGCCGAGACGCGTGTGCCAAGCCCATCAGGGCATGGCCATGTGACGAAATTGGCAGGAACGAGGCCGCCAACAGAAAGAAGAGGGCTCCGAAAAAGTAGAAAGGAAAGTGCTACGTTTATCAAAATGGGAAAGAACCACTTATGTCGTGAAACAAACGGGCACAGTTGGGTCTGTTTTTCTACGCAATGTGCAGTTCGCAGTTCTCTTCTAGGAGCATAAATGTTGCCGTCCGTTGTCTTTGTTCTTTTCTCTTGCACACAACCCGGTGGTCGGTTGAGGAAAACGCGACCAGGGTTATGCGCAAATGTGTACGACGTATGCGGCAGACGCGGCCACAGTTGACGGATAAGGAGAAGAAGGCAGAAACAAGATGATCATCCGAAGGCTGCCATTCTCATTACTCGCAGACCCATGAACAACGTTGGGGACAGGGACTGGATGCCGGCATTTGAACCAGGGTCAAGATAGACAGGACGCTGGTGGCTTCTAGAGTACTTGTATGTTGTACTCTGTTGTATCACTAGAAGAATTGCCTTCCCTTTTCTCCCATCCCATAATCGTGCTATTCTTATCGACGCTTCTGGTTTGTCGTATCAAGTCGTCAACAATGCAAGCTTCAGTTTCATTCTACAAGCCTTGTCATGTATATATACTTGAAATTCGCTTCAGTATGGGGCGTGTAAGCACAACGTGGCACTTTCGTTCCGCAAGGCCCAACCTTGTCCGATCAGGAAGAAGCATTTTTGACATAAAAGCATGGACCGGGCGTCATTTTGTTAGTCTGTCACGGCCCCCTGTACACCGCTTCTTACAGGAGACACAGTGATACATCGGAGTAGGAAAAAGAAAGCATACTTAAAGAAGCAGAAAAAAACACAAATATGAGGTCTGCATTCGGGCACTCGTGCAAATACTTGTCTGGAAAAAGAAAAGATAATCATAGAAGCAGTGAGCGAGTAAGATACGTTGTACGATGTATTATTGAACCGGTCAAAGCCACATCGAGTTTGATATTAACATGGCCTTGTTTTTATTTTCTACTTTATTTATTACTATTTCCTTCGTCTTAACGTACACCACCGCTACGTATCGGACTAAGCTTCTTCATGAGAACGTTTGAAGAGCAGACCGGAGAAGATTCAGACACATCGTTAAGTGGCCTGGGCCGCTTTCTTTTGTCGGATACGTCCTAATGTGCTCCGCACAATGGCGAGGCGTTCCGCTTACTCTGGTAATGAGAGGCCCGGTGACCACTTTTGGTTATTTACTTGCCCACATACGCTTTCCGACTGTGGAGTCAAATTGTGTTTGGAAACAGTTATGAATATCATGGACTCGCGGAACTCGCCCTGTACCTTTTCCGTCCACTTTCACCCCTTTTCTTACCTTTGTTTTCTTGTGCCTCTCAACAGCGAGTCCGATCGCCAAAATGTCCCATTAAGCCCCATGAAGTAAACGCCCCTCGGAAACAGACCCAAGAGGGCTCCGCAAACGGAAAATGAGAGACCATCAGATGGGTACTTGTTTGTGCTTGCTACTCTAACCCGGTGTATCTCCGGAGACAGATGGACTGCTCTGTTTACACACACACACACACACACACATATATATATATATATATATATATATAATACAAAGAAAAAAAAAATCCAGCCATGACGAACCTTTGTTCGCTGTCTTCGAAGCTTGCGAGGGTGGAATGTATAGAGTGCAGTAGGGCAAAAGGCTAAAGTAGCAAAACTACCCACTGCAGTAACTTTTTTTAAGACGAGTCGGAGTTTGCCGTGAAGGACAACGAAAACAGAAGAAGACAACAGTCGTACAACTTACTCTGGAACAATCGTGTCAGTGGTGGAAAAAAGAAAATGCAAGAAAACATGTCACAAACAAGGAGGCAAAGCCCCAGTCTGCGTCGGTACTTTGATCTAAGCCCTTTTTTTTATGTCTTATTTTTTTTTTTAAAAAAAAATCGTTTCTTATTTTCAGGCATCCCAGTCCCAAGGTCATGGTCCTGGATTTGCCACACACCGTCCCCCTTTCTTGCTTGGGAGGTTTCCCTAAATATTTTCTCTGGTTCTTTTCTGGGTGCGATGGCCGTGCCCAGCTTTCCTGTAAAATTGCAGTGGGCTTAAATCAGAAAACGAAACTTCAGACCAGACGTTGTATCACCGTTACAATGCCTGACGTGCCTCTCATCTTGTCCAGAAAGGGTGTAGTGAGCACAGACACCAGACTTTTCTTTTGAGCTATGCGGGGGTCAGCTTCTCTGCTTTCTAAACTGACAGGGGCATCGGGGAAAGTTGGGATTGGCGGAGGTAATGTGGCAGACCGCCAGGGCATTACTTTGCAAGATTTCCTTTTAAATATCAGCTCGCTCATAGGTTCAGTAACTTAGGGTCCACGACAGATAGTGTACGTTTGCTTTTATGGAGAAGCAGAATTTATGTGGATTGTCGAGCGCGTGACAGTATCTGTACAGCCAGTAGACATGCTTGCACGGGGCATTTCGAGACGAACAAAAAAAAAAAAAAAAAAAAAAAAAATACAACGAACGGGTAAAATAGGGAAAGGAAAAAGCGATGTTCTACAACATTGCGAATGTCTTCGTCCTCTCCTTCGGTCAATGCAACAGAAGATACCAAGTATTCAAAGCTCGAACCACAAGAGGCGGAAACACAGGCTGCCTTTGATTATTGTTCCCTGTCTCCCTGTCTCATCCCTGTCATCTCCAAGCTCTCCAATGGGCCTAACCCCCACACTATTTTGGCACTGTTTGCCTCCCAGCCGGGAGCTTTTCGTGTTTTTTTTTTGTTCCAAATGTGACAGGGATCCGATAGGATGGGGAAGATGACCACTGTCTCGTGTGCCTGAGCCTCCACTGGCCTCGAAGCGAGCCCATCTGCACCCGAAACCCCTCTTTCGACGAATTTGACTCTCAACGATATGATTTCCCCTTTTGACGTTTGCACTTTTTTTTTTAGATAGACTTCCCCTTCTTGTCATATGGTAGGCAGATGTCGGCTACAGTTACGCGAACGGGCCGAGATTGGAAATAGTGAACAGAAAAAACCACAGCAAGATGTAAATGGTGGAGAGTGACAGCGTTGTTCTGCTCCAGCTTTTTTTGCTTTGCACACATCTCACTCCACATGTATCCCCATCCACTTTATGTTTCACGCGTGATTCCTTGCAGTATCCATCCATTGTCTGACTGTTTGATTTTGACTCTTTTTTTGTCGACACTCTTCGTGTGTGCCCAACTGTTACGACGCAAGTCGCGGCTATCCGATATTGGGTTACAACGGCCATCGAACACGACTCTGGCCGCCAACGACCAAGAGTCATGGAGAGGACAAAGAAGACAAGCAGACCAGGACTCCATTCACGCCTGGACCAGTCAACGATGTACATATGTCGATGCATCGATGTATGGGGAATGTTGTAATATTAGGCTCGCTCCTGCACGTCTCCGATCGACTTCGTATTAGGCCGAGTTTTGTTGTCTGACTTCCTTTGACATTTCCTGGCGGCTGTTTTTACTTCGTTCGTGGTGATACTACCCCCGACTTTTCTGACTTTCCTGTATATCCTCGTTATGCTTCCTCCGGCTAAAGCTGGCCAGCTGCAGCTGAATTCGACAAACCTTTCTCCAAGCCACCATGATGCCCGAGATCGACGCTGTCGACTTCCGTTTCCATCCGTCATCATGAATTCGGCCCTCCTTTCTTGTGATCCTGCATCCTGCAAGCTTTGAAGGACTCGCTCTCAAAATAGGTATTGACTGCGGCTGCAATCTATCAAACGTGAAGGAGACGCTCTCGACATTAGTCTCTTGGTATTGTCGGAAGCGTGTCTGACCAAGGCAGGACGCAACAACGTTGTGCATTAGACGCGTTATCATATGTCACGACAAGCGTCTCGCACAACCCCTCTTTCTTTACCGGGTGCTGCCCCAGATTTTCGTTTCCCCACGTCCGGGAAATGAAGAAGGTTGACTGATGTCCTTTTTCCCTTTCCATTTCCCGCCCCTCCACCATTGCATTTTTTACATTAACCACCCACGTATGTAGTAGATTTGTTACTTCCGCTCGAAAGACGCCGTTCAAGAGAGCTGATGGATTTGATGGATTATGGAAGATGGGCGAGGAAGGAGGATGCGTCAGACTAACTAAGAGCAATCAATGGGTTCAAAGTTTGCGAATCTCGTGATGCTTATAACGTCCTTTTATTACTACTGCGCCGCAGGTCCGCTTCAAATGGGGACACGAGAACGCTTTGAAAAAAAAAGGTCACGGATTCCAGACTTCGCCAGATGGAAATAGTAACGGGTTTGCGCAGTCCAGGTCCATCCTAAAAAGTGTTCTCATCCAGGCCTCCTGACAAGGACCATACTCAATATACCCACATCCGGTGACACGATCGGATATCGACCGACCCAAGAAAACACCCTGTCTCTGTATGCTTCCCGGCTGGCCTGGTCTCGGAGAAACCGCACACAAAGACAATAAACTGTTAACAGCTTCTCCCGATTATACCGGCGAGAGTGGTGCCATGGCCACCTGTTCCTTATACCTGTCCCAGTTGCGTCCAGCGTGGTGCACTTCGAAAGGCACCATGTATCCGTAATCGCGCAGCCGCCTCTTCGCTACCTCCCATCCCTCATATTTTGCCTACTTCGTCCCTTCCATTCCCTCTTGTGGACACCACTTGGGTTGGCATCCCCCTCATGCACGCAAGTGCACGCTTGTCCTGCACCCCGCAATCTGGACCTGCCCTCCTGACGCTACGACTTACGACGTACAAGGTACGAACTGCTGACGAGGGGTTCGCTATGGGCTTGGCTTCTGTCGTCGACAGGAGGGTCGTCGGGCCCCGAGGAGGTCTGCCCGAATATTGCCTAGGGGCGTGGATGTATCGCAATGCGCTGGCGTACTGATGATGGTTGCTTGGGTGGATGTGAGGTGCGAGGGAAGTAAGAGGAGCGAGAGGAGCGAGAGGAGCGAGAGGATCATGAGGAGCTTCAAGTTGAGCCTTGTGGTTCGGACGTTGAGTGAGACTGCATACGCAAAAGTCAGTTCTCTCATAACGACGAGGACAACGCCCGGTTCTACCAAAACTTCATCCGATGCACTCCCACAACTAGCCAGACTGCACACAACACGTGTTGGTTGCAGCAAGACATCACCAGACGTCCGTCTCCACGCCTTTAGGGAAATGAAGGCGAACTCTGCAATGCATGGGAACCAAGAATTTCCCCAAAAATGCTGTAGAACGAGAACGAACCGGCCAGCCGTGAACACGCCGGTATATGTCGTTGTTCCTTCTTGGGCATATCACAAATCTCGTGGCTGCCACACAAGAACGGATGGGCCCGAGACGCGGCTTGGGCACGAAATATTGATATACTTTGTATTGAATGTACATTCGTCGCAGCGTGGTCGTGTCAAACAGGTTGCAATGTGTCCATGTCATGGAGTACCTGCCTTAGACTCGATGGTATTGGTCGAGTTGGCTTGAGTGGCAAAGTGGCAAAGAGACGGCGCCAGGAGGGATAGCTGGAGGACATGGCGAGTCTCCGAGAAGCATGCGAGTGCTGGCTCCTCGCGTCAAAGTCGAGAGACAGAGAGGGCTGCAGAGCATGGATGGCGCTCGACCATATCAGCGATTGAGCCCCCGCCATGCACAACATCGACATGATCTTCGCGGGCGGCGTACATGTACAGTCGCATCACCTGCCTCTGGTCCTGCATCTGTCGATCGGTAGGTGTGCCGTGTAAGTAAAAGCATAACACAGATTATGAGCGAGCATGTATCCGACCTATGGTGGCGATCGTGGCTGGGATGACACTGAGATCGGAAGTCGATGGTGGTCACGCGACAGAGACACTGTGTCGGCAGACATTGTGTCGTTCGGAGATTTTGGCCACTTTAGACACTGGACGCTGGCCCGAGGTTTGGCTCAACGCACAGCCTGACCCGAAGGACCAGCGTGATAGAAGGGTGTGGGATTAGCAAAGCGGGCGGAGAGAGATGCCGCTGGCTGGTGCGGTTGCCGGATCCAGACGAAACAGCTTGGGGTGTAGGTCGGATGGTGGTCAACACTAACGTCGATACACGGAAAGTGGCCAGTGGTGGACTTGTCGATTGTCAAGCTGACATCCCGAGGGATGAAAGAGGGCTGCCCATGGGAAGCGGTCGACGCTGATGAAGCTGTTTATGATAGCAGAAGTAAACATCTCGCTCATTCCACGATGATCGACTTCACCTCCGTTTTGAACGGCGTCAACCAGCCCTCATGTCGCCGTCAAGCCCCCCCCCCCCCAACTAGAATGCCAAAGAAAGCCATTGTCAAGGCTGGATCCTTCTTTCCCGAAACTTCCTGAGTTTCCCCCACGGATGTTTGCCACAAACCACGACACCAGAAGCTTGAGAAGGATGTGCCCTGAGCAAAGTACGTTGCCGACGCCACCAAGCCGCTCACTGAAGCGGTATGTGTCGCCCGCCCTTCGACCTGGTTGGAATGTGCGTCTAGCCTCTTCGGGTGGATTGGGGGAGGCTCACAGCTGTGTTAGAGATTCCCTGGCCTAGTTGCTCGGGGTGTGAAGCGAGTACGTAAGAGTCGACTGTGATGACTTACATATGAAAAACGTGGGTAGCTTGGGTCTGGTCACGCCGGTGAGGTCTTCGGAAGAATGCAGCCACTCAGGATGCGCGCGCACCTGCATACGGCGTCTTCGTCGGCGTGAAGTGACGATAATTTGCCTCTCGTGGGGGTGGACGACGAGAGAAAGGTTGGCAAATCAGAAAGGTGGCGAGAGAAGCAGAGACGGTTAAGGTGAGAATGGGGGTCGTTGGAGAGAGTCATGCCCGCTCTTTCCTAAAACGGAAGACAGTCGAGAGTGTCCAAACAGGGGCAACGAAGACAAAAATGAAAAAGCGGAAAGGGCAAGAGCATTTGGACAGACGGCAGCAACGACTGGGTAGAAAAGATTGTAAAGTACAGAAAGAGCGACCGACCCAAAATATGACATGACAAAATACCCCTGAACATCAACCAAACTGCGACTTTTCTTCCTCTCCAATCACCCTAAATCACCGACCTCTCCTAAACTGTTGTCCCTTTCTGGGATAGTTGTTGTTTGGCATTTCTTTCGGCACTTTATTGTCTTGATTTTCGTCTCCCCTGTACGATCAGGTACGGTGACGCGTGCCGGCATCGCAGGGCAGTCTGATTCTCATTACGTGGTCGAAACCACGCAACGGAAGACGACCTCTCCTCTTTTTTCTGCGCTGGGAGCATCTCCTGCGTTTCCGGTAATTACAAACGACTCTCGCGACAAGCGGCAAAGGCAATAATCCATGTAGTCCGTTGTCGGCCAGGACATCCCGATGTTGCATCACTTGTTCTGCCCTGCAGAAACTATTCGCAAATGTGTCGGCTTCATATTCGATAACCAATACACTTTGGATCGGAAGTTTAGTGGGAAAGTTAGATTGCATTTACTGACTCGCAGGTATTCGAGACCCTGTGATTTTCAACATCTCTCACAAGACGGGCCTCAAAGGTGATCTTCATTAGAAGTATGTGATACCCTATCCCCTCACGAAAAACACAAAAATGATTCAAGCTGCATTACTTCTATACCGTTATGCTGTAGCTTTTGCCCAGCCGCTTCAGCAGGTGCTGCTCTGCTGTCAGCACATCGCCGCCATCTAGCGGCGCACTGCCGTCCAACGGAGCCAGTTTTGTGTCGAGGTTGCCGTCGACGAAAAAGGGAATCGAGTAGCGGTCTGTCGAGCCCCGGTTGATCACCCGGTGCACATTGCTCTTGTAGACGTTCTTGGTCCAGAGGCTCAGCATGTCGCCCACGTTGACCACGTACGCATCCGCGTTGGGCGCCACCGCCACCCAGTCACCCGTCGCTGCGTCGAGTACCTCGAGGCCGCCTGATCCGTCCTGGTAGAGCAGCGTCACGGCGCCAAAGTCGGTGTGTGCGCCAGCACCCAGCTGCCGGGCGTCCTCGCTGCGCTGTGGCGGGTAGTGCAGCAGGCGCAGGTTGCACACCGGGTCATTGGCCACGAACTCGGCGAATACGTCGTCGCCGTAGGGCAGGCCGCGGGCCAGAACGGCGAGTACGGTGCGCGCCAGCCGCAGGACGGCCGTGTAGTATGCCTCGGCCGGCTCGCGCAACGTGGCCTCGTCAAAATTATCGGCGTCGGCGGGAAAGACATTGGCGCCCATGAGGAGCGGGTGCTTGTGGGCGCGGGGATCGCCATACGGAATGTCTTGGCCAATAAAGAAACCCTCTTTCAGGTCGGGCAGGGCGCCTTCCTGCAGCACTTGAGCGCCGATGAGTTCGTAGCCGCGGTTGAGCAGCGCCGACCCGATTGGCGGCCGCAGTGTCTTTTTTGTCTCCAGCGGGAGGGCAAACAACTTGGCCGAAGCGGCGAGAAGTCTCTGCTGCAGGTCGCGGGGCACATTATGGCCGACGAGGGAGAAGAAGCCGGTGGCCATGCAGGCGGTGCGTACGTCGGCGACGACCTGGGCGGAGGCCTCGGACGTGGGATCCGCCAGGAACGGCGCAATATCGATGGTAGGGATATGGAAAGGCATTTTGTTTCGAGCTAACGATTGCGAAAGTTGTCCCCTTTTCCTTTGTATATAAAGTTGATTGATCTTCGTTGTCTTTTGTACCTAGTCCCGGAGGCGCTCGTGGTGGCCACCGCCGACGACACCTAACGTTTTGGGAAGATAAGACTGCTTGTGATGCCGAACCTGCCCGTGCTAGTAGAGGCCATGCGACCATTTCAAGATGTCGTCGGGTGGTTGGCGTCCCGTTCACGTTCGTGCACAACGCTCGATGTTGAAGATAAAACGACGTACAAGTACCCTTATCCGTGTAAGACGGCCCCTTGCGGAGAGGCCACTACTGCAGCCAGCCAATAGCCGTGATGGCTTGGCGCTTATCAGTTGGCGGAGGCTGCCGATATTTCGCTGATTTCTCGGCTTTACATGTTGTGTTCCCTTGAGACACTTGAATATTACACAGGTCGGATGCACCACCAGTGAAACTATTTGACGATACTCATACAATTCTGCTATACAACGGCACGTTTACCGTACAACGATGATTCGCCAGCACTCTGGCTGGACTGACAAATTGACTGAGTTGTGAGACACCCAACACCGAACGGCCTGCTACCGTTCCCTACCACCGTCGACTAGGCCTGTCGCTCTCACCCTGACGCTCCTTCTCTAGCATGGCGTCAAAGTCCTTCTGCGCCTGATTGCGCGCATACGACTTCTCCTCTTCGTCTTCGTTGAACGTGTAGTCGCCCGTCGTCGGCCGGTTGCTGTTGTCTTGTTTGCTCGGAGGCTGTGGCGGCGATTTGCCCTTGCGCAACGCCTCCCAACCGTACTGTCCCGGCGGCGACTGCGAAATGGCCGTGGGCTTCTCACCCGCATGTCCCGGTGAGCGCAGGCGGTCCCAGGCGGTGCCTTCGCCCGTCCCCGACGTCGGCTGCTGCTTCCAGCTGCTCCTGCGGCGCTGCTCGGCCGGTGACACGGGCGAAGCGTCGTCGTAAAAGTCGTCGTCGGGACCGGCGCTATAGTCGTCGTAGCTTTGTGTCTGCGGTTGTTGCTGTTGCTGCTGCTGTGGCGGACTCTGGTATTGCTGGTATTGCTGGTATTGCTGGTACTGCTGCTGCTGCTGGTCTGGCAGCACGCCGCGCTGCTGCGCTTCCTGATCCCGCCCGCGCGTCTCAAGAGCCTGGCGCGCCCCCGCCGTAGCGCTTGCGGCGCGCTCTGCGGTCTTGAGGATGGAATCCGGACCTCGTTTCGCAGCGAGCGCGGACTTGAGGCTCGTCCGCAAATTCGCCAACCGCGGGTCCCTGTCAAAGACGTACGAGTTGGCCACCGTGCCGTACGCAAAGAAGGCCGTGCGCAGCATAAAGTGCGACGCCGCAGCATACATACTGAAGCGGAACACGTGCCAGGCCGTCCGCGCCATCGGGCCCTCGATGAGGCGCGACGTCTTGGTCGGGAACACATTGGGGTCGAACCCTTCTTTCGGCTTGTAAAAGGGGAAGCCAAACGTCGGCCGCGTGCGGCGTTCTAGGAATATGGAGGTGCCCAGCATCACGGGGAACTCGTAGGACATTGTCGTTGTCAGCCCGGCCGTCATGTTGGCGAGGATCTGCACCTCCTCCTGGCTGAGCATGCGCTGGGCACGCGAGCGCATGCCGATCACGGACATGGCAATCGTGGCCCGGTACCAGCTGTCGTCGTAGCCGACCAGCCTGCTATAAAACGGAAGCTTAGGCAGCTCGTCCCAGCGGATGGGGAGGTACTGCGAGAGCGCGGCGGCCTCCTTGACGGATTTGACGTGGATGCTGCCGAGGGCGTTGGGGTCGGCATTGAGGTCGACGGGGCCCTCTCCGCTGCGGTTGTTGGCCATTGTGGGTGGGAGTGACCGTAGCTGGAGACTAGCCAGCCGTTGCCAATTGAGTTGGAAGAGGTGCTGGTGGTGGGTGTGAGAGGAGTTGGCGTCGAATGCGCACGCAGGTGTTGAAGCTGAGAAACAGGTGGCGATCACTAAAGAGCTCTAAAAAGCTGGCATTAGCTAGCGGGGTGATGAGATCATTCCCGTCCAGCTACACTCCCTCAGCTCCGGCGAAAGCATTTCGCATCACGTGCGAGCGCGCCACAAGCACCAGCCACGGTCACACAACGGCTGTCAACGTCTGTGTCAGGAAGGACCCACCGCGACATCGACGCGTTGTGGGGTACGGACACACAGCTCCCTGGCAACACCGACGCGTCGAATCGCGTTCCACTGTCGTTCTCTGTATTTGTACGGCAAAATGCACACGGCCACACAATCCACACAGTCGCAGCCCACACAATCACACCGTGGGCGAATAGCAGAGGCCATGCTGCATCCACCACAACACGCACTACCGCATGCCGACCTCACACGGCCCACCAATCCAGCCTCCCGTCCGACCAATGCTGCCTGGCGAGTCCGCTGCTTTGTCCAGCGAGCTTTGTTGCCATACATGAACAGACCTTATGTGAGTGGATTGGTTTGAGAATCGACTGGACGACCACACGCATGGGGACTAAACTAACCGACAGAAACACTACGGCAACCGGCCATGGAATCGAGTCTCGCACGCTCCACGGCCGAATCCTCCTCCATATCCTCCGCCGTTGCCACTACCACCTCCGCCGCCCATTGAGGTGTCCGAGACGACCAAGAACAAGCTGAAGAAGTTCCAGTTTCGTGAGAAGAAAAAGAAGACGGCGAAAGCGAAGACGGCTGCAGAGAAGTCTGTCGACGTCGACAAGCCCGTCATCAACGCAGCCAACACGAAAGGAGACCCCGTGCAGGCGATAGAGGTTGACGAGATCCAAGCTGCCGCGATGGCGCCAGATACGGCCTCGAAGAAGGCCAGCCAGAAGGCAGGCCGGCGAGATAGCCAGCGAGACAGCCGGAAGGGGAGCCAGCCGCGACAAGCAAGCCAGACAAAGCCCAGTTCGATACGACCAGGAGACGCGGCATCGGTAGCAACATCCACACCGCCAGACTTGGACAAGGAAAACGCCATTGCAAAAGATGGCAAGGATGGTACGACCAACGGGGCCACGGCCTCAGCCACCGGTGACCTCCCCAGCACACAGCCGAGCAAAATCACGCCCACGGTTGCTGCCACGCCCGAGTTCTTGAGCATCCACGTCCGCACACCCCGGGCCCGCTTTGCTTGGCAGGAGCTCGTTGGCACGCCCGACACCCCCAAGATCCGCGAGTCTCTCGGTATCTCGCCCGACGCCAAGCTGTCCTGGGTGACCGGCCAGAACCATGATCCCTCTCCTGTCGCTGCCGCCGTCGCTGCCGCCAAACAGAAGCAGGGCACCAAGCGTCCGCGCAGCTGCAGCCCGCCCTCGTCGCCCACCAACTCGCGCTCCAAAAGGGTTGCCGAGAATGTGCAAAAGTTCAAGGAGGTGATGGCTTCGGCCACGACGGCCAACCTGGCACTCGAGGCCCGCTTCCCGCAGAGACGCAACGGGCTGGCACGGCACCGGACCGAGGTCGGGCGATTGACTGTGCGTAGCGAGACCCCGGGCGCTGACTCGTCAAGAATTGGGCTGGAACGGCCGGCCAACCAGCCTGCAGCAAACGGACCATCACCACGAACTGCGGCCGGCTTGCGACGCTCCATGAGCTGTAACACGTTGACGACACCAACAACAAAGCGGCGAAAGACAGACGGCAACGACCTGGGTGCTGCGCCAAGCCCACGCGGGACGATTCCACAACCACGGCAACCATCCGTACCACAAGAATCACGCCCACCGAGCCGGCAACAAGTATCAGCACCACCGCCTCCATCACGGCAAGAAGAGGCACTGGCAGAAGACGAGCTGGCAGACCAGGTCGATACGGTCGATATGGTCGACGCAGAGCCACCTGTCAGGCCTGCCTCACCCGTGTCTCTTCACCGGCTTTCCCTTACTGTCAACGACGACGCTTCTCGGGAGAAAGATCCCAGTATTCCAGATACAGAGTCCAACGGCAAGCCTGCCACAACTGAACCAACAGAAACAACGGACGCAAGAGAAATGACAAAATGGACAGAAACCAAGACCAAAGACAACGTGTCCGACTACGGCAACGATGTCTTTGACGACTTTGACGACCTTGATGACAACCTCTTTGACGACGACATGCTGGCCGAGATCGATGCTAGTCTGGCGCCCCCCAAGCGATCCGATACGGAAACGAAGGTAGTTGCCGCAAGAATGGCCGATACCGGTGCTGAGGACGAGTTTGGCGACCTGGGCGACGGCCTCGATGACGACGTATTTACCGCCGTGGCCGCTGCAGAGAACGCTACGACCAAGAAGAACCAACAGCAACAACCCATTGACCTCACAAGCTCAATACCCCGGGCCGACGACACCGTCGACACCAATGCCGCCTACACCAAGCCGGCGCCTGCCGCTGCGCCTTCAGCCCAACCAGGAGTGGCTGACATGGAGGACATGTTTGGCGGCGACGACTTTGGGGAAGACTTTGATTTCGAGGCCGCTGAACTTGCTGCCACCCAAGCAGCCAGCCGCGCCGGCCCAGCGTCCACAGCCGTTACGCCCTGGGCCAACACACAAAGCGTATGATGCCACCCTCATAGAATGGCCCGATAGAGTATATGGATATGATGGAATGACTGCTTTGGTTCTTTCTTACGTCCTGTGTACTAAGACCTGTCTCTCTCTCTCTCTCTGTAGTCCAGCCACAAGCGCAAGGCCATTCAGCGATATCTTGTAACCAACGTGCTCATTTCGTCGTACCATGACGAGCGAGAGAGGCTATGCCAAGAAAAGGTACCTGGCCTTGCTGAAACACCTGAAAACCCTACTTGCGTCTTCCGACCCGCGCTGACACTTTCAGATACTCGTTGTGCAGGCAGACGGTGACCGGTCAGGCTCGATGCGCGCCGTGCATCTGCGCGGCGACTGGTTTGACACACCGGCCGCCGTCAAGGCCTACGTCCATGTCCTCGGCGAGTTTGACGCGACCGGCATGTGCGTTGTCGACAACGACCACGGTATGCTCATCCTGCACCCGGACCAGCTTGTTTCTGCCACCAACGTTGCCGAGTCCTTTGACTGCACGCGTCGTGCCGTCCTCAAGGACCGCGTCAAGTCGGCCAGCGACGCCAGCCCGCCCCTCGTCTACGGCACGCTGCTGCACGAGATCTTCCAGGAGGCACTCATGAGCAACCAGTGGACGGGCCCCTTTTTGCGCACTGCCATCGACTCCGCCATCCAAAAGCACCTCGAGGATCTCTACATTGTCAAGCTTGACGTGCCCACGGCCCGCGAGTATCTCTTAACCCGCACCCGCGAGCTGCAGTGCTGGGCCGAGCTCTTTGTGGCACCGAAGCCAAAGGTACGTCGTGCCTGTGCCTGTGTGAATGTGAGGAAATACGGCGCGGAATTTGATTACGAGACCAATCTAACTCGTGACAGCCCGGTGCAAATGCTGCAGGCCGTAATGGCGAAAAAGTTAACATGTGTGTGAGCAAGCTGCTAGATGTCGAGGAGCACGTCTGGTCGCCCATGTACGGCCTCAAGGGCAACATCGATGCCACCGTCCAAGTCACCATGAACGCCGGCAGTGACAGCAAGACCCTCACGGTGCCCTTTGAGCTCAAGACGGGCCGCAACGCCACGGCGGCGCACCAGGCACAGACCGTGCTGTACAACCTGTTGCTGTCCGACCGCTATGACATTGAGATTGTGTACGGCATTCTTTACTATACAGAAAACTCGCAGATGATGCGTATCCCGGCCGTCCGCAACGAACTGCGCCACATGATCATGAAGCGCAACGAGCTTGCCTGCCACATCCGCGAGAGCAGCGTCCAGTTGCCGGACATGCTGCGCAATCGCAACGCCTGCGGCCGCTGTTTCGCCCAGACCTCGTGCTTCGTCTACCACAAGCTCGCCGACGAAGGCACCGCCGAGACCAGCGGCATGGGGGACAAGTTCAACGAGATTGTCGGCCACCTCACGCCGAAGCACCGCGACTTCTTCTTGAAGTGGGAAGACCTGCTCACCAAAGAGGAAATGGTCGGCCTCAAGGTCCGCCGCGAGCTGTGGACCATGGTCAGCGCCGAGCGCGAGAAGCTCGGGCGCTGCTTTGCCGACGTCATCATTGAGCAGGGCTCCGCGTACGAGGAGGCCGGCAGCAGCAAGGTCAACCGGTTCCACTACACATTGGTCAAGGAGCACCCGACGCCGGGCTTTTCGTTTATGGACTCGCAGCTGGCCGTCGGTGACCCCATTGTTGTATCGGACGAGGACGGCCACTTTGCGCTCGCCATTGGGTTTGTCATGGCCATTCGCAAGCAGCGCATGGACGTCGCCGTCGACCGCCGCCTACACAACGCCCGCATCCGTGAAGCCGGCTTCAACGAGAAGATGAACCAAGTCTTTGCGGGGATCATGGAGGCGGGCGCCGGGCCAAGGAAGCGAATCGGTATCGAGGAGAACTATGGCGGGCGCTCGCGGCTGGGCAACGACCGCAACGGCAGCAACAATGCGCATGCCGTCCGCTACCGCGTGGACAAGGACGAGTTCAGCCAAGGCATGTCCACCGTGCGCAACAACATTGTGCAGATCATGGCGGGCCACCGCGTCGGCCTGCGCGAGATTCGCCAGCTCGTTGTCGACCTCGTTCCGCCGCGCTTCAAAGCGGCCCCTACACAGTACGTGCTGGACGACGGCGACGGCACCGATGCGCTCAACGTTGACCAGAAGCGCGCCATAGCCAAGGTCATGAGCGCCCAGGACTACGCCCTCGTGCTGGGCATGCCGGGCACGGGCAAGACGACGACGATTGCACACATTATACGCGCCCTCGTCAGCCAGGGCAAGAGCGTGCTGCTGACCTCGTACACGCACACGGCCGTCGACAACATCTTGCTGAAACTGCGCCACGCGCAGACGCCCATCCTGCGCCTCGGCGCCCCGTCCAAGGTGCACCCCGACGTGCGCGACTTTGCCATCCTGGCGGCCGAGCCCAAGGCGAGTCTCGAAGACATCCGCGCGGCGTGGCACGACACGCCGATCGTGGCGACGTCGTGCCTGGGTATTGGGCACGCCCTCTTCAACGAGCGCATGTTCGACTACTGCATTGTCGACGAGGCCAGCCAGATTACGCTGCCCATCTGCCTGGGCCCCATCCGCATGGCGCGCACGTTTGTGCTCGTGGGCGACCACAACCAGCTGCCGCCGCTGGTGCAGAACGAGGAGGCGCGCGTGGGCGGGCTGGACATTTCGCTGTTCAAGCTGCTGTCGGACACGCACCCCGACTCGGTGGTGAATCTGGAGCACCAGTACCGCATGAGCGAAGACATTATGGCGCTGAGCAACACGCTGATCTACCAGGGGCGCCTCAAGTGCGGCACCGAGGCGCTGCGGACGCGCACCCTGCATGTGCCCGACATGGCGCGCCTGCACCAGCACCATCACAACGCCAGCTCCATGGCGCGCCTGACGCCCGGCAGCAGCTTTTGCGCCATGGGCGGCAGCGCGGCCTGCTGGCTGCGCGATCTCGTGCGGCCGGAGACGCGCGTGGCCTTTGTCAATACGGACTCGATCGACGGCAGCCGCGAAGAGGCCAAGGGCAATCGCATTGTCAACCCGTGCGAGGCGCGCCTGGTGACGCAGCTCGTCGAGGCGCTGCTGACGGTCGGGGTCCCTGCGTCGGAGATTGGTGTGATGACGCACTACCGCTCGCAGCTGGCCCTGCTGAAGCACCAGCTGCGCGGCGTCAAGGCCAGGGGCAGCGACATTGAAATGCACACGGCCGACCGGTTCCAGGGCCGCGACAAGGAGGTCATTGTCCTCTCGCTCGTGCGCAGCAACGAGTCCTGCAGCATCGGCGATCTGCTCAAGGACTGGCGCCGCGTCAATGTGGCGTTTACGCGGGCCAAGACCAAGCTGCTGGTCGTCGGCAGCCGCAGCACGCTCCAGGGCACCGGCTGTGTGGAGAGGGACAGGAAAGACAAGAAGGAGCGGATGGACAGAGACTTGCACAATGGCGAGACCGGCGAGGAGATGCTGGCGCGCTTTGTGCGTCTGATGGAAGAGCGCCGCTGGATCTACGACCTGCCTGCCGACGCGCTCGACAACCACCTGTTTGAAGAGCTGCCGGCGACCCAGGCGGCATCGGCCTCTCTGGGCGCGTCCCTTGGAGCCGAGAAGGGCATGATGGGCTATGGCGGCGGCGCGCGCTTCCCCGGCAAGGACGACAACTACAACCAGACGACGCGGTCTGTGCCGCCGCAACCTGTGGCGCGGATACAAGCACAGAAACCGTTCAAAAAGGTCGGTCCGGCGACCGCAAAACCACCAAGTCGGCAGGGCATCGTTCCGTCCGCCGGCAAAGAAAACGCGCGACCAGGGCTTCTGCAGCCCGGCAAGCGGGTCGGCAGGGATAAAGAGGCCCTGCTGAAAGGACGGCCCGTGCTGCAGGGCATTCTGAATGACATGATGGGCGGAAAGCATCCAACATGATTGGGATCGGTGCTCTATTGTGCTGTGGGCTTTTTCTTTTCGTTTTTATTTCTTCTTGGCAAAGTAAACAAATCATGGGCAGAGGCACAAACGGACGGTTCAGCATTGCACAGGATTGGATGGCGTTCATTTGTCGGTTTGAGTATGTTTCTTCAGTCTGGATTAGCCTTATTTTGGAAAACAAAGCCATATATTGACACAACAGCTGTAAAGATGCATGCTTCGTCAGTGTCGGATGAGTAGAGTGCCTAAAGCCGTCGTAAAGAGACTCCACTGATCGCGCCGAAAGGCATTACGACGTCGTATACAAGACTGGCCCAGTTCTTGAGTCGTTTGTGAACGTCACAGTGTCGTGTATCATTTTGAGCTCATCATTAACTATATACAATTTTGCAGCGTATTCCCATAGGATTGAAGTGCCAATTTCGTTGAATCGTAAGCGTAAACATTTTGGGTCAAAAACAGCCAAGAAATCAAACATGTGTTTGCGGGTTGAGCATCTTTTCTCATCATTCATGCGGTCTGTGATGCTGCTGTCTGCGCCGTAGTCTCTGCCGTAGCCACCACTGCAGCCGCTGTGGTTGTTGCGATCACGGCGGCGGCGGCGGCGGCCTCGGCTCTCTGCTGCCGTATAGCGGTACTGCTGATCTTGGAGTCAAAGTTCTCGGCGGCAGCGGTTGCTTCCCTTCCGGACGCCGACTCGTCGGCCGCAGCGGCCATCTCGGCCACGGCCTCGTCCGCACTCAGCACGTCCACCACAAACGTCTCCAGCGGTAGCCAGCCCCGCGCTGCGCGCTTCTCGTTGACGGCCCGGCCGCCCGACCGCGTCTCGCCCGACACCACGAGGCTCGTAATGTCCTGCCGTTCCACCGTCGGCCCAAACGCGTCGTGGATGCGCACACACTGCACGACAATGGACTCGTTGCGGAAGGTGGCCGTGAAGGTGCCGTCCTTTTCGTCGATCTCGGGCCCAATCTTCTCCTCCCAGCCGTCGCGTGACAGGTTCAAGACGGTCGCCAAGAAGTTGATGACGTTGCGCGCGCGCTCGTCCCACGGCTGCACGTACTCGGCGAACTTTTTGTTCTTGAGCAGCTCGTCGCCCGTGACGCCGATGATGTACTCGCACGGTCCGCTCGACATGGGCAGCGGAACGTCCAGCAGCAGCGCGCCGGCCGTCAAGAGCAGCTTGTGCCCCGGGTGCAGGTAGTCAAACGTCCCGCCGAGGCACACCGTCTTGTGCAGGGGCGTGGGGATGTGGATAATGTGCGACGGTGTGATGGTGCCCGACGTGAGGCCGGACGACGTCCCCGTCCTCGCCGTGGTGGCGCCAACACGCAGCGTCAGGCCGCCGTCCACCGGAACAACCTGGTCGTCGGTCGTCTTGTGCACCAGCTGCGCAAACTTGAGGTACTGGTTGCTCAAGTGCAGGCCGGCCTCGCTTTGCGGGTAGAAAATCTTGTTCCAGGGGTGATACGCCGAGGCGAACGAGGGCAGGTCCACGAGCACCGTGTTGTTCGGCTCAATGATGGGCATGTACTCGGGGAACCGCCGCTCGCGGTCGTGGTCCAGCAGCACCACGCGCGTGTCCACCGAGCCAGGCCCGCCGTCGACGTCGGTTCCAATGCGCAGCTTCTCGCACAGCACGGCCACGATTGTGTACAGGCCGGCCAGAAGCGACTGGGCATCCGGCCAGGCGAACCGCTTGCTGTCTTGCGAGGGCCCGCCCACGAACGGAAAGGCGACGGCGACGATGAGCGTGGTCGCCCGGGCGGCGCTCTTGGTCTTGGCCAGGGCCATCTCGAGCGGCGGCCGATACGCGGCGCCCAGAGCAGCCTGGCTGGCCGGCTCGGGTGGCGACGGCAGTAGCAGCAGCGACGGAAGGTTGCTGTGCGCCATGGCGGCGGTACTTTGTTGCACTGTGTCGAGGCAACGATGAAATGTCAATGACGAGGGTATATGACAAGTGACGATGCACTACTGAAAACAGTCCAAACTCTAGCAAGTCGGAGAGCAATGGAATGAGCGACTGCCAAGGGTCAAATCGTGGCAGAGTGTGCAGTGCACGCGCCACAATAGCCACCGACGGTATGCAGTGGCTGCTCAGCGCTTGTTTGGATGTCCTTTCTTGTCGTTTCTTGGCTGCTTTGCCCTTCTGACATCTCGTCTCGCGTTGCTGCGGGATGAGGCGTGATGCTTCGGGATGTCTGACCTCGCGCTGCTTGCTCGTCGATGATCGACAACGGAGGTCGGACTGAGTGGGTACGCAACGGTGTCTATGACGGGGTTAGCTTGCACTCCGTCTGTTGTTAGTTGGATATAGTCGTTGGATTGGCTGCATTTGGTTGGCTCGATTTGCGTTTTGGAGGCGTCAGCCCACGCAACAACAGGTCACTGCTGGTATGTTGCAGGTGGAAACCAGAAACGCAAGATCTGATCGACTCGCATTTCTCAGACTGGATGTATTTCGTGTGTTCAGAAATGCTCCTCGCCTCTTCCTTTCTATCCCTTGGTTATATGAGTAGAGACTGCCTGAGGCAGAAGTAGTTCGCTTCACACGTGACCATGGGCGCTGGCAAATATAACTGATTTGATTCGCTGGAGCCGATATCACGTGTGGGTCAAGATTGACACGTCCGGCCCGACATTGGTTCCGAAGATTCCCGCGAGCAGGAGCACTTCGTACCTGCCCCCTCAGCACTACAGAGCCTAGAGCCAGGAGCATAGCGGTTTTTTCGAGCACCGCCAAAAGTGACTACCTCGCCTCTTTGGTTTCTCCTCGTCTTCGGCAAAGCAGAGGCATCTGAGCATCCACCATCCCTTCACGGCTCCGTCCCCTTTGCCAACGACGCAACACCACACCGTCCCCGCGCTGCAGTCATTCAATTGACCGCCTTGCATACCATCTCCGCTCATTCGTTGTTGTTTGACACTTTCCGACGCCTCAATCCGGCTCACCGACACCGGAAAAGCGAAAAACCCTCATCACCTCACGTCTACCCCCATCGACTCCGACAGCACGCACGGTCTGACCATTGACGGCAAAACGGCGTCTCCGAGTTCATTCGTTCTGATACGGCTTCGACACACACATACATAGACGATGTCGTTCGCAGCCGGCGCGGCCAAGCGCGCCGTCGCTTCCACAGCTTCTACAACAGCACGGCGGACGTTTGCCAGCACGGCGCGGCGACCGGGCGGCCACGGCTCGCAGTACGACCCGCCGGGCGGGTGGCTGTTTGGCGTCAAGCCGGGCGAGAAGTACAAGAACGAGGGGTGGGAGAAGCCCATGTTCTGGGGCTTCTGCGGTAGCCTGCTGGTGTTTGCATGCATCGTGCCCTTCAAGCCGGACACCTCGTATGTCTCCCGGCCCACGATACGTCCGCGAATGCGAGTGCCACGCTAACCCTTTTGCTAGGATACAAACCTGGGCGCTCGAGGAGGCGCGGCGGCGGTTAGAGGCCGAGGGCATCCTGCAGGATCCGTTCCCGCGGGCCAAGTAAAGCCTGTAAAGAGGAACGGTGAAGAAGGACGTGTCACCGCCCGGGGCGCCTGTGAATCGCGAGGCGGTTACGCTGCGGCTCGCGGCCGTGACCGATAATCAAACAACAAAACAAAGACTTTAGAACCTGCTTTTCGTTTTCCACACCTACCAACCATTTTAGAGGAGGACAATAGGGCCATTGGAACAGGACAGGCAAAGGGCTGGGGGAAAGACGACGAATGAGATTAGATTTGCTCTTACCGGATCTTGCTCTCTTTCTCTTTCTCTCTCTCTACCTCTCTCTTCCCTCGGAGGCATCTTTGCATATATATGCGTTGTTTCTTTCTTTTGTTATTTCCTGCCGGAAAGAGACGTGGCCATCGACAGTGAATGGCTGCCAACGTGTGTATATTTGACGTTTCATGTTGTCTTTTATCATCTCATTTACATTTCGCTTTAACACCATCGCCATCGACGTCAACTGTGCGCGCTGTGCATTGTCAGCCGTGTTTATATCTCCATGCTCTCTCGCCGATGTAGTCACAATTGGGTGAGACACGACCGTGCTTATGCCGTGTCACTCCATGTCTCCGCGGTGGGCTGTTCTGTTGTGTCGATTACACCATTTAAAACAGTCGTCACCCACGGAGACTTGTCTTTACATTCATCATGTACTATACTTTCATTCTCTATCAACGTGGCTGTGAACGCTATAAAATGATCATCCCAACGCATCGCATCGCCACCAACCAGGCTCGCACTACTCGCAAAGATAGCTCCACTCGTGCTCCTCCTCGCCGTACTGGATGCCCTCGATCCAGTTCTTCATGCGCGTGGTCACGGCGCCCGACTCCTCGTGGTCCTTGAGGCCGCAGTCGACCAGCTGGCCGTGCCAGCTGATGGACCGCACGGGGCTCACAATGGCCGCCGTGCCCGCGCCAAAGGCCTCAATCAGGCGGCCCTCGGCCGACGCCGTCGCCAGCTCCTGCATCGTGTACTTGCGCTCCGAGACGGTCCAGCCCTCGGGCTGCAGGCGCTCGCGCGCCAGCGCCAGCACCGAGTCGCGCGTCACGCCCTCCAGGATGGTGCCGTCCAGCGGCGCCGTCACGAGCTCCTTGGCGCCCGTCTCCTTGTTGCGCAGCGCCACGAAAAAGTTCATGGTGCCGACCTCGGTGACGTACTCCTCCTCGCCAAACAGCCACAGGTTCTGCTGGAAGCCGCGGCTCATGGCCTCGCGCTGCGGCACAATGCACGGCGCGTAGTTGGCGCCCAGCTTCTTGTCGCCGACGCCGCCGGGCCACGCGCGCACGGCATAGTCGGTCGCCTCGAGCGAGATGGCCTTGAAGCCCGTCGGGTAGTAGGGCCCGACGGGCGAGGCAATCACGTAGAGCAGGGCGGAGCCGGGCGGGCCGACACCGAGCGTCTTCTGCGTGCCGATCATGGTCGGGCGCAGGTACAGCGAGTAGCCGCGCGCGGCCGGGATGAAGCGCGACTCCAGCTTGGCGTAGCGGGCAATCAGCTCGATCAGCGCCGTCGGCGAGAAGGTGGGCAGGGCGATGCGCGCGGCCGACTTGTTGAAGCGCTCCATGTTCTTGTCCGGCCGGAAGAGGCGGACGCGGCCCTGGCTGTCCTTGTAGGCCTTCATGCCCTCGAAGCACTCAAAGGCGTAGTGGAACACACACGTGGCCGGGTCGAGCGACAGGTTCTGGTACGGCGTGATCTGCGGCGCCAGCCAGCCGTCGTCCTTGTTCCACTCCATCGTGAGCATGTGGTCGGAAAAGGCACGACCGAACACGAGGTCCTCGGGCTTTTCGAGCTGACCAGGCGTCGTGGTCTCGGTGATGGTAAGGCTGGCCGGGTCCACATCTTGCGGCTGCGACGTCGAGGCTGCGGACGGCTTGAAGCCGTACTGTCTCTGCTGAAGGAGAAGTGGAAGTGGCCGGGCGGCGGTGCGGGAGAGTAATGGCCGAGCCGAGGACGACGAGGCGGCAGAGATGGACGCCGAGGCGAAGCCAAGCCGGCGAAGTGCTGGACGCATCATTGTGAATGTAAAGAGAATGGAGGAGAGGAGATGGCAAGAGGGGAGATGGTCTGAAAGAGTCCGGAGCGTCTGAGGTCCTGGGAGCTGGGAGAGAGGGTCGGGAGACGAAACAAATGTGAGAGACGACGTGGGGAAGATAATATACGGAAAAGAAAAAAAAAAAGAAAAAAAGAAAAAAAAAAAAAAACGAAAGTAGAGCAGCCAAGAAACTCGGTCTAAGAATGAGTCGACTGCAATTGATCCGCAACAAGCCGTCTGAGACCGAAGGCACGAGCAAGAGATACCAGATGGAGGGGGAGTCAGAGGCGGCCTGGCGTTCGGAGCAACATATCTCGCCCCGAATGTCTGTGTGCGGCTTTCGCGCTCGCTCTTCTCACGCCTTTCGATTCTTCCCCACCGTTGGAGCGGCCATCGGAGCCTGATCGGAGTCATACAGGGGACCAGTGCCGCCGGTTCAGGGCAGTCAGGGGTCTAGGCGCCTGTCGGACTTATGGTCACGTGTGTCATCACGTGGGACTCAACAGGCGGCACGGCGAGACACGGCAAGGCGCATCAAGCACTGCTCATAGCGAAGAAAGGATGGACTTGGAGCTGATAGCGTTATCCTTGCGGATTTATGAAGGTCTGCTTTATATTCTTCGTTCTCTCGTTCCAGACAACTGTGCACATTCAATGCCAACGCTGTCGACGGCCTAGACACGCACCCAAATTAGGTAGCAGCGTTTCTGCCATGCTCCTTCCCTAATTCGACCCACTAGCACGTTCGCACCTTACGCTTTCGTCCCGTCTCCAGATCCACAGTTTCATCAGCTTCTCCAACCTCAACGTTGCTCTTTGAACTTTTGCATTTTCGACGCGTAACCTCACGCCTCGAGCTCCCCCGACACATACTCCGCCGTGCCGTCGCAAGCCTTCGTACATTCATTCTCCCAGTGGCCCTCCGTCGTCCTCGAACAACAATTGCCTCTCCCGTCGCGCTCCACACAGCCCAGCCTAACCCCTGTCCTGCATATCATCCGAGCTTCGATCGACATTTCGACATTTCGACGTTCGTCTTCGATTGCCGTCGTCGGACCACAACGACGGCCGCACTCTCGCTCGCAAGCTGCCCTGATTGATCCAGATCATCGCACACGATACGCTCTCGACACTTCCAGCTCCTCCTCCATCGGCCCCCGTCATGACGGGCCCGCACGTCGACCGCGCCGTATCATAACATCTCTGCTCTGACCGCATCCGCTTCTTTAGTAGACGACTCACATAGACACACGAACACGCAAAACACACTCGCAGCCGCAATGTTCACCTCGGCCTTCAAGTCGATCTCGTCGACAATCAACAGCGGCTATACCGTCGCTGCCACGCCCACTTCGGCCGCCGGCCCGTGGAAGATCTACGATGCCAAGAAAAAGTCAACTGGCAAGGCCTACTCGGTCTTTGTCTTTGACCGCAAGTCTCTCGACGCACACGCCAGCTCGCTTGGCCGCTCGGGGGCCGCCGCTTTCAAGAAGGCGGCCGACGAGGTGGTCGAGCGACTGAAACGGGAAGCGTCTTCGCTGGCGCGTTTACGGCACCCGAGCATCCTGGAGCTGGTCGAGCCCGTCGAGGACACGCGCGGCGGCGGGCTGCAGTTCGCCACCGAGGCCGTGACAGCGTCGCTCACCAGCCTGCTGCAAGAAAAGGACGAGCAGGAGGGCGCACACGGCAGCAGCGGGCGGTCCCGCGCCAGCCGGTACGTCACAGAAGACGCCGACGGCGTGCGGCGGCGGCGGGAAATCGAAATTGACGAGCTCGAGATCCAAAAGGGCCTGCTGCAGCTGGGCAAGGCACTCGAATTCTTGCACGAAAACGCCGGGCTCGTGCACGGCAACCTGACACCCGACGCCGTGCTGGTCAACGCCAAGTCGGACTGGAAGATCAGCGGGCTGGCGTTTTGCGGGCCGGCCGAGATTGGCGCCGCAGGGCCGTCGGCGTCGTTTCCGCCCGTCAGCGTGCACGAGATCCTCAACATGGATGCTCGGCTGCCCAAGTCGGTCCAGCTGAACCTCGACTACGCATCGCCCGACCTCGTGCTCGACAACAACCTGACGCCCTCGGCCGACATGTTCTCGCTGGGCCTGTTGTGCGTCGCGCTCTACAACTCGCCGCACCGTTCACCCATCGAGGCGCACGCGAGTGTCTCCTCGTACAAGCGCGCCTTCGCGTCCGCGGGCGGTGTGCCCTCCAATACCAACAACTACCTGTCGTCACGACCGCTGCCACGCGAGCTGGCTGTGCACGTGCTGCCGCGCCTGATTGCACGGCGACCCGCGCAGCGTCTCACGGCAAAGGAGTTCCAGACGAGCGAGTACTTTGACAACATCCTGGTGTCGACCATTCGGTTCCTGGACGCCTTTCCGGCCAAGACGCACGGTGAAAAGTCGTCGTTTATGCGCGGGCTCAACAAGGTGCTGCCGTCGTTCCCCAAGTCGGTCATGGAAAAGAAGGTGCTGCCTGCCCTGCTCGACGAGATGAAGGACCGCGAGCTGGCGCCACAGATTTTGCAGAATGTGTTTAGGATTGTGGAGCTGCTGCCGTCGGCCAAGCGCGTCTTTTCCGACCGCGTGCTGCCGTGTCTCAAGGAGCACTTTTTGGTGCCTGGAGCGGCGGCGGCCGCCGCCGCCGGCGGCAACGCCAACCACAAGAACACAGCGCAAGAGCGCGACCCGTCGCGCGATGCAAGCCTCATGGTCGTGCTGGACCGGCTGGCGATCATCACAGACAACACGACCGGCAAGGAATTCAAAGACGACGTCTTGCCCATCGTTGCGACGGCGCTCGACTCGCCCACGCCGGCGGTTGTTGACGCGGCGCTGCGCAGTGTGCCGGCCATGCTCCCCGTGCTTGACTTTAGCACGATCAAGCACGAGCTGTTCCCCGTCGTGGCTGCCATCTTTAGCAAGACGAGCAGCCTGGCTATTAAAATCCGCGGTCTGCAGGCATTTGTCATTCTGTGTGGCGGTTCGCCCGACAGCACAGAGCTGGGCGGCGGCGACGGCCTCGACGGGCTGAGCGGCAGCGAGCCCAAGCGCGGCACGTCCACGTCGACGGCGCTCGACAAGTACACCATGCAGGAAAAGATTGTGCCACTGATCAAGGGCATCAAGACCAAAGAGCCGGCCGTGATGATGGAGGCTCTGAACGTCTTGCGTGTCGTTGGGGGCATCGTCGACGCCGACTTTGTCGCGTTTGAGCTTTTGCCTGTGCTGTGGACCATGAGCCTGGGCCCGCTCCTGAACCTGAAGCAGTTCCAGGCGTTTATGAAGCTGATCAAGACGCTGTCGTCACGCGTCGAGGACGAGCAGGTGCGCAAGCTGCAGGAACTGTCAGGCGTCGACGCGGCTGCCGCCCACTCCTCTTTGAACGGCAACGCTGCCCTCATGGACGAGTTCTCGTCGTTTGGTGCCGGGATCGGCGGTTCCGCCTTTGACGTCGGCGGCGGCGGCGGCGGCGATGTGGAAGACGACTTTGAGCGGCTGGTCAAGGGCAAGACAGGTGGCCTGGTTGGCGATGCCTTGATGGACGGCGGCTGGGACGCGGCACCAGCAGCGAGCGCCAGACGACCGTCGCCGAACCTCGGCGGTAACCGAAGCACGACACCACGGGCCACTGCGTCGGCCGCTGCCTCCACAGCACCCGCGTTTTCGTGGTCCACACCCACGCCGACGCCGACAACCGCACAAGCACCACCAGCCCCAAAACCACAACAGCAGCCGGCGTTCCGCACCGTGACGCCGGACCTCAATAGCTTTGCTGCCATGACGCCCTCGTCGACACAGTTCTCGAAAGCGCTGCCGGCCCGGCCCTTGAACCCAACCACGACCTCGGCCGGCAGCACGGCCATCAACAGTGCACCCGCATGGTCGGCCATGACGCCGTCGCTGCCCGCCACGACATCACCTCCTGCTACGACGAGCGGCATCAGCTGGGGCGCCGGCAGCGGCAGCATGAACAGTGGCAACGCATGGAGCTCACCCGCGGCGACGACCTCGTCCAGCTTCTCCCTGTCGCCACCGCCCGGGACGGGTGCATCGTCTGCAGCGGCCAAGCCGCCGAGCTCCGGATTTAGTCTGCCGCCACCACCAGGCATGGGCTCGATGGCATCCATGACACCGACCACGACGACCGCGTCGACGCCCAACTACACGCCCAACTACAACCGTCCGGGCCTGGGTAGCATGAACTCGATGGGGTCTATGAACACCACGGGCAGCATGGGTAGTATGAACAGCATGATGTCGTCAAATACCAAGAACGGGGTAGGGATGGGGATGAACTCCATGAACTCCATGGCCAATGCCAACAGCAGCAACAACACAAATGGCATGATGGCGACGCAGCCAGGCAAGACGGGCCTCGACAAGTACGAGAGTTTGCTGTAGGGTAGGGACATTGGGACAGTACGTTTGGGTTATAGACTTTGCATATTCGCAAGCGTTGTCAAGCGTTGTCAAGCGTTTTTGCTTCACACACAATTTGCAGTCCTATTCACAATCGTGGCATCATCGTTTACACGGCATCGTCGCACCATCGTCACCGCTTGTCACAGTTTGCAAGAATGTAACCACAACTGATTCCCGACCGATCAGGCAAGATGCAAAACGATCTCATGTCACGGTCGGGCGCCCAGCAACGGGTAGAAGGCTCCTCGTTCTCAAAACGAGAATGGATGAGGAATAAGGTCTGATCTGCGCCAGCCGTCGGAAGAGTCAACTTTTTGTGAAGAACAAAAGCACTCCCCCTTTGTGAGGGTTGTCCCCAGTCGGCCGAAGCCGGTGGGGGACGCTGGCGGTATTGCAGCAAGAAGCAAAACCAACAAGGAACTCGGCCACTCCCAACGACGCGCGAGACAAGGGCAGGATACCAAGTCGAGGGCGAGACCGCAGAGAGATGAGCGTAACGAGAGACCGACCGAAACCAGGCAAAATGAAAAAGGAACACCAGAAGGAAAACCAGACCACACTCTCTTGGCAAAACAGGGGAAGCCTTGTTCCCCCGCGACAGAAGACAATTGGATCTGACGCGGGCCGAAAGCAATGGATGGGCGAGCAGATAGCATCCTGACATCCTGGCATCGGCTGTCACTCCGCGAGTCTCCGTATGACCAATTTTGCGTCGTCATTCGCGTATTGTCTCGTGGTCGTTTGTCTTCTCTTTTACTGCCCGGCTCGGTTTGCGGTCGTCCAAATAAAACATTGCTTGTCGAAGGCACGCTTTTGTCTCGCTTAGGTGTCACGGGGTTGAAGGTAAACTCGGGTTGTCATTTTTGGTGATGGTTTTGCGTTTCTTGCCGTGAGGGAGAAAAAATAGGAAGAAGAAAGAAAGGAAGGAAAAGAGTGAAATTTTGAAGGTTCCATTGGGACTGCTTTTGCTGGAAAATGAGTGGGGTCACGATTTAAAGCTAGGGAAGGAGCTACCGTAGTTCACCGCCTGCCAAAACTGAGACGGCCAACAGCATGCAAATAACTCGCACAATCAACTCGACGAATACGTCTTTTATTCACTCCAAATAAGCTTACTGCGTCTCGCGAATTGCCTTCTTGTCATGTCACACTCGCGGATATCCTTGCTATTGTACGAATGTATGTTGTACGAAGTATTTGCTACCATCCGTAGTTGCTTCTGTTTGCGGCTCTTTCCGAAACGGGAAGGCCACCAGAACACAGCGTCAAGACGAGGCAGGAGGCGCTGACCTCAGGTCACTAGCAGGGCACCACGCCCTAAAAGACGGACCACTCAGGACCCAGAACTCAGGGGCTACTGGCACGCAGAGCGACTTGTTTAGGAAGGAGTGGCTTCAGGGGGTAAGTAGGCAAGAGCGGCCTGTAAAGAATAGGGGCTGATGGCAATTGCTTCGAAACACATTCGCGCCGTGTCTGCAGACCAAGACATAAAAGTTGAAACGCACTACCACCCAAGACAGAGGCCAGCGCCGGCCTATGGGAGGCCGCATACACGCAAAAGACACACAAACGCCTCCCTCCATTCACCCCCTGCGCAAAGCTTGTTCCTGCAGGGCTGGTTGGTCGACGATGATCGACAAGGAACCAGACAGCGGAGAATGGTGAGCGATGGAGAAGCGATGTTTGTGGGGAGACGAGCGACGGCCTGTGAATGGGCAGTGGGACGACAGGGCAGAAGAGACGGCGGCGCAACGACTGACCTGTCAATTCGACGGACAATACGAGCAGCGTCCTTTGTCTGGCCCGTCTCTACCCCATCTCGTCTCTTGCTGTCCGCATCGTTTTGTTGTCTGGCACAGGTCTCGCAGAGTCGGTGAGCTTTGGCGCCGCCTGGTTTCCTTGGTTTCTTGGAGCTATTATGGTCTCGTCAGCTCCTCAGTTTCGTCCATCTTCCTTGGATTCTTAACACAAACAACGGACGGCAGAGAGAAGAGCAAGGAAACAAAAGAAACAAGAAACACAAGAAACAAAAGCAGGACAGCGCAAAGAGAGGCGGCACAAAATGGCACGGGTGACCAGGCCGGTGCCAAAACGGGTAATACGGGGGCGTCCATTCAGCTGTCTGGCCAGTCATGCATTGAGGACTCCATTTGCTGCGGACAATCTGGCCAGGGGTGAGGACGTCCTCGCAGAAAAGCCTGCAAGTCTATGCAAGGCACACCAGAGAAACAAAGGAACATAGGCAGGAGAGAGGAGGACACGACACTGGCGATCCCTACCGGGGAAAAGACAAAGAATGGCGACAAAAGAACAGACGACAGGGGCACGTCCTTTTTGTTTCGTTTCGCCTTGAATGGCCGTACGCTCTCGTCCTCTTATTCTCGGCCGTCTGCTCTTCTTTGCGTATTTTCTTTCTTTTCTTCTCTCTTTACTCTCTTCTGTCGCCAGCTCGGTCATCTTCTTTGTGCATTCTACTTCTCATTCACTTTATTCAACGCTGGTCTCGTGCCGTCTTCCCTTCATTTTTGTTTGATACAACACTTGGTTCACCAGCTTGACGCAACAATAGGTTCTTTGCCCGTCGTTGCACCTTTTTCACTCTTTGCTTCACTGCTCGAATTTTCGCTGGTCGTCCTATCAATTCATTATTCACTGGTCTTCCTATTTGCTGGCCACTTTGCCACTGACAGACAGAAAGAACAAACATCACGAACACCCATCTTTGTTCACCATCACCTTAGCATCCCATATTTACGACCTACGACCGTGCGACCTACATCACATCTTTCCCGAACGCGGAAACGCATTTTGATACCCAGTCTCGATTCTTACATCTTTTCGCGCTTGGCCCATCTGTCATCTTTCACTTTGCCTCGCCTCATCTGATCTCACATTCTACAGCCACGCAAATATGATCGTCTCACGCCTTACCGTCTTCGCGGCGTTCTGCGCCGGCCTTGTTGCTGCTCTTCCCACCCCCGACCCCGGTGTGCACAGCTTCATCCGGCGCGATGCCACTGCCGCCTCCATCGTCGGCTCCGTCATGCCCAAGTCGTTGTCGTGCGCCAACGCCGACTATTCGGACCAGTGCGCCACCAACGTCCAAGCCGCGCCGTACTTTATCAGTGCCATGGTCAAGTGGGGCATCACCACCGCCCCCGAAATTGCCGCCGTCCTTGCCCTCGTCGCCGTGGAGTCGGGTGAGCTCCGCTACCGTCACTCCGAGTTCCCCAAGGTCGCGGGCAAAGGCACCAGCAACATGCAGTCCCCTGCCTACAATGCCAAGTACGCCGCCGCGATCCCCGAGCTGGCATCGGGCGTGGCCGCGGCCAACGGTGACCCAGACGCCGTCCTGGCTCTCCTGACCGTCGACGACTACAACTTCGGCTCCGGCGCCTGGTTTCTGTCGAGCCAGTGCGCCGGCATCCGCAGCCAGCTGCAGACAAACACGGACGACGGCTTCGTTGCTTACATGGGCTGTGTGGGTGCCCCCATGACGAGCGAACGCCTGGATTACTGGCACACTGCACAGAAAGCGTTTGGCTTATAGGAGGCGGTAAAGAGATTGCACTGCTTTAGACAGTTGCCATTATTTTCATTCTGTTGTATTTTTATACCTATTTCACTTCTACACTTTTTCACTTCTTCCACACCTGACGGTGTATTTGTCTCATTTATTTTCCCCCCTTTGCTACAAAGCCAAGTTTATTTCTAGAAAAGCGCACTTGAAATTACAAAACATATCAAAACGTATCAAAAGAAAATACGAATTGCATTAAACTTTGCAGAGACGCTTCTCTACCCTGAACTTGACTTGTATTCCTTGTAAATAAGCAGTGGCACACAATATTTGTCTTCCTTTAATGGCCGATGAGCCCATTCAAACAACCGCCCTTGCTCTTTGATACCAACCACTGCATATCCCCTTGTTGCCTCTCCTCTATATCGCAAAACGTTCACGCAAATCCTGAACCTTCAGTATCGTAATACTGCCTAGGCCGTCGCTGGGTCGCAGCGACCCCATTCCGGTTGGCAGGCCACAATGGCAGGACAAAACTGGTCGCCCGTGCCGCAGAAGCCAAACTGCGAACAGCACTCCCCAAACGTCGAGCCCTTGCACGTCTTGCCATTGCCACACGAGCCGTCGGTCGTCACCGACACGCCGGGCGGCAGGGCCGCAGCAGACGTCGACGAGGCCGGTGGCGCGGCGGCCGCAGAGCTTGTGGCGCTTGTGGCGCTGGGCTTGGGCGTGGCCGAGGCGCTCGTCGTCGGCCTGCCCGCGACGCTGCTTGCGGACGAGACCGGCGGCGCGACGCCGCCAAAGCACAGTCCAAACTTGGACTGGCAGCCCGTGCCGCAGAAGTCGATGCCGTCGCCGCAGTAGAAGAACTGGCTGCAGCACGACCCGTGTCCCGAACCCGCGCAAGTCGTGCTGTTGCCGCACATGCCGTTGGTACTGGGCACCAGTGTGCCGGGCGGCACGGGCGACGTCGAGGCCGGTGGCGGCGGCTTCGCACTGGTCGACGGCGGCGGGCTGGCCGGGGTCGTCGTCGTCTTGGGTGGCGGAGGAGCCGCACTCGTGGTCGTCACGGGCGGCGGAGATGCCGCACTCGTGGTCGTCACAGGCGGCGGGGATGCCGGCTTTGTGGTCGTCACAGGCGGTGGAGCGGCCGTGGCCGACTGCGAGGCACCGAGGCACGAGCCAAAGGCGGACTGGCAGAGTGCAATCGGGTTGCAGAACTCGCCACCCACACCACAGTAGCCCCACTGCGAGCAGCACTGGCCTGTCGGGCACTTGGCGTTGCCGCCGTCGGCACCACAGCGGCCCGCGGCGGCCTGGCGGCCCTCGAGAACCGAAGCGGCATCCGGCTGGCCGGCGTCATGACGCTGGAACATGCCACCAACTGCTCCATCGAGCATCATGTTGGAGCCATAGCTGCCGTACACCGTGCCAGAAAGTGCCAGGGTGGCACCGAGAGTGAATGAGGTCCACCGCATCGTGATGGTGGTTTTAAAGGAATGGCAGACGTTCCGGTAACAAAAGACGGTGGATTCAAGAGCAGAGTCCAGAGCAGAGTCCAGAGGAAAGTCCACTCAAAAAATAAAGGAAAGAAAGAAAAAACAACAACACTTGATCCGCACTGATACCAAACTGCAGATCAAGGCAGCACAACTAGTTGATGCTAGCAGGCAAGGAGAGATGCAGAAAAGACTGGATGCAACGGGAATTTTAAACCGAAGCGACGGGACGAGGCAAAGAATCACAGAATTAAAGTACACAGAAGAAGAGTGAGAGAGGCCGGGGGGATCAGGAGAGGATGAGGAAAAAGAAAGGGAAGAGGCAGGGGACAGAATAAAAACACCAAAAGAAAGACAGGGTGGGAGAAAGCATGCCGAGTCTATCGGCATGATGTCAGCCAGATGAAGACGTCTACAGCCTAGTTATCACTGGGCCAAAGTATTGTAGATGAGCTGCTTTCTTGCTTGCCTGGCCCCTGTCACCAGCACCCCCTCTCCATTCCCTCGGCTGCATGTTCAAGTATACAATGGATTAAAAAAGAAAGAGAAAGAGACCGCTGTGCAGGGGCACGTTAATTGACGTCGTTGGCCGAGAGAACCCGCGGCCAACTGCGTCGAACTTAGAAGCACGGAGCCAACAATTCTCATATTGGGCCCAAGACGGAACAATTGAGGGGGGCAGGAAGGAACCAAGACGTCAATAAGTGATAGATTGCCGAGATAAATATACCGCTGGGCTAGGGCAGAAAGTGAGTGGAATAGAGGGAGTGTTAAAGAATGACAGAGCAGGAGCAACATACCGAAACAGGAGAAGGCTAAAAGCCTCCATGCCCTCCATTCCGGTACGTGCTTGGTGGGAGGAGCGTTTTCGATTTCTGTTTGCACGTTGCACGAATGCAAATCATAAAAGAGAAAGTTGTCGAATTTGGGGAGGCAAACAAAGCAATCACACACCGTATTTGAAAGCTCTAGCCAGCACGGTGAGCAGGCTTCCATTGTACATGCAGTTGGATAACAACGACACCGATTGTGAAAGGGGTGTGCCACGAAGGAGGCCTTGGAGGGTGGCCTGCCTGCATACGGACTGGCAACCTGGCCTGCCGCTACCAGACAGGCGGTTACCTCGTCTCGATTGTGGTGGGAAAAGGCTGTATCTACTAGCAGCAGCGACAAGGGTATGTCCAGAAGCGTGAAGAGGTAGACATGGCATTAGTATCGCTTCTTGCTATTCGCATTGGACTTGCTCGTGATGGTCAAGGGAGGAAATGGAACTTACTTGCACTGGAAGAAACGGCTTCTTTGTGATTTTCTGCTTGGTGCTGGCACTGAACAAGCAGACGACATCGTTCGGGATGTGTATTCTGCCGACACGGAATTGATGCCCTCTCGGCTAGATGATCTTTGTGCCACACCATGTCCTCTTGCTGCACCCCTCGGTTGAGATTGCGTAGCTGTGGGGTTAATCTCTCTCGATCATTATGACCTGAACTGGGGAAGTATTTGTTAGTGGAACGGAAATCCGGGAGTTACAAAAGAGATCTTTGCCTAGTGCACCGTGCACGGAGGAGAACGATGGAGCCTTTGGATATTAATAGGAGCAGGCAAATTGCCAAAACCAGCACAATGTCCTTTGACTCTCTGCCGATCATTGCTTGCTCCGTTGGCATTTCGGTTCAGGTCGCACTTCCACGTGAGTAGGTAGTAGTCGTCGATCGTCGACAATATTTTTCGCTGATGGTCCATGCTAAGCATTGACCAAGATGCGGACAAATGGGTACCGGAATATTTTGCTCGGATATGATAGCACACGTGTAGTAATATTGCGGATTATTTCCTCGATTGTCCATCTCTGGCGGAACAATGAGAAAAGACGGGTAGAAAGTAAAGCAAAGTTATGCACTGCGGAGAGAGGCGGTTGGATTTGGGATTGCCTGGGGAGAAATAACAAATATCTGGAAAGGTCTGGGACCGATCACCTTGTCTGGCTAAGGCCTTGGTCTTGACGTCGTATCGACGACTCTTTGCTAATATTCCCTGAAAAGCAAGGAGAGCAGGCTCTTGCGAGCGGATCTGACGGTGAATGTTCCGATAGATATTGAAACCACAAATTGGACAAAATGGGATGACAGAAAGGGGAAGCGGGTAAGTGTAGCCTACCATATGCGGCGAGGTCAACGGCTGAGGCGAGGGGAAAGGTAGAAAGCTAGGCGGACTGGTAGCTGCCGAGCCGCGGAAATGTGGGTTTTTTTCCCGAGAGATGAGACCAACAATGACAGAACAAATGCCTTGTGTCGTCGAGTAATGATTTTGGGATTCGCAGCAGAATTGCCAGATGACCCATCCTTGGCACAGGACACGCATATGATGAAGAAGGTCGAGATGCTTTGCTGCAAACATCATCTTGTGCGTCTCGCTCGCAGGTGAGCTATATATAAAAGTAGAGGATGAGCTAGATTGTGAGAGTCGGGCCCAAGACTCGGATCGAAGACGACAGTGAATAAAGTGTGGACATGGGACTGGTATCGGCTGTGAGCAGCTTATAAACTGAATTGAGTTGAGAATGTAAGGCTATTTCGTCGTGGTGGGCTGTTGTTTTATTGCCCACCGTGCAATCCTCGTAACAAATAACCCATTGACTCATACATAACAATCCAAGAGTTCCCAATAATACACTGGGGGTGATGTCCAAAAAAAAAAAAGCAAACGTGAAATATAAATGATCCCAAAGCCAAACTTGTGCCACTTGGCATACCGTCCGGTGCAAGTGTCTTTTTTGTATCTCGCAAGGTCAACCAGACCAATGTAGTTCAATCCAAGACCCAAAATTAAATATCAAGCCCATTGGGCCAATACAGACATAACAAACAAACCTACAGCCATGGGCTCTAGAGCACTTGTGACCCTACCCATGCTGTCTGTAGCCCGGCATTCGCCATAGCCCCCAGTCAAAGAATGCTCTCACGTAGACGGACCGGAGCCCGGCATGTCGGTGCCGCTGTAGTTAAAGGTGTTTCCGGTGCCGTCGCTAGCCACGTTCGTTCCAAGAGGCTGATCCGTGCTGCTGAAGAACTGGAAGGTCTGGTCGCCAGCGGCAAATGGACCGCTCTGTGCGTATGATTGAAGTGTATCCTATCATGAAGTTAGTGACGATGGCCAAGAAAGTAACAGCTGGGGCAGGCAACAAGGTATTCTGATTTAATCAAGTCTTGCTTACCCAGTCAAAGTTGGTCGTAAAGTCCATGGCGTCATCCATAATGTTTGGCACACCACTGCCCATCGCCTGGCTGAACATGTTAAAGCCAGCCATGGAGCTCATCATGTCTCCATTCAGATCGGTCGCGGTCAAGCCACCATCGATGGCTGCCGAGAGCGTCGGGTCAATGGTGTTGAACGCCGTTCCACCAGGCGCTGGCATCGAACCAAACATGGAATTGGTGGCAGCCGTGTTGATAGCAGCCGTATTGGCAGCGGTGGATGGGGAGGTCGTCGTAGACGCACTCTCGAAACCGGGAATCGTCCCAGACATCATGTTCAGCGGGGCCATCATGTCAGTCTGGTCCATGACCGGATCGGTGAGGGGGGTGTCGACCTGTACGGAGTTGTCGGACGGAGTGGACTTGGTGGCCGAAGGGGGATCGACGGAGCAGACGCCGGACGTCACAAATGCTTCTGTAGGACGCGGGCCTGTCGTTGGCGTCGTTCCAATCTTCTCCAAGACGATGCGGATGATGTTGTAGGCTTTGTAGGCCTCCATCGAGCCATCGGCCAGAGGCCGCCAAATTTCTTTGGTCGAGGTGAGCATGTTAATCATGTCGGCGCGCTGTTCGCGCGTCCAGAAACCGTCTTCTTCTTGGCCGTCCTTGCTGGCCAGGTTGTCGTAACGAACCTCCAGTGCTACAAGCATAGCTGGCAACAGGAAGTCCTTGGTCGCAATGGACGCGACATACCACTTGATAGACCGCAGCCGTCCGTTGGCCTGCGACTCCTTGTTGAGTGTTTGCAGGTGGTGCAGTGTTTCCATCGAGGCTTCGATCGCGCTCCGTCTCGAGTGGGCATACCGTGGATTCTGTCTCGCCCGAGATAGGTATTTGCGATGCAGCAGACACATGATCTTCTGGTACAGACTATCAATGTTGAACCGAGCAATGATGAGAGTCAGAGGGTCTTGCGAGCCCTCCAGGGGCTGCAGCTTGAGGTGAGAGGGAATCTCTTCCTTGATCTCACGGAGGCGGGCGTCGTACCGGAGAATTTCTTCGTACGGAACGGGCTTGCCAACGCGCGTCGTTGCCTGGAGAATGTTACCCAGCTCCAGACACAGCTTGACCTTGGCAATCATGTAGGCAATGGGTGTGGGCTCCGAGTTGGGTCGGGAAGGTGGGAGCACTTTGGTGTTAGGACCAAACTCCTCGTCGAAAATGTTCAGTGGGAGCTGCGTGTCACAATCGTGATCGTAGATCATGTTGGGCAGCGACACTTGGTGGGAGAACATAACGTCGCACATCCGCACCAGGGCCCATGTCCTTCTGCGCATTTCGGCTTGGAAGGGCGTAATGGATGGGAACCATTTGGCGTCCCGGTGGTATCCCATGCGGAAAGCCACTCTCGTAATCAGAGAGCCGATCAGCCAGAGGCCGAGATCAGCGTCCCAGCGGGAGGAGTACTCGCCGAACACATAGAGAATCATGGTCTCTACCGTATACTCGACAGGCTTGGTGTAGTCCGCCGTCGTAAGACACTGGACCGTGCGCACACGGAACAGCGAGGCGAGCTCCATAGCGTGGCCCTTCCACTCAGGTGGCTCGTCGCCCACCTTGTGGTAGCTCAGCATGGCCAGGCACATGACTGAATATAATAGGCCGAGCCACATGATTGGCGTTTTTGAGGGATTCTGCCAGTGGCTGCGTAGCTGTGCATTGAAAGTAGGCGCGTGGATGATGTTCACGGCGTTGTCCATCGAGTTGAAGTAACGGCCGCAGAGGGTGAGAACGGTCGATTTTGGGGGTAGCTCTGCGCGGAGATCACCCTCCGTCGTTGCCTCAGCTCCAAGTAAGAATGTCGGTGCTTCTCTGGCGGTGGCGGGTTTGCTCTGGAGCACCCGCTCGTAGCTCTTCTCGAGATCTTTGCGGTGCATGACAAAGTAGTTCTTTACCTCAGCAATGTCGGACAGAATCGTGTGCCAGTGCTCCTGGCCGATGTACATGGACTTGCCACGATCTGTGTCGACCTTCAGGACACCAAGCGAGGTCGCCAGGCCATCGTCCACGTCGCTCTCATCGTCCATATCGTCTTGTGGCTGGCTGCTGCCCGTGTCCTTGGGTGCTGATGATATGCTGTCGGTGCGTGATACTGAGTTCGCAGCGCTGACACCTGGGACAATGCTAGCTGCAGATGCGGCAGTCGCTGCGTCCACTCCGTTTCCAGTGTGCATCAAAGACAAGACTAAATTTTCTAGTCTGTCAATGCGGTTCTGCATGTCGTCCGGGCTTGCTGATGCAGCCTGATTCTTCTTGCGATTCACGGGCGCCGCGTAAGTGCATGTCGACGCGCTGTCGCCATCGCGCTTAACGCAATTGCTGCACGGGTGACCTCTATCACACTTCCTACACTAGCTGTTAGTCTTTCCGGCACATCGGCTATGCCACACACGATAAACTGGAAAAAAAAATATAATTACAATCTAAGAATCTGGTCAGCATTGATTCAGTCAATATGAACAGCAACACCAAAAAATAAAAATAGAAAAGCAAGACAAATCAAGCACATGGGTACATACTTCTTGGTTCGGCACGGGTAGCAGCTCAGGGGTACCCGATTTCTCTTGCGCACAACCCGGAACTGCTCTTCGGGTGACCGACCGCTCGACGAAGGGGTCGACTGAGAGGTGGGAGACATGATTGTCGGGTTGGCGGTGCGTCTGGTGTGGTGGAAATATCGTCAAGGCGCGAGGAATTTGTTATGCGGAAAGGATTCTACCTCCACTTGATGCGGTGTGACGGTCTCTCGTTTCTCATGCAACGAGGTCTGCTCTGCGATATTTCTTGGAAAAGATTGCAAAGCCAAACCAGGCGGGCTTGCCACGGGGCAGGCAGACGCGAGAGAGCTCTGCCTTGGACTGAAGAAACTAGGCGAGCTCGCTTCCCAGAGCACGCCCAGCGACACCAAAGGTATTTCGAGTACTGCGTATAGGTCGTTCGTCGTCGTCCCGGACAATTTCCCTATCGACAGCAGTCTTGATTACGCGCAAGGATTTGCGCGACGAATCAGTCCGGGTATGCAGCGAAATGGAAGCGTAACGGCGAAGGGTCGAAGTGTTAAGAATTGAGAAAGGCGATGTACTTGGGTCAAAACGCACGATGCGAAGAACAAAGAAGTCGTGAAGACGAGAGAAAGTTAACTTGGCCAAACGTGGAGAGTTTGAACAGCTTATGAAACGTCAGGGCCAAACCCCGCGCTCACGAAGATGCGATGCAAACGATGCAACGATGCGCAATTGACTGCGCGTGCAAAGGCAGGATGGAGAATGCGAAGAATACGAAAAAAGTCCAAGAAAATACAAATATTTCTAAGAAAAGAGGAATGCGGAATGTAGGGTGCGAAATGCTGAGGAGGGAGGATGCCGACAATGCTGATGGGGTTCAGAAGAAATCGGAGGTCGTTGGTTTTAGCGGTGGTCGTAGCGAGGAAGGCGCGGTAGAGGCGGGTCGAAGAATCGACAAAGGAAACAGTTCGATTGACGGAAGACGATGGAAAACGAGGAAGGAGAGTTGGTGAAAAGGCGAAAGAATTGGAAAGAACCAAAAAGGGCAAGAACAAGAAGGAATTTTCCTGATCTGGCGGTGGCAGCTGCGATCGTCTCGCCTTCTCTCTTCCTTCGTCTCGACGGGCATACGACGTCAAAGGGTCGGACTTAACTGGAGACAAGAGAAGGAAGCGACAGAATGGCACTAACAACAACTAGAAAATGAACGACAGCCTGGAAGCGCCCAGATAATTAGGTCATGCTGTGCTGACTGGCCGTCTTATCTTGGGCGTTCCTTCCCTCGCATCACACAGCCATCGACACGCGTAAAGTCCTACGGGGTGGCATGGTAGGTGGCAGGTGCGAACAGTGGGAATGCACCACTTCCTCGGCCGAGGATTTGGCAGAAAGGGGGCTTGCACAGAAGCCGCGACCGCTACCACCGACGCACTGTTAAACCAAGATACTGCGATGCACCGTGACAAGGTAAGCACGACCCAGGTAGCCAGCGCTCTTGGCTCGCCAGGCATCCAGGCCCACGTTGCCCTTTCAGACCAAAATAGGAAGTCTGTCTTTGGTGTCGACGGTGGGCGGTGGTGGTGGGGAATGGAAGGAGCGGCTCAGTGGGCATCCCCGTGTTACAGGTCACAGCAAAGCTTAAAAACAGGGTTATGACGTTGGCACAGGCCCAGTCGGCGCTTTTTTGGGCCGTTTTTGGCCGTTTTTTGGCTGTTTTGCAGTGTTAATAATCCAGAACTCCGCAAAGGAGGATTGCCCCGCAATAAAACTGTGAGTCACTTTTCGTTCTAATGTTGCACCTTTAGTGCTGATAGGGGTCAAATCGGGCGTTAGCGGCCTCGCCTGCGGTCCACGTGACGAAACCAAGCTTTTTACTACACGAATTTATTTATGTATGTTGTCTTGGTATGGCATCTGCTTGAGTTTTTGCTGAAAGATGGATGGTATATGTTGTCCTGCTTAAATCCGAGACCAGATAACATGTGGAAAAAACCTAGAACACACAAGACAGGACAACACGCTGGGTGATGACGGCTTCGCTTAGTGGTATAAAAAGCCCTGGTCCGCGGTCTCTGGAAACAACGCATTGCAATGCTCCAGTTTGCTCTCCAACTCGCTTGACAAAACAAAATCAAGGTCGTTTATTACATGACGTCGTCAGTATCGTCAGCATGCAGAAACGGAATCAACAAGTTCGTCTGCTCTACGACGCCCTTTCTTTGGCCGTTTTGCCTCTGATATCGTAGTAGCCATAGCCGTCATTGAACTTCCAGCCCTCGTTCTTGAGAGCTCTCTCGACGTCGCTGTACATCCGAGAATAACCTTCGGGGCTGTGCAGCCCGATGCCCGTGACGATGCGAAACGGGTGGTCTTGCGCCTTGCGGATGCGGTCTTCGCCCAAATGCGCCCACCAATAGCGGGTGCGTTCCAGGGCGATGTGAATGCCATGCTTCACAGGAACATTGTGGAGATCGACGATATTATCGCCCTTGCTTTGTTCGTCAACTATTTTGTCATAGAGTGCGCGCTCGTCATCTCCTTGGCGTCGTTCGCGTGCCGTGGTGTCCCAGAACGGCTTGGATGAGCCGCGCTTCGGAGCGGCCGTTTTCCCGTCGTCGATTTCATACACGCCGTCGAAGCCCGCCGGCGTGAGCTTGTAGTTAACGTGTAGCCGTTTCTCGTGACTGTTCTTTGGCCACGCGAAGTTCGCGTCCCGCTTCTTGCTCTTCTTGTTCTGGTTCCACTCGGCGGCAACGTCGTCGACGGCGAAGGCATCGATCCCCTTGGGACGCTGGCCTGTCTCAATGAGATGCTCCAAGTTGAGCAGGACATCGGACGCTCTGTCCACGTCATCGCCGCTTTCCTTGAGGGCTTTCCTGATATCCGATTCCTTTACCGTCGGGAACGCATCTCGAAGGACAGTGAGCGTGCTCGTTCCATCGGCGGGCAAGTCGTTGGCAACGGCACGCCAGTCGTCGAGCGCACCGCTGTCAGGCGACAGCGGAGTGGATTGTGAGTCGGACATGGAACCAGACCCGTTGCCAAATACGGACGTCACTTGGCTCGGCGGGCTCGGGTCCTCAGCCGTCGTGTGGTAAGACGAAGCTCCGGAGGTGTCATGGGTCTCGTCGATGGCGGCTATGCCCTGAAGGCCGCTCGAGTCGAAGCCGGTGGCTTCCTCGGCAAAGACATTTTCTGCAAGGGAAGCAAGAGCCTTGTCTGCCTTTTCGAAGCCCTGCTCGTTGAAAATCAGAATGATGAGCGATTCGTCTAAAAACTCGCTGTATTTTTCCTATACGTGCGTCAGCGTGAAATTGCAGTTTGTCGAAAACGGAAATAGAGCAGCAGCAGCATACCACAAGCTCTGCTTGAAGTTCGGCAGGCGATTTCTCCACAAGCTCAGGTTGTGCAGGTGGTAGAGCCGGGGGGCTCTTCTTTTTCTTCTTCTGTCTAGCCATGGAGTCTGGGAGTTATCCGACCGCGCAGTCACAAGCAGCCTCTTATCAAAAGTCAGACTGGACAAGACAGGTATTTAAGGGGTTTCTGGAACGTGGTGCTGGTCGCGTGTAGTCGGCGTAATAGACATCTTGACGAAATAAAGCTGCTAGGTAAAAATAATAATGAGTGCGGGCGTATAAAAACCAGGTGTCCTCTGACAAACGAAGATCCGGTTCTGTTGGTGCGAAGTGCAATATTGGATGGACGACGATGCACAAGGCTGAAGTTTGTTTAGGCGGGGGTTTGCCTAATTTGTTTGCAGAGAGTCACGTGCAAACGTGTAGTCGATTCTGTTCTCACCAACAACGGAGGTCCTCAAACAGCACCCTCGACCAGCTCTCTTGGATCCACTCCTGTCATTCGGTCCTGTTGGTGAATGGTGTAGTAATACGCCCCCATCCCCCAAACACAAACAGACATTAAACCATCTTGCAAATGGGGCAGCGTAAACTTGTTGACAAGCCGAGCCGTTAAAGGCGTGTCTCCATTTCAGTGGATTACGGTCGCTACAAAGGCATAGCGGGGTTTCTTTAGTGCATCGCAGAGAACAGACCTTACCTATCTTACAGTTTTGTCACTGCAGCCAAGAGTCGTCGGCCTCTCGGGTTTGTAAAACAACCGCCTCCTTTCAGCGGCCTTCCTACGTCGCAGCCACTCAAGGCAGCATTTTCGGAACCTCTGCCGCCTTGTTTTCACCCCTGACCGCGAATTGGGACAGCAGCAGACTGCCGAAGTGGATGCATGTGAAAGCGGCAGTCTGGAGAACAGCCTAGCCTTACATGCAGTGCGCTTTAAGTGTAGTGTGCAAAGCAGTGGACACAGAACGTCCAGTGCTAAGATTACTGCTTACAGTTACAGTGCCGGCTGTTCCGGCGTTCGACAGCACCAGGGAGCCAGCAAGTAGCGGTCGGAGAAGGGAAGGATGTTGCAAACGGAAAGAGCAATGAAGCAAAATGGCTGCTTGTTTAAAAGTACAAAATCTGTAGAGGCCCAAGCCGCTCCACGGCGCTTTGGTTTGTTCGGCTCGCAGAAGCAGATCTGCAACGGTAACGTAAAACAAGGAACATCAGCAGCTCAAAGCTCAGCTTTCAGCTACCCATGTATTTGCTGCCAGGCTCCAATGGAGTCCACCTTCACTGGAGCTCACTTGATGCTCGTACTGGTGGCCACTCGTCACCGCTTGATCGCACTTGCCTCACCAGAGCCGCAAGCAGACTCAATATGCTCACAGGGCAGGCGCCATATCGCTTTGCTCCACCAGATTGGCGGTACCGGAAGGAATGCACGTTGCTACGACGTGCACGAAGCCACCTTCCCCTCGCGCATACCAAAACTGCCAGCTTGAGTACATGATCGTTCTTGCCCTCTTTAACACGTGTGTCATACGAGGCAGGAAGTCAACTGCAGCTCTTCTGTGCATCTTTTTGCGGATCGCTTTACTCCTCCTTTTTACACTTCATATCGTCGCCATCTCGTTTTTTTCTTTTTCGCACAGCAGAGCGCCCTTGGCCAGGGATTGCCGCGAGAGATTGTCACCGCAATCGCTCGGCCACTGGCCCTCCACAGCCCTGCATCCACCGCGTGATATTTATCTGCCTCCATTTCCCACTTCCCACTTTCTTTCAAATACTGTCCAGGGCATTTCTCCCACCACTCTCGTTTCTCACAACTCTCGATTTTGCTACAGTAGTTTGTGGCCTTTTGACAGTTCTCATCGATCGCCCAGAACTTTAACCGCCGCCGGTGACCAGCAACTAGCCCTATCATGGATCCCGACAGTAAACGCCGGGGCTATTTCAACTACCCGGAGCCGATCAAAGGGTATGTTTTGGCCCCTACCAAGATCATGATATGGGATCTGTACTAAACGCTCTTCAAGCCCGGATGTGCCCTACTTCAATGGTCGAAAATCCAATCCCGCGCTTCGGGGCCCGATCTTGGTCGTCTGCGCTTACATGTAAGAACCAGTGCTCACGTACTTGTAACCTCCCACTGTTCACGACATAAAACTGACAACCAATTGCAGCATGGAATGGCTCGGCTTTGTGCGCTATTTTGTCTGGTTGAATGCTGGCTTTGGCTCGCTCAGAAAGATCTTTGCGGATATTCAAGACTACGAGCCCTTTTATGAGCCAACTATTGTGCCTTTGCCGGACCCGGGCGCGCCAGAATGGACAAAAGATAGCCGCCTTGACTTGACTTTGCCAGCATCTCTTCCCGTCCCGGCCGCAGACAAGTACCCGTCTACAAGATACTACACGGCGGAGGACTACCACAATCTCTACCTCTCTGGAAAGCTGACTCCGACAGACGTGGCTCGGAGCCTGTTGCCACTGATTCGCAAAAAGGAAAGTTCTGCCGGCGAGGAGCCTGGACCGCACCAGGTTGCCTTTTTCCAATCGAGAGAGGAGCTCGTTCTCAAAGCTGCCGAAGCCTCCACGCTCCGGTACCGCAAGAAGAAGTCCCTCGGCCCTCTCGACGGCGTGCCGACCGCCGTCAAGAACGAGTACGATATGGACGGGTACAAATCGTGCCTCGGTTCCGTCAACGACTACACGAGCGACCAATTCGAAGACGGAAGTATTGACTGTTGGTCGGTCCGCAAGTTAAAAGAGGCCGGCTGTGTCATTATTGGGTCTCTGCACATGGTCGAGTTTGGGCTGGACACACCAGGTAACAACACCAACTACGGCACACCACCGAATCCTTACAACCCCAAGTACTACACTGGCGGCAGTTCGTCTGGCTGTGGATATGCCGTAGCGTCCGGTCTCATCCCCTTCGCTCTCGGCAGCGACGGCGGCGGAAGCATCCGGATTCCAGCCTCTTTCTGCTCCGTGTACGGTCTCAAGCCGACCCACGGTCGCCTATCCTTCAAACCTGGTCAGAATCACTGCATGACGTGCGCGTGTCTTGGACCCCTCGCCGGAGATTTGCGAACACTGGCGACTGTTTATTCTGTCCTGGGCCAACCACACCCTACGTCCATTTTTCCACCGGTGCCACCGCCATCTGTTCTTCTTGACCGTGCCCAACCGTCATATCCCTCTTCACTATCAGTCGTGCATTCTTCTGCGACATCTCAGCGCACTTTGGGCATTCCTCGCGCATGGTTCGAGCGTGCCGATTCTGTTGTGCGCGAACTCTGTCTGAGCTACATTGACCGCTTGGTCCGGGAGCACGGCTACGAGACAGTGGACATTGAGATCCCTTACCTTATCGAGGGTCAAACAGCGCACGCCTTAACTGTGCTGACTGACGCTGCCGGCCTTTTGCCCGAGTACGGCAACTTGACCACGGCCAACCGAATTCTCCTCGCGCTCGGCCGGACGACACCGTCCACGGACCACCTGCTTGCTCAAAAACTACGCCGCTTGCTTGTCAATCACCTCTCCCACCTGTGGCACAAATACCCTGGCATGGTCATCATGACGCCGACGACAAGCTGCGCTGGCTGGCCAGTCCGAAACACCAACGAGAACCACTGGGGTATTAGCGACGGCGACACGACAATCCGCACCATGGAGTACGTCTGGCTCGCCAACTTTTGCGGTCTTCCGTCGATTAGCTTCCCGGCCGGCTATGCTGTTCCGGAGGGCCAGCCAAATGCGGGTACCATCGCCGGCCCCGATGTCGTGGGCAAGGTGCCGGTCGGTATTATGGCCACGAGTGAGTGGGCCACTGAGACAGACCTGCTGCGGCTCGGCTTGGATGCCGAGGTCATTTCAGCGGAACGCAATGTACGGGCCCCTAACTGGGTGGACGTCATTGGCACGGCGCAGAAATCCAAGTCCAACGCCAGCGAGTGAACTATCCTCCGACGGTTTGGAAATTCAAACGAACGATACCCGAAGTTGGCGGATAAGAGGTCGGAGATATCCCATGCAAGACAACTGCTTTTATTTGCTCTCGATGATTTTCTGTTTATTTTCGTTCGTTGCCAACTGTTCAAGCCCGCCTTGGCTAAAGATAGACAAAGACGGTCTTCTCCAACGTTGTCTATTTTGTGTTAATCTAATACCCGAGATATCTTTACAGTGTTACTTCCCCCTTGAACGTGCAGAACAGCCACGCTCGCTTTGCCTTTCCCCCTGTTTCCCACATCTTCTATCTGAGGGTTTTGTATCACAAAGTTATTTAAAACCACTCTGACGGCAGCTCCACTTTTCATTGCATCTTCCTCGACGATTCCAGTAATTGGAAGGATGATGATGCCCGACGTATTTTGTGGTGTGTTTACAGTTGCCTCAAAGGAGTTGTCGCTCTTCCCAATATCATCACAAGTGCCGCTGGCGAAACAGCTGCACACCCAACTCGCCTGGAACTTTCCCAGCGGCGTGATGAACCCGCCTTCTGCGCGACCGATTCCCTTCGTCCCGCTGCCACGACCGCTCATCTGGGGCGCAAACTGCCACGTCAATCCTGCAACGCCCGTCACAGACAAACCCAGCACAAATTCGGTGAGTGCACTTGTCGGTCCGGCCGACCAGCCGTGGCTGTGGCTCGTATAGCTCGCTGCGACGGCAGTGTCATTGTGTGCGCCGCCGTACCCGCGGTTCCATCGATAACCAAAAGAGAGTCCCTCGCTTCCAGGATCTATCACAAGACCCTCGACTAAAGAACTCTGGCTGCCGTCGAGCCGGTCGAGGTAGCCACCCCAAACAGAGCGCACCAGTTTTAAGGCGCGGTCTGTCTCACGCGCCAGGAAGTGACCGCGAACCTCCCATGATGAGATAAACGGCGACACATGACCAGGAAGCTCGGGCGTGACGGGATACGAATTGGCAGCAGGTCGCCAGTTGCGGACAAGGTTGTTGGAAATGTTCACCGAGAATGTGTCCACGTTGTAGGAAACGGCCGGGACACTGCTGCTGGTCATACCGAACGCAAGGGCCAGTGCATTGGCATCCTGTGGATAAATTTTCGAGCAGGGTAAAGCATTGTCGCGGAAAAGGCCGACCTGTGGGTCGTAGCAGGTAGCCAGAGTTATGTTTCGAAGATGCTCAGCGGCGGCTGTCCAGACAGTGCTCGTGTTTGCAGTTGCATTCGTCCCCAGCCAAGTTCCCAGCTGTGCGCCCGTCGTCAGCGTCTGGTACAGAATCACTTGTGCCTCCGTCATGTTGCCGCCGACGTTGAGTCGCGCCCAGTCACGCACGCCAGTGACATTCAGCAGCCCCCGTTTGCCGTCAACCTGGACCTGCTTCGCCGTGATGAACGACATAGCCCGCTGGTAGCCTGCCCAGTTACGTGCCAAGAAAGTCGTGTCGTTGGTGTACAAAAGATAGTTGTACGTCCCGATCATGGTCCACATATGGTACGTATCGCTTCCTTGTTGTAGCAGCGGCGGGCCGGCCTCAGGGAACGAGCCGTCGGGGTTCTGTACTCCTTGTCAGTCTGTCCAAGATGCACAAAATGGAGGCTAGAGGACGTTATGCTCTTACCTGATTGTCATACATGGTTTGCAGGGCATTCTTGACGCTCCTAGTTGCATTAGCTGGATGGAGCACTCCGATTCTGGCTGCCAACCACTGCACGTAAGACTCACTCCATATCGCCAGTGCTCACAAATAGTGACGGCACCGCCACGCCCATGTCGCCGGGCCACACAGCGCGGTCTCTCTTGGCGCCGTCCACCAAGATGGTATGACCAGGTCCCAACAGGCCGTCGTTGGCCCACCCTGTTTTCAAAAAGGGTACACGACGCCCTGTCGTCGGCGGCACGGCGTTGGTCTGCAGCGTGTACGCGCCGGCATACCAAATGCGGTTGAGAAGCGGGTCGTCACAGTCAAAATAGCCCTGGTAGGCGCGCAGGTTGGACCAGGTGGGTTGGAATGCGATGTCAAGCGTGACGTTGTGGAAAGCAACCACAAGGTCGGCGTTGCCATCACCTTCGGCCTCGAGAAACACGGTGAGGTACCGGAATCCGCCCCGGAGTGAGGCGTCTGGCATGTTGTAAGTGGTCTCGCCCGGTTCATCAATTTCGGCATAAATCGCACCATCGGGCCCTTGAAATGCGCCGTTTGAAGCGTCGGACCACTGGCCGATGAAGGTGCTCGACTCGGAAAATGCAAGGCCGATGCGTGCTTTGCGTGATTGTGGTGCGTTGCGCGTTCTGTGATCCCGGTTCTCCGCGTCGTCGTCGTCGTCGTCGTCGTCACCCCCAATGTTTATTTCGTCATTTCTGCTAACGGTGTATATCAACGTCACCAGACCACCGACCTCTTGACCGAAATCAAAGACAACCTGTGAGCCATTGCCGGCGAGTACGAGAGGCACCTTGGTCGGGTCGTAAGGCGCACGCGAAGCCGGTATTACGTCACCGTTCACTGTTTTTGTCAGTGTCTCGACGACCGATCTTGGAGTGATTGTGCGTGTTGCCGCGGCGAGAATATTGTCCTCCCACGGTCCAGGAAATGGCGTCTCATCAAAGCGACTATCGCACGGTGTATCTTTCCAGCATTTTCTTGTGTCTGCCTTTACACCGAACACTTGACTCAAAACAGCCACCAAAACATAGGCTTTCGGCAAACCGTGGCTACCAATTCCAATCGCCATGGTGGCTTTGTCATGTTCTTGCCAAGTGAGTTTAGAATTGTATTTGAAAGGGATTTATTGACTATTTTGTTTATCAAGTCTCGCAATGAAATGACGATATTATGAGAAATTAAAACCGAACTCTAGCAATACTCCCCAAGGCATTCATCCAGACATGGAACGTTTATCCGTCAGGTACTGAACAGTATAGCGTCCCCTCCTAGCCTCCGCTTCCCACAGCGTCTACAACTACCAATGGTTGATTAGGCTGATTGGAAGAATACTAACCCCCCACTGTCCACTTAATGGATCAGGCCCAGGTTCAGTTTAAAGAAGTTGATGGCGGCGTGCTGTGCGCGCTCCACAACCTTGCGCGCTTCGGGGGACTTCTGGTTGCTGCGCATCAGACTGCCGTGTGCGACGCCAGGGAAGTGCAGGTAGTCCAGAGGGATGCCGTTTTTGGCCGTCACGTCAAAGGTGAACTGCTTCAGGGCCGGGGTGTACAACTGATCGATCTCGGGCGCCAAAATCTGCAGGGGCACAGCCACGCCGGCCAGGTCCCGCTCGGTGACGAGCGACGGGTGCGCCGTGGACACGGCTTGGACGAGGGGCCCCTCAATGGGCTTGGCATCCTTGTCCTCGTCCTCGGGCTGGTCCTCGGGCTTGGCGCCCAGACGCATCACGGCCCAGCCGCCATAACAGAAACCAATGGCGGCGAGTCTGTCGTGGCCGTGCTCACGGCGCAGGGCGCGGGCCACGGTAAAGACGTCCTTGTCGCGGGCGTCACGAGGGTGGCGGCCGACGAACGGCAGGACATGCTGCTTCAGGAACTCGGCGTCCGCGAGCTCTGGGTGGTCGGAGCGGCGGAGGACCTCGCCGTGGAAGAAGTCGGGCACATAGACGGTCACGCCAGTCTGCCGGGCATAGTGGTCGGCCATGAGACGGGCGTTGGGGTTTTCCCAGCCATAGACGTCGTGGATGAAGAGGACGGCAGCAGAAGAGCTCTTGCCGGCGATGTAGGCATTGTATTGGCCGCCTGCGATCTTGCCAACGCGGCCCTCAGGGGTGCCTTCCCAAACGAAACTCTTGACGCAGCACTCGGACAAGGCCATGTTGAAGCGTTGGTTGAAAGGCAATGTGAGGATTGCACAGATCTGAAGAGAAAGGGGTGTCTGATTGAATTTCTGGAATGTTGATGGAGAGAGTGCTCGAGTGTGTTGATGACATGAGTCTTTTCGTACTCAGCTCGACCTCGACATCCTCCTTCTTTTATACCAAAGAATCCCGTCGATAAGCAAAGTCCGTGGCAAATAATTCCGTGGGAAGAACTGAACCATTGTCAACATACACATGGGTCTCTGCCCCCGTTGGTCAGACATCGCCCGTCTTTGTCAGTTTGCTGCCGTGTTGCTTGACCCTCAGCTGCTGCCTCAACTCCGACAACCTCAACTCCGACAGGGCTAACTCGAGATCCCCATGGCAGTGCTTTTAGTGTTCCTAGAGCTCCCGTTGAGATTTGGTAAGACTTTTTTGGTGGCATCGTCGAAGGCCGTCGTTAAGCCCCTGGTTTAACGCCATTCCCGACGCCAACGACTGATGTAAGTCGATGGGTCAATCCTGCGGGATTCTGCTCAACCCAGTTTCCTTTTTTGTCATCCTTGTTACAAAGTACCAGCGGCGTTAACTCCAAATCCGACGGTTTGTCAGTGGCGGCTCGATAGCATCGGGAAGGAAGGCTGTTAGGATCGGTATCCAATTGTCGATTCTTGAAACCATTAGAAGAACCAGAGAATACTAATACGACGGATTTCGCTTATTTTGCCGATTTTTTTGACGGTCCTGTTCCTTTAAATTTTAAAAATCACGCAAAATTAAAGCCGTAGATTTTTTAGAAACAGGACACGCAAAGGCAGTGCTATTACATCTGTCGTATCTCGTCCAGCCGCCGCACCTTGTACGTTTGCAGCTCACCCGGAGCCATGGTATCTTGTGCCGTCGACAATTCGGCCGCCGACCATACTGACCAATTGGTGTCGGCTTTTCCGATCTGCTGTCGGCTTGTTTGTCATCGGGAAGAATTGGAGGCTTCAAGCTTATCTTATCGGCTGCACGGGCCACTCTGTCGGGCTTCTGCTTGTGGACCGGACCTTCCCTCGTCCGTAAAAGGCAACCCCACATAGTCACACCTGATTGGCCAGGTCTCTCGACTGAAAACCCCCACCTGCCGTTGTCCAGCCAGCCCAGCCACCCCTCCAAACGTGCACTGACAAGTGCAGACGCAGCACACGTGGGAATCAAAACATGCTGCCGTTTTGCGGAAAGCGTCGTCAGGCCCCCCTCCTCTCGGCCGTCGTGTAAGCTTCTGCAAGCACTTATGCACCCAAGTGCGCAGGCTGCACGTATTATTGGGCACTGTCACGGGGTGCAAAGATGGCTGCATAATAGGCGTAATATTGGGAAGGTGCGAAGGTGGCTGGATCGAGGCCGTTTCCTTGCTTCCTTGGGGTCGTTTTGGGGGGCAGGAGCGAAGAGGCGACCTTGCGCACTTTACTTTGTACACCGTCCATCGTCTCCCGCCCGTATCCGGGTCGCTCTTTCCCCTCCCAGCCACCCTATCGAGCGAAAACAGGAAGGAACTGTGGATAGACCTTCGTCATCTTGGCGTCAAGTGTTACAGGCCTTTTTTGGTGTACCTCGAAATCTTCACCCTCTTCTCTCTCTCCTGCAACTCTTTACTTCTCCAACGGTCGATTCTTCACCTTCAACCGCAACTCGCTCGCTGGCCACCATTCCGATCCGCTCAACGGCGCACATTCCTCTTCCCGCCCGATCGATAACCTTGCCTCTAATACCCCGTACCCGCATTCCTTTCGTTGACGAGATATAAAAGACAACAAAATACAACAAACGACAAGTTCCAACGATTGAGAGTGTGTGACCTCCCGTCGCAGCTCGCTGCAGGATCACGCGTCGCATCCCATCTGACCCGCAGGTCTGCGTAGCAGAATCGACATTTCGTTCTCTTGTGCGCTTTACACGCCGTGAGCTCGTCGCCTTGCCGCATCGGCCTGTGTCACCATGTTGTTCGCCATCTTCTTCGCCTTTTGGCGCTTTGCACAGATTCTCACTCTGGTGAGTTTTGCATCCTGACAATGGCATAGTGATGGTTGCCATTCCCGTCTAATTGTTTGTTGTAGATTCCCATCATGGGCATGCTGTCCTGGTTCATCCACGCCTACATCAACGAAAACGAACTCACCCCCAACTACATCCTCGTCCTCTTTATCGTGTCCGTTCTCGGCGTCGTCTGGACCATTGTCACGCTTTTCAGCTACCACCGCAGCAGCAGCAACTCCCACTTTGTCTCGCTCGTCGACCTCGCGTTTGTGGGAGCGCTCATTGGCGCTGTCTACCAGCTGCGCTTCATCACCGACGCCAACTGCTACCACGTCGCGAGCACCGACGAATGGCTCAAGCACGCCCGCAGCCTGCTGACGCTGACCAGCCAGGGCATCAATGTCCTGGGCTCCAACACGCCCTGCGCCGTGCTCAAGACCAGCTTTGCCCTGGGCATCATGAACATTGTCTTCTTCTTCTTCACTGCCGTCCTCGCCTGGATGCACGGTGGCAAGCTGAGCCGCAAGGAGCACGACCGGCGTGTGGTGACGGAGACGACGACCGTGCGCCGCCACCGCAGCCGTGGCGGGTCGCGCCCGCGGAGTGGAAGCGGCCACAGCCGGCGCAGCTCGCACTCGCACCAGCGGATGTACGTTTGAGGAGGGATTGAAGGGCGAGGAACAGAGCCGCAAGGTCAGACAAGTGGGTGACAGATGAAAAGTGCGAACAAAGAAGAGGAAATCGAATGTCTTTAAACAGCAGACGCCAGTTTGAAGCGTCATGGCGGCGGTTGTTTCTTAGTGGAGACGCAGACGCAACATAACGAAGTTCCATGTAAGTATGATTTGACGAAATTTGTTTGCTATTTTGGCTTGGATTGGTCTTTGTGAGTGGGATATATTTTGTATTATTGTTGGTTTTTTGCTGTGTGGCTTTTTTATTTTTGCGTTTTTGGTTTCGTGATATTTGGCAGTGCGCTGCAAGGAACATTGGGAGGATTATGGTCATAGATATCGCAATGAGACGTCACCGCAATGGTGACCGACCTGATAGGATACTTGTTGATGCAGTTGACTATGTGAATATGCCCTTTTAAATGTCAAAGAAACTGTAACAGTTGAATTGCCACCTCCAAGGCCAACGCAAGTGTCAAAATGCCAACACTCGCGACGCCATCAACGTCACCATGAGCACTATATTTAAATCACGATAGTTTCTCTTACGCGAGAGACGACTGATTCAATAGTTCACAAGCGGTGATTAATACAAGGTATCTAGACCATCCTATTACGCATCCTAATGAGGCAGGTTGTACCGGGTAAATTCATCAATCCTGGATACTACAGACCATCAATGACCACGTATGACGCTGCTTGTATATCCGTTCACTTAACCGCAGGATCTCTTAATTAAGAGATACCCAGTTGTAGGAGATTGGCTTAAAAGTTCCGTGTCGCCTCGTCGACATCTTCGTAATGTTCTGCGTATACCAAAGAATTTCATTTTCTTTCTGCCCTCGGCCGTGTCCAGTGCTGTTTTCGTATAAAACCAACAGTCCATTGCACGCCAACATTCACTATGCATTACACACCTAGCAGCCCCCTCTTCTTGCTCTTGGCCAGCCTGGCCATCGTAACCGGCCACCCCAACCCAGGACCGGCCGTCACGGCCGTCGAAACCGCTGTCGAGTCAGTGACTCCCGCAACCGCAGGCATACCGGCAATACACACCGTCGTCTGGTCCTCCACACAGACGTCTGTAACACACCCGATGTGGATCCCAGCCACAGTGGTGACAATGGTTACGACACAGACTGTGACGACACTCATACCAGATGTGCCGGCGGGCGAGACGGCGACGGTCGAGACTGTCATTGGGCACACGACATACGAATTCCGGATGGGCTACTCGGACGGGCACAGCTGGACCTCGTGGTCGTCGGCAACACGGAGCTATGCAATGACTGTGGGCTAAGTGCGAGGGTGCATCAGAGCGAGGACGAGGAAACAATGTGCAATCGCCTGCAGAGGTTCGCGAAGAATGTAAGCAACCCAATGCATGTTCATTAGTAACGATTCCGATCATTATCATTCACGTATCTTCAGATTCTTTCTTGTTCCCTGCTTTCTCTCACTTGCAGCTCCAGTTGGCTGCCACATTAAGACTCCCCTTTCCGCCGTACACGGCTTCCTGCGGGTACACACAGAGTGGACGGGTCCGGTTGACGGTTCCGTCTGGGTTCCAGACGCTGGCCACAATACTCGTCGGCGCGACTGCATTCTCCACCCAGGCCATGAGGGCCAGGACAGCGTCGTGGGCGGCACTGGCCGGCTGGTTGGGGACGCCCCATCCCGGGCCGAAGCTGTAATCCTGGGACAAGAGGGTGGCCTGGCCCGGACCGGCAAACATCCATGGGGCGGCCACCTCGTCCGGGGAGGCGAAGCAGTGCTGCATGCCCGGGACCTGGATGTAGCGGAAGAAGTCCTGGATGGGAGGATTTGTGTCCTTGTGGTGTGGGTGGCGGTCACCTGTCTCACCCGTCTCGTCTCGTCTGTCCAACGCCGTCGCCAACGTCAAGTTCATCGCCTTCATCGTCTGATTGTAGTAATATGTGGTCATGCGTGGCATAATGATGCCGTCTGCTAGCCCCTGGTACATCAGCACCTTGCCGCCTCGGTTGCGGTAGGCCGAGATGTCGTAGTCGTCGGCCGAGGCATTGCCCAGGTTGAGCCGGAGCGAATCGTAAAATACCTGGTCGCTGTATAGGGTCCAATTCCAGGTGGTGTCGTTGTAAAGCCAGAAGCGCTCGTAGCGTGTGTCAAAGTCGCTCGCGTCGCCAAAGGCCAGGTAGACGTACCACTGGTCCTCCGACCCCAGCGAGTAGCCGCTGTGGATGAAGTCGCCCGGTGCCGTGAAGGCGTCTGCATACAGGTACCGCGCCGTCTTGACCTGAGCCGGCGTGAGGCACGGCTCGCCGGGCGGTACGGCGGCATTGCCACAGGTGATGGGTGCCCAGTCCAGCACTCACGCCTCGGGCCGGCTGATGATGGAGTCGTTGTGCCCATCCAGGTGGTCGCACTGCTTCAGTGCGGCCGCCGCCAGCACCGCAAAGTCGGACAGGTCGATGTGGTTGGCGCCGTCGTCGGGCAAGTTTGCAGCGCCAATACGGGTCAGCCACGGCATCAGCCGTGACGTGCCCCAGGCCGGCGCGCCCACAAGCGCGCCGTCAAAGCTGTCCGGGCTGATTTGGATTTCTTTGAGGCCCTGTCGGCCGCCGGTGGAGCACCCACTGTAGTACGAGTACGCGATGCGAGTGTCGCTATAGTAGGTCTCGACCAAAATCTTGCCGAGGGCGACCGTCCCGTGCAAGGCCCGGTAGCCCCAGTCGGCCAGCTTCGCCGGTGTCGTCGGCGCCCAGTCCAGATCGCTCTGCGACGAGTTGTGTCCACCGTCGGTCGCCAGCGTCGCAAACCCGTAGTGCGGCGCCTCGCCCATGTTGGGCCAGTTGATGCCGCCCGCAAACGAGTAGCTGCCAATCGTCATCAGCCGGCCGTTCCAGTTGGTGGCCGTTGGCAAGAAGAGGGCGAGACGATAGTTGGACGAGCCGTTGTGCACGGCAACGGTGACGGCGCAGAGAGGCGGAAGCAGAGTGGCGTTGCTGGGAAAGCCCAGGTCGGCTGCACCCTCGCCGTAGTTGCCGTTGGCCGCGACTGTGTCGACACGCTCGACAGCGGCGAAGCTGGGCAGGACGCTGGCAAACGTGGCCGCCTTGCACGGACGAGTCGTGTAGAATTTGTGGCTGTCGTGGCCGTGACTGTGGTGGTCGTCACTGTGTCCTTGTGTTGGAATAGCCAGTGCTTGTTGCCGGCCGGACAACAGCAAAAGCAGCGACCACAGGGCCCAGACGGCCGCCAGTGAGAAGAAGGCCATGCGGAGAATCCGGCTCTGTCGGTGTGGGATGCGCAGAGGGAGGCCCAGGACCAAGAATGCGCGTTGTGTCGTCGAAGCAGCCACTGGCGCCGGGCCTCCCTTTCGTCTCAACCGGCCATCGTCGTCTTTAATGGTTAATGCCTCTCGTCGAGGTTGGCGGACCATGTCAGGCGATGTCGTCGTCCCCGCCGTCGACGGCAGAGACGTGGCGCTTGGGGTGGAGGCTGTGTGCCTGTCCTCGCCGTGGTTCTGGTTCTGACGATCGTCGCTTGGACCATCGCCGGCGTCTTTTGTGGTGCGAGGAATGGGCGTAGACGTTGCATTGCATAAGGCAAGTGCGGAGTGAGACGGCGAGGAAGCTGCTGTCGGCGTGCTCGTAACGGCTGACAGTCGTGCTTGCAGGCGCGACTGCCTCGCCAATGTAACGTGTTCCATTTTGGGACAGAGGGGGCATAAACGACGAGAAACGAGGAAGGAGCGGCGGTTCAGCTGAACGAGGGCCAGAGAAGGAAGGCACCGACTGGAATAGCGGAGAGATGAGAAGAACAAGGCAAAAATGAAACTCAACCACAGGAAGACATCCCGTGCGATCTCTGCCGCGAAAACGTGGATCCAGGCAACCCAGAAACCGGGTAGGATTGTCTCGAATGTGCCTGAACAAAAAAAAAAAACGTAAGACGCGGCACGCTGTTGCGACAAAAGTGTTCTTCCAGATAACCGTGCAGTAACTAAACTAAGACAATAAATAGTATATGCCTTTCAATTGGCAGGTTGACAGTGATAAGGGACCATTTCTTCTTAACGGCTACGACTGTACCAACGGTTGCTTCCTATCTTACGATATGGGACTGCTGGTTTCGAGACGACGTGACATGCAGTCACACAAGCTTTCTGGCGTACTGCGGGACATAAAGGGACAATTACAATAAAAGGCCCTGAGCTTTGTTAAACTGAGGTTTCTAGGCCTCACAGCCAGACCAAGCTACAACGCAGAAATGGGAACAAACAGTTGTTAATACAGCTGCCCACACTTTCTTTTCAGGCCAACTATTGGATACACATCAAGGAATTTGAGGATCTTATATGGCAAATAAAACCAAACTATATGATAAAAAACACTTGTCATCTTATTATCTTATGAAGATTCTCTTCCGCCTGCGCGTCATGGCCGCTGTAGTGGTATAACTTTGTCGTTGTCTGCGAGAGAAAACAAATGTGAAAGACGACATTTGCCTTGACAGCACTGAATAGCCGACCACTGCCCCGCAAAAACCACTTATACAGTCGCTAGCGCCAACGGCAGATGAATTAGCACTGTAGTCGCTGCATCGGAGGCAGGAATACGGGTGTAAAACACTGCAGCAAAGGAGTGAGGAGGTCATTCGAGCAGCAGAGACACGTTGTGTAAAATCGCCGCTCGCAGCTTCCTCGTCTTTCATATTGCGCTCTTTCCTTTAATTGTTTCGCGTCCCTGTTTGTCAATTGCTCCTTTGCTCCTTCCTCTCCTGATCCTACCATTCAGCACTGGTTCTTCCTTCGTTTGAAAAACATCGACTTCGATTTCGTCTATTGCAAACCTCAGAGGCCGACCACCAACGACCTCCCTCCCCCGTCCTCCCCAGTCCTCCCTATGAACACCTCCCGGGTTGCCGTCGTCACTGGCGGCGCCAGCGGCATCGGCCGGGCCATGGCACGCTACTTTGTCGACCAGCAGTACGGGCACGTGGCCGTGCTGGATGTCAACAAGACGAGTGGCGGCGAAGCCGTTGCCGAGCTCAAGGCGGCCAGTTCTGGCTCGACGCAGGTGTCGTTTCTCGAATGCGACGTTGCCTCGTGGGTCAGCCAGGCGGCGGCGTTCCGGCACGTGTACGACGCGTGTGGCGGCCGCATCGACGTGGTCATGGCCAACGCGGGCATCTCGGAGAACGGCGAGTCGCCGTTGGTGGCAGAAGCCATGAAGGACGAGGACGAGGACGAGCCGGGCGAGCCCTCGGAACCATCGATGCGAACGTTGAATGTGAATCTGGTCGGCACCATTTTTAGTACGTGCGGGGCGAGGATGCGCGCGTGGCGGAAAAATAGCCCTCGTTGAACTTGCTAACAAAGGAAACAATGGAGCCATCAAACTCGCGACACATTACATGAAGAAAAACACACCTGCCGTCTACGGCAAGCGCTGGGCCGCCTCCCGCGGGCGCATTATTTGCACGGCATCGAATGCCGGTCTGTACCCGTTCCCCGTTGCCCCCATCTATGCCGCCAGCAAGAACGGCGTCATTGGCCTTGTGCGCTCCTTGGCACAGCCGCTCGAACGGGCGGCCATTGAGATCTTTGGGCTGGCGCCCGCCGTGCTCGAGACGAACATTGCGCCGAACAAGGACCTCTTCAAGGCGATGAAGATGACGCCGATGACGACCCTGACCAAGGGCGTGAACGAGATTTTGACAGGGAGCGAGCTGTCCGGCGGCGTGGCCGAGATTCACGGCGAGAACGTGACGTTCCGGGCGGCACCCGAGTTTGTCGACGCGGATTCGGAGGCCAACATTAACAATTTCTGGAATCTGGGCTATGCCTAGACGAATCGCTAGTGGCGACGATGTGCGCAGAAAGCAGTCAATCTGGTGTGTATATACAAACGTTGGACAAATAAGTACATGAGAAGACAAGAACGGACGACCTACAAGAAAAGGCCCCGAAATGAAATCAGAAATCGTCATACATGAACAAAAGAAAGAAAATAAACTCGTCCCACACCATGCCGATGCAGACTATCTCCAGCTTGTCGACACAGTCACAGTCCCCCCTGCACAACCGGCCGGCACCGTGTACGACCGGTTCGGGTCGCTCTCCCAGACGACGCTGCCGTCCGACTCCTTCTTGACAAACTTGTATTGAAACGTCGTTCCCACCGGCAGGCTGACGGTCGTGGCCCACAGCGGGTTAGACGACGTATAGGCACTGGCGCTAAGGGCGACGGCACTCGACGTGTCCCAGCCGCCGAGCTGCGCAATGGAGCCAGACAAGAACACGGCTTCGCCGTAGGACGTGGCGACGAGCTCGTCAAAAACGACGGAGAGGGCCGTGGCGGCGGTGCAGCTCGCCGTGGTCGTGGTCGATGCCGTCGTCGTCTTGGTGCCCGTCCCACCACACAGGCTACCACTGCTCACCCACGACGCTGGCACGAGAACGCGCGGCTGGCCCGACGCCATTGGCACGGCAACGCTGCCGGAGCTGCTGACCGTCGCGGTGGCACACGAGTACAGCTCGACGAGCGCTGTGCCGGCCGCCAAGCCCGTGCCGGTCACCGTCAGCGTGTACGACGCGCCCGACGCGCCCAGATTGCTCAGCACCGTCAGCACGCCGCCCTTGACCATGCCGATGGTGGTGCTGTCTTGATAGACGGCCTTGTTGGCCGTCGTGGCCCAGCTGCCGGACGAGGCGCTGATGAGCAGCGCGCGGATGGCGTTCGTGGTGGCAATGTGCTTGTAGAGCGTCGACGTCTGCGCGTAGCCCGACAGCCACGTCGCCTCGCGGTTCGCCGGGTCGCCGCCGCCGCTGTAGTGCTGCTCCTGGCCGGCGTAGACGATGGGGATGCCGTCGGCCAGGAACAGGAACGAGAGCGCGTTCTGGGCCAGCGCATAGTCGCTCGTGTAGGACGCGAAGCGCGGGTTGTCGTGGTTCTCGACAAAGTTGCCCAGCAGCGTCGGGTCGGCGCAGTCGGCAGCAATGGAGGAGATCATGCTGTAGAGGGCGCCGATGCCGGAGGACGACGCCGACTGGAACGCCGCCAGCAGCGGGTAGTACAGCGGGTAGTTGAGGACGCCGTCCAGCACCGCCTGGTAGGGGCACGTGTAGGCCGGATCGCCGTCAAACACCTCGCCGACGCAGTAGACGCCGGCTGCGTCGTTGTACCCGGGCCAGAAGGACGTCTGGACGTGCTTGACGGTGTCGATGCGCAGGCCGTCGATGGTGTAGTTGGCCACCAGGCCCCGGACCCAGTCGTACCACAGCGTCTGCACGCTCGGGAGCGTGGTGTCGAGGTCCGGCAGCGCGACGGTGGTGTCGCCCAGCCAGCAGTCCTCGACATTGGCCTGGTCGTCGTAGTTGGAAATCTCGCAGTACGCGTGGAAGTAGCTCGCGCTGTCAAAGGGCGTGAACACGCTGTAGTCGACGCCCGTGCCGGCCCCGTCGTAGCCCATGTGGTTGGCCACGACGTCCACCATCAGGTACATGCCGCGCGCGTGCAGCGCGTCGGACAGCGCCCTGAGGTCGGCGGCGGTCCCGTAGTTGGGATTGAGCGCGTAAATGTCCTGCTGCCAGTAGCCGTGGTACGACGTGCCGTCGCCCGTGTCCTCGTAGAACTGCCCCGTCACGGGCGTGATCCACACCGCCGTGAAGCCCATGCCCTGGATGTAGTCCAGCTGGCTGACCACGCCCTGCCAGCTGCCGCCGCAGTAGACGCGGGCGCTCGTGTCGCACGCCGCCGTCGTGCTCTGGTCGGTGCGCGCGAACCGGTCCGTCAGCAGAAAATAGATGGACTGCTGGCGCCATTCGGCCGGCGACAGGCCAGCGGCGCCACGGAAGAGACCCAGCAAGAGAAGGGACGCAATGGAGAATTTCATGCTGATGGGGGTGGAGTAGAAGGGTGATGTGGAAGAGAGAGGAAAACAAAGTCGATATTTCGACTTTGCAGTGGATTCCCAAAGACGACAGAGCTATAAGTCAGTATAAGATTTATAGGTTAATAAGTACATCGTAGTGTAAGTCGACAATAGCCGCCAAGGCCTCTCCTTAATAGGAAAGAGAAAGAGACGAGGCACAACCACTCAGTATGTTGTACAGAAAATGACGGAGGTTACAGGACGGCGGGCCCCACCGTCGAAACTTTGTTTCAAGTCAACAGCAGTCGTCTGAAGCCACTGAGAGCTCACTGTGGTCCCTCGATCGTCTGCAATCGGCCGCACTAACCAGGTGGCCAGGGATATTTGTAAGGCCATTGGTCAGTCCTGCTGTGATCGTCACAAACAGTCGCCAGCGCCTCGGCGAGACTGGTCTGTTGACAGGCACAATTGGCCGAAGTTTATGCACAAGTGACAGCGCCTGCCAGAATACAGGGAAGGTTGAATTGTGGCATACAGCGCAAATAGACAAATAGACAAATAGACAAATAGACAAAGGAAAAAGAAAGGCCAAACCACGCCTTTGTAGATTGCACTCTGCATGACACGCTGCCCATCTTGAACCATTGCTCGCTTTTGGCCCATGCTTTTTTGGTTGGGCCACTGCGACGTGCAGCCGTAGAGTCGCATCGCCTCGGCAGCATTTCGTAGTGTCGGCCCTTGGACGGATATGTACGTCGCAGGCCGGGGTCGCTTCAAACTTTGTGCGAATACGGAAGAACGACGTACATGTACGGCGCACGTCGTTCCTCGCCCTGCACATGAATGGTGCGCGGTTTTCAAGCACCATATTCAAAACGGTGAACGGCACCGGCCGTACTTTGCCATCTCTTGATGCTACCCCGGGATGAACCTCATTTGGGTCAAAAAGGCGACATGCAACGTACAGAGGCAATACTCCACATGCACGTGTTAATCTTGGACCTGGGGACCTGAGACATGGGAAGCGTCTGCCCCAAGACACCCTCCTGAGCCTTCCTCCGCATCTGCATCGGCCGGTTCGGCGCCGCGGTGACGCCGGCAGTCGCTGCATGATGCGCCGCTGACAGATGCAGTCGACCGCTTAGCGAGAGGGGATAAGTCAGGACTGCAAACTGCAGAGTACGTGCAAACGAGCGCTTCACGCGAAGCACCCGGAGGTCCAGAGCGACGGTGGCCACAATAGCGCCGGCCGTACGAGATGAATCGGGGATCGACAGCCAACATGCGCTATCTGACTACGGCAATATGACGTACTTTGCCTATTCCTATTTCGACTATTTCCACGGCTTTGTCTACTTTGGCAGTCTTGCAAGATGAAAGACGAGTGGGCCGTGATAAATGCGGACGAGAAGACAGGGGTCTTGCTGCCTTTTCGATCGGTCCACGAACGGCCCGAAAGAAGTAGATGATGAAGGAGGGCTATGGACGAAGTGGAAATAATAAGAGAGAATTTAGGAAAGCAGAGAAACAAAATGCAAAAAAAAGTAAACGAACAATAAATGCACGGAATACTACCCCATGGACCACGTCTGGAGACCAAGAATATATAGAATACATGCTAATATGGACAAGGATAAAGTAGAGATACAACTCTACGGAGTACATGAGGCATTATGCATTATGCTCCTTAGCAAAGAAAGGGGACAAAGAGACAGAAATACAATCAAAATAACAATGTCCACACCACCAATCTCCACCGCTAGCCAGGGCAGAGCAGATGCCAGTGACGGTACAGACAGCCGGCAGATTCCATCTGGGGCAGCCCGTACCAGCCATTATGCCTTTTGTTGTCGTCTATATTTTTTTTTTTTCTTTTTTTCTTTTTTTACTTTTCGTCCGATGCAAAACACGTGAAAATGCAGGAACTGCGTTCGCTGCTCTCCACAAAGTGCGGAGTGCAGAGGGCAAGTGCGGAGTCTGGTAGGGCCGGTCTTTCCTCGAGGTGGTGTGGAACGTGTGGGGAAAGGCCCGTCTTCGGTGCCGTGATGTCGTCAATAGCCCAGTGCGCTCAAGTTCGATCCTTCCTTTGACGCCACGGTACTTACCCCGGCGCTCTTTCCTCACAGACCACGCATCGTGTGCCGCGCGCCTTCCCAAGCACCTGCATTGCACTCGTCTGCCACATTGGGCAAGAGCCCGTCAAACCCACCGGCGTCATCGCGAGCTGACAGCTTCCCCCTGCCAACAGCAGCGTCCCAAGATGTCATGATTTCTATAAAGGAGGCAGACGGCCATGGTCGATCGCTTCACCACCCATTCTCTCCACCCCCATCCGCCTCACCACTTTCATTCGCTCCCCTCGCACCACCAACGCTCGTCGTTGGCCTCCGCCGTGCAAAGCGCGTTTCTCTTTGCGCCCTCCTTCTTTTGTTTGCCCTCAGCTGCCTTCTTGTCTTTGACTGCTCTCCCGTTTCCTCGGCCCCCACGCTCGCAATGCCGTCCCTCCGTTCCTGGGCCGTGGCGGCCTTGACCCTCGCTCGGACCGTCCTAGGTGCCCCGCCGCGCGTTGACCCCCGCGCAGACGTCGGCACCTGGCTGGACTCCGAGGCCGCCGTCGCCGTCGAACGCATTCTTAGCAACATTGGCAGTTCTGGCCAGTACGCCGCCAGCGCCAAGTCGGGCATTGTCATTGCCTCGCCGAGCACGTCCAACCCCGACTGTATGTCACCGCCGCCTCCCCTTGTTGATCACGTACTTGTCCCTCTGCTAATGCCTCCGCCGTTCTCTACAGACTACTACACGTGGAGTCGTGATGCTGCACTTGTCATGAAGACGCTTACCGAGCTCTTCCGCAACGGCGACGCCAGCGTCCAGTCCGCCATTACGCACTACATCGACAGCCAGGCGACCCTCCAGACCGTCTCCAACCCGTCGGGCCAGTTGTCCGACGGCTCCGGTCTTGGCGAGCCCAAGTTCAACGTCGACGAGACCGCCTTCACTGGTTCCTGGGGCCGCCCCCAGCGTGACGGCCCTGCCCTGCGTGCCACTGCGCTCGTCGGCTTTGGCAACTGGCTGCTCGACAACGGCTACGCCAGCTATGCTGCTGCCAATGTCTGGCCCGTCGTTCGCAACGATCTGGCCTACGTCGCCCAGTACTGGAACCAGACCGGCTACGATCTCTGGGAGGAGGTCAGCGGCTCGTCCTTCTTCACCGTGTCCGCCCAGCACCGCGCTCTGGTCGAGGGCAGCGCCTTTGCCACCCGCGTCGGGTCCTCGTGCACGAGCTGCACCGCCATTGCGCCCCAGATTCTGTGCTATATGCAGTCCTTCTGGACCGGCAGCTACATGAACGCCAACGTTGGTGGCGGCCGCACCGGTAAGGATGCCAACACGGTCCTCGCCAGCATCCACGCCTTCGACCCGACCGCCGCCTGCGACGACGCCACCTTCCAGCCCTGCTCCTCGCGCGCTCTTGCCAACCACAAGGTCTACACCGACTCGTTCCGCTCCGTCTACGCGCTCAACTCTGGCAAGGCTGAGGGTGTTGCTGTTGCCGTCGGCCGCTATCCCGAGGACTCGTACTACAACGGCAACCCCTGGTACCTGACCACGCTCGCTGCCGCGGAGCAGCTGTACGACGCCCTGTACACCTGGAACCGCATCGGCTCCCTGACGATCGACAGCACCTCGCTCGCCTTCTTCAAGGACCTCTACAGCAGCGCTGCCGTCGGCACCTACGGCGCCACGTCCACCGCCTATGCCTCCATTGTTGCTGCTGCCAAGACCTACGCCGACGGCTACGTCAGTATCGTGGAAACGTACGCCATGGCCAACGGGTCCTTGTCGGAGCAGTACGACAAGTCGTCCGGCTCGCCGCTGTCCGCCCGCGACCTGACCTGGTCCTACGCCGCGCTGCTGACGGCCAAAATGCGCCGCGACTCCGTCGTCCCGCCGCCCTGGGGCGAGACGTCTGCCTCCGGCGTGCCCTCTGTCTGCTCTGCGACGTCGGTGTCTGGCTCGTACAGCACGGCCGCCGTCGGATCGTGGCCGTCCAGCCTGACCAGCGGCACCGTGACGTCGTCCGGCACGGGCGGTGCCACCTCGACCACTTCCACCACTGCTTGTACCACCCCGACGGCTGTCGCCGTCACCTTCAACGAGATCGCCACCACGAGCTACGGCGAGAGCGTCTTCTTGACGGGCTCCCTCTCTGCCCTCGGCAACTGGGACACCAGCAGCGCCATTGCCTTGAGCGCGGCCGACTACACGTCGAGCGACCACAAGTGGTTCGTCACCCTCAACCTGCCCGCCGGCACCACGTTCCAGTACAAGTACATCCGCAAGGAGGCCGACGGCTCTGTTGTCTGGGAGAGCGACCCTAACCGCTCCTACACCGTGCCCAAGGGCTGCAACACCGCCACGGCCACGGAAAACGACACTTGGCGATGAACATTGGATGGGTGGATTTGTATTGAGGAAAATGTGCGGACAAGGATAAATGTGGGAAATGATAATGGCGTGAAGTGGTGCTGGAGAGCGATGGGAAATACCAAAAGGTGGGTGAGATTGTGTTGTGCTTTTTTACGTTTCTTTGGGCCTGCTTTTTATCTTTCTGTTTTCTGTTTTCCTTCCTTTCAACTTGTCTTGGAGTCTTCTTTCTTTTCTTGACTCATTTCTCTTCGTGGCTGTTTGTCATCGGGGTACTTCGCTTCGATTGTACATATTTCCAATATATTGTGCATTTCATTCACATGCCATGGACATAGATGCGTGTGTCGCAGTGTCGCGGTGTCGCAGAACAATTTCTGTCATTTTGACGTGAACGAGCCAATAGGTGAAAATCTTCGCGTAGCACATGACATTGTTGTAATAAAAAAGGGGCAAAAGTAAACAAAAAGGTAGTGCGACAAACAAGGGGCCAGGGAAGGCGCTATCAGGGCAGGTATCTGTGGCAGTTTGTACGGCCGGCCCGGGTGCGTTACACATCGACCTGCACTGGTAGACCTTTGGGAACAACACGATACTTGGCCGAGGCAGCTCCGGCTCGTATATGAAGGTTCTTAGAGCAGTAAGCTGGTCACTTGCCAGAGAACGTGGGACGTGTACGAAGCAGGACAGCCTTAGCACCAGGAACTGCAAGAGAAAGTGGCGTCGACAGACAGGGACACTCGTACGTCGCGAAGAGAATAGTGAGAAGGTGTGCCAAAGAAGCAGAATATTTGCCTGTCAATGAGCGAATACCAACAGAATCGCGCCACATGTCACATGTCGCTTGTGCATAAACGCATGCATGGCCTGACGCCTCTGCTCAACCTCGTCTCACATCGCAGCCTTGTGGCCGCGGGCACGAATTTGGCGCCCGGCGAAACGGCCACCTTCGAGGGGTAGGCAGACCTGGTCAAACTGGATGCCAGCTGGACACTGTGTCTGAGCCAACTGCAGGCCTGGAGCACCGCCGGTTGTTGTTTATATCAAAAAGGAGCGATCGACATGAACCAAACACCGAGATCCTCACAGTAACGCAGCGACCTGATGGCAAGGCTGCTCCATGGAGGCGACTGTACTCGACGGGCGCGCTGCCAAGGGGCCGCACTCGATTGAATGTAGTCGATAGGAAGCCTTGTCCCCGTCGACAAAAATTGGTTTGTCGACAAATATATATAGTCCGGAATAGATGTCGAATGGAGTTTGCTGCTGTTTTCTTCAATCGGCCAACTTTTTGTACCAATTCCATTATGCCTCCCAGAACGAATACCCGGAGAGTCCGGTCCGGATCGTCGCAGAATCTGGCCGGTGTCGGGCCTAGGGCGCATGCTGGCCCGTATGAAAAGCTCATCAATCGAATGTACGAGCCGCTCAAGCTCTTACACGCCCTCGATCCCGTCCGCGGGGGACAAACGGCATCTGCCGCCCTGCCCTCGCCAATCACAACACAGCACATCCACCGGCAGTTTCGCGATGATCTTGCATTTTTGTGCGAGCACGAAAAGGGAGGCGATGCGTGCACTGTCAGTTCGGGCAACAGCAGCACAGCCCTGTTGGAGACAGCTTCTAAAGAGATCACCGCATACTGCACAGCCAACGCACTGTCCAAGATCAAGAAGACATGCGCACTGCTGCGCAGCGCCATCAACAACTGCACGACGAGTTTGGTGGGCGGTACTTTTTCCGGGCAAGAAAAGGCTCTCGCCGGGTGGCTGCAGCAGTTCAATCAGTCGACTGGCGCGCTCGGTGCTGTCGTTGCCGGTCTGGACTTGTGCCGTCTGGCGTACGACAAGCGCAAATCGGCCGAAATGCAGACACTCAAGGCGCTTGCACAGATGCAGCAGGACCAGCCGCATTCGGCGCAATCGTCCCTCCAGTGCTTTTCCCAGGCGTACCATTACATAGGTCGCCTGGCAAACCACATCCGTGTCCACGCCCGGCTTGTCGTCGGCGTGATGGATGTCGAGGACATGTTGCTCAACCCATTCCACATTCAAGCGCTGCCGGTTGGCGATAGCGCCCCATACCGGGCCTCTCCCACCTCCATCTCGGGCCGGTCCTGCCACACACCGCTCGCTTCTGGAAAGCATTGCCGTGCGCATGTGCAAAAGTGACGACACGGAGCTGCTCGCCGAGCTCACAGCCGGCCTCCAGAAGCTGGAGCAGAAGCACCAGCTCACTCAGCGGATGCAGCTGGACGACGAATCGTTCAAAGCACCGGGCGTCCATTCCGAGGTTCAGGTTCTCGAGCATTTCCATGCCCAGCGACTGGTCTGGGCAGACAACGGCGACCGCTACATTGGCTGCAGCAAGGCCGCCTGCTACTGTTGTCACTTGTACTTCCGGCACCACCCGCTGCGGCCCGTCGTGCCGGACTGCCACAACAAGGTGTATCTCAAATGGGGCCCACCGCTGCTGGTGGGCGGTGTCGCCCATCCGGGCTTCAAAGAGCAGCAGACGCTGCTGAACCGGTTCATTGAGGACGTGCGCAAGGACGCCATCGAGCAGATCCGAGAGCGGCGGGGACGGCGACCGTTTTGGCAGGCGGATTCAGCGACGGCAATCACACAGACTGTTGCAGGGGACAACGTCGATGACGGAAACAGAGACAACGACGGGGATGATGAGGATATTGGTGACGGGCTGTTGAACAGTCGGTTCGAAGACGGAGTTTTGGATGAAAGCAAAAACGGTGGCGATGGTACGACAAGCGCAATGAGCGGGAAAACCTATATGTCCGTCGATGTCATGATACGCTCCCTCGTCTCTCTTGATCTGAACTCGGACCGTTGATCGTTGATGGCAATGGATTGTTTTTGATAGTTGGCGGTGTTTTGAGACGAAAAACAACATAATTTGGCCCAGAATGCAGATTGGCCGAATACAGAAAGAGCAGCTAAACAAGCCATTCGTTCTTTCCCCTTACCTTCTTATAGTTTGCCGTCGTTTACAAGCGTTCCTGCCTGACGCGTCGTGACTGCCGTTTAGAATTGTGTTGGTGTTCATTCGCATTATTGCATCTCCGATTATGACAGAAGTAGGCATACATATTGCGGGTAAGTGGAGTACGGAGAACCGTCGGTCACAGCAGGAGGAAGGCGAAAGATCGAAGCAGGAGAATCGCCAGACAATCGTCATATCTTCGCCAAGCGTCGACTCGCCCGCCCCTCCTCACACTTCCCCAGACATGACTAGTCGGCGCCGGACGGCCAATGGTGTCTTTGCTCCCCGTTCCTCCGTTTGCCCCTTTCTTGAGGATCTCATTACCAGCAGACCAGCCTTGGCCCCAACGATGGAATTCCTGGAATGTCCCTGGGGAAGACACAACTCCGAACTTCCAGGCTGCAGAGTACCGTCTATGAGGCCGCATGATCCCACCTCTGGGACAGCTTTGGACGGCACAGGATGTAGACTGCCCGCGGCTTTTGGAGAAATGGATTGACAGACGAAGGCGGGCAGGAGATGAGGTTGGTGTCGATCCTATATCACAGATGACAGGCGTGCCCAGCTGCTGATCTCGAGTTGTGCCGCCCTTCTTGTTTCTCCGTCACACGTTGTACACAGTCTACGCCAGTTGCCTCAGCCGCTGCCTCAACTGCCGTCGTCCGCTTATATATACACATCCCTGTCCTACACACCATCGAACCGACCTCAGCAACGATGGCCGACATCACCGTGCCAGACGAGGTCCTGGCCAAGATCAAGGGCAAGGCATTGTTCTGACCGGTATGTGGATAACAAAATCTCAGGAAATAGTATGACGCCGCCGACTGACACATCAGGACGGCGCACAGGGCATTGGCGGCGCTTTTGTCACGATGGCCTACACGGCCGGCGCTCATCTTTTCGTCGGCGACCGGGACATGGAGAAGGGCGACGCCCTGGCCGCGTCGCTGCGTGCCGACTCTGCGGCCTCGGCGACGGCTGGGTCGAAACGAAGGCGAGTGTCGGCGAGAATACAAAGTAGGGAGAGGTAGTCGCCAACACAGACTTTGATAAATAATAAAATAATTGCAGTCCTTGAAACGCCAGAGCTGTAAACGATGTCGTGCATTGTAAATGAAAAACGTCATTACACCATGCCACGCCATAAGGGGTATATCTCATGCTCCATTGGCTCAATCAATGGACCACTTCCCCTGTCTCAGACCACCCATCAAAATAGCTTATGCATCTGCAATGTTGTTCCACGCCGTAATATGCAGATACGCGTCAATGTACTGCCGGTTCTCCACGCCAAACGACGTGCCCGGCTTGACCCGAAACATACCGTTGGGACCCATGACAAAGCGGTCGTCGCCCACCACCACGCGCAGCTTGCCTGCTGCCAACATGCACATCCGTATCGCCCTCTCGTCGGCGTTGAACGATACCAACTGCCCCGGCCGCACTACCTCCACGCGGTACGACATGTTGTGGTCGATCGGGACCATCTGGTTTGACGTCAGGTACGCATTGGAAAAGGCAATGTTCTCGTGCGCCTTGCTCTGCACCCGCCCGGGCGCCACCTCCCAGTCCTCCATCTCCAGTGCGTCGGGTCCACCCGGCTGCACGTTGCCGGCAACCATCAACGCCGAGTCGCTGCTGGTCGTCGCGAGTCTGCTACTGCTGGCGGTGTTCGTGTGCGGTCGGGACAGAGCCGTTGACGACGAAGACAATGACGACGACGACGACGTTGCTGTTTGCCCTGTTGGCAACACGTCGACCTCCTTATCGGCAACGTGGCCCGAGCGGCGGCGGTCGCGGCGGTCGAGTCGAAGCTGGTTTGGCTCGTGCTGCTGGAAACCGGCCACTCGTGCAGGCGGCGCCGTTTGTCCAGCGCGGTGGGGCACCCCACGCGCCAGAGGTTCGTCATCACTCGACGCCGGGTCAGGACCGCTGTCCGCTCCGCCGCCGCCGCCGCCGCCGCCTGCCTTGGTCGCCAACCCCCTCTCACGGCGCACAATGCCCGCCGTGTCCGCCTTCAAGCGCTGCGGCTGCGACACCGCCATGGTCTCGCTGAATCCGAAATTGCCCGACCGCGCATAGCGATATGCCGCGTCGTAGTCGAGGTGCGGAAACAGCTTGGCGAACCGCGGCTGGAAAGTCGGGCGCAAGCTGCACGGCATTTTGTTGCGCCGCTCAACACAGTTGGCACACTTGGAAAAGGCCACATTCATGTCCGCCGTGCCCTTGCTGCTCGCAATAATGCAGCCGTCATAGAGTCCCTGGCCCGACCGGCAGTAGTCGCACGGGTTGGGCACCCAGTCACCGCTCATTTGGATCAACGCCGACGCAATGCTCGCCGTCGTGTGTCCGCCCACGGGCACAACACGCCGCTCGTTCCACTTAATGTCGCGCACCCGCTGGGCCGCCAGAAATAGGCTGCTGTAGCCCGATTTGGGCGGTGCAGGGTGTCGGAGCGCCGGCGCCAGAAAGGGCTGCAGGTACTCCCATGTCGCCTGCGGGTCGACCGGACGCGGAATCGCAAAATCGTCGGGCCCCGGAGGTGGACCGTCGGTTCGGACCGCGCTTTTGGAAAGGACACTTAGTCTCGGGGATTTGGATGGCAAAGAGTGCGACAGAGCAAAGGCATCGGTCTTGGCCTGAGCGCCCGCGGGTACCTGCGGCGCCAGAGGCTCCAGTTCGACCGCAGGTCGCTTATTGGTGGACACAATAAACGCTCTCATATGGGTATGGACGCCAACCTTGGACAGTGTGCCGTCTCTGTTGTCGTTGAAGAGCGTATGCCGGTGTTTCCGCGTAAAATGTCCCCCCAGGTTGACAATCTTCTGAAAAACACGTTGACAGTCACGGACCGGACACAGCCACGGCATATCCGGAACAGAGCTCTTGGAGTAACCATCCGGAAAGAGTACGCCAAAACCAAGGTCACCATCTATGGTTTTGGCGTACTCCCGGCCAGACGCTGACACCAGAAGCTCCGTTGTTGGACGCTTTGCCGGCGCCGTCGGTGACTTCTTTGACGGTCGCTGCGCGGCGATACCGTTTGATAAAACAGCCACCTCACTATCGAGTGTCTCCTTGTGGTGAGCTTTCGTTGCTGAAACCTTTTCTCTGCCAAACCTACTTCTCTTAGCTGATTCCGACACCAAGGGTTTGGCCAGGGGTTCAAGCTTTGTGGGCGCCTCTCGCGAGACAACGCGGGCACCGAGGCGTTCGGATTTGGTTGACACTTGCTTAACTACAGTCAATGTGACGTCCAGATTGTCGTTCAAATTGGTTGCTCTATGCCCTCGCTGGAGCCGGACACCAATACAAACACGGTCAGTTGACTGGTTGACACGAAAAAGAAGCAAATCTGTATTCTGCAACGTACCGAAAAATGGCCACCCATGCTGACCAGTTCTGGAAAGAGTTTCCGGCACGTACGGACGGGGCAGATCCACGGTGTCGTTCGGTTTCGCCACAGCTCGTAGCCATCGGGGATGAGAGCTCCTTTTGTCCCATGCATGGTTCCGTCCTTGTCTGAAATGAACAAAGTGTTAGCGATACGCAATAGCGCGGTTCGACAAGTCGTACTGTAGCAAGTTACCCAGATATTTGTTATAAGCGCGGCCGCTGGGCGTCAACGAGTACGATGCTGGGGATTCAGACGACAACACGGTAGCAGCGTCCTCGGGGCCGACGTCGATAGAGTCGGAGAGGTCGTCCTCATCAGAAGAGCTGCCTCCTGCATCCGAGTCTTGCCCGGAACTCAGGTTGACGATGTCCTTGTCTGCTTCGACGTCAGCAACATCTGCCTGGCCGCTGACTTCTTCAATGTCACTGTCAGAAGAATCCGTGGAGTTGACATTGTCAACCAAAAGCTCAGAAGATTTTGGGGAGTCCGGGCCCGAGGAGAGCGAGATTGTCAACGTAGGCGCAGTCTCGACGAGATCCTCCGAGTCTGACGATGGCCTCCGAGAGTTGGATCTGGAAGAGGAGCTGTGGGCAGACTTGGCACGTTTCTGTGGAGGCTCTGCCGGCTCCACGGCCGACTCTCGGCGCCGCCTAAGCCCGTTGACCCCAGTCCGATTGGTTGGGCCATCCAGAAATTCTGCGGCATTATTCTGCTGTCGAGCTACACGACGTGGTGGACTCGATGCATTGGATACCAGGTCACTCTCAACAAAAGCCGGCTTGGGGTCGGTGGGCGCAGACAGTCTTGATTGCGGCAGCGGCGGTGGCTGTGTCTTGATACCAAGGCCGTCTCGGAACGATTTTGGCGGCGTGTCCGTAGGTGTGCGCGTGGGCGTCGAGCCCGAAGACGTAGGGGGTGTCCTCGATCCAGTCGAGTACATTAAATTGGGCGGTAGAATGCCAGGGCGGCCGGTTCGCTTCATTTTATATGCGAGGCGTGGGCTGGCATGGCCATTACTTGCAGACTGGAGACCAGAGGAGATGGCACTGGGGGATATGGGAGACGGGCTCGCCTTGGTCAAGGATGCCAGAACCGGGGGTGCAGCTGGTGATACAGTCGTGACGCGGAGTGTGCTCTGTTTGTTCTGCGGAAGAGGATTCTTATGCACCTCCTTTTCAGCGGCCGGGTCTTTGAGTGGTAGTACAGCCGGACGTGTGGTGGTAGCGGCTTCTAGCTGTTGAGGTTCGTCCGTATGTGGTATGGCCGCGTGTTTGAACAGGCCCATGGGGGGATGGGCGACTCCATGTCCGCTTGGGGCATTGCTTGCTGCATCGGAAGGCAAAGGTACGCGATGACGTGTGTGGCTGGTGGAGGTGGCACTGCTTGGTGCTGCCATTGTTTGTGCTTGCCCTGTGACAGCTGGCCCTGTGACAGCGTGCCCAGCTAGATGGGTAGCGGGCAGCGTGGCTGGTTTAGAGGCTGATGCAACTGGGGAGGGATGTTTGAGGACGGTCGATGTCGAGGATCGTCGGTCGCTCAAGGCCGGCAGCACACTGTCCATTACGCCCGCGGAGGCCGATGCTGTCGCTGGGGCAGTTGTTCGCGGCAACTCTGGCATCGGGACGTGTATAGAGGCTGGCGTTAGTAGAGACATCGAAACAGGCGTCGGAACAGCCGTTGTCTCTGACTGTTTGTTAATCCGCAGCTGAACACTGCAAGCTGCTGGCGCCGCCAGTGCAGTCCAACGGCAGTGCAACGCATGCAGACAAAGCGATGCGGCTTAGTTTGGTGCGAGGCCTGCAACGCCTGTTGCAGCGTTGGGCGCAGGGCAAGGTGGAGGCTAAGGAGGCTGGATAGTTGTTGAGAGTGAGGTCAGCGAATTGTGAAGCCAAAGTGAGCGGCTTTCGACGGACGCGTTTCGCAGAACGCGGTCGCTCTTTCTCGCAACCGCGGATTGCGCCTACCCCTGACTCTCACTAAGCTTTTTCCAGCCAATTTTGTTAATCACGTGTCGACATTGAAAGCCAACAAAGATAATTCTTTTTATTATTTCAAGTCCAAATGGTATTTATTAAATTCTTTTTTTCTTCTTTTTTGGCTTTATATCTAAATTGGTATCCCAATGTATGGATGGCAAGGAGAGGGACGGGTGAATAAATATGTGCAGCCCAATTGGTACACGAACTCCGTAGCGTTCGTTCTTTCCCTTCTTGACTCTGTTTGTTGACGTAAGACACTCTCGTTCTTTCCGTTTGCAACACGTTCATCGATACAATCCTCCTGTATTTGTAACACTCATTGTCTTCTCACCTATGCTTCTAATCTTTCTCCATCTCTCTATCCCCTTCACTATCAACACCTCCTTCACGGAGACTCCGCACCGGCACCCAACCGTCTGATAGTGGGAATGTCACTCCTCACAGAACCTGCAACTCGCGGCGAGACTGGTAAGCATCAGCGGTTCGAGGACTCGGGAAATCAAAGAATACGAATGATCAGAGCGGTATGACGGAAGGATATTTGGTGAGATCCATCTAATGGCGCTGCCATGTACGACGTATTGTGTCAAATGTACAGACTCTTACTTTGAGGGAAAAGCATGTCCGTAAACGTACATTTGATCATGTACTAACATTAGAGACTTTTGGTCTATTATGTACACCGCACCACACAATTCTAACCTACTATACAGCCTCACGGAGAGCAACCGCTACGACGGCAACCGCCATTGTACCGAGGACGTCTAGCGGCATTCTTGGTACGGCGCCCGATTTGCTTCCGGGCTGGGTTGCCGACGGCAGCGCTGCCGTGCCCATGTCCTGGACTGTCAACGAGGGCGGGCAATCGATGTGAGCAATGGGCAGCACGGGGCACGTGCCCATAAACCGCGGCGTGTTGTTGATCGTCTCGGCAATGGACGCACTGATGCTGCCGCCACAGATGCTGCTGGACGGAGGTGGGGGCACAGCGGCCGCAATGGACGCGCCCGTGTCGTTGGCGACCACGGCGCAGCCCGGCCAATCTGTGATGGATCCGTTGCAGGAGCCCTCGGCGATGGCCGCGACGAGAAAGTCGTGCTCGTAGGGCACACTGTCGCAAGACGTGTTGCTCGTGTTCTCGACGAGGTCCATGGTGCGCCCGCCGCTGTGCACGGTGGCAAACACAAACCCGCCCGTGTCGGTGACGCTGTTGTTGTACTGGAAGTCGGTGGCATTGTCGGGGGCACGGCCTGTGCGGACGGTCCAGGAAAAGTACCACTCGCCGACCTCGTAGTCAAGGCACTCCCAAAAGGCGTAGACGTACAAGGGGTCGGGCGTAGCCGGGTCCGTCAGGTTGACTCTGGAGAGGTCGACGGTAAAGTTGCGGGTGTCGGCGTAGACGGGACACTGGCCCTCGAATGGATAGTCACCGCCGTACTTGCCAATGGCAAAGTCGATGCGCGGGTTGAGCCAGATGGCGTACTGCGGATTGGAGATGGAGAAGACAATGGGGATACGGCCAAGGGTGTTGTATGCCTCGCTGCGCGGGTAGGCAAGGGTGATGTCAACGGGCTGGGCGGGCTGAACGGGTTGGACAGTGCGGTTGGACACACTGGCTTGGGCGGTGCCGACCAAACCGGCGAGGCCTGTGAGGACGGCGAACAACATCACTGGTGATATTGATATTGGCGAGAACCGCATGATGTACGTCGTCTTCCGAAAAAAGATGTTTGTCCAGTTTAAAGTGTGGTGGGCGTTCGGGGGAATGACAACAACAGTCATAATACAGCTTGGCCGACAAAGGGGTCGGCTCTGACACGCCAAGTATGGGTGGGCAAAAACGATCTTGGCGTAGGATGCGTTTAAATTGGGACCAAGCCTTACGTTTGTTTTGTTGAAAAAGAAGACTGCCTGAATGTCCGGGATTTATCCAGCGTCGAAAAAAAAAGATAAGGAGGTATTGCAGTGCGTCTGTCTTCATTGGCTTTTTTTCGAGACTTCTCACGACGATGGTGCGCCGTTGAGGCAGAGAGCCCTCTTGTCCCCTGGCTCTAACTTTGCGCCGCAACAGTGGCGCCAAGGCCAATTAAACCCGGTGAAAATTAAGATCGCTCTGTGGTAACCACCAAAAAGACTCCGTGCACCGTACACAACAGATGAATAAATAAGTTTGCAAGCTAGCATGTGTATGAAGTTAAAAGTCCAAAAGGTCAACAGGTCCAGTTCCAAACGCGCAAATCTTGTTTTCACACAAAAAGGTATCTCCCAGAAAATGAAAACGGCCAAACAATCGTAACCAAAACAAACGTTCATGTCAGAGGAGGTCACCAGCGAACTCAAACTCTTCAAAAACAATCATGTCATCCAAACTATGCAAAATGAAACAAAAAACAGCAACCAAAAAGGAAATTTCGCTGATTTTAGGCCTGCTTCTCGTCGCCCTTTGTAGTCGTGGCATTGTTGTGGCCCGAGGCCGAAGGGGTCGGGTGGTGGACGGCGGCAATGACGACCTCCGGCTCGGGCATGTCCGCAGGGATGTGGCTCTCGTTCACATCGTCAATCTCCTCGGGCAGGATCAGGTTGAGCAGCATGCAGACGAGGGCGGTGACGGCAAATCCAGTCTCCAGGACGAGGACGATGGCGTCGAGGAAGGAGGTGAGCGACTTGTTGCCGCCGGAGTAAGTGAAGACGTTGGAGAACCAGGTGGGCACGAGGGTGGCGCCGTAGCCCAGCGCCAGGCCGGTGGTCAGAACGAAGCGGTTGCGGCGGTTGAAGGGCACGCCGCGGGTGATGATGGCGATACCGGAGACGGCGACGGAGCAGAACAAAAAGGTCGTCATGCCGCCAATGACGGAGCTGGGAATGGCGACGAGGGCGGCGGCAAACTTGGAGAAGACGCCCATGATGACGAGGAACGCGCAGCAGCAGTAGCCGGCCTTGCGGTTGGCGCAGCGCGTCAGAGCAATGACGCCGTTGTTCTGGGCAAACGTGGTGACGGGGGTAATGGTCATGAGCGCGGCCAGCACGCCGTTCAGGCCATCCGCCAAGACGCCGCCCTGGATGCGGCTCTCGTAGATGGGGCCAGACACCTCGATGCGCGAGACGTCACACGACGCCGTCACGTCGCCAATGGCCTCGCAGGCGCAGATGATGTAGACGGCGAGCATGGGCAGGACGAGCGGGGCGTAGAGCTGCAGCTTGAAGGTGTGGACCCACACAAACGAGGCGACGGGGGCCGCGTCGACGCCGGAGCGGTCAAAGTAGCCGCAGGCGGCGGCGATGATGCAGCCGACAAGCAGGCCCCAGACGACCGAGGTGGACTTCATGATGGGCGAGCCGAAGCGCTCGCACAGAATGATGCTGACAAAGACAGAGAAGCCGAGGCCGATATACTCGGCGCTGCCCCAGGGCAAGGCGTGGGGGGCGGTGATGTCGGGGCACAGCTTGTAAAAGTCGATGGGGTCGGCGGCGCTGCAGAGACCCGAGCCGCCAGCCCAGCCCTGGAAGGCCGACTGAATCAGAGAGATGCCGATGAGCATGACGGTGGGGCCGGTGACGATGGGTGGGAAGATGCGCAGCATGGTCTTGGAGGGAATGAAAGAAATGAGGATCTCGATAAGGGCGGTGATGGCAGCCGTGCCGAGGAGGGCGCCGTAGCCATCGGGGCAGGGCAACGGGGTGCCGTCCTCGGCAGACGGGCAGAAGCCGTTGGCGTACATCTGCTTGAAGGCGCCCTCGGCGACGGGGATGATGGCAAAGGAGATGCCGACGACCGAGATCAAGCCGGTGCCGATGTAGTAGGGCGTGCCGCGGACCTTGAAGCGGGTGATTTGGACGAGCGACAGAATGCCGGACACAATGAGGGCGGTCGAGACGAGGTACTGCTGCTGCTCGGCGACCAAGTTGCCGCCGGCGGCACCGGCCATGATGATAGGCGGCGTGATGACACCAGCCAGCATGGCCAAGGAGTGCTGCAGGCCAAGCAGGACGGCGAGCACAACGGGCATTCTGTCGTGGAGGCCGAAGAAGGGCGAGGCCATTTTGGACCTCTTCATAAAGGGCAGGTTGGGCCGGAAGAGAAATGCATAGTCGTAGTCGCCGAGCAGGCCATCGCGTGTGAAGAGGGTGTGCTTGGCGGTGCGGGCGGCACTGCTGATCTTTGCGCCGACACCGCGGCGGCCCTCGGTCGGCGCGATTTGGGACGGGCCCTGATCTTCATCCATTGTGAAGTTTGTTGGGTGAAATTGGTGATGTGTGATGGAGAAAGAAGGATGAGGACGGGAAAGGAAAGAGGAGAAGAGAAGAGGAAGAGGAAAGGGAAGGAGAAGAAGAGGATCTGAAAAGGAAAGAGAAGACGAGAAGAAGAACCGGAAAGAGACGAAGAGGGACGTGCGAGAACGAGTCGAAAGTAGGAACGACCGAGGAATGACCCGATTAGGAAAGCGAGGATATCAGGGTGTAAATGTGTGAACGTGGCGCTCGATTCAGGGCCGACGGATGCGGGGAAGGAGCGATGCTTGTTAATGAGAGAGACGATCGTCGTGCCTTCCGGTTTCCGCCTTTCGTCAAGAGGCGGCGGCCAGGAGCGTGTTTTATATGTGCGACGCAAGACGACAATGGCAATCCGGGATGCAACGGATTGAATTGAGCTGGGACTCTAGATGGTGCTCGGTCTCGTCGCGAGGTCCTCCAGATTTTATGATCTGCCAAGCGTCAATGGGCCAAGGTTTTTCATTCTCACAAGCATGTGTCATTATCACCAGCAAACCAAAGCACAAGAAAGGAAAGAAGCTAAAGGCTTGGACTTGCGGGGCGACTGCCCTGGGGCCGGAGGGCAGTCGGGTCGCACTTGCCACACACATAACGGAAGGAACGGGCGGTCTCCACTTCTCTATCAGAAAGAATGGGGCCTACAGAGTCAAAACGGACTCAAAACAATTACACATACAAACGACTGAGCAAAACGCTAGCACAAGAGCAAACGACAGGACAACAAGAAGATGGTGATGGGGTGCAGCCTCGCGCTGGAGGAGGTGAGCGGATTGCACAAGCACGGCCCCGGACAGAATGCATTGAAACCGGGTGCCGGCTTCTCCTTCTGAGAACGGAGTATTTTCGACTTTGCTGTCGACTGTTTTGCAGTCCATCAGATTGTTCACCCGTCACGTGTCCTCGTTGTATAAGTGACCTCGAATCATCTCTCGCAAAAGTATTGTCATGGCTTGGTCGTCGTTGTTCTTTCCCGCACGGCGTGGTGGCCAAGTTTGTTTACCGTCTAGCCTTGGCATACAGTTGATGATCGCCGTCTCTGGCGGAAAACGCGCCATATTACCTGCTATGTGGTACGGAAGTCGGCCATGTCGTTCATTCAGCGTCGTGTGGCTGTCTGCAGAGGGACTAGACGCGGCATGATTTTCTGGGAGACTCTAAATATAAGCTGAAGCCCCAGCATGCTGTCTAGGACCAATGTCAACAAAGTCGGGGTCTACGACATACTCCGCAGGTGAGCTGGAGCGCTGGGTTCCCCGTCTCAGTCGCTTTCGTTTTCTGTTTTGGTGTGTGTGGGTACGGCCAGGGCTACTAGCCTCTTTTCGTTTTGATTTATATTCTTGACTCGATACGATCGAGTAATGTGATGAACACTACAACGTCCCGATTAAAGAGAGACGGAAACATGGAGAGCGGTAGCAAAATCGTCCACGTTGGCGGATACCCACGCAACAAAGTGTGAAGCCTTCGAGACATGGGCACTACGACGACAAGAAATTCACGCTGCGTGTGCACAGAAGAAATAACTTTGTGTATTTGTCTTGCAGCCGTCTCGCCCCGACAAGGTTTGACAACAAAGTGGGCAACCGAAAGTCCAGGACGAGGGATATCATGCTCGTTGCCAATAACAAATAATTATGTTGAAAATGCCATCTATGTTATGGTCTTCTTTCCTCTAAAACACACAGTGACGACACGCTTTAGGTGAACTCTAATGCAGAATCTCAAAACGCCGAGACTACAAGCATGGAGACCATTGCGGTCAGATACCACTGATAAGAACAGGACCACAAGTCGCTCCATGCTGAACTGGGACAACGCCCACCCACAAAAAAGGGTCGAGATAAGATACATTGATTAAAAATTCTATCTTTGCATCGACTCCGTTCGTCGGGTATGGTCCCCCGCCGTTGGAAGAGAGAGGGTGGAGCTGTCTGGTTGGACTCTCATTCCCCATAGATAAGGCTAAGCAAGCGACATCCGGGCGCCACCATTGGCAAAAGGGGCGTTTGGAGCTCTGTTCAGTGCCATGTGTTAGTGCACTTTTCAATGTCTCCTCTTCACGTTCGCTCTCCTGGTCTCCGTCTTAATCCACACGATAAGCCATAAGGCGGGCTTGCGGGTGCCGGCTAACATTGGAGATTATCAACCCGTTTTGTCTTTCAGCTACGCCTGGAGATGCACCTCGCCGTTATGTACATTGTCTCGTCCATTCTCGACCTTTCCTTCATATCATCGTCTTCACCTCCATAGCTCTGAAAGCTGTCCCTGCCACCCATCACCCCTGTTGTCTCCTCTCAAAAGAATTGATCACCGCCTCAGCCTGCCGCGCACGTTCCTTCGACGCAGAGAAGCAGACAAAATAGCTGTCGGGGACCGGCCGCTTGCGCGACTCGAATAACGGCATTGGCCGCCTCCGCCCCTTTCCCCTCAGCAGCGGTTCTCTAGCTGCGTGGGATCTGCGGAGGGGAGAGGGGTTTGTGTTGGCACGAAAAACATGGTGTGGTGCCGAATGCATAAGTAGTCCTTTCCAGGCGCGCGGGGTTAGGTAGGTTTCGTCTATTGTCGTCTCACGGCGTAATACGCTGCAGTACGGCGCAGTGTTCATGCTTTTCTATCTGCGGCACTCGCGGCGAGAAGCACCGGAACGAAAATTGCGCGTGGTCGCGTGCCGGACTGATGGCTTTGGTCAAGTCCTAGATGAAGCTCTTCCCTCGATGTAGTGGACGTAAAACTAGGACGAATAAAGGATGCAAAGGTAGAGTCATTCCAATTCTTTCAAATTTTGTTGTTTCCATCTTATTCTGCAAAGCATCGAATACTGCCCCTATTATGTGCGACCAGAGTTGGCACCTGCGTGACTTGTGTTGAAGGGGGGAATACATTCCACATGTAAGACATGCATAGCCCGTCTCCAGCCGCTCGGGGTATCTATAAAAATACTATGTCTTTACAACTACTGGCAGATATTCGCGATTGGAAGAAGTTTGTGAGTCGTATTAGCGAAGCATGGACAATGGAAATGCTGACCAAGAAGAAAAACATCATCGTCAGCCTCTGACGTCGCGTGATCCCCCGTCTGTAAGAGGATACCAACCGGGGGAGGGGTGGTAAGAGCTGTTTTATCATTTGCAATTTCATGTTTGCCATCTCTATTCTCACTTGAGCCTACCGATGGTAAAGTAAGATGTTTGCGAGTCATGATATATGATCATATTTTGTCTTTTATCTTTGATCTACGAGTATTGGCCACGATAGAAGGAGTGCAACCATGAGGTACTAGTGTAGAGTTTATGTAGAAGCTGGGCCACCGCATCAGATCCGCAACGGTGTCCAACACAGCATCCTCAGTAAATTCATCATAATCGTCATAATGTCTCGATTGTTGGCTCATAATTTGATCCCGTGTATTCTCCGGTACGGAATATTTTGAGATGCAACACCATGATTTCATATAGGTCGAACTTTGTTATATGGGGCGATTTTGGCTTCAAGTAAACTTGCTTAGACAAATGTTTGCCAGGATCAAACATGTGTTGATACTGCATGGCTGTACGACGTATTTATATTTGCTGATCCCACTAAAGACGCTTAGATCAATAGCCGAGGCATGTTAGAAGTAAAGAGTCTAGTTGATAACCTTAAAGCAGTTGCACAGTTGCATCGAGCGGGACGAATGAGTACTCCTACCCCGTATTTGCCGTCGTACCTTTTAAACGTGATCCTCGTCGGTGTTCGCTGCCCGTTAATTACTGTTGAACCTTTTGTCGTTGGCCGTTATAATATGCACCTTTGGTAGCTCAGCTTCGGCAAACGCTGTGAATACCGGAGCTTGTCAGCAACGTTGGGAGGCATTTTCAGGCGAAACAAAACGGGTCCAGCTGTGGAATATCCCGAATTTCCTTGCCAGCCATCCACAGGGTAGGTGCCCCCTCCAAGGTAGATACACTGCCTGTTACACCATTTGACAAAGTGAGTCTTCATGGCTCCCCTTCCTCCCTTGAGTGATACCCAGTGTCACTAACGCAGCATTCCCAAGCTGTGCGAAGCTATCTGCGAGGAGACAAGCAGGACAGAAAGTTACGAGAAAGATGCAAATATAAAATGGGAGCGAGCGAATCATCTTTCTTAAACTCTAGATAGCTCAAGCAAGCGTAATTCAAAACTGCTCGACATCCTCCCAGGCGACATGGCCCTTCATCCTTGGCAAGGGGCAATCAGCTTAGAGGCGGCCGTGGCCTGCTTAGGAAATCAATTTAATGTTCGTACTCTCATTTCTTCCCTTATTTAATCATGAACTTTTGTGATTATACTCAATCTACATTGCCTACTATATTATTTTGCTCAACTTTCATATCCGACATTCATAAAAAGGTGGCACAAATGTTTTCTTGCGTTTCATACATTCCCATCAGGCTGTTTGACACCTACTGCCAATGCACCGTCCTCATATCCGCAGATCTGGGCGGTGGCACTGATCTTGACACTGCTATCTGTCTTTGCAATTAATTTACACATGCCCGCCTGCACACGCCCGCCACACAATGCCCACGTTTCTTGCATTATGGTGTGGCGTTTCGTTAAGCATCATGGGTGGAAATTGGTTGGGTTGGGTTTTGTGATGAAAATTGGTGTGATGACGTCAGGCTGCAACGTGGGTTCCACCAGGGTTACTACTGGGTTTTCATGCAGGCGGTCATGCATGTGGTCAGGCAGACAAGATGAAGGAAGACAGGCCCTGAGGCCGCCCTAGATCTCGATTTGCGTGTTGATCACCGTTTCTTACGAAAAGTCGCCAGTCGTCCTCATTTAACAGGATACTAACAACGAAAGATGGGCATCGCGAACCTCACAGCCAGAAGTCAATTCTCACCGCCGGCCCTCAAATTGACAGCAGCCCCTGCAGGACACCGCAAGGCAAGTAAGAGAGACTCAGAGACTGGCTACGATTTGCTTTTCATTGGATGCGATGAGAACAGAGTGAAACGGCCGGTAGGCAGGGGAAGGCCCGCAAGTTGTAGGAACCAAAGAAATCAAAATACCGACCAACGAGACAACGTAAGACGTCAATACTTAGTCTTTGCTCTGTACATTCAACTAAGACTCTAAGCCGTTGATCAGTTGGCCAGCGGCAGTTCAGCCCGCCCTCTATAACGACAACTCTGTCGACCGCCAAAAAGCAGGATTGGGCCGTGTCGTGACTTTACGATGGGGGCCACTCTATTTTGGCGGCCAGAGGCGCACAGACCACGTCCACATGCAGAATTAAGCTGCATATAACCCACGTCATCGGCAGTGGACGACCCACGACGTCAACCAAACCTGCAAAACAGGAGTGTGACGAAATGAAGGCCTTGTTTGCGGTGAAAATCACAGAGAGTGACGTGAGGGACGTTCGTCGCAGCGAACAATTTAAGTAGATTGGGTGTCGCTCCCTTTTCTGTGTCTGATTTTGTTCACTCCCAACTCCAGTCGCCTCAACAGTCTGCAACTTAACCAGATTTCTTTGTCTTTCTGTCTACACAACTCCGCACAACTCAACACTCAACACACACTCAACACCGACAAAATGGCTTACGGTTTCGTTGGCATCGTCCACATCGCGGCCATTGTCTTTGGCGTCATCGAGCTCGGCCTCACCGCGTACCTCGTTTCCTTCTTTGACCATGACGGCTACTCCACCTCGCCCTCCATCCTCAACTTTATGCTCTTCAACGCCATCTGGTCCATTCTCGTCCTGCTCTACGTCGGCGTCACCCCGCTCTACTTCACCCGCGTCTTCCACCGCCTCGCCTCGCTCGCCCTCGAATGGATCACCATGATCTTCTGGTTCGCCGGCAGCATTGCCCTGGCCGTCGACGTCGGGGGGCCTGTGAACTGCGGCGGCAACCACTACTGCGGCTCCCTCGAGGCCGCAATTGCCTTTGGCTTCTTTCTGTGGGCGCTGTTCGGCGTCCTGGTCGTCGTGGACACCATCGAGTCGCTGCGCTCGCGCGGCCACACCGTCAAGACGGGCGGCATCGCAGCACGCGTTTAAATGCATAAATGCATAAATGGACGGCGACCTACGCACAAGCAAAATTGACTGACGACATTTACAAAACACCGATGACGGACGGCGGTAGACAGGAAGCCGATTGTTGGACGATGGGAACGAATACTATGATGGCAAACTACTTTTCAGAATACCCTGTTTAATTTATGAATTTGTTGATTTCTTTGGATTTGCTTGAGCTGTCTGTTTCTTGTTTGCTGCGTTGCTTCACTCCTTGTCCGTCATTCTCTCCTCTCTTTGCGTCTGCTTAAAGAGCATGTCATGTTTTTAAATTCTTCGATACCCGACGTTCCTTTTTGACTATCCTTGCCCACCCTTATTACCTTTACCATTAACACCTAGAACCTTGGACGCCTTAATATGCAGTCAATACACACGTATTCCACCCGTTGAAACCCATGCTCTCACCGTGATGTCCGCGCCATAACGTCCACAATCGAGCGGTACGTGCACTCAACAAACGTCACCAGCTGTCGCCCGCTCGCAACCAGCTTGTCCACGCCCTCAGTCACCCGATCGAGCGCCGGAAACGATCCGTTCTACAGCTCGTCGCGAGTCACGCCGCTGTTGCTGTTGCCGTTGCGCTTCTTGCTCTTCTTGTCATTACCCTTACGCGCGTGCGCGTCTTGCGGACTCCCACCGACGTCGACATCCCACCCGCCGTTGCGCACCTTGTTCCACGCTCGAGATGTCGCCGCAAACCGGTCGAACTGGGGCCCATCCTCGCCCAGCCCCCACGCAAACACCCCGCCGAGCTGCCGCGATTGCAGCACCTGTGGAAACTTGTGCTGCACAATCGTGTCGGCCGTGTCAAACGACCACCACAGGTCCTCCTCGTCGTCCCAGTACCCGAACCCGCCACCGCCTGCTTCCGTGTAGTGCCCATGCGCCCGCGCCCGCGAGAACGAGTCTTTGACGTCTTCCGGCACCTTGTCGTGCCATGAGAACGCACCCGCGCGACCCAAATCGGCCCCCGTGTCCGGGTCCTCCATCAACAACGTGGGGCACCCGACCGCGCTGCCTGTCTTGTGTACCTGCTCCACGCACGCCGCATGCTCCGTGCGGTAGTACTTGACATAGTATGCCAGCCCCAGGTTGATCTGCGACGCGTCGCACCCGGCCGCCACGTACGCGTCTACGGCCGCCAGGCTGTCTGCCACACCCGAATGGTGCTTCACCACCGTGTCGCGCCGGTTCATCAGGTCGTATGTCATGACGTTCAAGAAGTCGACGCTCGCCAGAATGTCGGGGACCGTGTCGGCCGTAAACGCCAGCATGTCGTCCGGCTTGCCAGGGACAGCCGCCGTCAGCAACTTGTCCGGGCCCAGGGCCGCCCGTATCGCGCCGAGCAGGAGCGGGTATGCGCCAATCTCCCACGCTTTTTCGTCGTTGGGCACCTGCCGGTAGTCTTCGCCGTTGCCGCCGGGGTACTCCCAGTCCACGTCCACGCCGTCGGCGCCCGTCGCTGCTACCATGGCCGCCACATTGCGCGCGAACCGCCGCCGGCCCGATGCTGTGCGTGCCGCCTGTGCGAACCCGGCCGTGTCGCCCCAGCCGCCAATGGCCACGAGCACTTTCGTGGTCGGGCTGACCAGACGGCGGGTGGCGTCGACCGTTGTAAAGAGCGGCCACTCCACTGGTCGGTCCGGGTCGCTGTCGTCGTCGTCGCGGTTGAACAGGCCCGACGGCATAAACGCCAGCGCCACGTGCGTGATGGACTGCTGCTCGGCCAAGTGCACCGGCATGTTTGGATGCTGCCTATGTTTGGGTCAGCTATGCCACCAAGCCCACAAAGGGCAAAAGACAAAAAAAAAAAAAAAAAACGAGCAGCCAACACGCACCCCGTCAGGTACATCACGTTGCGCAGCTCCGGCACCCCCTTGCCCGATCCCACGCGTGCCAGCAATGCCAGAACCTGGAAAACGGCAAAGAAACTGAGAAACATGATGGTGCCGCGCGAGAAAGTAGATGGCCGATGCGATGCTTCTTCTTGGATGCTGTGGCGAGTGTGGGCAGCTGATTCGACAGCCACGTCAATAAAAGGGTCGTCGAGACGTCCCGGTTCTGTTTGCATCAGTCGATCAGTCACCGTATCCTCCCAGGTCACCTTGGGCTCTCCGTGCCGCGTAATTTGTTCCATTGTGCTCTGTAGACGCGCGTCTAGTAGGTTAACGTGAAAGTGAAAGCGACGGCGTCCGATGTTTTGGAGGCTGGCTCCACCGACACTCCATCGGACACATTGGATGGAAGGAACGACTCTGGGGTTGGAGATGGCGTGTTGGAGTTGAAGGGCAGTGGGTGGTGTCTCACCTTGTCGGGAAGGCGCGAACAGCAGCAAACCAAGTTCCTGCCCTGTTGTCCTAGATGCGCGCCACTATGGGGACGCCGCGGTTCAACAGGGAAGGCGCGCGTCAGCCAGCGCCTGCCGTATGTAGAGCGTCGTTCTCAGACCGTTTCTAATCACAACTATGTCATACCAGCCATACAAACCAATCGTCCCAAAGGTAATTGTACTACTTATGTATGTCGTACTGTATTACACCGTAACGGGACAGGCGATCCCCGCACCGTCTGTTGGCGCTTGTCGTGGCCGTAGCTTGTTGTACCTGAAAATACAGCTCACTCATCGTGGCTGCCCAGTTCGACAGCGTTAGCGAATAAGTGGGTCACATGCTCTCCATTGGCAAATGAAATTTCTGCGGCTCTCCACGCCCAAAGCTCTTGCCTTGTTGTTGCTCTTGCCAGTTCCTCTTATTTCTTTTTCTTTTTGTTCTTCTCCTTTCTTCTTCTTTTCCCTGTCACCATATTGTCCTCTCGACCCTCGAGTCCTCCAACCTCGCCTCAATAATATATCCTCGACACTACCCGCCCCCAACATGCTCGAAAACCTTTGCATGCTGCCGCTGTCGGCAGATGTGTTCGCGCAAGTGCTGCACCCGACCGAGCCACTCTTGACCGTCGGCCTCTCCAACGGCCGCGTCGAGTGCTACCGGCTGCCCGACGCAGGTGCGGGCAACAATGGCCAGAAGGCCGGCGTGATCAAGCCGCTGTGGACGACCAAGCGCCACAAGGGCAGCTGCCGCAGCCTGGCGTGCAGCGTCGACGGCAAGTGGGTGTACTCGGCGGGCGCCGACGCCGTCGTCAAGCACTTTGATCCGCTCACCGGCAAGGTCGTGTCCAAGTTTGCCATTCCCCCACGCCACGACGGCGGTCTCGACCCGCCTGCCATTATGCACATCCTGTCGCCGCAGACGCTGCTGCTGGGCACCGACGACGGGTGCCTGTACATTTACGATTTGAAGGTGGACGGCTCTGTGGCGCCGAAGCCCAGCCGCACACACAAGCCGCACGACGACTACGTGACCTCGATCACGCCCCTGCCGCCCTCGGCCGAGAGCACCTCGGGGTACCCCAAGCAGTGGGTCAGCACTGGCGCCGGCACGCTGGCCGTGACGGACCTGCGCGCAGGCATTGTCGCGCGGTCCGAGGACCAGGACACGGAGCTGCTCTGCTCGACCATGATCCCGCGGGGGCTGGGTCCCAAGAACCTGCGCGGCAACCCTGTTGTGGCCGTGGGCACGGGCGACGGCGTGCTGACGCTGTGGGACAAGGGTGCGTGGGACGACCAGCAGGAGCGGTTCTACGTGGCCGGCGGACGCAAGCAAAAGGACGGTGAGAGCCTGGACGCCGTGGTGCGGGTGCCCGACAGCGTGCCGTGGAGCAACGGGCAGACGGTTGTGGTGGGCGCGGGCGACGGCACGGTGAGCATAGTGGACCTGCGGAGCCGCGAGGTGCGGCAGGTGCTGATGCACGACGAGGTGGAGGGCGTGACGGCTGTGGGGTTTGACAGCCTGGGCCGGCTGGTCACGTCGGGCGGGCACACCGTGGGCATCTGGCAGGAGAACAAGGACGCCAACGGCGGTGGGGTTGGTGGTGGAAGCGACGATGATGACGATGAGGACGACGAAAAAGACGGCGACGAGGCGGACGGTAGCGATGCCGAGGACAAGCCCAAGAACAACAAAAAGCGCGCAGCCGACAGCGACAGCAACAGCGACGACGACGATGATTCGGACAGCGACGATTCGGATCGTGAGCCGACGAAGCGTCGCAAGAAGAAGAACAAGAAGGGCCGTAAGGCCAAGCCACAGGCAAAGCGTGCCTCATTCCCCGGCCTGGATTGAGTACGCGGCTAGTACGATGGGGATGAGTACGCGAGCGGGAACAAGCACGATCAAGAGCACGAGGGTCATAAAATGCATTGTATACAAGGTCTATGCATGTATATGCAGGAGACGGACAATGCCACTCCAATACCAAAACGACATGATACCCAACAATTTCTCCTCACAAACGCCTCGTCTACAACGGCTTCCGGGCCGTTGTGCGCCAGAACCAAAAGTCTGCCTTGGCCGTCTTCGCATCCAGCGCTGCCTTGACGGCAGCCGACTTGCGCACGGCGTCCTCCTTGGTCTGGACATCCTCGAAGCCGCCCGTGTGCACCATGCCCTGCATGTACGACGCAGCAATGGTGTGCAGCGACGTCATTGTTGTGCCAAACAGCGTCGGGTGGTCCCAGAAGTCAGACGCCTTGAACACGTCCTGGCGGGCGTCCTCAAAGTTCTCGGACGTCAGCAGCGTGTCCAGCCCGATGGGGTACGTAGCGCTGCCGCCTTGGTGGCTGCGTGCCTTGTAGAAACGCAGCATCTGCCTCATCGCGTCGGCCAGCTCCGAGTCTTCCGGAAACCCGGCAAAGTGCTCGACGTCAATCTCCTCCCACACCAGGTAGCCGCCAGGCCGCAACAGCGTGCGCAGGTTGGCGGCGAGGGGCTGCCAGTCGGACGATTTGAGACCAAGCACCAGCAGGCGCACGTGCACGAGGTCGTACTTGTCCTGGAGCTCAGCGGCAAAGGGCTCGGTAGCGTTCGCCTCGAGCAGCTGCACATTGGGCGGGCGGGACGCGGCCGGACGGAACTTGGACGTGTTGAAGTCGAATCCGTCGAGGCGAGCCGTTGGTGGCAGTGAGCTGGCCAGGTCCACGAGCCAGACACCGGTTCCGGTGCCGATGTCAGCAACTGACACGGGAGGCCGGCCAGTAAAGGCAGGGTCATCTGCGCGGGCCGTGACCAGGCCCTGCAAGTAGGCGTCGACCTCGGGTGCGACGACGGTGTTGCCCGACATGGGGACAAACACGTTGTGGTGGTTCCACTCGAGGCGCTCGATCTCGGCGGAGAGCTCGCTGTGGTTCAGCGGATAGAGCGACATGGCGGCTGATTTGAAGGGCGACGGCAGGGAAGGCTGTGCAGGCGCCGATGGCGGCGGGCGTGGTGTATTTTCTGGAGGAGAGTGTGAATATGTGAGGGCCATGCGGCACAAACTTGCTTTCGAGTCCATCCACGTCCACAGACACAGCACGCAAGCACGCACCTTTAATAGCAGTCGCCATGATTGCTGGATTGTCAAGCACCGTGTGCTCTCCTTCTTCTAAACCGAGAGGTTGATGTTCCCCGGCGGAAGTGCCGCCTCGCGTTGGTCGACGACGATTGTCACCGGGGATTCACGCACTCAGAGGTAGTGCTGATCTTGGCTCGATCCGGGGTGGATATTGAGGAAACAGGCGACTCGATGAGTCGATGTGAGATCCAGTGTGAGATCGAGTATGCGACTAGGGCGGTGTCTATGGAAACAAAGGGCAAACCCAGTCAACGAGGAGAAGTGGAAGTTGGAAAAGGCCCGTATCGGCAGTGGGACACTTGGTGATGTAGTTTGAAATGGAAGGATTCTGAGGGACAGAAACCCATTGAGCCAAGAAATACGAGCAGAAAACGAAGCAAAGGCAAAACGGAAGAAAACTGGAGACGACGAGCACATTGCATGTTCCCACGCCCTTACGGACTTCTCCTATGTCGGACTACCCTTGCCATCCTCTTCCTGTCTTGACCTTACATTCTCCGCTTCGCCCACACCGTCCCTCTTTTTCACGAAAAGCGTTGCCCGAACGAGAAACAAAGCTGTGACCCCAACACCAGTCGGCCGCGTCTCCGCTCCTGGTGATCCAACTAGGAGTAGCTTGTAATGCTTGTGCATATACCGTCACATTATTGCGTTTGTCTGCTAAGAGATGCAACAGGGAACCGCCTGGGGACAAAAGCAGTCGTCAGAACGTCAGACAATGGAATTGTCTGTAAATTGTCTGTTCCCGGCCGAATCCGCGGGCCACCGGCACTAGGCTGCGAAGGGACAGCTGCAGGGTGGGACGGAAACAGAGGCAGATCTCAAGCAAACAGATGTCATCAGTGCTGCTTGTAGTCAGAAACATTTTGTATGGCGCATTTCTTACGTTGATTCCATACGATCTCCATATATACCGTGGTGAACGGAGAATACAAAGTCTCGACAACTGAAATCAACTCGCCGATCAATGTGGTAATTTACCGTTGCATTTTCCGCTCCCAAGATGACATTATGTGCGTCCGCGCCCTTTTCTATCTGGTTCTCTGGTTCGTGGAGGGGGAGGGGCAGGCGAAGGACCCAATACTACATCAAACTGAGCATGTGAACGAAGAGCTGGAACAAGACAAAAAAAGATAGGAAGTAAGGACAAGAGGTTGCATTTTTGTTTCTGATTTTTACGTACATCTCATTCGACACCGCCCGTCGTTTCCGGTGTCTCTTTTACCTGGTTTGAAGACGCAGAATCCTTCCGTTCATCCTCCTCCTTGGTCGGCTCTTGTCTTTCGTGCTCCTCTGGCATCATCCCGTCCCTCGAAATAATATGTTATATCCTCGCATTTTCAACATTTGAGTCCATGTTTCCCGGGACCTACGGTGAACATATTCACGAGAAAATTCTGTCCAACAGACCGGTCACACAGGGCCCCTGTCCAGTCCGCCTTCCAGCATACCATGTGTCTCCAACAACAGAGACACAGAGACACAGGGACACAAAGAGACAATGCGAGCAAGGCTTGGAGCCCCAAGAAGTTGCCACGGCCGTGGGCATGGAAAGGCGGGAACAATGGCGGAAGTTCCGCTATAGGCCGCATCAATATAGCGTCACTTTGAACCAACCCTGGCAAGGCCCAACCCCCCATTTTGTGGAATCCAGATGACAGATGACTTGCTGTTCTGCCCCCAGTTTCCTTTGATCATCGAGGAAACGAAAAAACCGAAGCAAAACGCGGAGGAAACAAAATGTGATCCGAACGCGGAGTGTTATTTTTGAATACTGACGTCCAACTTCTGTGATGCAACTGCCATCCCACCGTCGACATTATGCCGTATCATGTCTTCACCGTTTTGTATTACTCGCGATAATCATTCCATAAAAGAACAACGCATGTTGTCTCTCCTCTTGGCCGCATCACTCTTCGCAGCCCGGCCGACACAGGCCACACAGAGTCAACAACCGCATCACCGACTTGCGCTGACTGCCACTGCGGCTTGATGGGGATTCGTCAGCACCCCCTTCCTTGCTCTTGGTCGCACTGCTCTCCTCTACAACTTTGGCTTCCTTGAGCGTCTGGGTTCCCGTTTTGCTCTTGCCGCCTGTTTCCAGGTCAAAGTCCTCGACCAGTTTGGCCCATGACGCCGCACCTCACCACGCCATTTCTGCCGGCACGCTCGCGTCTGTGCCGCTTGTCCGCCGATTGAAGAGTTCGAAGCTCAGCCACCCGCGATAGCCGAGGTCGCCCAGAATGGCGGCCAGCACTTGGTCGACGGGCAGGTATCCGCTGCGGTCGTCTTCGCCATAAAACAACCGGTGCTGCCGCGACCACGTCATGCGCGCCGGCGAATCTGCGTCGTAGAGCGGATGGCCCGGCACGAGCGGCGCAGCCAGCCGGGCGCCGTCGGCGATCTGCACGAGAAACACACGGTCGACGCTGACGGTGGCGGCGAGCTCTTTCATGGACTCTGACAACCGTAGCGGACCGTCGGGCTGCACACCGCCGGAAACAGCCGGGTCTGCGTAGACGCGCGCGGCAATGTTGAACGTGTCGAGGCACAGCCCAAAGTTGGGCCGGTCGACCTGCTGGGCGACCTCCCAGCTGGCCTGCCACGTGTCAATGTGCGTGCCCCATGCCAGAGCCTCATAGCAGAGCCGCACCGGTGGCGTAGCGGCGGCGGCAATCTCGGCGGCCTCGCGCAGGTCCTGCACAATAAACTTGAATTCGCCCGTCACCTGGCCGGCCGGCAAAAAGTTGGACGGAATGAGAATCAGGTCCGTCCGCAGAATCCCGGCAAGGCGGCACCAAAGACGCAGCTGCGCCAGCCGATGGGCACGCGCGTCTCGGCTGACAAGTCCTTCAAAGTGGCGAAAGGGCTGCAGGCAGATGACCGCCAGGCGGCGCTCGGCGCACAGGGCCCGCACGAGGGCTGCCGCACGCACCAGTTGGCTGTCGGTCGGCGCCGTCGTAGGAGCCGCCATGAGAATCGTGGTCGGGATATCGGTCGAGTCAGCTGTCGTAAACGACGACGGAGGTACCAGAGGCAGAGTCTGGGCGATGTACTCCAGGTCATCGTAGAACAGCTCAATGCCCTGGTAGCCGTGTTGTGACGCCTGGTCCAGCCGCTGCTCCAGCGAGTGGCCTGCATAGCTTTGGCCCAGCGACAAGGTGCTGATGGACAGACGGCAAGGCATCTTGGACGAGGGGAGCTCTTGTCTGGTACCCATATTGTTTTGTGGCTCTGGGAGAGGGGATAGGTTAGTCTGAGCTACTCGGTGACCAAGGTAGTGAGAGCACCTCATGAGACTATTAGGAGCAGGTGTGGAACGGAAAAGAAAATCAGCATCAAAGAAGAGAGCATCTCTGAATATATACCAATGTCGACCAACGATGCAAAGCACCATCGATGTCAACGGAACACACTGTCGACGAGAGTGGGCCTACCTCTTTGGACAGCAATATCGTCAGGGTAACTCGTCGCGGACGGTGAAAGATAACTTGCTTTGTGGCACAGCGTGGAGTTGACGTTGTGGTCAGGACCCGATGCTTCTGTTCCCTTCTTTTAGCCGGTCTGTTACCCCTTTTTTGCCTCGCCCACGTTCCCGTGACGTTCATGCTGCATCGTTCCTGCCTTGCAGGTATGTTGTGCCTGTCCTTCCGTCTATCAGCATGTAACACGTCCCATCTTGGATGGCTACATGAGGAAGGCGCGACGGCGCACCGACATGGCGTGCAGCGTTAGGCAAGAGCAGCCGAAGGTACTAGAATAATATGTAGATGCTCATTATTATTATTTTTTTTAAAAAAAAACTCATGAAAAGAGACGGGGAAAAGTACAGATGTTAGACTATTCAACCGTCGATTCGTTATTGAAACATTACCTTCCTGCAAGCAACGCGGTTGTTTGCACTTGGAGCAGGAAAGATGGGTCAAAACTTCTGTAAGAAGTACGTCAAACTACGCTCTGATCTTGAGCTGAATAATTATCATGGCGAGTGAAATTTGGACACAACGTGTCGAATACAACAAGCAGAAATATATGGACAAAAAGAAAACAGTATGACGATGTTGCACAAAGTATCACCCACGAAAGAAATTCAAATTGCCAAGTCACCAAGCGAAGTATCTAAAAATATCAAAGACAGGAGAATCTATCCTGATATTCGTCATAGAATAAATGATACGACGACTAGATCTACCCGTAAAAACAATACTGTGAAAATTCTTCATTGCAACGCATTCCGTCCGTCCTTCGGCCGTTTTTGTGTAATGCATCCTATGGTACACAATCATAGACGTGTGTAAAATCTACCAGCAGTCACTGTACCACAGGCTACTTGCATATTTTGACAGGCCATTAACAGTCGCGAATCCTGTGAACGCTTTGTTTACCAGGCGTTCGTCTCAAAATGTATCTCAATTGTTGGCATGTCTGACAAAGAGGTCGCCCATAAAGCGGCACTGCCTGCTGTAGTTACCAGCATAGTGACCCACTGTAATTTCTGCCGTACCTTCCGTTGTGTCTGCCTCCAAGTCTGCCTCCAAGTCTGCCTCCATGCGTTTCTGCCGCATGTCGTTCGTTCCTGCCGTGTTGTGCGACCAGCCCATTTCCACTTCCGAAACAACTAAAACTTGAAAGTATTGGGCTGCCCCTCGGGTTGCACCTTCTGCGGCACCGCGCCAGGAACGCCAAATTTAGCATGTTTCTTGCCATATTTTGCGCTTGAATGGCATCCGTCCGTGGATGGTACTTTCCCAATGCGCCGACGATAAACGGTACACAGCAACGTACGCCTTCCTCTTTTGTCTCCTGCCGATCTTATCGGTCCCGCTCGTGTAGTTTGTCTTTTGTTGGGCCGCCGTCGATTTGTCCCTTTTTCCCCTTTTCACGTCCCCGTCTTCGGCCTCCTTTATTGCTCCCTCTTGTGATACAACCTCTGCCTGTACAACGACGGCCCGATCGGAGCTGTCTTTGGCGGTGTGCCACAGACCCTTCACAATTCAACAACCTCGACCCCTCTTGGTCACGACATCGACTCACCCACCATCTCCAACAAACTCTGGAGCCCAACTTTTCATACACTTCCACCACTTCACGGAACACAGCATCACGACGAACGGTCAGACGCTCATCGTCGTCCAGTAAGACGCACAGATATTTGTCTCTCACGACATCGCGGCCTCTGATAAGCCCATAGCACGACACAGGGCCTCGGCGTGCGGCAGCACTTTGAACGGACACACGGCATCTGCCACCCGCTTGTCATACTCTCATTTTTCTATTTTCTGTCTCTTGTTCCTCAATCATGTCTGCCGCCACATCCGTGGGGTCCGCGCCCTCTGTACCGCTTGTCCTGGCCCGACCATCACCTGCCAATATCCCGCCGCTCAAGTCCCTTACGATCCAACAGGTTCTGGATGGCCTTTCCGCCGCCACGTTTACGACAGAGCAGCTCGTCCAGGCCCATCTGAACCAGATTGCTCGTTTCGACAGCGAACTGCACGCCGTGCTGCAGATCAACCCCAATGCACTCAACATTGCGCGAGACCTCGACGCGGAACTGGCTGGCCTGGATGGCCCAGCGCGCGAGAAAAAGATGCGCCCTCTCCATGGCGTCCCATTGCTCGTCAAGGACAATGTCGCCACTGCGGAGCCGGCACTCGAAGCCACAGCCGGGTCGCTGGCCCTCCTGGGAGCCAAGCCCGTGCGCGAAAACAGGGCCGTCACTCGTCTGCGCGATGCGGGGTGCGTGCTGCTGGGCACGACCAACTGCTCTGAGTGGGCCAACTTCCGGTCTCGACCGTCGGACAGCGGCTGGAGTGCCCGCGGTGGGCAGACGTACGGCGCGTACCATGCCAGACAGGATCCCTCTGGGAGCAGCAGCGGCTCTGCCGTGGCCGTCGACATGGGGTACTGCGTGCTAGCCGTGGGCACAGAGACGTCCGGCAGCATTATCAGCCCGGCCACGCAAAACAACATTGTTGGCCTGAAGCCAACAACGGGTCTGGTGTCGCGCGACGCCGTCGTTCCTATCTCGCCGCAGCAGGATACGCTGGGCCCGATGACGCGGACCTTGGCTGACGCAGCACTGATGCTGGATGTGATGATGGGCCGCGACGAGCATGATCCCAAGACGGCCGAGATTCCCGAGGCACGGCTGCAGTCACCACTTCATCCAAAACTTACTGCCGTTGAAGAAGACGCGCCACTCTCTCTCCGAATCGGAATTCCGCGTGATGCACTCCAGGGCATCAAGTCTGCGATCCTCGAGGCGTTCGAAACCCGCGTGGTCGCTCCGTTGCGGGCCCGAGAGGGTGTCACAATCGTCGACTGTACAATGCCGGGCCTCCTCCGCTTCAAGAACTTGTCGCTCGTGGAGAAGACCAACTACATGGCAGGCGAGTTTCATGATGCGCTGCCGGCATACTTGGCCGCACTGACGGCCAACCCGCATCATATTGATGGCGTAAAGGCACTGTGCGCATTCATTAAGTCGACGCCGGAGGAGGAATATGGCGAGAATGAGGAGACAGACGAAAAGAGAGACGACTCGGCAGGTGACACTACAGAAGAGGAGCCAGAAAATATCGTCGAGGAGGCTGTCCACGACGTCGGCCCTCCTCGCCGCAATATTGAGCGTCTTGAGCAGACCCAGGCCGTCACTCGCGACTCCGCGGCATTTGAAGCTGCCAAGACCAATGCGGCCTATTTCGCTGGTCCGGGCGGCATTCAGGGTGCACTGGATGGCATCAAAGGTGGGCCCGATCGGCCCCATGGTTTCAACACCCACGAACCTGTTGACATTTTGCTGCTCCCTACCAACGCCAGTGCCGTCAACTATTTTGCTGCTTGCGAGGGCCACCCGCAAATTACCTTGCCACTCGGATACCGCGACTCCCCGAAAGTTCAGCGCAATGACACAGGGCGGCTCGTTGCGACGGGGCCCAATGTACCTTACGGTGTTTCAGCGATCGCCCGAAAGTACGATGAGGCGTCCTTGATGAGAGTATGCTCCATTATTGAGAAGCAGACGAGGACACGAGAGCACGCCGAGGAGAGACGGTTGGCTCATTTACGTGGTTAGTCGTGCAAATAGAGCATTTGCGACGAAGAGATCTATCCAAAGAATATCCATTTGCTGTTATTTCTAAGAGACAGAAAAAAAAGAAAGAAAAAAAGAAAAAAAAAGAAAGAAGTCAAAAACCCTGCAGAAAAACGCCGAAACAAAGACGCCCGTCAACGCGATATCCCCAGTCATCATAGGAAACGGAACAAGTACAGAGCTCTCGGGAGGCATAAGTCGTCAAACCACGCAAAGAGGCACAAGACGCGAGACGCAGTACTAGTACAGAACACGGCAGACCCTGCCCTAACTCTCCAACCAAACGCCATAACCCGCTTCACACCGAGCCGCCACGATTCGTTCAACAACTCGTTTAGGTGTGGCCGACCAGACCAGGCTGGGGCGCATTGTCGGGGTTGGTGTTGGTGCCCGCGAAGCCCAGGGCCGTGTTCCAGGCATCGGCCGTCGACTGGTCCTTGGTGCCCAGCGCCGAAATCTGCGCCACGGCCGCCTTGGCCGCATCCTTGGCCGCCTGGTTCGCGTTGCACACGTTGGTCAGCTGGTCCGAGATGCGCTTCGTGATGATGTTGGGGTTCAGTGCCTCCTCCTGGCCCTTGTTGACGAGAGGATCGATGGCCTGGAAGGTGAACTCGGTGGCCTTGCGGCCGTCGAGACCAGCCTCGAACTTGATTGTGGGCACGCACAGGCCGAAGTCGAGGCCGGCAATGGTCGACTGCTGCACGCCGTTGACAACGGGACCAGCAGCGCCCGTGGACGAAGCAGCACCTGCGGCGCCGACGGAGGCAACCGAGGAAGCCGAGGCAGCAACGACGGACGTCACCAGGGTAGTGGCAGCGGCCGAGGCAGTGGCGGTCGAGGCCGCAGTGACCAACGCGGCGGTGACTGACACGGCAGCGGCGCCCGTCGAGCCATCGACAGCCTGCGTCGAAAAGTTGGCGAAGCCATTAGCGGCAACGACATCGGCGACACTGAGACCGCCGGCGGCAAAGGGGTTGAGCAGCGACGAGGCTGAATTGGCGTTCTCAATGTCGCTGCCGACAACGGCCGGGTCGATCAGCGGGACAATGCCGCGCAGGACCTCGGTGACCGGGAGCGTCACGTCGGAGCACAGCGAAGGGATCGACACGGCGAAAGGGTTGAAGTTCTTCTCGGCGGCCACGAGTGCGGCGGCGGCGGAAACCACATCGGCCGTGCTGCCCAGGGTAGTGATGATGGTGTCGGCCAGGGTGAGCTTGGCGCAAGCGTTGGCACCCGCAAGCAACACGCCCGGCACCTGGCCTGAGAGCGTGCCGGCATCACCGGGCTTGCCGCGGTTGGTAAGGGCGGCGATGGCGGCGACAGGGCGCGATTCCTCGCCGAAGCGGGCCTCGGCGGCAGCCACGAGGGCCGCCACAAACAATGTCTGGTAGTGCATTTTGAATAAAACTAAACGAGAAGCGTAAAAGAATGAAGAGACCGGCTCGCGGTGGGAAGAGTGTAAAGTACAGACAAAAAGTTGAAAAGAACGACTAAAGAAGAGAAGGAAACTAGTTCGCAGAACTATGGTAAAGACTGAAGTGAAAGAGAAGTTGTTGCTGAGGAAGACGAGGTACAAAACAAAAAAGACGAGCAGACATGATGGCCGGGTAAATGACCTTTATATACAGTACTGGTTTTCTCACGAACGCCATGGTGGACGAGGCAGTTGACGCTGGCGGCAAAGAGAAACCCAAAAGGGAAACGACAGGATGGGTCACGACAATGAAAGACAGGGGCCGTTTTCGCAAGTACAGCCGAATTACCGACAGCCCCGTGGGATGACGATCATACGATTGACTTTGGACTGTTTTTTGTGTTGTTTTTGACGAATGCCAGCAGCCTGGACTAGCGTCAGGGATATCGCTGGCGGGCTTCGCTTGGGATGAAAAAGAAAGAGAAAACGGGGCGTGTGTCAAGGAGGGGATGGTTTTGGGTTTTGGATTTTTTGACATCGGAAGACCGGCGGAAGAGCATGGCAAAGGGGGGCAGAAATGCATGTTGCGTCTTTGCCATCCCGATTCGGTTCAGTGCGACCCAAAGAGGCACAATGAGGCTCTCTGAGCGCGGCCCAGCCCAGGGGGTGTGAGGCTAAAACACGGCCCAGACTGCCTGTACCAACAACCCGGAAAGCGCAGACATCAAGGCTGCGCGATCTGGACCACTGAGACAGCCGAATGCAGAGTGCAGAGTGCAATTACGGCTCATCAGAAAACGGGGAGGCGTGTCCTGCCGTGTCGGACGGCTTACTGTGACGTGATTTTGGAATATGTAGGCGAGGACAGTACAGTGGCTGCGATGTTGTAGTCATAGACCGAGGCACACATAGCAAATAAAATAACCTGCAGAGCATGCCCGACAAAGAGTTTAAAGAACAAAAAGTATGAAAAAGACGGAGCTCACAACACTAATGACTACATTTCTTGGCTAAAACGTAAATGGCTGCTGGAGAGGCACCCATGCACCTTTTGGTCAGATGATTACGTGCTCTGCTGTCTTTTAATGTCAGTTTCAGGAACGCCAAGCAGGGGAGGGGGGAGACGACGTGCTTGAAGTGGCCAATGCAGACACAATGACAGGGGCCGGAGAAACAAGAGAAGGTTGAGCCGAAGAGGTGAGGTTGCAGAATACGGGGAAAGTGTGCAAGAGTGGCCGAGTCAAGATGTGTTTTGATAAATCGGCAAGAGGCCCGTCCTCGCCTACGGAAATCGCAGACGCCGTCTAATGTTGCAGCTGCAGAAGTTGCTTGGAGCAGAGCCAATGAGTCCATGCTGGCCTTCTAGAACGATGGTAAGGTGGCAATCGTACACGACACGTAGTGCTTTTGTGCTAGTATGGGGAAAGCGAGTACAATACGGCGTCGCTTTATGAACATGTGACATTTCTAAGCCTGCCATTTTGGCTGTCTTGAATGGGGGTGAATACAATTAGGAAGGTTTTCCCCCTCTCGGTCCAGAACGATTGACTTGGCGGAAGACGGCGGAGGGAGCAGCCAGCGGATACAAAAATCAGTCGAATTCTGGTTTAAAATCTGGTTAAAAACAAAACAAGCTTAAGTCAGGGAGCAAATCTGGCTTTCGAAAGTTGGTAGGTGGTCATCAACAGTGCCTGCCGCAAGTGGCGACAGGGCCCGTCGCGCGGGCGGACTACCGTAGCGGCGGCTGCACCCGTATAAGTGAGCTTGGGCGAGTCCTGCTGAATTCAGCCACGCCCTAAACCCCGCCAAGCCACAAATCGAGTGGCACGTGTCGATCAACAACCAAAAGAGCCATCCACGGCACCGATCAAACACGATCCGAGACACAGACTGAGACGGCGGTCAACGGCAGTCCGTTGTGTTGTCGAGATCAAAGGAGCGAACAAGGTCGCGGGACAAGACGAAAAGCGCATAACAATGGCGCAAAAAGAAGCAACGTTTCTGGAGAAATGACGAAATGACGACTGCCCATATTTGCAATGCTTATTTCGTCTTTTCTTATGCTACCTTTCTTCCTCAGAGTCTCCCATCTTGCATCATGTGCCGTCTTGTCCTTTTTATCCTATAAATACGTGTTATCTTTCGTGGTGGCCATCTTTCAACTACGATAAAAAAGTGACCGTCGTCACCATAAAAGAGAAAGCAGATCATGGGATTGTGAGTTGGCAAAAGTTTCGCGTCTTGTTTACATTGATGTGCAAACAAAACAGACATCCACTGAACGTGGCAGAAACACCTTGCTCATTTGTTGCTCTTCGGTTGGACTCCACTGATGATGATCCTGCCAGATGTTTCAGTGCAGCATCTTTACATCTTTACTTGTCGACCCGGATCTCATGGTTTCTCGTTCTCCGTCGACTCTGGAGAGCATAGGCCAGTCGCACATCAGCTACGATCGCCCATTTGCTGGTGCCCATCACTCAGCCCTTGATTTTATTTTACCGGAATTTGTTCAGTCCAGAGATCGACGGTCGGGGCGCAAGGCATAAGACATATGGGCGCCTGCCACTGGAGGAGACGACGCGGATCTGACGAAAAGCTGGCGAAAGGCCGATGAAACAATATGCATGCTTTTTATGTCCCATGCTGTCTATCTGGTGTATATGCGCAAACAATGCAATCAAAGACAGAACATGACGACGATGGAATCGGACAAAGAGAAACTAGGCAATGCAGGAATGGCAATACAGGAATGGGCTGGCCCCCCGCCCACTACAAGTCCTTAATCTCAAAGCGCTTGCGCAGGTACTCGCCGTACTTGTTGATGAAGAACGGCGCCGGCACCAGAGCCAGGGCAATGAACCCCAGCAGACTGTTGCCCCATCCCAGGCCCAGTTTGGCGTACATTTGCAGGCCGGCCAGCGGCAACACGGCACCGGCGATGGAGCGCACAACCGTGTTGGCGGCGAGGGCGGAGGCGGCGTAGATGGTGAAGGCGTCCACCAGGTACAGCTGCAGGCTCATAAAGATGACCAGGTTGGCAAAGCCAATGACGACCATGCCCAGAATGGGCGCGATCCAGTGCTTGTGGTACTCGGCGGTCCAGCCGTAAATGAAGAAACCGATGGGCAGCAGAACGGCCGCCAGGGGCAGCATCTGCAGGCGGTACTCGGGCTTCATGCCCTGGCCCTCCTTGGCGGCCATGCGCCGCGTATAGCGGTCGGACATGGCGCTGAAAAAGACCATGCCGGCCATGGAGCCCACGCCGAGGCCCAGATACACGAGACCGACCGTGTTGGTGCCGAAGCCGTAGGTGGACTGGAAGACTTCGGTGACGGACGTAAACATGAGGTACAGGTACCCATAGACGACGGCCATGTACAGCGCAAAGATGAGCACAATCGGCGAAAAGGCCAGCATCTTGAGCGGGCGGAAGATGCCGCGCTGAAAGTAGTCTGCCGACGTGAGCCCGGCATCGAGCTTGCTGCGCAGCAGCGGGTTGCCCGTCTCCTTGCGCAGACGGCGGGCCTTGCGCTCGAGCAGCAGCGGCGCGTACGTCTCGCGCATGGAGAAGAAGAAGACGACCGACAGAAAGCCCGAGAGTATGACAAGCAGCCAAAACACCCAGCGCCAGCCCTTGGCACTCGCCAGGAACCCGCCGGCCACGGGGCCGATGATGGGGCCCAGCAGCGGGCCGACGGCGAAGCTGGCCATGGCGGCGCCGCGGTGCTCTTGGGAGACCATGTCGGCAATGGAGCCGCCGCCGTTGGTGAGCGGGCACGAGCCAAAGACGCCGGAAAGAAAGCGGAATGCAATCAGGGTGTTGAGCGACGGCGCCAGCGCGCAGCCGACCACAAAGGCAATGAAGCACACGTTGCAGACGTGGTAGACAATGTTGCGCCCGTAAATCTCCGACAGCGGCGCAATCAGCAGCGGGCCAAAGGCAAAGCCCAGCACGTACACGGACACGACAAAGGCGGCCAGCTCGTTGCTGTCGCTGTGGAACTCGGCCATGAGGGCCGGCACGCCCGGCGCAAAGATGGACGACGCGAGCGGCGTGACGAATGTGAGCGCGCTGATGAGCGTGCAGTTGAGCGCCTTGTGCCAGGTGGGCCAGTTGAAGGGATTCTGAGGGTCGTCGGGGCCGTCCCACCAGACCACGTTCGGGTCGTGTTCTTGTTCTTCGTCTTGTCCGCTTGCGTCGCCGTCTGGCTTTGCGTCACCGGCCAAGCCCTTTTCCACGTCCGCGTCAGCAACAGCTGTTGCCGTCTCTTTGGATGCGCCCTTGGCTGTCGTCGGGCGGCTCCGGTCGGCAATCGACTTGCGGCGCTTCGCCTCGCCACGCTCGTCCAGGACATAGCCTATGCTCGAGGGGATGTCGGCGTCGTGGCCTTCGTCGACGGCCTGCTGCTCGAGTTCCTGGTCGCGTATTTCTTGTGCACGGCGTTTGTCCTCGTCTCTTTCGTCATCTTGGCTAGTCTCCTTTTCGGCTTCCGTCTCTTTGTCGAGTGCGCTGCTCGATTTCGACGACGCAGTCTCTGCTTGTGCTAATGTGTGTGGCGCCGCTGCTGTGTCGTCACTCGCCAGCGAGGCGGCACCTCTTGCTTCAGCCATGGGTAAGGCTGTGGCTGTTAGCAATCGACATGGTAAACACGCAATAATATAAGCCATAAACAGGCTATGCAGGCTAATAACGTACACGAACGGTTCCAGTACCTGGTTACTCGAGATCAAAAACAAATGTCCAATGTCCAAAGGTCCAAAAGTCCGGCGTCAAAGGAACAACAAAGAAAGGTAAAACCAGGGCAGGTCCAAAATAAGCAATTGAAAGGGCAAAACAGAGGTCAAGTAGACGGAAAGGGACACGGAGAACTAAAGGGGACCACCGCGAATAAGTACGTTCAAAACCACGAGTACTGTCGGCCGGATTGAGTGAAGAGTCTGGGGTGGGGGGGATGACAGAAGGTGCCAGGGACCAAGAAAAAAAGGACTGGGGAATAAGTCCGAGCTGGGTGTTTCTGGATGTGTATTTCGTACAGAGGGAGTATTTTCATCGGAGAGAAACTTACCGAAATGACGAGATGTGAACGGTGGCCAGTGTGCAAAGCAGGCGGAGGAGATAAATAAGAGCACGAAAGGGGAAACAAACGGATAGGAAGACAGAAGGGGAAAGACGGAAAAGAAAAAGAAAACAAAATGGAACAAATCGCCAGGCAACGGATCACCCAGGTACATCGTCCCCGCCGCGATACAAATGCCCAAACATCACGGCCATGAGACGAGTCAGTAAAATTTCACAGGAGAAATGGACATGAATCCAGCGAAAACGTCACCCGAGAGACATGAGAGAGTGAAAACAGGGGCATGATGGCAGGTTGTCCCGCCATAACCGCCTCTCCGGTGTCCCGCTGACTTCTGAAGACAGACAGCAGCCGTTGGGGTAAAGTGTCTTTTTGACGCGGTTTTGATTTCATCTTCTTCGAATCGTATTAGTTCGGGGTTGTTTGCCCAGACGTCGCTTGGCCTCGTTCGTTTCGTGTGCACTGTTCTCTGTTAGTCTGGGTTATGAATTGTGCACAAAAAGGGTCCACCCGTTGACCAGGTCCTGCACAATTCGTATCCACTCGTGCACAACTCAACCATCAGCACCCTAAGTTGACCCCAAAACCACGAGTCATTCACATCGGCAACTGGGCATCCGGGTGGATACCGAGTGGGGAAATAGGAGATATGCGAGATGAGGAGACGGCTCTGGTTTATCACCGTCTTTTGCTCACCACTAATCCTACGGCGGCAGAGGAGTACGGACGACGGTCGCCGCCTATCTTTGCTGCTTTCGAGTTTGGGTTGTGAAAGTCGTCTGTGTGTGACTGAGTGTTAATGTAGCGTCAGTGTTCAGACGCCGCAGCGTGATTCATGAGCATGAGCAGTAGGGGCGCGCCAGACCCACGCGAGTTGCTCCAGCAGGAGACTACAGGAGCGCCTAATTTCGGTTGAATTCTGTCCAGCAGAACACGGCCGAACAGCGGACGCTGAACAACGGACGATGAACACCGAAAATGTAAAATAACATTGTGCAAGGTGTGCATGGCTGTATCAGCCAAGACACGGAAGAGCGAAAAGGGCGAAAAGAGCGAAAGGAACTAGCCGAAAGTCTTGAGAATGACACCCAGCCATCGTGGCCGATTAGTGGAGGATCCCAGCAGTACCCAGTATCGGTGACAGTGTGGCACAGCGGCACAAAGAAAGCATGCGACAGGGTATGACAGTGTAGTCCAAGTTTGGGAACCACCCACAAGGAATGCGGAGTATGTCGTACTAAACCTGGCTGTCGGGAATTTGGAAAGGCCGACTGACCGTGGATCGGCAAAGAGGTGCAGAAGACAATTTGAGGCAACTGAGCTGTGGGAAGAGCGCGGCAGTTGGAGTATTTCGTGAAATTCGTGGCCTCTCACTCAAATCGGGAATGGGTCTTGGGCCACACGAGAATGGAGAGTGTCTCGATGACTCGTCGTTGGCCTCGCTTGTCCTCAAAAGTCAATGCACGAGACGGCAAACATGTCTGGCAAAATCTAGGCGAATAGTCGAGAATCGGGGGCTGTGCAAATCAAAGGTCAGAACCAGGAACAATAAACAGCATGGGAGCCCAGAAATGCCGCTGACACTCGCGGTGGCTCTGTTGGGAGCGATAACCGGCGGCCGAATTCTACTTTGGGAAAGACACCGCAAGACCTCGCCATTTGCTTGAGGACCTCAAAAGCAGCCTTCTTCTTGCCAAGACGTGGCAGAGAAAGAAAAAGCGATGGGAAGCTGAAACAGATTGGGGACCAACAAGGAAACAACAAGACGTGCCTGTAGTGAGAGCAGGGGGCATGCAAAGGCTCGAACTAGGTAGATCATTTACACTTTTATGATAAATTCTTCACATAGCACGATTTACATCTAGAGCACTTTCTCTAAGAATCTGCAGAATATCTCTACCTATAAGTCCATAATCCCGAGCGCTTCTAGAATTAACCCGGTAATCTAATATAAAATCCATTTGTTCTTGTGTTATAGGATTACTTAATTTATATGTCATTAATAATAATTTTAGTTTAATTTCAGGTAGAACATTTAAAAGTATACTTGACGAAACTATTATCATTCCAATTGTACTAACTTTAAAAGGATTTTGCGATCTCCATTCGAGTTTGTATGTCGTGCCACAATGCGGTGCTTCCTGCGGTCGGCTCGGCTTGTGCTCGAGATGGTCTTCTTGCATTTGACTTTGGCTAAGGAGACTGTTAGTAGGAAATTGGTGACGGCACACATTCTTAGAAATCAGTAATATCCAAAATGTAGCAGGTGAAAATAAGATATATCCAAAAGGTGTAAACCAAAAATCTGTAAAAGTTGTTCCCAAGGGATCTAAATCAGAGAGCTTTCCAAAGTGCGTCAAAAATCCCATGTCCTCACTTCAATCGCCTACATCATCGACGTCGTACCTACGGCTCGTGGTCATCAATTACATCCAGAGCATCAAAGTCTCGGATCACGGGCGCCACGCTGCCAACTTCGTCGCCCTGGTTCATGAGTGGCCTCTGCGTGCGGGTCTTGCTGCGTGTGCTGCTTCCTCCCCAGCCTTCACGTCTGTCGCGCCCATCTCGTCCCTCGCGGCCACCTTTGTCTTGTCGTCGCCGCCGCCGCCGCTCGCTACCGCTTCCTTCTGTCGTATAGTTGCTGTGTGACTCGTCTTGAGACTCGTCCATCAGCATAAATCCACCATTGCCAGACGATGCCATGTGGGGGATACCCTTCAGACCAGGCAGCACAGGGGGTCCGCCATGAGCGTTGCGCCGTCCACTGCCACTGCTCGCTGTAGCCTCACCACTGCTTATGGTCATAGGCCACCCCGCCTCCTCGACCGTCGGGATACCAATGCCCATGCCCATGTTGAGGCTCATGTTGACGTTGGGGTTAGCGCCGCCATAGACGCCGCCGCTGCCGCCTGCATTGACGCCACTGCGGCTTGTGGCCATCTTGGACGAGGGTCCGTTGCCCTTACGCGGTCGCGTATTGCTGGAGAGATCGGACATGGCGCTCGTACTCGACACAACAGTCGCCGCGCCGCCATGGGACGACTGCGTGTAGGTGCCAAAAGCGCCAAAGGGAGGCGCCAAGTCGCTGCCGAGACCATCACCACCAGCATTGCTCGACGGACCAAGTGAAGTACTGGACCGCACCGACCGGCCGCCATGCGGAGTGTGAAAGCCCGCGGATGAGCCGCTGCGGACCGTGAGTGTGTCCGCCGGAGGCGGTCGCGGGAAGTTGAAACCACCACCAGCGTTGCTGTTGCTACTGCCAAATATGATGCTGTTCCGCCGAACAGGACTGTTATTGCCCGATGCACTTGAGGAGGCGGCCGAACTCTCGTCATTGCCGCTCTGATGAGCCGAGCTGTGGCCACCGTGGTTATCTTGGTGGCCCGTGTTCCACGTACGTGGCACGATCCAGCAGTGCGATAGTTCATGTGCCGCTTCGTCGCTCGAACCGACGAGTCCACCACCACCTGTTGTCCGCCACGGTGGCATCTTGGCGCCCTTGAGCCGCGGCGACAAATGGTATGACACGCCATCACGGTAGCGCATGTTGAGCGCGTCGACTGACACAGAGGCAAGTGTCTGCAGAATGCCGTAGATGAGCACCCAGCGGCCGCGGCGGGCCGTCAATGGGTCTACCTCACCCACGCGGTCAATCTTTTCAAATTTGGAAAAGGCGTCGATCAGGTCCGACTGATTAAAGTCCGAGCCCAGAATCAACATGTTTGTGGCCACTGTGTAGGCGAGCTGCACGCGCCGCTCGACGGAGCCAGCCCGATTGCCCGTCCCTGTCGATGTGGCATCGCCCTTTTTGCCTTTTTCTTTTCCTGAAGACGGAGCACTCGGTGGGATGGAGTCAGGCACGAGCGGGAACGGATGTGGGATGTGCGGGAAGCGCAGCTTGTTGTCGAACTCAACAAGCATGTCGGTCATCGGCAAATCCAATGTGTCGGCTTCGAAGGCCTTATTGCCGCTTTGCGACACAAGCATCCACTTGCGACCCGACCGCGCTTCGGAGCCGTCCCAAACGATGTCGCGATCCACGAGGTAGTCGTACAATGCTGCAAAGTCCTTTTGGAGGGCGTGAGCTATTGTTCGTGTAAGCCAAATATCGTCTTCGGCATCCACGGGGACGCCCAGCGATGCTACGGTGGGGGATGGCGGTAGCGGTGGCCAGCGGCCGTACGTCCGTGTGTAATGTTGCAGCAAGAACTTTTGCAATCGGTCGCCCGCAGCCTTTGCTGGGCTCGGTTGGACGGGGCCGCTGGAGCTGGCCGTCATCGCTAGCGCAGGTGGCCACATATCAGCGAACTGGAACTCGGCTAGACGCTCTTCCGCTGCTTGAACCCGCAGCTGCGTCTCCAGGCAGGCTCGCTCCAAGAGTGCCCGCGTAATCGGAGTGACGTTCTTGAAGTCGACACAGCTCTCGAGGCTTGCGTACATGCCCGTGCTGTGTAGGAAGCTCTCACGCCAGCCCTCTTCCCATCGCACGTCTGGGCTCTCGGACCAAGCCAGAAGTGAGATGGCGCTCTCCGGGTCATTCCGAATGTCGTCGATGCCGCGCGCTCCAAGATAGTTGATGATTGTGCCAACATTGTCCATTTCTGGGGGCATGTACGCTTCTAGCCGTGCGTGGAGATCCGCAAGCGCCTGGTACAGCGACAAGCCGACAAGCGAAGCGTGGTACAAGAGCGCAAAAATATTCCTCGTTGTGATGTGGTGCCGTAGCTGGTCGACCTTGTTCATGTTGGGTGGTGTCGGAAAGTACATCTCGTAACTAATTTGCCCGTCAACATCAACCAAGCTAGCATCTTCAGATATTGGTGGGGTCGGCTGGCCCATGCCGTACCCGCCTTGGCCGTGACCGCGTCCGTGGCTATGTGGTCCGAGATGCCCTCCAGATCCTCCCCCACTGGCCATGTGCCGTTGCAGCATGGGAGGCGCGCCAATAGGTGATGGAGGCAGCTGGATGTCTTCCTCTGTCGAGCCTTCCCGTAGAAGTGTGATGAGAAATCGGGACTCGGTCGCCTCAATGATGTGTGATGACAGGCGGAAAGATGGGTTAGGGCGCGGTTGCTGGCCCTTGTAACCAAAGAAGACAAGCACATCACCATTGGGGTCCCAGAGCTCGGGGTCTTTGCGCAGCTTGTTCCAACGTTGGACGGGCCGCCCAGAACCTATCCAGCGCTTGATCGGAACCGAGTTAGACGCTGGCGGAAGCGGAGGCAGTTTACTAGACGGGGGAGGTGATAGGTGGCTCCCTCCTTCCCATCCTCCTGGTTGACTGTCGACTGGAGACTGTGGTAGCTGCTGGTGGCGGTGTCGCTCCTGCATCATCATCATTTGTTGATGTTGTTGCTGTATCTGTTGATGTAGGCTGCCGACGTTGTTACCCATCTCACGAGGACCCATATCCCGATGACCCATTTCGCGAGGACCCATGTCGTGGGCGTCGATGGCCAGGTCAAGGTCGCTCTCGTTGACACTGCTACCCATGGGCGGCCGAACGGTGGCCGCTGACGGTGGTCGGAATTGGTTGCCATTTTTCTCGTCATTGCTCTTGTTCTTTTTGCCGAAAGTAAACGCCTTGACAAGTCCACGGCGCACGTCGTCGCTCTTTTTGTCCACGGCCGAGCGCAAACCGGACTTTTCGATGCCCGAAACGTCTTCCGTTCGAATGTTGGGTCGCCGGGCGCGAGCATAGGCGAAATCGTCCAGTGGCCGCGGCAGCGGTGGTCCTTGCCCACCGTCTCTCCGGTCGTCCCCGCTGCTGCCGTTCTGACTGCCCGTACTAGGTTGGCCGTAACCTATGTGGCTGAAGTCCACCGGCTCGCTTGCACGGATCGGCTCTGAGAATTTGAGAAAACGCCCATTTGTTGTTCCGATTCCCGTATTCTGCCGCATGGGCATGTTGTAGTCACTTAATGTAGCCGTATCTTCAGAACTTGTTGTTGACCGTGCACGGCCTCGGCCTATGGTATTTTTTTCATTGGCCTTCGTCTCCGTGATCTTTTTGCGCACATATGCGCTTCTACCCGACATGGTGGCCGAGTTATGCTGCAAACCCGGTGGGCGGCTTTCTCAGCTATGTGGTGTTTGTGTTGTCGAAGAAGAACCGCGTTGGAAGCGAATTTTTGAGAAGGATGCTCTTCTGTGTCTTTAAACACGGTATCAGTATCAAATGAAGATTCTGTGCTGGTGCTCGTGAGCGAGTGTCAGGCCAGACATGAGCAATGTGGTACAGACTGTATGAAAGTGAAGAGAGATCGACAAGCGAGTTGCGGAATTAGGACAATAAAAGGAAACTGCTAGTTTCGAGAACGACCGTTAGGGACCTTAACGATGACAGAAGCTTGTATGGTTCAAGACGAGATCAGCCTCAGAGACCATACGGTGTTGCAAGACCTGCACGTAAATTGGTGTGCTCAAACACAGCCAAGTGACCCAAGGAGAAAAGGGAGATGGTGGGGGGTACATTTGTAGGGTCCAAGTGTGTGTGGAGACGCAAAATACATAGACTGTGTAAATAAACGGAGGCTTTTGTCTTCTTCTCGTCTCATCTGGGGGGGTGAAAAGTGCAAACTCGTTTGTTTGGGTCCAGCATGGATCAGGTAGTGTAGGCAGGGGCCAATAATAGCTCTGTCGTCCATGACAAGGGGCGTATAATCTGTTTTGTGTGGGCGTGTTGTGACAAGAAAATGAAAGGAGGGAAAAAGAAAGCAACGTTATGGACAAGCAATGTTTTAGGGAGATGAAAAAGCACGAGAGTTGCCTTGGTTTGGGAGAATGAAATCTTACCTCTCGATGCACCACAAGCACAAAAACCGTTGTACTGAAAAGATGCAGCGTACACAATCCAAAGTTTTGTGGTCGGACAGTCTCCAATAGGTGGTGAAATTCAACACCTGAGCTCGAGGAATAGGAACGAAAGTCGGTTGTCCACTACTTCACGGAACACAGAGGTTTTCCAGAAACGCACAAGGTGTTTCGCAGGGAACTCGCGTCGACAGGGTTGTGTTCCGTTGGCTTGGTTGCGTCCCCTTACAGTGGGCTACTGCAAGAGTATCGATACCCCTAAAGTCTAGAAAGAGTCTGCGGCCGGCTGCGGATACCGAGTTCAGTTGAGGTCACCGGTAGTTGACTTGGATAGCGCGTCACTCGTCCGTGTCTCGACAACTTGAGCCTCGAGAAAGGGAAAAGGAAAGATATATGTATCTGATTGATCTTTCAGGATCACGAGCGAGCTGCAAGCATATCAGCCATAAGACTGTAAGTCTGTTGTCATTGTTGTGTCTCCGTAATGTCGTGTTGTGAAATCAGAGATATCTTACGTGTCTCAAACATAAAAAGTGGACAATAATGAGGCAAGTTTTCGTGATCTGCCTCTGAAGGGACCAGTTTATGTTAGTACTTGTGATTCTCGTGAAAGTAAGTGCAAAAAGAGGCGGATCGAGGCACGCGTGACGTTAGAAGCCGCAACGCCCGAAACAAAAACAAATTTCAAGAGAGTCAAGCAAAATGACGACGAGCAAAAACCGCAACATCTCCGGACTCCAGACTCCAGACGCAGGGGTTGTGAAAAGAACTAAAAACGACTGACAAGATGTGAAAGTCTGGCCTGTGTTGCCGGGATGTCGCGGTTGACTTACAGGAAGGTACATGGTATGTTTCGCAACGTGATAAGAGAGACTCGTGGGGCGTGAGGTGCATATCAGAGGTTCCCACATCAAGCTACCAAACCGGACTCGAGCTTGATGCCTTGGGATTCCGTGTTAGTGCCCATGACGGTGGATGCCAAAACGGAAACGACCCCTGTCTAGCGTGGTCAACAAGGGCAGGCTATGGGGGTGGTTTGCGATAAGGACGTTGAGATGGGCGGATCTGGCCAATGTGAGGCCCCTGTCGCTGTTTTCCAATTCAAAGCTGTAATCGAACTGCAGCCCAAATCACATTATCGACAAGCTGGGGACAGCCTCGCTCATTGGGCAGATAACAGACTATGCCATGGGCAAAGGGCAGCAAAAAGCGAGAAGAGTTGGTGGTTCATCACCGCAATGGACCATCCTCATCAGGCATGTCTCACGGGCCAATGCCGGTCGTCAATTGCTTTCTTTTCATTTTGTGGCTTCTGTTTTTGCACGTCTTGGTGTCGATGTTTTCTTTTTGCTTCCTTCTGATAACGCCGGTAATCATACGCGGCGGTCAGCGGCGTAGCCGAGCCAGCTTATACCAGTCACCCGCTCACCTCACCCCTTTCAGTTCCAGCAGATCTTCCAGCTGGTCGTGGCAGTCGAGGTCTCCCTTCGAATAAATATCTCCGTGACAGAAATTCGAGGTCGACAATGTCTTTGTTGATCTATCAGCTTTCTTGGCATTGACAAGCTGCCAACAAGAGTACCAAAGTATGCTTGTCAGTCAGACTGGTGGCATGAGGTCTGTAATATTGTGTCTAAACCATACCTGTTGGCTATGTCTGTGCATGTAGTTCGTACCTTTGTTTTCATTGCCGTTGCCGCCGGGAGAACGGTCGTCCGCCGCCAAGCGTTAAGGCGTTGGTTATCCCTTGTTGGGAATATCTCCGTTTGGCTATCGTGTTAGGGGAGCAGCGGATGGTGCAAGGGGCGAGAAGACGGACGAATGGCGATGTTGTCGACAGACGGAGAACGGCAATACAAACACGAACACCATGGGAAGTGAGAAAATTCAGGGCGATAAGATAAAAGAAAGGGGTTTACCATATCTAACAGAGAAGGAGCGAGGCAGCAAACGACACTCTGCAACTGGCACTTTCCTGAAGCAACCAGGGGCATCATTCAAGACCCCACTTAGCTGTTGAAATGGGAAGGAGACACAATGAGAATGAACATAGGGAAAGAATGCACGTAGAGAAAAGAGAAGGAAGTGGATGCAATACGGGAAGGTGCTCACGACATCATTGTATTGAAGGAAGGTGTCATTTGACGTGAGGCAATGTTAGAATAGGTTTACAATTGACTTTGATATCTTCATAGTGTGCCTGATTTCCACAACTTTGTGCTCAGTTGGAGCATCGGGGGCAAAAGACGGAAATAACGAATCATATGGTGTAGTCATAAAAAGTGCGATGAAGCTGTCCATCCTCTATCGTCAGTGCCGTGGCCCACGATAGTCTGAACTAGAGACCTCCAATACCTCTTAGGTAAAGAATCTGATACTAACAAACAGTTATGCCGTCCTCAATGCGGCCATGTTTCGCGCATTAAGCTGGCCAGAGAATGCTGGCTTGAACAGTTCCTTCGTTTTACCGAAGAAAAGGAGAAGAGTGAGAGGGTTTTTTATTCGGTGGAAATGGCTCGATCTTATTGCATCTCAACTTTCGTGGCAGGACGGAGTAAATACAATACACATGAAATAGGCAGTGCATTTTCGTCATGCAAGTTCATAAATACGGGTGATTACGTTGCCAGAATCAAGTCGAGACCGGGCTGGGACAGAGAAAGGTGTCACTACACCCTGGACTCCTTGACACAGAATGGCCCAAGTCAATCCTCTTCATTTCTAGGAATCGTACGTCCCTCGTCCAGGCTCCAGGGGTTCCTTCTTCGATTTCTCTTCTCCATGTGCGCGTCATACAGGCCTGGGACAAATCTATGACCTGGTCCTGGCCTAGAGTCCCAGTCTGTGGAGGATCTACTCCATATCTAAGCACGGTCGCTGCCGGGAATTGCCGAAGATTGACCACCGACCACGGCTTTTGTGTCCACTACCAATAATCAAGGTCATGGAGGCCTGGCTGGCTTGGCCAAAAGCAGGGCCCCAGCCTTGGGAAAGTTTCGGGGTACAAAAATACAAAAAGCATGGCGTTCGTTGAGAACATCTAGGACGCCTTAAAGCAGCATGTAGTTAGGTGGGGAGAATAATTGCTTTGATTCTTGTTTGATTATCTGTTATTGTTGTTTTTACTTCGTTCGCCTAGTGCATATTTGTACACAATTTATTGATTCGGGACAAAACCAGGAGGCGAGTTATTTAAGAGCATTTTAGAACGTTGCAATTTTTTTTTTTTTAAAAAAAAGAAAGTCACCGTGGAATCATAAAAAGTACAGTAAATCAAAACAAGCAAGATCATGCTTCGTAACGCGAGAATTTACAATATGGACAATCTGTCATGATATCAAATGCTTAACTGGTACTGCCAATGCTTGCTGTTTATGAGGCTCTTCATTAAATCTCCTTTTACGACAACTGCTCTCAACAACACACTGTAGCTAGACAGCGAAAAAATGAACAACAGGACGCCATGAAAGTAAATAAAACAACAAATCGCTCTTGTGGGCCCGTTAACGCCACGTGATAAAGACACAGAGTGCCGAATATAAAACGCCATAATAATAACACAACAAGTACTTCCCTTGTACCTTTACAAAGCCTCAATGGCCTGCAGCAGCACTTCAACGCTGTTCCGATCCATGGCCCTGTCGTTGGCCCCTGCCGCCTCGCCGTCCGGCCGCAGCAGCGCCGCCACGTCGCTCAGGATGCCCAGCGGGATATAGCAGCCCGTCTTGGCCCGGTCCAAGCTGTCCTTGAGGCGGCTCGTATGCTCCCACTCACGTGCGGCCACCTCGGCGTCCGTGATGACCTTGGTGGGGATGCCGCACATGGCAGCGCAGTGCATACCAAACGAGCCCTCGGCGACGCCGTCTTCGAGCTTGTACAGGAAAGTCACCTGGCGGTTGGCGTCGTCGACATGGATCTGCATGCGCTTGGCGCGGATTTCCGGGTGGTTTTCGAACTCGGTGGCCAGCGAGTGGTAGTGCGTCGCGAAGAAGCCGACACAGCCAATGTGGCTGGCAACGTGGTGCAGCACGGCCTGCGCAACCGCGACGCCGTCGTAAGAGGACGTGCCGCGGCCGAGCTCGTCCAGAATGACGAGCGAGCGCGGGGTGGCCTCGCTCAGAATCTTCTTGGTCTCAGACAGCTCGACAAAGAACGTGGACTGCGCGGCAAAGATGTTGTCGTTGGCGCCGAGGCGCGACATGATGCGGTCGACGGGCGTGAGGCGGGCGGCGACGGCAGGGACGTAGCATCCGATCTGGGCCATAATGACGGCAATGCACGACATTCTCAAAATGGTCGACTTGCCGGCCGCGTTGGCACCCGTCAGCAGATTGATCTTGGCGGCGTCACCACCGAGGCGTACGTCGTTGGGAATGAAGTCGTCGACGGCGTTGATCATGCACGGGTGGCGCAGCTCCTCAAACTCGACCACGCTGCGATCCTCGTCCACGAACACGGGCCGGCAGCTCGGCTGGCCCATGGAGGACGAAGCCTTGGCCAGGCTGATGAGGCAGTCGAGCTGGGCAATGATGCGCGTCGCCTCGAGCCAGATGTCGGCGTCGGCATCGAAACGGGCACAGAAGCGCAGCGCAACCTCGCGGACCATCTGCAGGCGCGTCTCCTCGGCCTCCTGCAGCTCGCGCACCAGATCCGTCAGCTCATTAAAGTAGTAGCGCTTGACCGCGCTCGTGGCCGACATCTGCCGCCACGTCTTGGGCACCTTGATCGACTTGGGCACTTCGACTTGGTAGATTTCCTTGCCAACATCGGTGAACTTGAGCGAGCGGCACTTGAGCATGCTCTTTTGCTCGTCGAGCAGAGTGTGCAGGTCGCCTTTGATGCGCTCAATCGTGTCACAGCACGTGTCAAAGTCCTCGTCGATACCACGTTCGGGGATCAGAACCTTCTCCTCACGGGCGCGCTTGCGGTCAAAGGCCGTCTTCCAGTACGCAAGCGGTTCGTTGAGGTCAGGCATGGCGGCCACAAGCTGGTCCACGATGCTGTTGCCGCCACTAAAGGCGCGCAGCAGGCTGGTCGTGTACTCAATGTGCTCGTAGCCTTCAAGGACGCGCACAAAGTCCTCAGGGCGAACAGCCCCTGCATGGATGCGCGAGCCGAGGCGCTCGAGGTCGGGCATCTTGCTCATTTCGGCCGAGAACTGGTCACGTAGGGTGCGGTCGGCGTTGAGCATGTCGACGGCGTCGAGACGCTCGTTGATCTTCTGGATGTTGCACAGAGGGTGGCATACCCACTTGCGGAACAGGCGCTTGCCAAACGGCGTGATACACCGGTTGAGCAGGTTGAAGAGCGTGCCCTCGGGTCCGCCATTGACGGTGTTGGCGAAAATCTCCAAGTTGATGAGCGTCTGGCCGTCCAGGATCAACGTCCCGTTACGATGGATGGGATTGTACCACTCAAAATTGGACTGGGACAGCAGGTTGCGTTCGAGCTTGAGGCCGCGCAGGTAGTTGACCAGCGCACCAAAGGCAGACATGAGGAAGGGCTTCTCGCGCATCTCTTGCATCTTCTGTGGCCAGTCGGCGGGTGCCTTGGCCGCGCCCTCTTCATCGACAAAGTAGTCGCCGCTCTCGAGCTCACGTCGCGTCATCTCGTCGTCCCAGAACTCGGCACCCGGTTTGCGGTAGTTCCAAATGGTCATGGGCGTCGTGTTGTTCTTGAGGATGCGCAGAGCCTTGGTGGACAGGTGCGACTTTTCGAGAAGCAGCTCCTGCGGCGCGGTCTGGGCGACAAACGTCTCGAACTTGGTTAGGTCGACGTCGTCCTCGAACTCGGACAAGAAGAACTGGCCGGTGGCAGCGTCAACAAAAGCAACACCAAACACGGGTTTGTCGTCGACCATGCACTGCTTGATGGCAGCGCAATAGGTGGCCATGTCGTCCTGCAGCATGCTGCCGTCAACAAGCGTTCCACGCGTCAGGACGCAGGCCAGCTCGCGGCGGATGATTTTGTCCTGCTTGCTCTTTGGGACGGACGAGGCGCCGCGCTCGCGCATCTCCTTGCCGAGGGCGGACTCCATCTGGTCCACACGCGCGACTTTGTAGCCCTTGGAGACGAACTGATTGACCCAGATGTCGAGCGAGCTCTCAGGCACACCGACCATTCGCATATTGACGCGATCAGTCATCTTAAAGTCAAACAGCTGGTGGCCGATCGTAGCGTCATTCTCGTACAGCTCGTAGAACTTGCCCTTCTTGAAGAAGAGGATGGTATCATACAACTTCTGCTTGATCTCCCAATACTGTTTCTCAAAAGGCGAAAATTTGTGCCACGCATTAGGCGGAATGTAGATGGTGCCTTTGTCGAAGTCGGGGTGGCCCGGCTCGTTCTTGTCCATATCGCGGACGTTGGCGAGCCATGTGTAGCGGTCCTCGGGCTCCTTGGTGTGCGCCTTCTCCTTACCAGCCTTGGCAGTCGAGGCTGCAGTGGTCGACGTGCGCGCAGAAGCTGTTGCGGTTGACCCAGGCTCAGATGCCTGCACATTGTCGGGGTCGAAGCGCCATTTCTGTGCCGTGGATGTCGAGGGCACCTCGTTGAAGAGCTCCTCGTCGAAATCATCGTAATTCTCGTCCTTGACGGGTGTCGGCGTGGGTGTTGGCCGTTTTCGGGGCGCGTCAGCCTTGGATGGCCGCTTGCGCTTCTTGGCCTTGGACGGGGCATCCGATTCCTCATCGGATACGACAAAATCGGCCATATCATCTGAAAAAGTTGTCAGTTGGCTTTGGTTTTGACTTTGAGAAGCCAGAAGCAAATATAACACACCATCCTCATCTGCAGCAACGTCTTCAACACCGCCGGACGCATAGTCCTCGTCGTCGTCTGCCACCGTCCGCGTGCGATTGCGGTTGCGCCGTTGGTTGGCAGTCATGGCCACAAAGACATCATCGTCTTCGTCGGATGACTCTGCATAACTGATTTGTTTCCGGGCCTGGGAGGGTTAGAGGAGTTCCAAAGCCAAAATAAAATATAAAAAAATATAAAACATAAAATCCTAATTCCGTCGCTTGACCTACCTTGCGTGTCGGACTGCTAGTCGGGACTGCAAGACGGTTGGCCGACTTCTGTGCCGTCTCAGCAGGTGCAAATGGAGACGGAAGGGCGTCGGTCTTGGGTACCTTGGTCGAGGCGTCCAACGGGGTGGTCGCGTTTTCCTGGGAGCTCGATGGCTCGGCAGGATCGCTGCTGGGCAGCGGCGTGATCTGGGCGGCACGCGAGGACACACGAGGGTTGGCCTTAGTCTCACGCAGGCAGGGCGAGGAGAGAGCCGTGCCCTCGTTTTCGTCGTCGGCGGTAGCCGTGGCACTGCGAGGCGGCTTCGATGCCGAAGGGCGGACAGTCGAGGGTGTCTTTGCAAAGAAGCCGAGGATGCTCTGTTGCTTGCCGGTCGACGGCGCCACCGCCTTACGGGCAGGCGGCCGTGCCGGCGTGCGAGCGTCCGCCATGCTGGAGGTGGCGGATGGGCGTGAAGGGGATTCTGTGTAGAACGGCGAACGACAATCTGAAGAATGGAATGAAAGAAACGAAAGAAAGAAAACAGGATACAGAAATCCGAGGAAAATGAGAACGGCAAAAGAAGGAACAACGACAAGCTGGCTCGATTGAACAGCTCGTCTTGAAGGAATGGATAGAACAAAGTCACCAACGGCACAGCTCGTCCTGTCGTGTGCCAGCTGGTCGGGAAAGTCAAAAGGGTGGAGGAAACACGACGCGGTCGAGGATCTCCAGTCCCTGAGCGGAGCAGAAAACGACGCGTGAAGCTCGGCCCCACCAAACGCGCTGGGCGACAGCACTTAAACCACGTTCGCGGGTGGTCACATGAAATATGGGCCTGGCCAGCCCCTGCCACTTGGTCTTTCCCGCGTCCGCTGTGGACAGGCCCCGCAAGAGCTCCTGCCGTGCCCAGCAACATGTGCTGAGTGTAGCTTTTGGCACATGGCAGGTGCTCTTGTGAGACACCTGCATCAGGCAACGGTATCATCTGAGCACATCTGGACGAACGACAACAATACTATGTCGTACACTCTGCGGACACCCAACATTTGTTATTGCATGGCGTTGTTTTAGAACATATTTTCAGACACAACACGGCGGCCGCTGTGCCTGTTGTTCCTGCCCCCGTCCATGCAAGTGTGTTGTTAGAATCGACCTTGACATCACCAGTTTCATTTTCAGCGTCCTTTTCCGACCGCACCTTTTTATCTTGAAGTTGACGACTCGCACACCAAGATGGCTAACTCGTCTTTCCTCTCCCGCTTCTCGCTGTCCCGCGACGACTCGCCCGTGCTTCCACTGCACACAAAACCGCTGCGCCACAAGCCAAGCGAGTACGACCTCGAACAGCTCTCACCACGCCCGTCGCAGTCTGTCCTCTTCTCCGCATCTGATCCTGAACCACCCGACTTCTTCCCCAGATCTCCCCCCTCCAAGTCCGGCCCATCGTCCGTCGCTTTCGCCTACCGGGATGCTTGCCGAGATCAGCCGTCCTCATCGCGGGCTTCATCCCGCCGGCCGCGCAACTACGACTACGCCGAGGATCAAACGGCCAGCCGGGCGACGCAACCCCCGCTCTTTGCGGGTCCGCCGCCGCCCATTGCTACATCCGTTCTCATGTTCCGTGATGTCGAAGGCAGCAGCGGATCCGCCCTTGAATACGGTCGGCGCCACGGTGGCGGCAACAGCAGAAACAAACTCAGCGCAGAGACCGCCACAGCGGCGTCTTCCATTCGGCTTCCAACAAGCACGGTCCTCTTGGAACCTCGACAAACGACAGCCGGGAATAGGCAGCGCAGACGCGATGGCACGCAATTTGACGGCGACTCTACATGGACAATACTGCAGCGCCGCGAGCGTGCCCTCCAAAATGAGATACAGCACTTCTTGGACGTCCAGTCGTCGGGCCTGTCGGCGGGACTGGGCCGCGGACCGCTAAACCCGCGTCCCAGCCCTGACCCTTCAAGCGGCGGTGGGGGGCGTAGCAGAGGCAGCAGAAGCAACACCAGAAGCAACACGCCTACTGCAGAGTCCATTGCCGGCCGGTCTCTCCGCCTGCCCACCGAGCGTGCCGCGCCGACCGGTGCCGTCATACCGGTTCGCCAGCCCAAGCCACGCAAGCTGGGCCTCCGGGCGGCGCGGGCAGGGCTCGCCCGCAGCATCTCGCTGCTGGCCGACCTCAAGGCGGAAGAGGATGAGTCGCTTACGATGGCGCTGCAAGCACGGAAGCGCGCTCTGGCCCATCTGCGCCGCCTAGCGAGTCGCCGCAGCGACATTGCACGCGAGCTGCAGTCCTTGGAGACGGACGACGCCGAGCCACTGACGCGCGAGCTTGCCACCTTGCGCAGTGCACATGCCAGCACCACCCAACAGATCACTGAGCTCGAGGACCAGCTGACCATGCTGCGGCAGCGCAAGAGAACATTGGAGGGACGCATTGAGGACGCTGTGAACCAGCGTGAGTCCGGGCTCAGCGGCTACCGCGGTGCGCTCAAGGACGTGGACGCACAGCTGACGGCAGTGCTGCGCCGGCCGCCCATCCAACCGCTCGACATTGACGCGTTGGGTGCACATGCTGGGAACAGCGAACGCCCGCAAGAAGGCGGTATCCGGCTAGAGGAGCGAGACAATGTGCTTGGCGACGGCGACACCAACGAAGACATCGATGCTTCTGCCGGATTGGAATTTCTACGCCTTCTCCCCGAGAGACGCACAGCCGAGATGGCACGTTTTTGGTGGGAGAATGAGGTCCGGCTTCTGGGGCGACGCAAGGCCGAGGTCGAGTCGGAACGTGCTGCTCTCGAAGAAGGTGGCGCAGTCTGGCAGGAAGCTGTCCAGCTCGTGTCCGACTTTGAGGCCAATCTGCGCCGGGAAATGGCGAGCGACATAGACGAGGATGATGTTGGCGCCGATAAGGGCAAGACAAGAACGCCGACACCGGAAGAGCGCATGCGAAAACAGCTGCAGACAATGGCGACGGTGATCAAGGGCCTGCGTGGCCATGTGGAGAGAGCGGAGGACAAGGGCTGGAATCTACTCATCTGCGCAATTGGGGCTGAGCTTGAGGCCTTTCAGGAGGCGCGAAATCTGCTGCGACAGTCGCTGCGCGATGCTGGCCTTGATATTGAGGACGAAGAGGATGATGGAGATCACCAGACCAGCACCGACAATAGCCAGCTCATTGCCACTCTTGGCCCAAGCACGACAAAGTCTGCAACGCCGCCGGGGTTCGTCCTGGACGGCCTCGAGGACAGCTCGGCCACGCCCCGGCTGGCCCGCTCTGTAAGCGATGGATCGGCTGTGGCAGCAAGAGGTGGCGATGATCGCGACGGCTACCATACGGCGTCGGAGAGCGACGACAACGATGTTCCGCCGGGGCTGCTTATTCCGGAAGAGCATGGGCAGGATCATGACGAAGAATCGAACAGCGCAAACGGAAGCCAGAGCCGCCACAACGACAAGGATGATAGCAGCGAGAACGAGATTCCACCCGAGTTTCTATCAGAACATCACCCAGACGATGATAACGAGCCATAGCGGTCGCAGGACGGTATACCCCGAGCTTATTTGGAGGATTAAACTGTCTATTATTGTGACCATTTGGCATGGAGTTTTGGATTTGTATTTCTTCATTGGATGGTATCTTTGGATTTCATGGCGGTATTATGATATATACTTATATTAATGAGAACTGTTGGAGGCCGTTGAGTCGGCTCGCGATACTTATCTTCTACTTATCTGCAAAATTGAGACGATTAGTTGTCATACTCCGCAGTGGATTTTGTGTCTAGTGCCGACTTACACGTGAAAGTAACGGTGACAAAAAGGAACAAAAAAAGGGTCCAGCGCCGGCTGCTGCTCGGTAAAGTCCAGGAACGCGCCCACAAATGACACGCCCACATGCCATCTGCTCGACGAAAGCAACATTCTTGCACTCGTTCTTCATCTCATGCACATTTCCCGCTCTAATTTGTCGTTGTTGGCGCACGATATTGTCCCCTTCTTAAAGATCAAACACAAGAGGCACACATTTCATATTTCGAAAGACTTGTCATTAACCGCTACAATTTCAATATATTGTCACAGTTCCTATACACGGAGAACAAAAAAATAGAATTCGAGGGGATTGGAAAACCACGGCCGCGCGGCTTCGGTCAAAAAAATAAGGTATGAGCAGAGACGAATGGAAGTCCCGTGACAGGATGAAACACACCAGCCACGACGGGCACACGAAACCGACCAGGAAATCACAATAGAGAGAAGAGAGAAGAGAGAAGAGAGAAGAGAAAGAAAACGGTATGCGGGAGCAAGAGAAACAAATATGCAGACATAACCCTGGCGAAGAAGTACAAAAAAGGGAGCATCAGAAAGCATTCCAGCATTCCATCGTTATCGTCGTTTGGTTCGTTCTTTTTTTATCTGTCATCGGAGGTCCGGCACCACCACCACCCACGATATGTCTCAAGGACATCTACCGTGTCCGCTCGAACCAGCTGCTCGAACCGGCCAGCGCCACGGACTGGTCCATGACCCATTCACCGACGCCCAGGTACTTGTTGATCCACTTGTTCATCTCCTTGTTGTCGCCAGCAATCTTGTCCGTCTTGATACTGGGCCTAGTGCGACCCCCAGAAAGAAGAGGGACACAAGTTAGTCAACTGTGATCTCGACGGATCTTCGCAAAAAGGAAAAAGGAAAAAGGAAAGCTGTCGTGCTTCGCTTACGTCAAGCCGGTCGAGCGCTTCATGCCGGCCAGGAAGGCAGAAACTGTCAAAATGGTAAGTACTCTGTCCACTCGCCTTCTTTCCTTTGTCTCTCCTCCCTCTGGGGTTCTGGGGCGGCCCCGGGACCAAAACGTACTGAGAACCGCATCGAATGCGTAATGGGTGAGGCGGCCAAACTTTGACCACAAACCAAACGTCAGCAAGTCGAGGAGCTAGAAAAGAAAAGTGTGAGAGAGAAGAAGAACCCGAGAGGACCGCGAAAAGGTTCCAGGCAAGCTTTCTTGACGTCTCTTTCGGACACGGGGACGGCAGAGCAAAAAAACAAAAAGGCGGAAGAGCCGAAACACGAATCCGCGCTTTGCCTTTTCTGCCAAAAAAAGCAAAAAAGAAAGGGTCGACAACAGCATGGTGTGGGAACTCACCATCTTTGCAGGTGGGCGAGCGGACAAGGCTTTGAAAATTCGAATACAGGTCGGTCAAGCGAGTTGAGGCGGTTGCTCGTGCGATCACAAGGATTTGTGTTTTCGGTTTGTTTGGCGATTGGAAATTTCGCAAATTCGCGATTCCGAGCGTTACTTCCTTTTCGGAGATTTTGCGTTCCTTCTCGATTTGTCTTTTTTTCTGCCTCTTCTATTGTCGGCCAAGAAACGTAAGTCGAACGCCGTGCGTCTTGCTTTAGATCGGGGAAGAGCGATGCAGGATGGAGAGATCGGAACGGGCAGCGAAACCGAGGAGGGGAAGGCAGCCACTATTAAGACAGGCACGAGACATTCCTGCAGTGGCCGAACCGAAGAAATGGCTGGGGAGAATGTGGCGCAGCATCACGTGACGATACAACGATAACAGGTTGGTTCCTGATCAGTCCCCCTTATCTCCCCTGGTCTCCTGCCTTATCAGAATGCCCCTCATACCAGGCCAAACACTTCTAATCGATCCTTTTAGGTGCACAGTTGGTGTCTGGCGCATTCTCCACACTGTTTCTCCATGTCAGATCCTCCGCTGTCAATCAGAGAGGTCGCCAGCGCTGTTCAGCGTCTGTTGTGTGCTTTTCAACAAATGCCTTGGAGGACTGGCAAGCGCTCGCTCTTTCCCAAATCGTATCGCGAGTTACTTCGGACACACTGCTAAAGGTCCTGATCATTGAGGCGCTGGACGCTACGCCTTGCCTGATTAGGTGCGGCCGGCACTGAGGGGTTATTATTTTCGCCGCGTTTTCCAGCGAGCTCCTGCCATTTGTCCAATCGTTGCTGCGTGTTTCGCAGGCGCGAGCGGCCCACGCCGCCTTGGACCGTTGTTTATCAAGCCTAAGACGGGTTTCAGAGGCAAATGCCCAGACAATAGTGGCCGCGAGCGAGACACAGCAGAACAAATGCGGCTGGTCGGACCTTCCCTCCATGAGTCCTGGAGCCCGGCAACAGCCAGTTGGCAGGGCAAGAACGAACAAGTGTCGTGAAGCAAGACAGCTGAGTGGCTGTCATCATGAGCGGGACGAGGAAGGAGCGACGGTGAACAGCTCCGTTGTAATCTGTGGACCACGGACGTCGTGCAAAAGAAATTCGGTGCAGGGCTGGCGAATCACCGAATGGGGAAATAGCAACAACGAGGGATTGAGCGATGGGGAAGGTGCGACAGAGAGATTGCACTGCGACTTGAGGCACTTTCCCCAATGCTTTTTTTATCCCTCTATCGAACAGGCAATTGCCTTCCTGCCTTGTCTCGTTTCTGATTATCCTCATGTTTCGCATCTCCTGCTTTTCTTCCCTCACTTCTCCCTCTTTTGCTTCATCTTCCCTTTCTCTCCTCACTCTCCTATTCCGCCTCCTATTCCAACACAAACAGCATTCTGTGAGTCTCCAATTCCCCTCACCCCAAACGGGCCTTTTGTCGCTTGACGCAGCTTCCCGCAACTAAACTAGCTACTTGCAGCGGTGTGGATCTTGGCGATTAGCTGACCCCTCCGCCGTCGTCTTAATTACGAAGAAAAAAAGTAAAAAAAGCTCAGCAAAAAAATTCGTCCCTACTGTTCCTGTCCTGCGCAGTTCAACGACTGACAAAAGCTCTACCCCTTTTCAACAGACAAGCAATCGGCAAGACGCTCTTTCCACCGTGTCGTGCCTCTTTTCGCTGCCCTTTTTCTCGTCTTCCAAACCAAGATCAACACCTTTTCCGCTCCCTTCAAAGCGCCCAACATAACCATGGTTGCCAGCGCTCTTGACCACCTGTCGCTTGGCGGCCGCATTGACTGGCTCGCCAGTCTGAACACCGATGCCAAGCCTGAGAAGAACTACCGCCGGACGTCCATCATCTGCACGATTGGCCCCAAGACCAACTCCGTCGAGGCCATCAACGGCCTGCGCTCGGCCGGCCTGAACGTCGTTCGCATGAACTTCTCTCACGGCAGCTACGAGTACCACCAGTCTGTCATCGACAATGCCCGCGCCGCCGAGGCCAGCCAGCCGGGCCGCCAGATTGCCATCGCCCTCGACACCAAGGGTCCTGAGATCCGCACTGGCAACACCAAGAACGACGAGGACCTCCCACTGAGCGCCGGCACTGTCATGAACTTCACCACCGATGACAAGTACGCCACTGCCTGTGACACGGCCAACATGTAAGCTATGCATTCCTGCTTGCGGGACCTCCCCGCCAGCTTCGTCCGATTTTGTCACGCACCCCCACCAGTTCTCTGGCTGACCCCCACCCTCCACAATATACAGGTACGTCGACTACAAGAACATCACCAAGGTCGTCAAGCCCGGCCGCAGGATCTACGTGGACGACGGTGTCCTGGCCTTTGACGTGCTGGAGGTTGTGGACGACAAGACCATCAAGGTCAAGGCGCGCAACAACGGCTTCATCTCGTCCAAGAAGGGTGTCAACCTGCCCAACACCGATGTGGACCTGCCAGCGCTGTCCGAGAAGGACAAGAACGATCTGCGCTTCGGCGTGAAGAACAACGTCGACATGGTGTTTGCGTCGTTTATTCGCCGCGCCCAGGACATCAAGGACATCCGCGAGGTCCTTGGCCCCGATGGCAAGCACATCCAGATCATTGCCAAGATCGAGAACCGCCAGGGCTTGAACAACTTCCCCGAGATTCTGGCCGAGACCGACGGCGTCATGGTGGCCCGTGGTGACCTGGGTATCGAGATCCCCGCCGCCGAGGTGTTCGCGGCCCAGAAGAAGCTGATTGCCATGTGCAACATGGCCGGCAAGCCTGTCATCTGCGCCACGCAGATGCTGGAGTCGATGATCAAGAACCCCCGCCCGACGCGCGCCGAGATCAGCGACGTCGGCAACGCCGTCACGGACGGTGCCGACTGTGTCATGCTGTCGGGCGAGACGGCCAAGGGCAGCTACCCCCAGGAGGCGGTGCGCGAGATGAGCGACACCTGCCTCAAGGCCGAGAACACGATCCCGTACGTCAGCCACTTTGAGGAGCTGTGCCAGATTGTCAAGCGCCCCGTCAGCATTGCCGAGTCGTGCGCCATGGCCGCGGTTCGGGCGTCGCTGGACCTGAACGCCGGCGGCATTATCGTTCTGTCGACGTCGGGCGACTCTGCACGCCTGCTGTCCAAGTTCCGCCCCGTGTGCCCCATCTTCATGGTGACGCGCCAGCCGTCTGCGTCCCGGTACAGCCATCTGTACCGCGGCGTGTACCCGTTCTACTTCCCGGAGGCCAAGCCTGACTTCAAGGAGGTCAACTGGCAGGAGGACGTGGACCGCCGCATCAAGTGGGGCGTGCAGCGTGCCATTGAGCTCAACGTCCTGACCAAGGGCGACACCGTGGTCGTTGTGCAGGGCTGGAAGGGCGGTGTCGGCAACACCAACACGCTGCGCATCGTCAAGGCCGACGTTGAGCACCTCGGCATTGGCCAGGAGTGAAGGCAACATCAACATCGGATGGGAAAGACACTGATGTGATGTGCCGCGGTGAGAATGAGCCTGGAGCCGTCCTCATCGTGCTTTCCTGACAGGGTGTACACCATGGCTCGAGCCTCTCGAACCACTGCCGTTGCCTTTCCACTCCATCGCGCGTCGGACGCCGATTGTCGGTCCAATGTCTGACTGGCTGCTGCCATGGTGCCGTTCCGTTCGCCTTGTCATTGTCGGGGCTTTTATGTTGTCATGCTGTCATGCCGTCAAGCTGTTGACATGTTTGAAGTGCCATTTTCTGCTTGGTATCTCGCGTGGGTCAAGAGGTGGGATGAAAGGCTTGCATTTGTTCCTATTTTCCTATTTCCCATATTCCTATTTTCCTGTTTTGTGCTGTCTTGTTTCCCATGTTCTTATGTCCTGCCGGCATTTCATTTACCTCTTATTCAAAACACAACCCATAAAAAACCCTTGCCGCTGCTGTCGGGACGACACGACCAGTCAGGCTGGCCCATTCCACGGGAGATGCGTATATGTGTGCGTCGTGGCCTCTTTGCATGCTTACCGATTCCGTCCTTTAGACTAGATATGAGATGCGCAAAATTAAAAAGTTGTTGTGAATGTTGTTCTGTGTTCGTCTTTGGAAAACTTGTGCAATGCAAAGCGGTGGACAGAATCATGGCGATTTCGCTATTGATACGATCTATTGCAGCGTGTCAGTAGCGCGAATAGCCGGTGATGGTCGCCGTGTTAGTGACTTGGGCCCTGCGTCATGTGTGCGGAGGAAATTGATAGCCGAGCTTCCTGACGTCGAACTCCACGAGCGCGGAAAGTCAACATCCTTTGTCGCGTGGCCGTTGACTTGTCCCTCTTTGGCTCTGATCCTGTTTAGTTACTTTCCTTATTATTGATTTTTATTCCTTCCGACGACGATGACGCCCATGACCAACACACGACAGCAACCATGAAGGCGGTCCAGATCCGCGAATTTCTCAAAGTCCGTGAGCTAGTTGATACCGTCGTTGCCCCAGAAAGCTCTCCCTGTCTTGTCGTCTTCCGTCTAACAGTTAAGAGCCTCGGCGACGTCGCCGTCTCCGACGTAGCGCCGCCCGTGCCCAAAGAGGACGAGGTGGTCGTGCAGGTGAAAGCCGCCGGCGTCAACTTTGTCGACACTCTCTATGTAGGCTCCCTTCTCCTTGTTCAGCTCCTAAGGTTCCTCTGCAGACCTGACACTGTCTCCTTCTAGGCCCGTGGGAGGCACCAAAATAACCGCCGCCATGTGACGCCGCCGTTCACCCTTGGCCTCGAGTTCACCGGCACCGTCATGTATGCGCCGCGCACCGGCCCTGGCGCCGCCTTCCGGCTCGGTGACCGCGTCTTCGGCTCGTCCCTCGGCGCCTATGCAGAGCAGATCGCCGTCCCTGCCTCTGCACTCAGCGCGATCCCGCACGGCTGGAGCTACACCGCCGCCGCAGGCATGGCTGCCACACTTCCGGTGTCCTACGGGGCCCTGGTGACGCGCGCCCAGCTGCATGCCGGCGAGACGGTGCTCGTGCTCGGCGCCGCCGGTGGCTTGGGCTGCATGGCCGTCCAGATTGCCGCGCGCGCTGTCCCCGCCAACGGCGGCTATGGCCGCTGCCGCGTCATTGCCGTCGCATCGAGCCCGGAAAAGTGTGCCGTGGCATAGCGTTGTGTCGCCGACGTGGTCATTGACACGTCCGACACGGCGTCGGGCAAGCCGTGGTGGGCGCGTGTGCTGGACGCGACGCCCGATGCTCGCGGGGTCGATGTGGTCTTTGACTCGGTCGGTCGCGTGAGCGAGAGTCTCAAGTGTCTGGCGCACCGGGGCCGCGTGTTGGTGGTGGGATTTGCGGCGCGCGACGACACGACGCTCGAGCAGGTGGCCATGAACCGCGTCCTCCTCAAGCAGGCGACGATCATCGGCTACCGGTACGGCGAGTCGCTGCGGCGGGACCCAGACGAGAACCAGCAGATCTGGCGCGGCCTAGAAGGCATCATTGCCGCGGGGACGATTCAGCCAGTGGTCTATAATCGGCCGTATCGGGGGCTGGGCGCGGTGGCGGATGCGCTGCAGGACATTGCCAACAGGCGGGTCTGGGGCAAGGCGATTGTCGATGTGGACGGCGCCGACGACAAGGACTCGGGCAAGGCGAGACTGTAGGCTGGTGCAGGTAGCCTTTGCACTGGCGTCCTCTGTATGTACATATGTAACTGCACATAGATAGCAATCATGCACGTCTACGCTGAAGACCGTTTGCAGCTTTTAAAATGTTGTTTAGGCAGAAAAAAAACAGAGGCTCTGATCTAAGAATAAAACAAAAAAGGAAAAGAAAATGGCGGGAAAGGAAAAGCACGCGCCGAGGTTCCCATTGGGGGCTGCGCTTATACAACGCCCGCACCCCATTTTGCCGCGTACATGCAAAACGTTCGGCCGTCCGACCTCTTAGAAGCGCACACCCCAGATGCCCCGTCCGCCACTCACTCCCAGCCACTCGCCGGCGTCACTGTTGGCCAGCCGCGGGACCCAGCCCAGGTTGCCGACCTCATAGTCGCACTGCCATGCCGCCACGGGCGCCCGCGCGTTCTCGGCCGGTGTCGCGCCGTTCGCAGGCGGCGCCGCACCGCTCCCAGGAGCACCGGGGGCGGCGCTGTTGCTGCTGATGGTGCCGCTGCCGCTGCCGCTGCCGCCGCCGCTGCCGCCCCCGGTGCCCAGGCTGCTGCCGGCCAGCAACGAGCTGTTGTTGGTCAGCAAGTCCCAGATGAGCACCTGGCAGTCGTCGCCGCCAGACGCCAGCGTCCCGCGGCGGTGCGGCGACCACTCGACGCAGTTGACCGAGCCGCCGTGGCCGCGCAGCTCGAGCAGGGCCTGGCCAGGTTGCCGGACGTCCAGGATGCGAATGACGTCCGAGTCTTGGGCGAACGTGGCGAGCAGATGGGTGTCGTGGGGCGAGGTGGCGAGGCGCAGCAGCGGCGGCGGGTTGGACATGGTCTGCTGGGCGAGTGTCGGACTTATCCTACCGCCTTGGGCGTCTGCATGTCGCCGTAGTTAGCAACAATGCCAGAAAAAGAAAAAAAAAAAAAAATCCCTGAGAGAGCCAGCATAATGAAGTCACCTACCGCGGTCATCCTTGCCTGTGGGCTCGTAGATGATAGTACTGTGCTCCAGACTACGCAAGTCAAACATGCGCACGCTGCCGTCCTGGCCGCAGCTGACAAACACGTCCATGCTGCCGGCGCAGAAGCGCACGTCGTACACCTCCTTGTCGTGCGCAATCAGCTGCGTCTTGGCGGTGAGCGACGGAATGTCCCAGATGGTGCACGTCGTGTCGATGCTCGACGTGATAATCAGGCTCGGCGACACCGTGTTCCAGTCCAGCGACGTCAGCGGCGCCGTGTGATCGGGCGTCTTGGAGTTGGACAGCAGCGCCAGCGGCGTCAGCTTGGTGGTGCCCGCGTCCCGCCGCCCAATCGTGCTGCTGGTCGCCGACGTCGGCGTGTCCGAGGGCAGCGACCACAGCCGCAGGTGGTCGCCCGACGTCGCCAACAGGTCGGTGGACTGTTTCTGCGAAGACGGCGGCTCCCAGAGCAGCCGCGTCACGGGATACGTGTGCGTGGCCTCGGCCACCTTGGTGAATTCCAGCTGGTACTTGGACGTGCCTGGCTGGTACGACTCGGCCGGCGCCTGGCTGACGTGCGTGTCCAGGATCTGGATGAAGTTGTGCCCGTCCTCGAGGTAGCTGCCAATGGCCAGCTTGCCGGCGCCGTTGCCCGTCGATGGCCACTTGCACCAGTCGAATGCATACAGCGCCCACGGTGCCAGGTAGTTGCTGCTGCCCGGCTGGGCGTTGGCCTGGTCATAGCCACCAGGGAACCCGTCCGACAGGCTCGAGTCGGCGCGCGGCCGAATGTCTGCGAGACCGAGCGGCGTGTTGCGGGAGCCGCCCGGCCGCAGCACGTTGGGAACGGACGCGTTCATCGTGGCGGCTGTGAGGGGCGGGGAGGAGGAGAGAAGGGAAAAGGTGCCAAGATGGCGACCAGAATCGAGAATGGCAAACAGCTGCTTCGTAGCAATGGTCGTCGAGAAAATGCTGACAAAAGAATGTCCCGAGTTAAATCAAAACGTCGCCAACGTCCGTCGCCGAATGGGGGGCTCTTGCCCGTGGCCCAACAGAAGCAGCCGGTCGACAAAGTCCGCAGTATGGCCGCCGCGGTCGTCGCAAGTCGCTGAAAATACGTTCGTGGAGACGCAAGATGCGACGTCGTCGACTCAGTTCACTGCAGCCGGCCGACACTTTTGTCAACCAGGAAGCTTCCTATTTTGGTGGGGTAGTTATTACAGGGAACAGTTGCTGGCGGCTGGCATGGCATTCGCAGGTCTTGGCGTGATTATGTAACAGAGCCGAACGCCGCTGCAAAATTGCAACTGTGCTTATGTATGCATAGGCCAGCTCCTCGTTGGCGATGGACCCACTCTAATTGGCTGGCGGATGCCCCGGCAGAACGTTAATGCCGCGCCGTTCTCGTCGAAGCCGGGAGGCAGGAGCAACCAACAGCTTGCGCTAGCGTCCCTGGGAAGGCGTGCAGGGCGGCGCGCCAAAGTCTGCTCCTGCTGCGGCCCAGGCCTTTGAGGCAACCTCACATTCGAGGAAACAAACACTACCAAACAGCAAAAGGCCAGCAACGGAAAAGAACGTTGAAAGGAACCTGACAGCCAACAGCCGCGGACGAGCCGACGCTTTCATCAGGCGACGCGTCCGTTTTCTTCATTGACGCTCCTTGTCTTCCCTTTCCGTCGATGACACGGCCCTGTTCATATCATCCACTTTGTGGCCACATTGGTCCATTTTGTCTCTCTTCCCAAGCTACTTTCGTCTCTCCCTGCCGCCACTTTTGAGCGTTGTTTAGTTTTTATGCTTTCCTCTGCATCATCGCTGCCACCGAGAACCCTCTCTACCTCGACCTCTTCTTTCTTCCAGTTCTTCCAGTTCTTCCCACACCAACGCCATCGCCATGTCGACCCGCGACTTGCTCTACGGCGGCGACTCCGAGTCGGACGACGACAACTTCAACCCAGCGCCGGCCGACATGTCTGACGAGGAGGGCGACGACGACGGCGACGTTGAGCCCAAGGCTGGCAGCTCCAGCCCGGCACCACGCCACGGATCCTCGTCACGGCGCGCGGTGGATGACGACGACGAAGACGAAGAGGACAGTAATGTGCGGCGACGCCGCCGGCAGGACGACGACGATGATGAAGAAAACGATGGAAACAGCGTCAAAGCAGACGGCGACGACGCCAAGGCAGACCCTGGTGCACGGCGGCGATCCGTCGACGACAACGACAACGACGACGACGACGACGAGGACGAAGGCGCGGACATGAGAGAAAAGAAGCGGAGTCGCAACGACGACGACGACGACGAGGAGGATGACGAGGTGGATGAGGAAGAGGACGAGGAAGACGAAGACGAAGACGAGGACGACGAGGACGATGTCCAGTCATCGGTAAGACATGCTCTGGGCGGAAGAAAAGCGGCAGATGACGGAACGAGTAGTGCTGACGTGTTTTTTGTCTCCAGAGGCACCGCCGCAAGCGTCATAAGCGCGACAGCCGGGCCGCCTTCTTCGATATCGAAGCCGAGGTCGACGACGAGGACGAGGGCGAGGACGACGAAAAGGAGGGCGAAGAGATAGGAGACTTCATCGACAATGCCCACCCCGACGACGTCGAGGAGCGCGGCCGCATGAACGACGACCGCCGCCACCGCGAGCTCGACCGCCGCCGCGAGCTCGAGCAGAGCCTGGACGCCGAGAAGCAGGCCGAGATCCTGCGCCAGCGCTACGGCAACCGCCGCCCGGCCAAGGGCCTGGGCGACTCTGCCGTCGTGCCGCGCCGCCTGCTCCTGCCGAGCGTCGAAGACCCGAGCATCTGGGCCGTGCGGTGCAAGGAAGGCAAGGAGCGCGAGGTGGTCTTCTCCATCATGAAGCGCATCGAGGAGCGCCTCGGCACCAAGGACGAGCTGGGCATCACGGCGGCGTTTGAGCGCGGCGGCGCGCAGTCCGTCATGAAGGGCTACATTTACGTGGAAGCCCTGCGCCAGACGGACATTATGACGGCGCTCGACGGCATGCTCAACGTGTACCCGCGCAACAACCTGATCCTGGTCGAGATCAAGGACATGCCCGACCTGTTCCGCGTGACCAAGACGCCGACGCTCGAGCCCGGCGCGTGGGTGCGTCTGCGGCGGCCGCTCAAGTACTCGGGCGACCTGGCGCAGGTGCTCGACGTCACCGAGAACGGCCTCGAGGCGCGCGTGCGCTTCATTCCGCGCCTCGACTACGGCGTGCGCGACGAGCAGCTGGCGGCGGTCAAGGGCGCCAACGGCGGTAAGGCGGCGCGGCGGCCCCCCGGCGTGCCCGGCCCGCGCCCGCCGCAGCGGCTATTCAGCGAAGTCGAGGCGCGCAAGCGCGGGCCCAAGAACATCATGGCGCACGCGCAGCCCAACACGTGGACGTACAACGGCGACTACTTTGAGAACGGCTTCCTGACCAAGGACGTCAAGCTCCAGATGCTGGTCGTCAAGGACGTCAACCCGACGCTCGAGGAGGTGACCAAGTTTGCGCTGGGCGCCGAGGACGGCACCGAGAACCTGGACCTCAAGGCGCTCGCCGCCAGTCTCAAGGACAGCAACGCCAACGTGACGTACGTGCCGGGCGACGTCGTCGAGGTCTACGAGGGCGAGCAAAAGGGCGTCATCGGCCGCGCCGCCAACATTGTGGGCGACATTGTCACGATTGACGTGACGGACGGCGAGCTGCGCGGCACGACGATCGAGGCGCCGACCAAGGGCCTGCGCAAGCGGTTCCGCGCGGGCGACCACGTCAAGGTCATTGGCGGGCGCTTCCGCGACGACGTCGGCATGGTGGTCAAGATTGACGAGGACCGCGTCACGCTGCTGACGGACCAGAGCAACACGGAAATCACCGTCTTCAGCAAGGACCTGCGCGAGGCCAGCGACACGGGCGGCCAGGGCGCGCTGGGCCAGTACTCGCTGCTGGACCTCGTGCAGCTGGACCTGTCGACGGTCGGCTGCATCATCAAGATCGACCGGGAGTCGCTGGTGGCGCTCGACCAGAACGGCGACAAGCGCACGATTATGCCGTCGCAGATTAGCAACTTGCTGCCAAAGAACAAGATGGCGGTGGCGGCGGACCGCAACGGCTCCGAGATCCGCCTCGACGATGTCGTCAAGGAGTACGGCGGCATGCAGCGCCAGGGCAAGATCATCCACATCCACCGCTCGTACCTGTTTATGCACAGCAACTCGACCACGGAAGATGCCGGCGTGTTTGTCGCGCGCGCCAGCAATGTCAGCACGGTCGCGGCCAAGGGCGGCCGTGTGAGCGCGACGGCCGGCGGGCCCGACCTGAGCACGATGAACCCGGCGATGAAGCGCAACGGCCAGGGCGGCCCCGGCAGCATGCAGGCGCCGCAGCGCGTCATGGGCCGTGACCGTGCGCTCGGCCAGACCGTGACGATCCGCCGCGGCGGCTACAAGGGCCTGCTGGGCATCGTCAAGGACACGACAGACCTGCACGCGCGCGTGGAGCTGCACACCAAGAGCAAGATCGTGACGGTGCCCAAGGCCGACCTGATTTTCAAGGACAAGTTGACGGGCCGTGCCATTGATATCAACAGCCGCGGTGGCCGGGGCGGTGCTGCGGGCGGCTTCGGTCGCGGCGGCAGCAGCAGCAGAAACGGCTTGCCTGCACCGGCATGGGAGAGCGGCGGACGTACACCGGCGGCTGGCGGTCTCGGCGACCGGACGCCGGCCTGGGGCATGGCCAAGGGTAAGTCTTGCAAACACCATGCTACTGAATTTTGCTGTACTCGTATAATTGCACTGTTGTTCTCGTCACCGGCAGCTAACATGACGACAGCTTCTTCACACACACCGGCATGGAACCGCAACGACGCGGCTGGTGCGCGCACACCCGCCTGGGCCGCCGACGGTTCGCGGACGGTCAACCCGTACGACGGCAGCCGGACAGCCTACGGCTCAGGCTCGCGCACACCTGCCTGGAACTCGGGTGCGAAGACGCCGGCGTATGACGGCTTCGGCCATGGTTCCAAGACACCTGCGTGGGGCGGCAGCGGCAGCGGGGGCGGCAGCAGCAGCGACGCATGGGGCTCGGGCTCCAAGACGCCGGCCTACGGTGTGTCCGCACCCACGCCCGGCGCGAGCGGCAACGACTCCTGGGGCTACACCCCTGGTGCCAGCGGGTCCGCCGGCGCGGGATACGATGCGCCGACGCCTGGTGCCGGTTTGAGTGCGCCGACACCCGGGGCGCTCAACGCGCCGACGCCCGGTGCCTACAGTGCGCCTACGCCGGGTGCGGCTCTCAGTGCACCGACGCCTGGCGGCGGCTGGGCGGGCGGCTGGGGTGCAGACTCGGCGCCCACACCCGCGGCGGGTGCGCCGACGCCCGCTGCTGGGGGCGGCTACTACGGTGCGCCAACGCCGGCCGCATATGGCGGCGCGCCCGAGACGCCGGCTGCAAGCGGCCCGCGGTACGCCGACGACGACTAGAGCGCGTTGCCGGCACGCGAGTGGCAGACGACTGCGTAGCGCATTGGCGCGCGTGGTGGGAGGGTGGAAGGGGACAATAAAATGGGTCTTGTGTGAATGGGATGATAGCGGAACGGAGGATAATGTGGCTTGTATGCTGAGTGGGCGTCTCTACTTTTTCGTTGCGTTTTTAATGTTGGTCTCGCCGCTTTCTTCTTTACTTATCTTTTTCTTCTCTGTTTTTGCATCACCTCCTCTTTTTTTTCCTTGTCTTCTCTCTCAAAGCTCTGGCGTTTATTCATATTGCTTTATCGTTGTACTTATTTACTTGCCCTCTTCTATCAAAGGGCACAGGGCGGTGCCGTCTCAAGGAGGAAAAAAAGGAAAGGTGCACCAAAATGCATCACGCACCGAAACAACTGAATAGAAAATAGAATTACCTACTCTGTCACAGTCTCTATGAGAATAATGCAGGGTCAACTGTTTGTCCCGATTTGATTACGCACTCAGTGTTCCGAGTTCCGAGATTTCGTCTTGGCTCTTTCGTTTGTGGTTTGCTCGTTTATCCACATCCGTTTTTCTGTCTGCTGCCTCTATCATTTACCCCGGGATCATGTAGTTCTTCACCCCACGTAGGAATACTCTCCTGGAAAAAAGTACTATATGACGGGTATGCCTCTCTTCCAGTTTCTTTTATATTCTGGTCACACTTCTTTATTCGGTACTCTCTTCCGCACATAGACGACACGAAACCACGCGTACTCTCGTTCCCTTCCTGTTCCCCATCGATATATCGAGTTTGCTCCGTTTCTTTTTAGCCGGCTATAGTAGGTCTCCGTTTTCAAAAGCATCTGAGCGGTGCGCCCTCTTGCACCCTTCTTTTACCCCGGTCCATCTGCCGTGTATTTTATTTACTTATCTTTATTATTATTTGCTCAACACCCGTCCCCATGGCGAAATAAACAAGGCTCTCGCGTGCGTGGCAGACTCTCCATATTACTTTACGGGTCCGCGGAGGATCGTGGAGGCAATGTCCCCTTCAAACCATTTGCAAAAGATTTCAAAACCTTCACACGGTGTCGGAGTCCTTGAAAAGAGGGAGTCGAAAAAAAAGTTGACCATGACTGGGCACAAACCACGACTGGAAAACATGTATCTTATGTCGGACACGTCTTTCTTGTATCCCGTTTCTTTATATCACGTCCGACCTCGAGTCCTGGGGGATGACAGTTAATATAGTCTGGCTCTGGTGAACTGTTGTCTGTCCCATGACGCCGTCCTATCCAGAGTATCCGGTACATAGTGGCTCTTTATTTATTCTTTTTCTTTTCTTTTCTTTCCTGGGTCGGCCAAGAGGAGGAAAGCGGCCGCGATTCAGCCACCAATATGCAAAATATCCTGGTCACAGCCCGAGCACTCTCGTATCCTCTCATTTAAATATCAGTCCAACCGTACCTCCTGCCCACCGTTTCCCCTTTCTCTTCTCTGCATCTGACGTCGTCCGGTCGCCGTATCCTCTTTTCTTATTTTGTCCGCATTTTTTCTCGTCAAGACGCAGAAGCAGCAACGATGAAGGTCACCGCAGCCCTCGTCCTCCTGGCGTCTGTCGCCGCAGAGGCTCACTGTACGTCAGCACCATAGGCGCCTGAGATCGGACTTGCAGCTAACATTGCAGATGTTTTCAAAAACACCATCATCGACGGCGTCAAGACCGGCGACTGGGTCAACGTCCGCAAGACGACCAACTTCCAGAACAATGGGCCCGTCACCGACGTCACCTCGGCCGCCATGACCTGCTACCAGCTGGCCGCCGGCAGCGAGGGCGCCAAGACATACAACGTCACCGCCGGCCAGAAGCTCAGCTACGTCGCCACCACGTCCGTGACGCATCCGGGCCCGCTGTCGTTCTGGATGGCCAAGGCACCCGAGGGCGAGACGGCGTCGTCCATGACCGGCGCGGGCCCGGTCTGGTTCAAGATCTACCAGGACTACCCGACCGTGGGCACCGCCCTGACGTGGCCGTCGCAGGGCAAGTCCGTGCTGGACGTGACGATTCCCAAGTGCATCCCGAGCGGCGACTATCTGCTGCGGGTCGAGCACATTGGCCTGCACAGCGCAAGTGCCGTGGGCGGCGCGCAGCTGTACATTTCGTGCGCTCAGCTCACGGTGTCGGGCGGCAGCGGGTCGGTGCCGACGGGGCTGCAGTCGATTCCGGGCGTCTACAAGCCGACCGACCCCGGACTGGTGGTCAACATTTACTACCCGATACCCACAAACTACAAGCCTCCCGGCCCGGCACCTCTGACGTGTTAGGGGGGGATTGGTCCTGGTTACTTCCTTAAGAACGAGACTATATCTTCATGAGCGAACATTAAGTCTAAGTGTATTATTCAAATATCATTCAAATATCATTCAAATATCATTCAATATAATCACGTCAATACACGAGTCAACAGGTAAGGCGTGTAAATTCAAATAAATATCCCACACCGACGTATATAAAAGAAAATGAGACAGAAAAAAAGACGTGTCCGACATAAGATACATGTTTTCCAGTCGTGGTTTGTGCCCAGTCATGGTCAACTTTTTTTTCGACTCCCTCTTTTTCTTCTTTCTTTTTGCACCGCACGGACGGTCCCCCAACCGACTTGGTCTCTGGTCTTCCTCTCCCGTGCAGGCCTGGGTACTTGCCATTAGTAAAAAAAATCAGTTGGCTCCGTTTTTGTGTGGATTTTGGTTCCCATTCTAAAAAAAAAAAAAAAACACCAAGTTCGTTTCGTTTCGGTCCACTGGTTGTTGCCTCTTGCCATTGTTTTTTTCTTTCAACTGCTTCCAACGCCCCCGTCCGACTCTACAACAAAGGCTCCAAAGGCCCGGCGCTTAGCGCTGGGACATGGCCTTGGTGACGAGTCTCTTGAGGGCCAGCTCCTTCTTCTTCAGGTCCTCGGCGGACGAGTCCTCAATCTCGAGCTGGGCCATGGCCTCGCTCAGGGACTGCTCGATCTTGTCCTTCTGGCCGCGCCGCAGCTTCAGCGACAGGGTCGGGTCCGAGACGATGTCCTCGACGCGGCTAATGTACGACTCCAGCTGCTGCTTGGCCTCGAAGCGCTTGCTGAACGCCTCGTCCTTGGTCTTGAACTCCTCGGCCTCGCCAATCATCTTCTCAATCTCCGTCGACGACAGCTTGCCAACCGAGTTGCTGATCGTGATGTTGGCACTGCGGCCCGACGTCTTCTCCGTGGCCGTCACCTTGAGGATACCGTTGACGTCCACCTCGAAGACGACCTCCAGGGCCGGCTCACCGGCGCGCATCGGCGGGATGGGCGCCAGCGTAAACTCGCCCAGCGACGTGTTGTCCTCGCAATTGACGCGCTCGCCTTGATAGACAGGGAAATTCACTTGTCCCTGGTTGTCTGAGACCGTAGTGAATGACCTTTTGATTTGTAAGCAGTTAGAAACGACGAAAGGAGCTGGGGAATGTCGACAGAATTGCAAAAAACCCAAAATTCGTGATGCTATGCTGCAAAATAGAAAAGTGGGTCACTTCGGATAAAAGTGGGTCATGGACGGGGGAACAGGAAAAGGCAGGAACTTACCGCTTCTTCAGGGTAGGCACGGTGGTACCGCGGGGCACGACGGGCGCAAAGATGTTGCCCTCCATGGCGACACCCAGCGACAGGGGGACGACATCGAGCAGCAGCAGGTCGGCGGTGTCGGCCGAGGTGGCCTTGCCCGACAGGATGCCGGCCTGGACGGCGGCGCCGTAGGCGACGGCCTCGTCGGGGTTGATGCTCTTCTCGAGCTTCTTGCCGTTGAAGAAGTCGCTCAGCAGCTTCTGGATGCGGGGGATGCGGGTGGAGCCACCGACCAGGACAAGCTCGTCGACGGCGCCCTTCTCGATGGCGGCGTCCTTGAGGACCTGGGCGACGGGGTCGAGGGTGCCCTTGAAGGCGGTGCTGTTCAGCTCCTCGAAGCGGGCGCGGGTGATCTGCAGCGAGAAGTCCTCGCCGTCAAAGAGCGAGTCGATCTCGATGGTGGCCTGGGTGCCGCTGGACAGCGTGCGCTTGGCACGCTCGCACGCCGTGCGCAGACGGCGCAGGGCGCGGGCGTCGCCGCCCAGGTCCTTCTTCGTCTTGCGCGTAAAGTCCTTCTTGCAGTGGTCGAGCAGGTTGGTGTCAAAGTCCTGGCCACCCAGGTGGGTGTCGCCCGCCGTGGCCTTGACGGTGAAGACGCCGCCCTGGATGTTCAGCAGCGAGACATCGAACGTGCCGCCGCCCAGATCGTAGATCAGGACGTTGCGCTCCTTGGCGGACTTGCCCGAGCCCAGACCGTAGGCAATGGCAGCGGCGGTGGGCTCGTTGATGATGCGCAGGACGTTGAGGCCCGCAATGGCACCGGCGTCCTTGGTCGACTGGCGCTGGTTGTCGTTGAAGTAGGCCGGGACCGTGATGACAGCCTTCTCGACCTTCTTGCCGATCTTGACCTCGGCAATCTCCTTCATCTTGGTCAGGACCATGGCCGAGATCTCCTGCGGCGAGAACGTGTGCGTGCTGCCCAGGTACTCGACCTGCACCTTGGGGTTGCCCTCCTCGTCGATGACCTTGAAAGGCCACGACTCAACGTCCTTCTTGACGGTCGGGTCGTCGAATCTCCGGCCGATCAGGCGCCTGAATCAGGGTGTTAGCGGATGTGATGGCAGGACAGCAGCATACCCCACCGACCCGCATCCAGTGTGAACCTACTTGACATCGAAGACCGTGTTGGCCGGGTTCATGGCCGCCTGGTTCTTGGCGGCCTCGCCGATCAGGCGCTCCTCCTCGGTGAAGGACACGAACGAAGGGGTGGTGAAGCTACCCTGCTCGTTGGCAATGATCTCGACATTGCTGCCCTCGTAGGTGGCAACGCACGAGTAGGTGGTGCCTGTGGAGAGCGAGTTAGATGTGGACGAGCGACGACGGAGAGGATGCCTGCCAGCGATATCAACCAAGACGTCGATGTCCAGGACGAGGTTGGGGTCGTCGATGACGACGATGGGAGAAAAGCGGTGGCGACGACGACAAGAACAAAAAACAACATACCCAGATCGATACCGATCGCACCGTCGTAGACTTCTTCGGCCATCTTGATTTGAGGTTGAGAGGAATTTGGATGAGAAATTCAGTAAGGAAAAAAAAGAGAGGTGAAGGGGAGAGAGAAAGAAGGGAGAAATCAGAAGAGTGAGAAAAAGGGAGGAATCAACCGAATGAAAAGTCGGACCTGGGGGAGGGGACGGAATTGAGACTGCCTGCTGTTTCTGCTGGGTGCAAAAAGATGGTTGGCGGAGAGCAGAAACTTTTTTTTCTCTGTCGTTTTGGCTTGTTGCCCAGCAAAACCAAATGTCCTTTGCCGCCTCCAAATTTTTTTTTTTCGTCTTTTGTCTTTTTGGAGCTAAAGCAGTTTTTTTCTCTGCATTCTCGTCCCGCAACGTGGGGCAAAAAAATGTTTGAGCCTGACCGCCCACTGCTTTTCTGCCGGTGCTCGGCAGAATAATGTTCCTTCTGAGTTGGGAGCAAAAAGAGAGACGCTCAGGTCCGAATGCCGGGCCATGGGCCGACACGACCCGACGCTGATTGGCTTGTAGGGGTCCTGTCCATCGTGGCAGGAGCGAACGGCATCATCAGGGTACCACTGTTTCAACAGCCGTGAGCCTCACCGCCCTCGACGCGGCGGCACGTGATTGTGCCAAGAGCATTCGAAACCAGCATCTCAATCGTGATCCCGGAGCGCTGCGCAAATAGTACCACGACGAGCCTTTGTCGGCGTTTGTGAGCGGCTAGAGAACTGATATCTTACAACACACCGATGATCGTCAAATGGCTTGTCCTGGCATCAACTTTGAACCGTTGCGATGATCTCTACCGCATGTCCGTATCACGTGATATCGCGTCAAGGCCACACTTCCACCTTGTTGGCCGCTTCGCCGTCTCGTAAACCATTGGTATTTCAAACAGACGCTCTATGCTTGCTGGATACTGATACAATACAAAAAGAACCGACAAAGGCACCGCCTAGCTGTCCCGGATGCCTACCTAGGCTACCTAGATCCATCCTCGCTCTGGCCGGTGGGTGTAATGTCCCGCTTGCCAAAGCGCGCGCCCAGACCGCCGATGCCGCCAATGTCGCGGCGGAAAAACTTGCCAATGTTTTTGAGGTTTTCGTTGATGGTGGCCTTTTCAGGGGCCCCGCCGTCTGACGGGCTGGCGACGGTCAGACCATGGCCACTGCCACTGCTGCCGCCAGCGGTGGCGGGCCCGTTGGCCCCGCTGACAATGCCGAGGCCCAGACCGGAGCTGGAACCAGCGTCGCGGGCGGCGTTGAGCAGCTTCTCGCCGAGGCTGGTCGCGTCGAAGCGCGTGGCGGCACCGCCCACACCCACAGCCGAGGAGGCGCCAGCGGCGGCAGGAAGAGACGACGATGCTGCGCCGCCGGCGCCAAAGCCGCCAAAGCCGGACTGGTTCAGCAGGGGCGTCAACAACGCCGAGCTGGCCACGAGCTGGCGGCCGGTGGCGCTGGGGCTGTCCCGGTGGATGACAAAGAGCTCGAGAAGGTGGGGCTGGTCCTGCTTGCGGACGCCCTTGATGTCGAGGATCTTGCGGAAGTTGGAGTCGGAGCGGTCGGCCACATGGATCAGGTAGGCCTGGACCAGACCCTCGGGCGGCGAGGGCTGGACCTGCAGCGTCTTGAGCAGGGGGTCGACGCGGCCCATGGTGGTGCTGACACGCTTGGCGAAGCTGGCCGAGGCGGCGCTGTGGGTGCCGGCGGACGACGTGTGGAAGTGGGCCAGCAGATTCTCAAAGGACTTTGTCAGCGTGTACTTGTCCAGCAGCATCTGCTCGGCGGCGACCTCGGAGACGGGCCGGCACTGGACAATGTTGGCGAGAAACGCAGTCGCCAGCGACTCGACGAGGTGGTCGCAAAAGGCGCGGGCGTACTGGGGCTTGGCGACGACGCCCAGGATGGCCTTGGCGCGCTCGTTGACAATCTTGATGAGCTCGGATGCGTAGGAGCTGTGGTCGCTGACGCCCTCCATGCGGCTCCAGTTGGTGTTGCGCATCTCGCGCCACGCGGGCTCGCAGTCGGCCTCGACCTTGCGCACGAGCGCCTGGACGGCGTTGCTGGCGACGCCCAGGAAGGCGTCCGCCTGCGCCGACAGGTCGACGCGGTCGGCCAGCTCGGCGTCAATGCGCTTGCGGATGTTCTCTTCGAGCTGCGTCGTGTTCTTGTTCCAGAAATCCGCCGTGTTCATCACGACCACGACATCGTGGAGCGGCGCGGCCACGGCCGCGGCGAGCAGGGCCGCGTGCTGCTGCTGCTGCTGGTGCGCGGTGGTGGCGGCCGGCGGCGCCTGTGTCGGCAAGCGCAGCGCGTGCAGCAGCACCTGTTGGGCGTACTCGTCCAAGTATTTGGACAGGATTTTGGACAGGTCCAGAAGCCGCTCGCCCGTGGAGAGCTTGGCACACTGGGACAGGGTGACCTTGTAGACGTGGAACAGGTCGAGGGCGGAGGGCGCAATGCTCTCGGGCGTAAACTCTTCGTCGGCAGCGACCAGGCTCTGGCTGCGGTAGCGCGGGATGAGGGCGGCGAGGCTGCGGTCCTGCGAGTCGACCCAGAGGCTCAGATAGGGCTCAAAGGCCGCCGATATCGACCCCATAAACGTCTGCGTGCGCTCGTCGGCGGAGCTCAGGGTGTCGATGCTCGCGCGCGGCTGCTTGTCGCTGGTGGCCGCCGGCGCGGCGAAGCGGCGCTCGAGCCACTGCTCAAAATCAAGGGTTTCTTGGAGGCAGCTCAGCAGCAGGTTGACATCAATCTTGCCGGCGCCGTCGGGGCGGCGCATGCTCCTCTCCAAGATGCCTTTGAAGTCGTCGCGCGTGCCGTCGCAGAAACTCGAGGCCAGCGTCTCGTTGACGCGCCAGTGTGGCGGGAAGAGCGCGGCGTGCTCCTCCTCGTGGGTGGCAATCATGCGGCGGAACCAGGCGTAGCGGCGGCCAATGTTGTCGAGGTTGCCGGCCTCGTCGTTGCCGCGAAAGACCTGGCGGTACTCGCGCAGCTCGGTGTTCACATACCACGTCACGAGCCGTGCGCGGGCCTGGTCGCCGAGCGCGTCCATGACCAGGCACGCCTCGACGAGCATGCCGCGGCGGGCGCTCACCTCGCCCTTGGTAAAGGCCATCTCAAAGTCCTCGCAGACTTGCTCGAGAAGGTCGCGCTGCAGATCGCCGACGCCGCGACTCAGCACCGCGATCTGTTCAATGGACCGGTAGCTGTTAAAGTGGCGCATGAGCTGCAGCACGGCCTGCAGGAGGCCGGCGCACTCGCGGTACTGGCGGCTGCGGGCGAGGGTGCGCAGCTGCTCGTAGGCGGTGGTGAGCATCTGCAGGCGCTTGAGGGCGGTCATGGACACGGTGAGGTTGCGTTTTGTGCCGTCGAGGCGCTTGATGTCGGCTGTCATGTGGGTGATGTCCTCTTCGGTCTGGACGGCACGGCGGCGGACGTCCTCGATGCGCGCAAACACCGACGCCAGCTCGGCCTGGGCGGTTTGCATGCGGTCGAGCGACGAGTTCGGCGCGTAAGCCTGGGCCGTTTCGAGCGCGGCGATGGTGCTGGCCAGGTCAGCGTTGTGGGTGCGGAGCCGCCGGGACACGGCCGACAGCGAGCCGAGCGTCGACGGATGGCTGAAGAGCATGTTGAGGTGGTCGACCGGGTCGTAGTCGGCTGTGGTCAAGAAAAAAAAAGGTTAGCCCAGCTTAGTACTGGATGAGGTGTGCGGTGGCCGTGCAGCAACTCACCTGCGTCGAGTGACGACGGCTCGACCGCTGTGCTTCCGCTCATGGTGGGCGGTTGTGCAGAAAGGGCCCTGGCCCTTCCCCTTCAACTTGAGGCCGCGCCAACTGCCGCTCGCCTGTGATCAAGGCCAGCGTCACTGCTTGAGACTCGGGTGCGTGGAGATGCCGGCGGTCGGGAATGGGAGTAAGGTGCCAGGGACGACGGATGGGCAGCAGTAGCCGAGGCCGTCGGATGAATAGGAAGGCGAGTTGTCAGCGATTGCCGGCGTTGCTTGTGTCGTAGATACCAGAATGATGCCAGAGTGATGCCAGAATGCGTGGATGTGTTGATCTGTGGTCCGAAGCAGCTGTCTGGAGCTCTTGGACGGAAGGCGCGGATGGCGTACCTGCCGCAGAAGCCACGACGGTGTTTCGCGCCTGCCGCCAACGGTATGTCGTACTGCTAGAGCTTTAGGGGTGTTGTTGAAACGGGAAGGCGGTGGCCCAGAACGCCACAATTCTGGTGGATCACGTGGGCCGGCGGTGTAAGTTATTGACTCCAGTTGACAACTAACAACGACATTATGGCAGGTTTAGTTCTGCTCATGCCACCAGAGGATAACTCATGCGTAGTTAATTACTTAATTATTTATCTAGTATTATGTTGCCACCAAGTACCAGCTTATTGCTGTATTGTTTACGTTTTGAATTTGGATAGTTTATTTTGTGCTGTAATTAAAATACAATTAAAGATTAATATACATGAAAGTTAGAAGCAACGTACAACATCGCAGCTGTCTTTCTTAAGTCGCATTATACCGCAAGAGTCCACAGGATGTTCGCTACAGGGAATCATTGTACTCTTTCGATGCAGCTCTGCTTGTCCCCAACGAACAACTAGAGTTTCCTGTTTAGGAAGTTGTCCTTGGCGGGTATAAATCGTACTCCGACACTAAATCGCTAAATTGCAGCCACCGCCAAGTTATCGATGTCGCGCCTTGTTTTACGTGTCCTGTCTTCACCGTATTTTCATTTATTTTCCCTAAAAGTAATCAAAGGAGGCTGGTCCTGGTCCATCCAAGAGCTCTATTCTAGAGAAGAACATGGTCTCCTCTGCGAAGTGAAGAGACAAGAAGACACAACGGCCCGGGCTGTTTTTCAGTTGAAATTCGCCTGATTTTGTCTCGAACGCCTTTGCTTCTTCCGACTCTTCCTCCGATTCTCCTGTCTTCACCCAGCCGTTTGTTCTCCACACCCACCTCAAACCCACCGCTCAAAGCGCAGGCGCGCAGACGCGAGGCGCACGCAAACGCAAACGCCGTCGACCTGCTGCATCTATTAGCGACAGTAGTCCCTGTAGTGTCCGTAGTCGCTCCGGAGCACAGACAGGCAGCGTTCGTCCTGTGACCATAATTCAAAAGAGCGGTCGAGGTTTGCGCCCGTCGACGTGAGACGGAAAAAGGAAAAGGAAAAGGCTCTGTGCTCTGAGAGGACAAGGAAAACAAAAGCCCAAGATTGACCCTGTCTGAGACTCGTGTTGCCCGACGTGGTAATTAATCGGCCGTTGAACCAGGCATCAAAAGAAAAGTATTCTTCTGCCAACGCACTTCCTCACTTTTTATTTTGTTCTTTTTTTCGTTTCTACACCCCTCCCTTCTCGGCGTCAGACTTCCCGCTGCACACCATACATGCTTGCCTAGGCTGCCCAGGGGTGGTAGTAGCAGTTCGTAGCTAGCCTCGCTAGCTGGACGGACATTGCGCAGCGCAGAGATGACTGCAGATATGCCCGATCAAGTGTGCAAGCCAGCCTGCCAGCCATTTTATCCCGCGACGCATCCTTTTCTGCAACCTGCCAACGAACCTGGCAAACGAGGGGCATTTTGTCGGCTCATATCGGCGACTTGCCAACAAAATCAAGTTCCCCCTCCCAACTGGCCACCGCCGATGTGTTGTCAGATTCTCGTTTGTCTGTCATCGAATGTCTTTCGATCTGCCAAACAGAGCCTGGCGCGGTAAATGAAAAAGAAAAAGAAAAACGACAAGAAAATGGCCACGATCGTAAGATGCTGTAAAATCAACACAACAAAAAAACAAGACGTTCCAGTAAGCGATTCGCTGAGCGAGATCCAGTGTCTCGGGGTGCTGGTTGGTTATGGCGTCATCCCGCAGCTGTCATGTCCGCAAATGGAAAATAGGCAAAGAGGACTGAAAACGAAGAGGAGCAAAAGCACATGTATTTGACCAACCACCCAACATAGGAACGTAAACGATAGATATGTGCTAACCCAATCCACCCGTGTATGCTCATGCCATGGCTGCTATGCAAAGATATGTAATGCTATGGAGTGCTATGAAATAGAAAGAGTGGTCATAATGTCGTTAAAATGTAATGTGACTTCTGTAAAAAACAAATAAATGCCAAAAAAGGACATAAATCCAAAAATGCTAATGCTATCCAGTCCAAATGCAACACCCCATGCTCCGTTGTTATAGATGTATAATGTTTCCAGCCCACCACTTCGTCACGACCCATGAAGCGTTCGGAAACCCGTCGCAATGAGACTCCGTTTGCTGTCCTTGCTGTCAAACGGGGCGCCCCAGTAAAACATGCCGCCGAGCGACTTTTGCTTGCAAAAGGCGGCCTTGATGCGCACCGTGTCCGGGTTGTCGTAGCTGACAAAGCCGCCGTCGCCGCCCACGCACTGGGCGGCCACAACGCGTTTGTCGACGTGTTCGCGCGTTTGCGGGCGCGGGAGGTCGCGATACTCAAACGTGCCGTCGCTGCCCTCCGGGGCGACGCTGACAAACTTGTGGCCGGGACCCGTGGTGTTGGGCCCGACAAAGGAGCGGCCGTACATGGGCACACCCACGAGGATTTTCTTGGCGGGCATGCCGTTGGCCATGAGGAACTGCACCGACGAGGCGCCCGAGGGCTCGTCCTTGCCGACCGCATACAGCTGCGCATGGTGGCCGGCGCGGGGGGACCAGCTGCCGTAGAGGTCGTAGGCGGCGAGGTTGACGAGGTCGACGCAGTTGGCGATCTGGACGAGGTCGTAGGCGGCCAGGTCGTTGGTGCTGGCGGGCAGCGTGGCCGTCAGGTAGTAGCGGTCTTCGCCAAAGTGCATGCGGATCTGGGCGAGCAGCGACACAAAGTCGGCGGCCTGCTGGGGATCCGACGGAAAGGTCCAGCTGATGTCGATGCCGTCGAGGCCCGAGGCTTCGATCAGGCCGAGGGCAGAGCGGGCAAAGTTGTCTCGTAACACGGGGCTGGCGGCGACGGACGGGTAAAAGGGCGTGGAGGCGTTGCCGCCGACGGAGAGAACGACCTGAAGGTGAGGGTGTTGCTGTTTGAGGTGCAGCAACGAGCCGACAGCGCCGTGTGCGCCGTCACAAGCGACCGTGGCATCGGCCCATTCATCACCCAGCTGGACACGACATTGTCAGCTTTTTTTTTGTTCTTTTTATTTTTTATTTTTTTTTTTAAAAAAAGGAACAAAACAACAGATGGAAGACAAGACCTACCATGATATGCCCGGCCTCGTTGACTTTGGCAAAGGCGTAGTAGACCAGGCTGATGCAGCTGTAGTTGAGCTGGGCGGGCGTGTCGCCGTTATAGATCGCGTAGTTGGGAAAGTAGACGGCGTTGGTGAACATAATGTTCGACCGGCTCGGCCGATGTCTGCGAGACGAGGACATGGTGAACAGTTGGGGTGTCTGGCGAAGGAATGCGGAATCGATGCAAGTTGAGGCGAGTTCGAGTCGAATGCAAAGTGATGCGTCTTTATCGTATGTATTCGTATTTATATTCTATTTCAGGTCTTGTATATCCTTGTATCTCACCCAGTCGGTGAGCAGAGATGCAGTCCCCTTACCCGAGGCCGCGGTACGGCAAGGTCTGAAGAGAAAAGGAACGGACGGACAGGGGGCTGCGCCAACACATGGTGGCCGTTGGGTTGATGTTTGAGACTAAAAAAAGAGAAACAGGAAATAAAAATGCAGGGAAGAGAGAGAAGGAAACGGAGAAAGAGAAACGAAAGAGTTTAAAACGCAGGAGGAAGAGACGAGGAAATAAAATAAAAAAATAAAAATAAAAAACGACAGGAAGGGAAGGGGTGGATGTTTCGCGGCCGTGGAGGGGTGGGAAGAGAGAGGAACAGAGAGAGAAGAAAAAAGCACTTACACAGGAAATGGCCCGTTACGGAAATACGAAACGAAGTTGGACGAATGGGACGAGGACACACAGGTACAAACAGCAGGCTGGCAGACAAAAAGGCACGAGGACGGCTGGCGGACGAGACGAGACGGTGGAGCCGGGCCTACGTCGCCTCGCGGTGGAGGTACCGAGACGGATTAAAACTAGAGTACATGAATATTAAAAAATGACTCTAATTTATTACATTGTTTTGGTGACCGTCCTTCTGGTGGAGCTTTGGACTTTGGCGCGATGATGGGGCACAGGGCCATACGTCGGAAAACACTGTCTAAATGCCACGGTTATGGAATGGGGAGCAAGGAAAAAAAGAACGAAAAAAGTGGTCATGGAAGAGGATATCAGTATGAGACGCAAAGGACAGATGCACGGAGGATCTGAGAGTCCGTTCTTTGAGGAGGGGGGCCCGGAGAAAGGCAGGTGTTCGCGTTGTGAGTGATTGCGAACAAGTTATTAACGCGCTAGGTTGCGTTGAGGAGTGAGCTGTCCACTCTCCTTTTTTATTTCTGTTTTTTTATTTCTGTTTTTTTATTTCTCTTTTATTGTTTTTTACTTGTTTTTATTCTTTTTATCGATTTTTATCGATTTTTTACCCGCCTCGGTTTGACAGCTTTCAATCCTCGCGTGGCAAACTACTAAAGGTCGAAAGTTTGGTTCGGTTTGATTTGTTCGGGTTATTCTTATTTTTTGTCCAGAGTAGAAAGACAGTAATTGCTCCATATAACGGCAAAGGTTATCTTTTCCTTCACGCCTGCACGATGCGGCCAACCCACTAACGCGCACCACGTCGTAAACGGGCGGGGTAGTGGGCCCTGCATGTCATTGCGCAGACGGAGCAAAGCAAGAGAAGGACAGGAAAGACAAAATAAGCAATGCGGAAAAAAAAAAAAAAAAAAAAAAAAAAAAAAAAAAAAAAACACAAAGAAACCCAAGACTCTGCTGCATGCACCTCACATGCACGTAACAACGGACAGGCCAGATACAGGCCAGATTGCACGATGACGAGGACACAAACAAATACAACAAAGAGAAGCATAGAAGCATACACGACATGGATGCTACCGTGGCAGCCTTTCCGTCATTTTCCCGCGCTGCGTCTTGGGCTGTCGTCCTCTATTTTGTGCCTCTTGTCCATGCTTCTTTTTTGTGTCTCTTTTCCGTTCCTTCTCCCTGCCCCTCTTCTGCCTTGTCTGCCCGCCTGCCTTCGGCTCGCACGGCCCAAGAACAGGCTGCAGTTGCATTCATTGCCGCCGTCTCGCCGCTTGGCGTCTTGTCCCTCTTCTGTTCGTACAAATGCCAACCCGTGGCCGAGACGTCGCCTGCCGCGTCGTCTGCCGCGGCCAACATGAATGGACTTTGACAGGCCGCTCGTGAGCAATGGCCACATGGTGACATGGTGTTGCTCGCAGCTGTTGGCGGGCCTCTGCGGGCCTCTGCGGGCCCTTTACGGCCCCCTTGAATGAATTGCCTAAAGACGACGTCTATTTTGTTTCGTATTTTCTTGATTGTCTTCCTTGTTCTTGGTGTCGTTTGCCTTTTCTCTCGCTCCCCTGTCCTTGTCCGTTTTGTCGGTGAGCGGCGAGGTGTGGTCAAAAGACGAACCCAACTTGGTCCATCCAAGGCCCGCTATCCCGCTAACGGGCAGTTTCTCGTGTGTTTTTTCGACGGTCCCAGCATCCCAACGGTCGCTAGTGATCCCGGACCATGCGATCCACCGACGCCGTCGTTGTTTGGGAAGAAACCACTGGGCAGGCATCGGGGGCATGTGGATCGGGCGCGGAATGGTGAGACAGAAGAAGCGAGAAGGATGGAAAGAAAAACAAAAAAAATTAAAAAAGGAAAATGCCTCTTCAGTCGAGCCGTTCGAATTAATCTTCTCCGCCAGTACAACTCTGACCGCTACATGTTCCTCCACTGCAGATCCCAGGTCAGATCCCGTTCCCAAGCCGTTTTAAATCAGTCCTTCTTCCTTGCGTCCTACGTCTTCCACCTGTGCACAATTCTTTTGCTTTGTCTTGTGTTACCATTTGCCCAAACAGCACGCCCCATGGCCAGTTCGTCCCGCGCTCTACGTCTATCGCGGCACCTGCCGGGTTGCGTTTGTTTGTCGTGGCCGGGTTCGGCAGCACGGTCCAAGGGAAAGCAAGGGCGTCTTGAACACTTGGCACCACCCAACGACACCACAAGGCACGACACCACAAGGCACGACACCACAACAAGCACACGCGGGATCAGCCACTCAACGAAAAGGACAAGTAGAGGGAATACGAGGGGTGGTAAAAAGGAGAGCGACAAAAAGACAAGAAGAAGATAAAAACAAATAAAGGAGGAAGATCAAGGCTCAAGACTACTATTTTTTTTGTGTCTCTCGTCCTTTTCTTTTACGGCCCTGTTGCCCAGACTTGTCTTCGGTCAAGTTGCCGAGCAGTGGCATTATCCCGCGGTGTGTTGTCACGATGTCACATGTGTTTCGATTTTGATTCGTGATTTCTTTTCTTCTTTTTTCCCGTTTCTCTTCAGAGTTCTCCAACCGTTAACCCAGAGGCACGGACAGTGCGGAGTCACGGCATGACCGACCACGGTTTTGTTGTCATACGCGATCTCTGTGTTGGCTGCTGCCGCGCTGTTATTTGTTTCTTTATTATTCTTCCTAAGAAAAAAGGAAAAAAAAAAACATAAACATAAACAAAATTGTAGCCTATGAGCACTTCATTTCTCCGACCTATGCACGTCGCGGAGGCTGCCACGGATATGGTCTGGGGGCCAATTCTTATTTGAATTTAGCTGCAGCATCTGCTGCTGCAGACGTCTTGCATGCTGGCTGCATATTGGCTGCATGGACGCCGATGCGTTGGCAAAGCTTTGCATTAGTCGGTTTGGAGGCCAAAGAGGTGGGATGAAGACAAAAGGGTCAAACCGTTGCGGGAGAATCAAGGAACGATGCAAAGGTAAACGGGAATGAAAACATCACACCTCTTTTAGAAATCAAGAACATTCTCGGTAATAGCAGAGAAATCCACGATGCAAAGGAAAGAAGGAATAGTAATGGAAAAAAGGGACTAAAATAAAATAAAATAAAATAAGAGAGAGAGAGTGAGAGATTCTGACGCCTAAAAACTTTCCACTCCCCTCCCTCTGACGCAACAGCGCATAGGCGCAAATCGAAAGAAAAAAGGGCCGGTCGGACCTGACCCCCCGCCGAGTCCCTGTCCGTGTCCCTGTCTGCCCCTTTGCTGTCCCATGCTGTTGTATTGAGCCGGACCAACCCCGCTCTTTTCTTCTTTTCTTCTTCCTTTCTTTCTTTTTCTTTTTACCTGTCTCACTTTTTTCTTCGACAACGTTCCGTTTTAGCCCCCAACTTTCATAGTGCGGGATGGCATGCATGGACAAGCCACTGAGACGGCACGACGTAACGGGAGAAGCAGTCTTGTAGAAGAAAATCAGCTTTGTAAACCAGACGGCGGCATAGCGCTGTCTTGGAGACTTTCTCGCATCCGCCTTCCTATTATGTTATGTCTTATTTTATTTTGTTATTTTATATTATTCCTTTTTGGTTTGGGACGGACACATCTCGGCTGGTCGCCCCGATCGATTGGTGCGCCATGACGTAGCATCGCGAGCACGGTGCCGCCAACCAAAATAAAATAAAATAAAATAAAATAAAATAAAATAAAATAAAATAAAATAAAATAAAATAAAATAAAATAAAATAAAATAAAAAGAAAGACGCCAACACGCCACATGCCAAAACGTTGTAGTTGCGTTGCAAGCTGTGATGTAAACAATACTCCTTCGTCAACATTGCCAACTGGATATATTCTGCCCCATGGGGAATGTATGCACGTGAGCAGAAGCGTGGGGTGAACGACGGGGAATGAGAAAGAAATAACGTGAAAATAAATAAAGATGAATTACAGAAACAGAAACGGACGTTCAAACACCATTCTCCGCAAAAAACAATACGTCGTGATCCTTTGGACTTGGCCACCATTTCCCCATCGAGTCATGCACCATGTTGCTCACGATGCCGGAACGAACTGGGATCCAGTGTGATGAGACAAAAGTGAGTGTGACGAACTACAGAGTGGGATGGACTGGGTGACAGGAGATTGGTGTGACGAGACATGGCACGAGCACGGTGTAACGGTGCCGAGTGCGTTCTTCGTTCATCAGGCAGTCATTGTCCGGGGCTGGGACGGAGACAGTTTTAAGGGCCGGGTCAGGATATTGAGGTCAGGATGGACAGAGTTGCACAATGAGAACAGAGATGATGTATAAGGGAGCATTTGATCGGAAGACTCGTCGGACTTGTTCGACCAGATTGATCTCGAGCGAGGTACTGGATCGATCCGGGATGAATGCTTCAAACACAACTGAAAGCCAACGGTGACTCGAGAGATATAAACCGAAATGTCAACAGGGAGAGATCGAAGGCGACGAAAGAAGCCGTGGACGAAGACGGCAAGGAAAATACGGGATGAAGGGAGCTCGGGGCGTAAAAACAACAAGGAATGGACATAACAGGAGATTCTGCGGAGCTCGACGTTCGGAAAGAAAACGGAAATGGGTGTCAGTATCACAGCATCAGTCAGGGGTGTCGGGCGTCAGTGTTTTCTAGATACAGATAGACTGCAGAAGACAGGGCCTGGGTTTCGAGCAGAATATGAAAAAGAACGACAAGAAGGGGAGGCCCACGAAAGCCTAGGAAGACGAGCACTGCGTACGACGTATACTCAATATTAACACAAGCAGCCATGGCAGAAAGAAACGATCCAGGCCAGCCAGGTTTTCGATGGCAGAATGCGACAGGAGAGGAAGGAAACGAGGCTACGAGCAGCTTGCCTGGGTGAAGACAAAAGCGAGACTGGCTTTTGCTGCCGGCCAAGCCGGAGCCTCGCCGTGGACGTCGTCAATGTGTTGCTTCGTGGCGATGCAGCCGCCGGCAGTAGACTGCCCAAAGCGCGAGGCCGTGTGATACTTAAAACCACGTTCAAAGTCGCCCGCGGCCGTTGAATTCCCTCGGCGAACTCGCAGTGAAAGGCCCATAATTTTCATGATATGCGTTGCGACGTATTATGGCGTCTGCCGTGTGGTTGGGATCGGATGGCATGACAAGCATCACTGCCGATATACCTCGGGAAGAAACCGAGGACGGAGAGGTCATCGAAAGGCGTGAGCCGGGCCGATTTCAAACGTGATTGAATGTAAAAATAAATAAATGTTCTCGTTGACTGTATTTCACACGGAACCCGGGAGCTCTCTCGTCGTCTTTATATGCGTCTTCGCTGTCTCCGGAATGCTGTCGTATCCGTCGACATCACGTCACGTTCAACAATGTCCGTTGCAAAAGCATCGATGCTCGTGTATTGGGGGTATTATGAACAAGAGAAAGGCTCAAGGTAAACAAAAAATGATGGCAACGCCTGGCACAAACGAACGCGTCCAGTTAACAGCGAACGCATCGAGACTCGACATACCCTCTACTGCTGCACGCCGCCGTGCATCGCTGCCGGGTCCTGGGGCATGTACTCATACGTCACCGGCTGGGTGCTCTGCCCACTGCCGTGCGTCTGCACCGAGCTCACAGTGTTGCTGCGGTACTGCTCTGGTTGCACCTGCTGCACTTGATGCACTTGCTGCACCTGCTGGACTGGCTGCCCTGCCTGCATCGGCTGCACATACTGCCCCATCAGCTGAACCTCTTCCATGGGTTCCTTGGTCATGCTCTGGTCGTACTGCGGCGCGAACTGCTGTGGCGCGTACTGCTGCGGGGCGAACTGCCCGACGACGTTGCCCGCACCGCCGGCACCATAGTGTGTGGTGTCGTAGCTCATGTTGCCGCCGTACGGCACCGTGTTGTTGCTGTTGTTGCTGTTGTTGCTGTTGTCGTTGCTACTAAACACCCCATTGTTGTACTGGCCGTCGGCAAACTGGCCGCCCGACCCAACATACTGCATCTGCGTGTCGTTGCTGACCGCGTCGTAGTGGCTGGTCGCAGCACTTTTGGTCTGCGCCGGCACGATCTGATACGGGTCCAGGTTGCTGTAGTCGACGTCGTTGGGCCCATCGATGCCGCCGCCGCCGCCGCCGTTCGAGCTCTTGCGGTCGTTGTTGTCGTTCGCAACCACCTTGAAGTTTTCCGACACCTTGCCCTCGAGGCCCTCCTTGGCGCCATAAATGTAGATTGTGCACAGGTCAATCGCCACCGGCACCCACGTCGCCAGTGCAAAGACCTGTGCGAAGCTCCACTCCGTGTTGGCGTTCTCGGGGCCCATGACGCTGAGCACCACGCTCCGGTACTTGGTGAAGAGGCCCAACAGCGCCCACATCATCGAGCAGCAGATGGCGCCGTCCGTTGTGCGCACAATCGTCAACACGTACTTCCACCAGTCGCGGCCGTGGCGGCCCGGCTTGGTCGTGTTGAGGCGGCCGATGCAAGAGCGGTCGCGGATGCTGTGGCGCACCGTGCGGGGCACAAAGATGTGGTAGGCCCAGGGCAGGAAGTTGACAATCAGAATGACGAGGGCCGTGATCAAGGCATCGTCCAGGCCTTGCCGCAGGTCCAGCGGCTCGCAGTTGAGCTCCCAAATAAAGTCCGATACGGCCGATTCGCGGTCGAGCAGGTTCAGGACCTTGTCCGCATTCGTTTCCAGGCTGTAGTAGAGCGCCGTGAGGACGACAGCCAAAACGATGGCGACAAGCCACAGAAACGCGCGGATGCGGCGCCGACGCCGGTTGGGCGACACAATCTGCAGCAGCACCGGCGGGAAAATGGAGAAAATACCAATGTATGTCGCGTTGGTGAGCTGGTAGATGGAGTGGGACTTGTCCGGGTGCATGCGGGACGAGCCGTGCCGGTAGACGCTGGCTATCAGCATCGCGATGCTAAAGATGAGGCCAGTGTCGAGGAACGCTTGCACGGTCTCGTGAAACGCGGCGACGATCCAGTTCCAGCGCCGGTGGTGGTACTCGAGCGCCCGGAATGGCTCAAACTGGTCCGACGAAATCAAGACAAAGTACAGGGTGGAAAACATCGCCGCCAAGTAGTAGACCACCAAGACGCCAACACCCGCCAGGTCGCCATCGCCATCCCACACGAGCTTCTCACACATTTCTGCGGGACAGTAGCCGTAGGGGAACTGCACCATGGCTTCGTACAGAGTCGAATTATCCGAACCGACAGCGAGCCACTGGGCCACCTGCCCAAAGGTCGGCAGCTCGCCGCCGCTCGGAACCAACGCTGTGATGTATTGGTACGTGGCCATAAGTGGCGGGTCGCTCAGGTCGGTGTCGTTGTAGCGCGAGTTGATAACAGCGGACAGCCATTGTGCAGCGATGCCACAGTTTGAGTCGTTGAACAGTGCAGCATCTACATCTGGTGGCGTCCAGCCGTAGAAAGTGTCAGCCATGATGATGAAAGTAGCGAGCTCGTCGAGAGTCAGACGGGAGCCAGGGAGGGGGGAAGAGAAAACGCTTGAGGCGAGGTTCGAAAGACTGCACGCATCCCGATGGGATGTATGGGCATCACCTCCCTTTTAACTCAGATTCAACCCACAGGCGTACAAGATACTCGACAGAGCAGCCTTGCACACCATGGTCCCGGTCCCGGCCCCGACCCTCACAGTAGGGTTGCAACGAGGGAAACAAGCAGAGGCGAAGACCAAAATCGGCAAACCCAACACCGAACAGATGTGCACGACAAGCATCGCCCCGGGCTATTTTCCAGGGCCACTCCCATGCAACAAAGTCGCGCCAAATTCTCACTCCTGGACCCATCGGTCCAGACCCCCCTGGCAAACAAAAAACGTGCATACTACATACACCGTACAACGTTTTGGTCGGGATCCCGGTACTGTTAGAGTGCCAAAAGAGTTATGTGCGGACACATCTTTTCTGTTTTCTTTTCTTTTCTTGGCCGGGGGGCCAGGGTCGGAGAAAGAAAATCAAATCAAGACTCACAATGACTGGGGGGAAAGTGGAAAAAGATGGCACAAATCTAAGTGTAGACGAAAGTAGCGGAGAACATTTGAAAGTGCCTTTGTGGAAAACGTTCAGATCCCCATTTCTCGCAAACAGGTCTGGCATTTGGGATTTGGGGCTGAAAAACCGTCAGCGCAGCGTGTCACCGGCGTGTTTCCTTGGCCCGGCCAACTCCCTGGGTCATAACGGAAATGATCCGCTTGAACGTGCCTTAACGTATCTGTCGTATCGTTAGCGCGAAGCCGTTCGGACCATTGGCGAGCCTGCCAGGCCTTTCTCTTCACAAGAGTAACCGACCAGCCGACCCCAGCCTCATTTTAGAGTGCCAAAATGAGATGGTCAAACGTATGCAGCATACTTGTTAAGGAGTACGAAGTAGAATAATACTCAGCCACTCCTGCAATGTTCCCACACCACACATGCAAGCTTGGTGGCCCCCATCCTGTGGGATAAAAATAAAATACTGGCGGGAGGCACTTTTGGGCGAAGCATCGAACAAGGCCTGGCCGACCACCAGCGTCTCCAGCGGCTCCAGCGTTTGCGACATGGCGTCTATGGCCTTGGTGATGGGACAGAGGCGCGGCTCACTTGGCTGGCTCTATTCTTCGACCTTGGCACTGCGTGCGCTTGTTGCCCTTCCCGCTTCCTAGGGCTGAGAAGGCGAAAAATAAAATAAAGAAGTCGACTAACAACACTCTGGACACCCACTTCGTATATCTTAAGCTTTTGCTTGTGCGCTTGTGAGCCCGAAGACACTCGTTGATGATGTCCAGCGACAAGAGCCAAGGCGGTATTTCCAACTTTTTCTGCAATTCGACCTCATGGGCTGGTCACGAAGGGCGGATCAGCAATATGGTAGCAGGGGGCCAAAAGACAAATTAGGAGAGAGGAGAGGCGGCAAACAGTGTGTTTCATCGAGACGTAAACGGCGGCCCACACAGAGTACGATCAACCCGAATGGACGTATGCTGGGTGAGTACGAGTGGACAATTTTGCAGAAGCAAAGGGTCATTTGCGTAAGGAGTACAGCACTCGCCGCAAAGTCGGTATGGTAGCGCAATACTTGCCACGAACAAGATACTATGCTTCGGGACAATAGCCACATCAAAAGGGTAAGCCGTAGAGAAACAGACAGTGTGTGTGAGAGAGAGAGGAGGGGGGGAGGGAGAAAATGAGCTCGTCCGCAACATAGATATTCGCCCTCTGCCTCGATATGTTGTAAATATTCCTTGCACCACTATTTTGCTGCGACATTATTTTGGCGAGGAACGAAGTTGAAAGCGTGACAACGGCCGAAAAAGCCCTACGAGACATTGCTGACAGGGATGTCAACAAGGATGCCTCGATGCCTCTCGCTATGAGCATCTCGGACCACAAAGGATCCTTGCCAGAGTCGAAAATCTTTGGGTGCGGAAATCAAAATCAAAGGACCCTCTTGCTGACGGATGGGTGGATTCGTTTCCTTGCCGTGCCAAGTGGAGGCAAGTCTCGGGAGAGGCTGGCAAAGTAGCAACCTGGCACGTCGGCCACTGCGTGAACACGCGAAACGCGCCGTGGCCGTAAATGCAAGAGGAAAGGAGGCCTGTTTCTTTGTTTCAACCGCGTTATCGTGTTGCGTCTTTGTCTTGGATTCTGCCACAGCAAAATAGCTGTCGTATACGACATACACGGCGGCCTCCAGTTTGCACATGGTCATATCTTGTTTGGACCCGGAATGACGATTTCGCATCCTTTTGACATGGCCAGAAGAAGGTGTCTGTGCTGGTTGCTAGCTGGAAGATGGGTGCATCTTTTTGGTCACGCCTTAGATCACATGCTGGAAAACGTCTGCATACCGGAATTGAAGTGACGGCTGGCTGCAGATGCAATGCAGATGGCACGTTGGGCGAGTTGCTTCGTGTGATTGAAGGTTGTCGCGATTGTTTGGGTTTATTAACCTCGTGGATTGCCCCTTTTTTAAAAAAGTGTCCCTTTGTGCTTTCCCGTCATGGTTGCCTTTTCTGTCCATAAGAAGCGCATTAAAGGAAAGAGCAAGGACCACGGTTTATTATGCACAAACAGGAAGGAGAAGATTGGGGGAAAGCACAGCGTAACGGGCAGCGGCGTGACGTCCAAAAAGCTGGGGCAGCCTGGGCTAGGCTTCCGCGCCGTTGACGAGGTAAGTGTGTTCTCCATATGACTGCCCTGTGAATGTGAGGTCATACACCACGCTACGCCCTACAAACAGCTTCTTGAACCCCACCCTCGCTAAACGACCGCCTGCAAACGTCACCGAGACCTCACGCCTCACACTCGGCCATCTACATTCTCGAAAAACAGATCCACGACAAAGCATTCCTTGCTCGATACCAGACACATCTGCACTTTCAATCTCTATCGATATCCCGGCTAGAACCTTAGCCGACCTAGCGGCGTTAGTCGGGCCCGACATCTCCATCTCCAAAACAGTGCCCTTCTCGACAAAAACAGACGTCATGGCCGACCAGACCGGACAGACTGCTGCCCCTGCGCCCGCGGTGCCCGCCGAGCCGTACGAGCCGGATACGCGCCCCGATGCGCCAAACGCCTTTATTCCGCTCGAGGCCAACCCCCCGCTGATGACGGAGCTTCTACACAACCTCGGCGTCGCCCCTACGCTGGCCGTGCACGACGTGTTTAGCTTGACGGAGCCCGACATGCTGGCGTTTGTGCCGCGGCCGGCCATGGCGCTGCTGCTGGTGTTCCCAATCTCAGAGGCATACGAGAAGCACCGCGTGGCCGAGGATGCGGATCGCGAGGTGTACACGGGCCGCGGCAGCCAAGAGCCGGTCCTGTGGTTCCGGCAGACAATTCGCAACGCGTGCGGCGTCATGGGCCTGCTGCACGCGACGGCCAACGGCCCCGCGCGTGATTTTGTGGGTGCCGGCACGCCGCTGGATGCGTTGCTGAAGCGTGCGGTCGACCTGGACCCGCCGGCGCGCTCCAAGCTGCTGGAGACCGACAAGGCGCTGGCCAACGCGCACCATACGGCGGCTTCGGGCGGTGCCACCGCAGCTCCCGATGCGCGTGACGATATCGACCTTCACTACGTCTGTTTTGTCCGTACTGCCGATGGTACTTTGTGGGAACTCGACGGCCGCCGCAAGGGCCCCATCTCACGCGGCAAGCTCGGCGCCGACGACGATGTGCTGTCCGAGAAGGCCCTTGAGTGGGGCCCGCTGGCCTTCTTGGCCCGCGAGTCGGCCGACTTGCGCTTCAGCTGTGTGGCTCTTGGCCCTAGCTTGGATTAGAGATGCACAGAGGAAACAAACGACGGAACAAGTGTTGCGACCAAGGACACGCAACTTTGCACCAGGGATGCGTTGCTGACGACGTGGATGTGTCGACTGAAAAGGGAAGCAAAACACAGCAAATGTATGTCGGCAGCAAAATCGACGAGGACACGGCCGGACTCCAGTCAGCTTGGTTTTATTGCGGCGCAAGGGATATTCGGTTTATTAGGTACAGGAACTCGTTCTGCCAAAGTGGCGAGACTTTCAAGAATATGCATGAAAATGAAGGAATGACATTTCCGACACACAGCCCACCAGACCCAGTCGCACTGACGATGACAGCCATTGCTGGTTTTTTGCTCGTCTTCGTCTCATCCATATCTCTCCCCAATTGAGTATCACCTCCATTGTTTCAAGATTCAAAGGCACGCTCGCTTGAGCTCACGCGGAAGCCCTGTATGCTCAAAGGATCGTTGCAGCCGCTCAAGAGGTTCCAAAATCTGAACGACATTAGTATGGAAGACACAAACAAGAAGCGGAGCAGACGTTGCAGCGTATTGTAGAGCCACGCACAGTTTGTCTTCTTCAACATAAACTGCTTCGCTATGGTCTTGAGCTTCTTGGCCGCGGGCTCGTCAGGGATACCTCCGACCTTTGTGGGAAGAGGCTCAGGCTCGTTCGGAGACTCAAGATTGGTCTCGACGACGGCCTTATCTTCGGGGGTGCTGATTGATGGCTGCGCCTGCACAGCAGCTGTGCCTTTACGGATTTGTTAGAATGGTACGGCTGATGATAGGGAGTGGCAGAGTGGCAAGCTAAACAGAATCGCATACACTGGTCGCACGGCTCGTCCGAAGGGCCATCGGAGTTGCAACCTGTGGCCGAGCAAGTGCCGTCAAGCTGCGAGATGGAACTCATCTTGGCGGTAGTTTGGCGAGTAGTCCCGGTAGAGTGCTGCCCCGAGATTAAAATGAGAAAGAAAACAAAAGATGGCCGAGAGAAATGAGCCAGCAAGCGGGTTAGTCGTAACGCTTTAGGTCTGCTGTAACTGCGAGTGAGAAAATGAAAAGGTCGAGAAGGGATAGCTGGAACAGATGGTAAAGAGAATAAATGAAGGAAACAAGTCGAGAGCATATGTGTCGAAAGGGAAATCATTCTTTGAGCAGGCCCAGTACCTTGGATGTCACCCGACAAGGCGTCCTTCCCAGCATAATTATAACTTGTAAACAAACAACGCGAGCTGCTACTTGCATACCTTGTTGTTGTCCTTCCGATACAATGCCAGTCTCTCCTTCCCATCGACTTCTGTTAACCTTCTGTTCTGGGCGTTGTTGATGTAGATATTCTCTATTAGGCAGTCGAGTTCGATATTGAATTGGCAGGAACGTTAGGGCCCGCGACGACAACTCGCATCACGTCATAAGCCATTGGCATCAGCTCCTTCCTGAAGTCATGGTTACGTCTCTTTCCTCGCCAGGTGGTCCTTTCAGGAGCAGCGTCTGGTCATCATTCTCGCATGGCTGGAGCCAGGCCTTTGGTATCTCAGGCAGATTCAATGGACACACTTCCTGGTCTCGAATCATACAAGAAACACAACACCGCCCACCACGGACAATTGTCAGCAGCACAGGCGCCACATGACTCTTCGTACCACGGCTCCTGCCCGAAACCCAACAGTATGGTGGCACGGCATTGCCCCGCGAAAACGAGCCACCGGGACGAGAAAAAGACGGGCGTATGGGATACGGTGAGCGGTCAACAAGAGGTCGAAAATGCACCAGAGGACCGGAACACGACCATTCCTCACCATTTCTTGTACTCCACAAGATGCACGTCCATTCCCTGTATATCGGCGACCGCTCTTGTTCGCAGGGAACCTGCCTCGGCTCGGCTGTAGGTCAGGCCTGTGCAGCTTCTTGCGGCGTTTGTGTCTTTCTTGGAGTGCCGGCATGCAAAAGATCAGTCTCCCCCAACCGGTCATTCGCTTTGGTCGACTGCCCATATATTTGAGATGCCAATCGAGTGCCTCTCCATCTCTTGTGTCTCTATGGTGAAATGTTATACGGGGAGAGAACAGACCGGTTCGAAGTGTCGAAAGCATGCAGGTAGTTGCTACACTAGCACGGACCTGGGCCTAGGCAGGATGTCCGAACGTGCAGAGCCGTTGGTGGGAAGAAATAAAACAGAGAGACATTTTGTTGAAATGTTGAAAGGATGGATCTGGTGACCATCCTACCGTGCACATACAAAAACCGGCCACGGCTTTGCTCGGGGCGCCCTTTCGTGGGGCAGGGTCCGTTTACGGCCCAAGCGATGCAATAACACCAAGGAAGCCCCCTGTATGACGATGTGCTGTCGCACAGAGGATCTGTTTGTGCACCAGCTCACGAGTGGATGGATGGGAGAACCGACGGTGGAGTCCCTGACCTTTTGGAGAGCTTGCCGTTTGGGAAGCATTAGGGACCGAATGTCGTGCAATTTAACGAACCGGGTCGGCGAGGTGGTCAGACAGAGTTGTATTGCAGACGGGATCGTAGCCTTGGTTCGAGTCTCGCTGATACCAGCCTTCAAGAAGCCCGTCAATGTCGAGTTGCGCTTGTTCGGTTGTTCGGTTGTTCGTTCGTTTGTTTCTTTTCGCGTAGACCAGCTCTAAGAAGAGGGCTCTATCCTTTCGTACCGCTGCCAATTCAGTTGTCGTTTCACATCTCTGTCTCTCGCAGTTTATCCACTACGGCAGATCTGCCTCTATCAACAGGGTGTAAAAGCGATCATACTACCGACCAGCCGACCAGTCGATCGGAACGGAGAACCGCACGTACATGGCTTTGCGCACACGTACGAGTTTGTCCGAGACGCGCCGCTGTCGTGAACGTCTCAATAGCCTAGATGAGACAGGCTCTCGTCTGGTCGTCTGCCGTTCGACCATCGTCCCTGCTTTGTCGACTCGCGCATGGGAATATCAGTTCATGCTGGGCCGCTCGGTCAGCAGAGGTTGCTGCGGCTGAAACCCTGCAGGATGTCTGTCCCTTGCATGAAAAATACCGCCATGGCACGGCTTGATATTGGGTATACTGAAATCGTGAGCTTCTTCTCGCTCGTCTATTAAGCTCTCGGCAAGGGGCGTCGATGGGCGACTTAGTTGACTTGATATGCTCCCTTCGAAATTGATGACGGTCAAAAGGAACAGGTGCAGCACGCATCGCAGCAGAACTGGTCACTTTTCAGCCGTGGCTTTCGCCCTGTCCCTGCAGATGCAGGGAGGGAACATGGATATGGAGCTGAGTCTACACGGGCATGTCCTTCCTGGACCGTCGAGAGGTGTCATGGTACCGACATTTTGCTCATGTCTTTCGCTGAACTCCTTCCCAAGCTGGCGCGGCGTTCCCCTTACTGCCCTTTGAGCTATGCGTAGAAACGCCACACCTTTCCGGTCCTGCCTCTTCGAGATGTGGCACCAATGCAGGGGAGGAAAGCGCACACGGCGTCCAGTCACATCGTAGCAGGAACGAACCCCCATACAGGCCACTACCACCTGGCCATGCGCTGTTGAGGGGAGTGCATTAGCTTCAACCCCCTTCTGCATGGAAGCCAATGCTGGGAAGGCGCAAAAACACGTCGTAGAAAATTGGCACAGCCAGTCGTGGAAGAAGATGATGATGAATTGAAAAGAAGCTCTTTCTAGAAGGCACAGTCTCCCACTGTCTCCGCCTCTCTCCGCCTGTCTCCGCTGCTTCTCTGGCGTCAACATTACAAATTCCGGTAATTGCTTTTTCGTTGGAAAGAGAAATACTCCAATATTCGAACTGTTCCTTTTGCCACGGGGTGTTGTGTTCTCCTAGCGCGCTCCTCTTCATCGAGATGGAATTCATCATTGCCTCATTGCCTGCCTAGATCTTTCTTTTTATGCCCCTGAACGATCTTCGTTTTAGTGAGCGTTCTGTTCGATCCGAAGAGATACATCGTTCCTGGCTACCTTCGTTCTCTGTACTTCCCTTTTGAACCAACCAATGGCTGTTCTGCATCGCTCTTACCGCATACACGGAACACTATTAGCGTACTTGGGGGCCCACTCCATCCCCAGCACGCTACCTCCTACTTCAGGAAAGAAGCACAACAGTGCAGAGTGCGAATTCGGGCTGACAATAGTTGGCAACGAAGCCCTGTATCACCCACTTATTTGTTATTCCCATTCTATTCCTTGCTTACCCAGTTGAGCCGGTTTATCTTGACCTGGTCAATGGTGCAAAGGTCCGGTTTAGCAGTGCTAACAGAGGTCCAGGCCTCCAAGAGCAAAGTCAGAGACAGAACAGGAAGGACCTACGCAAACATATCAATACGCTCCTGCTGCCTTCCTCGCAAGAACTGCGTTGACAAAAAAAGCAGTCGCAACCCGAACAAGAAACAGCCGCGCCTAAATCACAGTTATTACTGCCATTCTAGGCCCATTGGCACTCCAGACTCGGATGCGTACAGGGATGGGGGAAGCCCCTGTTCCTCCCGCATGCTACGTTGATTGCGTACAGGGAAAGAACGACGTATGAATCTGGGCGGAGCCAATTCGGAGCATCGGCAACCGACGTCCAAACGACGTTTGTGTTGGCACATTTGGATCGAACTGTTCCAATTTCGCCTACAACGTCAAAAAGGAACAAGTGCTGAAGATCGAGCGGAATTTAGTGTTCAGCTTTCTTTTTTTCCTGGGAACGAGCAACCTCTCAGCTGGGTCGCCATTGCCTATTTGGGGCAGACAAATCCTACGAAGTGGGGCCGACAGGGGCAGGGAAGGCGCGGATATGTTGAGTACATGTAATTCGTAGACGACATGAGAACATGAAAGAGGTGAAAGAAAGGGAAAGAACCCGTTTGGTGAGGAGGGAAGTCAAGGAGAAGGCACGATGCGTAGTCCTAGCAAGAGCGAACGGCAAAACAGCTCTAGCCGTGCCCCAGTCAAAGTTTGTCAAAGCGACGAGACAGGAGACAGACCATGCACTCTTGGTAATACACGGAGGATTTTGCGGTTGTCAGTGCACAAAGCACTCAGCGCAGAAACACCAAACGATCGTCGTCATCTGTGTTCCACCGGGCCACGACAGGTCTCTCGTCTCCTCACACGCGGCATTGTCCCTGGCTTTCGACAAACCTCCGACTTGTCGCCCTGTCTCAGTTGGGGCCCATTTCAGTCAGAGTGTCGCCGTCGTCTGACCCAAGTTGGCGGCCGCACGGCCGCAGTTCTTGTCATCGACTTTCCCATAAGAGCGATGGCGGGCAAGCGGCTTGGCCAAAACGAGCAAAGGACACGAAAAGCAACGCTCGTGCCCCTTTTCTGCATCGTCGTCGGCCTAACTCTCTTTCGCCGGCGAGACCTATGAGTCGGGCACGCCAGGGGGTGTTCTGCCTTCATGGTGTTTGCGTCTTCCTTTTTTCCTACATAGGAAAAGGTTTGCCCTCCCCGAGTTGCCGATTCGACCAAAAAAAGACCCTGAGACGAAGAGACGAGCAAATGAAAGAATCTTAAGCCGCCTACAAGAAAAGCGGGACGGAGAAAAAGAGGACAAGAAAAATACGGTGCCTGAGCGTCTTATCTGCTATCGCCAAGCCAGGTGATCCCTGTTTGCAATCCTTGACGGAATGGGACAGAGCACAAAGAAGTCAAGGGGGCAATAAAAAGAAGAAACGCCGGACGCAATCGAACCAAGTACTTTATGACACTGTCGTCGACACAGAAATGTGCCCTGTACGAATTATTACAATATACCAATCGTCGGAGCTGACATTCATGTGCATCGCCAATGGGAGGCAGTCAGCATCGAGAAAAAGAAGAGTCAGCACTCCGTACAGCAACAAACGAGACGTGCACGCTTGGTACCAAGTCATCTCGCATCTGTGGCCTGGGAAACATTTGCACGCAGCATTTGAGCGCGATGACAAGCGTGTGTATCCTATACTCAGTCTGTGTTGGCGAGCAGGAGGCCATCTTGTTGAACATGGCGGCTATTCCTATCCTCGCCAGAGGTTGCTCGTTTGCTGGTGCTTTGTTTGGTTTACGCGAACGGGAAGCTCATCCCGTGTGCTCCCACAGCTGCGACGCGAAGGGAAAAAGAAACAACTAAGATACTTGCAAGGGCAACAAGGGCAACAAGACCAGCGGTGAAAACCAGGTCAAGGCGGTGGGCGAGTATCCTCGACGTTTGTTCACAGAAGACACGTCCTTGTCGCCGACGAGATGGATCCGGTGCAATACGACAGGACGGAAGACAAACAAACATGGAAACGAAAGAAATGAAAATCATCCCGGTGTGGAGCGCATCTGCATGCATGCGCGTGCGCTTTGGCTGGCGCCGACACAACATGCCGTCATACACCGAGCAACGCTGCACTGCCCTGGCCGCTCCACATGAGCTGGAGCCACTCTATATAGGGAGGTGGGAATCCGGGGGTGCCACTGAGACAACAAACGCTCTCAAACGCTCTCGGGCATCTACCAGTGGCCATACCGCCGCTGTCGTCGACAGCCCGGCGTTTGTACTTTGCGTTTGATTTTGTATTCTCTTCTCAGATGCCAACACCTGCGAGAGGCCTTTGCCATAGCCGAAATGCCTCGCTCCAGTACAAAGTTCAACAGGTGCAGATGCGAGACAAATCAACGCATCCTAGTCGGACTTTTTGACCTACACCACCTCTGCGCCCAAATTGTTTGGAAGTAGAACAGCGCACGCACACACCTTGCATCGCAATGGACCCCTCGGCCGCACACCATCTTCGACTCGCCAACGTTTTACAACATTCTTGGCTCGAGGTTCTCCTTAACCCTGCCCACATTTCGGTCAGCTAGTGTTCCCTCCCTCTACGGAATCTACTCCGTAGCTGAAGAAACTGACCCGCCTACTAATTCAAATCGCCCTTTCTTTTTTCCCAGTCAGCTTCCCGGCTGTTTTTGCTGAGCAGGGGCTAGAGCCACGCCCTTTTCATATGGAGAAGCACTTGCGTGTAAGTGTTCCAAAGAGCCACTTCCGTCGTTGATCCCACCCATTTTGACATATTCCCATTTATTATCCCACCCCCTCCCACACTTGCTTTACTCTTTTGCCTTCATGTTTTCGGTTCTTTTATTTTTTTTTTTTTTTTTTTTTTTTTTTTTTTTTTTTTTTTTAACCTTCACTTGTCATCGTTATATATTTCCAGGACTTCGCAAGCTTTTCTGTCGCTTCTCGTCATTTGGCCAGCACTGATTTGATTTCTTTTCCTACCAGAGCTCAGGTCATTCCAGCTCTCACCACTTAGAACCGCTCACCCACAGAAGCGCTTGGCTCCCTGGTGACATCGATCCGGCGAGTGAAGCGGCGAGCAGCGGTGACCTTGCCCTCTTGGCCAGCCTGCCGCCTATGGCAGGCCAACAACCGCTGCCATGGGCTTCATGACCTTGCTAGCCAGAAAAATCAACTCTGACAAGAATCAACCGCAACTACGGGCTCCGACATATGAGCGGAATGTTTCATCAAAGTCTCCCGTTCGATGTATGTATACACTCTATTTTGTATGAGGTTTTGTCTTTCTACTAATACGCCAAATAGATGTGCGGACCGTGTCTCCCAATGTCAGCTCGTCAAATCTCAATGGCAACCATGCAGCCTCTAGCCCAGGTTCAAGAGACATGAGGCCGCGTCAATATCCTTCATCGCCGCTCTCCCAGACATCGTTCTCCGTGGATCGTGCAGCACCTGCTTCCGTTGTTTTGGGCTCCCGAAGCGACGATAGCCCGAGTCGAACGGCCACGCCCAGGACGACTATTCCAACACAGGCACGCTCACACAGACCGCAGAGCTCGGTCTCCAGCAGCAAACTTGCAAGATCAGTAAGAACCGACAACAGCCAGAAAGGTCACGTCGATCTCCTGGATGCACAGTCCGAGTTCAAGCCGGCCGATTTCCACACCCGTGTCAAGGCTGCGGGAACAAGGGACTATGGCGAGGACGTTGCAGACCGCAACATCGGTGTCAACGGGTGCGATCTAGACTCCCAGCCGGTGCAGGCCTTTTATGCAGTCCGGCCGAAGAGTGCGTATCGTATTTCCATGGTCGATCGGCGCCGCCCTTTCTCTTCTTGGAATCGCTCGGCCAAGTTCAACGAAAGCGACGAAGACAGTGCCCATGAGCCACATATCACGAAGCGAAGCTCCTTCAACTCAGCACTCTCGTACAAACCCATAAATGCTTCGCACCGGGCCGTCCTTGGCCATGGAAACTCTCCACCTCGGCTGTCTGCTGCGTCTCCGGAAAAGAATCGCGCCTTGCAACGCCCATCATACGCATCCTCTGGCAGCACGTACAGCACCCCGAGCCTCGCTGATATCGAAGCCTCTCTCCAAAGCCAGCGACTACTGAATGGAAAAGTGAACAGGCGCAGTCGGCCAGCGTCCGCCCGGGACGCAAACGGCCTTGTGTCAGGATGGGAGAGCGAGCAGGGTGAGGCTGAGGGCGGCCCCAGATTTGGAGTCAACAACCAGCCAATTCTCTCGCCACAACCTACGTCGTTTCGACTTTCTGCGTCATTGGCGAGCTCAGCTTTCACGGCATCAAACAAGCGCCCGGCAACGGCGCACAACAGCCACTCTGTCCGACGTTCACAGCAGCCAGCCCTTGAGTCTCACAACACCGCGCCAGATCTGTCCAACCTGCCGCATCACCTCAAGGAACAGGCGCGGAATTTCAAGGAGGACTGGCACGATGACTTGATCAACCGTGATTCAGCCCCATCACCTTGTAAGTCACTGCAGAGGCACCTGTAGCGTCCAGTTGAATTTGTGTGACAATTGATACTAATCCCAAATGAAAGTCATCAAAAGAAGCCGGTCTCCCAGCATGAACAGAGAAAGTGTTCGCGAGATATACTCCCCTGCAAACAGCAACACAACACCTCGGCCACAGTCCCAGTCCGGCGAGCTGGACGACCAAACCCCCCGGACGAACTCGATCCGCCATTGGTCCATGACATCAACGGCCCCAACAACGTCCAGTTCGAGCTTGGCCACGTACGGGCGCCCGCAGTCGCGCCACACGACGAGCACCTCGATCGACCTGAGCACTACTGGGCCACCATCCACCGGCGACGCTGCTGGAAAGGGACAGGGCCAAAACCTCGATTCGAACCAGAGCCAGCCTCTAGTCGCTCTCCAGTCGCCACTGTTCAACATTGACGACTACGTCTCGTCTGACGACGACTCGTTCATTGCCAGCCAGGCCAAACGCAGCGAGGAGGACCTTCTTTTCAGCGGCGGGTATGGCAAAATGGGCACCCAGTTGCCTGGTCTCGAGGACGCCTTTGCGGTCCCAGCACCAATTGCTCTGGTGCGGAGTCCCCGCCTCATTTCTCTGAAGCAAAATGAGGACTTCCTCCGTGCATACGGCGAACCGCATCAGACGGCCGGCAAGCATGATCTGCGGCAAAAGCCGAGCGACGACTCTCTCCACAGCAACCACGGCCAACGCAGGCGCCACTCATCTGGAGCGTCTGATACTGGGCTCCGGAAGACCCACTCGCGCGAGGAGTTGAGCCCGGCCGCGAGCCCTGCCAAGCGCGTGGAGACAAAACGTATGGCTGCAATCTTGGGCTCGTCTACGACCAACCATACACACCACGGCAACGGACCTCTCGGAAGCCACAGTCATATGTACAACCCTCGCCCAAATCCCCACCTCGGCCACGGTAACAACGTGGGCGAGCAGGTGATTGAGGAGGAGCGGTTCGAAAAGGTCGATGTCGCGACGGCCATTCGCCTGCGGAAGGATGCCAAATCCAAGAAGCGGGCCTCCACGATAAGCATAGTCTCGCAGACCGGTGGCCGTGGCCGAGTCAAGGCAATCAGCATCGAGAGCCACAAGACGACGGCCAATGTCCAGGAGGCCAATGTCAAGGCCGTGCGCCAGAAGGTGGTCCCTGCAACCGCTACCGGGGAGGACTCCGATGCGGCGCTGGACATTGCGAACGTTCCGGAGCTTGTCGTGGATGCCTCGGATTACCACGAGAACGCCATCGACTCCGACGACGAGTGACATGTCCTTGCATGTACTTGGCGGTTTGCAGGCGGGTGGGTTTATGACGACATACGACACAGCTTGATTTCGACAAACGCCTACACTCGTTTAATGTGCCAACTTTCTATTCTTTTTCACGACATCTTTTAGAGTTTTCCCATCCCTCAACATTTCCTTTGTATTGGATTTCACTGTTATTGTTCAGCTAGCCATTTCTATACCCCTATTAGAGATATATTATGAATATAAGCTTTACATGCTTTCTTTCCTGCTTTTCGTGCTTTTGCTGCTTTTGCTTGTTCCCTAATCTTAACAGCTTCCAAACCGACACATAAGTCCTCCTCTTCAAAATCAGCGCATCGCTTTCGCACAACAGATCGTCCACCTTTTACCCTTCTCTCAAAACATACCACTTTCCTCCTCACACTGCAGTAGAGGCTGCTGCTGCCGCAGCACGGTCACTGTCACCGACCTCAGCTTCCTGGGCCATGACTTCGGCGACGGTTTCCGCTTCCGCCTCGACACGACAGTCGCACCCAGTCAGGGCCCGGAACGCCTCGACACCCAGGCTGTCCAGTTTCGCCAGTGCCTGCTTGGCAGCCGCAATCTTGGCGTACCGGCCACTCTCTGCTATACCGTGGCCAAGCACACGGCCGTGCACCAGAAAGCCTGCGGCCACCTTGGTCGCAAACGTCACGCACCCATCGCCCTCGTTGTCGGGCGTCTCTTGCACGACGGCGCGCCAGTCACGGCAGCCGAAGCGCTGCGTCAGCACATTGACGGCAAAGGTAACGGGGTGCTTGTTGGCAAATGTGTCGTAGAGCGCCATGTCCTCAAAGTAGGGCAGCACGTGGCGGTGGAAAAACGGCAGCACGGTGCCGTAGTAGTCGTAGCCCGAGTCGACAAAGATGGCGCCAATGTAAGCCTCGAGCACGTCGGCCAGCACCTTGATGGGCCGCGTGACGTGCACCCAGTAGTCGCGCGCAAACGCGGTGCTGGGCTTGCCGGCGGCGATGGCCTCGGCCTCGGCGCGCGCGCGCGCGTCCTCGATCTTGGCCACGTATTCCATGATTTGTTTCTGCAGGTCGCCCGTGAACGACAACAGGTGCTTGTGGAAGCCGAGCGTGACGCTCAGCGTCCCCAAGAACTGGTTCGACACCATGGCCATCTTGTGCTCCGTCAGCCACTGCGGGTCCTTGTCCGGGTACTTGTGGAAGAGGTAATCGACCGCGGCCATGTCAAAAAGGGAGTCGCCCAGGAATTCGAGGCGCTGGTAGCTCGGCAGCTGCTCGTACACGCGCGGGTACGACGGATGCATGACGGCGCAGCGCAGCAGGCGCGGGTACGTAAAGGTGTAGCCAACGTCACGCGCCACGGCTTTGGCCATATGCACCTGGGCGGCGGTGGCGGGTGCTGTCTGCCACTCCGGCAGGACGTAGGCTGCAAAGTACTCCTTGTAGGTTCTCATGGGGTGGAACTTGCTCTTGGCCACAACAGACACAGCCTGGACGGCCAAATCAAAGTCACGCTCCTCGTATGTGGTGAGGTAGGCGGCGCCAATCATGGCCTCGCACACATCGGCAATGCTCTTGTCACTCAGCGCATGGTAGCTACCCTCTTGCTGCTTTCTTCCTTTCTTGAGAATCAAGCCGTGCAGTGCGGTGGGTGTTTTGCCGTTTTCGTCGGGTGTGCCAGTCTTGGCCGCCGCCTCTGCTGCTAGCTTCTCTGCCTCATCCACAACGGGCGGGTACCAAGCACGGTCAAACTCTTTGGAGCGGATGTACTCCTCAAGCCCTATCTCGAGCGCATTGTTGAACAAGTTCTTATTGCAGATCATGCACATCCGCTCCACGTGGTATTCAAACTCATTCTTGTCCGGGGCGAGCGTGTAGAGTGCAATCGTAGAGGCCATTTTTAGGAACGAGTCGCCCAGCAGTTCGAGCCGTTCGTAGTTGCGGCCCATGCCGGCCTGGAAGTTAATGGCGGTCTCGGTCGCGCCCGCGTCGTCGGAAACGTCACAGTCTTTGGTGCACGCTTCCAGTGCGAGGCCGGGGTGGATACTAGGCAACCCAATCACGGCCGCGGCCTCCAGCGCAATGAGCGTCGACTCAATGCGGTGGACGATGGGCGGCAAATTGAAAATCATGGAAATCGAATCAACAGGGATCTATAGAGTCAGTACAAGCACAACGACAAAAAGACAACTTACACGGCCAGCAGGGGCGGCAGGAAGGACATACCGGCGAAATACGAAGTGTATCCAGGACAATAAAGCACCGGCTAGGTCCAAAATCGTCGAGGAACACACGCTCGTCGAGCAGGTTGCGGCGCTGGTATATGATATCCGCCTCCACAACAACCTGGTCTTGCCGGATCGGCGTGTTGACCCGCGACTTGGACCACAGGCTCACGCTGTAGTTTAAAATGTTGCGCACCGTGTCCGGCCGGTTCCAAGCGCGGTGTTTTGGCGCCGGCGCACCCTCGGGCACCGGATCGAGCGCCGACATATCGCGCCGCACGTGCCGCAAATAGAACTTGCGCGAGCCGTCAAAGGGGTCCGACACAAACTTGTTTTCGAAAAACGAATCGGGCTCGTCGCCCTGGCACGTAATTCTCTCAATCTGTGCGGCGACGTGGTGGATGCTAGCCCAGTCCAAGATCGAGCGTCCATCAGGGCAGGTGCTATTGTCCCGCAGCACGACGTCGTGCGTGGGCTCGCTGTACGGGGCAATGAAATACGGCATGTCCTTAGCCGTGCCCTCGTATTCCTTGCTGAAAACATCATAGAATGCGCGAAGGGTATACGCAGCGAGCGCCTCCATCTCGTTCGGGGTAGGCTGCATAGGAATGTCCACGGGGACGCAGCGGACCTTCGAGGCCCGGCCTTTGCTAAAGAACAAGGGGAACTCGGGGAGCAGAGGCATCTTGTGCCGAGACAAGAACACGAGCGGGCGTGAGGGACGGTCCAGGGATTCCGGGTGGGTGAGCGAGAGAATCGAAGCATACAGCTGCGTCGGCATGCCGAGGACCGACCATGTCTCGGGCTTGACGCGCATCGTGTACTGGGCCTGCTTCTTGGAGCTGACGGCCAGCCGCGCGTTGCGCATGGCAGGCAGCCGGGACGCAAAGATGGGGTGCAGATGCTTGTCAATGTACTTCTTTTCGTACAGTTTGAGGCACATGGCAAAGGCCGCCGCGCACTTGGCGACCTGCTTCCGGCTATGGGGTCGGCCGGTCGCCTGGCGGATGGGCGAAGACGATGGTAACATCACCTCGCAGACGAAGCCGTCGGCGGTGCAAAACACAGAGTACTCGGGCTTCGGCACTCCCTCGCTCGGCTCGGGGAGCGTCGACACATACTGGGCCAGGATGACCAGACTGGACCGGTACGTCAGCTTCGCCTGGGTGGACGGCACAACATACACTTGCTGGTCTGTCTTGTCGCGCAAAAAGTAGTCCATGTCAATATCATTTCCCTCCAGCTTGCGGTTTTCCGGCAGCGCGTTGCAAAAGTCGCGCATCTTGTTCTCGCTGGCCTTGTTCTCCGCGAGCAGGCGGCGGTGATCCACGTTGCCGAGCTCGGCCATGTGGATGTATGTCGACTCCTGGTGCCGGGCTCGCCCGCGCGACTGAATATACTGGATCATGGTGCGGTATAGGTCGAAGCGGATGACAAGGTTGCAGTCTGGAATGTCCAGGCCCTCCTCAGCAATGGATGTCGCGAAGAGGCAGTTGACCTGGCCACGCTTGAACTTGGAGATGGTCAGCAGCTGCGTGCGGAACGTGTTCTTGCCCATGTCCTTGGATCCGCCGCCGACCAAGACGCCGGTCCGAAGGTTTGGGATCTTCATTTGCTCCTGTTGGAACAGGTCAGCCAAAAGGGTGGCTGTGTAGCGCTGCTCTACAAAGACGATGCACCGCGTCTTCTGACCGCTGAACCGCGTGAACACGTCAAAAAGGGCGTCGTGCAGCCGCTGAACTTTGTTCGACAACTGGGCCATACTCGGCGGCATGAAGCGGTACAGCTCCACGAAACGACTGGCGTCCCGCACAGCTACCACATTAGAGTTGTACTGCACGGGCTCGTCGCCGAGACCGTCGAGCTTGAGGGGGTTCCGTCCCGCACCCTCCGCGTCGGGCTGCCTCTCAATCTCGGCCTTCGCCTCCTGTTTAGCGAGTTCCTCGGTGCGGAACAGGATCTGCCAAAAGCGGTCGATGATCCAAGGCCCCAGCACCGAGAGGTTGGCGTCCGCGTACTGGAAGTTGCGAGCAAAGAGCTTGTGGTTGCCCACGAGCTGCCGGAGCCGCCGCATGAGGTTTGACTCGTGTTGGACCAGGGCCGTGTGGTAGTGCACAATGCGCTCCTTCTTGGGCTTGGAAATGTCGTGCAGCAGATTGTTATGGGCGATTGTCGCAATCTCGCTATGTAGCAACGCTTCGAGTTCTTGGGCAGCCTGCGTGACATTGGTGCGCGCATCGACAGGCGATGCGGTCATGCCAAAGATCTTGGGCCGCCGGCCGCGCTCTGGGATGTCCCGGAAGGGGTAAAAGTCCTTGATTATGCGCGCATACGAGTGGTTCTTCTTTGTATGGTGGGCCTCGTCAAAGATGAGTAGGCTGATCTGGTCCATGCAAATGTACGAGTGGTGGAGGCATTTGAGGAGAATGTCAGCCGTGCACACAATGACCATGTGCTCCTGGAGTGTCGCGTCCCAAAAGTCCTTGGACGACCAACGCATATCTGACTTGTCGCCCGAAAACTTGGCGACGGGCTGGCTGAGGTTGCACTCGAGAACGGCGTGCTGCTGGAAGACGAGGGCCACCTTGTCGACCAGGAAGAAGGAAACGCGATGGGGCCGTCCGTTTTCGCGGTCGTCAAGCTCGCGTTCGATCATATGCCGAAGCAAAAGGGCCGCAATCAGCGTCTTTCCGGAGCCTGTGTGTGGTATTTAGCGGCCAGCCAATATGCAAGAGAAAGTAAATTCAAACGGAGCACACTGCAACTCACCAGTATCCAGAACGGCGATGATGTTCTTCTGCTTGGCCTTCTCAAACAGCTCGATCTGGTAGTCGCGAGGACTCTCGATGATCTTGGCGCTCTCAAACTCGCGCACGAGGGCAGCCGCCGTCTTGTCCTCGTCGCAGAGTGCCGCAGCCATTGTTTTGGTGGTCTTGGTGATGCTGTCTCGATTCTGCGACAGCCATGAGTCGAAAGCATCGTAGTCGGCCCGCTTCTTCTGCGAGAGGCTGAACGCCACCTGCGCAGCAGCCGGCGCCAAGGCCGGCAGATCCTCCTCCTCCTCCTCCCCATCACCGTTCGCCTCGTCGTCGTCGGTAACGTCGCCGGACGCGGTTCCGTCTGACACAAGATCCGCAGGCAGCGGATGGTGTGCATTGGTCGGCAGCGGTTTGGCCGTGACTGCATCCTCACTTTCTATGATGTTGGGGCAGACGACTGACAGCGGCTTCGGCATGGGCTTCGTCCCAGCCATTGCCAACTGAGCGAGCTGGTCGGAGACGAAGCTCGATGCGAACGAAAAGTCTGAAGTCCCGGTATCGTCGATGCCGCCACTGCCCAGCGGTGCGGGAGCCATCTCGCCTTGTTTGTAGGTACGACCCAAGAGCGTCGTTTGAGGAGGCGAGAACGCAGAAGGCTCACTGGGGGTAGAGTGACAGGCGTGGTTATGCAGCTGTTTGTAAATATCAAGACCGAGGGATCGAGAGAATGCAAGACTGTCTGCTTTGTGTGCTTTGTGTGTTTTGTGTGCTTTGTGACTGTTTGCCGATGCTCGGTTTGGGAACCATATGAGTTGAGAGTAAAGACTAGAGGCCTGCCTGTCAAACACTGTTTGAAGAAGCAGGCCTCGGAGGCGAGAGACGAGAGTGCAGGCCGATGAAGGCCTGCCCTTTGCCTCGATGGGAGGCGGTCGTTTGTTTACAGAAGCTTTTCTGGTGTGAACTGAAGAAATCGTGACGCAGGATGTCAGAAGGAAGCGGCCACTTTGTCAGAGCCGTGAGAGGCTGAAGTGAGCAGGAGCAAACGACAACAAGCTGCTGTCGGTCGCACCTGCCTTGTCAGCAACTGCGTGACAACCGCGTCGCGACGCCAATGATTTTGGACGCCACTTTGCGGTGAACAGAAGCTCGCAGCTACGTGACAAGATATTGAGCCGAGTCAATGTGTAACCGGCCGCAAGATAGCTCACGATGTCCGGCGTTGTCTTTTACAACCGGGTTGTATGCAGAATGGTGACGCGCTGCGCCGTCATACGGTGACTTGCACGTGCCGTCGTTGGTACAGAAAGTGCGACCCGACACCATCTGTGCGCTCCTGCCAAAAGACGTAAAGAGAATATGGCTGTTGATATTTCTCTCGACTGAATTACAACAGCCCAAACTGTCATACTTCACTTTGCCGCCTCCAAGATACCATTCTCACTCTGCCGTGTTTTCAACCGTCTACCGCCTTTCACTTTGTCACCGTTACCTGCCAAAGCCTGCGAGTCGTGAAGTAGCCGTTTGTCGCGTCCGAAACGGCAATGACGTAATTCTGATGTTCTGGCGGAAAGAGCAAACAGCAAACATCGCCAAACAGAAAAGGAAAGACCTCTCCACGAAACATGAACCAACGACACTGTCGGCATGAAATTGTCTGCGTCCTGTTTGTTTGATCCTGTATATACCACCTGAGTCATCCATACAGAGCCCAGTCACGACACACCAAGCCATGATTATTGAACGCCGTGTTGTCACAGTGTCCGCACAGGTGTCGTGGACTGCCTTACGTGGAAGGAGTGGGTCCACTGAATGACGTCCGAAAAGGCTGTCCAGCTGATGCACTCCTGCCTAAATTGCCCCACGCGCCAGTTGGACACAGTGCTGTCTCTCAACCGTGATTATCCTGCTGCGCTCGCTACCCCTCCCCACTATGCATTAGCGCACCTGCTGTACAGTGCTCGCATGAGTGGCATCATCCAACAACGCCAGCTAGCCTTCGCCCCTTCCCTCGTTATCGCCTCGAGCCTTATCCTGCTCCACCCGGTCCTTCCTCTCGCCAGCGTGACTTCGTCTCACTACATTACCTTTGTTTCCCAACGCCTCTACAACACATTTGTTCACTTGATTCAACTTTTTGGTCTCCCAGCATCTTTCTCTGCACCGCACACGCCAGCCTCCCGACTCGAGCCACAATCCCCATTGCGTTTGTCTTGTGGAATGTCTCCGGCGACGGACGTAATCTGAATCACTTCCCCACGACATCCGATTTCGCGTTGCTCCCTCGACCTTCTCGTCGGCCTTCTCCTCAACCATTTTGTTCTTCGACCTCTTCCTCGGCCTCTTTTCCGGCCTCTTCCTCGACGACTGTGATCCACGAACCGATCGACGATTTACGCTTCCGGCCTCCGTAGACTCCACCAGCCAGTCCCGCTCGCACACGCACACCTCGCTCTTCCGTTGTTCCGCCGAATCGCCAAGATGAGTAGTCCACGCCGCCGCATCGAGACGGATGTCATGAAGTTCGTGCACCCTCAGGCCGTCCGACAGCTTCGCATACGGCCCTCTCTTTTTTTGTCCTGTTTGACGTTTGCTAACCAGAACCTCTCTTTCGCTACAGGATGTGCGCACGACCCTCTCCGCCAGCGCCTTGCTAGGTCCTTTGCTACGTTTCCGATATACTAACATTCTACCCAAGGTTGATGAGTGACTACGAAGTCACGCTGGTGCATGACAACAGTACGTCTTTGGTCCTGGATTTTGGTTCCTGTGCTCCTAGTTGCTAACCTTGTTTTCTGCGTCTAGTGTGAGCCACGAGCGTCGATAATCCCCCTCATTTCGTCTCACATCTGCCTCTCTAACCCGAGTGCGTCCCACCCTAGGCAAGAGTTCTATGTCCGGTTCAAGGGTCCCGCGGAGACGCCGTTTGAAGGCGGTCTTTGGAAGGTGCATGTCGAGCTTCCCGACCAGTACCCGTATAAGTCGCCGAGCATCGGGTTTGTCAACCGCATCTTCCACCCGAACATTGACGAGCTGTCGGGCTCCGTCTGCTTGGACGTGATCAACCAGACGTGGTCGCCCATGTACGATATGATCAACATTTTTGAGGTGTTCCTGCCGCAGCTGCTACGGTACCCGAACCCCACAGACCCTTTGAACGGCGAAGCGGCTGCCCTGCTGATGCGGGAACCCAAGAACTACGATATCAAGGTGAAAGGTGAGTCGCGGAACAAAACCTACCTGTCATTCCGCAGCGGGACGGCTTTCTAACATCTTTTTCCAGAATATGTCCAAAAGTATGCTAGTAAAGAGGCGGCTGACGAGGCTGGTGCCGAGTCGGAAGACGACGACGATATGTCCTCGGTCGGCAGCTTCGACGAGGACGACGAAGACGAGCCGGCCGGCCAGATGGACGACGTATAATGAATATCAAATATTACTGCGTCGTTGCATCCATCCGACGAGCTTTGCCCAATACCCCATATTGACGTGTTTTTGGTTCTTTTGTCGTTGTTTTGTTCCAGTCAACAGGTGTTTTGCCGGTATACTGTCCATTCCACATTTACACATCCCCTGTTGTTCTCCATTTTGATTGTGTTGTGCGTTTATTCCTCCTCTGTTTGATTGATATTTCTGGCGTATGTGTGCTGGTATTGGGAACCAGCAGGATTTTAGTGTTGAACCAGAAGTCTCACAGGTACAGCCCCAGGCAGGAAAGGCGACGCCAGGACAGCTCGCGGCGCTGCTTTCCCTCGTTTGGCTGTCCTGTGTTTGATTTTATCTACGCCATCGCCTCTCTAAATACGGTCTTTGGCATGTTGTTTTTTGTGTCGGTTCGTGTTTCTTGAGATAGTTGACCTCTTTCAGGATAGCATATTACAATCACCAAAGATGTCTTTCAAAAACAAATTGTCTATAATAAGGGTATCATATGTGTTCTATATACAGTAAAACCGTGAGCTACATCCCTTAATCTGAATCGTAACTCACCAGCGCCGCTGCCAATTTGCTCGGCTTGGATTCAGCATCCTTCTCTTCCTCGTCCTCCACGCCACGCTTCCTCTTTGCTCCTAGTCGAGGCGGCTGGCTCTCCGGTGTAGTAGTCATTGTCACTGTTTTTGAGTCTGTTTCTGCTCTTTGGCGGAGATCGGCCACCGTGGCGCTCTTCCTGAGGCCCTTGAGCCCTTTTATGGGCGGTTTTGTCTTTTCTGCATCGCTCTGGCTGCCGCCCGCCAGCGCGGCCACAAACGGATCCGTCGTCAGCCGTGTGTTAGCCAGCACCGTGGACGCCAGGTGGTCGCGGATCGAGCGCTGCCGCTTGGCCGCTTCTGTGGTCGGAGCATAGGTCCGGTTGCGTGAGGACGCCCGTGCAGGTGAAGCCGACGAGGGCAAGGCGGAAAGCGACGCTGATTTGACAAGGGCCAACCCGCCAGATGCGCTGCTGATACGGTCGCGCGGCTGCTTCTTCGCATCCGCGGCGCCTCCTTTGTTCCCAAAGAGAGGCTGCGCCAGGGTCCGCCGGTCGGCTACTGCACTGGGCGTCTCGCTGCCGGTCGGTTTGCTGCCAAAATCAATGAGCGCCGCATGCCGCGCGTCTGCCTCCGTGGCCGGCAGCAGATGCAGGTCCTCGCTCAGTCCGCCCAGCCGCTTCCGCAAGCCCTCGTCGTCGGCCGCGGCCTGTTCGCGCGCATGGCGGCCGACGCGGAAGGCCGCACGTAGGGCGCGGTTGCGTTCGTACGGGTCGTCCCACTGGCGGGCATTGCTGCGCGTCAGAGCCTCGAGGCGGCGAGCGGCATCGAGACCGCTAATGGGCCCTCCCTGTGCCGGGTCGCTGGCACTTCCTGGCGCAGCCGGTGCGCGATGGACAATGGTCCGCTCAAGACGGTCAAACGCGTCGAGACGGTCCAGCTCGCTGCTACTGCCGTGGGCCGCATCGCCGCCCTCGACACCAGCCAACGCGGCCGCCGACCGCGCGGCAGCACTAGCAGGGTCCAGAAACTCTCCGCCCTCGTCTGCATCGTCGCTGTACTCGCGCCGCCGGCGGCCCCCTTCGACTACAATGTACGACGTTGATGCCGGATCCGTGCGAATGGCAATGTATTTTCCACAGGCCGGGTGCCGCATGCGGAACGTAAAGATGGGCGTCGAATAGTAGTTGCCCGTCTTGTGCTTCTCGGCATTGAAGCGGACGCCCTGGCCGATGAGCACGGGGTGCGTCTTGCCGTCGCGGCCGATCGTGCGCTCCTCACAGCCGTCGCACCATACTGCAAAGGGCATCTCGAAGCGCACGACAGGCACGCCGGCTGCGTTGGCCTTTTGCGCGCGGTTGCCAAGAAGGCGGTTGCCCGAGACGATACCCTCCTGGTCGGGCGGGACGTAACGTCCCATGTTGAAGCCCTGCATGATGGATGTGGCGGGTGAGGCTGTCGCGGCCGGCTTGGCTGGTTGGTTGTGATGGTCGCGGTCGTCGTCCCGAGCAGAAACACGCTCGCCAACCAACTAGGTCGTTTCGATCAATCCGGCTCCATGCGGTGGCCGTTGTGTGTGGTGCGTCGCGTCGATGCGGTGCTGTTAAAAGATAACCGTTGTAACAGAGTGCAGAACGACGAAGTACGGGCCAGGCTGCCTGACGCTCTCGATTTGGCAGGCTTGATATAGAAGGACGCTAAAAATATTAGTCAGCTATTCGCAGACAATAGAGGCGAGGTCTGGCATTCGACGAATTGATGGTGACGCTCCTAATGTGATGAACATGAATAAATATTATCGCTTATCCCATGCCCGTGACCTCCATACGTAACCTTAATAGCAGAACATTTCGAAAGAGAGTAGGCGCGGCTGAGGCCAAGCCTTCACGGTATAGAGAATGTCACCGTAAAATGATCAAAGTCAAGAAACAGATGAAAAGCGACGTCAAATCAAATGCCGAAAGAAGAAACCAAGAATGAAGAAATCAAAAATGGAGAAATACAGAAATACAGAAATACAGAAATACGGAAACCAAACTCAATCCAACCAAATCCTGGTATCGCAAAACTCTAAATGTGTATCAATAAAAACATCATATCTGCACATCCCTCGTGCGTACATTTTTTCTCCTCTCGATGCCCCACTCGTCCGTCTCCGGCAACGAGTATAGAGTCGTGTGTTGTCTTCCTCGTAAGACAAGGAAGAACAGAGGTTTGGGCCCAGAAAGACCCTAACCATCAGCAGGAAGCTGCAGCCAGGGGGTCGAGAATCTCGAGACATCCAGCTCACAAGTTGCTTTCCCTCACAGGAAGCCAGATTCGGCCAACACTCTGTTGCAAAACGTTAGCATCATTCCCAGCAAGTATTGGGGGTAGGGGTCCTCGGGCCCAATCACGATGGATCAACAACGTACCTCACAATCTTTTCATCTTCGCGCTCACGGGGCTCCACCTGCAAACTCTTGTCGTACATCTCGTGCACGTCACCAGCTGCCTGCATGTTGCTGAGGATGTAGTCCTGCAGCTCCACGACCGGTTGCAGCAGGTATGCCACGTTCTGGTACTGCTGGATGTCGCGGATGACTTCGGCCGTCTTGGCTCGCTTGGCAAAATTGATCAGGTTGGTCTTCTTGATGATCGACGGGATACCGTCCTCGATGAAAGTAAGATCCGTCAGGTAAACACCAAAGAACGGGATACACGGCGGGTTGGCCGCATGTAGCGCCTCGCGGTACTCGCCAAAGTTCTTTGTGCTGGCCATCAGTTTGCGCATACTTTCGAGTATGGCCTGCGTTTTTTGCGGCACAATGTCCCACGTTCTCTTGAGGCGGGCAATGGGTGCGGTGCCAAGTGCCGAGATAATCGACGTCAATGTCGAGAAGTTGTTGAGGTTCCGGCATTTCTACGTTTGTTAGCATGGTATACCTGGAGAAAAAAGACGAGGGAAAACAAGGGAACCAACGCCATGGACATACATCTGCAACAGCAACAAAGTGCTTGATCACAACAACACGCTTCTTTACGTCTGTCTGCGCAAGAATCATCTCGGCGACCCAGTTCGTCATCTGGTTCGAGTGCAGAATGAGTGCCTTGACATTAGGTGCCGGTTCGGGGTCGCCCTCTGCGACCTTCTTCTGCCAAGTCTTGTTAAGACACTCGGTAGGCTTGATTTTGCCGTACAGGCGCGATTCGATAATGGTCAACTGGCGGGCGAATTCTGTCACATCAATGTCGAGGAACTTGAGCTTCTTCATGTTCTTGGGCATGATCGGTGGCGGCGTGTTCTGGTTCAGCGTCTGAATCAGGCGTCTCGCACCAGTGTCCTTGCCACTCAACCGCTGGTCCAAAACAGCCATCAGTGGCGCCGAACCCGGTGTCTCGGTCGACTTGACCGTGTCTCGCGCAAAGGTGTACACGTCGCGGATCAATTGCTTTGTTTCCTCTAGGGACGCATCCTCCATCCAAAAGTTGTCGAACCAGTTCTTGATAATGTTGACCACACGGAACCGAATGAGCTTCTGCTTGCGGTCGCGCCATTGCTCAAACTCGGCTTGCGTCAGGCCTTCTGGTGCCTGGATGCCGAAGCGCTTCACCAACAGTTCAAAGAGCTCACGTGCTGATGTAAACGACCGGTATGTGAGGAGGAACGTGTTGTTGAAGCTCGAATCCAGCTTGTCATGGCGTGTGAGCTGCTCAACAAGTGCCAGCAAAGAGCCACCCTTGACTTGAGGGGGCTGGATCTTGAGGTCCCAGGACAGGTCGTTTTCGAAATCGGGCCGCAAAAAGTCGGGAGTGTCGTCAACCATAGTCGACTGTGGTGACGGGTCTTCACCAAGCAGTTTCTTGAGCTTCGAGTAGTCGCCACCCTTCCTGTATGCCTGTGCCGCCGCATCGCTGCCTTCGCTGAAGGATTGTGCTTGGATGATTGGTGGCCGGGTTACCATGCCGCGCGATTCGGTCCGTTGGTGGTTGAGCGTCGCCGACGATGCTACAGAGCCCGCCGTGGAAGGAACAGCGGTGGATGCTACCGACGACGCGTAGGGCATAGTCTCGCCCCGGCGCAGTGGCTCGCGCGCCGCGCTATGGTCGTCACGGCGCGATTCGGCAGCTTGTTGCATATTGATCTGGACTTGCTCGGACAGTAGCTGGAGTGAGAAGCCGATGTGGGACGAGTTGGTCTCGAGCGCACGGTCGCATTGCCGCACATATTCCAAACGATTCTCCAGAGCCTCGCCACGGACCTCTGCCCATTCATCGGCAAGTGGCCCAGCAACAGCCTGGCAGCCGAGCAGGAGGTCGGAAATATTGTCGTATAGGCTTTGCTTGTTGGTGCTAAAGTCGGCGAGTTGCGGCGTCTGGAAACTGTTGCCGAGAACAGACAGATCGATCGACTCGATCATGGCAATCCACGGCTTAAACATTTCCAGGACCTTACCGCCGGCAATGCACACGTTG